AATAAGTCTTATATAGTTTACCTTATTAAACGCTCCGGCTATATTAAGGGAGAGGAGCGATACTACCCGTCCCTACTTCTATACGGCCTAGACGACTTCGATAATATATTAGATAGCTATTATTAGGGAGCTACCTATCTTTACCTTCTAGTTCGGAGGGAGGAGATTATGTTCCTATGCCGCGGTGCTTATCTTCTTCGCTATCATAGCCTCTAGTATCTTGCCTAGGCAGGAGAGAAGGGCGATTGGTCTCCATCCCTTTAGGGAGTTAGGGCTCTTTCCTGGTTTCGGGAGCATGATGGTATAGGCGACTCGGAAGCACTGGGGGTGGTACCCCTGCGTGACGCATACTTGGATATATATATAAATATTCCCCTACTACGCCCTTCGCGATCTTAATCCCGGGGGTATTTCTATTTACTTAATATTCAACCCGCCTGATAATTTACCCCCCTAACTGGCACGGTATATATATATCTAGATCGGGTATATGAGTACGTGGACGGGATATGAAGCCAGTCAGGAAAACAGCATCTTTCGCGCGCGCGGGTGGTTGAAATGGAAGGTCTTGTTTTCATCACTGCGGGGGGGGGGGGTTGTTCATCTGTCTATCTGTACTTGACGTATTCACTAGGTTACACAAACACACATGCAGAAACAAGACAAAACGCCCTATAGCGCCCTGAAACAATTACAAAGTCCCATCTCTACGCTCTCAGCCGTCATCCAACCTTAACCCATGATGATGATGCCATCTCTCTCTCTCTCACTCACTCACTCTCTCTCTCTCTCTCTCTCACACTCACTCTCTCTCTCTCTCTTCCCCTCTCTCTCTCTCTTCCCCTCTCTCACCCTCTCGGAGATGCAGATGGGAAACTCGATGATGATATGCAAGAAGGAAGTGAGGAAGAAGCCAAAAAAAAAAAACGCACTTCGCAAGACTTGTTTACCAAGCAGAAACCTTTCCCGCTTGTAGAACAGAAAATTTTTCCATAATTTTAAGGTCTCGTGTCCATGGTCTGCGCGATTTTGCATTGGTGACTGGGTGGGGAGTGCTGGTATTATGGACTTTCAGGGGAAGGAGAGGAGAGAAGTACAAATGGTTTGGGTAACGGGACTAACGTAGCAATTTTGCACAGGAGCGAGTTTTTGATTTATTTGCTGCGGGACTGAGTATGTCACTTTTTTTTTGGGTGGAAAGGGGATGTTGTTGGTGAATGTCAGGAATCTGGAGAGAAATGATGTGAATGCTTTTGGTAGATGGGTCTACGGCAGCTGGGTCTACGGCAGATGGGAGTTATGTACATATGTTATAAGACTCCTTCGCTTCTTATATGGGAAGCGAATGATACAAAAGCCTCCTCATCTCACGCCGTAGACACGGTCTCCTCCACAGCACTCACTTCTTCCCCTGATACCCCGGTGGGTAAGGGGTCCTTGTCCTTCGCCTCCATCTCCTCCTTCTCGCCCTCCTCCCTAAGTCTCCTCCGCACTTCCATCAGCGCCTTGCCCAACAGGTTCTCGCCCCACGCTGACCGATTCTGATCTGCGTGCTCAGCCTTGAAACCGATCCCCCATACGCGATCGAACGGACTGGCCTCCACGAGCTCGCGGTCGCCCGTCTCCAAAAGTCGTCTGCGAAGCTCGGGCCTTTCCTTGCCGCTCGTGAATTTGAGCATGTTTCCTTGAACGACGATATCAAAGCGCTCTAGACAATATCAGAAAAAATCGTCTTTCAATTTGTGTAGGCACAAAGGCACATGCCCCTTTCCCAAACATCCTGATCCCACGGCTGAACTTTCTGCCCTAGACCCTTGTGTTTGCGCGGCCGTTTCTCTTTCATGATTTGTTCTAGAATGGCCTTGGAAATAGTATCATGTTAGGTCTATTCCAGGGCAGTTATGTATACTTGTCCCATATGTACCTTGTCGTCAAAAAGTCGCGCTTTGCCTGCCATCATCCACATCTCGGCAGAGACGTATGTGTCGCACTTGTGCACGAACATCGACATGTACCATTGTGAGAGATAGCCGCCATCGGGCTCAGTCTCGCGCCAGAAGTACAGTGGTGTGGAGGAGTCTGAGGACATGGATGCTTCTTTTCTGACTGTTTGACGGCGCGCCTCGGAGAATAATGGTACAGTGTTCTGTGTGTAAAGTATTTTATAGTGTTGAAGTCGGGCGAAAACGTTGGTACGTGTCCGAGAAAAAGGGTTTGCCCTTTCCAAAATAATTCGAGAAATGATTTTATAGGAAGGATGCCCCAAATTAAACAATGAATGACCAATGCGAGTAGATATATATGCCCCGGCAGCCGCAGTCAAGAAGTGTGCCTTGGACTCAGAACAGTAAGACTTAGCGGGCGAGTGTCGGCTACCCTAAGCTGAGGCGCAGTCTGAGTCATATACTTGAGAGGGGCACATTCCCCCAACCAATAAGCCAGACTTTCAGTTCGACTGATGCTTCTCTAGATCTTGAGTCACTCATCGCGAGAATTGCGATGTCTTGAGTAGGCATCTCGGTAATTCGGTGTTGGGCGTGGGTGTGAGTGTGGGTGTTGGTAACTATGGTAGGCCGGACACTTGTTCGGGCCTTGACTTATTCCAAGAGAGTGTGGATGGGTAGAGAGTGTTAGCATTCTGAAGCGCGAAAGCTACATCATCATTGCTCGTGTGTTGCATCGTTTTGTCCCAATGCACTAGGGTCCGTCCTCGAGGACTTGAGCGTACCGGCATAGTACCTGCATAACAGGTTCTTTTTCAACTCAAACTCGACAGATCGATTTTGTTTTTCCATCATCAGTGTCTCTAGGCTTGCATCGTGACGTTTCGCTTCCTTTGTTTCAGCCGCGTGCTGGACCCTGTCCCAGAGAGCATATATATCCTCAATGGAATGTATGCTATGATCATAGGGAGCATACAGTGAGTGTATCGCTCTATGAGTGTCTTTTGCGAATATCATCGCACATCACTCTCGAACGTCTGCGATCGAGTCTTCACCAGTCTCGTACGCGCTGACAGCCGCACATCTATACAGCCGTACCTCGAGTCGCTATCATGTCGATATCGGTATCCAGCCTAGCTGCTCAATCGGCCACTGCACCCAAGCGCGATGCTCTTTATCAAGATTGCGATATATGACCTCGATGAGATGCATGCTCCAGCCCTTCATAAGCCACATCCACTCCAATAGCTTGAGTACTGGACAATAAAAGGCAAAAACGGCCAGCGCCTCCGGGGTCTTATCACCAAGGAGTTCCAGAAATGCTTCCGAGAGCTCGAAGATCCACATGAAGACATCGCTAGTTTCGCTACTCTCGGAATCGGAACCCAGCGTCACAGCGTACGTCTTTTTTAGCTCATCAATGGCCTCCGCTAGAATTTGCTTGGTACGATCGCTCACCATGGAATCGCTAATGAAACTTTCGAGTTCTAGGAGGGGTTGCTGGCTTTTCAACGGATCGGCTGTATCGCGGCGTAGTTTGCGCCTGTGTCCGATGCTGAACATGGGCGATAATAGACCCGACATGAGCACCTCCTCGTTCTGGTTAATGATGAAGCGAGTCCCGCGGAACAGAACAAGCCATTCCGAGATGCCGTTCTCGCTAATGAGAAGAAAGTCATCTGCGTTGCGGGGACGAGCACATGCAATTAGAGAAGTCAAGGCGCTGAAAGCGTACAGCTCGTTGCTATTCCCGGCTGTGACGTTACTGAGGTCCGACAGAAGCGGCATGACTTCCCGGAGAGCGAGATCGTGCTGTCGAGATGCTTCTTCAATGTAGTAGCTGGCCTGCTCGGTGCGGCAATGGGCAATGTGATAGGCAGAAAGAGCGAGAATTCCACGGAGGCAGTACACGGCGCCGAATGCAACCTGAGGAACCTGTTTTCGCCAGATGTTCTGGAGGACTGGGTTACGAGAGAGCGTGTATGCCGTAGCTGTAGAATAGTTGTGCAAAAGTTCCATCTCGAGAAGATTGAGATCTGGCGGTGCTGCAGTTGGCCCATGGTGATGCTCTCGATGAATTTGACCTGGCGTCCTGTCGGGAAGTGCACCCTGTGGTGAGGCATTCGTGTTGCTTCCAGACGGCGTGGTGACTTGTGGTGACGATGCTGAAGCTACTTTGTACATACAATCAATGCCATGCTTTGTACAGTTGTTACATATTGGTTTCGATTCGTCACACTACCCGAGGCTGGTTAGCAGCTGGAATGTTCGGAAGGCATGTGCTCCGGATCCCGAACGGCTGAATGGGCATTGGGGATACAATCATCAGAGGCCAGAGAACTCTCTTCTTGTCTAAGAGAGCAGAGGTATATGTATATAAATGCCTTGCGCATTCGGTCGCGATATAGATTTGAGCAAGGAGAGTTGAAGAGCTGGCGCGCTGACTCAGGAGACAGGGTATAGGGTGTAGGGTGTAGGTATCTGCACGCACCTTTACTTTGCGCGTCTTACACTGAAGACAGCCTGTCTTGCTCTTCCGATGGCTACGACGAGCCTTTTTCATCGCGTCGCGCAGCTGGTGTTCCATCGTCCTAGCAGTCTGCCGCAGTAAATCGCATACACTGCTGATGTGGGGTTGTTGGGAGAGAGAGTGAAAACAAGCAAGCAGCAAGACAAGGCCAGTCTCTAGGACCTGGGTGAGGACGGCAAAGAAAGTTTAAACGCGGCTAGGCAGGTCACGTGTCAGGTCTGGGAACGACTGTCTCATTGATCCAAAGCCGGGGTTCCTTCGGCGGGTTCCGTACAGCTGGAGGCTCCGACAGCTTGGAGATTGCCCAGGAGCTTGCTTGGATGGTGGAGGCTTGGAAGCTTAATTATGATCCGGTACAAGATACACGTTCTGGCAGAGGCGGTATGGGATGGACAATGATGGGTGTTATTACAGAGACAGCCTGCGCAGATGATGGGGACATCTGAATCCATGATCATAACTTAGGTACCTGCACAGTCACCCATCCATGTCCCTTATTGCCGTATTATGTACTGCTTACTGTATCCACAGAGTACTATATGCACAGCTAAGCTCCACCCGTTCTCGACGCCATCACGCTTCTGGTGTGCATGCCAAGACACCGGACGCGTCTCAACCTCGGGACATCGGAACACGGGCCTCAGGTTTCTCACGCACCACCGGCACCAGTCAACAAGCTTGGAAGTCCCGGACTTGTGTATTTATTAGCTGCACTTCAATCTCACCCACTTACGTTCACTGCAAAGTGTCCTGTCGTCACAACTGCGCAATGCTGTCATGTGGCGTTGGATGCACTCGTCGTGCAGCGCACTGCAGCCGCCATGCCCTTGCTCTTGGATACTTGGATCTTCTTGATCAACACGATACGATGACATGCAGCTCATTTATATCACGTGATGTTTTCCAATCGCGACCGGAGTCAACACCCTGTCAGTCGTCGTGTCTGGTATGATGGTACGACTCGTGTGAGCCTGAAGCATGCATCGCCATCACAGCATGTAGCAATATCGTCTCCTCACAGGCCTTGCCTCCTCCATCGCCTCGTCTTCGATCGCTGCCCTTCCTTTCAGCGCCGGTCTCTCTGTCCCACTACGCTGCCTGCTCTCGTTCTCCAACTGTTCCGGCTCCCAGTTTTGGCTCTGCAGCAGTCGGTGAAGGACAAGCACACAGCCAACAGTGAAGATTTCCAATGCAATGGTACGGTGTGTCATTCGGCATGGAACACAACAATCATACCGACGACACCCAGTATCAGTCGGCACGCGATAATTTCGCCATAATTGTGAACCTGGGTCGTCAAAGCAGACACTAGTCTCCATGCTACGACACAAGATCCCACGTGTATGGACGGCCGACCAGCGTAATTGACGAGTGCGTTGGACGGTACCTGCATCGTAACGTACCCCACGAAAAGGATAGACAGGCGCACTCGTGGCCCTTGGGGTTTAGATCATCCTGCAAGCCTTGCAGTCTGGCAGCAGCATCACCACCCATAAAGAGAAAAGTAAATCGCCAAGCAACATACTGGTCAATATAGGTCATCAGATACACCAGGATCACCCACGGCATGATTCTGAAGTCGATCATTCTTTTCGAACTTCTCAGTGACTAGCTCATCCTCTGACAATTCTATCTGGTGCGGCGACTCATTGTAACCAATATGAGATTTGGGATCCGGCAATGCTCTCAGCGCGCAATATCGAAGATAAAATGCCATAACACTAGCCATGATTCCCAGCGCTCAGCACACGTAGAATGAAGAGTCGCGAGATCAGTTGGAGGTCAGATCTTTTGATTACAGGATACGGTCACTAGCCTTACGTTGTGTACCGAACAACCCTTGCTCATCGATCTGTCTTTGAACATGCCAATGATTGCTGTGTCTCATTGACGGTAACCCACCTAAGGACAGCGTACACAACTTTCTTTGAGATGTGAATGGAAAGAATGCTAACCCTGCAGAATTCGGGGATGGATGCGAACGAGTTGCACCTCCCGTTCAGACACCCGCTAGGATGCCGTTGTTGCAGTTAGTAGGTGGAGTGTTACAGGGGCGTACATACCCTTTCAGAACCCGTGGTCTTCATTCCCTATTATGTATAGGTAACTTGTGGACGTTTTAGTGCTCTACAACGCTACAATAATTATGCACCTAGTGCATGTCGAGGCAGTCTCGCGAACTAGCACATCGATGTAGGCATAGTAAGGCAAACAGTCACTTGAGTGTCGTTGGCCTAGCTGCATATGGCGCATTATATGATAAGGTTTTCAGTTTTAAACACTCGAACTGCCACATAAATCACTTCGTAGAGCTCTTAATGGAATGTAAAGCGTAATGTGTAGGTTTTGGTGCATGGCACCTGTAGCTGAATAATTTGTACAAACATCTGAAAAGATTCACATGCTATCTTCGATATATCTCCACAAAAGAACCAATACAGATGCCGGACAAGGCACGATACGCAGAAAAGACAGCGATATATCCTAATAGGGAAGATATCAGCATGAACCGAAGTGCAGTAGTGGCAGAAAAAGCTTGTGAAGCCATCCGCCAACGCCGTGCAAACCAGAAGGTATAAGAAATCACACGGAGGGTGAACAAATCTATCTGAAGCGGCGCGTGTGCAGCAGACTTTTGGAAACTAATCAAGGTTTGTGTGAACAAGCCCAGGTATGAAATAAAGAATAAAGGAATTGCCCGAACAAAGTAGACTTTGTGCGTTCAAGGTTGCGGCTTGAACACACGTAACGTAACGGCCGTCATTTGGGTTGCCCCGTATTTTTCTCTACAGCAGGGCTAAATGCTGGATACGCATAAACGTCATAACGTCGTCGCGGTGATTCCACAATCCGGTCTTCGAGATATGGTCTATCGCATCTGTGCGAACGCGCCCATTCGTGAACCGCGTAGCGGTGCACGCTTGGAAATGGCAGCACCTGGGCGATCAAGAAGAGGACTACTATCCAGTGTTGGTCGCGCCCGTGGATTCATAGAGCTTCTTCTTCTGCGAGCCGGTGTAATCGGAGTTTCCGCCGATTTGCCAGACCTGATCGGCTTAGCAGTCGAGGCTCGAAGGTCAGGGTCAGCGGGAAGCTGAGCAAGGTCGCGGGATCTGTGCTGGTTGTTGCGAAATGCGCCAATGGATCCGCCGAGATTACCAAGGTGATCCCAAATCTTTTCCTCTTGCCCTTTTTCAGCGACAGGTGTGTCCAAGGACGACTCATTGCGGCCCAGAGGTGCTGGAGTAGAGCTGAAGTGGGGAATGTCAGATTCGTCATCTGAGTCCCCTCCAAGATTGAAGAACTTATTCATGGTCCCCTCATCGTCGTCCTCATGGTTCAATCCAGCTTGTATGAGCATGTCTGTCTGCTCGTCGGAGAACTCGCCATTGGGTCCAGGCATGAAAGCACCAAGCGGACCAAAAGCACCGTTGTTGAGGTTGGGGACGTCCTGTAGCGGATTCGGGATAAATATATCAGCGCCTATTTGAGACTCGCTGAAGTCACTCTCGTCTAATGGTGGTGGCAGCATGGAGGTTCGAGGACTGCTGTTTACCATGCTGCTTGAGCTACTTCCCGCCAGCATAAGAAAGCTAGCTTTGTTTGGCAATTGCGGTGCCTCGAACGCGAGACGTTGTCCCGTGGCATCGGCGTATGCGGCTACTTTACAAGGATCCACTTCAAACTTTCCAACTCTGGGACCTTTCCTTGCAGAATGAGAAGGCGTGCGACGGAATGGAGATGGACTCGCCACCTGGCTACCGGCAGCCGAAGTTGGTCGCGAGAGTATTGGATTTTGAGATAGAGTCATGCTTGGAGGTGGCATGATCGGTTCTTCCTCATCGGTTGTATCTCCATCAGCTATGGTTTTCTATATTAGCAGTGTGAAAAATGGGTGTTGAGGTTGGTCCATACTTTCGTATCCACTGGACCCAGCTTCAGAATCTTCCTCATCTGCTGGACTATACTGAAGATGGCTCAAAGATCGGTCATCTTCGTTAAAGTCCCAATAAGAATTGTCACTATCACTAGCTGGATCATCCAGATACTTTTCTGGAATAGCTGATTGATCGACAAAAAGATCGGGGAAGACGCTATCGAAATCGTCTGTAGCAGATGAGGACGAGGAGGAATCATCGAAGTCTTCTACTTTTACCTCATCCAGGAATCGAACACGTTTGGCGGAGCTGTCAGAATACTTCCTGCGATCTGCAGCAGCAGAAATGGCAGCGTCAGCGAAGGACATATTTCCTCGCTCGATGAATTCCTGCATCAAGCTCTGGTTGAAAGCAGTATTGAAGACGTCGTCGTTGGCACTGTCAATACTAGAACGATGAAACAGATTTGTGTCCATCATTGCTTCTTCTTCGGCCAGCTCGATTTCTTTGTCGTTTTCGTCACTATCGCTGATGTCGTCGACACCATTGTAGTCGTCATCAGAAAGATTCGCCGCATCGTCGGAATCATCCATTATGGTGTCTGTCTCTTGATATGCGAGGAGGCCTTCGTGAGTGTGATTCAGTTTTTTCATGATCTTTCTCCTTGGGTATTCAGATGGCTCACTACCATCCTCTAATACAGAGCTGATGCTAACGTTGCTTTCCCTACGCTTTCTTTTTAAGGGACTCGACAATTCTGAATCAACCGATGACCCTGCCAGAGTTGTAGCACGGATACCCGGGCCTTTCCCTAGGCCCTTCCCTTTACCCCTACCAAATCCCTTGGACATACGCGATAAAGCATTAATTCTTAATTCTTCGTCTTCTAGCCCATTATGATCATCATCATTATCGTCGTCATCGGTGTCATCGGTGTCATCTTTAATGGTCGAACTATTGTCGTCATCGGTAGCTTCGTCGTTTTCAGCTGTGTCGTCACTCTCGGTGCTGCTGCTGCCGCTGCTGAGTAGCGCAGCAGGTAATGAGGCGCTCACGGAACGTGACTCTGCTACTCGTTGCGAGCTTCTTTGCGGGATGAGACCCTTTCTTTGCCTTCTTTTATGGCCGTTTTCGGCGCGGGCGAGCCGGTCGGGATGGACTGATACCATTGTGTATTACTCTCTTTGTAATCACCAATTCGGAGTATTTCAATGACAAGCCCTTCGGGCTATTTATTCGCTGCAGCAAAGCTAAAGCGACCCAGGATGGTATGATGTGAGTCGTATTGAGTGTTCTAGTGTGAAGGAGGGCGTGTTGGGGCGAGGGAAAGGGGAGAATTACACAACGATGGCGTTGGGAACGAGATGAGAGCGAAGCTGAGCGTCGGTGGACGGTCGGAGGTGTACTGGGTCGTATTCTCTAAGACTCGAGCAGCGATTAGGATACTTCGAGTCAATTTCTCCGTCAAATGTTCAGGGCAAAAGTGAACGGTGAACAGTCTGCACTCGATAATGGAGAGTGCTATTCTTCGTGCATGCAGATTCGACAATAAAGTCGGAACACTTTCGATTGAGATTGAACTGCTAGGCGTCGGCCTTTGGGCAATCTTGCGAAAGTTCGTCGAGATTTCAGTCAGCTGGCGAGGCACCGGAGGGACACTTTCGGATGCCCCTCCAGTGTTGATTTAGTGCCCAGCGATAGTCTGCATTGTTCACGACGAAGAAGAGTATGATATCTTTACTTTTTATAGTGAATTGTTCGAAAAATGACGGTGACTTCGTTGTCTGGAGGGTGTATGCAAAGAGGAGAAAGAGACGTAGTGGGCTGGTGAGTGACTACTTTTTCAAAATCTAGTGCACGGACTCACGGGAGAGCGCGGCGCTGCTGATTAGATCGGTTCAGGCTAGAGCATCTCGAAATAACATGGCGGTGAACAGAATAACTATTTGCGCCCCGCTTCACTCGCATGCCCCATTTCCATTTACACCCAGACACAAAACACACGCATTCCACGGCGGCAAGAGGGTCGTCTAAAGCGCGCTGTAGCTATGATGCTGTTCCAAGCATTTTGTCCAGCTGTCCGAGGTAGCCTTGGTCACAGAACAGCCCACAGTCGCTCAGATATCAGGCCGGGTTTGTCGGAATGTTCTCTATCAAAATGGTGGGACGTTAGCAGGGCCTAAGAAGAGACCACACTGCTTATTACATAAGAACGGTGTCCCTAGACGGCTATGCAGCTAGGTGGATGCGCAATGACTTTTTCACGCGCCGACGAGTCTATACAGTGACTCCACCTAGGCAGAAGTCGGTTGCTAGATATGAGTGCCACTATAGATCTAATTGGCTACTCTATCCTGACACACGGCCTTGCCAGTAACTGTAGCAGCATCCTTGTTATTTTTAGGGGGCCCAGGCTCCGTGAGAGTACTTTGAAAATGCCATTTGTGCCAGAAGCCCTCTGTACAGCTACCTAGGCTACTACAATGAAGCACTTTACTCTTGGGATGCTGCACTGCTTGTTTGCAGTTCCTGTCGTAAATCCTCAATGTGAAATGTGAGGGCGCACTTACCGCCATTTGTAGAAAGTAGAATCATATTGCGAACATACCACAACGTCGATCTATCCTCGTTTGCTTGCAGACTGCCCCACCACAGCACTGAGCAGTAATGTGCGTAAGTAACCGACCGAGCAGCTCAAACTCGCCCTACTCTACTTGCATCTCTAGGCATTCAAGCAGTGCTGCTGGTAATCGGCGGTGTGACGAGCGTTTATATTGACCATCTTATCGCTATCATAGGATATGGTCAGTCCCGGGTATGGGTGAGCTGGCGCAAAGGATCACGCCGCAGTGAATCAAGCACTTGCTACCAAAAGCACAGTGCAGCTGCAGGGATCGATATATGTAACTAATTTGCGTACACGTTGCGACCTTTGTTGACCGTCGATATGCCCACATGCACACCATCCCACGCAGACTCAATTCGGATGCCACTTGAGCCCAATTGCATCTCTCGGGTCATATGCTCGGGATCAAGCCCAAGTTTATAAAGGGCTTCTCGACACCAATCGAGGATGTTTTGCTTGTCTTCTGGTGGTACGACAAAAGTCGATTGCGTATCTATTGCGTGGTCATGTACCGCGCGCCAGAGAATTCGAATCGTTTGAACATTCGGTCTCCATCTGTCGCGTATTCTTTGGATAGGCAACTGATGTTCCTCCAAGTATACCGGTGTTCGTGGAGGTATGATCAGTTTTGGTGCATTGGATTCAAGGGGTCGATCAGGTAGCGGCTGAGTGGATTTGTCCAACCATGACTCTTTAATTCCGAGGCACCATCGGTTGATGAGCTCTTGTCCTTCGATAACGCCATACGACTGGATAACACCATCAAGGATCGAATTGAAGCATTTAATGTCAGTCTCCAGAAATCGATGTGGCGTGGGCCTCCAAAGAGCATTCGCGAGAGAATTCCACTGTGGATCAACAGTCGCTAAGATCGCCAACAGAACGTTTCCACTATGCCTTGAAGCATTGTCTAAAGTACCATAGGAATCTAGACAGTACTTCAGCAGTATGTCCTTCAGTTCGCGTAATGAGGTCATCTCTTGATTGGACGTTCCATGAAGGATCAGCTCCTTCACCATTGAAGCCATGAAATCAGGATTGCCGACTGAGTGTGAAGCCCCTAGTACCTGCAGGATGTTTCTGACCGATGCCCATCGACGTTGCGATACCTGACCTATGAGCAATGCAGAAAGTACAGGCTTTGACAGTGGCCTTTTCTTTTCACCCCAGACGACTGATTGGACTTGGAGTAATTCTTGTAAAAGCGTCCGGTCTTGAGCGGCAGCACCAAATCGCACGATGGCGGCTGCCAATTCCTTACTAACGTACGCACGCCTTCCAATGACTGGGCCATCAACGTCCATCGAAGTTAAGAGCCATCTGCCGAAGTCTAGATACCCTGCCTGTGTAGCAATATCAAGTAATGGTCTGAGCACATAGTACGGAATGTATTCGAAGCGTGTAGCGAGCGGATCAGCTACAGCACTCGCAAACTTATTTCCGATGTGATAGTCATTCGACGTGTCATATGTCTTCAGAGAACGAAAGAATGCTTCCACAGTGCGTTTCTTGTTCACATCCATATACCGTACGAGTTCTATGAACGCTTTGCTAGCCCAAGCCGCATTGGTGGCCGCAGCGAAACTTCGTATGGCGCTATGATAAATTCCTAGCGTAATGCCTGATGGTTCTGAGATATAATGTGAAGAGTCGTCTATTTTGGCTTGAGGGATAGATGAGTCGAGGCAGTCATCGATCGTTTGTGTTTGGCTCAATGTCGCTATATCCAGGGCCAGACGGGGGTTTTTCTTTATCAAATCTCTCTCAGTTTCTAGTATGCGCGCGATAATTGTGTCCCAAGTTATATCATCCATTCCCTGACTATCTTCGTCCAGTGCTCGCTTCAATGCACGTATGTGTCTGGTCACCGAACCAACTGTACGCTTCCCAGCGACAGTATCACATTCAATAGTATCGAGAAGTCCATGAATGAGATTGGCAACAACCTCGCTGCTTATTGTTCTGCCCGCAGAAAAATTATTCTTGATGTTGTCGTGGGACGAACCATTGACCAACTGCCGCGACGACGGTTGCTGCGCGGATTCTAGGATGGTGTGCCAGCGAGCGAGTGTCCATCTCTTTGGCGCATTCGTTGATGTAGCTTCGATAACGATTTCCGTAGCTTCATGTATCCAACCACCATAAACGCAAGACCAAAGCACCAGCTCTAACCAGACTCCCGCAGACAAACCCTCGACCTTTGCCTTGTACCTCGTTCCTGGTATTGGGACACCGAGGATATATTTTGGTGGTCCAACACTCATTGCGCCATTGTCCAAAGCAAGATATTCCCACTTGGCATTGGAGAGCGATATCAGTATTGTCGACGAGAAGAGATGGAGTAGTGGTGATTGTGTAAGTCCGCTCTGGAATTCGTTCTCATGGGATTTGTGCACTTGTTCTGGAATATAATCCATGTGATAAAGATCTGCCAGAAGTTGCCGTACAGTGACCATCATCTTCGGATCAGATCCATCTTCTGCAGTCCTTAGTATCCATTTACCAAGGCTCTTCCACAGTAGCCCCATGAAGCGATGGCGAATGTGGCAATCGTCAACCCCCTGGGTCAAAGAATCGGTGAAATCATCCAGGCTTTGAATTTCTTGACCCGGCCGACGGATCTTTGCGTTCAATCCACCTGTTTTGGTTCCGAGGAAAAGGCCCGTCGCCTTATCTAATGAATACAAAGGCCATGCAATGTTCCCCAAAGGGTCATGCTGAGGAACCGTGTGTCCATCGGCGGGTAATTGTCTGAGCAAGCTCTTTACTATACGCGATACCGACGTCCAACGGTGTTGTTCCACGCCAAGATATGATAGGATATTAATGTGATGTTCTTCTTCCGCCTCAATCAAGAATCTTGCCAAGTCGAGCATATGTACCTGTGAAGCTTCATCTGATGGGTCGATCGAAGAGGGTACATGTAGTAGAGAAGGGACGAAGAGCTCCAATTGGGAGACCCAAGCAGCCACATCGCCAATGGACTCATGGGGGGGTTTTGATATTTTTGACCTGGAGGTATTCGTCGCATCGCCGTGTGAACGTTGTTGCGCCACGCGCATAGTAGATGGGGAAGTCCATGTTTGACTCTTGGGGGTCGATGCAAATCGCCGCAAGTGTTGCCATGAAGTTGGCGCGAGAAAGTCGAGAACTACGGTTCTATTACCAGGCGAGATCTTGAGTGCCCGCGTTAGAACAGAAGCAAAGCACGTATGCATGGGTGTATAGCATGAGGAAGCGTGAAACAAGATGTCTCTACAAGGGAAAATGTTTGCGGCGGCTCGGAAGTCGGCCAGATCTTGATCCATCCCGGATCCATCATACGGATGACGTGCTGCATTCTTCAAGCCGCAGCTGCCTCCAGAACGCGCTCTTACGCGTCCGGATACCGCAGCTCCATCGTGATCCAGCGACGCAATCTTTCGCAACGTTGTTGACACAGCTGCTTCTACTCGAAAGAACTATCCTCACGACAAACCCTTTTCCCTCTGCTACTGCAATCGTTTCAGTTACTCCAGGACTCTGATCAATCTACAACTTACGAGGTCAGCATTTGGTCATCCTGCTGAGTTCTCTCTTTTTGAGCTCTTCTTTTGTGTTTCCATTCACTCAAGTTGCCACGACTTCCATAAGCTAAATTCATGTACAGCTACGGCTCGTAGAATTGCCACCATGCCGACGTATCGCATCGGTGAGTTCACTAGCCTTTCTTTTATGTGGACATCAATCGCTTAGGGCATGGTCGAGAGATGTTGAAGAAATCGCTGCACGACCAATGTTGCATATATCTGTATGACGGTGACAAGACTAATGCCTTACGATAGAAATTTCCCCAAACAATCGCGCTGCTTGTAAAGGCAGCCCAGACTGTAAAGAAAATAAAACCAAGTTATTGAAGGGCGAGATTCGCTTCGGAACATGGGTTGAGATCAATGAGCATGGCAGCTGGGCATGGCGCCATTGGGGTTGTGTCACGCCGCAAGTCCTGGTAGGACTTAAAGAAACCTGCGAGGGCGACATGAACCTTGTAGATGGCCATGAGGAACTAGACAGTGAAATGCAACAAAAAGTCGAGCGCGCTATAAAGCAAGGCCACGTTGATGATGAGGACTGGAAGGGCGTATGTTCTCACTCCCTCTAGTAACAAGCGAAATACTGACTGTAGTCCAGGATCCCGAGTTCAATCGTCAGGGCATGAAGGGTTACGCATCCCGTAAAAAGAAGGCTTCCAAGAACACCGAGGATGACGACAAGTCTGGAGAACCTGAGAAGCCTGCCACGAGAACGACATCCAAGAAGCGCCGCAAGGCTGATGAAGAGGAACCCGAAGAGGAGAAAGCATCGACTGCAAAGAAGTCTCGTACGAAGACGACCGTCAAAGCGGAGGGTGGAGGTGAGGATGCAAAGAGGTCACGCTCCTATAAAGCTGGCAAAGCAAAGGAAGAAGAAGACGCTAGAGAGGTTTCTGCGGACGGTTTTAAGAAAACACTGAAGTCAAAGATTGCCAATGGGACCGGCTCACTTTCTTCGCCTCCCAAGAAGTCCATGGGTGTCAAGAAGACTATCAAAAAAGCACCCAAGACAGAGGCTGGTGAAGACGTGGAATCAATCTCGCCCTCTGCGAAGAAGTCCAAGGTTGTCAAGAAGACTTCCAAGAGGGTCCTGAGAGATGGGCCTGATTCTGAAGCTGAAGTGGACCCACCACAAAAGAAGTATTAATCACTCTGTTTCGTCACCTCTTTTTCTAACATCACGTATAGGAGAAGAGCAAAGAGAGGCTGAACACGACTTGAGTCATGCAGGAAGCATCGGCGGATTAGAATTATTCAACACGCTGCCCCATGTGTTTGTCAATTTGTAAGTTTACAGTGACAACTTACACGAGATTACACGAGAGGCGTGAAAGAACCATGGTTTATGCGGGAATTTACGTCTACCCTATAGAAAAGGACAGGCGCCTACGGATCGAAGAAAACTGCTCCTATGATCTATCTCCACGAAGGGAACGAATAAAGTATATGATTTGTCAACCGGTGTTAGCAGGATACCCAACTGTAGTATTAGGATTGGACATGGTTTGACATTGCGTTAGCACCGCGCCTACACGTAGACGATATACCCGAATCGTAAAAGGCCCTGTCTAAGCCCGATCTCAGATCTTCATTCATCCCCGCTCTGCTTGGCCCACCTTCATCTGGCCCAGTGTCCGTCTCGGAGTGGATCAATTGCGCCTATGAAAGACGTCACCATTCAGATAGCGCGCTCTCACGTGAGACCGCGCCATCATTTCATCATGAAATGTGTACGGAAACTCAGCATTGTCACAGTTTTGAAAACGCCAACGCAAGGTATTGACCATGATCCTCGTCATCATCGAGTTTTCACGTCGTCATAACCACGATCGGAGTCAAGGTGCCAACGCATGGTGACATTGTAAGATCTGTGCTAAAAACTATCGACCTGTCAATTGTACAACAAGTACATATATAGAAAGAAAGCCTGACATGAAATAAAATTTCCAACAAATCATTTCGTGTATTTTCCCCATCTTCGCCAACATTCAAAGATCCAAACATGTCATCCAACTCCGAGATTCCCACAGGCAATTTCCAAGACAACGACTACAAATCGCGTCCCGGCCAGAGCGAGATTCCTGTCACCAGTGATGATGCTCCCATCGAAGACCCTATCGATGCGGCAACTGCTGATTCTGATGAACAGCTGGGTAAATAGTCTCTAAAGGCATACGGTCTCGTATCTAACATTTCAAAGAACGCGATGACCGCGATGCTATAAATAAGGAGAACATTATTGGTGACCGTACGCGGGGCGCCACCAAGAAGTCGGGTACTTATACCGAGCCTGGTGATGAAGAGGTATTCACACGTCTGCCCGCGATTGATCTTTGTTCTGACTTATCACGCAGGGACTTCCAGGACCGGAAGATGGTACTTCTAGTGGTAGTCAATGATTTTTAGTCCGTCGATTTATATGTGCTTGTTGTGGTATAAACCGCATATTATCGTTGGAGTCATTACGTTGAAATTTTTTAATCAATATCGATTAAGAATAAGCGCTTCACCTTTCGAATAATCGAGTTTGCTAGTACATATTGCATGACTGATTGATCGATCTGCCAGTTCTGTCAAGATATGAATCAACAAAACCTGCTACATCCCATCAGTACACTGCACGCAAGTAAGATGGTGTACTTTCTGAAGAAACATCTGTTCCCTCGTTAGTTGGTATATGCAAAACAGCAATGCGAACAGTTTGTGGTCTATAGCTCCTTATCAGAATTAGATGGTACATATATTACAGGAGGGTTTGACAGCATAAGGAAATTCTAATATCAAGCTTGTAGGTCCAGCTGAACTACGAAGTATGTCTGCACGGCGAGCAGGCCTGTGACCGTTAACCGCCCTACTATCGTCTAGACTCCCGGGTATGTGGCCATAGAACGTGAATGGCGTTACTAAGTAGGCGTGGTTACAGTTAGTACCGCCAAATTCTACCTAGTAAAGACCCTGGACTACCGGTGAATATATTCTTAGTACTACTAGGGCCTTAGAAGGGTTCCTAGCAGGTAATACCGCCCGTATAGCTATCCTATAATGGAAGATTCTTACGTGATGTCGGAGTCTAGACGACAAGGGTGCGAAGTACATCGCATCGTAAGTAGATCCACGCCATCCAATCATGTTCAAACCATACGTGACGTTAGAAGGAATAAGGAGGGAGGGGGTGGCCTAGAGGTCTGTGAAATAGGTGTAAATATATCTGGCGCACGTAAAGGCGTCTAAGTCTCTAAAAACGGGACTAATTACTCGACCGCGCAGTTACTCAGACTCGAGTGGGATGCAGACTATGCTTTTACATCATCATATTTTTTATCTCCTGGGTCGTACCTCCATGTGGACCAGAAACTCACCATACTGCAGGTAATTGCCAATCAAGTGCCTTCCTGTCAGGGAGATATCACCATATGAATTATACCATGCGCATTGAATCAGTCTGCGATGGCGAGGCTCGATCCAATCAGCTCGTAGCCACACACAACTGGCATTTGCAGACGATGCTTCTCATGCAGGACTAAAGCCTAGGGCTAAGCTAGAGATTGTAAATCTGTGTGCCAGTCTATCCTCTCGGTACATCGTGCTCTGGAAGCTTTGTTCTCTACACGAGTTCGATGATGTACTTTCTCGGCTAAGACTTATTTCTCTTTTCATACTTGATCAGGTACAATGATAATGACACGTAATTTGCGTGGAATCAACAGCGATTGAACACGAAAAGGGTCAATCGCCGACATGTGACTTAAATGCCAACTTAGTGAAGCAAATTGAAGACCTCCCGGTTGATCGGATCTATACAATTCCCAAACATCCTGATATATTGGACTTATTCGGTCTTTACGGAGCTGGGAAGTCGACTGGTACAGCATTCATCAGTGGTAATTAAAGCCAGCAAGCGCAACGTCCGATATCAATTCGCTGGACTTACTTTGCTTTTCCAAGCTGTCTTGAACAATCCCGGCTTGGTGTCTGTCCACAATGTAATAAATGCTGCTGACGACCTCACTGCGAGGCAAACTCTGTTCTTTGTTGCCCGTATCGGGGGTGTCTCCGACCTGGTTGACGCTGTACCTGCTGGTAATTACAAAGGCTTGCGGTAGTGTAGATTGGTCCAAGTAGCTTAGCAACAAGCCTATAGGACTCACAAAGTGCAGGCTTCCCTTACCACTGTCGTATCGGCAACATGGATATACCTTTGTTTGAAGAGCTATTATCAGTAGTCGATGTGAGACCAACATATGTGATGTGAAAGCGGTCGGGAGAATTTGGTGATATTCAAGAAATCACATTGACAACACGTAGCACATAGGAAGCCGCCGCACTGACTAATAAAGTCGGTATCGTGGAGTCGCGTATGCCTACTATAAGCGGTGAAACCAAGCTTGAGGTTCAAGCAGGTAGCGAGTATTCTGTTCATACTTTCATCCTCGATCCGCTTGAGTCGAAATCATGACGCGTCGGAGAGCCTGGATAATCAGTTCAACAAAGATGTACCTAGCATCAAGAAGTCCAGGTGCGTAATGATGTATGGGTGGTTGGACTCTGGGAGTGTTAGCGAGGTCTCTGATGTCATCTTGAAAAGAAGGGTGAGCGAGCTCTTGTCTTATATCATGTCAGAGGGTAGGTTCAAATCAAACATCTGACAGTCTGTCTTTCTCATTGCTCGGTGGGAAATTCATAGCAATATAGTCGACCAAGCTTCCTGCCCAGGAAGCAAGGCTTTGATGTTTACCTGGTCAGCTACTATTTCGGTTCCTCGTATTTTCGTCAGCGTATCTCCACTAATTAATTCGAATTCGTGACCTGATATGTATAGAATGATATTTAGATGGAATGCGCAGCCCTGTTCAACAAAGTGCGGGCTTAGCGTGTCTCGTATATTCGAATTCGCGTTCGTGTTCGTGCTCGTGAGTGGCTACCGAAACTTCGTACAAGCTACACCACGGCTAGGCTAGTTACGGATGAGATGAAGAGTCTCCGATTGGTCGGAGTTGGTGGCAGCATAGCCTCAGGTTGGTAAATCGTAGCCTGAGGCCGACAGAGTACTAGATCTAAGAACCTCCTTCTTACCTCTTTGAGCTTAGGAATGCATGTCCACATGGTACCATGTTTAGTGGATTGTGTATTGTGCAGTCTAAAAGCACAAACGTGGTCAAAGTACGGGAGGGCTAATTTCCCGAGCCTCGCCTCCGTAAATAGTAGATATAACCACCCTCGTATTGATACGGATTCGCACGGATACAATGGCCTTTACGAGTTTATACATATAATAGCTTCCGCCACACGACTTTCAAGCCATACGAGCAATACAAATACACGGCACAATATCTATGGCGTCATAAACTGTACTCATATATTTCTTCAGCAAAACAATCGAAAATTCCTCAAAGCTCTGTGAGAGCAGCATGGCCGCCAGTATACCCGAGAAATCGTCAGTCAACGAGGAGACTCAAATGCAAGATGTCGAAAAGCAGTCAGACATCTCCACCGAACCTACGACAGCCTTAGATCCCAATCTAATTGGATGGGATGAGCCAGAAGATAAGGACCCAGCGAATCCGCAGAACTGGTCATCGGGAAAGAAATGGCTGAATGTTGGAATCCTCTCATTCATCACTTTCTTGACGTAAGCACTTTCTGAGATTGGCGGGTACTATATATCTGTATATATCTATATAGCTAATTACGTGTAGACCTCTCGCCTCGTCGATGTTCGCTCCTGGTGTGCCTATAGTCCTCGAAGAATTCGGGAGCACGTCTTCGACTGACGCAACTTTTGTCGTTTCGATCTTCGTGCTAGGATTTGGGATCGGCCCTCTGATCTTCGGCCCACTTAGTGAGATATATGGTCGACTGCCTGTGTATCACATATGCAATCTTTTCTTCATTCTTTTCACGGTCCTATGCGGTGTTGCACAGAACATGGACACGCTCTTGGCCGTGCGCTTCTTCGCCGGCTGTTTTGGAGTCGCTGTTATCACATGTGGCGGAGGATCAGTGAGTCCATCTCCGACGCTAGCAAAATGTCAGACTGACTTGGTACCAGATTGCAGATATGATGCCTCCCCAAGAACGCGGCGGAGCAATGGCGATCTGGAGTGTCGGGCCTATTCTAGGACCTGTAATTGGACCAGTCACTGGAGGATTTCTCATTGACGCGTTGGGTTGGAGATGGGTCTTTTGGCTTCTCACAATCCTGGTTAGTGCATCTGGCCCGACGTACTGATACTGACACCTGCTAATGCTAATATTTCAAGTCTGGAACGATAACAGTTATCGCGTTCGTAGGATTGAGCGAAACATACGCCCCTGTCCTCCTCGCTCGAAAAGCTGCCCGTTTACGCAAAGAAACTGGCAATACGGAACTGCAATCGAATCTCGCAACCGATCAAAGTAAGAAAGCTGTGTTTGCAACCGCGATTGTCCGGCCTATGAAGCTGCTTGTCTGCTGTCCCATTGTCACGCTCATGGCGGTCTACATTTCGATCGCATATGGCTTACTATATATCTTGTTCACGACCTTCACGTTCGTGTTTGACGACGTATACAACTTTGGCCCCTCGACCGCAGGGTTATCTTTCTTGGGTGCCGGTATCGGATCGTTGGCTGGCATGTTTTATGTTGGTGTCTTATCCGACAGACACCTCAAGAAGATCATCGCATCAGGCCGGAAACCAACCCCTGAGGACCGCCTACCATTGTTCCTGACAGTTCCTGGCTCTCTCTCACTTCCGGCTGGCTTATTCATATATGGTTGGTCGACGAACTATGCAGTACATTGGATCGTACCTGAGATTGGTACTGCGGTAACGGGGTATGGTATGATGGTCTTGGTCATGTGCATTCAGGTCTACCTTGTTGATGCCTTCAGCATCCATGCGGCAAGTGTTATTGCGGCGAATGCGGTATTGAGGAGTGTGCTTGGCGCACTGTTACCGCTGTGTGCATTGGATATGTATGAAAAGCTGGGATTAGGTTGGGGTAACAGTTTATTGGCGTTCATTGCGGTAGCTCTGGCTCCTGTGCCCTGGATATTTGGATGGTGGGGTGAGAGATTGCGGACAAATCCAAAATACCAGTTGAATCTATAGATAGATTTATGGATGACTGATCCCGAAATAGTAATATCTTGACTTTGAGACGCTGGGAATAGCACTCACCTACTCCATTTCTCTTGTGTTTTACGCCAATGGAAAGTTTCCGAAGACGAAAACAGGTTACTCTTCTTGAGTCGATTTTGGGGCCGTAATTACTGATACCTAAAGTCGGGGCAGCTCTTTCAGGCTCCACCATCGTAACTTAACCGCATATCTTAGCTTCAAGTTTTGGCCCGAAGCTAGCACCTATCTTTCTGCCTAGTTAGCTAGCGATTCAAACAGTGTCGAATTATCTCTTGTCACGGTGGATTGCTATCACTTGCTTGAGTAATAGAGAGCTAGTAAATCCTCCGAAGAATTTGAGGGGAAAGAATATAGGGAAAGAATATGGGAAAAGAGGGCTGGTAAACACCATGTTCAGCCGGTAACTACAACTTGATGGTCATAAAAGCGCCATTTTCCTGTTTGACATCTGTTCACATGAACTTGCATGCAAGAGCTTGAAGCACGTTTACTGTACCATACTCTTGATTGATTTTGCTATCCCAATGATATTTCTTCAAACATACATTTTCTAAGCTTGCCTGTCAAGACAACCACTAGTCTATGTTAGAGGCTCAAATCATTGTGCCACAGAACCGAGACGACCAAAGCCAGAAGTAATAGCAATAGCCGCCGAAAGGTATATCTGTATTTGACACATCATCTGAGATTCGATCGAATCAAGGTTTGGGACAGTGACAAAATGAACTGAACTCTACTCTGAATTCGCATGAGACATGTCTGCAATTAGGTTCAGAAACACATTACGTCACACAACGGTTTGGGCTTCAATGTTCTCGTGTATGGAAATGAAGTTATCATTCTATACAGACTCCTTAGTACTTTCCCTTGCTTCTTCGTCCTTGTTCTCCGCTTTTTGTATCTGCTCTTCTTCCCAAGTTTTGATGCATGGCGCCTTGAAAATTTCTCCGGACCAACTTCTCTCGATTGTCCTCGAAGCAACTATGATCCATAACACAACCACGGTCAGAGAAAAGATCGTCCCAAGAACCTTGAAGAATAGACTCGGTAGCTCTTGTGCGAGGGTCGTCGTAGCAACAGTATACACACCCAACGGGAATGTGAAGCCCCACCATCCAATGTTGAAAGGGAATTTCGATCTTGAAATGGATGCGACTGCAAAGAAGAGCCAGGCGAGTCCAGCGCCCCACATCAACAATGCAATCATGATACCAACCGTATACAGGATCTGTCCTGCAAAAGGAGCCGCTGGTATAGAGTTTGTCTTTGGAAACAGATCCATCGAAACTTTGCCAAGCTGCATGATTCCAAAGGCCCCCTGACCAAATGGGCCAAGAGGCAAGAAGACGGAGACAATGACCTCGCGAGGTGGCAAGTCGTGGAGAGTCAAGCGCGTGAAGTATACAACGAGGACGATCATCGCTAGCGACACGCCGCAGCCCCACATTACATAGCTGAAGACAACTGTCCACCACGCATGCTGAACGTTTTCGAGAACTGAGGCAACGATACCGCCTGAAGCAGCTGCAACAATTGTAGCCACGATAGGAAGTAGCCAGGCCGCGGTTATGCTCCCAAGCTTATTCTACATCTTATAAGCCGACAAAACTTTCCCCTCGTATGGTATACACTCACCTCGTGGACTCTCATAATCAAGAACGGCAACCATAAATTCGTTGCCAGTGACACCGCTGCATCAAGCCACCATAAAGCCCATGCCAACTTGGCAACCCACTGACCCCATGCCGGGACACAGACGAAACAGATCATGTTAATGATAGTCGAAAGACCCATTGGAAATGTGCCCAAAAACAGACTCTGTACCGGATGGCTGGTCATGCAACTCCACACGCCCCTGAAGACCGCATATCGAACCAAGCTCACTAGCGTGAAGAGCACGAACAGGAAGACGTTTAACGCGAAGATCACGACGGAAATCCAATAGATCCAGTTCGAGTTGTAGGGAAGATTGTGCAGTAGTATTGAGACGATGCCGGTGCCCATTGTGACGGCGAACCAGCTCGGGGTGAAGTTGAGTACAACACGCCGCCATCCTTTTTTGTTGCGACATTGTGCAGAGTGTTCGAGTGCCGCGTGGTTATTTAGTGAGTGGTGAGAATCAAATGTGCTGCCTGTGACGGATTCAAATGCAGAGGGATCCATGGCGAGTCGTTTCAAGTATTCAGCAATGGCGATAAAAGGTCTGCTGGTGATGCTGACAACGCCGAGATTCGATGAAGACGAAGGTCAGAGAGGAGGTTCCAGAAATGCCTGCTCTGAATTTGATTTGTGAAGTTGGTCGCCACGAACAGAGTGAACACAGAAAAAGCGGGGACTTGGCGCAAAGACGGAGAGTTCGGCTGCGCTAGTATGACGTAGAAAGTTTTTGATATACACTCTAGCTGGATGCGGTAATCTAAGAAGTTGAGTTTCTGGCGTAAGAAAACTCGTAACTTCACGCATTGGAAGCCATTCCAACCTCATATTTCCTAACAGATCAACGTTGAAGGCTAAAGGACTTGGGTTCAATGAGTATATACGTCGCACTGTGTAGATGACCACGCTGTGTGCCTAGCCCGCTTATTTCTGTATTTCTGTAACCTACGTCGACACCGCCGTTAAATGCCCACAAACCTATCAATTACTCTAGGATGACTTCGTAGTCAGCTGATGGAGCTACCAAGACGTCCCATTGCGCTTAGGTATACCATCCGGACCAAAGCACAATCCCGAGGCATTCTCCCTGGTATATCTGCAGTGAACGTACCGAGCAGAAACTTAAACACTCGTACATCATACTGAAATCCAATACAAAGCATATCAAATTAAAAGGGGTACGAACGTGGGCCCGAACAACACCTCAGCGTGGTTCATATGACAATCGCAAGGCGCACCGCTCGGACCAGCACTCGGATCCCAGACACATCATCGCAGGAGCGGGGAAGTACACCAAAGCAAGCATCGATCTCAGTGAGAGCCGTGAAAATAATTCCGATGCCCCAGTCAATGTGACGAAGAGCTGCTGAGAGACACGGTGAGACCAGGCCCTTTGAGAGAGCAATGAATGTGATGCGGGTGAATGTCGATAGTTAGACAGAGCGGTCGCAGGAGCCGCATTTGGGACTGATGTACAGGGTTAGTGTCTCTCATTAGCTCCTTCTGTGGGAGAGTTGCTTTGTACTTGCTCGCATTCGTGATATCGAGCGTCGTTGCGACCTCTAGGACCAAATCGTTCATAAGGCTTGAAGGAGCGTGTTCTCCTAATCGACACGGGAAGAGCGCCTTGCCCCTACAGAACAGTCTCCTGGCAAGGTTCAATGCCACATTTGCCCAGAGTCTGTCTCTGGTGGCTGGTGTATTGGGTGTAGTGAGATATATCCCTGGTTTTCATATTTTGAACGGGGTTCTCATGAAAAGAAATCAGTACGATGTTCACCACCCACTGGGGTAAGTTTTTGCATTTATATCAAGGTTTTTTATAATAGGCCCGTTGCTAGTCTGGGTATCTTTGTATTCAGTCTTGTTGTTCGCTTGTCAAGGCTACCGCGATCATATTATCTTAGATATCTTTGATCAGGGGCAATGCTGTCAATTCGTCTACACCGCGGTTATCTGATCGCAGATTAACTCAACCAAGTCAAATTCCTGTCTTCAAAGTATTAGTCCTTGTGGACGTGGTGCTATGATTACCACAATAATAGTGACTGTATCGAAATTTGAATGAGATACTGTATTGATCGATGTACGACCCCGGGCATGGCATAAACTTCTCCTGGTGGGACTTGTTGAAGCCGAGCAAATACGCGAGAAATAGACCCGGAATAATAATATACCCAGTAAAATACTTTCCTTCAGGCATGGACACGTGATTGAGCTGTATCGATCCGAGAATGTGGTGTCGTGTGACGAATACCTAGATAGATCAGGGAGAAAAAGTCTATCAGTGGGCAACCCTCTTCGCATGATTTGCGCGAGCTGCACAATACGTTACGATTGCTGGAGGAGAGACATGTAGAGCTAATTGACAGCCGTGATATCCACAATCTCATAGGCTATTGATTAATCGTAGAGATGGGCCCTCTTGACTGATATCTGTATCGTGTTTGATTCACGAAACGTCCATGGTTGTTCACTATTGAGGCGCGAGGGGGTCATATTCGTCCAGAGCTGCTTTGACTGCCTCCATCATGGCTAGAACTTTCTCCTCTTGGAGTCTTTGGCCCATTACCTGTATGCCGACGGGCGAACCAGCAGAGGTGTTGTTTTGATCTGTTGAGTCTGTTAGCTGCATCTCGGTGTTGCGCGATGGCACCTACACAGCTCATAATTTATTTCATCCTTAGGGGATCGAAAAGGCCGGGGGGGATCATCCATGAACATACGATCGAGTTCTGGGTCTGCAAAAGTCACAGGCACAGTGCCGGTTGTAAAGTCGAGCATACTTGGAACGGCAGAATATGCTATCACCTACAAGTCAGTTGGTAGAGGACTAAGTCTTGGACTTCTCACCAAAATATGTGAAGGATTGCTCTGGTGCAGCTGCATGCGCTGCCGTTGGCAAAATCACTCCGTCGACAGGCCTCCGCGACGCAGTGAGATTCTGAGTAGACTTCCAGTACCGGTGGTAAGCTGTGCGGAAACGCTCCCGCTGTTCGCAAAGCTCCCAGAAGTCTGAGGTTGGCGATGGGTCCGAGGCTGTGTTGAAAAGATCTTCGATCTGTGGTATAGGTGTTTCCCCACTGGCGTTCACAGCTTCGCGTATAGCATGTCCAGCTGTAGACCCTAGAATTCGGAACTAGGAATGGGTAAGGATTGTTACATAGTAACTAGACGACTGGACGCTTTGAGAGACGACCTCGTCTCAAGAGACTTACAAAGATGTCTGCAGCCTCTGAATGAGGTGGAGGATTCCAAGTGATTACCTGCACGTGTGAACTCAATGAAACTTCAGTAGGCTGTTCCAACTCACCTCATAGCCTCGTTGCTTCAAAGCTCCAATCAAGGTTACTAGAGCTCTACGAACCGAAGGATGCGGCCACACAGCTTCATCACCCATCATGACTGCGAATACAAGACTTCCATTGCTCTGACCTTCTTGGCATATCCTACTGCGTGTGTTTGTCCACCTTTCTTCGTTCCAAGGCATATCGATGACTTCGTAGTCATCTTGCCAAGTCTTCGCATTGATGAACCATTTTGTCATCATTGTCAGCGATGGTAAATCTCCACACATAGGTCCAATCACAGTCCCACCAGTTGGAAGGCCTGGAAGAGTGGTAGCTAGTCCACTTGCTGACATCCGGCCGTAGGAAGGGCGCAGACCAAATAGGTTGTTGAACGAAGATGGAATGCGTATGGATCCTGCAATATCCGTCCCCCAGCCGATAGGAGACCCTCCCATGGCGATCAAAGCTCCCTCGCCACCACAAGCACCTCCTGCGGACAAATTCCTGTTGAACGGGTTTATTGTGGAGCCAATAATGTTGTTAGTGGTTTCGCCTATCAGCATGCTCATTGGAATATTCGTCTTGGCGTATAGTATCGCACCAGCATGTCGTAAGCGATGGACCAGGACGCCTTCGTCATTTTCAGTCTTGTGATCACCAAGCCAACTGACATAGCCACAGCAGCTCTCGAGGCCTCGAATATGAAAACGGTCTTTGAGGCTTACTGGTAGACCATGCAGAGGACCTGCAGGTCTTCCCGACTCTCTGATATACGCATCTAGATCCTCGGCCTGCTGGCGAGCTTCATCAAAACGGATCTCCACTAGACATTTGGTCTTCGTAGACGTTAGGGTCGTCGGCATAAACCATCGAATGAATCTGAGTGGAGAACGAGAGACATTGAACGGTGGAAATTGTAAACTGGCAGCTCAACTTTCAATTACTCACCAATTGATGTGCAAGTGCAGCCCGATGGCAAAATGCGGCCGTTACCTCTACCGAAGACCAATTTAAGCTATGCACATTTTCGAGTATCTTGCGTGGCGTTGCATTCGTAATTTGTAGTTCATGTGGAGTGAGGAATTGAGTGATATGCTCGATGACATTCGGAAGTGTGGATGGTGAAGGCCGGTCTGCCTCAGATAGTCTCCACGACGCCGGAATCTTGTCTACGACTGATTGCCGTTTGGCTTGAGCAATGCGTTGCCAATCCGGTTTTGGAGGTTCGCCTTGCATCGCCATAACTAAGCAAGATTTTCATGTAGCGACTATAGCCGCTCTGTGTCAGATGCGTGTACAATGTGTGATGTAAAAGACACCCATTGATGCACAATGTGACCGGAGGTAAGAACGGTTGCGCTACACTGTTGCACAACTTACTAGTCGCGTGTTGATAGGTCGCTCGATCATATAGCTTCGTGATTTAGTTGCACAAGGCCAGCCGTTGAGATGATGTGATATATGTACCTTCTGTGAGATATCCTTGCTGCAAGAAATTGAACCCTAGTTTACATCAAAATTTAGAAAATATGCTGGATCAATCTCGGTTGGAATTCTGTTCCACTATGAATCTATAACATTTCTATTAGCTTGTCTTGGCATCCGCCACTGAACCTTACCTCTCAGAGACTAGTACCTTTTTGTCTCGTCAGGTCCGGGAGAAGAATGATTTGACGACCATCGACAACTACAGAAGCTCTAAAATGTTTCCGCATCGCACATATATTTGTATGCCGATCGTCTGATTGCGACATATATCATGTTCTTGAAACCGCCGCCAGCTAAACTCTCAGCTCCTGCTCCAGCGCCGCATGCGCAAGCTACCTCTGCTAATGACCACCACGACGAATACAGTGACCCTATACGCGTCAAGAAGGCATGCAACCGCTGTCGAATAAGAAAAGTAAAATGCGATGGGAAATATCCGTGTGGTAGGTGTCGGCATGATGATGTGCCTTGTCTCCTTGGCCGTAAAGATCGAGGCGACGTGAAAGAGCTATCTCGCGGATATATTCGAACGCTTGAGACGCAGCAGACATATCTTCTAGATGCCCTGAAAGCTCTCAGTCAGCGCGGACCCAATGATCATGGGCTGAAAAATATCATTGCAAGGCTAGAGGCGAGCGGGCTTGATGTAAGCGCAATAAGAAACGCTCAAAAAGAGCATCAGGAGACTCCGCAACGGTCAAAAGTTGAAGACAGAGCTTCACCTGTTCAGCAGCAAAGCTCGGTTTCTTCATTAAATCACGATAATCCTGTCTTATCCCGGGTGATAAATTTGCCTTCCATTCTGGAACCCGCTGAACCCGCCGCTGTACAAAATGGAAATACTACCGCAAACTTGCTTGAATCTTCTAACCATGTCAATGTGGATACTGAAGTTGACATGGTATGGGCTGACTTGTCTATGTCCAACGATGTTACAATGCCAGCCCTTGATGATCCAACATTTGCAGAGCAGTGGTGGGAAAATTGGATCAATGTTTCAAATGCAATGGATATGGCTCCGCAGCCCACCGACCTCCAGAACTTACAGCAGGAGTGATCTCCAAGAACCCGGGATATGAAAAATCTGGACAACCACTTTCCGAGTATTCATCAGTGCGGCCATCGAAGCTCATTAGCGGACCCTTCAGTGCGCGTACTATCACATGAAATACTATATTGCATACTATTGAATGGGATAAGATACCTCATAGTACCTCCGATGGCAATTGGCAAGCCATCTAGTTCCGAACTGGCCTCAAGCCTTCGCGATATTTACAGATGATTCGACTACAGGTGTTATTTCCTCGTGTGTGGAAATATTCGCCGTCACAACAGTTGCTGGTGTCTTCGTACTCGAAGGCGCCAAACCGTACTTCCTCATCCCGTTGAGCTCAGTGGCTATGACTCCTTTGACTTTGTCTATCACTGAGACGGGAACATCCTCCTCTCTCCAGTACCTGGACTGCCGGCAGGTGAGCATGTTGTCATCATACAAAAGTTTGTAGCTAACCTGTTCTAGTCCTTGCCAGATCATGGCTTCAGTCCCAAGTATGACTTGCCATCCCTCTTTATCTGCAATGCCTGCAATTTCAGTCCAAGGCTTTGGATGGTAGCACATCTCTAAGATGGCACCCTTATGTTCTTTCTCCAGCATCAGCTCAATAACCTTCCGCGCTGTTTTCTCCTCCCGCGTCTTTGGCGGAAAGTCTGGCACACATGAGACGATAGCGCCTGGGCCTTTCAGAGTATGGGCCCGTTCGACTGTGTCGACATGCACTAAATTCTCACCATAGCCTCGCTCAGTGCACCACTGTATAACAGCATCAACTTCGCTCTTATCCCTGTTGACGATGTATATGTCGGTCGTTTGCATAAATTTTCGTAGTGCATAGACAGCACTTCTAGCCGCTCCTCCGCCCCCAACGACCAGGCCGGGACGATTGTGAAAAGTATCATCCGGCGAAGAAACATTCTCGTAAAACGCAAGCTTAATGCCAACGACATCGGTGTTCGTGCCAAGATAGATACGTTTGCCATTTCGTTCGCGAACGAACAGTGTATTACACGCGCCTACATCGCGAGCTTCAGGTGTAAGCTCGTCAAGGTGTGGAAGGATTGCTAATTTATGGGGCATTGTGACCGAAGCTCCTGCAATTTGTTAGGCTATTGCATACAAGGACGAGATGAGTCCTTCCAGACCAAAAAAAAGGGGTTCTCTTGTTAGCTTCAGGAATTGCTGCATATCCAGCGACTCCAAATACTTCTGTGACCATTTCAAATCCAGTGCATCGAATATCGTGCGATGGAATATTGGTGATAGAGAGTGGGAGATGGGATGTCCAAACAAATAACCTACACGATCAAGCCCCGCTATATCATTGATATCAAATAGAGATGAGGCCATACTGGAGGTTGAGAGATGCAATTTTGGCTTGATAGGACATTGACAAGTGAAGGACGACCAGCCACTATAGGATCTCCAACTTTCGAGACCCCGATACGCGACGGTTGCCACAGCTTTCTACGGAAAGACCCCGTTTGTATCCGACTCTTGATCAGTCTGCGGATAAAGCCGTCAACATTCGGAAAACAAAACAAGCATCTAATCCAGCGCGAATTCAGCCAAACATAAGGTTCATTTGGCCAGTCTCTCCACAACACTTGAGGCGCCGCAGATGAGTAGAATCAGAAATCATGGATGTTCTGATTGGGCATTCCGATGTCGGCAGATACGTCGGTATTTTCTCGCGTCGGTAGATCCACGGCAGGGCAAAAGCAGCCAGTCACATCAGGGCTAAAGCCAACGTCATGCCAGCCCCAGACTCCAGCTTTTGGCATGCGAGCAAGTGGCCGAAGCTTCTGGCTTGCGGAGAAGAAGCCTAATGTGCGGGGAGAACACCTGGGGTTACAAGCCATCTAATACGTCTGCGGCACGTTCCCCGTCTATAAGCTGGACTTTCCGCCGTCTACACAGTGAATAGACTGCCTCTGTGATGCCGACACGATGTCCATGGGTGTTCTGGGCCTGTCTCCACACATGACATACGCTACACGGAAGCTCTCTGACTACCCTTGACCACGAGTTTACGGCCCTGGTGCCGTTGTGGGGTAATTAGACCAGGCGATTGGCCTTGCAAAGTCTTTATAAAGAAATGGGCGCAACGAATTGTCTGTCTGACAGGTTCCCCGACTTTACCATCGCCATCAATATTGTCTCCCTACCTCGTCATCATGGGTCTTCTAACACTGGTCGAAGACAGGCCTACACCCAAAAATGTCTACAACTGGCGTGTATACACAGCCGCAACAGTCGCCAGTTTCGCATCTTGTATGATAGGATACGACTCCGCTTTCATTGGTACCACTCTGGCATTACAGAGCTTTGTCGATGAGTTTGGGTTCGCAGAGATGTCCGCATCTCATCTCGCTCTCGTCAAAGCCAACATCGTCTCTGTCTACCAAGCCGGTGCTTTCTTCGGCTCTCTCTTCGCATATGTTATGAGTTATTTTCTCGGCCGCCGAAAGACTCTCTTCGCCTTCGTTATGGTATTCATAGTTGGAGCAGGTATGATGCTTGGTGCCAACGGACAAAGAGGGCTAGGACTCATAATCGGCGGCCGCGTGTTGGCTGGCATAGGGGTTGGCGGTGCCTCAAACATGGTGCCCATCTACATTTCCGAGCTCGCACCTCCGGCGGTTCGTGGACGTCTTGTTGGTATATACGAGATGGGATGGCAGATTGGTGGTCTTGTGGGATTCTGGATCAATTATGGGATCGCAGAGACACTTGCCCCGAGCCACAGCCAATGGATTATCCCGTTCGCAGTTCAACTCATTCCGGCTGGCTTGTTACTCGTTGGTGCACTTTGGCTTCGTGAATCTCCGCGCTGGTCATTCTCTATGGGACGTCGCGAGGAAGCCATCAAGAATCTGTGTTGGATCCGCAACCTACCGGCTGATCACATCTATATCATAGAGGAGATTTCCTACATCGATGCTGACCTTGAGCGCTTCCGTACCGAAGTGGGTGCTGGATTCTGGAAGCCTTTTGCTGCATGCAAGCAGCCGAAGGTTTTGTGGCGGTTCTTTCTTGGTGGTATGCTCTTCTTGCTGCAAAATGGATCAGGCATAAACGCGATCAACTATTATTGTGAGTCAACGATAGTCAATTTACTCCGAATTATCTCTGATATCATTAGCTCCCACGGTGTTCAAATCGATCGGGATTCAGGGAACAAACACGTCCTTTCTCACGACCGGAATCTTCGGCGTCGTGAAAACCGTGATAACCTTCATATGGCTTCTCTTCCTCATCGACCACCTCGGCCGCCGTCGCCTCCTAATGATCGGCGCAACCGGTGGCTCGCTTTGCATGTGGTTCATTGGCGCCTACATCAAGCTTGCAAACGTATCGGCAAATACTAAGAACACGCAACTGTCATCTGGCGGGATCGCAGCTATGTTCTTCTTCTACCTATGGACTGCATTTTACACTCCAAGCTGGAATGGTGTGCCATGGGTCATCAATTCGGAAATGTTTGACCAAAACACTCGGTACGCAGCATTCAAACCCCTTGTTCTCTTAACTTCCCTCTCATCTCGTACTAATGTAAGAATAGATCTCTCGGCCAAGCCTCCGCCGCCGCCAACAATTGGTTCTGGAACTTCATCATCAGTCGTTTCACGCCGCAGATGTTTCTCAAGATGGAGTACGGGGTGTACTTTTTCTTTGCCTCGCTCATGATACTGTCTGTGCCGTTTGTCTTCTTCCTTATTCCGGAGACTAAGAGTGTGCCGCTTGAGTACATGGATAGATTATTTGAGATCAGGCCCGTCAGAAAAGCCAATAAGATCGTGATTAGCGAATTGGGTGAGTTGGAGGCTGAATTTAGACATGATGTAGCATTGGTTAAAGGCGAGAAGGCCGTTGAGGAGAGGTTTGAAACGGCGGAGCAGGGGCAGGAAACCAGGAGAAGTTGATACTTGGCCTGCCGATGAAGAATCACATTGCAAAATTCTATCGCGCATTTGTACAAAGATGGATCTTTTGTGTTGCATTGCCTGTGATTACACTTTCCTTCTTTACACTATGCGTATGAAATTAATGCGGAGATCGATGAAGACTTCCCTCTGCGTATGGACTTGGAAAACTGACAAAGCACAACTGATAAAGATCTTGTGCCGAATCGATGATTGTCCCAGACTATTAACGTATTTTCTCAACATGAAGCTCAAATAGAAGCAAACAAAAGATCAAAGTTTGGATAGAGAGCATGGCGTAAACCACAATAAGAGAGATAGCTAGGAGTTCTAGGGGGGGATGGTTGTTTTACCACTGAACATACGACTATATGGATTCTATTTATTTCGTGAATTCGTAGATAATATAGAAATGGCTTACTGGGTCAATAACTTCACTAGCTTCTGAGGATACCAGACCGTAGAAGTCCATATTTCAAAATGCTGCTCTCAACTGTATACACGCAATCTCTCTCATATACCGCCCATCAAGCGGCTTCAGTAGAGCCATTCGTGTTCGAGTTTTGCGTCACGCTAATCACTCACTGTACTACATTAGGAAATTTGTAGACAGGGGCCTTCGGCTGAGAGACTCACAATAAGAGTATGATATTAGTACATCACCGTCAATGACGTCCGCGTCCAAACATTGTCACATCCGTCAATGCCATTATCGCTCAAGAAGTAAGGCTCATCCATACTGTTTAGTTCTCTGGCTACGCTCTCACTGAGTACTGCAGATCAGGTGCATTCGGCACCATGTGATAGCATCGACCACTCTCAAACTACATGACACTCTCCTCGTGTGTAGCTGCTTCTGTGGTAAAATCGACTTGACGGCCCTTACGTCACTGCCAACGTCGGCGCATCATCAACGTGGCAGGGATCTCTTCATTCCGTGTCATTCTAAATGTTGAAGTATGCATACAGCTTGACTTTCAATTTTACAAAAAAGAACCAAGCGACAAGGCCAAATGTGTATAGAAATGATATCTTGTGGGCAGACATCCATGACTAAGCAAACCTCATGAATCTATTCCCGGTTAAACGCCGATACCGATCGAACCTCGGCCAGTGAATCCCTCGACTTCGAAGTCGACAGCATGTAGACTCTGCCTGGTAATCATTCTCCTTCACAGCCAAAATGCCAGAAACAAGTCTAGGCCTCGACTTGGCTTCCAAAAAGCAACGTACACGAGGCGATTACCCTTATCGTCTAGACTACCGAACGAGATGGTACACAAACGGTCGCAGATCTCGTGATAACAATTTAGATTAACTAATGATAGGGCCGATAATGACATGTTTCATCATCTGAACAATCCAATCTATGGTGTTTTGATCGACTCAATTATCAATGAATATCTCATCACAAAAATTGGATACAACACAACCACATACCCACGCACGGCTCTTGTCGCGAACACATACTGCGACTATTTCGGACAGATGCAGTACCCCGGAATGCTGGATCTAGGTCTGCGGGTTGTGAAGCTAGGCAAGAATAGCGTCATGTATGAAGTTGGATTTTTTGTTGAGGGCGACGAGAAAGTGAGGGCCGTGGGGGGGTTTGTGCAGATTTGGGTCATGAGGGAAAGTGGCAAGGCGCCGCCAGAGGGACTGGAGCCGCATGTAAGGAAATCTCTGGAGTCGTTGATGCAATCTGGTTTGAAAGAGAAATCGAAGCTGTGAGCTGGAGTATAGATACCCCATGATCGTGAGATCTTCACCGTTGTGTCTTGCTAGACTCCGCACCAACCTGAACGGATCAAGAATAAAATGTCCGTGTAATTTGAAGCTATGCTCGTGTAAGTCCATGGCCGTCTGAAGTGTTTGCTACAGCTCACGCATAGCTTCGGGTAGGATCGTGTTATACACGGAGCCCCTTTACCAACAAAAAAGCGAATAACGAGTGACTCAACGTTTCGCAGGTCAGACATAAATCCAAACTATCAATAGTCGGACCTTCGACTTTGCACTTAAGCCTCGTGCCCTGAAGCTGATACTCACTCTCAGATTTGGCTTGGTTCCATTTGAGCCCATTTGCTTCCAGTTTTTTAGATCGATCTTGTAACAGCAGTAAATGGACTTAGAGAAGGTCTCCCAGGAGCTAGCTCCTTGTTTATAAGTAACCCCTGATTGGTCTGGTGGGTGGAACCTTTTGATTCCTCTATAGCAGCGGCATGCATCGCGTGAGTAACCGCAGGAACATAACCCCCGGAAACTCCAAGGTAGACCAAATGGCAATCGAAGTCTATGCGTCAATGGCCACGAGCTTATGTATCCAAGATCCCATTCTACACCACGTACGTCCACCTAGGCAGAATCAAGAGTAATAACAAAGTCGATTATGACCGCCTTGTTCTTCAATATAGTTCAAGATCGCTCGTATATCACCCTTCATCGATATCTGGCTTTGTGAGGGATCATAAGGACCTCAGCTTCTTCAGAGTAAAGCACCGTCGCGCTCAACCTTGCTCTACATTGCGTGTACTCAGGATATAGCTTCAGCAGCCTCGTGAGTTCTGGGATGACGAAGAGGAAGGTTGAAGCTTGGCTATACAGAACATCCCTGTCTGTCAGGCATAAAGAACATGTACAACATATGGAAAGTATAGTTCAGTCGAAGACCTCGCTAAAACATATGGAAGCTACGGTTATATAGAAACCACACAGTGCACCGCACTGCAAAAGTACATTTGTGCAGGCTTTAGCACCTGGAGATTAAAATCCATAGCCCTGTGAGTGGTAAGAGGAAGCAAAGCCTATATGTATTAGTGTGAATCATGAGACCTATATAGTATAACAGTGATCACTAGTATTGCTGGTAACCTCCAGTACGCCAGTACGGAGCCTAGAAAGAAGATGCATTCGCTCTAGATCTAAGATCGGACTTTGCAGTAAATAAGCTCTTCATTTCGTTCTCATGACTCACCCACTTATGCACTCTTCAACTACTCCCTCTCACCCAAGAACAGTCAAACCAGACCTCGGTTGTCCGAAGTTCCTACCATCGATGCCGCGTCGCAGCACATTCTGAAAACAGTACCATCGCCGTGAATGCCAACATGGTGGTGGTCCAGATAGAGTTGAACGAGATTGAGCCTCGGCAGGCGCTGCATCGATCAGTCTTGGTCAAGGGTCTCGATCGCTGACTAGGAGTGTCATGTACGAAGTGTCCCGGGGACTAGGGTCGGAGCAATCCATGCGGGGACATGCGGCTGCGTTGAAGCCTCCGACGGACACTATTACTCCCAAATCTGGAGAAAAAGAGAGCTCTAAGGGTATTAATGGAGTTGACATCTCTGATAGCATTGATTGGTTTAGGCGGATGATGGGATGATGTGGCGTGCTTATATGTGGAGCTGGAAGTGGAGTCGAAAGGAAATGAGGACAGAAGAACGCACGCGAGCAGTGGAAAAAATCATTGAGCGTGAAGATATCTCTTCAACATGATCGTCATTATACGTATAGTGCGTGCAGTACGCCAAGATCTACCGTTGATGCCTGAAACTGTACAAATGCGTATCGCAGGACATGGAACATGTTCGCAAACGCTGCATGAAGCGCACAATTAGTGACGCTATGCCCCTCCTATTGACACTTTCCTCTCCTTGATTAACATCATGTGCTCATTTCCCCGTTAGCTCCTCATAGAGCGACCATCATCGCAGCCACGGCCGCCGCACCGTATCCGATCATTGCCGTCCGAGCAGGTCCTGGAGCAGCATTTGTGGGTGTGGCAAGTCCAGCAGCGGCAGTTCCAGTTGGTTGTACGCCGTAAGCATCAAGACCTCGTTTGATGTTTGAGACGATGGGCTGAGATAGAGCGATGGCGACTTCCTTAGTGTCCGCAGGCACTTTGGTTGCGACGAGGTTGGAGAATTGGACAGCGAGTTGGTATTGCGTCTGAAGACTCATTGCAATAATAGGGCTCAGGCTGCTCATATCGAAGAAGTTCTTGCGGGAAATAATGGTATCAATCGACTTTCCAACAACATCGCCCAAGTTGACAGTAGGCTCTGCTAGAGCCAACGATTCGGTGAAAGTGGTCAAAAGGCTTGTGTCCTGGCAGTTCGCAATCGAGCTGTTAACGGCATCAATCGCGTTGACAGAGGCCTGGTTGAGCGACAGGAGCTGGTCTGTTGAGTTGTACGAAATCAGAGCGTCTGTCAGCTGCTGTGTGTAGTCTGTGATATTGAGGATGCTGTTCTTGATGGTGTCGACATCGCGAGTGACCAGTGATGAAGACGCGACGCCGGCGGCGAAGAAAAGGGTAGCGAGGAACTTCATGGTTGCTGATGCCTATCGGTGATGCTGGGCACTGAAGTGATGATGGTCGCGTCGAGAGAAATGACTTCGCAAGGAGAAGACATGGTAATTAGAGCGTCGATAGTGTCTCTTAAGGGCTCCCTCGTGTCTTTCCGCCTCGGGATCACACATGCAGCACATGCCGCGGCTGGCTTATGAGTTTGTATCGACCTATACACTAGTCGACGAGAATAGTCTAGATGAGGAGTTGCACAGAACCGGATTGGCCAATTGAGACACTAGCACAGAAGTCCAAGAGTTTTCCGTCCCCATGCCATCAACACGCACGGCTGGGGTTTGACCACGGGGATCCCCGGGGTCAATAGTTTCGTCCAATCAGAGACGACTTTTATTCTAGAGCTTAAAAAAGACGGACGGCTCCAGGCTGTGGCGTTCTCCCCCACAAAGAACCACGCCCTCACGTTACCAGACAATAACCATGCTCTTTCCAAGCCTCGTTCTGTGATGCTCTTTCGAGACCTCGTTTTGAGGGAGAGCTAGACCAATTATACCTCCGACTGTGTGGAGGCGCAAACCCGATGTTGGGGTGCAGCATCGCAGGGCTCGGGCTGTGTGCGCCTCGACCCCTATCCGCCGTATAAAGAGTCAGGACGTCGTCTTGTCCTTCGGAACATGCTGCTTCCGCTCTATCTTGAGCCGAACTCTGAATCACGTATGCTGCAATCGTGAGCGCCGAGGATCATGTATACAGCATAATAAAAGAGTCGATAATAGACTGGCCTAGGTCCAGCAGTAAAAGAATGAAGAGCTCGTCCTCGTTGCAAGGTTTTGGTAAGAGTTCTGGCTAGTGAAGTCTGTAAGGCCACGTGATCATTTTTTCTTTGTCTGCCTCAGGCATACAGACTAAGTAACCGTGAGACAGAGAGCATGAATCTGCGAATACTTCATTCTTACAATATTCCTGTATGTCTTTCAGTAAAGAAAATTTGAATATTACACCAGGGTCCAGGGTGGGTGGCTCATTCTGGACCGAACACCGATCCCACATACTGATAATGCAGAGCATCCATGTCAAGGAATACGAGTCCAGTGTGATGGATTCTATCAGATGGAGATCAGTGGCAGGTGTCCGTGCTGACATGTTCTAGTATCTTGCTTCGTGTATAAGCCTCAATAACTTCCTTACCCGAACAATGCCTACAATCCTGAGCATCATATGCCAGGCTCGACCGCCACGCCTCATATGAACATCTCCAAGTTCGAGTTTTTCCCTTCTGCCTTTAGTTTGATGTCGACTTTACAACCCGCAATTACGAACACAAGCTCGTTTGATAAACGCATATCAAGTGGTCCCACCTCTTACAACATCCTTTCCTCTCCGACTCCACCCTCTTCCAACCCCCAGCTCCGCAATCTGCCTTCTCGTCCCCGAGCCGTCCAGCTCAGATATCCCGGATCCACTCCAATGATAATTGTTCCATCTCGACATGCCATTTTCCTCTCCACTGTACGCAGCTTTCTGGACAGACTTGTCCCGCACCATCTGTTTTATCCGTCCCAGGTAGAATGCAAGAACAAGGAGTGCGATAACAAGGGGTACACCCAAGCCGACGCCGATACCTATGCCGACTTTCGCTGTGGTCGTAAGGCTGTTCTCCGAAGTTGACGTGGTTGAGGGCAAAGAGGGTGAGCTTGAAGATATTGGCAAGATATCTGATGGCGCAGAGATAGTGGGTGACTCTGCCGGTGTCACCTGCGTCGAAGATGTCGTTCGAGTACTCGTTGAGAGATCAGTTGATTGAAAGCTCCCGCTCGCGGTAACAGCTACGTCTTCGAGTGATAACGTAACACTAACAGCTAGATCATCTTGTTAACGCCAAAGGCAACGTTCTTGGGACGGAGCATGTATGCATACTCGCACATATCGAATCCGCAAAACTTCTCGTCGCCTCTTGATCATCTGGACTACACGACTTGTTGATACACTCTTCGAATTCGGACCGAATGCCGCTGCTCAGGAGGCGTTGGCAGATGCATGCTACATCGAGGTTACAGCTGGAGAAAGATTGCGTTGTGCATGTTTGCTGGTCTTTGTCAGTATCGTTCCCATGTCGTTGGGTTAAAGGAGGAATGCGCGTACCCCACAAGCTGGTTGCTGAGAGACACCGAGTCTGATATATATCGCGAGACCTAGCAGTGTTGTAACCCGTAGCATGGTGCTTGGTATGTCGAAAACCGCTCGTGGCAATCAGGGAGGCAAAGGGAGTACGCGCATCGTGCATATGAAATAGATATCCAGGCCTAGACAAAACTGATCAAACTGTCAATATGCGGCGTTGTGCCGCACCCCTTTTGGTCCTGTAGTGGTTTCCGATCTGCTGGTGGCTGCATGAGCCAAGCGCTTAGAGTCGCTTTCTCGGGGCGAAACGTTAAATTTTCTTGTTATGCCGTTGGATCCACGTACATATCCAACCATCGTGGTGCGCTAGCGCTTCGATGTTTACACGCCGACCCAGCACAATTTTTGTTGTTGATTGCTACATCTGCGCATCATAGCCATTCTGGACACACCGGTGATCGAGCTTACCATGCTGTTCATTGTACTGATCTCCTTGGATTTTTAAACTTCTGTGCACTCGGTCGGCAAGTAAATAGTCTCCAGTTTGGGGAGATGTATAAACGCTCTGAGGCTTGTGTCCAACACCCAAACTAACATTTACGGTTAGCATGAATGCTTTATTTGAAAAGCTGTACGGAATTGATTTGCTTGGTGAAATCACTGGGCTCGAGGCTGCGCTTGATAGTACGCTGGAGACTAACACTCTTATGGTGAATATCCGTGAGGAGTGATGAAGATGGGCTGGATAGTATCTGCACATGAGTGTTAGGACTATCGGTCGGTATCGGGGGTGCTCATAATCACATTGAGATGGCTGATAGTTTCGAGAGGGCGCTCATCTAGGGGCGGGCATTCTGAGAGCGAGACGAATAGTGACTCTGCAGGCCACATAAAAATAGAAATGCATAAGTCCTGATAAGCTACGGCGACAGGGTTAGAAGTTCACAGAATAGAGGACGTGACCGTCGAAAAGCGGTCAGGCTGGAGCTCTCCTTGCCAAACACATGACTGCATCTGAAACGTCCAGAGATCCCGTGTCTCTTCGTAGCTACGGTCCATTCGGGTGTAAGCAAACATATATCACAATACCTGGTAGGGGTGTTAGTAGGAATAGCGTCGTGGTTGTAACACGATATCTACAACAGACAGCATAGTTCAGAACGACATGTTACTAGGACATTCAACATAGTGATCTCTTGCAAGTTGCAAACCCTCATACGCTGTATCTGACACAACCCGGAGGCTATACATAGATGGAAATTCAAGGAGGAGGAGAAGTGAATCATTACGCTAGACTGTCTTTTGAGTAGACTATTGGCACTAGGGCCGATTTAGACTAGGGGCGGCTTTGTTCACACCTCAGCCTTGCATGTGTAGTGTAGTTGCCTCAGTTTCTGGCACTCTATCACCGACAAGGTCCTCTTAAAATCCCGAAAAGTCGATCTGAGTTACATGTCGAGCCAGCGGGATCGTCTATATTTAGACGCGTCTCAAAACAACTGTCCATCGAAATCCAAGCTCAGTAGCTGATTGCGATTGAATCGTATTTTCTTTTTTTCGTGGCTAAGCTATTAGTCGAATCAGCTAATTGGGCTAATATCCGAGTGTATTGGCGAAGGCACCCATTCCATTGTGGCTGTTTTCGTATGTTACAGTCATCTCCGACTCTTCCCCGATCCATCTCCGACTTTCACGCCGCGAACACAGTGTGACCGTCTTACGGTAGTCCTGAGCATATGTTCCGGGGGTCAGTAATGCCTTTCCAATAACAACAAGGCCCCTCAAATCCTGGACAGTCAGTTGTCGAGTGCCCTGGAGTTGCATCGATCGTAGCACCCGATATCACATAGCTGCTCTCTTAGGCGACGTTAGCAACTGCCAACGGAGTCACCATCACGATCGATAGCACTGCCAAAAGGATCATGAACATTCGCACAGCGACGTTAGCTGATGTTCCAGCCCTGGCAAACATCGCCGTTACTGCGATGCCCGACGATCCGCAGGTACATGAATGCCTCATCTCGGCGTCGAGCGGACTCTAATCTAGTGCTCAGTGGGACTACCGTTTTCCCTATCGCCTGAAGTACCCCGAAGAGCATCTAGCGGCCATTCAAAACGTATATCGCTCTGCAGTGGAAGATGAAGCCTCCGCGGGGACGGTCGTGAAGGTGCTCTGCAACGACAAGGACGAGCCCATGGCACTTTCAGTGTGGGATTTGCTCTACCTTGGAAAGGCAAGCGGGGGAATGGCGAATTTTGCACCAAGTTCGTAACGGCGAGTTCGTGGTGTGCTTCTACTCACGAGGATTCCAGATCCGAATCGTCCGGACGCATCTCTCGTTCGCATGACGGCCTTCTTGAAGGCCTTTCAAGCTGCTCACGACAAGTATTTCGACTCTGTATATGGTAACAAGCAGATCAGACTACGGGTACTGTGCGTTCACCCTGACTTCCGGCGCAGAGGCGCAGGTGAGGCGCTCTGCAATTGGGGATTCGATCTCGCGAAGCAGGAAGGTGTTCCCGTAACGATTGTCGCAAGTCCGATGGGGAAAAGACTGTACGCCCGACTGGGCTGTGAAGTCCTGGGTGAGTATGAAATCAGGGCAGATGGCGAAGACGAGTCTTGCACTGAAATATGCATGATCTTGAGAAAAGAGTTGAGGGCGAAGTAAGAAACGAGCTGAACGAGCCCAACACGTTGACCCAATGTTTCACTCGATCGCGTGTACCTTTCCAGTAAATGCAATTAACAGCCTGAACAAACCCTTACTCAGAAGTTCAATGCCCAAGAGAGTTTGAGGTATCACTACAGAGAAGAGAATTCCCTAGTGACCTCAATCATCTCATGTGGCTGTAAATGGTCTGCGAATACGGTCAGGGTGCAAAACATTTCGCCCATGTTATGCCTAATGTCAACTCCAGCTGCGTGCGTAGGCGATATCTGGACGGTCTGGTAAGCCAACCTCAATGAACTTCTCGACTTCCGCAAAGTCTTTTTCCACGAAATGCTCAACAAGGGTAAGTCATGCGAGCTATCGCCACGGACAAGGACTCCCGAGAATACCTGCAGAAGTTGGCTTATATTGTTTGGAATCCTACTTGTCGATTCACTTGAGGAAGTTTCTAGCTTGTTTCGTAGTGCGCTGAGAAGCTAATTCTCCATTGTAGAATGACCTTCCGATGGCGAGTATTGGGTAGTGCATGGTAATTGGTAAACCCGCTGAATGGCCTTTCATTTACAGATGTTAAGCGGTATATTACACTACTACGTTCCCTCTTCGCTGCTATCACTTCTACTTTTTGCAGCCCTTGGTGGGTTCACCATAGCCTGATGTACTTGCTTCAGTGGTGGCTGCTCCGTCCGTTCCGAATTTTCATCGTCGTTATCCACTTCCTCGAACGGTCGTTTACTCGTGCTTTGTCGACTCTTGGGCTGCTGCTCCTCTTCTAAAGTCGATTTGGGCTCAGTACAGTCATCCTTCTCAGCAGCCTTCTCATCTACGCTGTCTTCTTCAATTTCACCAACCTGTACGGCCTGATCGCGCTCCTCATCCTCCATCTCCTCAAGAGCCCTTTGTCCTGGGCTAGACTTCTTCGTCACGAACAAGTTCGCACTATCCTCTTCTCCCTTGCTATTCCTGCCTGTCTTCTCCACCTCCGGATCCATCGTGTTAGCATCCGGATCTCGCAGCGCCGCCACAATCTTATCCGTACCCATCGTATCCCCCTCCTCCGTCTCATTCAGATCCTTATCGACCCAGCCTTCCGTATACGAGCCCCCAAAATCGATCATCCACAACACATCATCCGCATCAACCAAAAAATTGTCGGCTTTTGCGTCGCCCCAGATCACGCCGTGCTCGTGCAATGCCTCCTTCATCGCCGCAACCTCACGCGCCCACCGTTCGCGCTTGCGCTGCGGGACGTCGGAATCAAGCTTCATCGTCAGCGGCGTAGCGCCGTGGATCTCGGACTGGAGGAAGCCGATTGCGTGTGATTGGAAGGTCGTCGACGACGACGACGACGAGACCAGGCCTTTGAGCACGGGAGCGCGTACCCGGTCGCGCAGGTCTGGCTGTGCGATGCGTTGCAGGAGCTTTAATTCGCGCTTCGTCGTCTGTGGCGCGACGCTGTCAACGGCCTTGAAGAAGTACACCTCGTCTGTCTTTGTGTCGCGCACGCGTACGGGATGGTACGGAGGCGGTGCATCGCTGGCAGCTAGCACAACCAGATTGTCTGCACTGTGCCAGGGGAGTTGATGCTTCAGTATGTATTTCGGCAGGGCGATTTCGTGCTCGAGGTTTGGGACTTTGCCCCTGAGTTCCGGCGAGTCCTCGAGCTCGATGGCCTCGAGGCGCTCCCATTCGTCGTCGACTTGGAGCTGGAAGAAGCGCAGGGGGGCGTCGAGCCAGGAGCGCAATGTCTTCTCTGGCGGAGTCGAATTTCGAGATCCTGGTTCTATGGGTACTGGAGCAAGTATCCAGTCTTGTAGTGCCTGCTCGGTAGAGTCGGTGTCGGATATGTGGATGCCGCTGTCTGCTTCGCCGGCTGAGGTGCTGCTGCCTTTGCCACTCTCGCCTGATCTTGCGGCGGTGACTAAGGCGTCGAATTCTTTGCTCGCTTTGCTATCTTTGGAGCTATCTGACGGGAGAAGCTTCTCTCTCGCGGCGATGATGTGATAGCGAATATGCGATCTGGGTTCTAGCACCGTAATTGCGCAGTCACCATCGTCGTCGATGAGGAAGTCGAGGACATGGGGACGAGCACGAGTTGATGAGACCATTTTGAAATTTCAGAGTGTGAGTGAGGATAGACGGCAGAATGTGGTATCTGTGTACCATACCATGCTCGATGGCCTAGAGATAAATCACACTGTGACAACATGACGATTGCGATGTCGATAGTGCGAGGTCGAAGCTAGAGTAAATGCACTTCGTCATGACTTTGACACAGACCCTGGACCCACCACTTCTAGGTAGTGATCGTCAGGTACGATCTGAGATCAGGACTCGATCTGGCAAAATGATCGAATACAGATGCCCAGTTACTCTCACTTCCGCATTAGCATTATTCCTAATTGTCGTCGGCAAGATTGACATGTCTTCGTATCCTAGGTGAACGATTTTATATCTGAGTCTAGGTGGCATGCTGAGTTGTACCCATACTGTGATCATAGGGCCGGACCGCTCCCCTGATTTTGGACGTCGGCATCTTGACAGCGATAACTCCAACTCAAGATTTCAACCATCTACTAGTGTAACGATATTCCGTTCGATGCGAAAAACAGGAGCCAAGGAGGCTGAGCCAGACAAATTGAAAAACAATTTTGAGCACCGATGGAAAGGAGTCCTGGGGATCAGATTCTCCACAAAGAAAGCGCCATTTACACTGAGAATATCATCTCAAAAAAGTAACACAGGTCTCTCCTGCAAAGGGCGGTCGTTGGCTTCTGAAGTGATTAAAATAGCTGGACTAAGCAGAAGGATTTTGGGTGAGCGAAAAGCGCAGAAGGATGGTGGAGGTGCCATTCGCAGGCACGGCCGGCTTGCGCAAACTTGTTGGGTCGAGGCATTATATGAGCGTCTGACGGGGGAATGCTGCTGCTGTTGCAGCTCATTAAAGACATGGCCACGAGTGACTGATACCTTGCACATCTTTTCTCTGAATTTTGCAAAGTCGAATTCAATGGAATTCACAGACGAAAGGTCTTGGGCGCACTGCTGAGGCGTGATCTCATAATCGATCTTGAAAGAGACTTTTTCAGTTTTAATCCTGTCCTGGCAAACTCTTCGATACGCGGGGTGCCGATAGGATAGCAGAGTTGAATTAAAGGTCTTTCGACTTAGATGTCACTATATGTCACGTACATGAGGTATTACTTACAGTAGTGACCAGAGCTTTGTTTCTAGAAATGTCAAGCCAAGAAGACTTTATCTGTTCACGGCTAGTATGCTAGCTAATGCACGTCATAGAGGGACAAATTTAGTCCTTATAAGCCGAGAAAGGGCCTTATAGGCCACAAAAGCTTTTGTCGAGCAGAGACACTCCGTATCAGTATTTTGGCTGACATGTTTACGCAGCGGTGTAGATACAATACAGTACATTGAACGATAGCTGGTACGTTAAGCATCCCCTTTACGACCGGGAGAATCGATATGTGGCGTGTGAGGATCCGAGTCAGGCTCTCATGGTTTCGAGGTGGAGACGATAGAGAGAGCGTGGATGGAAACTGGGAAGCGAGACAGGCATGAAGGGCAGCCCGTCTCGTTTCGGCATTAGGACGGGGCAAGTAACGGAGGAACGAGCTCGTTCGAGCGTTCGAGAAGGGCATCATAATCCATGAATCTTGACGATGGTTAGAAAATGTTTCGGAAATCAATAGAACTGTTGCAATACTTGTTGACTCGGCAGTGACGGTCGGCCGTGATTGGTTGGCCGGGCTGGGCAGTACCGCCGAAGTGTGCAGGGATTTGTTTACGTGAGATCTATATTGATAGATGCCACGCGACTCTATTTGGATGCCAACTGCCAACTCCAACTCCTATTGCAACTGTTGTACATCGTTGTTGCTATTGTCTTACTAACTTTCTGTTGCTGTTGTGCTGCCGTAGGATGTAGCTATTTGTGGTGTGTCTAGTGCTTCGGGCAGGATGAGGCAAGTTGCGGCATGTCATTGCATGACATTCTGCAAAGCAGGTCGCAGACGATTCCGCCAGATGCATGATGGATGCATCGTGGTTGGCCTGAGGAACTGTGCGATGCGAGGCTGCTGTCAAACGATAGTTGAATGCTGAAACGAAGCGTCTGTGTATGTCTGTGTGTGTTCTAAACCTGTTCCTGACGCTAAACCTGAAAAGGAGGGCCAGGGGGATGCAATTGGGGCGAGATGCCGGTGCATATCACGCTGTCAGACAGCCCAGACAGCCCAGAGAAGCCCAGACGGCGGCGGTAAGGGCCCGAGCTAGCCAGTGACATCGGGCTAAACCGCCAGTGGACTCTGCAGACACCCCCAGCTTCCAAACGACCGCCCGTGTCCTCCCACCGTCGGTCACCCGTCAGCGGCCACAAGGTCAGCTAAAGGTACCTGAGAATGGGCGGCTTTAGTGCCATTGCGGGCTGTCCCTGCCCCTGCCCCCTGCCCCTTTTAGCGTGCGCGGTTCGGCAATCCTCTCCAACCTCACCACATTAACCAACATCACCACTGACATCGCTCGTCTGCCTCAGGCGCTGATTCTTCCCATAGTTCCAACTGTCTGCTTAAAATGGCACACACACATGTACACACACATACACACACACACACACACACACACACACACACACACACACACACACACACACCCTAGGCCATGGGTCCCCTCCTGGCCGGTGCCTACAAGGGGCTCGTCTCCAGTCATGTCCTTGTCATTGATCAGTGCGCCAGCCCAAAAGGTCAATAGACTCGTGTTTCATGCTCCCCCAAGCGAGCAGTATTGAAGTAGACTCGGTCAAACCTCCACAGCCTGTAGATATATCTTGAGATGCTTCCCTTAAGCGCTCTTTTCTCCTTGTATTCCATTATCCTTCATCGGTCTTCTTCTCCTTGATCTTTCTCTGCTTTCTTGTACGCAAGTCATTCGCTTCCTTGCTGTGCGAGCTACGCGACTTTTCGCTACAGTTTTCCTTCCATTGGAACCAACACAATCATTTCTCTCCCTGTATTCACCACTCGTTATATCATTCACTCTTTTTGAGCCAGCATGAAGGTTACTACTACCGTCTTGCTTGGTGCGTTGGCCGCTCAGCAAGCCGTTGCCACTTGGGACCTGCATGCTCCTGCCTTCAGCTGCCCTTCAAAGATCCCTCATACCTGTGACGACAAGGAGAAGAGTGGCTTCAAGTGGGATGGTCTCAAGGTTGGTGCCGACGTCGGCAACTACAATGGCTACCAGTTTCCCGGCTTCAAGTGCTCCAGTAAGCTCGGAAAGCGTGATAACTTGGGCAAGCGTACGTTCCAGGACAAGTGCATTACCGGAAAGGTGACCAAGGACAAGTCCGCCGGCCCAAAGATCACTTGCCCGTCCAAGGAGTTCTCTATCAAGGAGTTTCAAGTCTCTGTTGATCATGATGTTGACGTTGAGTTCCACTATGGCATGCCCGATGGCTCCATCTGCAAGCAGCATGTCCCTTGCAAGGCTGGCGGTTCTACTGTCACCAACACCCAGTGTGGTGGTGCAAAAGAGGTCACCTTCCAGATCCCACAGAAAGGCAAGCACGATTCTTGCGAGATCGGCTTCCACGGTATTGACTTTTACTGCGAAAAACCCTCTCCTCCCCCGCAATGCGACGGCTCCAGCAACGATTGCTCGACGCCCACTCCTCCAGAGCAGCCTCCAGTACCTCAGCCGACACCGACTGGCGCAGTTACAACTCCGACTGGCGAGCTCCCGAAGCCAACTGGTGAGCTCCCGAACCCGACCGGTGAGCTCCCGAACCCAACTGGTGAACTCCCGAATCCGACCGGTGAGCTCCCGAAGCCAACTGATGAGCTCCCGAACCCGACCGGTGAGCTCCCGAAGCCAACTGGTGAACTCCCGAACCCGACCGGTGAGATCCCGACTCCAACAGGTCAGACTCCAACTGGCCAAGTTCCCAGTTCTATGGGCGATACTTCTAGCCCAGCAGACGAGACTCCCATCCAGACTGGCAATCCCCCGGCCCCTTACCCTCCAGCAGGCCCATCTGAGAATCCTCCAGAAGGTCCATCTGACACTCCTTGCAAAGACGACACCTGTGGTTCTTCTCCACCAGCTGTTTCAATGCCTCCGACGACCAACACTTCCTCTCCAGTCTTTCCGTCTGCTTACCCTCCTGTCGGATCGGACGTCGTTGTCTCGCCCAGCAGCATCAGCACTCCTAGCACTCCTAGCACTCCACTTCCGACTGCCGACTGCCCCAGCGAACTCCAAAGATGTATCAATACCTTTGCCAAGTTCAAGTGCACAGACAACACTGACTCCAAATGCTACTGCAAGGATCAAGGGCTCGTCAAGGAGATCATTGATTGCGTCGACGCCTGGACCCACGACCAGGACCTCATCTCTAAAGCCCTAAGTTTCTTCGTCGGTATCTGCGCTCCCTACGTCCCCAAGAACCCAGCCATCGTCACCGACTGCCCAACATCAATCACTCTCGGCCCAGGCTCTGGCCCAGCTCCTACTCCAGCTCCAGACGCACCCGCCTCCGACGTCCAGTACCCCGGCGCAGTCACCGAAGCTCCTCAGACCCCCGCCGTCCCCGCCGTTACAACCCCCGTCACAACCCTGACGGTTATCCAGACAAACACCCCAACCTACGACAACGAGCACCCGGAGAGCAGCGTCCTGAACACAACCACAATCACCATGACTGTCCCTCAGGTGCACTTCGTCACCGCGCCAGCTCCCGATCAGACCGGTTCACCAATTGTCGGCCTCATACCTGGTGCTCCTGCACCCGTATCTGCGAATCCCACGGAAGCGTATCCCACGGGTGCGTATCCCACGGGTGCGTATTCAACGGGACCACACACAACTGGCTTCGGGACCTCCGTTGTTGTGCCCACGCCGACGGGTACACTACCTCCTACTTTCACCGGCGCGGCTGTCAAGATGGGTACAAATGTTTACGGTCTCTTTGCAGGGGCTGTTCTCGCCGCTCTAGCCTTGTAAACTCCCCAGTAACTACACTGATCGCGAAGGTACATATCCGCGTCAAGGACATTCCGCCTGTGGAATGGGCAACATAAAAGCCGCCAAAACCCGGCATTGTTGATGTTTCATATAATCGCTCGACTCCGAGTCAGACATCTGTTGGTGTGAGCATTTGTCTTCACGTCACTCCTTTAGAACGTGCATAGATACCCGTTCATGCCCTTTTTTTGCGTAATGCCGATAAAATGAAGTTGAAGAGAGTTTAGACCAATCTGGATAGTTTGTATCAGTGTATTGTGATCTTGTTTGTCCTTGGAGTGTCATGATTGCGGACGGCCCATGAGATTCCCGGATGATGGACTGGGAGAATTATGGTCTCTGGGAAAGCAGCGCAAAGGACACGGTCATGTTCTTTATTCCACTCTACAAGTCACCTGATGAAACGCGCAAAACGACATCTTCTTGTTGGTTCTATTGCAGAGTGCTCATGGTTCCGATGGGGCAGAGAGATAAAGTATGTATGTAGCTTAGACGCAGAGTGCTTATATACCAGCGCAGTTTCGATTTTCTTTCTCTTTCGGAAACGGCCTTGTGGGGTTCTTGATAGCCAGCCGGAGAGTGACCTTCAGATTGGTGCAACTTGGAACATTGCCAAGTGGCATGCGGTGTGTGATTCATGATTCTTTTGAGCCTGCAATGCGATAATTTTTTATATTTTTGAGAGACCAATACAAGTTATCCTGAGTTATAATTAGTAATACACTCACTACCATGGACGTGCGCAGTAGTCTTGTTTAGATCCAGGGACTGTCAAACGTCAGTGCTTCAAGAAGCTATCAACCTTACCAAGTCGACGTCATTTGCAACAAACGTGCAAGTCTCTTTGCACGCGACGCGAACCTGCTAAACAAATGCGAACCCAACACAGATAGCTGCCATGTCGTTCGTGGTCGAGTAAGTCGCTGTCTGTGTACCTAAATACGCGCTATGCACTACTGACCATCCTCATAGCCAGGTGCGCCGCATCGACAGCCAGCTGGATCGCCTGCAATTGTCCACCGAATCCTCCGATGCTGAGCCCTCAATACAGCTCTTCACAATATCGGATCAAGAAGCGAACGACCCCGTCATAGCCGCTCGCGTGGTGAAGCTTCAGAGTCTCATCAAGAGTCTCTCGTCTACCACGACTGCGAAATACCCGTTAGTCCCAACAGAACGCATCGTTTCCGCCCTACGTCAGGCAGAACTATCCCCCAGGAGCTACGCGAGCATAGCTTCAGAAGAGGAGGCCACGTCGGGATACGAGCATGAGCTGGAGTGGCTACTGCTGAGCAAAGCTACGGTGCAAGCTTACGGCCAGGTGCTCGACACGATACTAGCGCAGACGATTCTTCTTTCTGATGATATATGGTACTGGGATGATGTGCTCGGCTCATACCGCTATGCTGGCCTATACTCGATACAGACATCGCCTATACGATTGTGGAATTGGGGCAAGGAAATTTATGCCGGCGTTAGAGCAAGAGACGTTGGACTGGAGCAAGGATGGCAGCGGTTCTATGGTCTTGTGAGAGATGTCGTTAGAGAGAGAAACATTGCTGGTATACAGAGGAGGGTGGTGAGTCCGATTGCGCTTGTTAGCAATGAGGCGCGGAAGAAAAGAAGTATGCTGAAGAAAATGAGGCTTGTGAATGCGAATGCGCTAGGTGTCTTGCTTGGAGAGAGTCTGAGTAACGAGAGCATACATGACGAGGGTCTCAGCAGCCCCATCGGCGGTGTTTCGATACAAGACAACCGCCACAGATGGAAGAGTGTCGTCACCAAGAGTATTGCCCTTATGGAAGCCGTGCTCACCACAGTTGGCGATGTGGAATCTACAGACAAGTTCGATGAGCTTGTTGCAGCTACCACCCAGGATGACCCTTACTATGAGATTCACGAAGCGGCGTCTGAGGCTGGTTCGCTATCACTAAAGACGTCCGAGGTGGGTGATCGACTCTATGGACTATTGACACAGAAAATGCCGCAATATACAGACAGCTTCAAGTCACTCGCTCGGACAAATGGCAGACCACCTATGCTCATACGGTATTGGCTACCTATGACCATAGGACTACTATCATCTTCGACTCTGCTGCGCATCTTTGTGAACCGCAGAGAAGAGATAATGTCATGGGTGCGTGAGTTCGGCCAAACAGTAATAGACTTTGGCGTCAACTGGGTCATTGAGCCTACGAAAAAAATCATTGGCACGATCCGTCACGATGAGGACAGTGAAATATCGATTATGAGCAAGCGAAGCTTACAGGGCGATCGCGAGAGCCTCGAGCGCATGGTCGTTGACTTTGCGGTCGATCATCCAGAAGGACCAGCTTTGAACGAGACTCAGATCTCAGACATCCGAGCACGGGTCAAGGAGGGAGACTTGACTACTGTACTGAAAGCTTATGAAAAGGACATGCAAAGACCGTTCATAGGGACCGTGAAGGGAAACCTTATCAGAGCACTATTGATACAGGTACAGAAGACTAAGGTCGATGTTGAGATTGCGATGAGTGGTATCGACTCAATGTTGAAAAGCCAGGAGCTTCTGTTTGGGGTTATAGGTCTCACGCCTGGTATACTCATCACAATTGCGGCTTGGCGATATCTGAGAAGCTTGTCGACCAGTAGACAGGGCATCCGACGGGGAACAAAGCAAGGTGAACTGATGAGGATACTCCGGTAAGTCTACCTCGTCAGCGTTACGGGGTCTCAGTCTCGTTGACCATGTGTAGGAATATCGATCGCATCCTAGTCAGTGCCACACCAACAGATTTCGGAGAACTTTCATACAAGGATCACGGTCTCCTTCTCTGCGAAGTTCACCTCCTACGCCAAACAGCATATCCAATCCTGCCTCGGAGAGAATTCCAAGACTTCCGCGAGGAGACAGACGAGCTAGTTGATATCCGTGCTGGACTGACTAGACAGCTCAAGGTTGCAGAACGGATTCGCTGGGCATACTCCAAGTACTTTTGACAATTGCATCGGTGGTTTTAGCGGCGACCCGGCCATTCGTCGCGCAGTCAACACATACGCACCTCGGAGAATATCAGGGGTAATACGTTGCGCGGTAGATAGATAAAAGCTTTTGTCGCATACGTTCATACAGAATAACGCCAGATTCATGCCATTCATCTCTGAAGTGTAGACCCAAATAAGGCGCGATTTCGAATGACAAGCTACATGTATATGGTTATCGAAGACTTCTTATGTTTGAAAACCTGAGGCAGAAATAGAAATTTGAACGTGCGTGTCCAATGTCGGCAGGTGACGAGTGCCGCTCCGCACAGGCTGCTCACTGTGGTCCTTTCTTGGCATTCGATGGATTCATGGCCCAAACCTTACGTCCCCAAAGCCCACGCTCCTCCGAACGACTGTCAACATCATCGACGCCTGCGCTTCTGTCCTACAAACCTGGACTTGGCTTACCACGGTATCACGACGCAAGACTTTGTCGACACCCTCAAGACATATTCCCAACAAACCGATATCCGAACCATACGTTTGGACGTCTCTAAGTTTCCCTCCATCTGCCTAGAACAAACTGCCCACGCCTGCGATATAGCGAACTTGGATCGAAATCACTACCCTTCTACACCGTACATACTTCCAGATCTCTAACATGGCGAATACAAGGAATTATGACTTCTTGGTACGTTGCATGCCTCCCTGCCCTTCTTCAGCTCAGTCATATCTCACCGAGATAGACTTTGGTCAGATACCTCGAACTGTGCTAAATGAATGGTGTACATACAGATCAAACTGCTACTCATCGGTGATTCAGGTGTTGGTAAATCATGCTGTTTGCTTCGGTTCAGCGAGGATAGTTTCACGCCTTCCTTCATTACCACTATCGGTATCGATTTCAAGATCCGAACGATCGAATTAGACGGCAAACGAGTCAAGCTTCAAATTTGGGATACTGCAGGTCAAGAGCGCTTCCGTACTATCACAACCGCATACTACAGAGGTGCTATGGGCATCCTTTTGGTGTATGATGTTACCGATGAGAGGAGTTTCAATAGTAAGTCACTCGTGTAGAAGACTTGACAGCATGCGTCCTTACCGCTGCGCATTCGCCGTATATGTTCAGTAGTAAAAGGATGCGGGCTGACGTGGACCTTAAAGACATCAGAACTTGGTTCTCAAACGTGGAGCAGCACGCCTCCGAAGGCGTTAACAAGATCCTCATCGGCAACAAGTGCGACTGGGAAGAGAAGCGCGTCATCTCGACGGAGCAAGGCCAAGCGCTCGCAGACGAACTCGGCATTCCATTCCTAGAAGTCTCGGCTAAGAGCAATATCAACGTCGACAAAGCTTTCTACAGCCTCGCCGCAGACATCAAGAAGCGTATCATCGACACACAGAGAACCGAGCCACAACAGGGCTCAAATGTACCCATCGGTGACTCAGGATCGGGCGGAAACCTGGGCGGAAAGTGTTGTTGATTGCAGAGACGGCGAGCAGATGGGGAGCATGAGGACACGAACATGGGTATCGACCGCACGAGACGTCACCGCACACGCTCCAATATTCACGTAGAATTAGCGTGCTCGATACTACGATATAACATGATGATGTTGGAAGGATGGGCCTGTAATAGGACGACGGAGAGATTAGCATCTACTCTGGGCGCTTTGGCTGGTCGGCTTGCTTGGTTTGGCTGCAGAACATCAGTGGTAGCGGCATCTCCTTAGAAGTTTGTTTTGGCCCGGTATCTGGCATTTTAATTCCCTGTTCATAGGTCTGGGAGTTGAATCGTGTTGCTTTACTTATCCTACCCCTTTTTATGTATAGGGTTGGGGAGACTGAAATCGTTTTTAGATGAACTGTTTTATATGATCTCGCGACTAGAACTGAATATGTAAGCGATATCGTAACGAGCTTTGCAGGAGTGCAGACATCCATTGACGCGACTGTATGCCGGCCTCATGAATGGAGTTTCCAAGTATAAATATCGCTTGCCTATAAGCTCTTGTAAAGATGGGAACTGACCCGGCGCGCTAACTCTGATAGGAAGTGGCGTGTGTGGGTGGGTGTGTTCTCTGGCAGGTTCTTTCTTGATGCCTTTCATTCATGTCTCGTCATCTCCCTACCTTCATCCTCTATACTACAAGTATGCAGCGACCTGGTGAGACGTTGACTTCTGTGGCATGAGCAGTGTTCGCTCTCCTGATCTGCTAATCTTCGCGTATTGAGCGACGCTCATCAACCACGTTGCCTTCATTTCTACAAAGTGATCATGAATAAGACAGCATTATCCAAATGTACTCCAACAGCTTCTGGAGGACGGCAGAAAGTAGTTGATCTGCATAGCTTCGTGGATGGCTTGACTTCATACCAGATTCGAGACCTCGTTGACATTTTGAAGTGCGATAGATTTCGGTTTCACCGCGACATTATCGGTGACCTTCCGGTAGAGCTTGTGATTATGATCTTTTCTTACTTGGATCCAATCGCGCCTTTCCTGTATCAACGCGTGAGTTCTACCAAAGTTCTCTGCTCATACGTTGCTGACCTTTCTTACAGGTGTCCAAACGATGGTATTGTGTGCTCTCGTCTGCGCAGGTTCTGGATGCATCTCTGTCACTATGGTATTCACCAGACGATCCTCCGCTTTTTGGTGAGACTATGGGTCTCCATGAAACTAAAAAGATGGAGCTGTATGCCAGACTTGAGCATATTCAACGCTTTCGAACTGGCTGGCATGCTTCATCGATGATTATAGACACCGTGATGCTCAATAAAGGGCAGAACAAAGAGCTATTGGCTCTTAATAGCAGGTTTTTGGCCTGGGTTGACGGCAACCACGATGTAATAATTCTCAACCTTTATACCAGGGAGCGCTACAATCATGCGACCCCTGGACGAACGCAGTCCCGCCTAACAATGTCTGAAGACTTATTGCTCATGTTACAACATGGTAGAACTCACTATGTCCTCGATCTTAATACCAGGGGAGTCTACCACTTAACGCTTCCTTCCAATAATATATCTGCTTTGAGTCTATCTGGACGAACAATTGCTTTCATGATGCACCCTGCCTATAGAGGGGGAGCGAGGACCATCATAATTTGGGAATCCAGCAATCAAAAACTGTCATCATTAACTCTTCTAAACGATCGTCCAACTACTTGTTCGTCGATTACTGATCCCATGGAGTAAGTTATTCTCTGACTAGTTAAAGATCATAGCGAGCTAAAACTACCGTAGATGTATCATGTCGCCTGCTGCGATTCATTTCATTGGCAAGACTCGAACTATACTAACAGCGTGGAAAGGTCATGATAGAAACACTGTAGTTTTGGGTGTGAAAAGATACACAATAGAAGGAGTTTTACTCGAGGAGGAAGATATCGAATACCTGAGTCTTGACGACCTGAAGTCAGGGCCCATCGAATGGCCTAAGGTCATGTCCGAACTGGAAATTGACATAACATGCATGTCTTCGTTCGCTGGCAGAGTCAATGTGAAAGTCGACTGGAAGTTTCACGATCCGTACGTTACCCGGGATTCGCCAGACTGGATCCAAATAGGACAGACGTGTACATACGAGTACGCCAACAAACATTTAACAACGCTGTCAAGGGGCTTCACGCTGCCTTCAAGTGGTCAAATCATAATGAGTCTCGGATGCAAGGGTTTCGACTTGTTTAGGACCAGCTCAGGGATAATATACTTGACGGGCAGTATAAATGGCAAAGTTAGACGCATGTGGCGAGATAGCAGTCATATTTCTACGAACATGAACGACCTGCACACTTTCAAAGACGTCAACGCGCTCCGTCCACATGAGTGGTACAGTCGCGACGAAGATCTTTGCCGTGGAACATTTCTCTGGAATGACCGCTTTCTTGTTCATGCAGACACTAGTATCTTTGTCTGGGCCTTCGATCCTCACTGTATGCTTGTGAGCGATGAGGAGGAGGAGCATACAGCGGGTTGAGTCAATCGAAGCTATTCATGCTCGAGCAGCCTGCTCGTGCTCCTATGACCGATCCCCTGTGAAACTTGGAGTGCATGTGTAAAACGAACACATAGGCTTAGCTTGGATATCTGCGATAGAAGGTCGCAATTGAAAGCCTCGAAACTCCAGATATAGGATATTCCGGCGTGATTAGGAGATCAGATCATTACAGGCAGGGCTGCAAGGAAGACCTCTGATTGGCCGTCACAACACAAATCGCAGTTCAATTCGCACGAATTATCAAATGTGTGTTCGTTTATAAGACTATCCAGTATGACAGAAAGCTTCTATGTCCTTTGAATTGCCAAGGATGGTACACCGAGCCCGCCTGGAGCTCGGATCAGTCGAAAGGAGTACAATAACTGAGATATGCAAAGCGCATGTAAGATTCATTGAATGCTATATAGATACCCGGTGCGCCATTTGAACATCAGATCGGATTCAAACTTCATCGGGCAAGGCAGGGGAGAAATTGACGACAACTTTCGCCCAAATCCAGACTAGAACCGCATGTAAGGCACATATCCCAACTCAAGTATCAAATCCCCACCCAATCTGATCACCGGACGACCCACCCGCAAACCGCATCAGGTTATTGACCTGATTCACCGCGTTGAAACCACCCCTCACGGCACCGACTGCCGCACCCACCGCTGCCTGCGCGCGAAACTGCGGCCCCAGGGGCTGATGCGTCTCCGGCCTCGCCAGCACTTGCGTGAGCAGATCATCACCCGCCATGCCTTCGTACCGATCCATACACAACTGCCGCACCGCAAGCCCGAACTTGTCCACCCACTGCTCCTCGCTGACCGTCGTGTACCGCTTGCGGCCCTGGGCGTCGAGCTGGGAGAACGGCCACTCGGCGCGGACGACGTGGTACCGCTTGGTGGTGAAGTACAGGATCGGCCACGAGAAGAGCCAGAGGAAGGAGAGGTAGAAGAGCCAGCAGATCCAGGTGGTGAGGCGCCAGGTGTTGAGCTTGGAGGATGTGTAGATGTCGACGGCGCGGTCGGAGACGGGGAATTCGATGCTGATGTGGCCTTTGTAGTTTGTGCTGCGGATGAGGCCCTCGATGCGCGTGCGCAGGTGGGTTTCGTCGAGGCCGGTGATGGTTCGGGTGAGGCGGAAGCTGTGTTTTATTGTCAGTGGTGTTGATGGTTGTGGTAAATTCTGGAGGGGTAGGGGGAGCCCCTGTCAGAACGGATGGAGCTTACATTCGTGTTCCGGCCGGACTTGCGCAGTACCGGTGGCACCACTCCTTTAATGTTGCTTTCTCCTCGCCGACTTCAATGTCGCCTTTTGCGCCTGGTGCGCGTGCTTTGAATACACCTCCACGCCACGTCTTCTCGCCATTGTCCACCGTACGCAGATCCATATCATTTGGACTGTAGCTCTTGAAGCCCGGCCATAAGTAATTCCGCATACTGACCAGGATCCGAAAGTCCGTCACATTCTCCGTAGTCTTCTTGCCATCGCTACCACGCCGCGTCTCCTTGTGGTTGCCGATGATGTGAATGTACGGCGCCGGAGCCTCGCGAGCCATTGCCTCGATCCACCGCTGAAGAAATGCGGGATCTGTGTCAGCACGGGCATCTTGGAGAGAGGCAACTTCGTTTGCGATACGAGTGCGTTTGGCAAAGATCCTCTTCGACTGGTATGTGATATGGCATTCAGGGGCTGATGTGCCGAGCGAGCGGAAGGCGTAGGCGGGGTCGTTGGGGTCGGCGTCGGTCTGAGCATTGGAAGTAGGTGTATAGACTGGTGGTGCGGAGTTGGGCATGGAGGGAAAGGAGGAGGAAGCATTGTCGCCGCCGTCGCCGCCGTCGTTGTCGTCGTAGCTATCGCCTGGGGTGGTGTGCAACGATACTGCATCGGGATCGTCGCGGTAGCTGGTACCTTTGGGAGCACCCATTGCGGCGGATTAGCGAGATCAAGTTTGCGCGATCGCCTTCAAGAGTCTAATTCATAACCCTGTGCTTTCTGCGTAAAGCGGTTATGAGAAGCCGGCAGAGAGGAGAGGGGTATATGGCGGTTGAGGAGATGCGAGGGCTCAGCCGCTTTTTGTTTTTTTGGGGACTGGGACTCTGGAACGACTGGTGTCGTGGAAGCGTCCAAGCGCGCGCGGAAATCGCGAGCCATCGTAGGCAACAATGCAGGGAGCGGGATCCTTCAACAACAGAATAGACGGACTGTTGGCGCTCTAGATTGGTATTATCGACGGTAGAGTAAGCCCTATCCTTAGCGAAGTTTTGGGAGGGGGCCAACATGCGGTAGATTTTGATATACTGTAGTAGTTAGCCTCGCAATGGCGCGAAGCGTGGCAGCCCAAACGGGTTAATCGCGTTTGTGGGGCCCCTCTTTCGGAACCAAGGTTCCATGGCATCACAACATCTATCGTGCACTCCGGCATTCATTCTTTCTAAAGAAAAAACATTTGTCACGTACGCTTCCTCAATAGTCTCTCGCGCTTTACATGCGATTAATACTCTTCGAACACCATCCAAGATATGTTCCTAGGTCTTCGCAACAGAATATGCTCCCTATGGAGAGACACAGTGTATACAAGTAGCCTGGTATAAGCATTGTAACAAGCATCGTTCTAGGACTTTATTAACGCTGCCCTTCATCCAGTTCGCTTTCTTAGGACCAATCATGCGTTACTTCCAAGCCCGCCTCCGTCGCCATCAGCTCCGATGCATAGAATCTGTTCGAGATCTTTCTCCCCGTTATGAGGCATTCTCGGACGAAGATGACGAATACGGCAATCCAATATTTCTCTATTCGTCATTTGGCTATATCAGCGATGATTACATAGCATACTTTGGCGAATCCAAGCTCAGGAAGCGCGATCTTAGTAAGAAGGATATTATGGAAAGTCTGCAACTCCTTCCAGATGAAGATGTGTACCCTTTAGCGCCTCCAAATGTCACAGTTTTCGCCACTCCAGTAAACAGTAACGTATACGTAAAAGGACCAAAGCTGCACACAGACTTCATCGGTACAGGAATGCTACCAAAACTTCTTCTACAGGAAGTCGAGGTAATGGAGCTCCTGCGGTGTAAGCCACATCCTAACATCATACATTACCATGGCTGCATAATCAAACGCGGTCGCATCGTGGGCATCGTCCTAGACCGGCATGCAGACACCCTAGGGCGGCGACTGAAGGATGGATTACGACAATTCAACGTCGAAGAGGGCATGGGCAAGATAAGATCCGCCGTCGGCCATCTCCATTCTCTAGGGCTGGCCCACAATGACCTTACGCCCATGAACATTATGGCGGATAGCTCCGATGAGCTTTTCATCATCGATTTCGGTTCCTGCCAGCCAGTCGGCTGTGAACTTATCACGGCCGGTACACCAGGATGGATTGATGAAGAATTCACCCATTCGGCACAGGTTCACGATGAGATTGCTTTGGGTAAACTCGAGACATGGCTCCAGACAAAGAAAGAAATAGATATACAGAGTTGATTTCAATGTAGAGATCGATTTAGTTCCGCCTAGGACATTTCTAAAGTATGCGAAACGTGCCCATGTTCGCAGGTAAGACGACGTATTTGGTGAGTTATTCGGTCCAATGTATCGAATCGAGGTTCTGCAAGTTGATATCTTCGCAGTCTAAAGGAAACCTTAGAATCATCATAATGTGGAGCACGGCATAGTAAGCACTGCTTTCCTGCAGCCCGGATCCATGTCAAATGGACCAGAAAGTGATATCGCATGAAGGATTTCGATGAAACCCATCTTGCGCATGCTTCGCAGTTAAACCCTACAGGAGTGGTTAGGCTAGTAAAATCGACTTTTATGGTTTGCTATATACTACAGTACGCAGCATACAGACATCCCGGCACGCTTGGCCCGGCGAAGTCAGAGGAGACGATGAGTTCCTTCAGTACATCCTCCTTACTTCATTTACACCTTGTTCATGGAGACCGTTAAGTTGTAAAGTACAGTACGGTTGTACGTGCCGGTGAATCCTACAAGTTCTCGAATAGAGACTCTGTAGCCTTCTGTTTTGATCACAATGTTCGTTTTTTGCCTGTCCATTCCTAGAACGCCTTGTTGTTGTGTAACAGTCTGTCGATGGAGACCCCAATGCCGTCAACTTCGAAGCAGTACGTGATCTATTCACAGTCAGTAAAGAGGTATCAAGTTTTAGCACGTATTCACGAGTCTGTTCCGGCGCTGTTCAAAGGTTATCATCCACTCTCCATGCACGTAATACGTTGATACCGAAGTTGCAAAAGCAATGCATCATGCTGGCACCCATCTTCAGGCCAGATACGGGATATCATACAATTTCGCCCAAAGAGACTCGTCAATGCCTGACAGAACATGCCGTATATCTAAGGTCTGATCCTTGCGCAATCTAACCCCTTTTGACGCCGGTGAATATTGGCCCGATCTCTTGCAGTCGCCTTTTCCGCCTTCCGACTATACCCCAGAACCCAACGAAGCTTTCCGCGTTGCTCGGAAATTCGAATGTCTCGTATTTATGAGCGACTCCAGATAAGTCCGAGGAAGGGTGTAGACTAAAGACGTAGTCGGGGTCGGTAGAACGCACCACTGGCAACATTGGGGGTATAGGGGGGATCGGCGAGGTGGAAGAAGGTGGCATTGCCGCCCGAATTCTTGGTTCAAAATACGTCTGGGATCGAAAGGTAACTGTCCGCTTGTAGTTTGTATGGATCTAAGACTTGTTACCCTCGATGCGGAGCAAATGTATGAAATTCCTTACAGATACCGAGACTAAGGCACGATCGAATACGGATAATATTGTATCCAACCTGATCAGCCCTTCGCCAGTCTCCAGTCTTAAGATCGAAGTTTCTCCTTCCATAGATCCGAGCGTGTACATAGCGCCTGAGCTATGAGAGAATGAAAGGCCAGCGACAGCGTCAGGAACAAGTGATACATGAATGGAGACCACTGAGCTGGGATTACCATCAGTTTCCATGGCTGTGCAGAAGATCTTTTCAGGAACAATCCAGGGGTTGATACGACAACCCACTAAATGCAGAGCCTGGTGGGCTTGGCTTTGTTGTGGGCTATATGTGACAATCGCGTGATCCCACCGTGGCATAGACGCCCAGCATATAGTATCCTAGTGAGAATCAGTGTTGATACCCTTATTTGCTTGAGAATTGGTTACCAATTTCTCGAAGGCGTTCGCGATAAACTTTAAACGAACTGCGCCCTCAGTACATTCCTGACCGAAATGCAATGATTGGCCATCAGACGTATCGAAACGAAGCGCAACTACTTTACCAAGCTTTGCGTGCCCGCTGTAGGCAGCCGTGTGCTCATTAGACGTCCATATGAAGATACCCGTGAGTTGCTCTCCTGGTGAAAAGTTCACAGCACCCGATTCATTAAGCCATTGACCGACGATGCCTGGTCTGTCCGTATCGTAGTAATCTAGCCAGAGCCCTGTGATATGCTCAGAAAGCCTGGAAAGGCCATGTCCCCCAACAGAGATGCGGATTTGGCGGACATTAGATAGGCTCGCTTGGGTTTGCATGTAAGCTTTTCCCATGACGGTGAATGCCTTTTCAGGAGGTTTTCGCTGGATTAAAAGTCCCTGTGATCCATTCAAGGACGTGGGTATTGATTGTGGCTTGATGTTCTTGAACGCTTGGCTTTGGATACCGAAAGTCTTGAAAGATCCGTCAAGTACCTAGGTAATTCCGAGTTAGCAATCGAAACACTAAATTTAAATTAGCGGAAGCACATACGCCGACTGCAGCTACAAAACCAGTAATCACAGCACTTTTGGGGGGTTCTAGCGTGGAGAAATTATCCACGGAGTCTTCGGAAGATGATTCGTGGTATAGCCCAAAGAAAGTATGGTTGCCCATGTTTGTATGAACCTTTTGGAACAAAATCAGCATCCAAATAAGGTAGTGTTAGGAAGTAGGCCAGTGCTGTACCTCGATGTACCTTATCCCAGTGAGCGATGTTGTGCAACCTACGGTCACTGCAGAAACTCTCTCCCCAGCCGCACCGTCAATATAGAAGGATGACTCTAGGCATTTGTCATTGTCCCGATCATTTTCAAAAGTATTCCCTCTAATACAAAACCTCTTACTTTCATTATCGTCATAAACAAATTTTAGTCCGCGGAACGAACTAGGGAAACCCTGAATAAGAGCAACAATTCTCTGGAGAGACGATAGGCGACGTCCATCAGGTCCAGAAAAATCCATATTCAATTGAAGATTGAACATTTGGGATTTTGTCTCGGCGGGAAATGACTGAATATAGTTCATGCTCGCTGGGACTCCTGGAGACCATATTTTACCAAAGATTTCCGCTCGTTCTCTTGCATGCTGAGCTTTAGGTACCATCTGAGTCGCGTCGTGAGATGCGGTCCCGCAGTCCGGAATGCGATAGTTCTGCTCAATAAGCTTAAGAGAAACAAGTTTGCATATCTGTCAATAAGTTAGATGCTGTCAGTAGACATCGAGAAGGATTCATACATCAAAACCTATCTCAAAAGCGAATATTCGGCTCTCATGATGTCGAAACAACCTAGAAACTCCAACATCTGGTGTTGTCATTCCGAAGTCTCCCGTCGTATGGGAAGAGACCCCTGATATACTGTTGGTTAAGAACCTCAGACCTACGATGCCAGAGATTGTAATTGCGATTTCCAAACCATCCAAAAGACAAGGATCGAAGCACACCACTTCCTCTGTCAATGGAATTATCAGGCCTAGCTTTTGAGGTACGACACTACCACCAGAAAAGCATGTGGGCCAAATTCGAAGTCCTGAAACGTATGATCTTCCATTAAACCACGTAAAAGAGACACCGATTTTTATCTGGCCTGAGCTGTCGGATTGGGGCCACTGTAACCAGCTGGATCCGAATTTTCTGGAGCCGATTCGGAGAACGTCTGTTGCATGAGATTCTGGAATGACTTCTGCAGAAATGACAGGACTGCAGGTGTGGCGACCAGAGAGCCGATGGCTACCCACATTGCCGCCTTGATGGACTGACTCGTTACTAATGAGATCATTGAGAGGTCTGGATATATTGCTCAGGATGTGCCATATCCTTCTTCGATTTTTGATACCCTGCTTTTCATTCGGACCCCTGAGAGAGTCTTTGAAGGCCATATAAAGCCTTCGCCAATCAATGTAACCTCCCAGCTCGGAGGAAGCCTGGCAGGCAAGAGCAAACCCCATTTCGTGCTCTTCTTCGAAACGGCTCGCCCAAAATGATTGGGGAAGTTCGTGGAATGAGCTAATACTGGCGACTCGGTCTGACGATTGTCGAAGACTACAGACGTCCATCGATGTAAGCCCATTCAGGATGAGCACGACGACTTCGTCAGGAAGTGAACAGAATACATCGGTGTTGTTAGGCTTATCCAAACGTGGCATAGAGGCGATGGTTGTTTCAACGAGGTTGCTCTCCAGGTAGTCTGCAGGGAGATGTTCTCGCGGATCGGCTGTCAGAAATGACCACTCAGGAGGAACTCGAGCCAAATAGCCAGGGTTTCCAGAAGTTTTCTGGAACTTAGAGGCACCGCCGTAATCATGTTCACCGATAGCGGTGTAGTACCTGTTCCACGGAGTGCAGTAGAGTATCTGAAAAAGAGACCTAGCCACTTGAGCACTATCGTGACCTTGCTTGGCGGTTCGACTGAGTAAGAGGCTCCAGCAGGCATCATGGAAGGGAAAAACCCAGTAATCTCCCGACCTGTAATGGAACGGATCCGTTTCCAATCCTTCGCTGGTATCAGAATATCGAGTTGTCTCATCAGGATGAACAATGAGATCATGATGCGGGTCAAGGTATCCTACACCGGTAACGAAAGGCGACGAAGTACCTCGAATCGATCTTACTATTCATTTCAAATCTCGTTAGCTGGTCGACGGCGGGCATGCTTTGCGACAGATAAGTAGTCACCTGCACGAGTTTCGGCGAACCAGGGAAGTTTCTTTACAGGAGGTTGCGGTCCAGTAAATGTCTGTAAGATGACGCCACAAAGGGGACAGTATGCGTCAAGCATTGTTGATAGCAGCTGCTGCGAAGGGACAGATGCTAACGAAGGCGTAATGAACATTCGAAACGAAGGACGTACTGGAAATAAATTCCGCCCTCCTATTGGTCAGGATCAGGGTGACTTTCTGTAAGTCTTGGCTAGCACTCGGTAGGCCCTCCTTTCACAGCAGTGAGCGCTTGGTGTTTATTATGACGGCAACCTATTGTCCTATTGTCCCTTAAAGAACAATCTTAGAGAACATTCAGAGGCGACAGAGTATGCAGGCTCAGTTTCATGATAAAAGACACTCGAGCCATTCAAGTGAATATTGTGGAAGGAGCTACTCTCGTTGGTAGCACTAATTAGTACTTAGCGTTGTGTACTTAAACCGTCTCTTACAGACTCAACACTCTACTCAATACAACAACTTCTTACAACAAGTATCCGTATACACACTCAGACTTCTTGACTGTTTGGTCTTCCATCAACTGAAAACTCTTCGTTATACTCTTCTACTATATCTCGTCTGAGACACCTGCTTTGCCGTCAAAGAATCTACAATATGGCACATCCTCGACCCGACGGACAGACCTTAAATTCTACCAATGTCTCATTTATGAGCTCTCTCTGGGCTATAAAAGCCGGTACATTGGAAGAAAAGGTTCAGATTCTCTGGAACGGCATCCTGAACACCTATTTCCCACCGACTGAGCCGTACAAAATTGCGATCAAAGCCGTTGTGCTCACAGATAATACTGCGCTGGATGCGGTTATCTTTGAGATACATGCCTTACAAGAACCTAGGTCTTCACAACACCTTCAAGAACCTAGGTCTTCACACCAACTTCAAGAACGGCAGATCTTCATGGTCGAGTGCAAAAGAATTTCTGAAGACACACTGGAGGGCTGGTTGGGCGCCCAAGCACAGCTCCTTGGCTACCTCGAATCGAATAGCAATGTCGCCACTTGCAGCGGCATGTATGGTGCCTGTACCATTGGAAGCAAGGTCATGTTCTTCGAGTGGATCAAAGATTCCCATCGATTGACTGCAATCAGTCCGATGCTCGACATGAAAGAACCAATCGACCGTCCTGTTGTCGAGGATATGCTAATTCGCGTCAAACAATATGGTTGGATTCGCACAAACTGATCATTCTGATAAAGATTACTAGACCGTCGACAAAACCAGAATACAAAGAAAACGCAGTACCTAGTCAAGTGGAAAGGCTGGGGACCGATACACAACCAATGGTACAACGTGGAAGACCTGACCGGTGCTCGCGAGCTCCAACGAGAATCCGAAAGCATACCACCAGCTCGTCATTCTCAAAAGACAGCGCCAGTCAAATTCGAAAGACACCAGCGCGAAAACGCACCAGTTCCTGTTCCTCCAAAAGAACGTCATCGATTCGTGAACGCAAACACCAGACGCTTCCGCATATTCAGCAAAGTGTTCACGAATACTGTTAATGATCCATGAGGATGCAGCGCTGTCTCTCTAGAGTTAACGACGGAGTTCTTGTCTCGCCATAACTCTATAAAGGGAGAAGTTGGACATTCAGCAATTCAAGCACGAAGTCACCAGTCGCATGAAATGCAAGGACCTCGGGGAAGCTCGCCTTATCTTAGGCATAGAGATTGATCAAACCCGGAAAGATCAGATCAGACTTTCTCAGAAGTCCTATTCCCTGAGAATTCTCAAAAGGTTCGGAATGACAGAATGTAACGGCAGGAAGACTCCAATTGACGCAAACCTCTTCCCAATGAGATCAGAGGATATCGTTGATCAGGAACGTCAATTAACGTACATGCAATTGATTGGGTCTCTCAATTACCTTGTCACTGGCACTCGTCCAGACCTCGCATTTACTGTCGGCATGTGCGCCACATTTAATGCGAATCCCTCAGAACAACATGCACAAGTTGCGTTTGGATTTGCGGTATTCGGATCTGATCCCCAAGAAGCATCGGAGAACATACTGATTTCCATTGGACTTTTGGATCTCTTTAGAACAAGGCAATGCTCGATGGTGTGATCAATGAGTTCCCTGTATTTTGCCGCTTTCTCTTCGTCTGTAAGCTGAGGACTCTCTTGGGAGGGCGCGGTTTGACGGGTTTCGTGTTGCTCTACCGAGAATGATAAAGGGATGTCAATTATGTCATCATCATTACTCAAATGGACCGATATTCAATGGCGCAGCTGAATGACCCAACGAACGTTACCCTTGTAGTATGCACTGTTGATGTTGGCAAAGCGGAAAGTCCTTGATTTGTAGTCTTGATGTATAAGCTAGCCGTGAGCGAAGGAGAAATTACCACAGAAACATGCGGTCAACCTACCTGTTTTGCGGGATGGTTTCCGTAACAACAAGATATTGAGAGTTATAATCATTAAGGTCGTATTATATAGTCATACTAGAAACTTCTTGAATATAGATACGAAATAAGATAATATTATGGAGATGAATACTCACAAGATATTCATAGAGGCTTGAAATAGAGTAATACTAGAGTTCAAGCACGTGATGCCGCGTTGCTCACGCGTTGTCTCTGATGCTAGGCACCCCTTTGTCTTAACTAGGGGTATCAAAGAGACAGAAGGTTATTCTTGTTTTGGGACATGTCGCAGTAACTGTTCTGGCGTTCGTGAAATGTGACTAGTCGAGATGTAACATGGAACATAATGCCACCATGAACCAGACCTTCGATGGATTGACCCACTGTCCAACAGATGCAAACTAGCCTATGAAAAGGGGTCACAATCCCACGAAGAGACAAAGACAAGGCTAGGAAAGCTGCAATATCTATAAATATTGTTGGATGCCATACAGTGGTAACAAACCTAATCTAACTCTTCGTGATCCTGGAATGGCCAATGTTCGTCTAGCTCCCTCCTCTCATCGTCTGTTTCAGCAGCGTCTAGCATTTCATGTTTGATATATTGCTCTTTCTCCTTTGCTTCATTGTATGATTCATTCGGCACCCATCCATCGATGTTAACACCAATGAAGTCGCGCAGTTTCTGCATTTGTGCATCTGCGTTCTTCTGCTTCGTGTCAATATCGAGGCAGTCTGTGGCTTCTGCTTCGGAGTATTTAGCAGGGAACCCAGCTCCTTTCGTCGCCGAATTGGCAATATCAGACCAGTAGGCCGACGCATGTACTAGTTCCGCCTTGAGTGATGTATTATCGCCTTCCCACGGCCTGCTGGCAGTGTCATATAGTCGATTTCTTACAATAAGGTCATATGTTCCCATCGCGTGAAAATGAGGCTTATTGTTGCGATTAGTAAAACCCAGATAAAAATAGTGGAGCTGTCGTCGGCGGTAAAGTTCCGCCTCCATTTCCTTCTCATTCTCGGTCAAGGAGTCGAAGTTGTCAGGAAGCGTTGGGGGTCGGAAGTTCTCTGAATCATCGTCGCCATAGTTCTGAAAATGCTTTGGAATCTTTGCTTGAAGGAAAATGGGAAGAATCGCGCTGCGCTGCCAATCGATGACACCAGTGATCTCGCCGGATCTATTGACGAAGATGTTACTGGGTGAGAGATCTGGGTGACGGATCGTAGGTTGATTCAGTTCCTCTCTGTCAGGAACGATGTGCGGAGCAACTTTCAGATAGTCCAACAAACTGCCTATTTGCACTTGCGGGTCTACCTTTTGGCGGTCATAAAATTCTCTGTAGAGCGGTTCACGGGGAAAACGTCGCTCGCCAAATTTTCGAAGCCAGGTCAACTCTCTCTGACCAACCGCCTTCAATAGATCCTCGGAATGTTTCCCTACGCACCACTTGTTAGATATCTGAAAGTGAGATAATTTAATGGTCTCTTACAGGGGCCTCGATTGATATCTAATTCATCTCGCATTTGATACCACCAAAGTAGTTCACTTGAAGGTCCAATGCAAAACTTATCTGTTCCCTTTTGGCTGATGTCTGGTGACATATTCGCTGTCGTTATATTGGAGTCCAAGGAATCTTTGTAATATAGACTGCCACTGGCAGGGAATCGTATAGCAAAGAGAATCTTTTCAATATCAACGATCTTCTCTACTACATCCATCCTTTCTCGTAACGTCATACTATACCAAGTATCTTCCAACTCTACACCCGGAACTTTCTCCATGATGATATATTCAGACCCAACTTGATTAGATGTCGAGGAGTCCCAACTGAAGACCCTAGGAATTGGAACTCCGTGCAGTCGTAGAAATTCCATCGTTGCAACTTCGCTGGCGATACCATATTTATGAGGAAGCGTCGAAGGGTATGGAAGGCGCACCATCACCTTCAGTCCATCTTGGAAAGTAGCTTCAAAAACACGATAAGAACCGCCTTCGGCAACTTTTGTGAAACTAGTAATCTCATCCGAAGAATGGCCGACAGACCTGGCAACAACCTGGCAGAGTTCGTGGATGTTGAAATACCGTCGTCTCTCAAGGAGGCGCAGGCGTTCATTGTAGCTACAGCGGTGCGGTGCTATTAGGCTAGGTACGCGATTCTTGATGCTTTAGAGCTACCAAAGCAAGACTTACAGCCATTTGCCAGATGTGTGATTATAGAATGGGTGGTTTGGATCGCTAATGCTTATTGACGCTCCGCTATCCTTTGGTACAGGTTTTGTTGAAGAAAGTGCTATGTGTAGAGTTGAGAAAAGGTGTGGTCGATGGGTAAAAGAGTGGAACAACAAGGAACGAGGCTTTATGGGGTTGAAAAGGGTTCTTGGCATCACAAAAACAATTGGTGTTTTCACTTGAGAGAGAGGCTTGAAACAGGAAACTAAAGAGGAGCGGATAATGTTGACAGCGGGCTTTGACTAGTAGCTGAGAGTGCTGTTCGTTCGAGAAATTATTAGCTGCTAAGATGAACGCACGGACGTTTAACAGGTATCCGCTGGAACGTCAAAGAAATGTGAACCGTGTAGGGTATTTATTCTTAGTTCGCTAATTATATTCCCGATCGAGAATCTTGTACTGGCTTTACGAACGCTTCGTGAGTAACGTGAAGTAGTGTAATTTGACCGCGCCCTCCGATGACTTGGGAAGCGAGGAGCTATCCATCTGATGCCAGATGATGTCCATCGTCACGGGTACTTCCATGTACGAGAGTAATGTGTCAGCATGCGATCTGCATTCGCCTCAGTCTTCTCTGCCCTTATCATGCTCCTCGTCCTCCTCGTCTGGGTGGTCAGTGCTATGACTGATTGCATCTTCAATGAGATCGCTCGTATGCTCTGCATCGAGTAGCGTCTTTTGCAGGTATATAAAAATATCCTTGTAGCATCCATGAACTTGGCGACAACTGGGCAGTGGCGACGGCCGGTTCGACTAAAGCTCAACTAAGGATTAGATGAGATTCAACGACAGTAGTCGGCGTGCGTTAACGATGGAAGTAGAGTCACAGGACAGAGGAATAGGCGTGGACGGGAGAGCAGGATTTTATATGATGGGACGAGGCTGATGGATTCCTCGTTCGGGCGTAGCGCGAAAACTATGGACACGCGAGGCCCGGATTGCGACAGTGCAGCAATGGCTCTGACTCTACGATTTGCAATTGGCCCGAAGCTTTAATATCCCAAATAAATTTTGGTTGCACTCACATACTGCTTTGCCATCCCATCACGAAACCTCAAGCAGATGCACATGCTCGGACAGCTTTGGCTTGGTAGATATATATACTACAGAACACTCAAAGGAACGATTAATTGCAGCTCCTTGCGACCAGGAAACTTCACCGCGAGTCGAGGTCTTCCATCACAACTTGGCTTGGGGGGAAGCCACTCTCGTTCTTCGCGCATATACCTGCGCCCTCTGACCGCGATGGCCGACAAAGCTCCCGTGTCTCTCTCTACTCCTCCCGCAGCCGGCCAGCTTGTTGAGCATGCGGGTATTACTTATACGACGGTCAAAGAAGGCCACGCGCACATCCTTGTCCCGCCAGAATCCATCGTGCCTACACAGGCTAGTAAAAACCAGAAGAAACATCAAAAGAGCAAAGGAGAAACGAATGTAGGCGCGGATGCAGTCAGGCAGAGCGTCTTTTATAATCCGATACAGCAATTCAATCGAGACCTGAGTGTACTGGCGATAAGAGCTTTTTCGGAGGACTATCTAGACAGAAAAAAAAGGAAAAGGGAAGCTGCCACGTTAAGGAGAGAAAACAAAGACAAAAGGAGGAAGGTCGAGGAGACTCATGGAGAGATCGCTAGAGACACCGTGGACGCCGGTCAATCGAAGTCAAACCACGAGGATGTGTCCATGGTGGACGTGGAAACAACAACTGGATCTGCTGGTAGTGATGCGAATCATAACGAGATGGCACATAAGAGGAAGGCAGATGATGCTCATTTGGACCAATCAATCTCGGACTCGGATCTTCTACTTGCGGAGCAAAACCTACCACAATCGACAGGACTGGGCAATGTGGCGGCGCCTAAACCACAGCGGCCTGATATTCGAATATTAGATGCACTATCTGCAAGTGGACTCCGAGCTTTGCGATACGCTAAGGAGCTTCCATTTCACACTGCCGTTACTGCGAATGACCTGTCCAAACAGGCTACTGAGGCCATAAGAGTGAACGTGGAGCACAATAGACTTCAGGACCAAATCACGGCCAGAACAAGCAATGCAATGGCGCACATGTACAGCTTCGTATCTTCAGATGGATCGAACGAGAGTCAGAAGTATCATGTCATCGACCTAGACCCGTACGGCACTGCAGCACCATTCCTTGATTCTACTATGCATGCTATTCAAGATGGCGGGCTACTCTGCGTTACTTGTACGGATTCAGCTATATTTAATTCAACTGGCTACCTTGAGAAGACATATACACAGTACGGTGGTCTGCCTATCAAGGGATGGCATCTGCATGAGGGAGGCCTGCGATTGGTACTTCACAGTATCGCCACTACAGCAGCTAGATATGGCATGGCCATTGAACCTCTGCTATCTCTTTCCATCGATTACTACATCCGTGTGTTCGTGCGAGTGCATAAGTCACCTGCGGATGTCAAATTCTTGGCTGGTAAGCAGATGATCGTCTACAATTGCGATGCTGGCTGTGGTGCATGGAAAACCCAATATCTAGCTCGATCTGAGCCAGTAACGAGGAAAGATGGGAGCGTGTACTACAAGCACAAACTTCAGCAAGCCCCAAGTGCCTCGCCATTATGTGAGTTTTGTGAAAAGAAGATGCATCTCTCAGGGCCTATGTTCGGTGGCCCGCTGCACAATCCCGCATTCATAGAGAAGATCTTGAGTTATCTGCCAAACTTGGATGGAGACGTCTATCAGACCATACCCAGGATGGAAGGCATGCTGCAGACGGCATACGACGAGATTTTTGACGACAAGCCACAATTACGAGATGATACGTCTGAACACAACGACAATACGCGTATTGGAACATCAGGTTTGGAGGCAAAAGGAAGCAATGATATGATACCGCGGATGAATCCGGCAGCTATCGACCATTTCCCTTTCTACTTCATTGCCAGCCATACGAGCTCGGTCATCAGATCTCGAGCACCTCCTGACGCAGCTGTCAAGGGAGCTTTGCGTCATGCTGGCTATCGTGCCACAAGAAGTCACACCAAGCCTGCTACTATCCGCACAGATGCACCATGGTCATTCATCTGGAAAGTTTTCCGTGCCTATGCTAGAGAGAACGACGCTATCAAAGAAGGTGCCTTACCAGAAAGCTCGCCTGGATTCAACATCATGAAGGTGGATGACACGCCCAAAGAGGGCGAAAATACCACTCCAAAAATCATATTCGATGAAGAGCTGGGGCGTGACAAGGTAAGCAAAAAATTGGTCAGATATCAGACCAATCCACGCGCCAATTGGGGACCAATGCGCCGTGCGAAATGATCACCTTGATGGCGCAACTGTACATATACTTATCAGTTATGCCCTTAAGATTCAAGTGGGACACTGATGAATGATTGGAATCTTTGGTACGGTTGCACAATATATCGGGCAGTCGCACGCATACCGGCCTTTCAAAGAATGTATGAAATCAAGCACCCTACAGTCGTGACCATTTTGTCGTGACGGTACCTAAGTGCTGAGACGTGCCCCAGTTTAATTTCCACATGTTCGCGTCATCGTTACCTCCATGCCAGTCTCGCAAAATGTTTTCCACTCATAATATCCCTGCTGTACCACCCTGGTCGCTTTCTGTTTCTGCATAATTGATGAAAGAACTGTAGAAAACACACCAACAGGAACGAGAGAATGCGGAAGTCTTGTCGTCTTCTATCCATTCGGACCTGAAGTCATAACGTTATCACGCCTTGGCTGCCTCTGTTGGAACCAGATCTTGCATTTTCTTACATCGGATTTTGTGCAATTGCCATCAGCGTCATCAATTGCCATGTCCAAACTGATCGCCCCACATTATCGACCAGGCGGTCCCATAATCCCCCAATCCATCTGCATTCCAGTAGCACTTGCAGCCTCGCCACCCATATTGCCGCTGTTGTACACATATCTGATCCTGCTTGAAAATACCCGACATGCATGCTCGCGACGGGCACATCATGTGTCCACCCAACATTATCAAGCTGCCAGGTCACGATAATGCATCGGTTAGGTCGCTCAACCTATTCTGGTCTGGTCATAGCTATGATCAAATGCCAACATCTCCACTATAGAATCAAAGTAGTGATCTCATTTGCTGTAGCGGTATCACATCATCCACCGAAACCAGGTACTAGCCTTGTGTTTTGAGAGCTCTCAATCGGGACGTGATACATATCCTCCATGTCATCGCAGTCACATTGATGTCACCAATGCCCTGGTTAGCTTGCGGCCTTGCGCACGGCTGCTATAATTGTCTTCCAGAGCCATCCTGTCAATTTTGAGTGCCAGATCTGACAGTCCTTCGTCTAATTGACACTCTCAAGATGTTTTCAAAGAGAGTCCTCATCTCCCTCGCGGCGTATGCTGCTGCATTCCCGGCCCCAGAGCCACAGGTTGCAGGCTATACTGACGCTAATGCTCCGTACGCGGATGATGCGCCAACGCCTGTTACAAATATTGCCAGTTCGTTCGGCCCTGGCTCTCAGATCCCTTACACAGTGGTCACTCCTGCTGTTGCTGCTCCTCCTCGTGTCAGTGGTGCTGCCGGTGTATTGACTGGGCACACCAGCCATGGTCCGTATGAAGGGACGCCTACAACTATCGGTGCTGTTCAAGCACCCACAACTTTGGGTGCACAGATTCCGATGTTGCCGCCGAATCCAACTGCGACGTATTACAATAAAGATGGAACGCTTCAAGAGCCGGCTCCAGTACCGTACCAGCCAGCTGGTGAGTCATTCAAGTTCACTAATATGGTGGAGACATGCTGATATCGTTCCAGGTGGTCTAGGAACCAACGGCACTGAGCCACGATATATGGTGAACAGTGACTTCGACTTTGAGTCTCTGTCGCTAGGTCTCTATCAGGAGTGGATCGAGCTCGATTTGTTCAATAACGGACTAGCAACATTCTCTGAAGAAGACTTCCTTGCTGCAGGCTTGACGGGTGAAGATCGCGCTCTCATCGCGTTCATGGCCCAGCAAGAAACTGGGCATGCAACTCTTCTGACCAACATGCTTGGTGAAGCTGCGCCAGGCCAGTGCACATACAACTACCCATACAGCACTGTCCGCGAGTTTGTCGACTTCAACCAGAAATTAACCAAATGGGGCGAGTGTGGTGTTTGGGGTTTTATCAACCATCTCGACTCTCGCGAAGCTGGTCAACTACTAGCTCAGTCAATCGCTACGGAGACACGTCAACAAATGTCGTTCCGCCAGATGCTCGGGCAGCATCCTTATCCCTTCTGGTTTTCGACTGGTATTCCACAGTCTTGGGCTTGGACATACTTAGCTCCCTACATCTCCTCGTGTCCGGAGAATACCACGCGCCTCGCATGGCAAAACTTCCCGGCTCTTACCATCGTTAACCAAGCCAATCCTAACAGATGGAATCCAAACAACACCGCGCCTGGTGAGGTTGTTGGCCAGCGTGTCGCTGATCCTAGTAACTCGACGATTCCTGATGAGGAGAGCTGTGTCAACCTGAACGTGACCGGTTATGGCTGCGGACCAGCTATCAGCCGTAATCGAACGAATCCTCTTTCATTTCCCGGAAAGATTCTGAATCTCAAATGGGAAGAACCAGGCCTGGCAGTCGGCCCCAACAATAGCTATGTCACCTCGACCACTGCGGCACAGCCCGCCTTTGTTGCTTGGGTTTCGCAGCTCAACCTGACATACACTCCCTTAACCATTACTGGCCAGAATGAGGGTTGGACGTATCAGCCTGCTGGCGAAGTGTACGAGGGCGACCCGGCTGTCAACGGTACCATGTTCGTTGCTTTGACTGATACGAACATGACCTTCACCGCTTTTAATTTGTCAAACATCAATCCGCACGTTCGCGCTCTTGGGTTATACACCGCTGGGTGAGCAACGTGTCGAACAGAAAGTGTTGTATTTTGAAGAATTATTGTTGTTTAATGATGTATGATCGGACGAAGTTTACAGTACATAATAAGGCACGATGATGTTGTATAATATTGAATGAATTGCAACATTTATCAGATTATCTACATAAGTCGTTCCCTAGCGTGACACGTGCGTAGTCAAATACGGTCTAACGCTGATTTTAGCCCACTAATGGAAGTTATCTGCTCACTCCAAATGCCCCATCACAACATTCACTCCTTATCCGGCCTCTCCGCAAAACACCAAAGCTCCATCTCCAACTTGGCGATGTAGCCATGGCCGATGCCGGCCATTCCAATACGACTCCTCTGGATCCACATCAACAACATTTCGACCCTTCACTTGTCGCGCACCATCACAACTTCAAGAATATAACGGCGAGCCACTTTGACGGCTCTGCTTCATTACAGCAGTTCCCCAATCTGAGTCAAGGTTATGAGGAGCAACCAAGCCCGAGCGTTCACTCGAACGTACAGCATAATGTTCCCTCCACGCCCAATATAGGGATTCCAGAACACCAGTCTTTCGACATGGCTCCACCACCCGAAACCACGTTTGGCTCTTTTGCAGACCTCCACGCGTTCGCGCAATCTCATGCTGCGGCGCATGGATACGCGCTCTCAATCAACACTACTGCGAAGAACCGTGCTCGCGTCAAGCTTGCTTGTGTGTGCTACGGTAACCCAAAGAATACACATAAGCTCACAGATGAAACCCGAATTCGTAAGAATCGACTGAGCGCAAAGACTGGTTGTCGCATGTGGGTTGAAGGCAAGAAAATGGATGATGGAACCTGGGTCCTACGGGTGGGACAAGGAAACCACAATCATGCGGGGCGCAATGTAGAAGAGTGGTCTGTACATCGACGACGGACCTGGGGCCTCGGGGGAGCAGGTGGTGGCATTGTCGCAGGCGCTGTACCTGCAGCACAGACGCGTGTAGGCGGCAATGGCTCAGTAGGAGAAATCGTGTGGAAGATCGTCGAGACTGAAATGGCTCGTGGTTCTGCTGGTAGCGGTATCAATGAGCAAACAGGCGCGCGAGATCGTGGAGTGGGCCGCACAGTGAAGGTACTACAGGAGCGTTTACCTGGTATCCGTATCTACAAGAGAGATATTTACAACATTCGAGCACAAATCAAAAAGGCCAGACTCGAGCAGGAGCAAGCGCAAGAGAACAACGGCGATACTTCAATGACGGACTTTGGAGCAAACAGCCAGGATTTTGCAGACCTCGAGTCTCAGCTTGACCCAGCGCTCATGAGACAATGTCAACAAGCCCTTGACAACCAGCAGCAGAACGCACAGCTGCAAGGAATGAACAATAATGGCACTCCCTCTCAGCTAATACGGCAACCCTTCATACCTGCGAGCGAACAACAGCTTCGCGCGCATGAGCAAGCGAACGAAGATGAAGTACTGCAGCTGCGCATCGAGAATCAAGATCTCCGGGATCAGATCGAGAAACTCAAGGCTGAAAGTGGTAGAAATACTAGGGAGGCCGAGAAAGCCAAAATTGAGTCGCAAAAGCTCAAAGTCCAGGTCGAGCAATTGAAGCTGGAGGTCATCTATCTTCAAACTTCTGAGAAGGATACACAGTAGAATTGGCGACGGCTTGTATGCCAAGGTGCGATGGAGGCATTCATGGATGATCCATGCTGGCCGTTGCACTCCGAGGTACTCCGTACTTGGTCTCAAAGCAATTCCGCTTCGTTCAAACAGTCATTCCGATGTGCTGTTACTTTGTTTAGATTACCCATGCGGCGTTAACAAGATGTTTCGATTAAGTGTTTCTCCTCATATCTTAGCGCTACATGGTCAACCTTCATTAGGTTCCAAACCAGCTCGAAGAGCGCGATTTTCCTATTTTATCTATGCTACGCCCTCCCTGTAGTTTCGAAGGCTGTGTAGTGACATTCGAAATGGCAACCAAGTGGCGCCGACGGGGTTGGTGGCCAAGATCAGCTTCAGTCGCACCACACGGCGCAAATTTTAAGATCAACATGGGAAGGAATGTATCGTGAGTTTTCATGGCCAATGAATTCCAGAGCCGACAGCGGAAGATTGGGTCTTCTGCTCACCAAGAGCTGCAAGGATCCACCCTGATTGCTGAGCTGTTCCGGACGGTGTGTGTCTTCCACTGCCCCTCCCCGTCCAGCTACAAGTGGAGAGCTATGATGTCGTTCGATACCTCTCTTCGCTAACGAGGTACTCTGGGTGATCGCTCAACAAAATTTCTCCTGCCATCGATTGAGCCTGCAAAATACACCTTCTTGCGCTCGAGAAACCACAACATACTGCTCGTTGTTCATTCTTTCTAGTTGCCCATTATGTCTCAAATGCCTTTCCGGTCCACGCCTCTAAAGCGCCCCTCAAGGCAGCTTTCACTAGACCCCCGCGAGGACCTCAACCCTCAACTGAAGCATTACATTGGTATCGATGTGGGTACGGGCAGTGCCCGTGCGTGTGTCATGAACGAGAGGGGAGATATCGTCGGGGTTGCTGCTGAGAACATTGGTCTCTGGCAGCCACAGACTGGATATTACGTACGAGCTCGTGGTTACGGTCCCATATACTCGACTGATGCAAATATATACAGGAACAATCAACGACAGATATTTGGCGATGCATTTGCCAATCTGTACGAGAGGTAATGACCAGTCATCAAATCGACCCAGCTACCGTTCAGGGCATCGGCTTCGACGCCACCTGCTCTCTGGCCGTCTTCTCGCATGACACGGACGAGCCAGTCGCAGTGACAGGGCCCAATTTCGAGAATGATGGGAATGACCGAAATGTCATCCTGTGGCTTGACCACCGACCGGTCGAGGAGACCAACAAAATCAATGCTACAAACCACAATTTGCTGCGATACGTTGGGGGCAAAATGTCGATCGAAATGGAAATTCCGAAGGTGTTGTGGCTGAAGAACAATATGCCAAAGGAGCTGTTTGATCGTTGTAAATTCTACGATTTAACGGATGCCTTGACGCATATTGCTACTGGCAACGAGACCCGGAGCTTCTGCAGTGTGGTGTGCAAACAGGGTTTCGTACCTGTTGGTGTGGATGGCAGTGTCAAGGGCTGGCAAGGGGACTTCCTTGAGGCGATTGGTTTGGGAGAGCTGGCTGAAGATAACTTCAAGCGAATGGGCGGCGTTAATGGAGTGGTTCAGTTTCACTCATCGCTTGTGTGGACATTTGCTAATTTTGCTGGTAGAATGGACGTTACCTGACTGCTGGGGAGATGTGTGGTACTCTCAGCGACAAAGCTGCGCAGGATATGGGCCTGGCTCCTGGTATCGCTGTGGGAAGTGGTGTCATCGATGCCTATGCTGGCTGGATCGGCACTGTTGGTGCCAAAGTCAACTTAAACTCAGATGAACTTGACAGCAGCGTAGCCAAGAACGACGTATCTCAGGCATTCACTCGCCTTGCCGCCGTTGCCGGCACGTCGACGTGCCATTTGGCTATGTCAGAGAAACCAGTCTTCGTGAATGGCGTGTGGGGACCGTACAGAGATGTGCTATTGCCCAACTACTGGATGGCGGAAGGTGGCCAGAGTGCCACCGGTGAGCTCCTCAAGCACGTACTTGAAACTCATCCTGCGATCCAAGAAGCAAACTCGGTAGCCGAAACGTTTAACACAAATATATATACCTATCTCAACGAGCATCTCGCAGAGATGGCTCAGAAAGAGAATGCACCAAGCATCAGCTGGCTGGGCAGGCACTTCTTCTTCTACGGCGACCTATTCGGAAACCGTTCCCCAGTTGCGGACCCGAATATGAAGGGATCTGTGATTGGACTGAGCTCTGACAAGAGTCTAGATGGTCTCGCTCTCTATTACTACGCTACGATGGAGTTCATTGCTCTGCAGACTCACCAAATCGTCTCAGCCATGAACAAGTCTGGCCACGTCATCTCTTCGATTTTCATGTCAGGATCGCAGTGCCAAAACCCTGTCCTGATGGATCTGATCGCAACCGCATGCGACATGCCCGTGCTAATCCCACGATATGTGCATGCGGCCGTTGTTCATGGTGCTGCTATGTTAGGCGCGAAAGCTGCCAGTACGGACAAAGACGGTAACAGCGAGCCGTTGTGGAACATCATGGACCGGATGAGCAAGCCTGGAAAGATCGTTCGCCCTTCGAACGATGAGAATCAGAAGAAGCTTCTACAGGCCAAGTACAAGGTCTTCTTGGAGCAATGCGAGAGCCAGCAGCGTTACAGGAAGGACATCGATGCCATTACGGAGGGCTGGGGTAAGAAATAGGTCTATCGATTTAGCTTGCAAGGATGAGTTTGTCTATGATGATGAGAAGGCTAGGAAAAGTCCTCCGTAGTGAATTAACGTCAATAGAATAAGGTGGCATGTTTCAGCTTGCACATGTATTGCATGTACGACCCAAATCTTTTTCCTCGTGACATTCACAAGCGCCAAGCTGTAGCAGAGACCGAGGCATTCACGTCAGTGGTGGTCCGTGCTGCAAGCACAATCTGGGGCTGGGTTAGAGGTAGATCGAATGCGACAACCCAAGGGAATAACCAGCATCGCCAGCCATGAATATTCCCCCTCTCTTCACGCATTCCAACACATGAACCAAGCATTGCGACCATGTCTTCCTCAGGTGCATCCTCGACTCGATCGGACAAAGTAGATCCGGTCCTCCGCAATGCGATACGATACACGGTCTCTGCACGAGAGTACGAACTCCTCCACCAATACCTGATCTCGCGTGCGCCTGTGGTACGCAAACGAACACCACCTCCGCCGAATTACGAAGCTACCGTTAAAGACAAAGACGATTACAATGCAGCAGCTATAAGAGCGTCGGTGCGAGTCTTTATCGCCAGCTACGTCGGTTCGAAGGGCTGGGAGTTATTTACTACGAAGATATTACGAAGAACACAGTCTCAGCAGTACGTTCCCCAGCAAGAATGCTCATATGGAATATTGAGAGCTGACATTGGCTTACAGGACGTCATCCCGTGCAATCAAGTCTCCTCATGTTCGCCTCTCGGGCTCTCTTGCGCTCATCCTTCTCTTCCACCGTCTCCTTCATCGCTTCTTCATTCGACTACGAGCACAAGTCCTTTCAGATGAGGCACGACCGTTCCGTCGGCGCAATCCACGAGTTGCGAAGACACTTACATCTCGACTTGCGCCTGCTGTAGGTGCCAGTCTAGCAGGCTTCTTTCTAGCTGTGTACCCAGCAGACCAGCTACGAGTGACCATTGCCATCTATGTCTTCACGCGAGCTTTGGAATTTGCGTATAATGGCTTGGAAAATAAGGGTCACTTCCAGAACAGGCCATGGTGGTTTGGCTCCTGGCTCCTTATGCCCGCAGCGTGTGGACAGCTACTGCACGCCTTTGTGTTCGATCGAGATTGCTTCCCGGAGGCTTACGGGAAGTTCATTCTGAAGAACAGCCCGCGTTATATCCAGACGAGACCGGAGGGATACGCCGCAGCAGCCCCATGGCCAGGCACGTTTGAGATCGTTGACAGTCTTGGCACCATGTCAAAGCTCAAGTGGCCGTAAGTCCTACGACTCTCCTTGTATTCACAGCACACATCGCTAATGATCTTTAGCGCGTTCGTCTCTCCTATCCTTTTCCCTAAAGCGCAAACACTTCCGCGTTCCCTCACACGTATCGCACCCATAACCTCGCCCGCACATCCTGCGATTAAACCCCTCTCCTGCGCCCTCCTCCATCCAAACGACCCCTCCTGCCTTCGGACATACATCACATACTACATACAAGCCTTCCCTGCCGTGACCCGCTTCTTCACCATCATCTTCACTGCGCTCTCCGTATTGCGCTACAAAACATTCATTTCCGCGCCCGTTCCCTTCCTCAACGCCCTTGCCGCACGCATATTACGCATGTCGCTCTTCATCACTGGTGCCATCGGCACCTCCTGGGGCTCAATCTGTTTTTTCCAACATGCACTTCCCCGAGGATTTCTGCCTACACAGCGCTTCTTCCTTGGTGGTGCTCTGGGCGGCTTATGGGCGTTTCTCGAACGACGAGGCGGAAGAGGAAATTTCTTGTATTCGGCGAGGCTGAGTCTAGATAGTGCGTGGAAGGTGGGCGTAAAAAGGGGTTGGTGGAAGGGGGTCAAGAATGGGGATGTGTTGCTATTGGTGGCGAGTTTGGCGTTGGTTAATGCGACGTATGAGGTCGATCCTAAGGCTGTGAGTGGTGGAGTTGTTCGAAAGGGTTTGGGGATGTTGAGGGGGGACGGGTGGGTTGACAGGGCTGTCGAGAGGGAGGGTGTAGTGGAAGAGAAAGAAGAGAAATGAGAGTGGCCCATCATTTGCCTGTTTTATTTTGCATTGCGTTGGGCGGCTGTAATCTTGTCTGGTCTATCATGAGGCGTTGGGGGCGTGATGAGTATATACACATATATGCTCAAGGCATGCACTTTAGGAGCCGTGTAGTCTTATGATAAGCTGATCTGGTAACATACCGATCAGCAAGGGCTGTGTTTGATGCTATGAAAATAAATGTATGGATGTAGGACTGTAGTTTGCTATCGGTGTTCGCATCTCATCTTGGTCTGTAATGGCCAAACAGGGCCCTTACAAATGCGCCAGTTGAGCCAGATCTTGAAGAAACAAAGATCTGCTCCAAGCCTGAGGCGCTATGTACTAAGGAATAGTAGGTCTGGCACTCGGAAGATCGAGGGTTAAGGAAAGAACGCCGATCGAATGTTCAATGCGTCCACAGTCTTGTGTGACTTAAGGTATGGGACAGCGATGTAGTCTACGACAATGGCACGCGTCTCTCGAGTCCGTTTAGTCTGTACGAATGCTAGTATTGTTATAGATATGAGATCCTAATGGGTTCTAGCAGGCTTAGCCGACGCATGTGTTTACAGCATTGCAGTGGTGCGAAAAGGGGTAATAGTCCTCCCATCTCGATGCATAACTGCTGCGAATGTATGCAGAATTACGAATACATACACTACGCTATGGTATCTATATATTGCCTAAAAATAAAGTCGTTGATCCCAACCGCTAACCCATGCAATGTCAAACGTAACAGGTAAGAATGCTCTACTACCTCCTCGGACAGCCGAGCGACCTCAACGCCGAACTATCTTGTCCGACCTCACATACACCTGAGTACAACTGATTCGACACACCTCCATTCGGCCCTTGCAGCGTCGAGTCCTCGCTTAGTGTCGACACCTTGCTATTCTGCAACGCCAGCGGATGGCAATACGTCGAGCCGCTACACCCACTAGCCGCATTCCGGTTATTGCATTTCTGCAGGCACACGTTGATAAGCTTGTACTCGCCATTGGCGCAGCGCACTTCTGTCTCTGTGCATTTGCTGTTGGACGGACAGCCGCCGGCAGACGTGCAGAGCTGGATTGAAGGTGTGCTGCGGACATCGCGCGGGCCGGCTGTGATACCGACGTCGACATCGATGGTGGAGATGATCGCGTCGGCGCCGGCGATGACATGTTTTTCCTCGACTTGCACGAGGGCTTCTTTGGGTGGTGCAGCAAGGTCAGGGGTGGCGTCTTTCGCGGCTGTGTGGCCGGTGGAGCCTTGCACGCAGAGCGTGGTGTCGTTCCAGGTTGCTTGCACGGCGTCGAGCCAGAGCTGGGTCATGTTGTAGGCGTTGTCGAGGGTGTAGTAGATGCGGCAGTCTGCGGCCAGATACTTGAATTGAAGGGGCACGTTGTCGCCATCTCGGATCTGGTCGCGGAGGTTGAAGCCTGCGTAATTTGTGAAAATGGCACTGTCGCGGTTTTGGGGCAGGATGGAGGCGGCTTCGGTGCTGAGGCCGCTTGCGTAGTCAAAGTCTACGTCGAGGAGGTCTGCTGAGTATAGGCGGGCTCCTCGACTCCCGCTGGCAGCCTGCATGGGTCCGTCGTGTGGTCGTCCACCGGCTACGATTGTTTTGACGCCGCCTTGGTAGCTCATCATCTCGGCAAAGACAACACAAGCAGAAGAACAGAGGCCGTCGGTAAGCTAAGAGCTGTCAGTATATCATATTTCGCTTTAACACACGGTCAGATACTAACAAGCACAATGTCCTCTGGGTTCCATGGCCGTTCTGTCGAAATTTGGTTCTCTGGTCCATACCCATAGGCCACCCAATTGTCGAAAGCAGCTGCCGCAAAATCGAGATCGGACAAGTTGTAGCGCTCCGTAAGGGAATAGGTAGTGTCGAGAAAAGTGCGAGGACCAGCGTATTCCGCCCAGCTCTGGAACTTTGCCTTAGTATCCGCATTGAGCCTGTCTGTAATAACCCATCTGAAGAAATACAGTCAGTTCTTGAATATTTCTTCTACCAATGGCAAAGAAAACTTACTCATCAGCAGCCAGGAGTGACCTGTTGTACTGGGCGACTTCGTCGTCCGAATTCGCGAGCGAGTCCCAGTACGTCGTATGGACTGTTCCCAAAAAGTTGGCCATATCTTGTATATGCCTGCGGCTACCAGCGAATGGCTCCAACTCCGGGAAGAACTGCTTGAAGGTGTCATAGGCTAGGAAGACTGATCCTCCAGGATTTTGCTGCAGGTCGATCACAACACGCTTTATTTTTGCCTCCTTTGCTCTCGTGATGAATTCACTGACAGATGCCGAGAAGTTTCCAATGTCATAACCGTAGAGCTCGAATGTCGGGATACTGAGAACTGCAGTGGAGGAGTCATTGAGAAAGTATCCGGTCAATACACCTCCACCCGTGACAGAGAGATCTCTTTGCACAACGTCCGGGTCTGGGTAGGCGCCAAAGCTCGTTTCCGACCAAGACTGAAGTTCGCTCTCCCCGCCTTCATTATCATCTTGCCGCTTTGAGGTCGAAACAATAGGGTCATTCAACGGGCATTCGGGGTCACAGGCAGCTGGTAGAAGCCCTAACACAAAGTAGTTGTAAAAGTCCCCAGGCGTCTTCAGAGGCCCAGTCAAGTCCACCTCGTTGTAGTAAGCAACCCATTGCGTCTCAAGACTGGATCCGTTCTCGAATTTGAAGACAAGCGTGTCGCCAGGGTAGAATGTTGCGCCACCACTAAATGCATTCAGGGCACCCATGATTTGCTGCGCAGGATATGACATTAACTGATTGTAGTCGGCGTGTGGTTCGAGCGTGCCAATAGAGTTCAGAGCTGCGAATGCTGTCAAGTAAGTATCAGGATGCTGGTCATTGATAGACGAAATCGCTGAAACAGTATAACCATCTCTATGTGCAAGTATGTCATCTAGACTGCGGGTCAATACTCATCCATTCCAAGGATTCCCTGTGATTTTCTCACCTGTTATGTAGACTTTAGGGACCGCCTTGCCGTCTGGAGAGGCAGATGTAATATAGTACGGACTTGAGAATGAGAATGCAGCGAGGATGCCCGAGACCAAGTCGACGTGCCCGTCATGAAAGGCATATACGACACCTTGCATGTCTGCTTCAAATTCATATTGATTCTTGTATGCGTTGTTGAGCGCATTCTGCTTGATTCTGCTCAACTCGGCGTAAAAATCGAAAGCTGGTTGCTGGTACTCTTCGGGGGGCGACTTGAGGTAAGGGATCGTGCTGTGAAATTGCATCGTCGTGTTATAGTACTCGATGAAACGGACAGCAGGATCCGCGTAGAATGGAACACTCAACAGACACTCGTAGGCATCGCGGGCAAGAAATGCAAGAGCCCCTTCATTGTCGACCGCAGAGATGATCTGCCCACAGATAGTCTGCGAAGGGTTGGGTATATCGCCTGCTCCAAGCACTGTTCCGATATCTATTGGCGTTCCCTGGGCATTTGGTGGAGGTGTAACGCACGTCTGACAAACGAGGCCCAAAAATCCAACAACGTCGACGCCAAACATGATGAGAGAATGACAACGCACGCGAGCGCAGTGTATGAAAATGAACGACACGAGTCTGATGCAGTCCGCTCCCCTACAGCCTCATCCTGAGGCGGCCGCCTGCAGTCTTTTACATGATAAGGTGATTAGTTACCAAGTCCCTACACGTGCCTGAGATGGTAAGGCTTTTGTCTAAATTAGAGTATGAGGTTGCATGAATTGGGGGCGTTTTGGGTCGCTGTGGCCCCAAAAGCATATGATAGGATTCTGTGGCTGCTCAAGGGGCTGTAAGTGGCCAGTGGTGAGCGGGCTGAGCCGTTGCGGCCCCTAAAACGAATGTTAGCGACCTCAGCTGATGGGGGCTAGCAGTGAAATCCATCCTATCCTGCCGTCCAACAACCCCTACAATCCCTCCAATGTCCCACGACATGCTTTCTAGCCTCATGCTGAAGCACATTAGCAACGCCGTTCTGATTAGCGAGCGGACGTGTAGTGTGCTGTCCTGAGGCCGACACGACAACGATCATAAGCTTAACCCGCAGCTGTCTCTCCCATGTGTAATCACCACATTTCAGCCTCATCTGGGCATCCGAGAGTGAGACGTCGGACTTCTGTTCACTAGCTTCGTACCTGTCTCACAAGCGATCTTCTCCTCAGGCTGTGTACGGATAAATTCTTGGTAGTAATTACATCAGCTGCGTGCAATCATACCTCATCCGAATCTAGGCATGGCGACTCAAAGCCAGGTATATGTCGGCCATGCAGCAATAGCTGCTACACACCAACTCCCGCTAGATACTTACCTTGGCCTTTTCGACAATATATTTAATTCTGAGGACTTTATACATTGGCGTTCAGACGGTAGGTCATGGCAGCTTCATTATATCGGTGGTCCCGGTTCAGGAAAGGTATGCTACACCATTGCCAACCTCGAGACCAGAACTTCGGGATGTCGGCTCACGATTTCGTGGTTAGACGACACTGTCTGCAATCGCTGCACAGTACCTTCGTGATATGAATGGTTCAAGAAATGTCGGTGTTGCCACAATCTTTATCCAAAAGGATGTGGCTTTCCGAGACCAGACTTTCATACAAGCATTTCTGGAGAGCTTATACCACCAGTTATCGTATGAGCGCGACGATGGCGGACTAGCTACAGGCGCCTTTCTCTCGTACAAACAGGCACTGGACGTCAAGCCCGCGAGATCAATGGCCCACCGACTTAAGTTGCTCCGTAAGGCTGTTTATCCGCTCATCATGAGCCTCCAGAGAGCTTTTCTGGTCGTAGACGGAATCGACCGCTGCCACCAGTCAGTGACTGATCAGCTGGAAGCCGAGCTTTCGCGGCTTCAGCATTACGGACTCTCCATAATGACCACTTCCCGGTTTCCACAATACAGATCTGGCCAAGCCATGTACTGCGATGCTCCTGATCATGATTTACACAGCCCGCCAGATGTACCCGTAACAGTCTTCTGGGGTTGCAAATGGTGTTGGGCCTCGTCCAAATACACGATTTGCCAGCAGTGCAAAGAGAACGGTGACCTGTGTAATAATTGGTGAGCACCTCTTCTCTCCGCACCATGTTCCACTAATATGAGATAGTCTCGACGGCGGTCTCTTGTTCGAACCATCTGAGCGTCTAGAAATTGACTTCGCTGTCTCAGACCGCTCGATGAGATCATTTGTCTCGTGGGACCTGGAAAGAGAGCATGGTGACATCAACTTGAAGTCTGCCAACGATCGGAAACCACCTCTTTCCGCACTGGGAAGATCTCTGCGCGACAAGCCAAACGCAACGGAAGAGCTTATCGAGAAGATTGTGGAAAGAGCCTCGGGAAACATCACGATAGCCAAGCTGGATCTGGACTCGTTGGCAAATGTGCAGTCGGTAGAAGCAGCTATATCGAGCTTTGCTGGCGATCGACTTTCCAACAATATTCTTGCACTGTTTGACGACGTGTTGGAGCGAATCAAGCATTTGACTGAACACGAGCGACACATCACCCTAGCGTCTATCTTGTCAGCCGTGCATGAAGATCATGGTGCACGATTTCAAGACATCGAAAAGTGGATCCGAGAGTCAAGATTAGAATCTGATGCACAAGGGCATGCTCGCCTGACAGTCGAGGAAATCCTTCGAGCTGCTCGCGGATTTCTTGGACTGAGCAACTGCAAAGACCAGCTGATCTACCCGTATCATGAGATGCTCAAATTGTATGCAGACGAGCACTATGACGAGGCTCTGTTTTGGGAACATGCACACATGCGATTTGGTAGGATGAAAAGGTCGGAAACAGTTGACCCGAGTGCACCAGGACGCTTTGGTTCCAATGCTCCTCGACAGATGAAAGCATGGGGAGGCTCACGTGGAGCTATACGCGGTGCGTTGAAGTCTGGTGACGCGAATATTCCTGCTTGGAGTGCTGAAAGGACGGTGGCATGGCAAGAAGGAGTGCGGAATGCTTTGGTTCAGGACCTTCAGGTCAAGAGAAGACCCCAGGGCGTACCAAAAGACATACGCAACTTACGAAGACAGCCGACGATGTGGTAACACAAACTGCATCTTTCCGCTTCACCGTGTATTCAATGAGAAAGATATCAGTAGATTGTAGAATATAAATGATATACTGGCATTTTGATGTGATTGAGGATGAAGTCGAAGGTGCATGTAGGATATGTAGTCTGCCGTATTCAACTAAAAAGAGCTAGCGTATGGCTTCCACCAACCTTGGAACCGCGTGAAAGGACAATAAGAATGCAACTGATGCCTCAGTCCTGTTATTGAACCACTACGCCAACATGATGACAAAGTACTGTCAGAATCACCACAAAATTGAAGAGTATTGGGCCTTGCAAGGGATCTGAACAGCATGGATACCCATAAACATTTCAGCCGTGCTTGCGCAGCATTTCGGCCCCCAAGCCTGACAGCTTCAAAACTGTGATCTCAGTTCATGGTCACAACTCTACTCGATACTACTGTTATACAGATACAGACTTATTGACTTTGCTTTTCGAATATCCGCTCTCTAGCTCTAGCTGTGACTCTCTTCACCGGGCTGGACCGTCAACCCTTTAAAACCCTTCTCTTTTTCTCAGCTTGCAACACTTCCTATACGAGCTTGACTATTCGCTGCTGTCAATTTCGCTCTCAGTAAGAGTTTCGATGTAAAGCCTGGATCACGTCTATTTAAGATTTGCGGTCCTTCATGATATTGTATCACACTCTGTAACCGTCCACGACTCACTCACGAAGGTTCATTACGCTTCGATATGCACAACATCGCCGCATCTCAGGCGTCACCTTCTGGTGTGGGCATCTGCACTTTCTGCCAACAAAACATTATTGACTCAAACAAGCTCTGGGACTACCATCATGCAGATGTCCACTCGGTATGCTCTTCAAGTGCAGAAGGCTGTATATTCTGCGACCAGTTATATGGTGATTATGCAACAAAGCAGCTTGCCTTTCGTCACGCAGACTTGAAGGACTGGCCACTCTATAGATGGAGCATTCGTAGACCTGGTATGGTCAGGGAAAGTCTCGAGAATCTTGTTCTCACGTTCCGTCCTACCAATGATCCTGTCATAAAAGATACCAGTTTAAGCAGTGAAGCCAATTCATTACAAGAGGAGTCGTTCCTCTTCTTTAGAGGTTAGATCCATTATAATGACATACCGAGCGCTACTAAAGAAAGAAGCCCTTTGCTAACGTGTTCACAGACACGCCTCTGGACACTTCTGACAGGAGACTAGTAGACCGTACAGACTCTGAGCAGTCGTGGACCCAAGCTAATGACTGGCTCAAGGATTGCATTGCAAACCATCCGAAATGCCGTCAACTCAAGGATACCGACACGTTTATGCCAACGCGACTTCTTCGGATTGACTGCCCAGAGCGGTCAAACATCAAGCTAGTCAAGACGGCTAAACACAAAATCAAAGAGCCATATGCGACACTGTCCCATTGCTGGGGCCTGAAGTCATTCATCAACCTCACTCCGCAGAACAAGAAATGGTTGATTGAGACTGGCGTAAGCTGGGATCGGTTACCACTCAATTTCAAACATGCAATTCAGGTTGCGAGGAAGTTGGGACTTCGATACATATGGATAGACTCGCTTTGCATCAAACAAGGACATAAAGGCGACTTCGGTCACGAGGCAAATCTGATGCACAAAGTGTACCGCGGCTCGTCGTGCAACATTGCGGCGACAGACTCCTCTGATTCGCGCGGTGGACTGTTCCGCGAAAGGAATGTCCGGGATATCGTTCCTACTATATGCCAGGCTACAGTCCACAGTGTGTCTTTTGGAGACAAGGCATGGCGTGTGATATCAAAACGTTACTGGGAGACCCAATTGCTTGACAAGACCTTATACAGCCGAGCATGGGTGTTTCAAGGTATGTAGAGGTCACATGGTCAAACAATGTCCTCACAGCCCTGAATCTAAGCACATGTCTCATAGAACGCATGCTTGCGCCGCGAATCCTACACTATTCTAGCGATCAGATCCTGTGGGACTGTGCAACTGTCAGTGCCTGCGAGGCATTCCCAATAGGTATCCCAAAGTTCATCGACACGACGGCCAAGATCGACCGACATTGGAGAATGCGACTCCGAAACAACAGATCACTCAAATATCGTCCTCTGTCGGGTGAAGAGGACGGCTCGATGGAGATATTCTGGAAATCGGCTGTAGAGAACTACTCCCGATGCGATCTCACCCACGGCAAGGACAAGCTAAAAGCCATCTGGGGCATAGCAAAACTCGTTCGTGACGCAATCGGAGGTCAGAACTTTATAGCTGGCCTATGGTCCTACAGACTCGAAGAGCAGCTTGCGTGGAATGTGATTAGCCATGAGCAGGGCACTGGACGGCCAACTGAACGTCCATTTCCCCATCGTCAGCCGAGCTGGTCTTGGGCATCTATGGATGCGATTATCGAAGTGCAGACACGGTTTGGCCCTGAACGAACCTTTGTCGTTACTGATCATCTTGATCGTAACATCAATACTCTATTTGAGCACACAGCAACGCTTGAGAGATATCACAAGACACATGAAAAAGACGAACACACTTGGAAATTGGAGCTTGAAAGAATGGGCAAGAGTCTCGCGGAGATAACGAGGATGTCTGGCAAGGAACGCAGAAACTCTCAACCACGGGACATCGACGCCCATCGGCAACAGCCCGAAGAAGAAGACAAAATGCCTGAGTTGACGCCGTTTGGCCCTGGAAAAACCTCTTTCGTTACTGAGGAAGAAGATCGTAACGATAACACTCTACTCGAGCATAGTACAACACTTGGAAGAGTTCATAAGACACACGAGAAAGACCAGCACAACTGGAAATTAGAGCTTGAAAGAATAGACGAGAGCCCGGTAGAAACAGCGAGCATGTCCAGTAAGGAAGATATCAACTCTCAACCATCGGACATTGACGCCCATCGGCAACACCTCGAAGACGAGGACATAATGCCTGAACTGACGCCATTGAATTGGAGTATACCGATCAAATGCAACATTGGTGAAGCTCAGGTGGTGAAGTCTGACGAGAGCTGGAAATGGACGTTTGGATTCCACAGCTCGTTCCTGGTGTATCCGGATGTAGATCCAGGGGCAAAGTCGTTCAAATGCCTGTTTGCTACACTTGCGTACAGCGACGACGAGGATTCGTATTCAGGATTGGGTATACTCCTAAATGCAGTCAAGGACACCAAGGACCGCTACTACCGATGCGGATCATTTCGGTTCGAGGCTGTGGACGAGATATCATTCAACACGATGCGAGAGCGGTATATCGGGGTCACGGAAGAGGATGGGTCCTTGAGCGAGGAAATGCATAAGATATGGTTAGATTGAGGTGACGAACGACTGATGCCTTTTGTTTCGACAGGACCAGCAATGTTGCACAATGTTGAAACAGCAGATCTCCAGTGTCATGACAGTTTTTCGGCCGACGAAGGATGGTATTAATAGCGCACTCGCGTTCAACGTGCCCAGTGCCCACACAAGTCTGTTTCAGTGGCAAGAGAAAGGTGGAGGTGTGGATATATGGTAGAGGAGTCAAGAGTGCCTCGTCGCGAAATCAGGCGGCAAATTTGGCAGCCTGAGGTGCCGGGGCGGGCCGAGGAAAGTGCGACCAGTTGCCCTTGACTGCCCTTGATTATTGCGCCCATGTTCCCTGCCAAAACTCCCTGCGCGGCACCAACAAGCACGAGTTTTTCTCTTCTTAAGCTTTCTGCACTGCGACATCACCGTGATCTCACTGGTCCGATTGATGGGAAATTCTTTGCACCCCAACCCCCAGTCCGATTATCATCATGACTCGTGTCTTCCTTTTCTTCTTCGCTCGTTCGGTCGGCCAGACACGTCTGTTTTCAGTTTGGCAGTAAAAGTGTCCCTTGGATTGCGCACTTATATGACATGAAAAAGTTGACGGAAGAAGCGGTTTGTCGACACGTCCAGTTGCCTCCATCCAGGTGTGACATGCAAGACATTGCTGCATATCGGATCAGGGTGATAATGCACAGAATGATACGCAGGGGCGGCGAGCACAGCAGTAAAAGGTGGAGATAGAGGGTGGAGTCTTCTTCGCTCTTCGTCCTCCTGTTGCTCCGTCCAGCTGCTGCATGCACTCTGCACCGAATCATCCCCCCTGTTGAGTGGGCCTGCGCAGGGTGCGATTAGGGGTAGTTTTTGATATATGCGAAAGGGCTGTTTAATACGTGAACGTGATAGCTGTATTTTTTAGAAACACCGGCATGCAGGGTCTACCACATCTCCGATTGGCTAGAAAGTCAGGTCGGCATGACTATCTAGATATCGGACACATCACATCCACGATGATTACAGAAGATGTCCGATCAGCCCTATTTAACGGTGACGGTTCACGGGCGACTGCGACCCCACCAGGTCGACGGTTAAAGTACAGTAGTAAAAACTGTGAGTGGTAAAGGGAACGTCGGACACAGTCTTTGCTTACAACCGTCCCGTTCTGCTGGGCTGAGACTATCACTCCGACTCTTCTCTCACTCACTCTCTAGCCCTACCTTTCCTCAACCAGCAAATAGACCAGGTCGCTCAATAAATTCCCTTACCTCTGACCTGCTTTGTCCGGCTACCACTCACTGCAAGCAAGGTCGACGATCCATGCCATATTGTGCATTTGTCAACCGTTGTCATCATCCTCGTCGCATATTTTGTCGTCGTTACGGCCGTTTGGCTTGTCACTGACTCCGTCACGGACCTTGTGTGTCAATCAACGGAATAGCTATGTACGTACAAACCGCGAAAAGCACCCCTTGGGCCGCCGAGGTTGGGTCGTGAAACGAATCACTGGCCACAGTGTATCTATCCCCTTCCTTCATCGCATGCGGTCCTGTGTTACTGGTCCTGGTTCTGTGCCCTGTGTTGCGTGTTCTGGGTGGTAGTGTGTTGTTATTAGTTGATTACACTTGCAACCGCGGTACCACTAGGTAGAGACTGTGCATTATTAATAATACTCCTGGACCTCAAACCTAACCTACAACCCTTTGCCGTCACAAAATACTAATTAACCGGCATTGGCTATCTATTCCGCTGGCGTCTCCGCTACAAATCTTAACCCAATCTGCTACCTGCCCACTCCACTCCTCCATTCCTCTTCTCCACCTTTTCTTTCGTCTCCCAAGCCTCCGAGCGCTGTACAAAACTACTCATCTACTCGTCGTCGCCGTGCCTGTCGCTCGCATTGCTTTTCCGTCGCTCTCTATCTCTAAGAACACACGAGATTGTGTAGAGCCGGTATTGGTATTATCGGCTATACCAAGCTTTGCGCCACACCTGCACGTTCATGCTATCCCTAGGAAAGATGTCGCGAAACGATAACCGGTCCTTTGACGAGAGCGCTGCAACCCAGCTGAGCAACTACTCGGATAAGGACAAGGACGACGAGAGATCTGATTCTACAACTTATATCCCAGGTACAGAACCCATCGCTACTCCAGGCGATAAATCAGATGTTATTGGAGAGCCTGCAAATAAAGTCGTCAGTGCAAATGACGTCAGCTTGGTTCCCGATGGTGGTTTGCGAGCCTGGCTGCAAGTTCTAGGCGGCTTCTTCTTGTTCTTCAACTCCTGGTATGGATTTTGATGCATTATAAAATGTCATGGCAGACGTTTTGCTGACGCGATACAGGGGAATTGTCAATACTTTTGGTGTCTTCCAGACATACTACGAAACGGAACTTCTAAGCACAACCTCTGCATCGTCCATCTCATGGATTGGTTCCCTTCAGGCTTTCCTCTTGATGTTTATAGGGGCAATGACTGGCCCTGTATACGATGCTGGCTATTTCCGTGCGTTGATAATCAGCGGTGCTCTCCTGACCTCTTTCGGCATGATGATGGTCAGTCTATGCCATGAGTTCTGGCAAGTGCTCCTTGCACAGGGTTTTGTTGTTGGTGCTGGATGTGGAATGCTTTTTGTCCCAAGTGTTGCCATTCTCTCCACTTATTTCTCCAGACATCTTGCATTGGCCATGGGTCTTGCCGCTTCTGGAAGCAGTCTAGGGTATGTCCATCCATCATATTGCTTTTTGCCTTCGACACGTCTGACATGGATATAACCAGTGGTGTCATCTATCCCATCATGTTCCACAAACTACAGCCCATGATCGGCTTCGGCTGGACCACGCGCGTGCTCGGCTTCATGATGTTCGGCACCCTCCTAATCTCCATCGCCGTCATGAAAGTCCGCGTCTTGCCCCAACGGAAGCGCAAAGTGCTCGATCTGGCCGCCTTCAAGTACGCTCCTTACAGCATCTTCATTGCGGGCTCTTTCCTCAGCTTCGTCGGCCTCTACACGCCCTTCTTCTACGTGCAGCTCTACGACATCAGCAAGAACATCACCGCCGCCTCGCTCGTCTTCTACCTCCTCCCCATCCTCAACGCCGCCAGCATCTTCGGCCGTATCATCCCCAACTTCTTCGCCGACAAGATTGGGCCGTTCAATGTATTCATTCCGTGTGGTTTTATTGCCGGCCTGCTTTGTGTCTGCCTCATTCCAATCAATTCAACCGGCTCGCTCGTCGTCTTCTGTCTCCTCTACGGCTTCTTCAGCGGCACCTTTGTCTCCCTCCCGCCCGCCGTGCTTGTCGGACTGTGCAAGAATCGCGCCATGATCGGGACGCACATGGGCATGGCATTTGCATGCACATCCATCGGTCTGCTCATAGGCACGCCAATCGCGGGCGCGATAAACGATGCTTCCGGGTTCAACGCTATTTGGATATTTGGTGGCGTTTTGACCATGGGCGGATCACTGATCTTACTGCTCGCTCGTTTGCTCAAGACAAATTGGGCCATCGTTGTTCGGTGTTAGCAGGCGGCTCTTTGCGAAAAATTCGCTTGGGTAAGACTTTGGGATGACGGCGTTTTTTTTCTTTTCTTTTGATTGGCATTTCTGGCGGCTGCATTGTAACATCACACAACGATGCATAGCGTTCTTGTTATCACACCCAGAGTAATTGATCACACACTCAATGACCCTCCTTGGACTACTTCCAGCCATATATACAAAAACTATAAACGATGAATCTCTACTATGCTTGTGTTACCCGACCTTCCGTCCGTCCAGTATAGATGAAGATGCCAAAGATTTGATAAGCCACAGACATGGTGATAAAAAGCAAAAAGAAGGTGGTGGAGACTGTGGGAATCGAACCCACGATCTTCCGCATGCAAAGCGGACGCTTTACCCCTAAGCCAAATCCCCATCAGAACATGCTGAGTCGGCGGGTAAGTGTATTATTAAAGACTGCTCAACGCAGCATCATTGCGTCTAGAACTTCCTGCGCAGTTTCAGGTGTGCCGACCGACCCACTTCGTCCACTCCACCCGCCAGAACGCGCCACAAACCTCACTCGATGGAGACACGCGACGCCCACGCCGAAAGATGAGGCCGACCTCTCAATTGACATGGCAGCTATATGTGCTTGCAGCGGTGTGTCTGCTTGCTGGCTGCGCACGCGCGAGTCAGGGCGATCGATTGCCTGAGTTTCGGGAGTGCGTTGAGGTATGTACGTCCCTAGAGAGGAACGGGTGCATCATCGTCATTATCATCATCATCAGCAGCGGCAGCGCTTACGGACCGGTATGTCTGATAGTAGAGGCTAACAGGCTTGCAGATATGTAAACAGACAAACTGTGTTGAAGGCGGACCGGTGATTCGTATGTCTCCCTCCTCTCTACCATCCTCATCCCACCACCGAAACCACATCTAACATGAGCACACAAACACACAGCCCTCCACCGCCGCATCCTCCTCTGGACATGCCCCTCCGAATGCGACTACACCTGCCAACACATCATCACCACAGCCCGCCTCGCGCGCGACCCGCCCTACCTCTCCCCCGTCCTCCAATTCCACGGCAAATGGCCCTTCCACCGCTTCCTCGGCATGCAAGAGCCCTTCTCCGTCCTCTTCTCGCTCTTCAACTACCTCGCGCACGCGGCCGGCATCGCGAAGCTCAAGGCCACCATCCCCCCTTCCTATACGCTGCGCCGGTACTACGTCATGTTCGGATACGTCGGGCTGGCGAGCTGGGTGTTTAGCATGGTGTTCCACACGCGCGACTCGGGCGTGACGGAGAAGCTGGACTACTTCGCGGCGGGCGCGAATGTGCTGTTTCAGTGCTATTATACGCCGATTCGGATCTTTAGGCTGGATGTGCCGACGCCGCGGCGGCAGACGCTGCTGCGGGTGTGGACGCTGCTGTGTGCGGTGCTGTATGTGGCGCATGTGTCGTATCTGAGTCTGTGGCGCTGGGATTATACGTATAATATGGCGGCGAACGTGGCGGTGGGGATTGTGGGCAATTTGATGTGGAGCTGGTTTGCCGTGTCGCGCTATCGGGCCACGGGCAAAGGGTGGACGGTGTGGCCGGGTTTGATTGTGGCGTGGATCATACTGGCGATGAGTCTGGAGTTGTTTGATTTTGCGCCGTGGGGGGGCATGCTGGATGCGCATAGTCTGTGGCATTTGGGCACGGTTGGGCCGACGATTTGGTGGTACAAGTGAGTGGCTTTCGAGACGAGTGCATCAGAGGATGCATGTTTGTCTGTGTGTATGTGTGCTAATATTGTGGACAGCTTCTTGGTCAAGGATGCGCAGGAGGACCTGCAGCAGAATAGGTTGAAGGCTTGATAGAAAGGGAATAGGGGGGATGATCGTGTTGGTGAGTCCTACATCCTAGGGTGTTTTGCATTGCGTGTTAGATCTAGCATTTGTGGCGGTGTCATTCCTGTTCGCTCGTAATAGTCGATACCGGTCGGTGTCAGTACCTTTTGTACAACTGTTCATCACTATAAAGGCTATTACGATCAAGGCCATCACTGTCAATTCCATCCTTATCGACTTCTAGATCACGGAAGTGTGTTTGTGTATTTTGTTGATTCAGAGCAGTGACTCACAGCCTTATTTTACACTGACTGCAAAGAGCCTCTAGCACTTTCTCCCCTTTATTTCTATTTTCGAAGAACTTCACCAAGTCTCATTTGAGAGAGCACCAATGCGTAAGTAATTACACGAGTAGAGTGTTGGGATGAATCACGCCCTGCTATTATATTAATATCTAGGAGAATGGTGGGACTTTTCTGATTTGGCACACCGTCGATGAGGAAGAGAGCGACTTTGTTGTCTTGCTGAAACATATCTTTTTTTCCCTATATTAAGAGCTGATTGTTTCGGGAGAAAAAGAATGGAGTTTTCTAAACGTAGTACTTGAATATATCTAGATACACAACAAATGACTTAATTACCATCATGTAGAGACCATAAAACAGAGAGAGAGAAATACAATTCTTTACCATACTCGTCCCCGGTGTAGTCGAAACAAGTGTGTCGAGTCGTCTGGGACGGCACTAGATCAACAACATACTGCTATACATAAACCCTATTGGGACAACGATCTGTGGTTTCCCCTCACACCTAAAATGAAAATGTCCGCGGTTATTAGTCTTTCTTCGGACGTAACGTACCCACCAACATACCTCAACAACCCGCGCATACATATATCCATTGCGGACCCGGGCCCAGGCGGGCAGATATCTGGGACGGGACATGTCAAGATTCGATAATCGGGATCTGCGTCTAAGTTGCACGGTCCAGTCCGCGCCTATCCGGATCGGTTGATTCGACACTGCGCTGTACTGTTTGTTGTTGGTAGGCTTCCGATATACTCCAGGTTTGTTTGGCCGCGGGCACACAGACGGGATGATGGACTGCCCCTCAAGCAGGATATGCATATTGGCGGCCGCGTATACCACGCTGGTTGACCTATTATCATCATGGATCATATCTCAGCCCGCTGATCGACACCAACTGCCTTATGGATGGACCGGGGATGGCCAATACGCCCGATGATCCTGAGCACTCGAGAGCTCTGTACGCTGATCTGCAATACTATCCTATAGTTTCGAATAATGTATTGTTGTGACTCATCTAGACAACGCCTATGCATGTCCGAAATTATGTTCTTTTATGCTTGTCTATAAGGTGGGTATCTGTGGTGAGCTGGGGGCAACTCTTATAAACATTAGGCTAATTGGCTCAATATAAGACTGTCTACGTAATGTCATATGCTTGCTCGCCTAGGAGCCATGGTCCTTCGCAAGTTCTTCTGCCTCTCATTCTCTTCCATGACAGGCAACACTCCTTCATCTCTGAGTTGGGCGAGATACTGCTTGCCGTACTGATAACCAAGCTGGTAGAGCTCGTCAAACTTTGCAAATTCCAAAGTTCCGTACGGGTCGATAGGTGGTCTCATGTACCGACAACCAGGTGTAGTCTTGGCTCGTTCCAGTGCATCGACACTCGACACGTATGCAAGCCGAGCCTGGATCTCAGATAGCGTCGGGGGATTTGGTACCGCCGAGAATGGGTTCCATCGATTCATCGCGGCCCAGAATCCAGATAGGGAGTCTCCAAAATTCTGTGGTGCATCGTCGTCGAGGCTTCCGACATCTATGGCAAAGATAACATCTGCACCTAATGCTTTCATGTGGGAAACGGTCAAATTATCGACGTAGCCTCCGTCCAGCAGCATGCTGCCATTATCGCAGATGGGCGGGAGCAGACCTGCCAGAGACATCGAGGCTCTAACATATCGCCATACATAGCCTCTGGTATGGATTTGTGATCGACTCTTGCTGATGTTCGTAGTGTTGCAATAGAACTCAAGCCAAAAATCTTCTATTTGGGAATTACCAAAGGTCTTAAAGATTCCACGATTAAATTCGTGGCCTGTTGTGTAAGAGGCCCTGTTCAAGTCAGCACAGTGTCATCTGGTAGCAGAGGAGATACGGACGTGGGATACGTGAGGTCTAAAGCGAACCTCCACATGCTACCCATCCGGCCGGCAAACTTCTTTGCTCGTCCATACATAGGTACCACGTCGGCGTCCCAGGCGTAGAGTGCACCGATAAAGGCTCCAATCGATGTGCCACCGACAATATCGATAGGAATTCCCGCTTCCTCTAGAGCCCTAATGATGCCAACTTGAGATATGCCACGGGCACCTCCACCGCCAAGAACAAGACCTACAGACTTACCGCAAAGTCTTCGTGCAAGTCTATGAAAGTCACCCTTGAAAGGCGTCTCAGCTGAGTACAGGGGTGTCTGCCTGACCTTTCGAGAGGTATACTTCTGTATCTCTGCCTGTAAAACCTGTACTCTTTGCTTTAGCGCAGATCCAAATCGCCGCCCAGGCGTGTGCACTGGTTCGGTCGTTGATCGGTGCGACATTTGAATATGGTGATGGCTGCCATTGATCCAGACCCTATTTCTGAGCCAACGTCTGGTCAATCCAGGAGGACAATAACGCTCTGAATGAAGCAGGACAAGCTCTTTCCTCGCGGTTGTTTTGGTCGTCAACAGGAACCTTTCGTACTCGCCAACGTCTGGAGTGCCTTCTGCAAGGCCCACGAGCAGAATACAATCCGCTTGGCTGATACAGGTTTGAGTCCAAGGAGACTTGACATTGGTATCTGCAACATACAGCACCATGCCGTATTTCTCTTCAAGATCGGCCAGATACTGTGCAAGCTTCAGCTTACCCATTCTACTGAAAGCATGTCGACCAAGATGATTCAAGATTGCGGCTTGATTCAGAGAAACGACTCCATTCGGAGTTCCGATCTGTGAAAGGGCACTGAGAAGTCTACTGGCGAACTCCACGACAGGTACGCCAGCAGTGACGGGCAATATTGATATCGTTCGTAAATTAATCGTCGATGATACGTTCTTTTGCGTAGCTGTGGTGAGACTTTTCTCTTTGGGCTCATTCATAGGATCATCTATCAAGGCTCGCATTCGATTTGCCAGAATCTTTGAAATCTTAATCGTGATACCAGGATGCTCCAAAGCGAGGCTGTTGAACAACGTCTTGGGAAATTTTGCTAGTTCTGTATCACGTATTGCATGTAGCGAGCCAGGACGACGGGACTCTGTGAGGACTTCCAGTTCGCCTACGCTGTCGCCTTGACCGTATTCGCCGATGAACTTATTCCCATCCTCACTTTCCTGTATTGCGCGGAGACGACCATTCAAAACGATGTATATGGCATCACTCTCGTCTCCTTGGTTGTATATGACCTGCCCGGCATTGACTTGTACCCATTCAAGAGCAAAATCAATGTGGAGAATCAATCGCGGCAAGAGCGTGGTCAGTCGCTTAGCCATAGTTAATAACACAACAGGAAATTGGTCCACGATCCGATCCATGGCTGCGCGTGGTAGAAACCCGACATATACATCGGTCTTTGCAGTGACGTCGATGAATGACCGATACGATGAGACTGTCCCAAGATACCCCGCAAGCCCACCGGGCTTTGTCAAGAAAAGGCTCTTTCTGCGGCTCTTTTTCCCATTTGCGTCTTTGTTTAGAGCAGAATTATGCTGTGAGTGTTTTCGAGGACCGAGTTTAGGTATCGCTTTGGGACCAAACAGGTCAGAGGGAGCTATGGTCGACGATCTAGGTGCTGTGCCTAAAATATTTTGGTCCGATGCATCATCCTCAACAGGTATACCAACATCGAGGAAGCCATCAATTACATAGTAAAGACCAGGGTTTCTCTCTCCTTGTTCAACGAGTACAGATCCTTTTGGGAAGAAGACAATCTCGACTTCGTTCGACAATTCTTCTAGTGCCAGATGTGGACCACTGCTGCTGAACCCCGACATCGAAGCAGATGCTATTGATTCAGACTCGCCATCCCCCGAATCTTCGTATGGATGCATGAAACCGAACGCATTGCTGAATACAGCCTTCTGTTTTCTGGAATCGAATGACACCAAGCGGGGAGATTGTTCGACTGACTCAGACCTCGGAAGTGTATTCTTGGTATTGGAGAGTCCAATAGCCTTGAACATACAGTCCAGTACAGCTTCGCGGAAGATGCTATCCTCATCAAGAGATTCCTGGCGCTGCAAAGGTATGTTGCCCCGCCGCTGATTAGCGAGGGGGTTGAAGTTTGCTCTCTCTAGTGGTGTTACCACCTCTCTGCGAGAAGGAACGCGGCCTTCATACGGCTGAGAGAAGCTCAGGCGAGATTGTCGGGTCCCGCTCGTATTGACAGACCCGTTCGTGAGGAGATCACCTGCACTTACACCCGATCTTTCGGAATCAGCAGTAGTCATTCTGAGAGTTGCGTTGGTAGCTCCGTTTAGATTTCGACCTGCAGCAGCTCTAGCATGGGAAGCAGCTTCTTTTCGAAGACCACCGCTCGATCTGCGTCGCCGGTGCACACCGGCATTAGAATTGTGTAATGCAATCCCTTTCATTCCTTCTTCTGGTCCTGTTCTTTCACGCTCCTTCGCAAACTTGTCTTTGAGCCTTTCTAGGGGCGAGTCCCGGAGAAATCCTGGCAAATCGTAGGTCGTGTATTTGTTCATCAGCCGTTCTGTTCGGAGAACTTCACTCGTCAAGCCCAGATATGCGTGACCTGTCGAGAGCGTGACTCTTTGTAAGCGAGTCAGAATAACCTGAACGATGTGGGATGAGGCCCGAGGATAGAGTCTGGTCAATCGATGAAAAGCTGTGGCTGGTATCACAGCGATTGTAGTATCTGTCGTAGCCCTGGCCACAATATCGGGATGGGCAGATTTTGGCACGCGTGAACGGGGTCGAGTCTGCCGATTAGCATTATTCATGGACTCAGGATCCAAAGATAATGGAGGGATACGTGGGAGCTTTCCACTTGCAGGCGAGTTCGGAAGAGATTGCTCTTTAGCTTGCCTGAGTTCCAGGGAATTGCGATGTATATGCATGGGGCTCCCAGGCACAGACTCGTTAGGAGTCGTGAGTCCCGGACCTGTAGAGTTATCTGTCCCAGGCCTAGTAGCTACGCTTTCTTCGTCTTCTTCGTGGCGAAGTTTTACATCCTCAGTGAAGAGGGACAGTATTGAAAAGAGAGAAGATAGTGGAGCACCGTTCTTCACCTCGCTCAAAAGTTGATACCCCTGGTTATGTTCTCTATCTCCACCCTCCTCATCAGAGCTTCCTTCACCATGAGTATCATCGCCCTTCTCGGATACGTTCGATTCCCTTGCATTGGATTTGACGAAGATCTGCACCAGACCATCGACAACGATACAGAAACCCTTCTCTTCTTCGAGTAATAATGTCTCGCCTGCAATCAACTTTCTTGTCTGCATGGTCCGGGTCAGCTCGTGGAAGACCGGCCGTTCAAGATAGCCAAAGACTTTGATGGCGCTCAGGAATTCGTCCAAGTAATTGGTCAGCCCACGTTTAGAATCACCGTCCTGCGAATCTGGAAACACTTCAACTTGTGGCTCCTGTCGTTGGGGTTCTGCTGGTAGACGAGAATACATATTCAGAACGCGATATCGTACTATCCAGCTCACAGTCGAAGCGAAGGCAACTAAAAGGACCATACTAAGTTGGTCAGCCAGGAAAGCGGCATTTTAGGCTGGTAAAGGCTCTTACAGCGTAGTGAAGTTCATGGTAAAGGTCAAACTCATTGAAAACAGGGTGAACAGCCATGTCGGCAGCGTAATGGTCAGAAATGTGACTGTCCAATACAGCACCCCCGGAATCACACGAAGGATTGCCAAAAGGATACGGGCGATAATGGCTAGAACAGAGCTGGAGGTTTGTACCTCCGAAGCAGTAGCAATGTCAGTTGCAGATGCGATTTGACTGGAGAAATCAGCTACAGCTGTCACAACTGATGTCGGTACGGACGAATCCATGGCGGGCAGAACGATATCTCGACGGCTTGTATTGTCAAGGGAGGAAACGAGCCTCAGTATGGAAAGACGCTAAATTGTAACATTGTCGAGGGCGAAGTAGCGAGACCTCATTAACGGGGAGGGCATGGAAGCATTAAACCACGGGTTCTACAGCAAGTTGACGCTGGAACAAGCAACTGTGGAGAACGTGAATCTGGCTGCGTTGCGGGTGCCTCGGGCGATGGATTGTGGGTCCATTGGGTCATGGGTGCCTTAATGCCTTAATGCCTTAATGCCTGAGGGTTGACTTGTTATCACCATCGCCCACTACAACCTTGTCCCTCACCGTCTGCTCCTCTACATGTCTATTCTGAGTCAAGCATATAGCAAGAGATTAAATATACAGTGTCTTGCGACTGTGGGATTTCTGCGCGTCAATGGTAGCTAGACGTCACGAGAGGATCTTTAGGCTCGTACATAGAACATTTTACAGTCCTTACCGTATACCTCAATGGAAAGTTACTTTGCAGATATCTTAGCACAGACAACTGGTCGCATGGCTCGTTTATTCTGCTTCCACCTATCCACTATTGCTATCGGTTATTCATGCAGCCTATATGTATGGTGCCTGTGTTCATAGAGTGAATAGCAACGCAGATTACAATTATCACTTTGGAGTTCGGTGCCTGAGGCAATAGGTCACTGAATTCTTGGCTCCTCCGCCCAACCTCCGACGCGACAAGTTTGACACGAATAGTGGAAATCTGATCACGCATCTCTTCACACTTCTTCCTGGTGAAAAGACCCTATTACAAGGCCGATATATTCTTTGAGCTCAATTTGAGAAGATGGCGAGCTCATCTGCACGTCCTGAGCGAGTGTATCACCAAGACTATATCGCGCGCGTGCGATATTCCAATGCTCTGCCTCCTCCGCCAAACCCTCCAAAACTGTTGGACATCCCAAATACTGGACTCTCTAGTGGCCAGTATACATCGGCCGCATATGCTTCCCGCCTAGCGCGTGAACAGCCGCTCAATATCGAAGCAGATGCCGAATTAGGCATGCCCATCGACCTTGTCGGTCTACCAGGCGTCTTCGATGGCGATGAGACTGGTTCGTGAAATCTATCATCTTAATAAGGATATACAGCTCACTCTTCTTAGTGATCCAGAGTATGGACCGCCCACCAGCTCCTCATCCACATGACAGACCGCTACTCCGACCCTTGTCGACACTTGGAAAGTCAAGCAGTGCTACTCAAGGTGTGAGTTTCTTGCGGCGGACTGAATATATCACATCTGCAGGATCAGCTCGGCACGATATTCCCAAGGAATTCATGAGGCCGCGTCAAGTAAAGAAGCGTCGCCATACCGATTCCCACAGTGACGACCCTATTTCAATCATTCGCGCGATATACAAGGGCTTTGACCTTGCATATCCTAATGAGGCATACACTGGCCCAGATTCGACGGAGAAGATTCGCGGCGCAGAAATTTCGCCTGAAGAGCGAAGTGCTTGGAAGTTTCCCGTACATCCCTCTAAGCCTGACGTTAAAGTCGTGGACAGTTATCCTATTCTCCCTGACATGGATGCATTCGCAGACGCACCCGGCTACAGTGTCATGAAATTCGTTTCTGCCCCTGTCGACAAGCAAGACAAATACGATCGTCGATTAGATACATGTGTTTTCAGACCTCTAGTTGATCCGGTGCGTCAGCAGGAGTACGAGGCCCAAAGAGCCATCGATCCTTCGGCTGCACCTCCCAAATTTGACTATGAGCTCTACTTACCCCAGAGTGAGTCTGTTGGAAACATCAAAAGGAAGTTCAACGTTCTAGATCCTGGCAACAATGACGACGATCTCTACGACGAACAGACACGCAACACCGATACTCCACACTTCAGGTTCGACAAAGTACGCACCTACGAGACTTTCCAGCATAGCGAGACTTCCGGTCTATATTCAGAGCACGTTGCGGTGGCTCTGCATGACGCACCAGCAGGGTCCAAGAAGCAGAAAGCTGCTTATATCTACCCCATACTGAACAGAACCATAATTCGCCCAAGGAGGAAAGTCAATCGGCCTGGTCCGTCTGAGGAACAAGAAGATAGCGCGGATGTCATACAATTGACAGTCAGGGATTTAGATGAAGAAGAAGTGAATGAGAGGGAACGAATACTACAGGAGAAGTACATGGCTGCGACAACGAGTTAAAGTATCTTGAATAGGCCATGAACTGATTGATGCCTCTTTTTTTCATTGGTCCGAAAATCGCCTTGATAGCCTCGAAGGGCGAGGTCAATTGCATAGCGCGGAGTTCAGGCTAAGGACCAAGATACTCTGCTTACGCAAATGGTAACATATAATAAGTGTTGATCTTTCCTTTCAGACGTGTTTCAGGTCACCCAGTGTACGGGATGAGCAAAACTTCAGCATCTGCTCAATATCGATTGTGGTCATTATTGTCGAGTTCGAGCAAGCAGTGAGCATATTTCCTACGCATGTGCACACACGTGGGTGCGCGCCGAACCGTGATTGTTGTGGCCTATGAGCTTTCTGTGCTTGTTTTTCCTTGGCGCGTAGTTGCCTCTCCCGGTTGTATTCTTTCTCTTTCCACATTCTACACTGTGCGAATTCCCCCAGTATACTTCTTCAAATTCGAGCCAATTTCGTCCAACACGCGAGACTATCCCCTTCGTCACCTCTGTTTGCATTCCAGCTGGCAGCTAGTGCGTTTCACATGGTCTGTCTGTTCACTGTCACCCTCATCGAATGACCTAACCTTCGCCATGAGACTCTTCCCTCACAGACCACGGCATTCCCCTACGACGTCGAAGCTTCTGCAAGACAGGTACACTCGATCAGACCATACTTCGCGTCGTACTTCACACCAATTCACTCTGGCAAGAACATCTGCTTCAACAGCTACAGCCATGCCTCCTTTCGACGAGGAGACTCAGGCAGACGCCAAGGTCAGCCGCAGTAACAAAAAAAGCCTGATCACCTTCGGTTGCCTACAAGTGTTTGTGGTCTCGACGTTCCTTGCTATTGGTTACGTTGTGGGCACTGCAGCTGCGCCAAGTTCTCCTGAGAGAAGCTATGCTGGTGGCATAGCTTGGATCATTGTCTCTTTGGTCGCTGTTGGATGTGCTAGCGTATCTGCGTGGATACTATGGAAGAGACAACAAGCTAACAAGGTCAATGACACGTTTACCTTTGGCCAAGGGGCACTCCTATCGGAAGAGAAAAGGCCCACGCTGCTCCAAAACCCAGTGATGAACAGACCAAATACCGACCAAGAAAACTTACGCCTTGACCGCCAGCTCAAGGAGCCAGCAGAAGCAATCGATGATACCTACGAGCAAAACCCTTTTGACTCACCAAGGTCTGTCAGAGAGAAACAGCCACGAGCAGAGACAAAACGCACAGTCAGCAATGGAAGCATCGAACTGCAGTTACTTGGACAGGGGCCACCACGTGCAGGCCCAGTATCACAACGGCCTCATACTCTTACGCTGCCACGCTCGGGATCTCAAAGCTTGCAAAATATGATAGTTGCCAACTATATTGGGGACGGTAACTCTCTACCTAGAACTCCAGTCACTATCAAGTCTCAGCGATCGTCGATCGGACCGGGCAATCAGCTTGCTGGATGTGAGAGGCGAGTTTCTACGGATCCTGCAGCTTATTTCCGCAATCGATCAATGACGAAAGACACTATCAGCTCTAGCACTAGCGATGAGACCGTGAAGCCGAATCTCATGCCACCCAAGATTGATTCCGAGTTCTGGCGTAGCGTGGAGCGTTCCACCTCCCGTCAGGACGATGTACCATCGTTCGTTCATCCTGCTAGCGTTGTCATGAAGCCGTCACCAACTGAGCCAGCGTCTCCGACCCCAGGAGCTCGCGACTCAATGGCTTTTCATCCACCACGTCAATCTAGCCTCCCGCCATCGAATAGTGGTAGTGACACAAGCTCTACTGCCTTAACTACGACTCCTGAGGCTGCAGAGAGGAGCATTGTTGACGGACCAGAATGGAGTTATCCGGGAATATCCATAGGAAATGACTCTCAACGAAGCTCAGTGATCCTCGACGAATCAAGCATGAACAGGCGCTCTTACAGCATCGTATTTCCAAAGAGACTGAGCAGCCTTGGTGCGCCAACTGGGCTGACCACATCCATGTTATCCACTGCCAGCGGTAACGAGACAGTCCCACATTTCAGCGTACCTAGGACCCCGAGCAGGCAAACATCCATGGTCTCGCTGAATGACCATGATCGGAGTGTCAGTCCAGTCATAGCTCTATATGCTGAGATGAACAACAGCTCCAATACCAGTTTGGAAAATGTCAAATACGCAATACATGAAAATGCCACATCTCCAGATCCGCATTCTGCGCAAATTGCACTATCGACGGCTCAGATAGAGGAGACAGCTGATCATACTCTGGGTAATGGACTTCCGCAGGTGAAGATGCGACCCGAATCCTCCACTCTGCCTCGCCCGGACACTTATCCAACTCTCCAGTTCACCGAGACGTCAAGCGATAATGGGCCGTTTGCATACGATGAATCTAGGTACCGTCTACATCCTCTTTCGAACAACGATAGACATGGCATTGAACCTGGCTCACGGCACGTCGAGGATGACACGATTACCCCAGTGGTCAGGCCGTTTTCAAATCCAATGACACCGTCGGCCTCCACTATGACCATGTCGACCTCTGTAAGCTCCTTCGAGCCATCTCTGTTCTCATCTCAGATCAATCTCAGAGCTGCGGAGGTCTCTCCCAAGAGAAACAGCGCCGGCTCGACGCCAACGAAACGTAGCTCTGCTGTCAACCTCAGCTCCCGAAAGACCTCGACCGATCGGCTGAGCTTCAAGTCTGCTAAGACTAACCAAACTCAGGGAACTGAGAACGACGATGACGACGAAGACCGTGATGATCGGAGAAGCTGGAGCCGCGTGAACATGTATCGCGGTAGCTGAAGCACCTTGGAGCGATCAAGGAGCAATAAACTTTGTTCGCAGTACCATAACGATACGTATACGGTCGCCGTGACGGAGCTGGTCACCATTTCCGCGAGAGTTGGGCCTCATGGGCTCATCTTTACTAACTTACCGAAAATGACCTGCATTTCCCCGTTCAAAACGTCATTCGGCATTTCATTTCTTGTTCGACGCGTGTGTTTTATCACTTTACTCTCTAATCTTCCTCATGGGCTGCATCTTTGCAACACTGACGGGGTGTAAAATTTTGGGAAATACCTGGCTGCCATCGACTGTTTTGTCCAGCCAATCTGTTCTTTCTACTGGTCTTTCAGTGGACAATTGATGTAATACCACACCACAAATGGAATGTTTACTGCTGTGATTTCGGAAGCAAATATGTATTATAAGCGTAATAGAAAATTCATGGCATATGATCCATTTCAATTCCAATGTTCATGTGATGGTAAACGCTGATGTAGCCGTGAAGCGCAATTCGTTATGCCCGTAGAAAATGCATGCACAATACTTTCAAACAGTAATATAAATCATCTTGGAGTAACGTCTTGTCATCACCTCCGGCCAATCTTCCGATCCTCTCTCCTCCTCTTCTCCTTCTTCGCCTCTCTCCTCCTGTCCTTCCACGCCTTATTTGTCTGGGCTCTATTTTCCCAAAACTTACGCGCAAACTCGCTTTCATCCTTCTTGCTCTTCTTCCCTGTCGGAGTATGCTCAACACCATCCTCGTCTTCCTCATCAGCTTCATCTATAGCAGCGCTGTCTCTCGCGCTTGGCGACAACTCGTCTTCTTCGGCGCTCGCATCGCGCCACGGCGCACGTAGTTTCTTGCCAATGGCCGCGGTGTCAGGAGTCGGGGCAGCGCTGCGCAGACCACGCCATTCGAGGTCTTGGCGCGTAAATGGAGTGTGGGGTGGGTTGTTGGATAAGTGGTCGTCAGCATCGGCATCATCATCCATCTCGGCAGAGGAGTCCTCGTCATCGGCACCTCCGCTGCCGCCGAAGAATGTGAAGGATGTCTTGATGGGCGCGAGCTGCTTTTGCTGTTTACCCTGGGTGGGGCTCTTGGGGCGTTTGAATAGCGCCTCTAGGGGATGGACGGAGGAAGAGGTTGTTGCTGTTGTTGGTGGGGTCGGGTCTGTTGTTATGATCTCAGGGGCAGAGGTGAGGATTGAGGAGGGTCTAGGGGTTGAGATTGGGGATGAGGGGGTCGATGCAACAGAATCCGCGGAGCTGACTGCGGAACTACTTGATGATACCACGGAAGAATCGCTGTCTTCGCTCTCGGTCGGATCAGGCGAAGATTGAGGTGCTGATTCTGGTTTCTTCCAAGGTTCAGTGGCTTCCCTTGTCTCATCGCCGTTAGTAGCGGTAGACTTCTTGTTTATTGATGGCTTATGACGATCTTGAAGATTGCTCCCGGTCGTAACAATCATCATGTCGTCAACTCGCTCTCTTTCGTGCTTCCGATTCTTTCTTCCGTCCTCTACGACATTACCATCTACATCGACCCAACCCTTCCCCTCGACGAATTCCGAGGCCGGCTTGGCATTCGTTCTTAGACCACTATCTCTAAGGAAAGTAGCATGCTTTTTCGTCCTCTCAAACTCATGCACGACAACATCGCGGTCAGAGGAGCTCTTGTGTTGATCTTTTTTACTCTTCTTTTTCGCAGCCTTCTCACTTACGGGACCTGCGTTCAGCGGAAGCTTGGTCCTGAAAAGCATTTCCGGCTCCTTTGTAAATTGCGACTTCTCCTGTAGCTTCTTCTCTTTGTTGCTTTTGCTTTCCTTCTTATCTTTGCTAGCCTTCTTCTTCCGTTCGCGGGTTGGCTTCGCAGGCTCTGTCCATCCACGTCTGACTTTGCGCTCATCCGGAAGCTCTATTCCATCCAGTACACCTTGCTGTTCTTTGTGTTTCTTCGACTTCTTTTTCGGCCGATCCTGTTCTTCTACATCAACGCCATCGGCCTCGCTTGCTCCAGCCTCGCGCTTCTTCTTCCGCTTCTCGGGCTTTGCCTCTTCAATCTGTACTTTTGAGCCCTTCAAGATAGAGCCGTTGAGCTTCTTCTTCAATTTAGTTGCTTCCATGGTGGGCAACTCAACGAAGCCAAAGCTCTTTTCCGGAAACGTTTGTACTGTGTGGTATGATATATTGGAAACCTGCTCCTGCAATGATGGTGGGATATATGTCTTCAGTAATTCTGGTGTGAGCGGTGATATATGAAGGCGAACGCGTTGAAGGGGATCTACGGTTGTGCCTGCGGGAAGTGCTGTGCTTTTGGAAGGAGTTGCGCCGGCGGTTGGGGACGTGAGCGCTTGGAGTGATGACATTTGCAGAGCCTAGTGCGCACAGTAGGCAAAAAGAGGCACAAACGTGGAGAGGCAGACGAGAATGAGTATGCAGCAGTATCTATATTGATACTCCGGCTGTAGAGCTGGGCGCGTAGAAGCGCAAGAGGTACGTCTCGTGTGGGGGAAAATAAGACTCGACGAGAATCGGAGGACGGTAGCTCCTTTGAGTGGCTAGGCTTTTGACAAGCTAAGCCAGGGTCTGCCGCGCGGGCCTCAAGCTTCGTAGATCAAACGTCAAGGGACAAGCGACCAGACAACATCTCGCAAGCGTGCTCACGGCGATGAGCTCGTCGCATACATATGATAGCTATGGGTAGCCAGTCAAGACTGTTATATCTCCTCATTGCGCTCTGCACAGTCGTTGCTCTCGTGTCCGCAGCCTGTGAGCCACCCCTCCTGCCGCAACGTGAAACTCCATATGCTAACACATGGACAACATAGCACCGACGTCTTTTTGCAAATGCACCTGCTTCACCAATAGCACGATCATCGCTCTGAATAGTCCCACAAGCGTAGAATCAGAACGTGGTCTGCTTGCACGTGAGAATATCGAAACGAGAAAGAGCAAAAGAACATGCAACGACTGTAATCGACAGTTCTGCTTAGGCTACAACTTGCCTATATGTAAGGGTGCAACAGAGGAGGATGTATTCACAACCTGTTTTCGTATGTATATGCTCCCTCTAGAAATCGAGTCTAACGGTATTGCAGAAAGAGACTCGGCGAAAGACCAGGCAGTCGTCTTCATATTCATAATAGCCACGGCTGGATTACTCGCCTACGCAGCGATAAGACCTTGGATCGATAAATGGGTGCAGGTAATGTGGCCTAGCCTGTTGGAAATTGCCAAAACTGACAGTGTTCAGAACGCGCGCGATAGACAGGCTTATATGCCCGTGTCGAACCAAGGCGACCAGTAGCGCACCAAACATTGCATGACAACAGAGGCAAGTTGGAGTTCCGGAGCGATTGGTGACACTTTCGTCAATTATGTATTTGAATTGGAAAGGTCTAGCTTTGGGAGAAACGCCGCTCCGCATGGACAATGTACAAATCTTCGAAACCATAATATACAAATTAGAATCGCCTTCATCGTCGTGTTAGCCAGTTCACCCAGCTTTTTGTTGTATCTGAAGCAGCATTCGCGACGTTTTCCCCTAATTGATCTAACTGCCCTCCAGTCTTTGTGCTCCGTGTTTGACTCGCGCGTCTTGTGTTTTCTTCGAGCGCTTTTACTATTCCGAGTCCCTCGCCCGTCTCCTGTGTAGTCCCACCGAGCGAAGTATCTGGAGCCGATGTCCTCATTAGAGCCTCGCCCAGCTTACCACCAACAGACTCCTCTGTTGACAAAGATCCAAACAGTGCAGATTTTATCTTGTTACTGATTGCGTTTTTCTCCTTGTCCTGCCGCTTCTGTTCCTTCTCTCGCTCAAGCCCCAAGAGCTCTAATTGCAAGGGTGTTGCTGTGCCATTCGACTCTGCGTCGCGAGCTAGTCTGATATATTCGATCATTTCGATCTTTTGCTGCTCATAAAAGGCGTTTCGCTTTCTCCGGTTGTACGCCAGCATGTCGATCGTCGATGCGGCGCAGTATACGAATATCAAGCCTGAGAATATATGAGTGGTGTTCTATTACAGCAGGTTGTATCTCCGGCACAAACCTGTAAATCCGATCAAAGTAAAACTGAAAACACGATGGGAGCGATCTGCCCATACGCGTCCTCTTTGCACTATTCGATCCCATTGGCTAACCTCTCCTAGCTTTGCTATTCTCGCAGCCTCCCGAAGGCGTCTCAGCTTTTGCTGTGGAGTTTCGCCTGGGGGTGCATCCGAAATACTTATGGTAGACGTTCTGCCAGGTTTTGCTGCATAGGGATTGGTCTGCGTGAATCGTGTGGCATCTTCAACAGTGCGCGCCATTTGAACTTCAATGTCGAAATTGGGAGAGGAACGATGTGGTCGGCGTGGTAGACATGTGGCTACTGGCTTCTCAATGATGCTCTAGACTTTTTGCCGCATAAGGTTGCCAGTTTACATAGCTTAGGTAATAAGTGTTATGGCCTCAGGCATTTATATCAACATCGACTGAACGACCGCATACCTTCTTACCAATGGTCTGAGCCCAAGGCCATGCTCACGATCTGTTATAACGCCCCCTTGAATTCTTTCTTTTTCTTTCTCTCCTAATTGACTATGTCCCAGTCCTAACGTTCTGCGTGAAATCGTCGTTGACTCAAGCCTCAGCTTTAATTACGGTTCCGCATTTTCCATTATGGACAGTAATGGCAGTAATGGCAGTAATGAGGCTCCCGCAGATTTGGCTTCCATCCTTGCCACTCTTGCAGCTCTGGCTCCGCAGAAAGGGCAGCCTATTTCGAATATCACTCCTGGTAATAGTTCCTTAAATGCCAGATCTTTCACAGATACCCAATCGAATGCGACCCGAAGTGAGTATCCGGATCATGTCTCGATACGGAACGATCCAGGCCGTTGCCCTACTACTTCTGAAGAAGCCGTATATATTCCTCAAGGACGTCAGAGCTTTCATGCACAACTGTCAACTCCTGAGCCTCGTTCATACACCCCACCACCGATGGATCCAGCCACAATCATTGAGTGGCCACAGGGTCTTCGCTGCGTAACAAAGATCGCGTCTCAGAATCCGATGTTCAGAACCATCATACGTAAAGTATGTTCGGAGCTTCCAGCTTCTCATTGAAAGTAATTGACTTTCCTAGATGATGGCAGAACAAGAAAGGCACGAGACAATGTGGTACGTCATTTGTCGCTAGTCCTTCATTATGGTTCTGGTATCAACTTCCTAGTTAGGTGGAATGGTAGGCGTAAGCTACTCGAGAGTCATGGGAACCCGTCAGCTAAGAAGGTCTGATCCTATAACTTCCCGATCAGAGATGTCGTCTGACTTTTCAGAGATCGGATGCGGTGAACAATGAGCTCAAGAGATATGATCTAAAGGTCTACAAGGCCACCCAAAGCATGGTTCAATCCATGTCCGGAGAGCTGAAGAGTCTCGGTGTGCCGTTCTTCGGCGTCAGAAATGGTCTTGTTATATCTACGAGATCTAATTCGAAGAAGCAGCACGAGGGACCCCCGCAATCGATCACACCAGAGCAGCTTTTACAGCTTCAGCGGAAAATGATCGCACACCTAGTGGACATGTACGGTCCATAGCGTGCGTATGCTATCATACTTTCTAGAATACCTTTTTGGAGTCTAAGCCGTAATTTTGAAGTACAGGAAGGGTGGGTGTAAGATGAATGAAGTTCCTCAGGTTCTGAGAAGCTGGCAAAGCCCAGTACTATATTAGACCTGTCAAATAGGAGTAGACAATTGTGGTGTATAAGGTATGAATTCTCTAACCCGTGTAACGCTAATTACCACTCACAACAGAACTAGAACGTGGTAATCATAAGCGGCGAATGATAAATTTCCAATAGAGAGATCTTGTATCTTGTTATCTGCTTAGCTGTGCGTGTACTATTATATTCGCAACGGTGAACTGAGTCACTCAACCTATTATCATGGCCAATTTCTCGGAAATAATCTGCGTTCACTCACCGCTTAGTTTTGTTCAATTCCCAACCCTGGTGGCGCTGAAAAGTGAAGTGATCGAGTCCAGACCAAGGTAGTACGAACGGCATGGATTTCTACCAACACTATATTTGTCGCCCTCCTCCCTTGTAACTCCAACAACTTCCCGTCACTCTTTCTTTCAACGTTACTCTTCTTTGTTCAGCTTAGCTAGTCCCGGAGATCTGTTCATTCTACTCTTTCATACTTAGCTTGAATCCTTCCGCCGCAAATATGAAGCTACAGCTGTCTGTCTTCGCCTTGGTGGCCGCACTCGTTGCACCTATCATCCCCGGCGCCCAAGCCTTGAACTCGGACATCGTGCAGGTGGATGATGGTGCCCGTCAGCTCACGTCCAGCTTTATTGCTATCGGAAAAGGCGACGATACCTCCGCCGATCCGGGTACTCCAATCTGCCTAGGCGACAGTCAGGCCTGTGGCAAGGGATGCTGCCCAAAAGTCAGAGTATCTCCCTTTCTTCTTTGCATTCCTTTGGACTGATTAGATCAACCATAGGAGGTACTCGGTTCTGCAACAGCTGCCGCGAATCTCCTGGTTCATCAAGCGCTCAGACGCGATGACGTTTCAACCAACATCATCACGAAGACCGTGTACTATGCATCTGGCCACGAGGTAAGCAAATCACATAGATTTAGATTTGATGTCCTTGCTGATATTTCGCACAGCCCGCAACTGCTACCACATGTTTGGCCTACAACTTCTGCTCTGTCCAGGCGTGGGCATCGACTGAGAGCTATAGCCTCACCTACCTCTGCGACAAGATGACCACTGCAACGCCCACTGTCGCTCAGACATGTGCATCGTACTCATTCTGCACTGCGACAGCCTGGAGCGGAACTTCTAGCTATCCTATCACTCATATTTGTCACGTTGGACATCCCACGATCACTGTCAGTTTCCCGGACAATACTGGTCATGTTTCATTCCAAACCACCGCTCCCAACGCCACCGGAACTGTCACTGTCTATGAGACCGATATTATCCAGACCAGTTTCCAGGCAACCTCTACCAGTCCGATCTGCTCGGAGGCCACCCAGACTCTTGCACCTTACGGATCACTAGTCGTACACAACACTACGTCCATCATGTCCACTCCAGCTCCTCCAGTCCTCACTGGCTCTGCCGGGTCTGCCGCTCCTAGGGTCAAACAGGGTATAGCCTTTCTCCTCGGTTTATGCACTGCTACTGTTGTGTACCTCGTGCTTATGGCCTAGGATCCGTCCTAGTAGATCTAGCAGCGTTTCGTTTTCTTTCACTCGTGTTGTAGTTTGCCGATTGTGTGGGCTTAAGGCTGTTGAAGCCCAAGTATTAGTGCTTGCCAGCGCAGCTTGACGCTAGTTCCATAGCAATGATATGCAATGATATGCAATGTTTGTCAAATTATCTTCGTGAGTGACCTACGGTTGCTCGTCTAGAATGGCATAGTGATACGTTAGTTTATGGCCACAAGTATCGGTGGTGAAAGTGATAGCGGGCTGCGGATCATTAATTCCTTTATAGCCAAGACAATACATGACTGTTTCTACTCAAGTTTTATCGCTTGAGCATATAAAGATAGCTACAGGAGTTTTGTTTACCCTGATGGCGTGGTCTACAATAGTAAGCTCAAGTTTCCATGTTGGAGAAATATTATATATAGCACACACGAATCAGCGATGCGGTTCTTACCGCCGACTCGGACACTATTCCAAATATGGACATATCGATGGCGAGTCCTAGCCTATACTTGACCATCATGCAACATGTTCATCATATCTATGGCAGCTTTGAGCTCTCTCTCAGCGAAGGAAGCCTTATGTTTGGCACTCTTCACGTCCTTGTAATTATTGGCAGGAGCGATCTGTACTCTTGAACACAGTCGGGTCAAAGCTTCGGCCTTGAATCCATGAGTCGTGCATCAAACACCCGTAGACCGTGTACTTAGCCACAAAGACTATCTCGGGATACCACGCAACAAGGAAATAGATGCCTTGATTCCTCATCTCACATCAGCGAATTCTACGGTTATTTATGGCGGAATGATGAGGGATCGGTTCTCGTAGAGGCTGAGAATATCGATAGCCAATAGACCGAACCAGAATTCTCGAGCCCACAAGGAACGAGGAATTGCGTCTCGATTGAGCAGAATTGACGGTTCGGTTCACACTCGTCACAAAGTGTACCGTGGCTATGGCTAGGCAAGGAACTCGCGGCATCAACCTCGCCCTCGCCCTCGCCTCCACATCGACCGCCAGTTTTCACGACGATCGCAAGGCCCACAACAGCCAGATTCATGCGATCGACATGGCAGGATCTGCTTGGTTCATCAACACCAACACAAATCCTTGGCTGCCTTGTACGTCGTTCGATTTGGGCACTCCCAAGTTCCAACAGCGTCCCGAGGAAGTCCTCTAGTGTTATCCATCCAATTCGAGGGCCAAGGCCCGTGTTCCAGCTACTTCACACCGGTATTTGATGACTTGGGAGATGGACGGATCTGCGATCAGGGAAGATGAAGGGCTTTTCTCGCGAACAAGCCTAGCGAAACGATCGAGCAGGGATGACGACGCATGGCTTGCTGGGGCGTGAAGCGTGAGGGCGCGTTGTGGGTTTGTAAAACGGTACCTGCGCCTCCAGAATGGGCCTTACAGGTTTCTAATTGGCTGAAGTTGGGTGGGCACGCCACCATGTTTCAGCGCCGGCACGTAACACTGCACTGGCTGTTCACCCCCTAGAAAAGTTATCACGCATAGGGAGCAACTGAAGAGAGAATTTGGGGAGGGGAGGGGTCCATCTTGGGACGTGCAAAAGGTTTTGCCTATCTATCGCCGGTCTCAGTCTGATGCCTCACTTTCTCCTTCATACATCAACTCTTCCTCGCGCCGATTGTATCTGCGTGCTGGCCTGCCTCTTCTCTTTTATGTCTCTTTTGTGCGTCTCATAGCATCAATCCAACACACACATTCGCTTTCCATCTACCTTGGGTCGTTTGGACACTCTATCACACGACTACCTGCATTTGCGTCATAGATCTACATTACGTGCTGGACGCCTACATTCTCTTGAATATTCCCAACTGCACAGTTACACGCCTTTCTCATTTTAGCTATCAATCGGTCCTGGGACCACGGTCACGATATATCACTCTTCTCTTACGATACAACATAGAATCACCTCACGAGCAGCTGGCCTAGTCACCACCATTGATCCGACGCTTCGATGTCGAGTCAGCCTCAGAGACAACGGTCACTGTCTCCAACCCATTTCAAGCAGTCCAGGCACGGTTTTCAGCCCCTGAACGACGTCCCCGAAAACAGCACTATGTCGCGTCACAACGACGGCATGATGGATATCCCGCTCCAGACGGTAGTGAGCCATGGATCGACTGGACTTCGCAGCAACCACACCCCGAAATCACCAATTGGCCAATCACAACAAGGAACATTTTATGAAAAACAAGAGCAAGACCAGGATGAAAATGGACACGGCGGCAGGAGGAAACTGGCGAAAGTCGACTCAAAAGGCCGCAAGATTGGCACTGGGGCTGACGGAGAAGACGACACCCTCACTCGCATGGGTATGATATACACCAAGATTTTACACTTTAGTGTCATCACTCGTTACTTGATCTATGTCCTTCCTGTGGCTGCTATTCTGGCTGTACCACTCGTTGTAGGTGCAACCGCTGCACCTCGCGCACATATTGGCGGCGTCCGATTGGTCTGGTTCTGGACTTGGATTGAGGTCGTTTGGCTCGGACTGTGGGCGTCAAAGGTCGTCGCTCACTTTCTTCCTAAGGTCTTCCAGGCGCTCATGGGTGTTGTCAGTGCTGGCACGCGTAAATACTCCCTCGTTCTCAAGGCCGTGGAGATCCCACTCTCGCTTGTCGGCTGGGCTGTCGTGGCTTTAACCACTTTCAAGCCGGCCATGCAAGCAACGCTTGACCCGAGTAAAGGAGATAGGCTGCGCGGGTGGCAGGATGTGATGATCAGAGTTCTCGGCGCGTGTTTGGCTGCGACTATCGTTCTGCTTGTGGAGAAGCTTCTCATTCAGCTCATCAGCATCAACTATCATCGTAAGCAGTTTAACGTCAAGATCAAGGATTCAAAACGTAACGTTTCGAACTTGAGCCTTCTATACGATGCTTCGCGGGCGTTGTTTCCTATGTACTGCCGCGAATTCCAAGAAGAGGACTACATCATCAACGACTCTCTCGAATTTGGCATGGGCAGCCGGACCAATAGTGGAAACCAGAAAAGACCTGGCTCTGCCAATCCAACCAGATTGCTTCAAAATGTCGGCCGTTTTGGGGATAAGATCACTTCGGTATTTGGCAATGTTGCTCACGAGATCACTGGAAAGAAGGTTTTCAATCCCAATTCGGCTCACTCCATCGTCGTCGAAGCATTGGAGAAGAAACGTACATCCGAAGCATTGGCCAAACGCATTTGGATGTCACTCGTAGTCGAGGGTAGGAATGCTCTATACGCAGACGATATTGCAGAGGTGCTTGGCGCCGATCGCACTGCTGAAGCCGACGAATGTTTCAGTACCCTCGATCGTGATGGCAATGGCGATATCAGTCTTGAGGAGATGATTCTTACCGTCACTGAATTGGGCCGTGAGCGAAAGTCCATTGCTACCAGCATGCACGACGTTGATCAAGCCATCAACGTGCTTGATGGTTTACTTTCCACTGTGGTGTTGATCATCGTTGTTTTCATTTTCAGTAAGTTGGCCGCATCATTTGTGTACTTGTCCAAGGCTAACATTTTACAGTTGCATTCCTTAACACCAACTTCGTCACAACTTTAGCGACGGCCGGTACAGCGCTCCTGTCGCTTTCGTTCGTTTTCGCTGCGACTACACAAGAGGTCCTCGGTTCCTGTATCTTCCTCTTCGTGAAACATCCTTACGACGTCGGCGACAGAATCGATTTGACTAGCGGCACGGACAAGCTTGTCGTTGAGCACATTTCCTTACTCTTTACCACATTCCGTCGCGTCACAAATGGCAAGGTTGTTCAGATCCCTAATATCGTCCTGAACGGCATTTGGATTGAGAATATCTCTCGCAGCAATGCCATGCGGGAGACAATCTCCATATTTGTCGCCTTCGATACAACCTTTGCGGACATTTCGCTCTTGAAGAACGAAATGCAGAACTTCGTTCGGGATAAGGAAAATGCCCGAGACTTCATGCCGGACGTTGACATTGATGTCGCAGATATCTGCGAAATGAACAAGATGGAACTGAAGTGTGAGATTCGTCATAAGAGCAATTGGGCAAATGGCGTTGTCGCCGGTACCCGTCGCTCCAAGTTCATGTGTGCCCTCGTCCTCGCTCTCCGCAAGGTACCTATCTATGGCCCTGGCGGCGGTGACCCAGCGTTGGGTGCAGTGGGCAACCCCTCATACTCCGTAGCCGTCAGCCACGAGCAAGCCGAGCACCAAAAAGAGCTTGCGTCAAGGACGAAAGAAGAATCACGTATGGTTCCCACCGCAAAGACAGGTCTCACATACCCCACGGACACGCATGGCAAAGCCGCTGCAACCGCCACTGGGTTTAACAACCTCGCCCCATCTGCCGAAGCCAATGGTATCAGCAACTTGACAGCGCGCAATGTCGCACTTGATCCAGCACGTGATGACGCCTACTCGCTCCGCGACGATGCGGCCTCCATGGGCCGCCCATCAATGGACCGTCATTCCATGGACGCCGGCGCAGAAGACTCCATGCAACTCCTCCATAAGGCCCCCTCATCCGCCTCCACTGGTCGCCGCCGAGCCGCATCTCGCGTCGCAATGGCTGTCCCATCCGTGCCCTTCATCGCCGAGCCCCGACCCCCTACCGGCGGATCTGATTACGCCGATGTCCCTCCCGCGCGAAACCTGACCCAACAGCCCTCCGCGTCTGCTTTGGGCCGCAGCACAAGTCTGGGCTCTCCAGCCTTGCATGGTAGTCAGCGGTCCGGAGAGCAGTATGCCGGCGGTGCGACTACGCAACAGCAGCAGATCCGGGGAAATCCGTTTGCAAACCAGCCAATGACGCATTTCCAGTCGACGCCAGAATATCCTAGGCAGGAAAGTCCACCGGGCGCTTCGACGGGAAGAAGAGTGAGCGGAGAGACAGCGAGGCCCGGGCCAGGGCCGTATGCGCAACCACCGGGTGGACCAGGCGCATACAGGCCTTACGGGGGCACGTAGGTGGTGCTTGATGCATGACGTATGAAATTGATTGAGTCCTTTGTTACGAGCATAGATGTCTTTTTTTCTTTTTTTTTCTGGCACAATCTGGAGTCATTCACAGCTAAGCTGATGCTACTACTGGTTAGCGGTAGTCGTCGAAATTAGATCGATATAGAGCGATTTTGCTCGGGCAAACTCGCAGCATTGCATAGCAACAAAAGTTCTTGTAACTTGTATAAGAATACTATGATTTGCTTCACATAAGTCTGCTTCATATGTTGCGCATCAAGCTACAACCGGCACATGCAAATCGTTCCACATCTTCATCCTCCTCCCTTGTGCCTCCACGGCCTCCATAGCCTTCATCTCCCTCAACTCCCTCGCCTCACTCTCACTCACCAGCACGAACTCATACCGAATCATCCTAGTCCCCTCCTCAACCCCATACGCCTCCTTCTCCTCAACCCCTACCGTCCCCAAATCCACACCCAACGCATCCTTGACCCCAAATACCGCATCACTGCTCTCATACGCATCCATCTCCCCGCAGATACACCGCCGTAACAAGGCCATCAAACGCTCCTTTTCAAACATAAATCGCACATGACTTCGCCGATACGCATGTCTCCCCAACGCAACCAAAAACCGTCCCACCGGGGGTTTGGGTTGGTCCATGGCTGCTGTGCTGTGTTTTGTTGCTGAAGAAGGGAGAAGATGCAAAGTTTGGTGTCAATGGTCTGGATGAAGATGGATATAAAGTTGATATTGCATGAAGCTATCTAAGCTATTACGGGTTACAATGTGATGCAGTGTAGTATTGTGGGAAATTGCGATATCTGGACAGACATGCTCATTACATCCATGATGGTTACAGCTTATATACTCCAATAAAGCAATGGAGATTGGTTGGTCTCTCTCTTTGCTGGTGGATTATGACACGGCGAGAGCGGGTCGTTATTTACCGCGGCAGTTGCCTTGGAGCTTGAAGCCTGAAATCTAAGGCTGATTGCGATGCGAGCCGCCCCACACAAGTCTGGAAAGCTTGAGCTCGGACCTGCTCGACAATTGATATCATCCATGCTGGGTTGCTGGTACAACTTACATAATTATACCTACATCTTCATCCCCAATCTTTTGCGCTTCCTGGAACGCAGTCATGGCCGACGAAAAGACTGACGACGCGTTCCCGGACATAACAAACAAGCTCTCCGCGCCGACAAAGAAGTCGCAATATGAAAAGCAGAAGGCCGAAGCCGAAGCAAAGAGACTACGCGAGGAGAAAGAGACGGCAGCAGCACTCAAAGAATTCATCAATGACTATGGCGGCCCTGGTGAAAGTGATCCTCAACCGCGCGCCACTATGGCGGGGAGAGGGCGTGGAGGACTAGGCGCGCGATTGGGTGACGACGAGCTCGATCCAAGAGGTGCCGCCATGGGAGCTAAAAGGCATCATGTTCCGAGACCTGGACAGGCCCGAAGTGGACCTGGCAGTTTAGGACCATCGACAAGTTTTGGGAACAAGAAGAGAACCTTTTGGGATACGCCAAAAGAAGGCTCTCGGGGAGTCTTACAGCCTGAGCAATCTATCTCTGGACCTGTTCATGTTAGAGCTGCGTTAGAGAGCCACGAGGATGATGAAGACCAGGCGGTAGCAACGAAAACGGTAGAGCGCGAGCCTCCGAAGCCCACAATCCGACTGTCCAACATTCCGCCCCACACATCAGAATCAGAGATCAAAGAGCTTATCCCAAAGTCTCTGACCGTCGAGTCAATACGCACAGAGCGGAGTGGAGAGAGTAGACCAATGCAGAGATCGGCGAAAGCAATGATTGCGACGTTAGCAAGCAATACCCCAGACAAGGATATCGAAAGTGCCCTCGTCAAGGTTCAAGGTGCATATCTCGGATGGGGATACAAGCTTGGAGTCTCGAAGCATTTGTCCACTAACGCTTTGGGATCCAGCACGGCGCATGCCCCAGCATCTACGTTTCTTCCTTTCGGTGCCGCCTCAAGGGCCAGAGATCCATCTCCGCCACGTCAAGGTTCTAGATTTGCTCCTCCACCTGAGGAGAGAATGGACAGAGGCCCGCATGGCCGGCAACAAGAAGCTCCCCTTGGTCCACCGGAAGTGCAAGTTGTGGTACCGTCAGACTTCAGAGAGCTTCGTCTCATCCATAAAACGTTGGAGAATATGATTATACATGGGCCAGAGTTCGAAGCTCTCCTGCGCAAGCAACCACTCATACAGCGCAACGAAGAATGGGCATGGTTCTGGGATCCCCACAGTGTTGGTGGCGTGTGGTATCGATGGCAGCTAAGCAACCTCATGCGCCAGATTGATATTGACTCCGACTCTGATGATGAATTGCCTTCGATTGAATCAAAGGGCGCTATTGATCTATTCGAAGACTCCGAACCTTGGTGTCCGCCTGAGAACGACTTGGCATTTATGTCGCCAACCAAATTCAGTGAGCTCATCGACGATGCTGCATACCATGATACCTTGGAGCTGGAAGACGAAGAGCCCAAAAAGCCCGTCGCCGAAAACACCGCACTGTCATATCTCAACCCACTCCAAAAAGCACGCCTCATACACCTCCTTCAGCGCCTCCCTACATCCACAGGCAAACTCCGCAGGGGTGACATAGCCCGCATCACCGATTTTGCCATTACCAACGCCAGCGGTGCCCCAGAAGTGGTCGACATCGTCATCTCCAACATCCTGCAACCCTTCGCACTCAGTTGCACCACGCAAAACGACTACGACGAAGAGCAATATCCAGGCATCGACACGTCCATCGACCCCTCAAACGCCAAGCAAATCGGCCTGTACGCCGTGTCCGACATCCTCTTCGCCTCGTCCGCCAGCGTTGCCCGCAACAGCTGGCGCTATCGCGAGCTCTTCGGCGATGCCCTGCGCGACCGCCGCATCTTCGAGACGCTGGGCCGTCTAGGCAAAGACCTTGGCTGGGGCGTCATGCGGCTGAACAAGTGGAAGCGCAGCATCACAAACGTGCTCGAGCTATGGGACTCGAAGAGCGTGTTCCCGCCAGAGGTGCAAAAGCACTTTGAAGCAGCCTTTGAGTCCGTGACAGACAAGGTCAAGAACGACGTCGATGCCGCAGACGCCGCGGACGAGGACATCCAGGATCCAGTCGCGCAGGACCTCGAACCGCCGGACGATGATGATGTTGATGTCGATGACGACGACGACGATCTTGCAGATGCTCCATCCTCGGACTCCGACGCACCTCTCGACATGTCTTCAGATGAAGATGAACCCCCAGAAGACGCTGAACACCCAGAACACACCGAACCTCCAGAGCCCGTCGAGGCTTCATTCGTAGACGACGCCGCCGCTGCCCGCGCCCAGCGCCTCGCCGCGATGAGAGCAACACTCGAAGCCCTGCCGCCCAGACGAGCACCATCTTCACCCCCCGAGACTGCAGACAGAAACATCGGTATGGATGGGAGCATGGACGACAACGCTGCGCCCGAACCCGTACAATCTGAGCTGCCGTCGCAGCAGGAGCAGCAACAACAGGAGGAGCAGAGTTCGGCACAACCACCACCGCCAACAAGACCTGCATTCTCAATGTCTCTAGGTAGTAAACCAGCGATCAAGATGTCACTCGGCGCGAAACAGACCGCGGATGCCGAGACAGAGCCGACCGAGCAGGAGACACAGAAAGAGCAGAAAGAACAGAAAGAACAAGAAGCGCCGACAAAACGCGGGCGACCACGTGCCGCAGATTTTCTTTGACTGGGGGTTCAGGATAGGAATTGCATTGAATAGCATCAGAGGCGCGCGTCAGGGGCGTATCTCGAATTCAGCATAGCGAGGGTCTGGGAGAAAAGGATTGGCGCATACGTGGGCCACTGGATATCAGGCATGAAGGCGTGTTGCTATACTGGTTGTAGCCATCTGTATTTATTATACATACGAGGACCGGAAGTAGTGACTTATGGTCACGCAAAAATCAAGCATTTTTTGCGCATTTTGTAGGTATGAGCACCGCGTGGGTAACCTTATCACCTTGTACAGACAGAGCGCTGGGCATAAAAGCATTGTAGACCATCGCACGACATAGGTGCGCAGAGCCCGAACGAAACACGCTTCTCCCCGCCTTATACTCATTATTCCAGTAGAATCGTTAATTCATCCCTTGTGATGATGCATCAGTCGAACCCGTTCACGCCGTCCGGCTCGCCATATGTGTCGTTGTGACTAAACACCTCAAAGTTGTCATCGACCAACCACTTGAAATCCTCGCTCTCCGGCCTCAGCGTTCGCGCCAGCCCATTTCCTGGTTTCGGAAAGTGACCCGTGTCATAGTCCTCGTCGTACGCATCTGTCAGGGGTACGCTTGTAGGCGCAGAGCCTGAATTCAATGCTGCTGTGGTAAGGGCGGATGGAAGAGAGTCAGTCGACGCGGGTGGTGATGAGAGCGAAGATGTACTTTGTGCGTTGCTGTTGGATTGGGGTGGTTTGAGGAGTGATGAGGGGGCTAGAGATGTCGTTCCGTTGGTAGCGTGATTGATGTCGTTGAGTTTCATACGAGCGTTTGAGGTGAAGACTGGGAGGTTGGGGTGGAGGGAGGCCGAATGGCATAGGAGATCAACGAGTGTGCTAGACGGGAGAGAGGAGAAGTACTGGCGTTTCTGCGAGTGTTAGGCCAAAACGCAGACGCAGTGGAGGTAGACTTACTTCATCTGGATTCAATTCAGGGGCAGCGACTAGAGAGTTGAGTGTCAGTCCAGACCCCGCGACTGCACTCGTAGCTTGCGATGACAGCCTTGCTTTTGAGCATTCGGAGCACAACCACTCTTTGTCCTGAATCTTGACGACATCCTTGCCGATCGGAGGGTCATGGCAATACTGGTGATATGGCGAATTACAACCATCGCAGTAGACTATGAAGTTTCCACTCTGGCTCGTTGCCCGCGAACAAATCTTACAAACGATCAGCTCTGGCTTCTTGATGTGCGTTCTTTTGCGCTTAGTTCCCGATGACGGTGACGGTAAAACGGGGACGAATTGCGTTGGTTTCGATACTTGGCGACCCGATTTTGTCTGCGTGATCTGTGGGGTGTAGTTCTCCGATGTGTCTGAGTCGTCGTCCTGTCTATCATTAGCATCGGCATGGTATGACGATGGACGCTCACTACTGCATCGTCCTCGTCGGAGTTATCCTCTCGTTTTCTCTTGCCTCCCCTTCCTCCGCCTCTGCTACCGCGCCCTCGCCCACGTCCCCTTCCTTTTGTACCAGTCGGTGTCATGCCGGCAGCAGACGTGCTTGTACCGTTTATGCTTTCACCATTTGCGAGCGGACTTCCTGCGGTTGGTCGACCACCTCTTCCTCCACCACGTCCACGCGATGATAGCACAGGCTGAGCAGGTGTACCTAACCGGTCGCTTGTAACCATGTTCTTCAGTATCGACTCCCTCGCAGCTTCGTAGCCCGGTGTCCCTGCTCTTGCCGCATTTGCGCCCACGACTCTCTTCAATATCTCCTCCGTCGAAGCGCTATATTTGGGGAAATCCGCTGGCGAAGACGGGCCGGTTCCGCCATTTGGCTTCCCACTCGTCATCGAACTGGAGAGTGACATCAAGGGCGAGGGCGACGACCAGGTTGCTCTTGTACTGCTTGAGGCCGTAGCTAATTGCTGCGCCGTTGCTGTTGAAGGCGCAACCGAGCTGTTCTGCATGGATGCTGAAGATTTGGCGCTATTGAATGGACGTGGATCCAGAGGAGATCAAAGGTTTGAGAGAACTGAACAGATGCATGTGGTATCTTAAGGTCTGGCAGAGCTGTAGAAGGCGCTGCTGATCCTTGGTCGCGCACGCCTTGGGTCGGCTTGGAGTTGCTGTGGGTCCGTCGTCCTTTGGAGGCTTGAGAGGCGAGGCGGGCGGCCGCTTCCCCGATGAGGTAACTACCACAGCGGCTGTAGCTGCCAAGAGCTATAGTTTATGGCTCTGTCTTTCACTGTGTTTTTTCTTCTCTAGAATGGTGTTCTAGTATTTGAAGAACAGACTAAACATAATTCTGTGAAAGGTTCACCGGTCACATACTACATGCATGGAATAATGCTCGGTCAGGTGGAAAAATCTAGCAAGGTCTGACCGGAGCTGATATTCACTTTATCTCTTCTACATAAGTGAAACAATAGCGGGCTTAGCTTGGTACAATTCACCGAGAGGGTTTTATTCCAATTTGATAGTCAAATAGAGAAATTATCATTATGTCAAAGACTGTTGTTTCTCTTACGAATCGCTCGAGAAGGAAATCGTCAAAACTGGGATATCACTCATAACGTCGTAAAGCATACCGTAAGTCGTGAATCGTCGCTATCGTAAAGAGTTTAGTAATACTTTTAATGCGGCAGTCAAATTCGTCCAGCACATATGTCGTCCCAGACATCCATAAGCGCGTCGGCGTCTATAAGTTGTCAGTCGGCATTACTCGAATGGGCTGAATGATGAGCTACCATCAGGGTATGTAAATTCCAATTTGATCCACCCAGTCGTACTGAAGCGTAAACCGTAGGTTTCATGAAAAATATATGGATGTAGTTTTCGAAGATATACGACAGACGGATTGATACGTTTGACCCAGCCAGGCTCGTTGACATATTCATTCAAGAATGCTCTGCAACAAAATGTCAGAGACAGGTCTTGTCGCAGGAAGTCCCTATACTTACGTCCATATGGGACAGACCTTCATACGGCCTCGTTTTGCTACTCATTGTTAGCTTATAGCTTGAAAATGGATTGATAAGACATGCGTGTGACTTCAATTCGCAAGCAACTGGAGTCGAAATCTCTCCATATACGCATGATATGCCGAAGATTTTCATTCTGAATCTCCCCACTCCAACATAGAGACTCACCCCCCTGTAGAGGAAACTCGTCAAGCGCCATGGGATACAGCGTTGGGTCCTGCATTTTCATAGCCACGATGACGCAGAAGAGTAGCACCATTCCTGACTTGTAAGCATAACTCTCAAAACATAATTTTGAACGTACTCTCGTGACAGGAAAACTTTAGCCTGGCCCAGATGTCATGTTTACCGTCGTACTGATTGATTCGTCGAAGCTGTAGTGCTGAGCCCGCCCGCCTAATTGTCAGAGAACTCAGAGCCATGATGTACCAATGTCGCTCACGCTGCCCCTTTTCAGTAAAGACGATACGGGCACGCTTGTCTCCAACTCTGTAGAATAGAAGAACCTTGGCACTACTTGATTCGAAGGGTCTAGAAGTCTCAATCAACTGTGAATCAGTTGCATGTGGTAATACTAACAATTCCAGGACCTTGAACGAGTTTTCACGATGTAGGTCTAAGAGAAGGCCGGGTTGATGGGTGCCATAGCACCTCGTTCTAGCAATACTTAGTAAATGGCCGTAGCAGACTTATATGAAAGCTCACGGTTCGATATCGTAGGGTAGAGGGTGAACTGGGTGCTGTCCATCGAAAATCCTCCTAGCCCAATGATTTGGCTCTGCGAGCAAGGAACCTGATCCAGTGCCATAAGTGTGTGTCGTTGAAAAAGATTGCGAGGACGAGTTGGAATAAGTTGGCGACAAGGGAGCTGGTTCTGGGATAGGTGGTGGGTATGATGCAGGAACGTGGGAAAAGTTGATCGGCCTACGGTTGATTGCAAGTGGAGCTGTTAAGGCCAATAGTCAGTAAACCCTTGCTTGAAAAGTTCTGAGATAGTTCTAGGAGATTCGAAGTCTCACGTAATGTAAATTGGTACGATTTCGCCGTGTCTTCTGGATCGCCCTCCTGTTTCAACAGTAAACGATCGAGACGAGCTCGGTCTTTTTCCATGTCGCGGCTATGAGCGCGGTGGTGTCTGTCCAGGGTCAACAATATGTCATCCATGCTATAGTCCGGAATGATTACCCTCTCGCTGTCTTGACAATGCCCTCGATAAACCTTGCGTATAGAGCAAGTCGTCCTAGAAGGTTCATTCCTTCTCGCATGAAAGCAGACTGCAGATCCAACCATATGATTCGATAATGCCTGGCAGCTTGGCCATTGTAATATGCCGACGGATCCGTGACTGCAAATGCATCGCGGCAGGTACCAAGCGTATACATTAAGCTTGGGATGACCAAGTCGAGATCAGATCTCACGTCATGACGTAGACAGTCGCAATTCTCCAGAACATGGAAAGAGGTGGTGACTTGATAGCAGATTGACATACAGTTCGAGATATCCGGTCTGAACTCGGCGACATTTGTTTTGAAGACGACTAATCCGTAGGCTGTATCCTCGGTCTCTTTGATCACTCTCCCCAGTGGCCAGACCATCCCTCCGCCCAACGTGGCTCGGCACGCACTGCTTAGCCTTATTGAATGGACGTCGTCAAGGAGTATACAACGAAAAGTGAGAAAAGAGTGAGGCGGAGTCGCGCGTAACCCCTCGTAGCATGACCCAATTCAAGACAAGAGACGCGTGCGCGCAGAGACAAACATTGCGGCTTCACCAGGAGGAGGCTGTTTTTTTTGTCGGCAGTGCACGTGTCGACTGGTGAGAGGCCAGCGAGCTTCGTTGTTGGCTGGGGTGCGCCAGGGCTCTGCACATATGTTGCGACGTCTCGTACAGACTCGACAACAGACGCTTGGTTGCCTGTGGTTTTTTGGGTTGAGAGATTCGTGATCCCTACTGCGCTAATTCGAGGCAGCCTGCGATGCGATCAGACATTCATCGTCTTTCGTAATAACGACGATCGGAAAGAAGAGTTGTCGACCGACTGTTTGCCGCGCCGGCTTTGGCTACCGCGCCGCGCTGAGTCGCGCAGGATTAGATCCGCTTGCTTGCATGCATAGCTCTTAGGCCGCTGATGAAGCTCCCAAGGCGAGCTAATAAGCTTCTATGGCCATAGTCCTGGATAGAACACGTCCTCGAAAGGAAATTATACAGGAGCAAGGGAAAAGACGAAGGCCAGAATGGACGGAAACGGACAATGGTACTTTGAAAGCACGATAAACCGCGGAATCTGGGAGGATTTGGGTGAGAGCAACAGAGACTCTAGCAGTCAAAGCAAAAACATGACAAAGAAATCGGTCGTAAACCTACCACCTGTCAAGAAGTCATTAAAAAACATTTATCAAGGCGTTTTACTTGGCTCAAGTGCGTCTTGGGGCTTGTTATTGAGGTGGTGCGACTGTCGACATTTGGAACCACGAGCAGCAGGAAGCTCGTAATAGTGTCACTGAGATCATCTTCAGGTTCCGTGGGGCATGAAGTCTTTAAAGCACGAAAACTCTTAGGTGCACTGCCATGAATTTGCTCAACGGCGGCGAACCCAGACCTAGATAATATACGTCTTTGCAAGCCTTGCATCGCTGCGCCACAATCCACTACAGGCGGCGTCCTTGGTGTTGTGGTCTGTTCGCCCCCTGTTTTCAGCATATTTAATTGGTGTCCGGCTGTGTGTCCAACATCATTCTACTGGGTTATCGATCCTGACAGTGGTATGCACTATATCATTTCGCTATATTGTGGTTTGACCTCGACTCAGCTAGGGCTGGCTTCTTTCAACTTCTCCGAAACAATGCGCTCGATCATCTTCTCGAGGATCGCAGGTCCACTACCAGCTATCGACTCCTCCATATAGCCTGCTACACTTTTCTCGACGTACTTGCCCACCATGTCAACTTCGACGTTGACGTCCTCCCCAGCCTGCTTCCTGGCTGTCACAATCTTCTCTTGCGTGTAAGCGATGAGCATGACCTCCCACCAACCGTCAGCGCCATCTTGGACCTTCGTCACAGTAAGGCTTGCCCCATCAAGCGTGACATATCCTTTTTCCACGATGTAGCGCAGGACGGATTTGTCTCGCGGCTGTAGGCGGAAGGTCAAGGCATTGCCATCTGGCGTGACGGACAAGACCGTAGCTATTGTGTCCACATGGCCTTGCACGAAATGTCCGCCCATTCTTGTCTCAGAGCTAACCGCTCTTTCCAAATTCACAGTTGAGCCCTGCTTCAAGGACCCCAGATTCGTTCGGCGCAGGGTTTCGGGGGCTACACCAACTTTGAAAGAGGATTTGTCAAAGCTGGTCACGGTCAAGCAGGTGCCTAGAATAGTCAGCAAGTTCGCGCAAATTCAAACAGAGGGGCCCACCATTGACACTGATGCTGTCTCCAAGGTGACAGTCTCCAAGAACAGGTTCAGCATTTCCGATAGTAAGTGAGGTTCCGCCTCCTCCGCTGGACGACTGATCAAGCTGCTCAAGTGCAGCAACAGCTGACTTCCGTTAGCTTAGCTGAAGTTCTTGCGGAAAGCCTCGTGAGATCGAACGTACTGCCAATAGTCTCTACGATGCCAGTAAACATCTTCTATGGTGTCCTGAAGGTTGACAGATTGTTAGTCTGCGTCACTAATTGTTAGTGACGCCATATCGAAGCACGGAGCACTTTTTGAAGCTACCCCACCGACCTCGGCTTGTCCAGCTCGGGATCCGGACTTCGCTTCTGTTTGCTCTCCAACGCTCTACATCTGATACCACGATACCATTGGTTTATACGGAATTGCACGTCGCTCACGTATATTGAATCTTCGATTTTATCGTAGCCGCCTGCATGTCAACGTTGTGAAGACCTCTTTCTGCTACTGAGCGCTCTCCTCCTGACCCTTAGCTAATCTATCACTTGATCTCTGCATTGTTGATGTCGAACACATTTCTTGGCCCTACGCGGCTCTGTGGCGTGGCATTTAGATCATCACTATCATATAAACGAGCTTCGTTACAAAACAATAGCTTTCGAAGCTTTGCCTCAGTGTCTAATGCAGATGCCAGCCTACCCCTGGCAGGCATTAAGGTGCTGGACATGACCAGGGTCCTCGCTGGAGTAAGCACTCTCTAAACAGGCTTCCATTATGCTCATAAATCTCAGCCGTATTGTACACAAATTCTTGGAGATTTGGGGTGAGTTCGAGATTCCGGAATGCAAACCCTTTGCAAGCACGGCCATTAGGCCAAAATTCTCCAATCGAGGGGAGTGTCGATTTATGTGATTGAATGGCTGTTAACTCTTCTTATGATGACTAGTGCAGAGATCATCAAAATTGAACATCCTACGAGGGGAGACGATACGAGAGCATGGGGTCCCCCGTATGCATCATATAAAGCAAGCTCACAGAAACAAGGCAGTGGCGAAAGCGCCTATTTCTTAGGGGTGAGTAGACCAAGAATAAGTTAAAAAAAGTGAGACTGACAACTATCAGGTCAATCGTAATAAGAAAAGTTTGGGGCTCTCATTCCAACATCCGTCCGGAGTCGACATTCTCCACAAATTAGCCAAGGAATGTGACGTTCTAGTTGAAAATTACCTACCAAACTCATTGAAGAAATATGCCATGGATTACGAAACACTTTCAAAGATTAATCCTCGTCTCATTTATGCAAGTATAACCGGGTATGGCCAGAATGGGCCACTCAGCGCCAAGGCTGGGTACGATGTAATGGTTGAAGCGTAAGTAACGACTCGAATTTTGAACGCAATCGGCTAATTGCTCACAGAGAAATGGGTCTTATGCACATTACTGGTGAACGAGACCGGCCACCGGTCAAGGTTGGAGTTGCCGTGACTGACCTGACCACGGGCCTATACACTTCCAATAGTGTGATGGCAGCGCTTCTAGGACGGGCTAAGACCGGCAAGGGCCAACATATTGATGTCGCACTCAGCGACTGCCAAGTAGCCACGTAAGTCCCAGAACCTTAGGGCATAGGAATCACAACTGATTTATGACAGCCTAGCAAACATTGCCAGCTCAGTGCTCATCAGTGGAAAGAAAGATTCCGGACGATGGGGAACTGCCCATCGTAAGTTTCGTCCTCCTGAATGATGTCCATTTTCGTAAATCGAATAGTCTAACACGATCACTAGCCTCTATTGTACCATACAAGGCCTTTGGGACATCAGATGGCAACATCCTCGTCGGTGGGGGAAACGATCGGTTGTATGGCATTCTATGCGAGAAGCTGGGAAAACCCGAATGGATCAAGGATGAACGATTTGTGAGTAACGCCGTCCGTGTCAAGCATCGAGAACTTTTGGAGGATATGATCGAGGCGGAGACAACGAAGCGCACGACACAAGAATGGCTTGATGCGTTCGAAGGTAGTGGTATGCCATACGCCAAGATTAATGATGTCAAGGAGACGCTGGAACACGAGCATGGTAAGCACCTGCAGAATCTATATTGGTGGAATGATACTGATTGCAGCCAGTGCAAGCGCGCAACATGGTTGTCGAAGTCGAACACCCACATTGCGGAACGTTGAAGATGGTTAACACACCGGTGAAGTTCTCAGATGCAAAGCCAGGAATCAGGACTCCTCCTCCGGTGCTTGGGCAGCACACGAACGAGGTTCTTCGCAGCCTTGGGTACTCCGAAAGCGATATCGAAAGTTTGATCACGGAAGGCGTGATTGCATAGTTCGAGGGTGAGAACCATCTACGCTTCTCGAGGACACTGTATATATGTGCCTGTATAGATATTGGACCTACATATAGAGTCCACATGGTAGGACACCATCTGAGTAGCTGGCTTAGCTGTTAGGAGTTAGAGTAAGGCCAGAGTCTAGATATTACTCCATAGTCCTGTACGTGGTGGTTGAACAACAAGCCTAGGTGGACCCTGACCCTGATTTCTCTAGCGCCTTCTTACGATTGGCTAGGCTAGATGGAGGCACGGGCATTTTAACTTTTTCTGTCGCGACGACGTGTTTGCCAGAGTCTCGGCTATACTCGCAGTATCCTTCTCTTCCTCTCTTCGCAGACCGAACTCTGCGTTATTTTACAAGTCATTCTCTAAACCTTCCCTTCGCTATGGACAGTAACACCGTCTCAAGCCAGCCGGCACTCAAGGCGGACCCCATGGAGGGCATGGCTCATTCCGAGGCGCATTACTTTAACAGGTAATTAACGATCTTTGCGCGCTTCCGGCGCTCTGGCGGAGCAAGAAACTAAAATCTTGCGCAGCTACAATCACCATGGTTTGTCTCACGAAACTCGCCAATATCATGTGGTTCAGTTACACTAACATGGCCAACGGGAAGGCATCCACGAGGAAATGCTTGTACGTTAAATTTTGTTTTAGCGAGAAGCTTGCACGGCTTGACTTTGTGTGTTCTGACCATGGCTCTGTAGAAAGATGAAGTACGCACAAGGTCTTACCGAGACGCCATCTACCAGAATGGACATCTGTTCAAGGACAAGGTCGTCCTCGACGTCGGCTGCGGTACAGCCATTCTCAGCATGTTCGAGTCCCCCCGCCGATTTAATGAATCGATCGATCCTAATCCGAATACTCTCTAACACACATACACTAGGTTCGCCGTGAAGGCTGGTGCCAAGCATGTCATTGGTGTGGATATGTCGACCATCATCGACAAGGCGAAAGAGATTGTCGAAGTCAACGGCCTGTCCTCCAAAATTACACTGCTCCAGGGCAAGATGGAGGAAGTAGAGCTACCATTTCCCAAGGTAGACATAATCATCTCAGAGTGGATGGGCTACTTCCTCCTCTACGAGAGCATGTTAGACACCGTGCTCTACGCGCGAGACAAGTACCTCGTACCCGACGGTCTGATTTTCCCCGACAAGGCGACTATCTTCCTCGCCGGTATCGAGGACGGAGAGTACAAAGAGGAGAAGATCGGATGTTCGTAAACCCCCTAGCCCGCCTTTCAAAACCTCCATACTGACACAATACAGTCTGGGACAACGTCTGGGGCTTCGACTACACCCCTCTCAAGCAAACCGCCCTGACCGAACCCCTCGTCGACACCGTCGACATCAAAGCCGTCGTAACCGACCCCTGCGGCGTCCTCACCCTCGACCTCTACAAAGTGCAACCCGCCGACCTCGCATTCACGCTCCCGTACTCGCTGACGGTGCGCCGCAACGATTTCGTGCACGCCGTCATCGCCTGGTTCGACATCGAGTTCTCCGCCTGCCACAAGCCGATCAAATTCTCCACCGGCCCGCACACAAAGTACACACACTGGAAACAGACCGTCTTCTACCTGAGAGACGTGCTCACCTGCGAGTCCGGCGAGCGCATCACCGGCATTCTGTCCAACAAACCCAACGACAAGAACAGGCGTGATCTCGACATTGCAATCTCATACAAGCTGGAGTCGGAGGACCCGGGCAGGCAGGGTTCCGGCAGTGCGGAATACAAGATGTGCTAAGCGGGTATAAAAAAATGATGGGGCTATTCCTTCACACACTCCGCTACATTTCCCCTCTGCTGGCAACCCTGTTTTTGACAGCCGGAACTCGAGACAGGATCGTGGCCTTGGCTGTTGGATAAATGCACTGCACTGCACACACAACAACAACAACAAACATATGAGCCGCTGCGTGACATCCTTCCGGCGTCTGGGCGAACGAGTAGTTCACGACACTTCAGGTGGTTATACACTTACTTCATGATGACGATATATATATGTCGGCTTCTCGTATATGCAGACTGCCGAAGAAACTTAGATAACATAGCGTCTTGTACTGAAAAGTGAATCTTCTCGCGCTGCTAACCTCTCACGTAAAAATAAAGATTGCTGCTATTAATTGATACGTACTGCGATCAGCTTCGTGCAGCATTCTAGCATTATCCAAGCCAAGACGCCTCCTTGGTATGTAGTATTCACCCAATGAGTCTATTTTTTACATGGATGCAACCAACCCACACAACACACATTGCACGCCTACCAACTCTCCCACTTCTGCCCTCCCATTGCCACCAACCGATTAAACAGCTCATCCCGCAACGGACACGCCGTAACCCTCCACTTCGCACCTTTCCGATCGACAATCTCCACCCCATCACTCACCTCGCGATCCAGCGCCCACCCAACCACCAGCTTCGCCTTCCACCCATACCCACCCACCTTCTTCATCTCCCTGATATCCGCAACAGGGATACTCCACAGCGGATGCAGATCCTCGCGCTGCTCACTGCCCACCTTCTCAATCGTGCGATCCGTGCTAAACGCCACACACGGGATGGTAGCCTTGGTCGTGACGTACACATGGCCCTTCCTGCCATCGAATCGTGCCTTGAAGTCCACCGGCCCGGAGATCGCCACGGCGCGCGTCCACTCTACCACCCCGCGACGGTTCTTGGCCGGTGTGCTACCCGCCGCAGCCTTGAGTTTGTCTGCGCCTAGCGCCGTCTCGACGCCTGCTTTCGTGGTGCCGCGGAAGAAGTTCAGGATCTTGCTGCCCTTTTTGCCATGCTTGCTTTCCTTGGATGCGTCAATGTCCGCGCCACCGGTTTCGTGTGGGACGGCTGGGTCGTGGGCCATGGCGGCGTCGAGTTCGGCTGGGGTTGCGTTGAGTGGGGGCTCGGCGCCTGTGGCGCGGAGTTCTTGCTCGCCGATGTCAGTGGGGACTTCAGGGGGTGGTTCTCTGGTGCGTGGAGGTGGAGGGAGGGGAGCTTTGTTTGCTTCGCCGATGCGGAGAAGGGTGATTGTGAGTTGGGCGTTTGTTGGGACGCCTTTGAGGATGGTATTGCGGACTTCGAGTAGCTTTTGCCAGTTAGGGAAGGTATTGTTGAGCCAGGCGAGGCCGGGTTGGAGGATAGGGTCGCCGAAGAAGGAGAAGCCTAGGATGAAGGTGGAAGCTTTGACGAACATGTAAGAGGTGATGAAAAAGGAGACTGCGAGGAGTGGAACGATAAGGGAGGCCAACCGGAGGCGGTGGATAGAGCGTGGAAATGGTTTCGTGGGTGAGAGGGCGCTGTGGGATGTAAATTGAATTGTTTGTGGAAACAGGGGGTTGGGATTACTCACTTTCCAAATCGCTCCCAGGTATCTGTGACATCGGCCAGGCCATGCATAACGGGCCTCATTTTCGTCCACATGGCAGTCTCCATGGGGACCTTCGTCTTGTCATGCTGTGCACTGGGCGAAGCACCCGAAGCCCTGTCTTTTGCGTCTGCCGCTCCAATTGCAATAGCAGTAGGATCTGGGACGGCCACCGGGTCTGCCGGGCCATCTTCCGCGTCTGGCTCACCCTGTGGGTGTTTGCCTGTGGCGCTACTCAGTGCTACAGAAGCGATTCCGTTGACGAAGTTGCTAGCCTCAGCTTCTACAGCCTCACCCTTGTGGTTCTCTGGGGCCCCGGTAGCGCTGTCAGTGCTGCCTAAAACACCGGCTTTGGGCTTTTGTACGCCTCCAGTCTTCGAGTTGACAAGCGCGATAGGAGCAGGGGGAAAGAGGAACTCGCGGGAGGGCGGGTAAGCGATGAGCACTATTAATGTGGTTGATATCGTAGGCATCAGTAGGTCGAAAAGCCATGCGACGAAGTATACCTGCGCGGTTTAGCATTTTCCGAATGTGTACAATACAGAAACTCACAGTGCAAAACCATGCCGTTCGCTTCGTCTCTCGCCATGATCTGAGCCGCACAATGTGTTTCATAAAAGCCATAAGACCAATACCCTACACCGATGTCAGCACAAAATTATATTCACATGTAGGATTCGACCTACGATGGTCATATACAGTCGCTCTATATTACTGCGCAGCTTATCGGGCGAGAACTCCTCCTCGTCCGCGATGTTGAGATCTAATCCCCCTGGAACTGCATACGGATATTCCTTGACGTGATCTATTCAATATTAGCACTTCGTCAAACCTTCTATAACATCCTATCTTACACATTTGCTGTCCACGATTAGCCTATGTCGTCAATCCACACCTGCTAAACAAACATACCTTATTAAACCGCCTAATCAACATCCATAATTCGTCATTCTGTATGCCACCAACAAGAGGTGCCGGTATCTTACTCGGCGGCTCATGCCAGCCCAAGTCTGCCACATCTTCATCGTGATTGGCATTATGCACCGCTCCCTTCTCGTGCTCTTCTGGCTCCGCAGTCGCAAGCGCATGGCTATCTGTAGGTCCGTCATGGAGAGAAACATCAGGCTCGGTGGGTACACCGCCGGGCGGTGTGTCCACGTTATCAGGGAGAGGCAGGAAATCCATTATTGCAGGACTGGCCGCCGTCATATTGAGTCAAGTCCTGGCCTAGCTAATGATATATCACCGCTAGTCAATCAGGTACTTGTGAGCGATAGTGTAGTATGTCGTGAGGAGCGATAATGTATAGGTTAGAGCGAAATGACAGGGCGTAGGGTAGTAGTCGAGGACGTGGAGGGTGGTTAAGACTGATAGAGTGTAGAAAGCAACGAAGGCTTGCGGAGTCATGGTGAGCAAAAAAGAAGCCTAAGACAACGAGAAGGCCTATGGGGCCCATGGCAAACGGGAGAGGCGCAGGCGTGAGTGAACTGATTGGAATTCGCGCGCCCAGGTGAGTGAAAGTGGCTGAGGTGTGAACAATTACTTCAATTACTGTCAATTTGACGTCACCGCGACTACGGCTGCCCGCCTCCCCCGCCAACCCGCGTCGGGTGTAGATCCGGATCCCGATCGATCGTCCGTTTATCGATCTACGGATTTGTGCTGATTCCGTTTTCGGCGAACTTGTTATCAATCTGTTAATTATTCAAGTTCATATAGATAGACGACTGCTAACTCTCACAATTCTGGTCATCTTCAACGTGCCGCAGATGACGCTCCCAATTGAATTTCCAGTGTAGCAGACCTGCAAATGTAAGCCTCCTCCAGCCATAAATAAGCCCCCTTATCATCGATAATGGTAGGTGAACGGGCCACCTGTGAAGATAAAAATGATTTCATTCGTCGCTCCCAAGAGGTATCAAACATCTAAACACAGTCCCAGAACGCCACCATGTTGCAAACGTGGATGCTCAAGGGCTATCCAATATCGAGACGCCAACCTCAAACTTCTTCGCCTTTAGTACCCGCTGTTTCTTCGTTGGGCTGCGCTGTTGCATCTCGCGCTCTAGATTCTCCAGCTTCCGCCTCAGCACATCATTCTCGTTCTCAAGCTCTCTGACTCGCTCATCAACACTCGGCGCTGCATCCTCGTGTATCTTGACATTTTGTGTCAGGAGTGAGAGCTTCTGGTCTAAATGTGCATCGTTACGATCCGCTTCTTCCTCCCACGCCCACTTCCACCGTCTCCGCTCTTCATCGATCTTAGCTTCCATCTCGTCGTAGCACTCGGCGCGGACCTGTTGTTCGACTTCAACCATGCGCTCTTCGGCTGCTCGCCATGACGCTTCTGCGGCAAGACGGCGTTTTGCTTCTTCTTGGAAGCGCAGTTCGAGTATCTCCATTTCCTCGTTCAACCGACCGATTTCCTGCAGTGCATGGTCATGCTCATCGTCATCTGGATCCGATTCTGCAGGTGAAGTCCGACCACTGCTGCTTGACATTTGCCTAGCGGTAGCAGTAGTACCCGAGAGAATAGTACTCGTGATAGACGGGATTCGAGGGACTGTGACTTCGCGAGCTAGAGCAGAGTACCGAAGGATCTGGGAGGTGGCATTGAAGTCACCGATCGGATCTGCGTTTACAATCATAATGGCCTTTTGAGGGTTCCGATGCTGATGATGCTGAGACTGAACACTAAGCGATGGGAACGAATTCGAGAAAAGGAGTTCGGTAAGTTTGCACTGTCGGAATGGAACTAGGTTTTGCTATGCAGCGTCAGTATACATGACAGACCAGAGTAAGAGGGATCACATACTCGGTTGCCGTCTTGATTGTCACTCTGCATCTGCATGCATTGACCCAGATACATCAGACTCTCGTTGATCTTTCCGGCTTCTGCGAGAGTTGCGCCAGCAGTCTTCGCATTACGCGCACGTTCGGAGCCTGTCATGAGTGTGAGTCCAGACCATAGTATACTATAAGCTTACTCACCTGCAAGGTCAACTATTGTAAGGCCGTTTGATGTCCATGTGGTGGACTTGGTTGGGATGCGCTTCTTGACCTCCACGCTAAAGAAACCATGGCTCCTCGAGCTGACTGCGTTACTACCCGTGCCTGCGACTCGTCTCTCGATCAAACCCGTCTCTAGAACCATCAGAGCTTCTTCGAGGGTGCCGCAAATAATCTTCCGTAGGCCTGCGACCACCTTCCGGTCTGGCGATAGTTCTGTTGATTTATAGAGTAGTGGTCGGCGTTTACCCACCCCAGCCTTGGCTGTTGCAGCGGATGGCGTAAGTAGGTCATAAATTCGGTCGTTGTATACTTCGTACATGGAAATGACGATTGCGTACTCGGCGTTTTCGTCGATTCTTACAGATATATCATCGACGCTCGGCGTTCGTGGTAGAGCCGTGACCTGTGGCATATGGCGAGATCGAGGGGGACCTATGAAAGAGCTTGCATCCTTTACATGCGAAGATCCTGACTTAGCAATACTTCTTGTAAAACGATGAAATATGTTGGCTACGCCATTCGCTGTAGGTATATATGACTTTGACATAATAGGAGACGAAGAAGATACAAGAGAGGTCTGACATGGCGGCTTGCTTAGTTGTATTGCCGGATACAAGCCGATAGAGGTCGAATGTAGTAAAGTATGAGACTCTTCTCCTACCATCATTGGTGTTTGGGCTCGAGAGGCCATTCGAGACTCTGCATGGCTCTCGCCATATATCGAGTCGAGATATATATATGCGGGCAAAAGCTGAGACTCGGACACGTCCGCCGCGGAAAGCGAGAAGACGGTTTGCGTAGAAGATGGAAGCGCTATTCGATCTGAGAGATTCCTGAAGATTACGTCAAGTGACATTTGGGTGATTCCACGTTGTGATTTGGTCCCAAGGATCGTGTGGCTCTGCGACGCATTAGGCTCTTCCAAGACATATTTTCAGTATTATGAGCACTTCGGGCGCACCTTTCCTGAGCCAGTCACACCGAGTGTAGCCAACAGTCCATCTCTTGACGCTCTCTTGTCTGTTCCCAATACCCCCTCAATCAACGACAGCATGCCTGTATCCTTGAACATGTCGAGCTGCGATGCATTCTCCTCAAATACTCTTGTGAAAGCAAATTTCTCAATGGCTCTTTTCCGATGATCATTTGCGGTTGGTCGGATTGTTATATGTGTCGGAACATTATCGCCGATATGTTCGACGTCGAGGAAGCGCTCATTGCTGGCGCTTGAAGGCCTCAAGCGCAGGAAAACATCGAAGAGCGCCGATGCTGGCCTTGGGGGTGGTTCCATATTGCTCATTGTTGAACCCGGCCGTCAACGAGCGTATAACTATTCGTCTGTCGAGGAAATGGATTATTCAGATAGGAGCATCGAAGTAATCGTGAATTGCGGAGCCACTGGAGAGAACGTCTAGGACGTAGGACGTGTTTGGGTTCATGCGTTGCCCCAGCACCGAAGCTTTGACCACCATCACCACCTTATTACACCTCTGCAACTTTATTAGCGCGCTTCTTAGTAGTACGAGTCACTAGCATATTGCTTATAGTATTTATGTACAAGATAACGCGAAATACGTACATCTAAGTTCCCTCCCTTACAACCCTTGATATTACATATATACTTCCGGTATCATTGCTGTACAGTCGAGGCGAGCTTTTGGTGTAATTAATCCCACCCTACGACATATGTTTGGGTGCGCCTTCCAAGACAGGTCTGTCTTATCTCCTATGCCGTATCAAAAGTTCCATCAGTACCTTTAGATGCAGGGGAGTCATTACTAGGAGCGGGTTGGGGATTGTATCGCCATACTGGCAGTTCTTTCCCTCGTTGAGGGGTTTTGTTTCTCTCGTTGTTCCCTGCTTCGACAGATGCGTCGTCGTCGTGACTACTCCGGCCAGGTAAGTCCTTAGCATAATGAACTCTGATCCTCGGCTGTGTCGTGTGATGGGCCCGGGACTTAAATGTGGAGTCCGTAGCAGATAGAGATTCCTGAGTGTCGTCTACCACTGGCGTCTTGACCCTTCTCACAATCTCGTCAATGGTCTTGGGCTTAGATTGAACGTCTGGGTCGGACGGAAACTTCCGACCAAGCCAGTCTCGGCGCGCATGCTCATAGCCAGTCAAGGTTGGCTTGATCCCATCACGTTCAGTGATGTATTGCTTGCGATGCTCGATGGCAGTCCTGACCCATGATCCCATCTCCTTAGAATACAATGGAACGACCTCCCCATGGTCCTCTGGGTGACGAGCCGGCAACGATGTGCCATCTCCGTTCCTCTTTCCCGAACTTGTATTAACTTTCTGGATAGATGAGTCAGATGCGGTGTCGCTTTCCTCTGCCATGGCAGACTCACCACTCCCGCCCTTGACCTCCTCATTAACTCCTTGTAGTCTTCGGGCTTGCGACCGTATTTGGCGCCGCAGCTTTGTCGCAGCCGTTCCAGTAATGCCGCTGGGAGTATTTGGCAAGCCGCCAAGGGCTTCTATGCTAGCTCGTGCATGCGCGTGTGCCCGTTCGATAGGACTAAGTGGGCCGATTGTCGGTTGAATTTGTTTCTGACGGGCATGCTCAAAGCGTCGGCGGCCACTTATAGTGTCAGATTTGGGTACATATGAAAGCTTCTTATCGTTGGACGCGGGCTTGGATTTGACGCGTGGGTTACCCTGGGTTCTGTCCTCAGGGAACTTGAACCCCAATTGGTTCGATCGCAGATACTCTATGTCATCGGTGAAAGCGCGATCCACAGGAATTGGAATGTTGGGACCAGAAAGGGCAAGCTTGTGAGATTGCGCAGTCTTAATTAAACGTTGGGCGTTTTCTAATAGCTCAATCATGTCTTGGACGAAAAGCCGTACTTGTTGTTCTATCGGGCCGCGTGCTTGCCTATAAGATACGAAGTGAGCGAAAGGGAGTTCGTCAGTTTTCCGTAACCTTAGGCTGGCGTTAAACTTCTTGATGATTGCAAAAAGTATCTGTATGGCGGTGGCCATATCTGATGTGCTCCAAATTCGCTCAGGCTGCGACTTCAATAGTCTGCTGTAGGCAACGGAAGCAAAAACATCGGGATACGGCTTGCTGTACTGAAGCATATATTTCATAATTTGTGATGCATGCGTAATCACTGACGGATCCCTGTGTGCGAGCGTGCAAGTCTTGATTGCATTGCGGAATAACGAATGATCGAAGGAGCCTTCTTCGATAGCGGGCAAGTACTTGTCTAAAGCCTCCCTGGTCCCTTCGGCTGAGCGTGCAAATTGATGCTGTCGTATAATCATTGTTAAGCTCTCTCCATTCGGTGTCATATCGAAATTAGTCCCGTTCAAGAAGAACTCGGTATACCGCTTCCCGGTCGCATGATCCTCAAGCTTCTCGCAAGTCTCGCACAACAAGACTAGAAGCTGGTTAAGGTCGACTGTCGACAATGATTTCAAATCCAGTGAAAGAGCGGTGCCGTCCTCGAGGAACACAGGTTGGAATAAGTTTTCCGTCTCAGCTCGAGGAGCATTGTTTTCCGACGGCTCTGGGCCAAAAGATCCCATCCGGGGTTTATGTTCCTCAGTGGTCTGCAAGGAGTGATCCAACAATGGTATTCCCACGGTCTGACGAAGGAGCGCAAAAACGCTGCGCCAGTCATCAGAATCCTCACTCTTGAGCAAAAGCCTGGCCATATCAACGATGAGCTTCACATCTACTTCCAGCTTTCGTTCTTGCCATTTGCTCAAGACATCTGCCCAAAAACTTTTGCCATGCACTAGGGCTTTCTGGCAGCGATCTTCGACCACAATAACCTCGTCTTTCTTTATCCTGCTGCATGCTCCTCTAGCAGGTTCAATCTCTGACTTAGTCGTCTCTCTCTGAAGAGCTTTCAAGATGATGCCATATGATATATGATCGAGTGCACACTCCTTCTCGTCCGGTACATACTTCAATATGCGCCAAAGGCAGTCCATGTCCGGTATGGCAGCCGCAACATTCATCGCAGCGTTTAAGAGTATTGTCGTTGGTTTGATCGGGCTATTTGCCTTACTGTTCGCCAAGGAGACGTAGGCGTCGGATGCCTTGATCGCGAGGAATTTCTGCTCCGCTTTGACAACGTGTCGATCTTCATTACGTTCTCTCTGAATCCTACGAGCTCTTTCCAAATATCCAGTAAAGAAGGTCATATATGTATAGACGTCCGGCTTGATGCCACAGTTGATCATCTGTGCACCGAATAGGGTCAGTGCTAGTTCCAATTGTAATAAGTCACTCAGTCCAATCATACCTCCCTCCTTGCCCGTGTCACCTTGGAGATGGATCCTCTCTCTCCTTTGATAAGTAAAAGTTTGGCGAAAAGCAAGTTCCAGCTCCCTACGGTGTTCATACGATAGCTGCATGACCGTAGTCTGGCCTGTATTTCCTCGTAGGATTCGTACTTGTCGGTTACATCCTTTTTATCTAGCAGCGTTCGTACAGTATGGAATAGCGTTATCGGGTCGTCTGTCAATTTGCATTGGTAGCTCAGGTATGCTTGGTGAAGAGTTTTCTTGTCCGATGTCTTGGCACGTCCTTGCTCGATGTTTTTGAACACAAAAGCCTGGTGTGTAGTCACGAGTCCTTTCTTGCGAGCCTCTTGAATGATGGGCTGGTAATCATCATATAGTCTCTTTATGCTCGCAGCAACAGCGGCCGGACTTTTGTCCCTGGAATACGTGCGGCGATGGGAGGCTGTGAACGATGCGTGATAGGCCGGTGGTCTCAACGATCGTCTCGCATAGACAGAAAAAGAGGTTGCATTAGCCTGAAGCATACGCAAGTAGCATGTATGATAGTACATAGAGAGGGAAGTGATCGAGGTGGTCGCTCGGAGAGACGTCGAACATGGGTGAAGGCTCGCAAAGCTAGGTCGGTTCGTTCCTGGACGCGCTGCGTCAACTTTCTTGGACCCTGATATTGGTGGCCTCAGGCCACAATATGCCTAGCTTTTCCCGGCATTGCTTTATATCGGCGATACTTACACCTGCGACTTCATGGTAAGAATACTTGTGATATTGCTATTGCATCGAGGGACTCGCATCTATTTCTGCCCTTTCTGACTACGCTCCACTAGCTGGACTGACTACCTGTCGAGGCAGACAATCATCACGGTATACAGGAAACTCTGTACATATGCCTGAATTCAATCACGACTAGTACAGGAGTAGTAGTAGTCAACAAGTGGTAGATAATAGTTGGTTTGGGCGGATGGTAACGCTTACGGTTAGCTATTGCGTCCGGCCGAATTGTTGGTGTTGGCGTATTTGCATAAGGCTGATCTGGGGGAGTCCTTGATAGTGGAACTGAGCAAGAGCTAGCGGACCGGCACGCTGTACACGGAACCGGACCACGGACGACTGAGACGGACCTATCCATCTCCCGTCTAGCACAACCACCATCAACAAACATACCTTGTTCCTCCCTTGCCGAGTCCACGCCACTTAGTGTACTCTAGTCATGCAGTAAAGACCTCCGAGTCGGCCACTAATTCGGCGTCTGTGAGCTGAAACCCGCCGAAGCGAACTCGACTCTCCCGCACAAGGCTAGACGCACGAACATTCTTCTTTGGCACCACTTCCATAGGCCTGGGCTCTAGCATCGATCCTAGGGCAGATCTCTTGACATGGGGAGAGGGGAGGCAAGGCCATATCCCACCCACTTGGGGCGCTACGCTGTCTCTAAAGTAGCACATGGCTAGGGGAGGGTATTAGGTCGCTTTTATGGTGCGGCACAGTCCAGCAGTGTTGGTAGCACGAAAACGAACATCTGGGAGTAAGATATGATGTAGCACTAACGAATCATCGAGTCTCTTCGGAAGCAGCCGAATGTTTGACGCAGGTGGGTGATGTATCATCTGTTTCGCTGAGGTGAACAGTGTGGTTGCAGTTCTGTATACTGTGTCAGAATGGTGCCATGCTTGCAGGAAATCTATATTTCGTATTTCGCGCGACCAACGTGTCATTGTCACCTTTCTCTGTCCTCTACTGGTGACAGAAGCTCCAATGCCGCCATTGTTGGGTATTACAGTTGCAACGTAAGTTAAAGTCGACGTGTGGCTTTGAAGGTCGGTGGCCTTCGCATCGTCAAAATCAAAAGGAGACCTACGATCCACTGTAAGTGCTTTGTATAATCCTTGATTTAATCTTCAATAGTATCGGCATCCGGCTCTATGCGGCGTGCGGCCGGTGTGGCTGCGTTCTGCCGATAATAGCCCCTTTCTTGTTCCTAATTCAACAATTGTGCAATAGTGTTGAAGCCCGTGTGGCTGCTGTACAACGCATCGGAACATTCAGTTTGTGCATCAAATTTCTACACTGCACACAGTACACGGCATACTGCGTACTTTGAGCGTTGACAGCTGTACGTGTAACCTTGCCTCCAGGACTGGACATATCATCTGACCATTGCTCCCTTGACCTTTCTTCAGATATCTGTGGATCCGGTTGATGGGTAACAACCATGATGATATCACGCGGGTTGGCATGGTCCTCGTTAAAGATCAATAATGCATGATAAATTAGGCTTTCTCCTAAGCGCCGTCCATTAAAGATGGCAAAGTAATGCTGCTTCACGGCTCGTTCTTACTTAAGTTTATTTTGGAGGATGATGCGGTAGTAATGGTACTTGTGTTTGCAAGACATGGCGAGTGTGCTGATTTATTAAGTGTTGGAGGCCCTTACCAGAGCCCTGGAGAGTGCTCCGCGACTCGTCTGACATCAGTCGCCTGCTACCACTGCCACTCCTACCTGTTCCTAGATCAACCTGAGCCCAGCCGTCAGGCTTATTCTATACGTACTGTGCTCACTCGATTCCGAGAGCACGTTGTACAGTCGCCCTCAGCCATGCTATGCTGTACAGCCATGAGACTCTATTCCAGCATTGCGACCAACTAATATGACACCACGTCTCACTTTTACATATCTATACCTCTGCCTGCTGTGTTCACATACACCGGAGGCTCGGATGCGACCTGGATTTCAGTTCTGTGTTGGTGAGCGTTACTGACTACGCGCTTCGCCATTTGTCACAGTCGTGTCTTTCTTCCACGTCATGCACTGACAGCGGAATCTCACCCTTCTGTACTGCCGGCCATGGGTCAACATTAGTCCAGCTACTCGCTCTATACCTTCTGGAACAATTTGCGAGGTTGCACCGTCGTCCAGGGGCTCCCAGCATCGACATCAGTTGTAAGGGGTGCTCGAGACTGCCAGGAGCAGCCCACAAGAGCATGCAGAACAGGGCGCTCACATACTCCAAGGTCAGACAGGCGGTCAGCTGGTTGAGCATAAACCGATTGAACCGCTACACTCTCAAACTCACATTAGAGAGCGTAGAATTCACAACGGTTCTTTGCCGTCGTTGTTCCATGAAACTCACGGCAATGAAGTTCTCACGCTGACGGCGAATTTTCGTATTTTGGGCACAGTACTTAGCCGCCCGCACTCCCCTAATCGCCCATCACCCGCCCAAGTACTTTAACAAAGCTCCGTAGCGGACCCTCTCCTGATCAGCTAGCTTGGTGTTCTTTGAATCATGGCAATTAATTTGCCATCCGTATAACATCGTGTTTCCCATTGTTACATACCATTTCCGATATGTCAAAGTCTTCAAGCTTTTTACGTGTGTCTTCAGGCTATTAGGTACCACACTGACTTCGGCCTAACACACCACAAACCCAGTGATTGCATATGCGCATGAGGTGCTGCTTGTGTACAGATGACGGCATCATATCACCACGGGAAAGGAGTCTCTTCTTGTTATCAAGTAGGAAACGGAAGTGACAGACATATCGATTATGTGACAAGGGCCCCTGATGTTAACGCTTGTTCTTCACCCTTCTCCCCCCTCCCCCCTCAGCCCAGCTAGCCACGAATACCCGTTGTTATTTTATTGGAGTCTAGCTCAATGCGGATCCCTGGACTAATGAACGTGCTTGGTCATACGCTGGATACGAGTGAACACTAGTGTTTTATTGCCCTGCGAACACTATGAAATCTGTCATCGATAGTGTTTCATGGGAGATCTGGACGGGGGATGGATACAGCCAGAGTGGAGTTTAGTACCACCCGCCCTATAAGTTTCGAGATCTTGATCATAGAAGGGTTGTATATGAGCAGTCGTCGAGGAGCAGACCCAGCTACATTCAAACTACCACAGCCCGAGTCTCACTTTCTGAATTCCAACATCTCATTCGAGAACTTTATTATCAGTCCCTGCATACCGTATCAGGCAAAAGGGCTACAGTGTATGCAGAATTGCTTATCTTCTGTCGTTAGTAGGACCAGGGCAAGCACAATATGGGGAAATTGTGCAAGGCGAAACTCGCTCCTTCGACCTCCTCATTGGTCTTCTCGAAGTATTGTTTTATTTCTACCACTCAGCTCAACGTGACATTCCAAAAGGGTTCCCTGGGGCTGCCTATCTCTGTTTCTTTCATCATGTGCCCTCTCTGTTCCCCGGCCGGCAGTTGACAAGGGAGCAGAACATGCCAGCCTGATCTCAGTGAACACGTCTCGTCGACAGTCCTCATGCTCGCTTGAAGGATAGGTTCCACTCACCGACACGGCACACACACAGCACAGCACAGCACAGCACCAATTCACACCTTCCGCACAAAAGCATCTCACCAGCAGTGCCGTCATCACACACAAACGCACAAACAGCTAAACCATCCAACCACAACTACAGAGCAAGGCCCTTCCATACCTACTACGTAGCTATATCGCTTCCAAATCTCCGGGCCCCCTTCCTCCCTTCCTTCCTTCCTTCCTTCCTTCCATCCATCCATCCATCCATCCATCCATCCATCCATCCATCCATCCATCCATCCATCCATCCCACTCCCTTCCCCCCTACAGCTGCAGTATCCATCCGCCCACGCCCATGTGTGCGTACATGCAGCAAGCAGCATTCACACCGCACCGCACCGCAGCACACCGCACCGCATCGCACTGCCTAGGCATGATATCTCCAACCCCCTCCCCTCCCCCCCCTCTCAACACCAGGGACTCGAAGCAAAAGCCCTCGTAGCGTGCAGCAGCAGCAGCAGCCTGCGTGCGAGACGGGCGACCAGTCATCTTTCAGACAATCCCCAGGGGGACACCCCTCTCCCCCCCCCTCCCCTTGCTCGTTTTTCTCCAGTTATGTCCCGGGGTTATTCACAGAGAGCGCGCCACATGAAAAGCTTGGTGTGTGTGGTGCGATGCGGTGCAGAAGAGTGCCGTGCAGCTGCAGTAGTCACAGTAGTAACTAGCAGCAGGCAGCATGACGACGCGGGGGGGTTAGTTCAGAGAAACGTCTCGAATATTGGCTGGTTTGTGTGATCTGCTTTGGTATTATTGTGCTGGACGTTGCATAACCTGGGGGTGGTGATAGTAGTGGTGGTGGTACTGCTGATGGAGCTTGTGGTATGTGATAGAAAGGTGTGAGAAAACGCAGTCTTTCTTTTGTGAACCACCGAGCCTCCCCCCCCCTCCTTGTCGCAGGCTGATGTGACGACGACGTGTTGTTCGCATGATGATGATGATGATGACGATGATGCTCGTAGGCAGTGATTGGAATATAGAATTTTCTGACCTTGCACTGTGCTTTGTATGGGGTCTCGCCGAGTCAGCAGTCAGCAGCTGACTGACCATGGGCGGAATGGTCCTACATTACATTACATCTTCCAGACATCAACATCAACACCAAAGTCGCACGTCACGTCACGATACATATAGACAAGTCATGTACGTATACAAACCAGGCCATGTCCCAAGTAAACACGCTAGCATTACGCAACCAGCAGCACCTAATTAGTCCGTCGCCCAAAACAAAACCGCCCCAAAGTACCGGCAGACAGGGCCCAGCGAAGCAGCTAAACTGCTTAACCAACGCGCCCCGAGAGTGGGGTCCCGCGCGCGCGCGCACACAAACTAGGTCAGGTGCTTGCTCCGATCTCCAGCTAATGAACTAAGTAAGCCCTGCCTCCAACGGCCATCTACTAAAAGTAGGTGGTTTTGATATTGGGTGTATGTATTTATGTGTGTGAGTGTGTGTGTGTGTATGCGTGTATATACATACAAGACGACGGGAGAAAGACGGCCTTCGCCGCCACCACCACCACCACCACCACCAAGCCGCCCGTCGGACACGGCACGTTTGACGTCTGTTATTACTATGTATGTATATGGATACGCCCGGAGATGGAAGAACGAACTGATAGACGATGGAACGCGATAATTACACATCTGACAGAGGTCACTGCCGCTACAATGCAGCTTATCACAGTCCCGAGTCAGTCAATGAGTCGGTCAGTCGATCTACCACCACGCCTTACTCGTGGGCATATATGTACTATACACACACCTATAATATATCATCCATATCCATAGTACTGTATCATATCTTCACCCCCTTCTCCCCTTCCCCCCACGCACGCACACACATACACACGCACGTATGTACATAAATACATACAAAACCCACACACACAACACACAAATCACAACGCACTCCTCCATTCACCCAATCCCACCACCCTACTACTCCTATTATTACAACACCAACTACCGAACGCAAAAAACACCAAAAAAACAACGTTCGTTTCAGAAACCCTATTACCCACCTATTATATACCCCACCCACCCACTCCATCCATACCCACCTATAAATCCACACGCCATACACGTGCCACACGCACACGCACACGCACATGCAATCAATCCTAAAGCGCGAAAAGAAAACACCGTTCTTCTCCCGTCTGGTTGACTGGTCTCTCCGACTGGTCGCGGGTGGATAAACGTCAGTCGTCAAATCGGCAATCCTACGTATACGTACACATGTACACATACGTACACAGACACGTACAATTGTACAATTGTACAAACGAGACTGAAGTGATGACAGTTCCTATGACATGACCACTGATGACCGTGACAATGACAACCTCAACCACGGGCATGACTGTGACCGTGCACACTGACAATGGACAATGGACAATGGACAATGAAATGACACTCTACCCACCACTGACATGACACTCTACCACCACTAGAATGACAATTCGTGACAATGACCAACCACACAAAGTACTCCTGCTCTTTGCTACCCGTGATCACTGCCCGCGCAGTCCGAAACAGTCTGCCCGCGCAGCAGCAAGCAGCCCAAGCAGCCCATGCAGCCCGTGCCCCCCTTCAAACATGTCATCACACAACACACACACAACACACACACACACACACAACCCGTCATCATATCCAAATCCCCTCCCCACTCCAGAAACAAAAAGAAAAAAGCAAAAGTCAAAAACAAAGAAAAAAGGAATTTCGCGTCCGTCCAATCGAAACCGATGTAATGTAATGATATCTTGTAATATATCTCGTCCCGTGCCATTCCCATTCCATCACAATCCACCAAAACCAGCCCAAGCCTCCCACCGTAGAGCGCAAGCAAAGCAAAGTAAAGCAAAGCAAAGCAAAGCAAAGCAAAGCAAAGCAAAGCAAAGCAAAGCAAAGCAAAGCAAAGCAAGCAAAGCAAGCAGGCGCGTAACAAACAAACCCATGTCAAAAGTACCATTCACAGCAGCACAAAGAACAAAGAAAAGCATCCACTCAAGTCCCCGAAAGAAGTCCTAGTAAAGCTCATCGTCATTATCATCATCATAATCATCGTATCAAATCTTCAAATCTTATCATATCATCATCATCATTTCAAATACTCAATTCAATTCAATTCAATATCAATATCAATTCAATTTCAAAATTCAAATTCAAATTCAATTTTCAAAATTCAAATTCATTCATATATCTGAAAACGCAACGTATTTCTTTTTATCTTTGGTGTTTGATATTTGGTGTTTGGTGTTTCATGTTGGAGGGGAAGGGGGAGAGTGTAAGGGGTGAATATACTAGGAAGGAGGGGGGTCTCGTATACGTGTGTTGGGTGTAGGTGCGTGTGTATATATAGATGTGTATGTGTGTGTGTGTGTGCATAACGTGCTTTCTAGAGACGAACAAACAGGCAGAATAAGAACAAAATCAATCCAAAAAATTTCAAACCAAGAACTATTTTGTATGGAGGGTATGACAAAGAGGAAAAGTCGACACACCCAGCAGACAGAGAGAGAGTGAGAGAAACAGGCAGAGGAGGGATAGTATGATATCAATCCATTGCAGAAGTACTCAAAATCTGTGCTTTGCCAAGAAAGGTGGAGATGGAGGAGGGGAGAGGGCGAAGAAGAAGGGGGGTGGGGGAGGAGTAAAAAATAGCTCGGATCCGTGCTGAGCGTGCCTCCTTCTCTCTCTGTCCAGGGCTCGGTTGTCTTTCCATACAAGGTAGGTAGGTAGGTGGGTGGGTGGTAGATAGGTAGGTAGTAGGTCCTGATAGTCCCGTGCCAACGTATAAGTATATGTACGTATTTTATGTGTGTATGCAAAATCGGCTCGTCGAATACTCCAAAACAAATAAGAATGCCGACGAAAGAGAGGTACAGGAATTGTGGGAAGGTCGACAACGTATATATATGCATGCATGCCCGGTCCAAAAAAAGAACAAGATAGTAATTTCAAAGAAGCAGCTTTGCCGTTGAAGTGATAGTGCATCAAGCGGGGCCAGGCACAGAATTTTTCGTTAACTCAAAGGACGGTAGCAGTCCATCGTATCGTGTGTGTGTGTGTGTGCGCAAAAAGTGCAGAAAGCTAACAAAACAACGTGATCTGGAAGGTGAAAGCAGAACGACGAAACGAAGCAGAACGCATGATTTTGTCATCCTCCAATCAGGTCCTTCTGTCGATTACAGAGACATACATCCATCTTCACGGGGTATTTCCTAACAGAAAAAGGTACCGCCTGGCCAACGAAGAGGGCTCAAGCTAGCCCTCGTTCCGGCGAGACCATCGTCACCAATCCACCTCATTATCATAAATAGGAACAAAGCCTAGTGGTGCTGTGTGTGTGTGTGTGTGTGTGTGGAGTTGCGCCGCGATGCAATGGGTCTAAACGAAGGGGAATCAAGAGTGCAGATAGACAAGGAAAGATCGATCAAAAGAACCCCGAAACCAAGTCGTGCGAATGCGTGCTTGAAAGTATGACTCTCCGCCTCCGGTATCAAGATTGTCCCAAAATATGAGCGCTTCTCCTTAGTGAATCTGTTCCGAATGCGCGCGAAAAACCAAGACTTTAGCCCCCAAAACCCTGAAAGGCCATTCGTAATCCCGATGAACCAAGAGACATATGCTGATGTGATATCGAAAGGGATAAGACTCGCTAGTAGAAATAGGAGTTGTGGTCGTGTCCATGAACCGAACGTGGCGACAGACTCACTCGAGTTTCCAGTAATAACCATTGTGATTCGAAGGAGAAAGTGATCGAAATGTATGACACAGCTCCTGTGAATGGCACTTTGAGTATGGACCACGACCATAAAAAGCGGAAACCACCAAACCCCCCCCCCCCCTCCCAAACACACCAAGAAACATGCAAAATGGGGCTATGACAAGGGTTCTTCTTTCGCCAGGACAGAGCCTAACGGTGCGCTCGTCGCATAATCTCGTTGTTGAACTTATAAAGGCAATGTAAGGTGGCGAATGAAGCTCAACTAAAGGCGAAGTACGGAAGCGTCATCTACTACTGCGGGTAGTTGCTTTGGCCATTCTCGGACGCTAAGACGATATTTAGCTTTCCCGTTTCGCAGACGGTGGAGCAGGGGCGAGATTACGTTGTTGGTACATCTGATTCTGGCCGTGGCCGTATGGGGACTGCGGGCCGTAGTTGCTGCTGCTGTTATGAGCACCTCCATTGTGGTATGGTGGATGATTAGAAGCGTACTGTGGCATTCCCTCCGGCATACCCGGACTCTGAGTACCATACGGTGGAGCTTGTCCACCAGACGCAGGGGCATAGCCGATAGGAGGCAGCTGGGGACCACCGCCCATATTTGGTGGCGGTACTTGAGAACGAAGAGCGCCATACACCTGAGGACCGTCGCCATTGTCGACAGGACGACCCTCAGCGCGGGCACGTTCATCCTCAGCCTTGCGTTGCTGCTCTTCCTCCTTCTTCTTTGCCTTCCATTCTTTGCGAATCTCTTTGAACTCTAATAATCGTTAGCAAAAACGGCAATGGGGAGTACACGACGATTTGGATACGCGATGCTGTTGACTTTAACATCGAGTGCTGGTTTCAGTAGCAGTAGCGTTGTTTGAATCGTGCATCAAACTAGCTGGGACATGGGTTGACAGATGGTTCATGGCTAGCGTCCGCAAAGTCGGGCGAACCATCAATATAGTATGTCGCGACACCGCTTTGGGCCATAACAAAACAGTCCGCGCGCCAAGACGAACCATCTTTGACCAGCATTATATTGAGTCGAAAAACGTACCTTCAGGAGTGCGCTTCGCGCCATGCGACTGCATCGTTACATGCGCGTTCAAGTGATTTAACGTTCCGTACGCCTTCTCGCAGCCGTTCCAGCCACACTTGTACATGCGTTCAATCTCTTCGTAGCGTCTACGCGGGCGTTTGTGCTGTTGCGCGCCTGGTATCGGCACGAATGAATAGACGGTTGACAACGGGTGGCCACCCTGCGCGTCAACGTTAGCAATTCATGTTACACAAAAGGCGGAGGCTCCGCAAACGCGGAGACTCACGGGGTGTCCGGGAGCGTATACCATGGCGGGTGTAGTTGGCGCCGATGACGCAGGATGTTGTCCGTAAGGACTGATCTGATGAGGACCAGGAGGATATTGTCCACCCCATTCCGGTCGTCCATTCATATACGGACTAGGTGTCCCAGGATACCCGGCATGATGACCCATATCGTGTTGCGGTGTATAGGGAGAATACTGCTGGTGTTGAGGGTAGGTTGGGCTGGTGGCAGCGGCGATTGAGGGATCTATTGGTACTTCGTTGTCAGACTCTCTGTTCCCATTGTGATGGCTGTTCTGGCCTTCTGCCAAAGGCATGGACGGACTTGTTTGAGTCATAGCGCCTGTGTTCGCACTTTATGGCCGCTGTACCGGTTTCCACGCGTTTTGTCGAGCGTGTTTTGGGGTATCGTTTCCTTGAGCTCTCTCTGTCTCTCTCTCGCGGAGGTAGCGTACGCGAAGGTAGGGTAGGTGTGGCAGAGGAAGATAGATTTGGAGAGGAGCGCGTTTCTTGTTTGTGATAACGCGCAGGATGCAGGCAGAGTGAAGCAGGAGCTTCGAAAGGGTGTTGCTGGTAGTAGGTAGGCAGACAAGGCGAGCTCGAACCGGACTACTAATAGACCGTTCGTCTATCGTGCATAGACTTGTGGGAGAACCGTTGGTAGAAGCGAATTGGCGAACTCAAGACCGGAGGACGAGAGGCGCTGGATCGACTGAGGTAAAGGTACTTGAGAGGAACGAGCCGTAGGCGAAAACTACGCTTTGCCGATTTTGAGCGTCGGAAGCTGATTCGCAGAGCGAGACCTTGGGGAAGAATGGAAGGCTATCGGACCGTGGCTGGGAAGTTCAAGGCTGACTACCCCCCAGGAACGACTAAGAGCCGAAAGATGTGTGTGTTGACAGCAGATACGCTGGCGCCGATTTAGACGCGGATGATGTGCAAGACGGCGTCCTGGCAAGTAGGAGCGACTACGACGTAGTTGGATAGCCACCAGTGTTTCGGCAGATCGTGCGCCGTCGTAAAATATAACGTTGTTTCGGTAGTGCGAGGAAGAGATGGTAGTGCAAAGACTAGTCGAAAGATGGGTGAGAGTGGGAGGCCGGGCACGAAAAACACTTCTTTTTGAGGTGAAAAAGCGCGTGAAAACGGAATCGTAGGGCAACCCAGGGAGATCGAAAGGATGAAATGACCGATCCGACTGGGGTGGATGTCTCCAGTGGAATTGGATGGATGCAACGATGGGTAGGTTGCACGAAAGTTGCTTAGCAGAAGACTGAGAGTTGGAGGTCTAGTCGCTGAAAAGGATGCTAACTTTCTAGCGGCGGATGAGCCACTAATGAGTGAATGGTCAGAGAGTGGTCACGGAGGAAGAGGGACGGCGTCCTTGCCCTGAGAGCGCGCTGCAGTTCAGGTGCCACCAACGAGTGCGGGAGGCAAGAATGTCCCACTTATTATTTCTTGTACTGGAAGATGTGAGGTAATGCTGCTTTGCTGGGAAGATGGAGAGGCCGGGGTCAAGCGCCTTTTCAGTGGCTATTGGGGGAGGGGGAGGGGGAGGAGGGGGGAGGGGTTGTTAGTGCGAGTGCAGTGAGGTGTATTTTTTGTGCGGATATGAAAAAGCAGGGTGGGTACCGTGAATTGGACGAGATGGAATGGGCGGTACCGGGTGAGGACTGCTTGGATTGATCGCGAATGCGGTGAGACTTTCTTCCTGCTCTTGTTCCCTGCTGATGTGTGTGAAGTTTACTTGAGTATAGATGTGTATGTGTATGTGTATGCGTATGCGTGTGTGCGTGGTGATTCAGGCCAAGTCAGGGCCCTAGTAGCAGAGCTGGCACGACCTTGATTGTAGTAGGTAGGGGGCTCTCAAGCCGTATTGATGGGTAGGAAGTTGACGCGCTTTGCTCTCTCCTGGTGGGCTGAGCTGTGTGAGCTGCTGTAAGGTATCAGAAACAAGTTGCTGCTTCTAGCGTAGTGTATCGACGAGTGACGCTAAAAGGTGCGATTGATGGCTAGTCTCTGCGAGGAGAAGCGCATAAGTCAGCGTTTGAAGCATGTGCGTGTTGGGGGGAGAGGAGGAGGTGGGTACGTACTTTTTGACGAGCCAACCGTGGATGAACAGGTCCCCAAGCAAGCTAGCAGCACAGTAGTGAGATGGGAGAGATGGAAGATTGGGAGATGGAGAAATCAAGAACGCAAGAGAAATCGAGTCTAGAGAGAAGGAGGAAAGGACGCGTTCCGGGCGAGAAGGGCTAGTGCAGCAAAGACGCGCGGGCGAGACTAATGTGAAAAGGGCAATTGAGGAAACGGGGGGCCTTGAGAGCTTCTTCTTGTTGCTTTGACTAGCTCGATCCTGGCTTGGAACGCTCGGATCATCCTTGGTAAACAGAAAAATAACGGCCGACCGGAGCAGAGAGAGAGGGAGAGGGATGGGTGAGGTATAGAAGATTCGGGGATTGGAGTGAGAGAGGGGGGGGGAGGGGGAGGGGTCGTCCAAAGAGCGTGACCATTGTGAGAAAGGGTGGTGGTAACAGAAAACACACTCCCCTCTCTACTTTACCCGTCCACCACCAGCACTACCACCACCACAACCACCACTTACCACTACCGTCACTTTGCTGTACTGTGGTCATGAAGAAGAACATGCTTTGTGGCCACCAGAAGGGTGAAATCTCAAGCCACCGCGCACTTCCGCCAGCTTCTAGGGCCGTCTTCCATGTTTACCTCAACAACACATGAAAGAGAAAGAAGAAAACAATCAATCAATCAATCAATCCATACATACATAGCACTCTCGCCTCATCTAAGGAAAAAAAAAAGACCCTGATCCCACGCTCACACGTGAAATCTTCGCTTCATTGATCCTTTTGCCCATGCAATCAATCTCCCATACATCGATTGACAGGGCATCATCCACGGTGCGCATCAGCTCGCAAATGAGGTATTGAATTCCAATCTATGAGTGGCAGGACTCCGCATTATGTGAGCACGGTTGACACGTCTAGTCGGCCCTTTGTCGGTGCTAATCATATGCAAAGTGGAGCGGAGAGCCTTTGGCTTGCTCTCAACCAGACGATGGTCTAAGCCACACACACACACATGCGTGCGTGCACATACACACAGTACACACACCAATACCCAATACCCAATACCCAATACCCAAGACCAGAATCTCGAGAATTCCTCCCCCAACCAGGATCTGCTCCATTCGATTAATCTCGAAGTACTGATCTTCCAATTTTCTGCTCCAACCAGCACTCAGAACCATACTTTGCGTCGCCGTTTCTTCCGGATGGGCATTTGATCTGGACCCTTCCTTGCCCTCGAAAAGTGTTGGCCTCTCCTTGTTTCGCAGCAGCCCCCTGTTCGGCTCCCACCATTTGAAATATCTTGTGTCTCTCGACTGTCTAGACTCAGGGTTTTTTCTGGGGTCTGACATGTTTATTTTCTTTTTTTGACCCTGATGCCGAGGCTCCCATTTAATCCTTGCCTGCAATGTACATACATGCAGTACAGCATGAGCATTGTGTAAACAGGCTTGCGCTATCGTTGCCGACGCTGGAGCTGTGCAAAGAAAAAAAAAAGCCGTGACGTCGGGGCGAGAGGCGCCAGCGCGGGGGCACAAAGTATATGTATAATAGTTGTATGACTGGCGCTGGTGTTACTAGTAGCGAGCGAGCTGTAACGAACGAGTCGACGAACAGTCGGAGAAGCATGTTCGCTACTTGAATCTTTAAGCGGAGACTTTGTTCAAACCCGGTAAGCCGGATGTGCGATGTGCGGGAAGGCAAAGCGGGTCAAACACGACTGGCACCCAGTTCCGGGCAGCACTCTAAATGCTGTTGTGACACCGAAAACGTCTTTTCGAAAAAGACCCTTACCTCTCCTAGCCATTACCTTATACGTGCCAGCGGCGACGGCGTGCTGTGACGTCGAAAAGCTTAGCATCGTCATGCTTAAAACGTTTATGCACTAGTATTGTTTCGAAACCATCGTGAGATATACTACTTCTCATCAGCTTGCCATTGGTATCATGGATGATGAAGAGCGTGTCGACTGCTATACGAGCACGAAATTGCGGTGTGATGCTTTGGCGCATTGCATCAATATGAACGAACCTCGTCATGTGGCTATCTTTATGAATCTGAATCACCATTCTGGACACTGTGTCCGGGTCCCATACGAGCGCCGTGAGTTGTCGTTGATCACCTCACGCGGTGCGACTCGGTACGCCGTATTCAGCAGAGGGACTCTTCAATTCAAACCTTTTTGGTCGAAACAGTAGGGCCGGGATATATGCTTGACCAGGATCCGCTGCGGTTCAACTTCTGCTCGGCGTGGTACCCCCTTGTTTTGCACGCTCTACCACAAGTGTCTCCTGACAGACCAAGAAGACATGACCATTTAGTTGTTGTATGTGTGCGTGTGTGCGTGTGTGCGAAAGAGTGTGGAAGGTTTGCGCTTGAGCCATGCATCCATGATGAGTGGTGCGTACGTGGCATTACGCGCAGTATACTTTGTCCACAGTATGCGCGCCTCCACAATGTCGTGGTCTAGGTGTCAGTGACGCTCCTGACGGCAAACCCATGGTTTGTCGCGAGGTATGTTCGAGATGTGTATGTAGGTAAGTAGATAGTATATCTTAGAAATCGCAGCTGGCAGCGTGGCGTGTGTTTAGACGGACCGATTCCAGTATCTTGGCCTGGGCCCACCACCTAGAGGCGGGCACTGGCAGCGTGTCGGGCTCTTCTCTGTATAAGCTCCAGCTATGCACGCACGTGCGTCTGGGATAGCGCGTTTGCAGTTTGTTGCTTTTTGCGAGGTTTTTGGCGCTACTGCCGCTGGCGCTATGATGGTTTGTACGACCACACTACGATATATTATAGACATGTTTGCCTAAAAAGGGAACATCTGTTGACGTTATCAATCTTACCTGCTGGGACAAACGTGGTTGATTGACTGCAGGAGATGTGTGCAGCAGCAACCAGCCAGGTTGCATCCCAGTACCAGCAGCCGTACATGCTGGAAGCTGAAAGATTGCAGCAATAGTAATATTCTCTAGAATGAACGTTTGGTGGCACTGTTCAATGGTTTCGACATTCTCGAGACGAGCTGATTGTCTCCGGATGGACTTGATAGTCTTTGATGGCCGTGATGGCCGAGATGCTGCGGCCTACCTACCTAGTGCACATGGCAGCAGTGCTGCATATGAAACGAAATCTGTGAAAGAAACAAAAGAGCGGTCGATCACAAGAAAACGCACAGAGGTGACAGCTCTCACGCATAATGCGCGAATAAAAGCGTGAGATGCAGCGCCGGGAATAACGAGGACGATGATGTCGGAAGAATACATAATAATGCGCGAATTGAGAAGCGTGGCAGCGCGTGGAAGCATGCATCCAGGAATGTGGGAACCATGTCCAGCCATGCTGCTGCTGCTCTCAGCGTCGCTACGAGCACATTGCACATTGACGCAAGCAGACCGGATCATTGATTCGGTGGTGAGAGGTCATGTGCATCGAGTTTGGAGGAGGAGAGCGGGAAGAATCTGCCGGGCAACAGCAGCTCGTGCTCACATGCAAGGAAGATTAAAAGACAGCGTGCTTGTCGAGCAGGAAAGAAGGCAGCCAGCCAGCACGAGAACGAAACAAAGAATAATGCCGAGCATATTTTGATGAGACCACGAAATGAAGTGGTTTGAGGGGGAGAGGGAGAGAGAGAAAGAGAGGGAGGGGGGAGGGGGGGGTGACAGGAGCAGGTGGAATCAATACCGTCTTAGCAATACCAATGATGATACAATGAGGTGTGTCCATATCTTCCGTAGACGCAGGCGTGAGAGATACCCACACCTCCTACCTAAGGACCAGTTCATGGCCACTAAGGCAAAAGAAGCTTTTTATTCCTTAGCGTTACCACGTTGATGCTCGTAATGATCCCGGTCCGCGCCTTTGTAGTCAGTCATTGATGACTGTGGTGGTGGTCATGCAGAAAGTGATATTGTATCGCTACACGTTACGTTGCGTTGCCAATGCTGCTGCTGCTGGTACTGGTACTGACGACGATGTCAGCCACAGAGACTAATAATGCTGATGATGGTACGTAGTTACAAATTGACCCAACGACGCAGCAGACACATGGTACTTGGAGTTTGAGTGAGCTGGCCAACAACGAAGACATGTGGCTGACTGCATACTGTATTATCGAAGCACTGAGCACTGGGCGGCAAGAGAAAAGGGCCGAAAGAGGATATAAGAAGCGTTGGAGCCGCAGTGTCACCCGCTCACGTGGGCTTTGGAGCTGCATGCGAGGTCAGGATGTATCGGCAAGGGGGGGTTGTAATTAGTGGAAGAGATGGAAGATGGCGAGATGGCGAGATTGGGAGAGAGGCCGAGAGAGTGAGTTAGAGAGAGATAGATGCAAACAAAGCTGGGTGTGAAGAAGATAGTAGCAAGGAGGGAAGAACCGAGAGCGTAGGGGGGCGGTTGTGAGACGGGGAACTTGGGGGGAGGGGGGAGGGAGAGGGGCAGCTAGGGGGATATAAGCTGGTGGAGCGGGCACGCTTTTGGGGAGGGGGATGGTGAGCAACTGGGCAAGTAGGCAGCTAGGCAGCTAGGCAGCTGGGGAGTTGGGGAGTTCAATTGGGGGGGTGTTTGGGGGGAGTTGGCTGGCTTTTTTTGGGGGGGAGGGGAGGGGAGGCGGTGGGAGTGGCAGGGCGGGCAGCGCTGGGGAACCTGCCGTAGCCATAGCTACACATAAGACACATAGTCGCGCGTTCTGGGCCTCTTCTAGGCCGCTGCTCATCCGAATCGGGGAGCTCGCGCGATTGAGCCAGGCGGAAGTCGGCATAGCGCTGGCTTTTTCCTCATGTCCATGTCATGCTGCTGCTACTGCTGCTGCTGGATGGGCATGGGCATAAGCATGGGCAGCAAGCCATGGCGACGGTTCGTAGTTAGGTCCAGGAGAGGAATTGTCCATTCCGATATCCAGATGGAGCATGCACACCATCATCGACCATGGACGACGCACGCCTTGTTATTTGGAGAATAACAACCACCTGCTGCTGCTGCTGCTGCTGCTGGTTGTGGTGGCTGGAACTTCGGCGACGACGTAACAGGAACCATATAGTAGGATCCGGAATCGGATGCCGTAGGGACAGGGGCAAGGGCAACAACCTAGGTTTTTCAAATGCCAAGGGACCATGCCATGCCATGCCATGCCAATCATGTCTTCTGCGATCAGCTGAAAGATGGACATTAATATCCAAAGGGGAGCGGATGCATGTGCATGTGAGTAGTAGTGGTAGTGGTAGTAGTAGTAGTAGTAGTAGTAGTAGTAGTAGTAGTAGTGGTAGGAATAGTGGAGGTGGAGGTGGAGGTGGAGGTGGAGGTGGTAGAGGATAAACAACAATGTGGCGACGGAGAAGCAGCACGCAGCACCCAGCACGGCCGCCAGCAGCCCGGGTAAGCCAGATGAGCCCCGCCCACCATAGAAACATGAAAAGATGCCACCCAGCGACCAAAACACAACAGCGAACTATCTATTTCTCCTCCTCTTCCCACTAATTATCCAAGCCAAGCTACTACTACCTGGGCAAGGCAGGGCAAACAACCGTCCATATTTTTGTGATTAGTCAACCTCCTAATTGATTCCTGAGATTCCTGTGATTCTAGTGGGTGCGGGTGGAGCGTGGGCGTGGCGGAGGGGTTTGTTGGGGGGGGGGGCCAAGCAGCGGGCAGCTAGATAGTAAGTGGTATGGGCGGGCGAAGGCCAATTTTCACATTTCAACACGTCAATTAACAATACTAATATTAATGATGGTGATGATAATGATGATGATGATGCTGCTCAGTGCTGATGATGATGATGATGATGATGATGAATGGATTGATTCAATCACTTTCCATCCCGTCTGACCATTCTCGCTCGCGTCCATTCCGCTACCATTCCGCCGTCGCCCGTTGGTTAAGGCCCCCTCCCCTCCCCTCCCCTTCCCTTCTTCTCCTGCTGCCTTTCTCCCCTGCGCCCCTGCATCCTCCAAATCCAAATCCAAAATTGCCAATCGTACACCGCCACGCCTCTCTTTTCTCTCTCCATCTCTCCAATCTCTCCAATCTTTCCAATCTCTCCTCTCTCTCCTCTCCCCTGTGACCATACTCTCGCGTCCGACTGCCATCCTCACTCAACTCTGCAATATGTCGTGATGCGCCTTGTCATTCAATTTCATGCCCTGCCCCTCTCCTCTCCTAAATGAATTATGCGCGCGCCGTGAGCCTGTCATTTTCCGCAACCCTTCACTCATTCCACATCGCCAGCATCACACTGTTGCACACTCCCACCTGACCTCTCTCTATCAAGAGCCAAGCACATCTGTCATGGTTGTAATCTTCAACACTACGTCTTCGTTCTTGCATTGGTTGTTGTCAAGCACGACTCCGCACTCATTCTACGAGCTAGCTATTCCGTCTATGTGACAACAAACCCAGTCCACTTCGTCAATCACACTATACAAGCAAGCAATTAAACTTGCCTCGTGACTGATCCTCTAGACCATCCCCGCTGCTGCTGCTGTGTCTTCCGTCCACCTGCGTATTATGCTGCTGTGTGTGTGAAGAACAAGATGATGCAAAACAAAGGAACCTTGTCTCAAGGAAAATGAACTGTAGACCTCCCTGATGGAATCCCTCTTCTATACTACCCCTTTTACCGTAAAACTCCAGTCTATCAAGGTGAGGCAAGTCGTTTGTCCAATCTCGAGAGCGACTTAAGAGACTCTTACCGTAATAACGAGCCTCTGTCTACCATCGGCTGCGAGACAGAGGTGCATTGTTAGCGCCAGTTAGACCTGCCTCTGGTTAGCATTGACTTGTACAAAGGGTTTGTGAGCACTTTACTGACCACCGCCTCGTCCACCGCGGTGTCCACCACCTCCTCTCCACCGTCCACCGCCGCCGCCGCCGCCACCATAGCGGACCATTTCTGACAATCGAGGATCGATTTGCTGTTTGGCCTCAGAGAGGATGGTGACGAGATCTCGAGCCTGCTTCGCGTCTGGACATGTTCCATTAGTCATCCGACCTTCATTATTTTGGTTGAGATACTTACTATCAGTAGTAAAGAAGGTAATGGCGGTTCCCTTAGCACCGGCGCGACCAGTACGTCCAATTCGGTGAACGTAGTCTTCCGAGTTGTTCGGGTAGTCATAGTTCAGTACGTGGGTGATATCCTTGACGTCTTTAAGAAAAATCTAAGTTAGCACAAAAGTCACATATGTTGAGATCAGAGCCAATCTATTTTCGATCGCGTGAGGCTGTAAGTTTGTTGCGTGCAATACGCTCGTTGCGCTACGAGTGGTCATGATGGCATCCAGGCCAGCCATTGCAGCTGGAAATCTCTCGTGGTCCAGGGAAACCTTGAATACGTAGCTTGAACGAGTCAAGAAATGTTGCCAGTCCCCTACAGTATAGTCGAGGAGACTTTGAACAAAATGAGGTGAACCTCACATGAATGCATCCAAGGATCCGGTGATGTGGATCTGATGACACGATAAGACCTGGATGAGACATGAGAGCATAGAGGCAAGCGCACGAGAGTAGAGAGCAGAGCACAACTTCAGATCACGCAATGAAGGATGAAAGGAGAGGACGCTGGGGGGGTTCAGATGGGGGCAGGGAAGGGTAGGAGGTGTTGGGGATAGGGATGGGGATGGGGTGGGTAGTAATAGCGTTGAGATCATACCAATGCCACGGGATGCCACGTCTGTGGCCACCATGATAGGGCTTTTGCCTGTCTTGAATTCGTTCAGAACCCAGTCACGTTCGTTTTGCTGTTTGTCTCCATGGATGGCTAGTGATCTGTCAGTAGATGCTGTCGTAAGACTCGTGGTAAACATACATAGGGCGGGCCAGCCATCTTGTCGCAAGAATTTGGTAATTTCGTCAGCGATCTTCTTCGTGCCTGTAAACACCAGGACCTTGCTCGACTTATCGTCCATGATACGCTCAAGGTGCTTTGACATGCGCTCACGCTTATCATAGTTGCTCATGACTTCAACAATCTGGGTAATGCGATGGTTGGCAGACAATTCCATAGAGCCGATATTGACCTGAATGAAATCGGTCTGGAAGTCTGAGGCAAGTTGACGAACTTCCTTAGGCCATGTGGCCGACCACATACAAGTTTGACGATCAGGTCTGATCTGGCCAATGATTTTACGGATTTGAGGCTCAAATCCCATGTCCAACATGCGATCGGCTTCATCGAGGACTAAGTAAGTGACGCGGCGAAGGTTAGTCTTTCCGGACTCCAGCATATCAATCAAACGGCCTGGCGTGGCGATGCAAACCTCGACACCTCGCGCGAGGTCACGAATCTGTTGACCTTTCGGCACTCCACCATAAACGCAAGTATTTCTGATACGAGACGACTTGCCGAACTTGTTGATTTCTTGCTGGATCTGTACGGCCAGTTCACGCGTAGGAGCGAGAATCAGAACAATTGGTCCGTCTCCTGGTGCGAGTAGCGGTTGGGCATTGATGTGGACAATAGCTGGGAGACAGTATGTGAGGGTCTTTCCAGATCCGGTCTCCGCGATACCAACAACATCACGACCTGAAAGCGCCATCGGCCAGCCCTGAGATTGAATGGCCGTCGGTTTCGCAAACCCTTGGGCCTTCACTTCAGACATGACATATGTTGGGAAACCAGCTTCATCAAAAGTTGTGACCGGTTTTGGAACATTCTTTCCTGCGATGGTCATTTGAGACTCTTTCCGAAATCTTTCGACTTCGGCTGGTGAACGTTCGGCTACGGCTGGGTCCTCTTTGTAGAATGACTTTTCGAACTTAGGGAGGCTGTCCATGTCTGCTGAATGTAAGAATTTGTACAGATAATGATGTTCTTGCATACGCACCCCAGTTCTGTTTTTGCAGACCAGCTCCGAGGTTAGACATGCGGTCTCCGCCGGCTCCACCGCCATATCCACCTCCGCCGCCATATCCTCCACCACCATAGCCTCCGCCATTCGAGTAACCGTTGCTACCGCCGTATCTGCAAAATTGTTAGCGACCGATCAGATCTAGACCAACGAGATCCCATCGCACCAAACGTCTCGAAAACAATGGCGCATCTTTTCAAGGAAGACGAGCTCATCATATCGCGAGTTTGGCCACAGGGTGTGTATGAATAAGGTGTCATGTGCAAACTCCGTCACTCGCCAGCCTTGGAATGACTGCATACCCACTGGCGGAGTGACCGTAGTAGCTGTGGGCTGTGTAATTTGTGCTAAAGTCTTCATACCCGTTCGAGTGTCCGTTGCTGTATCCTCCACCGCTGCCGCCACGGTATCCGCCTCCGCTGCCGCCGTAGCTACCACCGTATGACATGGTGTGTTATGAGGTGCGAGTAAGGTCAGAGCTATGGCCGCCTTCGTGAACTTTGCAAGCAAATGAAGCAAATGAAGCAAGTCCGCAAAGATCCACAGGAAGTAGGTGTATAGTGGAGAGAGTGAAAACAAGACGGAAGATGGGAAACGACAAAGACGTGATGGTAGAGTGAAGTTGGTGAGCGGAAGGGGCGAAAGAAGACTTTTTCTCAAAAAAAGAGTTTCTAGGGTTGCTGCACTAAAACCAGTCTAGGCCCAAAAAGGCTAGCGTCTACGAGAGCCCTGCTGACAAAAGAAACCTCCAACCTCAAGACGCATTGAAGTTATTCTTACTAACTTAGTCTTCCACTTGCGTACATGCTTTAGGGAAACATATTCAGACTCATTTCCCAAAATCCAATTTCCATCTGCAACTCCAATGTAAGAATTGGTCACATATGGGTTAAGCAGACTAACCTTGATTGAGTGGATAAAAATCTTTACAAGTTCGTCCACTCTACTGACTGATTGCTTGACTGCATGCTTCTCGATCATGGCTAAGAGAGGAACGAATCATCAGCTGAATTGTTAATTTGCTCCATCAATAACTTACCGCGTCCAGAATCTACTGCCGTATTGTAATCATCGCCATTGTACATCTCAAACCATGGCCAATATCTGTTTCCTTCTCGCAATGTACTCGAATCGTTGTACCATCTCTTGGCAATAGCTGAGTAACCTAGCAAACACGGCAGCAATGCTACCTGGAGAGCGAACCAGTCTTCTGACTGACCGATGTCGAGCAGGTATCGTGTATATGCAGTGCACGCTAGATAACCGTCAATAGCGGGTTTGGTGAGAGACTGGTTTGGTCTCAGCTACCTATACTCTCTGTGTGCTTTTCTATCTCTTCCACAGAAATACCGAGCTCCTTGCAGTACCTTAGATGTAGCTTTATTTCCTCTTGAAAATGGTTCACGATCGCCGCCGACTATTCTCACGCATGTCAGCACTATACACATGACGTTCTATGCCTACTAGGTCAAGATGTCTCACTCGGCTTATGTCTTCAAGCTTCTTCATCTTGTAGGCCGCCAGTGCATGTGCTCTGGAAAAGTGTAACTAATAGTGTCAGGCCGGTTCGAATCATAGATTACGGATGGTGTACAAGCCACTGACTAAGAAGAGATAGTCCTGTATCAGGTAGTGCCTAAAGCTGTCGATCGATAGAGTACCCCTTGCCAGTCTCTTCACGAATTCATGCTCGGTATGTGCGGTCCAGTTCCTCTTGACATCCTTGTGTGTTACGACATAGTCAACGAAGCGTCCCCTAGATGAGATTAGGTCAGGCCATGGAGAGTTGGAGCGTGACCAACGGTGAGAATGGGAGGAAGTAAGTCGAATGAAAGTGATTGATCGGGCCACTTCCTCTTCCCCTATCTACACTCGTCTTTATGCCTGCTTCCACGAACAGGTTCGCGGCCTTTACAGATTCGACCATGGTCATACCAATTGCCAAGTTTGATGCGATCGCAGCTACGCACTTCAGCGAAATTCGATGACTGTATCTGTGCCGAACCCACATGCTAACGAACATCCTGTTCCATGTGTGTTGTTTGACTCTAAGTGCTCGGATTCGAGCAGCACAAGCTCATCGCCGCTACACAATACGTTGAGAATCACGTGTCTTTCGGCAGGAACATTTGATACGATACCGTCTCGAGAGAGTGGAAGGTGTCCTCCCTTTAAAAGAACGTATTGCGGGCCAAGTTTTTGCAGCCTTCTTGCCAGCTCTATGATGTCGTCCACTTTCTCTGGATCGGAGATAATCTCTCCGGCATCCTGTAAGATCAGCTTTGCCTCAGGCATATTTGGGGTCAATATTGTTGCCATTGGCAGGAGTTGCTCTCTGAGAGCCTGTATAGCGTCATCAGGTAATAATTTGCAACCTGTCGTCGAGACCATGACCTAAACAGTAAGTCAGGGAGCACGGAAGAAGGTCAGCATCTGACTCACGGGATCGACTACTAAACATGGTACTTTATGTGAACGCAATGCGTCTACAACTATTTCCACAGTCTCCAATGAAGCAAGCATGCCTACTTTAGTCAGACCGTCCCTTCGGATCTATATGAAACGTGTATACCAGTTTTGACAACGTCGACACCTATATCATCGATGCAAGCATCAATTTGCTTTCTTACAAATTCTGAAGGAGTCACATGAACATCGAAGACTTTAATAGTATTCTGTGCTGTCAGTGCCGTGGTAGCTGTCATGGCATAGCACCCATGAGCAGCGATGACTTTTTGGTCGGCTTCAAGGCCACTATTTCATATCAATTAGCGGTCCGTTCTAGCAAGTCAGTTGACTTCCTTACGCCCCTCCAGAGCTATCGCTGCCTGCTATCACTAGGATTCTTCTATCGTTTGCCATATTGAACATTGCATTTGAGTATTTACACTCGTTCTTCGAGCATTGCACGTCGCCAAAGAAATGTCTGAAAGGACCCACACCACTAGCGGAGCTAGATCACGTCATACATCAATTACCACCAAATGTATTAATATCCTAGCAATATTGCGTGAATATTGCTATGCTCCCATTGCCGACGTAATTGGGTTATTTTTGTACCACGTCACTATTATTGTAAAGACGTATATCCAACTCGGTAGGTATGAACCTTTCTTGTGCATGTTACGAAATTCTACTTCGAGACGCTGAAAGTCACCGTACCTTAGTCCGAATCCCCTTCGAACTCAGAAACATCGGGATCTGAATGACAAGTCAGGATTCGCAGCTGTGTGAAAGTGTGAGCGTAAACGTACCACGGAGTAAGGTGTACTCGAATCTACCGTCGACCTTTTCCGCAATAGCTTGCCTTATGACTCGCTGCTCGTCTTCTGAGAGGCGGGTGTCTGGATTCGCCACATCGCAGGAAAAGGTCAGACCTTGATTACCTGGTCCCAGATTGGACACATATTCAAGCAAACATTCCATGCTGAACTCAGTGACCACCAAAAGGGTCACACTCTTCAACTTACTGAGAATACTCAGTGCTGGGAGTATCGCATCGGTCATACAGCCGCTTATCAGGAGATCCTCCAAGTCAGGCATTTGAGCAATGAATTGGCTCACATGATGATCCCTGAGAGGATCTCCAACTCCGCGTAACTCAAGTTCTTGCAGTCCATTGAGTTGGGAAAGAGCCGTGACCATCGCCTCCACGTCATCATATACCATCTCCGTGTCATCGCCCTCAAGATTCAGGGACTTGAGAGAGCCCCTCTGATTCGAGAGAGCCTGGTGAAACAACCGTTGCTCTGTGCCTATGTAGTTGTCCACGTCTAGCTTTTCCAATTTGATGCTGTCCTCCAGAAGAACAGGAGTTGCAAGTGCTGCACCGGAAGGGAAGCCACTGAATTCCAGCTCTCGCAGCCGTTCACAAGAGCGTAACCATGCCACGGTCTCGAGGAATATGTCGTTGTGCGTTGCTTGAAGATCAGTTCGCCCATCACCGTCAAGCTTTAGTTGTTCCAGTGCGGTGCATCCTTTTAGGAGACCTAGGTGAGGCAGTGCGTCGGTACCTACGCTCAGGATTAGTGATCTTATAGACTCACCGTGACTGTTTAGGCTAAGGAACGTCTCTACTCCTAGTCCGCAATCGTGCATAACTTGCAATGAACGCAACGTCTGTGGAGCCATGCCGGAAAAGAAAGTAGCTAGCTTGTGATCTCGGTCGTCGCCGATCCTATCATTAAGTGGTGTGAGATTCCATTCATTTCAGAACATGGGACACGTAATTACCATTGGAACATAGACAACGCCTCAAAATGTGGACAATTTGCATGAAGCGCTGCTTGCGCAAGCTCATCTGCAAGTGTATCGCCATCATAGAGCTCCAGCGTTCTCAACCGTGGTAGCCTAAGATTCATTAGATAGTGTTAGAAGGTGCGTCGCTACTAGGTTTTACCTTGGAGCCCATCGTAGGAGAGCAAGAGGGAGTACTGAATTGTCAGCTAGGGCTCGTCTGTATGATCTATATAGATTTTATCTTTACCTTTGCCACTGATCAAATCAACCATGGGCGTATGTTCGGTCAGGACTATGGACAAGTGAGTCGAAAACTGTGCCAAGCGGCGAGCCTTCATATGCAAAACATACCTTCGCCGATACCATCGAGAATCGCCGTAGTGTTCAACCTAGCATACTTCCGCCCACTTCTCTTGTTTACAGGAGTATCCATGGCTATGTTGAAACGAGACATAGAGCCAGCAAAGAATGACCTATATGTAATGAGCCTGTGTCAACGCCTGGAGAGATGACTATACTTAGATACGTTGCCCCTGAACTTGTCGTCTTCTAGCAAAGAGCTGAGGTCACGCAGATCTAGCTCTCGTATATAGCGACAGTACGGATACAATGTGTCATTGAGACTGGAGGCTACGATCGAGCGCCACAGTATAGACCATCTTTGCACCATCAATTGTTGTTGTGCCAATGGCGCAGCTTCGCTTCCACCACCTTTGCATGGCGCATGGTGGTGCTCTCTAAGAAGCATCAGTATCATGAAGGGCAAGAGATATCAACCTTCAAACCGGTAGAGGTTTGTCAACGCTGGGACAGCCAAGCGTCTGCCCGATACGGCGACATTGAAGAGCGAATCGAAATCGTATGCACGTGCTAGCTGTTCAGTAATGAGAAAGAAAACATCGTCTGGAAGAAGAGCTTGAAGGTCCCCCATCAGAACGACAGCTCAGTGAATATACGGAATAGTGCTCTTTGTCAGGATGGCGATGATTCCCACGAGAATTTATGATGATAATGGCAGCATTCAGGAAAGTGATGCATACAGGTCGGGTTATCCTATCGTAGCTACCGTAGGGTTGTTTTCGTTATGTCGTCTACCTACAGCAGACGCGCTTAGTCTTAGCGCTGTTTTGTCGCGTACACCAGGCAGTTCTTGAACATTCTTCCATCCATTAATTACTTGTCAACACTAACGTACTTGTTCGGATCTTTTCGAGAACGTTGGATTCCGGAGGTGTCTTTGACACTGAGTAGCATTTTACGTACCTGCAGTTATGTGATCAAAATGGTGGCACTCAAATTTACTCTAGCTCCAGACGCAGCAGCAAGGGTGCACGATATCTTGACCTGCCTTGCACGGTTCAGTGAGACTGTTTCAATCGAAGCACGGCCAGATGGAGTATGAGAATTGGGATATCGATCTTTGAGTCCAAAGTACACAACTGACTGAAATACAGCTCTCTTTCACCACGCTAAACTCATCAAAAACGACTTATGCTTCATTTACACTCGATGCAAGTCAGTTTTTCTCGCGGTACAAGTGTGCCGTAGCCGGCGGCGACTCGCAGGTCCGATTCACCTGCCGTATTTTGAGCAAAGTTAGTCGGCCTGCTGAGCTCACAATTGTGGCTAAGAAGAATGTATAGGCCCTCTTAGCTGTTTTCAAAGGCAGGATCTTAGATCCTCGAGGGAGAGACTCTGCCATTGAATCCTGTGAAGTGAGCGTCAATGATACAGCCGACGAGAGGGAGTGTAGATTTATTATCAAGATGTTCTGCAACCAAGGTGCGTATCGTACCATTCGAAACGATATAATTAACGTTCAGGCAGGTGTTGTGAAGACCTATCGTTTGACATACGAATCTGCAGATGTGATGCATGCCCTATTTGACAGGAACTCTGCACACAACAAGTGGACGATCCAGTCACAGATGCTTAAAGAATATATCGACTACTTCGGTGCACGTACAGAGCAATTGGATATTTACGCCGAGGATGATCGCGTGATCTTCACGAGCTTCACTGAGAAAATCACTAATGGCAAAGGTCAATAGCGTTGCTGAGCTTTTGAATATGATACTGATTGATTTTTAGAGGTCCTGAAACAACCTTTACGGACCGCAGTTTCTGCACACAAAGCCGATTTCGAGAATTTTGATGCCCAGGACAAGATCCATACAATCATAAGTGTTCGCGATTTCAAGTCTGTCGTCAGCCATGCTGAAACGCTCAAAGCCGCTGTATCTGCAGACTATTCGCAACCCAACCGACCTCTACAATTCAGCTATGGAGCGGAGGGGATCTACTGCGAGTATACACTGATGACATCTGGGGATCGTTCCGCCCCACCGCCAATCACGCATGCTGGCCCTTCTGTAGATCGACCAAGCTCAAGGACGCGATCGACTACTACTACAGATCAGCAAAACAAGTCGAGATCAGAAAGAAGTGCTATGCCTCCCCCACCCGTCGCTGACTCTCGCAGTGCGGCACGCAGAACCAGACCGCCTGGTTCCGCAAAACCCACTCCAAGCGTCCTGCCTACAGAGATGACTAATGCGAACATTCCTGAAGATCCAGATCCTGAAAGTCTCTTCATTCCTGAGCAGGACGATGCAAGGTGGGACCCTGCGGAAGATGAAGATGATGGGGAGACTCTTGGATGGGATGCAAGTGCCAATTATGTGGGTATCGAGCCCAGAGCCCTTTTGACTGGTACTAAAGAATCATTAGGAACCTGGATTTCAGGCTACCTTCAAAGACAGCGGGTCTCATCCAACTTCAGAAGAACAGCACAGTGCCACTGAAGGTCTAGCGCCCACCCAGAGACTATCTCAGGTATGTCCCGTTGTTCGGTCGTGATTTTAGGTAATAACATTTGTAGGTGAGAGGACTCTGGTAGGCTCTGCGTTGACCTTGCTGCTCCCTGTCGCATACCGAACACGCATCTACATGACGCTTGAGGGTTACCTCCAGCGCCAGTAAAATGTGATCCAATAGATGAATCGATTGTCATCATATCCAACAGCTGAATCGAGTGTCACCATATCCAACTGGTGGCGCATCCAGCCCCAACAGAGTGAACACGGCCTGGCACTGGCAGTGTATTGCATCTTCCGGTAACATCACCAGTCGTTGTTGTAGGTATCCCACAGTTCCCATGCTCTCCCCAGCCCCATGCAAGAACATCGCCAGCACGAGAGACTGCAATGACATGCTCGCTCCCTGCAGCAAATTTCTCGATTGCAGGGAGACCAGGCGGTGGCAACTGTCCATGGTCATCCCGGCCCCAGCCATGCAGTACACCAGACGTGCTCAGTACAAAGATATTTCCCCAACTGGCACCTATGTCCTTCCAATTTCTTGCTGAGTCGGGCGCGTTGCTTCGTATATTCCACTTGTCGGTTCCGAGAACCACATGCTGACCTTGCTTGTCATCTGAAACGATGTATGTGAATTCTCTACCACAAGCAGCACGAACGGCTTTGAATGGGATGCCATTAATTATACGTGGGGCCCAACTGTCTTCTTTCAAGTCGCCGAGCTGTCCTTTACGTCCAACACCCCAGCCGTAGACACTGCCGTCTGAAAGAACGGCAACCGCGTGACTCATACCGGCAGACACGTCAACAACAATTGTATCCTTGTCTGCAAGGTCCAGAATGCAACGAGCTTGAGGGGAAGTGACAGTGCCGGGACCTTGGCCCAATTCCCCTTTGTTTCCGGAACCACAAGTGAAGATCCTTTTCCCATCTGTAGTGACAAGAATAGATGCCTCCCAAGTAGCGGCACAATGCTTATATGTACTGATCTCGTCTGTATTGGACTCACTTGATACGAAAATTGAGAATGATGTGGAGTTCCCGATTGAAGAAGGTTGACTTGCCCCTATCACGCTACCACATCGTCCATCAGAGGCATGTCCCGAGCTCAAAGGTACACCCGATGTTGTAAGGACGATAGTATGATTTCCTCCAGTGGCGATGCTTGCCGGTGTCGCGTCGCCGGGTAGGATACATTCCGTTGGTACTGAAACGTCTTGCTCGTGGCCTATTCCAAGTTGTCCAGACCCGTTGGAACCTAGAGAATGAAGCATACTGGGTATGTGATACAGATGTGCGCCCGGCGGAGTGAAATTTCGCTCCATTTACCTCGAATTTATTGCCAGAAAGACATCAGATACGGAGCCTCTGAGCACACGCACAGAATCACAAGAACTGGCGCCTGCTCCGAAGCGATATTCCAGAACAAGGGAACGCTGCAACAACTATTACTTTGTATATCACCTAACATCAGACACTCTACTTTCGGTTCAAACAACAGGGTATACGCTTCTTAAACGAACTCCCTAGTCCTACAAAGACCCATCGCGCAATTCACCAATTCACCATGACGCGCGCTCAGCAGACCATTTCGATTGGCCTCCTTCTATCATCTGTACACTTTTGACCTTGTCGCGAGATCACAAACACCTGCTAATACGTCTCAGCTGTACCTCGCATGTTTTTTCGGCCTCGTACCTTTCCCACAGCAGATTCAGGATGATGTCATACCATACGTATGCCACTCTTGTGATGCGACACAATTACCAAGTTGACACTTCTGCAGGTTCCCTTCTGGGCCCTAGTTTCGTTTGGCGCATACCTCTTGGGAAAGCTCGGTTGGGGAGTTCTCACTTTTAACGATGTTCCAGAGGCGCATAAGGAGTTGATGGCACAAATCCAAGAGGCGAGAGCCGATCTACGGACGATGGGAGTGGACGTAGATTGAGAATATACGGGATCACAGTTTCGCCATGTAGGCTGAGAAAGACACGTGTATTGCGTCCGGTGCGGAATTCGAATCCGCGTAAGATCTGGGCATTCGAACGATACGGCTGCACACTATAGAACGCACGCATCACAGAGTTAATGCTACATATCTACTGCATTCAACCTTCAAGAACTCGTTCCTGCTGATGCCTCTGCTTAAGCTTCTTTTCCATCCTCATGAACTCTCGAATTCCCACGGGTATATCGCTAAACAAGTCCGCCGACGAATCTTCAGAAGCTGTCCAATTCGTGTCTCTCCTCCCGCCGTCATCGTCCTTGTTTACAGCCGCGTGTAAAGGCGTAGCAGGGGCTGTGCCTATTTCCTCCGTGACTTGCTCTCCACTCTGCGATTGCAACTTCACACGTGCCTCCGCGCTCGCAGCTGCCCAATCTTCCAACTCGTCTCTGTAGCGATCCCATACGCAGTTAACACAGCCACTCATACAACAGTTATCTGGCTCGCTAGGTCGAGGAGGGACTATGACACCAGCTATAGTGGTAGACTCGCGCCGAAGTTGGTCTTCGCGCTCTCGAGGGCCGGCAAGTCTTGAGCCAAAAACTACTCGTGCCCTCCGTAGTCTCTCGTCTTTCTCGTTCATAGATAAGTCGTCTGGGGGTAGTGGCGCAGGCTGTGATCTCGTTCTATTTTGTGCTGAATGTACCGGGTTCTCGAGGAGATCTGTCTAGTATTTGTAAAACGATCGATTGATCATGAGGAGTTGCTTGCCTGCATAGAACCCTTGCAGAGGTTGAGCCTGTTCTCCAGGAGCTGCGATGTTTCCTTTGAGGCGGCGTTGTGCCATGTCGCATCTAGCATTAAGTCTTACAAGTCTTGAAGATATGATACGGCTTCTGCAAGCGCTGCACAACCTGCAAGATGAGATCAAGGAGGCTCGTGTACGACCAATGAATGCTTCCATAGTGAACGAAGTGATACAGACCAGCAACTGGGTTGATATGGAACGTCGTTGAAGAAGCGCCTGAGGACTGCTACCATTACAGTGCGGTATATTCGGAACGTTTCATTGCTGGTGATCACAACTGCAGGGGCGTTGACATACAGTGAACGGTGAGTGAGAAATCCTTTGAAACGTCATTGCGCTTGAGCCTTACCCCAGCAGCTAGCGTCATCTAGTGTGGACCCGGAGCCGTTGCGCTAGACTTGCATAGGAATAAACACGTTAACGCGTCCCCGGACGTGTTGGTCATCTATCGAACAACAATTATACATCTTCTACAACTCTCTTTCTCCTCCGCAATAAAACTAGCCATGGCGGAACCAGTCCTCAAGCGTAGGAGGCTGTCACCCACCTCAGTGGTTTCTGGAGAAGAAGAAACCTTGCGAAGATCGCCTACGCGTGCTTCGTTTCAATCTCCCACGAAAGCAAGCCTTGCACGATTCAACCCCTCGCTATTACCTCGCCCAAGGTCTGCGGGACGATTATCCTTACCGCAAAATCTTGACGATACTTTCAGGAATCCACCTGATGACAAGTCGGAAGACCCAGTCAAATCGCAATCAGCAGTCGAGGGTGCTGCGGCGCATGATCGTCGCGCGACTGACGCAGCTGCTTATTTGCGGACCATTGCTGAAGAAACGATTCGGCTCAGGGGTGGTGCTACCTCGTCTCCTGATTCATCTGTCCCTAGCCCACAGGTATATGGACCTGCGGAGCATCAGCAGTCTGTGGACTCGGGCGAATATGCGCCTGCAACGCCCAGTGCGAATTTGAACAAATCTGGCAAAGGCAAGGAGCCCCTCCGAAACAAACCTCTGGGTATGAGACTCAGCAGATCTCCCAGGAGACAGCTGGCTCCTGTTTCAACGGAACCGCAGGTAATGAATCAGCTGCCTCAGAGACGGAGGTCCAGGACAGCGGAGCGTGCAGTAGAGGGTGAGGGATCTCCCACTCGGACGAATATAGCAACAGATTCAAATCATTCCTCTGAATTAAGTGCTCTAGCGCAGGAGACCGAACGTCTCCAGCGGAAGATAAAACACCTACAAGACCAACTTCAAACATATCGGCACCATGTTGTCGAATATAGCTCACTTGGCGATCATGATTTCATCGAAAATGGGGACCTGGAGAATCTAGCGTGAGCCAAAGCTAACCTAATGGACCTTCTGCTGGCTAATTTACATAGTGAATTGATCAATGAGAACGCACCGCCAGATCCCGGCTATCAGGAGCATGGATTCGCAGGACCGCCTCTATCCCTCCTTCTAACGTCTTTCCTCCCATTGTCACATATCGCTGTTCAACAACAGACTCCGCCCCAAACGCCCAAAAAATTGAAGAATCACCTTCCTGTCGAGCCAGATGACCCTTTACTGTATTTGAGGCTATTTACATCCCTAACCCCTATCTCAACTCTAAGCATCTCATCCGCTGAGCGTACAGTCGTAGATGCTGATCAGTTCTACCCGAAACACGCAATAAAAATTACTGGCCCTCGTAACTACTTCACGGCTAACGTGGACTTGGTGCTAGACGCACCCCAGCGTCGTGTCGACAGCATTTCTGTCACACACATCTCCCCCTGGGCAGATATCGAGCTGGGCATGTACATCCGCCATAAAGCTCTGGATTGCGACGCAGGCACACTCTTCTGGGCGATGAATTCCTACTGGGAATTGGCATTGAAGCGCGCAAAGGTCTGGGCTCAATGCCAGACCGCTCACCCAGACCTTATACCCGAGAACAGACACAGGTTCTCCAAAGCGGACCGGCCGGAGAAGAGGAAACGAGCCATAAAGACAGGATCTCCGGATGATGACGAGGATATCGAGGGGTACTCTAGTGAGCGGAGCATATCGGAGGGCAAGTTTGACTTTGAGGACTTGCAGCGCAATCTTGGGGAAACTGAAATGGTATTCCAGAGTGAGGAGGTCCGTATGTGCATTACCTGGGTCATCAATTTTGACTGGACCGGGGAGGCACAGTCGGATGTCCAGCTGCAGACTGCAGTTCCGGATTCGTGTAAGTGTGTCCCATTCAAACGTATCTTTGTAGTACTAATCATCGTCCAGGGGCCGAGCAAGATGAGAGGAAAGGGCTCAGTCTGGTTGACGAAATATTCGATAGACTTGTACAGGAGAAGGGTGTGATAAAGGCAGTAGACATTGTGGTACAATTGTTGTTTGATTAGATCATTTCTACATACTATGAAATGAGGATATCAGCAATCTACTAAGAAGCCAGCATGTTTTCGTGATATTGGTGCAGTACTAATGTTGATGGGCGTAGCAGGGCCAGACCCGTGGGAGTTTGAAACTGCACATGAGAAACCCTGGCGCAAATAACGTCAGAACCTGCGTTTGATGATCTGACGCGCCATTGCGGCCAGGCGAGGATAACGTATGTAACGTGTGACTGGGTATGTACGTACCTAGCAGAGCACCTGCTCGTGGCTGTAAGACAATGTACAACAAGGTAGTGCTGCAAAGCAATGCCTTTGCCTTATCCACTTTTCAGCTACGATTTCTTTTACCCAAGTTACGTCGCTTGGTAAATGATGCATGCATAATGAGTGTTTCCCTGGAACTGGATGGCAGATCTTCGTGCACTTCGATGGGATGCCAAAGCGAGACGTTTCACTGCTGACTTCGTCGGATATCCAAGTTCGATGACTTGACCGTCAATAATCATAACTCTATGTATAGGCTATTTGATATATTCTGTAGAGCTCCCCCATCGATATCACGAGATCTAATGTAAGCGGATCGCAAATTTGTCCGATGCTTCTAATTCCATTATACTGGTTGCAACAATCGAGTTGTAGCTCTTACGGTCTTGTGCATTGTACGACCATGCCGACAAGCGACAAACATCGTGGGAACTGAAAATGCCGCTTGCCGTCAAACATTCGCGAAGCCTGCCACCAGGTTGCAGTCGTACGTCATGTTGGTCTGCTTTCCAATTCAAGTCTCCAGAGCCTGCTTTTGATATTCTGCTATGCTCAAAAGTGGGTTGTTCGTCCACGCCATCAGACCATCTGCTGAGGTGACGCTTCCGTTTGGAGATATCATACACTTATTACCTACACTGAGCGATAACCGAACCCCAACCCCAACCAAAGTAACAAGGAGCGCACCATCTTGAAATCTTTACAGTCAACCACTCTCACTACACGAGCTGTTAGTAGAATCATAGCCCTAAAGAAGTCCCTAAAAGCATACTTTCAACAGCCAAGTTACATGCGCTTCCGCGACATCGGCTATCACATCCTTCCATCCATCCTTCCATCCATCCTTCCATCCATCCATCCACCCAACACCAATGAGCGTTTCAACCAGGCAGTACAAGCGACTGGGCTCTATAATCGACAGATCGTTACAGTTGAATTACGAAGGCTTAGAGGAGATGATGGATCTGGACGATGCGCCGACGCAGCCCAAGATGGTCAATTTGGATAAAATGCTTGACAGATTTATCACGAAGACAGGGTGGGAGGTTGCAGTGTATGCGCGGATGTTCGCAATGTCTTGGTAGGAAAGCGGATGGGACGAAAGGGTGGCATGAGATTTAATCCAGAGGAATTTAGCTGCTGGTCTAGTTTAAAGGGATATTCAATCACGAACGATGTACTTGACGCAGATCGCTGACGAAAGCTGTGGTAGCAATTTATGTTATCATTATGAGAAGTCGAATGGTAATGTGGTATCTGTAACATCATCGCGGAGTATTCCAACTTGGGCTTACATGGTCCGTCTCGGAGAATTGTCTACACCAAAGAGCGGAAACTATGTTGTCCTGGGCTCTGCTTGTTGAATAACGCCAGGATATGCAGCAAAGACAACACCATATCTTCCTCGGAGTCCCATCGAAATTTCAGTCACGTCAAACTTCCTCAAACGCCTTGCAATGTGATGTCGACGTTCAGTTCCTATGCAGGCGCTCCACCCTGGCCCTCCGCAAGAATCCTCGACGCGATGACATAGGCAAATATTGCCGCGATGATGATAGGCCATTTGTTTCGTCCAAGCCAGCCTTGTCCAGCTTCTCTTGCTACGTGGCCACCTTCGACAACAGCCCCTAAGCCGGTGCCCGAGGCGCCTAGTCGCCTACGTAGAGCAGCAGCCTCAGGAGAGCAATTCGCTTCGTTCGGATTAGTGATGATACCAGTGGCGGGGTCGATGTTTTGCTCTTTTATCATTTTCCAATTCTCCTCGTCCAGCTCCGGCCACTCCTTACGAAATTTGGCACCACCGTCGCCGTTCTTGATAGCACCGTTACCTGCGTTATTGGAGGATTTGACGCCTGTCAGAGTACGTCCACTCGAACCACCACCAGTTGAGTTCCACCATCTAGAGCGCTGTGCAAAGATCTTGCGCTCGTGGTCTGATGCCCTCACACTTCCTGTCGTCATCTCTTCACTCGTCATGAAGCTTTGTAGGCCAAGCAAGATCGTCGACACCTCCCAGGCAGGGTTGAACGACTTTGGGTGAAAGTCTGAGATGCTGAGACACAGTCTGGTTGAAGGCTGGAATCGGCCGCTCGGAGTATGCATTCGGATGGCAGGTGGCGCGAAGGGATAGTCGTGTGGGAAGACGAGAGTGCCCCAGTATTGCCCATGCTCATACGGGGTCTTGGGCGGACCAGTGATGATGTAATGCCACTCGAGGATATTCTGATCGGAGGGATGTGCCACAATGTAAGGAGGCGGGTTTTGCGCGATGGTCTTGTATTCTTTGGTGAGTCTTCTGGTTGCGGCGGAGCTTGCCATCTCGAGTGTGTGTATGTAGATGTGGTATGCGTGAGCAAAGGAGCGAGATCTGGTTTTGCAGAAAGCAGATATGTAGTAAATTATACTGTGTAAGACGAGTCTGTCGTGAAAAGAGAAGTGAATATATTTAAACTCGAGGTGATTGTGTGGTCTTTACGGAGGGCGGCGGAATGTGGTGGGATGTGAAAGAGGACGAGTTTCCGGCCCAGCGGTGATGGACTGGGATCTGGGCATTCATTGAACTAGTTAGGTTTAGTCTTGGCAACCGCAGCCTGCAGGTGAACGTTCCGTGCAAAGCTCTACCTGGGCCTGGGCTAGCCAGCAACAATTGTAATTGTTATTCCGGTCGCGCGAAAGCTGCGATGGCCTCTCAATCAGACGACGATGTAAGTTATTGGTAGTCCGCAAATGTTCTCAATCATCTGACGCCGTCGTAGGTCTTCGAGAAGTTGAAGCGAAAAACTGACGAGAAAGAGCTGGCACAACAGAGGGCAGAGTCAGAGGCAAGGGTCCGCTCTGTGCAAGCGAAATCTGGACAGAGAAATGCTGAGCTTGTATGCCATTCTGTCGTTGTATATCGCAAGTTCATAGCTGATTGAAAAGCTAGATTGGCTCCAACTCGACTTTACCAGTCACAATCTCCTCGATTGAAGTCCTACAAGCACAACACACGAGGAGGGGTTTCCTAGAGCGCATATTCAATCCGATACTGCACAAGAATCGCGATGGCTCTACGCTCAATGATGCACTCGTTGATATGGGCTCCGCGTACCGTACTCTTCAGAAGTTCGACATTTTCCAGGAGCCTATTGCAATGTACTACGATAAGCCAGACAAGACAGACCCGTCTACCTCGGCAACCGATCTCGCCGTATACTTCTATGCCAAAGAAAAGTCACGATACACTATTAATACTGGTACAGAAGCTGGCCACGACGAGGGTTCTGCTTTCCTGAATGTAATCCTGCGTAATCTTTTTGGCGGCGCCGAGTCATTCAATGCACACGCATCCATCGGCACGCGGACACGATCGTCGTACTCTGCAAACTTCGAAACTCCAATCCTCAGTAACCCAGACTTGAAATGGGAGGTTGGGGGACTTGCTAGCTCGACGATCAAATCGTTCGCCAGTCACGAAGAGCTCCTCAAAGGCGGCTCGACGAAGCTAAAATACCTTACGCCTGGAGGTCATAGGCATGAGTTTGGTTATTCAGGATACTGGAGACAGTTGACGGGACTAGCTGAGGGTGCCTCACCATCAGTAAGACAAGATGCAGGGGATAGTTTCAAGTCCAGTATACACCATACATGGATCAACGAGCGGCGAGACAATCCTCTCATGCCATCAAAGGGATACTTGATCAAAACAGTCGCCGAGATAGCTGGTCTTGGCGCCCTAAAAGGAGATGTAGCTTTCACAAAGTTGGAAGCTGAGACAGCTGCGGCTATTCCATTACCTGCCGGTATCTCATTCACTGCTGGCCTGAGAGGTGGCGTCTTATATCCTCTCACACTCGCTGGACAACAGTCGCCATCCCAATCACGGCTCAATGATCGATTTCAGCTGGGAGGTCCCACCGATGTACGAGGATTTCGCCTCGGTGGACTTGGACCCCGTGATGGTACTGACTCAATCGGCGGAGATGTCTACGCAGCTGGTGGCGCAAGTTTACTGTTTCCGATCCCGAAGTTAGGTCCTGAGAGCCCGATTCGTCTACAAGCCTTCATAAACGGTGGTCGGCTACTTGGTCTTCAATCGCCGAAAAGCGATGAGCCTTTAGACAGCCAAGCGGTATCGAAATGTGTCAAGTCAACCATCGCAGAACTCCAGAATGGCATCCCGAGTTGTGCGGCAGGCTTGGGCTTAGTCTATGCCCACCCTGTTGCCAGATTTGAGCTCAACTTCTCTCTGCCGTTGTATATACGAAAAGGTGAGGAGGGAAGAAAAGGACTTCAATTTGGCGTCGGTGTCAGCTTCTTGTAGGGATTGTGTAACATCACGTAGACTTAGCGACGACGACGGCACTGTATACTGAATATAAAGCTCCATACCGGGCAATTTTCGATGAATACATGCGTATAGGGATGTCCTGCAGCACGTTCTTATCCTGTCCATTCTATTTAGAGGCATGAAGCCTGTCGAGGATTTACACCGCCTACATAGGTACCCACCCCACGTCAGCTAAGTTCTCATCAATTGTCATTCTTGATCACCTGTGTTGCACAGAGTGATCACAACTAAAATAGCAGGAATTTATCTCTCTAAAGCAGGCGCCGTGCTCGATGTCAGGCGTGACAGACGACGATCTTTTGCGGGGATCGCCGTTGCAACGGTGCCATCTGGTCCATACTCCCAAGGATCCTGTTCTTCACATCTCTATAGTCATACAGAGTCCTACAGTCTAACTTGTCTTTGTACGGGCTGCGAAGTATATATCTATCTAAGGATCATCCCGTGGAAGCATTTAAGTTGGAGCATCTGCCCGCTTCATCAGACCTATATCCGAGCCCAACAGAGAGCATCATCACATCAATCCTGGCATCTCCACAACGCAATGCTTGCCTTCACGTTTTCACTCTCGCTCCTGAGTATGACTAGTCTCGTATATGCAGCACCAGCGCCACCCTTGAGCCCGCCAGCTTTCTACTTGGTCACCACGGCACAAAATGCAGCTAAATCACCATCATCACAACTCGCGGAGGTCTCTGCGCTGTCCCTATTCGATCCGTTCTCGCAACCAAACTACTTGGTGCGGACCATCGAAGCTGGCTACGGCTCTCTCCCAGCATTCACGCTGACGAAAGGCCGACTTCATACAACCAGCCTAGGACCTCATGGAATAGGCACATTTGTATTCAATTCCACTGATATAGGAGACGATACGGAGCTCCAGTTTGTTGCGGATGCAGAGAGTACGAAAGGCAGGTTGGCGTTGTACAAGGGTTACTTGCTCACTGTGGCTGGGGATAACGGGGGCTGGACGATCTGTCCTGGGGTTTTGGGCCAGGATGTGGTGAGTGCACTGTCGGTGTTTGAAGAACCTTGATGGACTGATGATTGCAGATCAAGTGGAGAGGGACTGCTACGGGCTGTAGGAAGACATATGTCCATGCTGTGAGAGATGCGCCGTATTAGGCTCGTCAATCGAGCAGAATCATTCTGATGTCCGGAGATGCAAGCACTTGGATATGTCGTGCCTCTGAAAGGTTTCGACCGTTCAAACCTTACCACAACTCAGGACGATATTTGGCTAGATACAAAACGTGCTCAACGTAGACTTACCCTTTCAGCTTCTAGGTCGAGATCGCACTTTTCATCTCAAGCAACGAAGGATCCGCAATATAGGACATAATTAAGCATAGCATAGAACGAATAATGAGAATGCTTGACCAAAACTAGATGACTTGGAGCAAGTCTATATTTATTTTCAATACTATTCGGTGTATTAAGAACTTAGTGGCAGAGTCTCTTATACAAAATCTTACCCTCTTCCAAGCTTAGCATAGGTGATAGGTGTGAAGTTTGTTTCGTGCTCATGGCTCACTCCACTGCTACCAATAAGCTTGAAGCTAGATCTATCTTATTTGTTTAGGAGGTGCATTAGTGTAGGATTCTAGTATATGGTGCTGACCATGATAAGAGACAAGCCAAACCACCTAGTATCGCGGATACGATTTCAATTTGATACTGGGCTTTTCTGTGGCGGTGTTTAGAAGATTATAGCTTATCGCACGGATCCATACCTACACGTGACTCAGTGAAGACGTCACTGTTTGTGACGATTCATCTATGTAAGGCAGGGGCAAGCTCCGAGTTCCTACCTACACCAATCCATCCATTGTAGAGCATCCGTTCGCTTTCTCAATTCCATTATTTGAGCTATTGCCAGCCACAAACCTCATCTACCAGAGCACTTCATTGCTTATACCTAAGACTCAAGACTCCTTCAGCCAGTATGTCCTTTTCACGACAAGTCCTCAACAGGAGCTCCAATTTTCGTGCCTACCTCCGGCCCTTCCCCCGAACCACCATCCAGCCTTACCAAGCACGTTTCGCAAGCAGTGACTATGGCAGCGGTGATGGCGACCCTGCCGGTGAAAAGCCCCAGGAGCAAGGCAAGAGCAAAGCGACACGCGATCGAGAGCACCCAGGTCCCTCAGCGCCCGACGTCGGGCAGACAAACAAATCTGCATCAGGCACGGAGGCTAAGCAAGATGATCAGAGAAGCCCGAATGCCAATGCAGAAGTCCAGGGCAAGAAGCCAAAGATCACGCACGAGCCGCATCCGCAGCAGGACGAGAGTGTCAAGGAGCATAACGACGAGGTCGAGCGGAGGAAGGAGAGGATGGGGCAGAGCAAGCATGCGCATAACGCCAACGAGTGAAGAGGAGATGCACTTGCTGTCGGGCTAGGCAGTGTTGAGGTTGCGCTTGGGAGATGATTTGATACATGTATGCGGCTTGCATTCTTGACGGACTCCGGTTTTCATGCTACCACATCCCACAGAACAATAGCAATGGAATCTCGTGCATGATAGCAGTCGCCGTGGCCCTTGCAAAATTCAGTCTTCCTTACAAGGTATCGCACATGTCAAATTCTCGCTTTTTTTTTCAAGGCACCAGGACCCAGCATGTGAAGTCCGAGGGCAGTGACATCACTACTATCACCAACCTAGCTAGGTATTGTGATTGCGGCGCGTGCGCGTGCCAGGGCGTTCTGTACGCGGGCGCTAATATATTACTAGCCAGGTAGCTGTTACATATAAGGTTAGCAGATCGTGGGGACAAGCAGCAATGGCATTCGCTGAACTACCATCTCGCGCTCGGAGACCCATCGTCGATTTCAGCTTTCGTGGCGGCAGCAAAGAGATTTGGTCCTTTTCAGTAGTGCCTGAGAACTGTTTACAGAGGTTGCCTGCTTGGTGTATGTAGGGCGGCGATGGAGTGAAGCAATCTGTAGATGACGCAGACAAACAGACAATCACACAATCACATAACCGAAGACTTGCTGATCAAGTAACCAGTTGTAGTTGTAGTTGTACTTATCCCGGACTAATTATGTTGAAGGTCAAGAATGAAAAAAGTCCTGCTGGGCCTGGGTGGTGTAGTGCAGGCGTGACAGGCGCTAGTCCCTAAACAGACGGAAGGGAGGAGCTTGGACGCTCTGCACGCACGATGAACGTCATAACTCTGTAGCTGGCAGGGCAACTTTTCGTTGCTTACCTCCACCTCTCTTTCTCCTTCACACTTCTCCTACTCCTCATTCTCTTCATCATCCACCTCCACTCCAGTCGTTGCCTGTCCATTACTTACATTCCACTGCTAATCCAGTCTCAAACCACAACTACACACAATGAAGTTCACGCTCTTGTCTACCCTCGTGGTAGGACTCGCAGCTACCTCCTCAGCCAGTCTGTTTGGAGGCGCTAGAGACCTTGGTAGGTTCTCTTTACTTGGCTTTGCGAGACGCCTTTTGGCTGACTTAAACTTGTAGCTTACAACAAGTACCATGAGAATGAGCTTGAGCGATGGTTGAGGGACCACAATGTCCCCGTTCCAACCCCAGCAGATCGCAAAAACCTATTGAACAGCGTAAAGGAAAATTGGGACAACAACGTCGTACGCCCATACAACAGCTGGTCGGTCGATCAGTCCCAACAGTACCTCAAGTCAAAGGGTATCGAGGTAAAGAAGGGCACCGAGAAGAACAAGGATGCTCTTCTAGCTCAAATCAAGTCATCCTGGCAAGAGTCTGAGGCTCAGGCCTCAACTGCCTACGCTGATGTAAAGTCATGGATCTTTGATACGTAAGTCGTTCTGTCTATACCTAGAAATGGCAGGGTCTAACTGTCAACAGCTGGACTGAGTCTCAACTCAAGGCATTTGCCGACAAGCATGGCATACCCGTGCCGCAACCTCGCACTCGTGACTCTCTTTTGAAGGTTGTTCGTGAGAACTCGCAAGCCGCTGCCGAGAAGATTGGTGAGACAATGTCCTACCCTGGTGACTGGATCTACGACAGCTGGTCCACCTCTGATCTTAAGGCTTGGTTCGATGCCCGTGGTTACCCAGTTCCCCAGCCCTCTGGCCGCGACAAGCTCATCGCTTCGCTTCGCAAGAACTCTCGACAAGCTTCTCTGAGCGCTCAATCAGCAGCTGCCTCTGCTTCTGCCTCTGCCGCCTCTGCCACCGAGAGCCTCTCTGAAGCACTCCTCAATTCCTGGAGCGACAGTGACCTAAAGGCCTGGTTCGACAAGAATGGCATCAAAGTTCCCCAAGGTTCCAGGCGCAACGATCTTGTTGCTCTCGCACGAAAGCACAGTGCTAAGCTCACTGGTGATCAAGCCACTCAAAAGGCTTCAAGCGCTTTCCACGCCGCCACCACGTCTGCTGGCAATGAGTATGCTCAGGCTACCAACAACGCTTACGACTACGGCAACTTCGCCTACTCTAACCTCTGGAGCTACGTTGAGTGGGCCCAGGATCAGCTCGGTCTCCTTTCCGATGAGGCCAAGTCTAGTGCCGTCAGTGCTCGCTCTGCTGCATCCTCTAGTGCGTCTTCCTTGGCCTCGGTTGCTTCTAAGAGCTCCTCCAGCGCTTCAGTTCAAGCATCCAAATCAGCCGTGAAGCAAGGCAAGAAGGCTGCAGATGGCGCCACAGAAGCTGCCACCTCTGCCAAGAACCGCGTCGGCGAGGCTGCTCAGAAGGCTACCGACTATATCAAGGAGGAGTTGTAAATGCTGAAACTGAGACTTTAGCGACAAGACGTTGCCGAAAGGAGCTGATATCGGAACAGGAGGTTGTTGTCGATGGTTGTGTTCTTTCCCACCTGTACCACCAATGGCGATGATGATGATGATGCTACGAATCGGGCTAAACCTCGGAGGCTGATCCGAGAATTGCGATACTGTTTACTTTGGGCGAAGAATGCTTCTGACGGCTGGCTATTTCCATGGGTGCTTGAAGAAGAAAAATGCGACGATGGGTGCTTGGTATGGATGCTATGGAACTATGGGGGACTCTTGATGTTTCTATTGACGGGAAACTTGTTGTGTATCCGTCACAGATTCGAGGGACTGTCCATGGGCTGGTTAAGCTGCCTCACTAGATAGCAAGGCATACCATTCTAATATAGTAGCCAATGCCAAGCCTTTGTTAATGTGTGCACATCTATGGATGAGGTGATTCTCATATCTGTGAGCAGCTTGTGAACATGCGCTTGAATGTGTATCTAAAGCGCAGCTTAGTAGGAGGCTAAAGCAGCGAGTCGCGATCTCCGTGAAGGGAAAGGATAGTATATGGAATGTGGCGCCAACGTGCCGTGTGTGGACGGTCCAGCATTCTCGGTCTTCTTGATCTGCTTCTGTGTGTCTCTCTGCTTATGCTTCCTCGGTCGCGTTTCTTCACAGGTCGCGGCGCCAACGTTGTCTGTCGTCATACTCAACATCACCAGCCGTGCCGTCTTCTGGCGGGATGACGATGGTGCTGAGATCGTGGAGTTGAAGCAAGTCATTACCAGAAAAGTGGATGATAGGAAGCAGTAGGGTTGACGGAGCGAAAGTCTAAATGGATTGTCCAGAACAGTGGCGCCGGCCCCTGATGTCAACAGGGATTGGGGCGGGGAATGTGGGTGCGGGTACCTTTACTGTAGGTAAGAAAGGGGGCATGGTTGGATGGATGGATGGATGAGTGAATGGTCCACAATAACAGCAGTAGTACTGTACTTAGCTTACTTGGTTCTTTTGATGCTCACCGTATCGTAGGCCACCATGCAATGCAGTGCCACGACACGAGTGCTATATTCACACAGTGTCCAGTCTCCAGTGTCCAGTGTCTCAGGGTCACACCATCAATCAGCCATATACCAGACATCTGCCTGCTGCACGCCTTTTGCCTCATTAGTTGTTACCTTGGATATTACCTTACTAAACAGGCTTTCAGCCATCACCCAAGTAATTAATTATCAAGGTTCCCGACTTCTGGTAGCTCCGAGCCTCCGTCGCCCGCGCACGGCAGCCAAAATAGCCTTACAACTGCTAGCGGCCCGACTGCTGCACCGCTCCCAATCCCCGGCCACCATCACTCTTCTATTCGTTGTCACTCTCTCCCTCCCACACTGACTGTACATCTCCACCACACCCTCAGCTCTCGCCCCGTCCTGGAGCAGACGCAGTCTCCCTCTTCCGTCTCCCGACTGTCACGCGTCATTCCTGTCGCCGCCGGCATAAATGGCCCCTTATGCCGACGACGACTACGAACACGCTGATCACCATCGTCCTAGACGACGCAAACATCGCTCCTCTCACAGAGAATCCTCACACAGCTACGAGAGAGAAAGAGATAGGGATAGTTTGAGATACGAGCAGCCCGACCTGCCAGAGCTGAGAAGAGCTAGAGTGCAATACTACGACCGCGATTCGGATCAGCACAGACGTCGACATTCCAGAGACCTTGACGAAGTCGAGCGACGCATGGCATACGAGCGGTCAGTACGGAGGAAACCAAGCGTAAGGCGGATCAAGGTGGTGAGGGAAGATGACATGGACGGACGCCGCCGTCGTTCCAGCAGGAGAGCAGACGATGAATCTAGAAGCGGTGAACATGTCTACCGCTCCCGAGAGCGCTCCAGAGACAGGAGTGCTGAGGAACCTCGACGCAGGTATACCGTGCGTCATGTCCCGGCCGACAAGGACTTGAGACGCTCGAAGACTAGAAAGCTTGCTGAAGAAGTCGTCGTTGAAGAAGAGCTTGCTGCGAGGCCTGAGGTTGACGCAAGACCGCATAGAGCTTCGTCGATTCGCGAGTCGCCGAGGCCGTACATGGCCACGAGGCCGGCAAGACGAAGCACAAGCACCAGGGTAAGGGAAACCGCTCCGGAGGAAGCCCGGAGTCCGCCACCCACTGTGAGTGCGAGTCCTATGAAGACCAGGCGGCATAGTACGGGGATATTGGGCCTGTTCAGACCAATACCTGCGCCTACTCCTGTAGTGGAGAGGAGGTTTGTGGCCGAGCTCCCTTATACATGGAGCAATGTGACTAACAATCCTAGGGTTGAATGCGTAGTTTGCTTGCAGGACAGCTCGTATCCTTTGAAAGCTGCGAAGCTTTCCTGTGGCCATGGCCAATGCCACGAGTGCCTGCGAAGACAATTCTCCCTCTCAGTCAAGGACCCACAACACATGCCTCCACGATGCTGTACTGACGAGCACATACCCCTGAAATATGTGGACCGCCTATTCAACGACAAGTTCAAGATGCTGTGGAATCAAAAATATGAGGAGTACACTACCAAGAACCGCGTCTACTGCCCTTACAGAGATTGCGGACAATGGATCAAACCTTCTAATATCAAGAAAGACTCCACCACTGGACGCATGTACGGAAAGTGTGGCAGATGCAGGCAGAAAATGTGCGTCAAGTGTAATGGGAAATTCCACACGAAGCGCAACTGCCCGAAAGATGAAGAGACCAAACGTGTCATCGAGATGGCAAAGGAGAAAGGCTGGCAGCGATGCTACAACTGCAAGACTATGGTCGAGCTCAAAGAGGGCTGCTACCATATGACCTGGTAAGTCACACATGTCGACATACGTCTCACGCAGATGTCTCACCCCTGTCCAGCCGCTGCACCGCCCAATTCTGCATGCTCTGCGCCGCGAAATGGAAGACTTGCACCTGCCCGTGGTTCGAGCACCCCGACCTCGAACCAGCCGAACGCCTCCTGAACATGCAAGTTCCCCATGTCTACCATGTCCCCATCGACACATACCGCCGCCCGCCATCCCCCCCGACATCGCAAGCCCAACCCCTCCGCCGCTCAAACACCACTACCTATACGTCCCTTCCACGCCGCTCAAACTCACTGCGCCAGCCCGTGGCACCAACAAATCCAATCGACCACGTCACCCGCTTCTTCCAGGCCACGCTCAACATGGGCAATCCCACCCCACCGAGCAGCCACGAACGCAACAGAGACGTCGACGTCCAGGTCTACGGCGTAGGCAACGCGGGCGGGCACCATCTGAACGAGAGCTACGCCATACGACCCACACATCGCCATTCCGTCTCCGCATCGGCTGCTTCGCGGCCCCGACCCGCCGCACCATCTGCCGTGGCGGCGCAGAGGGCTTGGAGATTCAACATAGCGCCTAGGAGGGAACGTGAGAGGAGAGAAGCCCCGCCGGCGAGGGACGTGGCGGCGAGTATAATGGCGGGTCTGAGTAAAGGTGGGGGCCGAACTGGGAGTAATAGGGTTGATACGTGGAGGTTGCATGTTCGGCATGATCCGGATGCCGTTGCTGTTGCGGATCGGTTTCCTGATGAGGTGTGGAGTGAGGTGGATAGTGATTTGGGGTATGAGAGTTGATGAAGTTTTGGAGAGAAGGGTTGGGGGAGAGGTGGGTATATTTCGAATCAGTCAGTTATGATGAGCATGATGAGAGCATAATGAGCGCGGCATCTGTGAACTTTGGCGGGAACATCTTTTTGGATTTGCACAGCGTGGTGTTTTTTTATTTTTTTTATTTCCTTTCGGGGATTTGTTTGGGTTAGGAATCTTCTGTGGCAGTTGGGTACCGGGGTGTTTTTTTCTTTTCGGTAACCACGTTATACCCAAACACATCTTCAGACAAACTCGGTACTTTTTATCTTTTCTAATCTACAATCTCGCTTCTTCCTCGCCTGTAGCAGTAGCAGTGTCGCCACCCTTCACAACACCTCAATAACCTCATCATCCTCGTCATCCTCCTCCCCCTCCCCTTTCTCCACGACGCCACCACTCTCCACATCCTCCACCCTCTTACTAACCTCACCCTCCCCCTCCCCCTCCCCCTCCTCCCCCTCCTCATCCCGCATAACAACCTGCACAAACCGATCACAGCCCTCCCTGACCCCCTCATCCTCAACCGCAAGATGCAGCTCCCGCACAACAGGATACACCTTCCGCCCACGCAACTCATCCCGGCCCGCCCGCGTCGTCGTCAGCAACATGAGCGTCTCGAGATGCAATTTGATGATCTGCAAGTCTGACTCGCGCTGCTTGTCGGGCGGGAGGAGTTGTAGCTCGTCGTGCATGCCCTCGGTGTCCGAGTCGGGGTATTCTTCGCTGCCCATGAGGGGTTCGAGGATGTAGGGGAGGAGGGAGGAGGTGGTTGTGTTGTGGGATGGGGATGAGGAAGGGAGGGAGAGGAGGATTGGGTGGGCGGGGAGGTGGAAGGCGACGTTTTTGAGGGTGCTGGCTACGCCGAGACGGCGGGTGTGGGACGGGTGGGTGGTGAAGACTTGGAGCTTGGTTAGGGGGATGGTGTTTTTGTCGTGGGGCTGGGGCGTGGTGAGGTAGGTGCGGCCGGAGGCGTGCTGGTTGTTTTGTCGTCGTGTTAGATTTGGAAGACGTTCGGGAGTGGTTTGGGGAGGGGGAAAAGGAGAAGCGGTACCTTTGCGATGTCGGCGAAGAGGTACGAGAGATAGTCGTAGTCTGCGTCTTTGTTGTAGCTGCCTGCCGCGCCCTTGACGAAGCAGTCCATGAGCTGGTCCATGGCGTTTGCGGACGTGGAGAGCGGGGACGGGACGGCGCGTTTGAGCGTGAGGAGGGTGAGGATGGCGTCGGATTTGGCGAGATTGGCGAGGAGCATGGCGAGTTCGTTTGCGTTGGGTTCTTTTTGGTTCTATGTGAGGGGGAATGATCAGCTTTTCATTCTGGATCACGACACCGTATGTGTGTGGGTTGGGGTGGACAGTACCGTAATACGAAGCAACAGCGTCTCCATGAACGCCTCATCCTTGACCAGGTTCTCCAGCACCTCCTTGTCATCAGAGATGTTTATGAGTATGGTCAGGGCATTCTTGGCGATGGGCGGGTAGTCCTTGACGAGGAGCTTCAAGTCTTTGACCGGCGTCAACTCGCCAGTCTTGAAGATTGACGGCTGAGCTTGGGAGTATCCGACGAGGTTTTCGGCCGCTGTGTTGGTGCAGGGTTAAAGATGGTATTCCGTTTGCGCGTTTGTGTGTGTGTGTGTGTGGGTGGGTGGAAGGTCGCATACCGATTTGACGTATTTGCGTGTTGCCATGGTGTAGGAATTCTACCAACTATGATGCGTGAGTGGAGGCCTTGTTGTTGATATTGTCGCTGAATGTCACTTACCTCTTCTAGTTCTGTGGGCATCTCGAACTGTATAGGTGTGTCTTGTGGTGGGACAGTATTTTTTGAGTATGACGTGGTTATCGATAGGGTGATGGATAGCCTGAGGCATGATTGCATATGTCAAGATGATCTGATAAGATCACGACTAAGAACACTATCCATCGATTCCATCAAAACTTTATACTACTATTAATACCTCTTCGACGACTCTTCCACTTCGCAACATGCTCCTAATCTAGCAAGACTCTTCCTCTCCTTCATACTACAGACTTTTCCTAGATACCACGACAACCACACCACTAGCATCAAGACGCAGCAAGACCCACTAATCCCCGTAAAACTCTCCGTACATAGGAGAAATATGTAGCGACGGGATGTTTCTTGTAGTCATTTATCCCGAAGTGGATATTATAAAGCCCGTTTCGTCCAGTATACGTGTACGTGACGCGTTATACAACCGGCTGGAGTCAAGCGGCAAACTACTCGGCCTAGGATGTTATATATGACTGAACAGATGGGGAAGTAGTCTGTTCCTGCCCGGTCTTGGGACACTGTATGTCAGCACGGCATTCCACGATGGAGGTTCGAAATTGGTTTCCGTTTTCGTCAGGGCGAGTGGTATGTTTATGGGTGAAGATATAGTTTGTTTTGACGGTATGGGCGGAATAGAGATGTGAGGTCGTTGAGTGTGATGGTCTAGTGTTAGATATAGTATTTAGGGTATGCGTGGGTGGATATCATATCTAATGTCGGAGAGAAAGGCACTGTAGTCTCTACCAAATCCATGAACGTGTCTTTCAATTACTGCCTGTTTCCTGGTCTTCCCACGTAGAGTAAGTAGGTCGTCTAGAGGATATATATGCGGGTATTAGTGAGTGAGTGAGTGAGCGTCGTCAAGAAGAACAAAATGCGCCCAGTCCAAAGCATGCCAACCTATACACAACAAGAAACGCCTCGCAAGCATGCATGCAGCCATCCCCGTCTACCTCGAGTCCCCAGGTCCAGACTACGTAGCGTGATGCCCATCAGTCCTCGCCAACACAACAGTGCTAACCTTCGTCACCACACCAGCCACAATCTTGAACGTCACGCTCAACACCCACACCACAGTCTTGAACCCCACCCCCAACACAGTCACAATAGTCCGCGTGACAAACGGCATCCTCTCCTCATCCCCCACCTTCCCAACAACCTCACGTCCTGGTCCATCAAAATGTGGAGGCGCAGTCACACTGCCCATCTCCACCCCGCCGAGCATCTCCTTATCCACGACTCCCGCCGGTGCCAGATCTCCCTTGCTGCCCGGCGCACTCTTGTACATATGGCTCGGCGGAAGCACAGCCTTGACACCAGCCTTGGATTTCATAAACTTGAACAGCCGCTTCCGCTTAACCTTCGATTCGTCTGCGACGCTCAAGCCCGGCGCAGTAGAGAAGGAGTACGGCATCCCGACCCCCTGCGGCGGGGCAGCGAACGCGATCGCCTTACGCAGCCTCTTCTCCTCCGCCAGCGCGACGGCGAGAATAGCGGAGACGAGCACATCGATGAGATATGGATTCGAAAACGAGAGAAAGGCGGAGATGTTGAGCACGAGCGTGTCGGCGCCAAAGTCGAGCTTCGCGAGCGGTGTGCCGGGGGTGAGGGACGGGTGTGAGATTGTGATTGTAGTGGGTTTATTGTTTCCGCGCGTGAGTGCGGGTGAGGGCGCGCGGGAGCTGAAGGGCAGGGAGCCGAGGACGGGCGACAGGCCTGGAGACGTGTCTCCTTCGTGGCTGATGGCGAAGACGCCGAGGGTGGGATGGTGCAGCGCGTATGTACCGGGTGATTTCGTGGACGGGTTGTGCTGGGGAGGGAGTGTGGAGGTACCGCGTGTCCAGACGAGAGCGCAGCATTCGCGCTCTGCGGTGCCGCGGAGGACGTCTTCTGCTAGCCGCTGGGCTGCGTCGGACGTGGCGTCTGGGTCGAATGCAGCGATGTGTGCGGCGGCAGGGGAGTTGGAAGCGATATCGAGGGCGTTCAAGGCGGCGAGCTTGGGGTATATGGTTGTGATTATGGATGCTGGGTCGGGATCCCGGCCTGCTCTAGTTTTTGACATTGTGGGAGTGGGGGAGAGGGTAAGGTGAGTGACTGGTACGTTTGTAGGTTTGGTAGGATGGTGTCGACGGATGATAAGTTCGTGCTCATCGTCATCATCATCGTTCTCCTGTTCGCCGGGTCCAGGGGGTATGTCAGTGTGGCTGAGAGTGTAGAATGGTTGCGAAGGCGTTGGTCCGAACGAGATCTGTGGCTCGGTATTGCTCTTCGATGCTGGATGTCTGTGCATCTGGAGAGTAAACGTCTGAACGACAGGGACGCCTTGTCCGTTTGTAGCATCCCATAGTGAGTCAAGCATTGAGGCTGGCGTATAGTAAGGAGTTGGCGCCGGCATATTGACCTCGTCTCCGTGCTCCAGATTCGCGTAGGGAGTATATTTCGTTGGAGAGTAGAGTGGCCGGCTGATCTTACTCATAGGAATGTGCGTTGGTGAGGACTGAGTTGGCTTGTATGGCTGTTGGTCTAAGGGCAAACCCGGATTATACTGGGGAAACATGGAGCGCATTGGAGGTGGGCTTGTAGGGGATCGAGCGGTCGTTCCGGACAGAGCTGGAGAAGTGGCTTTCTCATCTGGACTAACTGACGAGGTGAGCCTTGAAGTTGCAGAGACTACATTAGTCCCAGCAGGTGAAACAACGACGTTGCCTGGGGGAGATACTGCCGTCCCGGGTGGCACTTGAGAATCAGAAGATGTTGGGGATACAACGACTTGAGGTCGTTCTGGTGCAGCGGCTGGTGAGACTGAATGAGCCCTCGGAGGCAGAGGCGGTGTAGATGTAGTGTTCGACGTGTGCTGGTGTGATGTCGTTCGCGGCTCTGCAATGTGTGGTTTTTTTGACTCCTTGAGTCTTGGTAGACCACCCGGCGCCGGCGGAGGGGGAGGAGGAGGGAGGACAGCAGCATTAGCCGGAGAGTCCACACGGATCACAAGTTCGTGGAGGTCGACCGGCGACTTTCCATTCTCTCGTCTCTCCACAGTAGGACTTGAATCGGACACTGTAACGGTGGGATTCTTCCGACTTGTAGTCCTCTGTGGCCATTGCTGGACGGGCTTTTTCTGATTAGGCGGAGGAGGCGGAGGGAACAGTTGCAGAGCAGGAGGAGCCATGGTAGATATTCTCTCTTCTTTGGCAGACTAGGACGACAGGAGTACTGGGAGAAGAAGCTCGTCTTATCGAGTCAGAGAACACAACAAGGTAAATAGTACAGGACCGGCCTGAGGGGAAAAAGGGACGATCAAGTCCCACGAGCAGCCATATAAGAGATTGCTGCCGCCATCCGGACGTGGGTGGTGGAGAGCTGACAGCAAGCCATCGGAGGATGGGCAATAGCGGCTCGCATGGTGGTAAGTAGACCGTCTACGTCCAGGCAAGGTTGACGAGGAGCGGAGCCAATGAAGCGAGTGAATGGATATAGGGCGGTTGTTTGCATGTCAAGTGTTTTGCGCGAGCGGTTGCAGGACGAACACTCGACTCACATTACGCGCCCGTCGTCTTTCGGATGCGGACGCTAATCGAGAACTAATGCCGTATGCACTGCAGTGTGATGGTCCGCATGCCTCTCGCCCTGCTGATTGGCCAGCTGCCCCTTCGCGTATCGTAAACAGAACAAATTGCTATTCATAGTCTGTTCTTCCTTGTTGGGGTGCTATACTACAACATCCCAGGTCAGTGTCAGTGTCAGATCTGGCATTCGATTAGGTGCGGCTCGTTACGCTGCTCCACGAGACTCCTATACTCTCGGCGCCGATGCATGCATATACATACGTAAGACCTGTGGATACGCTTTGTAAATTCATGGGCTTTGATTTGGAGCCTTGTGTAAAGTACATCCCATGCACCAAAAGTACAAATATTTGTATACAGCCAAACGTCCGACCATGCTTATGCTGCTGAGCTTTCTTCACCCAATGAGCTTGCCAAACGTAGTGTGAAAGGTGACCATAGGATACAGCCTGTATACATGTGTCCGTGTGGGACTGAGGCTGATCATCGCGCCGTCAAGCGTCTCTATATCTGCTCTCTTAGATATCCTTGCGGTAAAGCATTTTCGTGTCTTTGTCCAATCTGACAAACGGTCTCAACGACCTCGAGAATTCCGCCTTGTCCTCTGGTGTCCGAAGTCGGGGCTTGAAGATGCGCATCAGCTGCGACATGGTCAAGCCTTCTGGTGGAATCGCAGCAACCACTTCTTCAGGGGGCGGCCGACCTGTAGCTGCACTGCTGACGCCAGTGGGAGTCGCAGTTCCTGAAGCAGGAGAAGTACCTACACGAAGTCAGTAAGCAGATGTTGGAGCTCCAATCAGACTGGAAACGATAACAAGTGGACAATTAGGTCAGAGAGAAGATTACAGTCTGCATTGGCAGGAGGCGGCCCACGAGTCCAGAACACACCCTATATACCGCGCCTCTCACACTCCCTTGCTCGCCGCCCGTGAAGGCTACATGCTCGGGAATATTCGCGACGGGCATACAGGTGCTGCCGAGGCTGCCTGTGTATTCCTTACTCGCAAACCTCAACCTTACCTCAGGCTAAGGATGACAGAGTTTTCATCATATGAGAGAGAGAGGGAAAATATAGAGAGCAGTAATGAATGTAATGCATGCACTGACCTTGCATCCTATTGGTGCCGCCGGCACTCAGGACTGCGCTCCCTGCGGTGGAGCCTCCGACCACAGCCGGACTTCCAGCTCTGCTTCCCCCTGGAGTGCCGGGTGGTGATAGTCGAAGTTTTAGTTTTTGCTTTCTTCCACCTTCTGTCATATCGCTATCGCTCCCGGAGCCAGCGCCGCCGCGAAGTTTCGATTTAAGCTTGGTTGGTGCGGATGAGGATGGAGCATTGTCGGGAGACATCGGTCGCGCATTTGTATGCGTGGGCTGGGAAAGGGCGTGCTTCTTCTTGGACTTCTTTCGTGAGGATTCATTCCCACTCATTTCTGAGAGGTTAGGAGATCCTGGGCGTTTGAGGTTGTTGGTAGCTTTCTTGAGGACATCTGATGTTTTCGGACGGCCGGAGGGTGTATTAGTACCCTTAGTAGATGTGCCTGAACTGGTCTGTTTAGGTTTCTCGGCCTCTTTGGGTTCCTTCTCCTTGGCTTTCGCCTTCTTTTCCTCTTCTTTCTTTTGCTCCTCTTCGCGTTTGCGTTCTTCATCGGAATCAAGAGATTCACTCTGTTTTGATATTAGTGTGGTTTGGGAATTGGAGGGAATGTGCCTTACTGAGTCTGAGAAGTACTTGTTGCCGTCACTGTCTTGCTCATAATCGTAATTCTTCTCTCGCTTCAAGAGCGCCTTTCGGATCTGCTTCTCAAGTTTCCTCTGCTCCTCCGCTGCCTTCTGTTGTATCTCCTCCTGCTTCCAAACATCTTTCTCATCCCGCAACTCGAACGCGTTGGCGGCAGCTTGCTCCTTCTTGATTCTTTCCGAAGTTTCTTTCGTGTCTTCGTCTTCACCTTCGAAAAGACCATTGACACCTTCTTCATCATCGGCGAAGTCTTCTTCGGCATTGTAGTCCATTTCGCCAATGTCCTCGACCTCTCCCCTCTCGTCATCACCACCTCTTGGTCGTTTATTATCTGACGCACCCAAGTGTAATTTCCGTGTAAGTTTTTGCTCGCGCATCTTCATCTTTTTTTCGGCATCCTTTTCCTCCGCAGCGGCGAACCAGCGCGGTGCCTTGGCCTTTGCCTGGAAAGCAGCATCTGCCTGGTCTGCAGTCCAAGTCTTGCCTCTCTGCTTCGATGTGAATCTATACCACTTCTCCACAGGAACTAAGCGGCAGCCATTCTGATCCTTCACGAGCATGACATAATGATCCGACAGTGCAGCTTCATAGGTGCCCACCCATGTATTTTTATTGTCGAAATCCTCTAGATGCCACGGCAGCGACTCTTCGTATCGTAGAGCTGATTTCTTCCGTGCTTCTGGTGTGTCATCTCTTCTATAAACTTGCTCTGTCTTCTTTTGAAATGCAGCCGGTTTATTCTTCTTCACTGCGGGCGCGATTTGAGCTTGATTTTCCTCTCGAATGCGCTTCCTTTCTTCCTTCATGATCTCGAGACGTTCCCGCTCCTTGTCATCTGTCTGGTTGCTTTCGCCATCATCGACCTCTTCGATCGGACCAGCACCAACGGCCGGCGCGCGAGGGTCACGACGATGAAGGCGAAGCGGAGGCGTGAATTGCGACTCGTCGAAGAGATCTACTTTGGACCGAGCTGGCGGTGGATGAAGTCGCAGAACGTGGTGTCGCAAGCCCTCGACCATATGTTTAGGTGTCGTGTATATGGGTATAGATTGCGTTGGTTGAGGTAGCGGCCTTTGCGGTGGACCGGTGGTCGAATGCTGAGCAGCAGGCAATGGCCGTGCCTGTAAGGCTCCAGGCTTTGCTCCTCCATTAGCCTGTGGTGGAGGGCGTGGTGGTCTGTTTGGTTTCTGGCCTGGTCTTCTATTTGGGACAAGCGGGTTAGTCTGTTGTTTCTTCCTCTTGCGCATGAGAGGTGGATTTTGAGGAGTTGAGCCCGGTAGAGCAGCAGGTGAAGCTGTGTTCGGTCGCTGAGCATCACTTAACGGCGCTGCCGTAGAGTGGCCGTTCGCAATCGCGTTGTTGGGCATGTTCATGCCTGATGCCGAAGCAGAATACTGGTTGTATGACATCGCGGTCAGCTGTATTGGTAGCTGCTTGTGCGAATCGGTCGTTCGCGTTTGTGACTATCGAGCGTTGAGGCAGCCAGATAGGGATGCAGTACGTCTAGACTTGAAGGAGGGGTGTGTGATGAAGAGACAGGACAAGTAGTATTACCGCATAGCTCGACTGTCTTTCAGCCTCAAGGGTTACGGATGTTACCTGTTACAGTTCGCCATTCACTCTCTCACAACGGACGACGGTAGATCCATGGATGATAGTTGAGCTTATGTAATCAGGCGCTAAGATCCTGTCAATAGGTAATTAGGTGGTGCATTCACACTAACCTGCTTTCTACGCGAAGCTTGGATGGACTTTGTATATTAAACACACAACATTCATTCATTAGTGATTGCTGCTGTTGCTGCACTTATACACTCTCACCATCGGGGGGGCACTACTCGCGATCTGATAGCCCTGTGATCTCAACAGTGGCTGGTTGTCTGTGCAAGATATCTGCGTCAATATATGGAGCACCGCAGCTCTAGCACAAATGTCAAGGAACCCCGGATGAAACCTCCATGAAGATTCCTGTCCCTTGCGTCACTCAATCATTCACTCACTCACCCACTCACTCACTCACTCTCAGCCTCACATCCAAAACAATAATCTCAGCATTCACAGGACCTTTCCAACACAGCTCTAGCTATCTAAAGTGTCTCGCTGAACCCAGCCTCGCCACCATGGGCAAGCAGAAAAACGGAAAAGGCCAGGACAGCTCGCTGGAGCATGACCTTAGGAACATGATCCTTGGTAACATCACAATTGCTGATTCCTCTACTGCACGGCCGCAACAATCTCCCCGGCGAGATAACAGCCACCGTCATCCACAGAATGATGGTCGGAACAGTGGTGGCCCAAACCGTAATGCACGGCAGCTTTCGTACGGGCAAGGACAGCAGGCGGCCATGTCTGAGCACACGTATTACCAGCCCTCTATGACATCGCCAAACAGTCGAGCTCTGCCGCAAGACACTGGACGTAACTTTGGGTCGAGTGGGCAGCGAATCCCAGCACAGAACAGCTTTGCTGGTCACTTTACTCACCAACCGCAGAATCAGCCTGGTCAAAACAATGGTCAAAGGACCTTGTATCAGCCTCCGGCGCAAGTTCCGACACCTCCACCATATGAGGTCTGGGCCGCTCAATGCCTTTTTCTGGAACAGCTAGTGTCCATACACATACCAGAGTCTCAGATGACGGCCGAAGAAATGGCCACGAAAGATGCATTCAGGTCTCGTCTCGAGACGATTTGTAGGACTGCACTATCTGAATATGATGGGACCGGTCTACTGAACTTGCAGCTGAAGGCATTTGGAAGCTTCAGTTCTGGTTTCGCAACAAAGGGTTCCGATATGGACTTGTCAATCGCTTTATCCACGTCTGGCACTGACACTCACGCCGTCACAGTTGAGCCACCTTTGCTGCGAGCTCTAGAGAAGGCCCTCTTGAACTGCGGCCTCGGTGCACGTCTACTGACACGGACGCGCGTTCCGATAATCAAGATATGCGAGACGCCCACGGAGGAGCTGTTGTATGCTCTAGTCGAAGAGCGCCGGAGGTGGGAAGCCCTACCAGAAGACGAGAAGTATGTCGTAGATGCTCCAGCACCACAGCAACCAGTAGACCCGAAAAAATCTGAACCGGCCAAAAGCTCGCGAGAGGGTAACGCAGCCAAAGAGAATGCCAATTCGCCAGCAACTCCTGTCAGGAAGCAAGGCCATCAGCGTCCTGAGTCGACATCTTCTCCAGTCACAGTGTCAAGTGCAGCCAAGAGACCACAGAACAGAGGTTCAGACAGAGCTTGGCTGAGAGAGAAAAAACGTGGCCCGCTTGACTTCCCGAAGAATGGCGTTGGTGTTCAGTGTGACATCAATTTTTCGAATGACCTGGCTTTGCATAACACGCGCCTTTTGCGCTGCTACTGTCTCTGTGATGTTCGCGTCCAGCCAATGGTCTTGTTTGTCAAGGCTTGGGCGAAACGTCGGAAGATTAACAGCTCGTACAGCGGTACGCTCTCATCGTATGGGTACGTTTTGATGGTACTTCATTTTCTAGCCAATATAGCGAGTCCTCCTGTGATCCCTAATTTGCAACTGTCGTGGCGCCCACCACAAGAGGGAAGTTGGCGGTCTAGTCCTCCCGACGAGCACTATATCAACAACTACGATGTCCGATTTTGGAGCAACGAAGATGAGATCAAGCATCTCGCGGAAGAACGTAGGCTTACGACGAATAATGAACCAATCGGGGCGCTCCTGAGGAACTTCTTCCAATATTACGCACATCCAGCAGTCAGTTTTGGTACCGGTCGAGGCTTTCAGTGGACGCAAGATGTCTTGTCGCTGCGAACTGCTGGTGGTACTATGAAGAAGGCAGTAAAAGGCTGGACAGGCGCCAAGACAACCACGGTAGGACATCAGGAAGTGCGCAACAGGTACCTGTTTGCCATTGAAGATCCTTTTGAGATTGATCACAACGTCGCGCGTACGGTTACACATCATGGAATCATTGCGATCAGAGACGAGTTTCGACGAGCGTGGAAAATCATTAGCAGTGCCGGGGGAGGTCTGTCACAATACTATGGCAATGAGTCGCTCTTTGCAGAGGTTACGGAAGATGATGTGATTGAAGAGAGCGGCGCTAGATCGGTAACCGGTGAGCAGAGTATACGCTCGAAAGAACATACTCTACCGACTGGATGATTAGGCTGGATTAGCACAGGGCAGAGCAAACACCAAGGACATCCGACAGTCAGAGTACAAAACGAAGACGGGAACGACGCCCTTAAGATACAGGCATGTCGGCGAAAGCGACAAAGAATCGCCTGTTGATTGTTCATCAGTCCCGAGTCTTTCAAGTATTTCAAGGGGCGCTATGCCCCGGGTAGATCAATGGAATCCGATCGGACACTGCGGCTAATGAAGACTTGAGTGGAGACATAGCAGTCAATATCAGTCTTGCCTAATATTACTGTCCCGTTTTCCTATCTGTGACTACGTGAGAGACTCCAGGCCATGTCACTAGCGCCTCAGGCAGCTTCATCCATCAGATCCATTTCCAGCCTAGCGCACTTGTCCCTTGTGATTCCATGTAATTCACACTTCACGTCTACCACACTTTTCTTCTATTGCAACTCACAATTCTCTTGCAAAGACACCCCGACGGCGCCCAAGGCTATACGCCCTCGCATTATCTTGGTCCGCACGTCCAATTGTAATACTTTACAGCCCCGCACATGTCGAAAGAGGATCGGGTATAACTTACCCATTTCATCAGCTGTGGCGTTTGGCTTGACGAGCTGACTGGCCAATTCGACGGGCTGAATACGCCGCATCCTACCAGTTTTGAATCCTGTTGCAGCCGACCGTTGCACACACAATGCCATGTGGTACCCATAGTGCACACATGGCACAGCCTCCGTCCTTGAACAATGGAGACAGGACCAGGATCCTGGCAATGAATCAATCACCTGCACAACTGCGTATTCTGGAAGGGAGCTTTCAGTCAACAAGTGTGTTTTGACTCGCGACGTGGCGAGGTAGAGGAACGACAGTGAAGCGACGGTCCTCGCTGATCCTCGATGATCCTCGTGCCGCGACAGAGGGACGTGAGATGAGATGCTCTCTTGGTTGAATACGAAGACGAAGTCACCTCCGGGTACGCGAGGCTGCACAGCACAACACCACGCAAGACTCTGCTCACGCCTAGAGTCTTCTCCATGATGCCGAGCAGTCACAGACAGGTAAGCGTTGCCAAGTGTGGACTTTGGACCGTCGCCTCCATCGGCAGCCTTGCTTACTTTAAGTCAACCACTCGGTTTCTCCAGCTACACAAACAACGCCATTCCACAGACACAGACGTGGCTGCAGCTTATGCAAGAGGCGTCGACCAGTTACCAGTGACCAAACATGCGTATGTATCACTGGGAGTCTTGTGCCTGCCATGTGCGGGAGAGATTTGCACGACAGCCGACAGGGTTCTACGTGTTGGAATTGGGATGTTTGTTGGTTCACACGGCCAAGTGTTGTTACAGCAAGTGAAGCCAGTGCCACTTTGTGATCTCTAGCCTGGGGCAGTTGGGTAGTCTGCCCGCAGATCTGGGGTTGGACACTAGCAAGGGGTCTCTAGTGTGCCCTGTGACTGTATCCCGATGTCTCCCTGAATGGCCAATGGTTGTTTGTGTTCTGAACTGCAAATATCCTGGGGACGGCAGAAGGCCTGTAGGGCAGATCGTTATGCTTTGCCATAAGAGTCGGACACCCCGCCTCGCGCTCGCATTTTTTTCTTCTTGAACCACTGGCAACCACAGCCTTGTGATTGAGTCCTCCATCATGGTCAGATATATCACGAACACCTACGCTATTTGCGGCTTTGCCGCCATTGGTGGTGGCCTCTTCGGCTTCGATATCAGCTCCATGTATGTGAATATTTCGATACGTTCAAATTGCATGATAATGTACTAACAATTCATAGGAGTGGTGTCCTCGGCACGGAGGCATACAAGAACTACTTTGGCAATCCCACTTCGTATCGTCAAGGTGGCATCACGGCCTCTATGCCTGCTGGATCTCTTGCTGGATCCCTCGCCTCGTCTTTCATCGCCGACAAACTGTCCAGAAGGGCTGCTATTCAGATCGCAGCTTTAATCTGGATCGTTGGTGCAATTCTACAAACCGCTTCCAATGGTATTCCTTTGCTTTGCGTGGGCCGTGTGGTTGGTGGCTTTGCCATCGGTATCGCCTCTTCTATCGTTCCTGTCTATCAGTCTGGTACGCCGTTCTTGTCCGAAGACTGCAATGTCTGCTGACATCATACAGAGATAGCGGCAAAGGAGATTCGCGGACGTGTCGTCTCTCTACAACAGTGGGCTATCACTTGGTAAGTAGTGATGTCCCTGACCCGTAATTTTCAAGGTCTCACGCGCTCTCAGGGGCATCTTAATCCAATACTTCGTTCAGTACGGATCTTCCTTCGTCGATGGAGGTGCCAAAAACCCCAATCAAGGTACTGCTGCGTTCCGGATTCCTTGGGGTATCCAGATGATTCCCGGCGCCATCCTGTTCGTCGGCATGTTCTTCTTGCCTTACTCTCCACGTTGGCTTGCCAGCAAGGACCGCTGGGAGGAAGCTATCCAGACTCTTGCTGATCTCCACGGTAATGGGGATATAAACAACCCCAAAGTTCTTGCCGAGTACCAGGAGATTGAGGAAGCTCTCCGTTTCGAGCGTGAGGAAGCCATCTCAAGTTACAGTGCCCTCGCTGAGCCACGAATGCTGAAGCGTGTCATTCTTGGTATGTCCATTCAGATGTGGTCTCAGCTCTGCGGTATGAACATCATGGTGAGTTCACTCTTGTCACAAACCATGAGACCTACAACTAATGACTTTAGATGTACTACATCGTCTATATCATGGAAGGCGCTGGAATCGGCGACGCTCTTCTCGCCTCCAGTATCCAGTACATCATTGTAAAATGCCCCGTCCCATGTAACCCTCAAACATCCCACTAACAATAAGTAGAATGTTGTTCTTACACTTCCCGCTATCCTCTACCTCGACAAAATCGGCCGCCGTCCCTCTATGCTTGTTGGTTCTTTCTTCATGATGTCCTGGCTCTTCATCGAAGGTGCCCTCCAAGCAGTCTACGGCGAGCCCAACCCCGACACAACCGCGAAAGACATCTCATGGGTCGTCATTGGCAAGCCTGCCGTCTCAAAGGCCATCGTAGCATGCTCCTTCCTATTCGTCGCCACCTTCGCCACAACCTGGGGTCCATCGAGCTGGACATATCCAGCTGAGATCTTCCCCGCGAAGATCCGTGCAAAGGTCAGTCTATCTCACGTCCAATTCACATCCGTATACACTTTTTCTAATAAAGAAAAATACAGGCAGTCTCCCTCGCAACCGCATCAAACTGGACATGGAACTGCGCCCTCGCCTTCGCCGTACCCCCGCTTCTCTTCAACATCAACTGGAAAATGTACATGATCTTCGCCACCTTCAACGGCGCCGCCCTGATTCACATCTTCCTCACCGCGCCAGAGACCAAGGGCAAGACGCTCGAGGAGATGGACGAGGTGTTTGACTCGGGCCGGCCGGCGTGGCGGGGTGTGTCCAAGGAGAGTCGCCTGGACAAGCTGCAGCAGGAGATTGAGCGCGGTGAGCTCAAGATTGCGGCGCCGATGGGTGCGCGTTCGGGGAGTGTGGAGCATGCTAGTGTGGAGCCGAAGAATTGAGCAAAATTGAGCTAGACGGGCGAATATGAATGGGGCATGGACGGCTTGTATTGTGTTTGGAACCATGCACATGGCCATGGCCTTTGTTGGTAGCAAGTAGGGCATGATACAGTGCTGCATGGCTACGCATTCTGGAGAATCGTATCGTTTGTCGCATAGATACTTTCCACATCAAATGAATGACCCCCCGCGTACCCATTTCACACGACATTATCTCCACACCTCCCTCTGTCCGCACTCCACATTTCTCTCCCAGCCCAAGCCTCATACTACCCTTGCCTGCCCTCTCCTCTAAGCTAAGTCACTGCGGCAGACTACTTCGTTAAAACATCATCCGACGTATACCTTACATTCTACAATCGTGGTCTCGAAACAAACATATATACCAGTCTACAGTGGTATCTCGCTACCACAATATCTAGTATTTAAACAAGCGCCCCCCTCTAACCCTTATTCATCGTTTTATCGAGTCGTATAGATAGGTAGAATAGGACTCAGCCAATCAACGCCTAGAGACTTAGCGTCTGTGATAATCGATTACACAATGATCTCCGCTATAACGATATAATCAAAGTGACCGTATTCGTATCGCTATAACGAGATCTAACTGTAATACAAGCTGCCTTGCGAATGCGAAGATCTTTGTCTGTGCACTTGCGCAGATCAGTCCGGATGTGCGAGACTGTCGCGTCGCGGAGATCCATCCGTAGTTGCGGTGAGGGCGAGAGGAGCGAGCCGAGCCGGGGATGGGATGGGCTGGGATGGATACACCCCGGGAGGCTACGTTTCAGGAGGTGGGAGGAAGAGTCTCGGTGTCGATTACTTAGGTGCGGGATTTGAAAAGCTTGGGGTTTGATGAGAATGTAGTATATATATATATGTAAGGGTCCGGCACGGATGGATGCTTGGGTCTAGGGAATCATCCTGCATAGTTAATGGACTTTGTTTGCTGGATATGGAGTTTGAGGCTGTATGTAGTACACTGCGAATTTGGAGTCTCTGTCTGGTGTATGATATGATGCTCTGCGGTTTGGTGTTTTGGGGGTTATACTTCCGTCGCGGCCTCGTCGATGGTTATATGTAGCGTGTTGAGTTATGCTTATAATTAGTCTGAGGTGTCTGAAACCTACCGTCGTCGGCGCAATGGTGAAATTAATCGTCCGGGGATGGATCCGACTTATTAGGGGGCAGACGATGCTCGTGCACTGGCGGAATGATGGGCACGAATAGCGAGATACCCATTTGAAATATGACCTCATTACAAAAAATCCCCAACAACGTCAGCTCTGCATCTTCACATAACCTTAATGATATAACTAACCCCAAGCATTAGCACGTACGTGGTATACAACTTAACCTCCAAGCTTGCTGTCTGTAGTTTGTTTCACACCATCAGGTCAAAGATGGATCAGCACACCTTGTCGCAGGTAGACCTAGTACACGAGCCGCTAACAGACAAGGACCCCAGGCTATCCATATATCTACCGAGGCTTTTGTACTAATTATGCTCTTTTTTGTGCCGCTCCGACGACTAACTAGCCTTGTCACGCATGCTATGTGATTGTACGGTGGGTCCGCGCAGGATTCTTGGTTGTGATCCGCGTTGTAAATGTCATAACGGGGTCGTGGTTGGGTTGGCTGTATACATTATATCTATGCAACAGGCCCCCGATATGGGCCACCTGTGAACGAACGTCAACAGGAACGGTTTTTTCTTAATTTGCATCTGTACTTCCATTCTGTGAGACCTGGTCCCAATGCCGTCGTTATTCCTGCTCGCTGTCGGTTCTGCCATCGCGTATGGCATTGCCCTCATCTTCTATCGCCTTTTCCTGAGCCCACTCGCCAAGTTTCCCGGGCCGAAGCTTGCTGCTGCGACGGGATGGGTGGAAACTTACTATCAGCTGTGGCATGGAGAGGGTGGGCAGTTCATGTACGCATACAAAGAATGGCATAAAACATACGGTGAGTGTAGACGTTGCGAGCGAGTAGAGAACGGTCTTGCGCTGAAACCTGTGAGGTCCCATTGTCCGAATCAGTCCATGGGAAGTCCACATCGAAGACTCGTCGTACTTTCACGTCCTCAACTCGACGTCGCAGCCCTACAAGAAGCTCCCAAAGTACGCGAATATGTTCAACAATCCACAGTCGACCTTCTCGACCATTGATCCCAAGCTGCACCGTATTCGTAGAGCTGCACTGAATCCTTTCTTCTCAAAAATGAAAATCACCGAGCGTGGACCTAACATACAAGACGCCATGGATCGACTCACAGACCGTCTCCAGCACGATTATGTCGGTGAGGATAAGGTCCTGTCGATCAATGATATGTGGGGCTGCTACACGTCTGATATAATCGTGGAGTATGCCTTCGAAAAGCGCGAGAACTTCATTGAAACACCAGAGTTCCGCTCAGCCTTTCAACACGCGTTAATTAACCTGTCGGAGCCGATACATACGGCAATGCAATTTCCATGGTTCACGGATGCCATGAAGTCCTTACCGGATTTCCTCTTAAACTACCTCGACCCACGAATCGCGGTTTTTAACAAATACAAGGCTGTAAGTATGCGTTCTGGAAGGCAATGATGAAGTCTGAACATGTGTTAGAACCTCCTTAATCAGGTAGAAGTCGCGAATGCTAAATTCCACGAGGGGCACAAGAAAGGCGACAACATATTCCGTTCGATTTTCGCTTCGGATCTACCGGCATCTGAGAGACGCATCGAAAGAGTTCACCAGGAGGCCTTGGGAATAACTGGCGCAGCGACGGAGACGACTATGCGCACACTGACCATCGCCGTTTACCATATCTTCAGCGACCCATCGATCAAGGCACGACTTCTGCAGGAGCTTAAGACTGTAATGCCCGGTACCACGAGTGGAGCTTCAATACCCAGTCTTGAAACGATATGGCGACTTCCTTACCTAACAGCGGTCTTGACTGAATGTCTGCGCTTCTCTTACGGAATCTTTACTCGAATTCCTCGCATATCAGATGTGCCTGTCCAGTATGGCAAGTGGACCATCCCATCCGGCGCCGTCATCAGCATGGACATCAGTGACGTGCACCATGATGAGCAGATTTTCCCAGACTCTTTTGCTTTCAAGCCAGAGCGTTGGCTTGAAGACCCAAAGGCGTTTGACGGAAAACCCCTGACCCGATACATGGTCGCGTTCAGCACAGGCATGCGAAATTGCCTCGGGATGCAGCTTGCGTATGCCGAGCTGTACATTGGCATTGTATCGTTCGTCTGGAGATTCGATCTTGACTTGTTTGAGACAGACGTTACCGATATTCGTGCGGTCAGAGATCGCTTCGTGCCAAGACCAAAACTCGGGAGCAAGGGCGTTCGGGTGACAAACTTGCGCAGACGTGTAGATTGAGGAGTACATTCATGATACGCCAGTATCTTTTCAACAATTCGACGAGTGCTGAGAGGTTGGGGTGAACGACTTTGCGAGACCTCGATTCTAAAAAGTCGCATTTTCGAGCGACGGATCTCTCTGACAACGATGACCACAGTGGTGACGTTCTCCTCGGCTTTAGGACCGATAGATGTCATCTATTAGAGTCTTCTTTCAAACTTGATTGTCAAGTCTTCTTATCTAGGACCTTTGGGCGTACAAGTAGGCATCAGTCATTCATGGCGCTCACATTGACTACCAACCCCATGATATTCTCAGACATATGTGTCGTGTACTGATTTTTCATGAGTGTCACTATCCACGCAGCAATCGCTGATCATAGTGTTGTAGTTCGAGCCACATCTGCTCTGCAAACATACTTGTAGAGCAGAGGTACGACATCGAGTCCCAGCGTGCCACACAGATAGGTATCTGTATGCACTCAGATTGTAGAATTGAAAGCAGCTAGATCTTCCCTTGGGGTCCGACGTGCGGTGGCGTATAGCGCATTTTTGGTTTCGTCTCGAGCATTTAGATGTCTTTAATATAGCTGTGCTCGACCGATGTGAATCCTCGAGGGCATCAGAAGCCATTATCGAGACTTTGATAGAGTGTAGATCTTGTCGGCATCACCCATTGACTTCGAGGTAAAGCAGATGATGGAGTATAGTGCGTGAAGTTTCAAGCCCACGACCAGCTGTTGATGATCTGATCAATGCCTCTAATTGACTTGCAGAAGGTCAACGACCGTATCAGGTTGTACTCGACCCGCATCGTGTCCATCAGTACACCACACCTCCCAGCACACCAATAACAACCAATGGCGGCGCCACACTCCTTCCACTCCTCAATCTTGCATACGCGCCCTCTCCAAGATACAACATCGCTGTGACCGCCGTCCACTTCCTAGTCCGAGGCCAGACCAGAAGCCCGGCAACACCCAGATTTATGTAAGCCAGTATTTCCGTGAATATTTTAGCAGACACCCCTAGACGGCTATAGACAGGCTTCATCGACTCCGCAGTCTTCTGGTGTTGTTCGCGGTACGCGGTTTCGAAAAGGCGTGGTGTGAGGCGTGTGAGAGCTCCACCGACGAAGACTAGGGCGGCAAGGGAGGAGAAGATGGTGCGGCGTTCGTACTTAATACTCATGATTGAGATGAGTAGGAGGTTGGGTGAGTTAACTCAGTCTTGAATGAAGATAGCGCGATGCAGAGCTCTAGTGGACTGAATGAGGCCTGGAGGAGCTCCCACGACAATTCCTGCCTCAGGCGCCAACCTAACACTTGCAATCATTTCGGAAAGGCAGATTGATATATCTGAACAGAACAATACATGGGAGACTCTCCGTCTACATTACAGCCATACCAGATGCATACAAGAGAAATTCTTGTGCCCAATCAATGACATCAATCAATCATTCATTCATTCATTCCTTGTCCTCGTCATGCAGAACTTTGATATCGGCATTCGGCCCAATGCAGCAGACCTTCATCCCAATCACACAAATGGCGTTCCAAGGCTTGTCCTTGTACAGGTCATCCACTTCCTGCTCTTCGTCTGAGTCTGTTGCTACTGACCCATCGATATCGCTGTCCCAGTCGAAGTCATCGTCTACAGGATCCGTCACGTCGCTTACCGCATCATCGTCTTCCTCGTCCTCGTCTTCCACCTCGGCTTCAGGCTTCTCGTCAACCTTCACAACAACGTCGGTGTCCTTCTTCTCTGTCTCACCCTCGGCCCGGGGCTCGGTATCAACGGTGATCGTGATGCGTGTCTTGGATGCCTCGCTGGACTCGGCTGAATGCTTGCTTTCGCCCGTTGGGGGAGGGTGGCTTCCGGACGGCGCAGGGGAACCGTCAGGTCCTGGCTTATTGACCTTTTCCCAGTCTTTCGAGTTATCGGACTTGGAGTCATCTTCCTTCTTGTCATCTTCCTTCTTGTCGTCGTCCTTCTTCTCGTCGGCCGTCTTCTCGTGATTTTCTTCCGCATTGACTTCAGCAGGGTTCGACTCTTTAGGTCCAGTCTCTGCCGCAGTATCTACATCTAGCTTAGGTTCTTCTTTCTTGCCTGTGGTAGTCGAGGATGATGTTGACTCGGTACCTGCAGTCGTAGAAGGTTCCGGTTTTATATCCCGGGACTTTGACTGCGACTTGGACCTTATCGGGATGACCTGCTGCTTTTCCGTGCTCCTGGCGCGTTCTGTGTCTTCTTCATTCTTGTCGGCAGCTTTCTTTTCCTCTTTTTCCTTCTTCTCCTTGTCCATCTTCTCTTTCTTCGCGGCCTTCTTGAGAGCCATTAATCGCTCCTTTTCATCTGCAATGCGCTTCTCTCTCAATTTCTCACGCTGTCTTTCCTTCCTCCTTGCATTACGTCCGGAAACATTCGTCTTCTTCGACTTGTTGCGTGCTTCCGTCTTGTCACGGCGGTCCTTGGCCCGTTCAGCCTCACGGAGCTTGCCTTTGGCGTGCACCAAGTCGAAGCTTTTGCCTATTGCCTGCAATTTTTCCCGCTTGCTTTCGCGGTTTCGCTTGATGACTTCCTCGGGGGTAGCATTATCATCGTAGCGTTGAGCACTGATTTTTACGTAGATGGTATATTCCCCCGCGTCAAGGTCGAGCTCTGCACTACAAGATCTGCCAGAACCCGAGTCTTGAATACTGCGAGCTATGTATGTCTTCTCGCCGTTTTTGTACAGTCGGAAATGGAGATCGTATCTGTAGCGGCCGTCAAGGCCATTGAAATAGCGTTCGTCAGGTTGACTGAGGACTAGAACCACAGGGCTCTTTTCCTTTAGTGTTAGCGAGTACTTGGTGCTCAGGTAGTCGGCCGTCCATGGAACTTCAACGGAAGTCCACTGCTGAGTCACAGTCCAAGAGTCGTCGAATAAGCGTGTACGGTCAATCTCTGGGTAATACTTGAGAAAGTCCTTGTATGAGATCCAGAAGATACCGTCATCGCCGAAAGTGTGACCAAGCTCCTTCATCATCTCTGGCGTCCATTCCTTAGATCCGTCGCTCCAAGCGCCATTCCACTCTGTCTCTCCCCATGGATTGCGTATCTTGAGCAGTCGCAGCTCGTTGACCTCACGTGCTTCAAGCACACTGTACGCATGCCCTCGCACGAAACCCTCGTCATCTCGTGGGTCCGAGTCTCGACCGTAGCGGGAGCCACAGCCGAAGAGGAAATCCTTGTTGACTTGGGTAAGTTCAGACCATAGCTTATCTTTGTCTAGGACGTGCTCAGAGTAAAGATATGTGGCGACGCCACCCGTAAGGTCTTCGATACCTTCATGATGTCAGTAAGTAGGTAGTTGGTGATACATGGGCATACGACCTTCTCCGGGAAATCCGCCTTCGATAGCCTGATAGTCACCATGGGCCTTTGCATAGGCCTTTTCAAGCAGTGGAAGCCACGTCTCATTCTTGGAGCGGCAGCTGGAGAAATACAGCGCATTGGAACCCTTTCGAAGGTTCTCACGGAAGTCTTTCGGAAGGCGTGAGATGCTATATTCTCCTGCTTGCAGTGGATATATATCCTTGTACGCCTTTCTGCCGTCAGTAGTGATCATATACTCAGATGTATATGACCATTTATCGTCATTCTGTCGGAGAGCCAATCTATCGTCGACAACTTCAGAGATCCATTCGCCATCTATAGCGGGCATTAGATACCAGACGGCTGACAAGTAAGGAGGACGTACCTCTATAGAAGACGAAGCCGTAAACACCGACCTTCTCATCGCGATCGACACAGATGCGCTCCAGTAGCTCCGGTTTCCCAGAGAGAGCAGTTATTGCTGCGAGGAACCAGCAATCGCCAACCGTGCCTTGACATACATCGTTCGCGGTCGCACCATCTTCGTAGAATTGTGGATTCTCGAATATATCCTGAAAGCCATCAGCATCTGAAAAAATTCACATGCAAATACTGTAAGCTACCTCGACACGTTTGACACTCTGCACGCCTGCGAGACCTTGCAATGAATATGGGACCTCAGTAGCCTCAAGACTCTGTAAGGTATCGACAGACCCTAGATCCCAGGTACGGTCATAGTACTTGACGTTCAATCGTTTGCATTCTTCGGCAATGGCACGCACTTTCGACTTGCATGCTCTCGCTGCCTCGTCATAGGACAAAGAGGCCTTTTGGCTACTGTTTCTCAGCACTGTTCTCCTCCATCAATCTACACTCGTGCAGCATGAAGCATACCTTGTTACTATTCCCTCCTTGTTGCTATCAGGCTGATGCGACGGCTCGCCCTCAATATCAACATCCAAACTAGGTGTGACAGATACCTTGGGATACTTCGGACGCGCACAAAAGCGGTCCCAGAAATAGTAGAAGCGATCGTCTTTGGGCCCGGTGCTCCCGGAAGCCGGCAGCGGAATGCCATCCCCTTCTCCGGCCGCCATATCCTGTGGCTCGTCGGCGCCGAAGTCTAGGCCGAGACGTTTCTTCCGGAGGTCGTTGACTTTTGTTCGGAGAGGCATGATGATGCTTTGAGCTCTGTCCCTTTCCTAGGTGTAGATAGTTGCAGTGGGAAAGGAGCTGGATCCGAGAAGACTGTGGCCCAGCTGGTTTTTATCATGCTTCTTTCCCTTGCAGACGCTGCTGCATCTGACGCGGACGGCCAGGATGTGGCTTGCTTTAGGAGCAGCCAGCACAAGGCTGCCGCCGTGCGCTGATACACGAGGCAGTTCAGCCGCAGACTTCGGCCCCAGGTTGGCGGCCTGTGCACCGCATGTGTGCTCTAGGGGTCAGCGCCAGCATTCCCATCACAACCATACAAATGCATCACAATCTTTGGCAATGCAGGAAGACAATTGCACAAGCTTCTCATCTTGCCTGCTCAAGCCTTGTATCCATGTACAGTTCTACGGCGAGTTCGTCGAAGCGCTCCTATCAGCTGCTGTCGCCCCCACGACCACAACATGGTCTCAGAATCACGGCAGCGCGTGTGGCGTTGGGTTTTGGGGGCTGTATTCCGTATCCATCTTCTGCATCTGGAATGGATCGTACTTGTAGAAATCGGTGGCGACAGGCTCGTCTGCGAATGATTTATCAGTGCGACGTGTTTGCCTACTCTAGGATATTGCGCGCACATCTCAAAGTCTGTCTGGAATTAAGGCTATAAATAGCGCCGACTTGTATTTGAGTGACACTATCTTCGATAATTAGGGAATGAATACTATCATACTCTGTTTAGAAGTGAGGATTAGATCACCTTCAGAGTACAAGTGTTCCATAACAGCTAGCTTTATAACTAGAATATCGCCTTACATACGAATACAGAATGTCTCTATAGAGAGCGGCATGGTAAGCACTAATTAAAGTACTAATATTCTAATGCTTATTCTTTCTATAATTCAATGCGATATATGCTACGACACACCCGATCGTTTCATATCTGCTTAGTAGACTTATTCAATTACGACTTCGCATCTCAGATTGTGAGGTTTCGATAGCGACTTCAAGAATACTGATTTCGAGGATTTCGGTGTGCAGCAGTGTCTCTGCTTCGCTTGCAAGGTAATGTACAGACGTCATCGATTGAATAACTAAAAGACTGCAAGGGCAGATGGCGGGCACGTAGTGAGGATAGAGCAGAGACTTGTGAGTTGGAATTGCATCCCATTCGCAGACTAGCTGGCTGGTAATGGAGGCGTGGTAGACCTAAAGCCGTGATAAAGCCTTTATATAACCCTCGTTCGTTCCGCATTCCAGATCAGAGCTTCTCACTGATCGTGTACGCTCTCGTCTCTTTCTCACACCAGTCCCAGAACTCGCTCGCAAGCCCCTTTCCACCCTCCTCCTTTCCCTTCGCCGCCTCTAGCACATCTGGCCTCAACTTCTCCGTCCCGATCTGGCCCCATGGCATCACATACACGCCGTTCCTCTCCAACCCAATATCCGGCGAGCACCCGGCGTAAAGCTCCGTCGCAGCGCCAAACTCCGCATGGTAGCACCCCATCAACAATATCGCCCTGCCTATCCACCCCATATGTCTCTGCAATTCCGACCTCAGGTTGCCCGGGTTGAAGCTCGCACTTACGATGCCCTCGCGTCCATACCTCCTCGCGAACTCACTACCCAGGAAGAAGTTCCCAGCCTTCGACATTCCGTAGTTGAGCCATGGGTTCGGGTCGATTTCCGGGCCGTCGGGTCCAAGCTGAACTCCGTATTTGGGCGTGGCGACCTGGACCCCGATGCTACCGGCCCAGGTTACGCGTACGGAGCCAGGTGGAGAGGTCTGCGCCGTGGAACGGAGGACAGGCAGAAGAGCGGTGCTGAGCAGGAACGGGCCAAGGCAGTTCGTGCCCATCTGCAGCTCGTGGCCTTGCGCGGTGACGGAGCCTGCGGCGGGCACCATGACGCCGGCATTGTTGTACAGGACGTCCAGTCTCGACTCCTTGGCCATGAAGGCGGCCGCGGCGGCGCTCACGGTGGGCAGGTCGGACAGGTCGAGCTGCAGGAAGTCCAGCTTGCCGGTTGAGGATGGTGCAGCATGTTGGATGTCTGTAAGGGCGGCATTGTATTTCTCGGAGCTGCGTCCGGCGATGTAGACGGTTGCATTGCGGGAGTAGAGGATGCGGGCGAGCTCTTTGCCCACGCCGGCGTAGCCGCCTGTGACGATGTGGACGCGGCCGGTTTGGTCGGGAAGAGTGTCGATGGTCAGGGGAGGGCTGGGGATGAAGAAGGATTGCGAGAGGATTGATGATGCTTGTCCCATGTTTTTTTGCGGCTCACGTGAGCTGTACGATGCTGCACGATATATGCTAGTGAGTCGAGATTAGGATAAGCCCCCTCGGAATAGCGAGAGTCCTCGGAAATCACACGACTTTCTTCGGGTAATCGTGAGATGGATGGCTTTTGATACTTCGACATGAAATCGTCCAGGAGGTGATTAATAAGGTCAGACTTGGACATGGATTGTTTATGCGTGGAAAGTTCGAGTCATTGCACTAGTCCGATTCCTATCAGCAAGGATCCACAGCGTCGCTTACATGGATCATCAGTTCCAGGGAATTGGCACAGAGTGAAGTGCATGTGTTTATAGCGTTATGGGTCGTATGGAATTGCTTGACTACGGGCATGGTTTTATTTCTGTTGCCTAACTATTGTGAAATTTTATTTCAAATGAGCTATGTTTGCCTCAACACTCTCTCTAAGAGGAATGAGTTTCTCCTGGCCAAAGTTCTTGCGTAGAATCTCCTCAGTACGTGGCTTCCGCAAAATAACACTTAGATCATTGCCTGGGTTCTCCAAGCGGTTGTTGAACTTATGATCAGGACGAAGCTCCTGCAGAATGTCGATGATAATGTTTTTGTTGAATGGGTCAGTGAACGCGAAGACCCGCTCATTCTGTATCTCAGGATCGATCAAAGCGGCGACATGTAGCCGTGCACAATCTCGGACATCAACGTGATACTGTGGAGCTGGAGTGTCCATTGCTGTACCTCCATTGTACGTGTCTGGAACCCAATTGCCAGTGCTCGCAGGCTGGTTGTCAGGGTCGATGATTGGGCCCATGTTTGTATTTGGCAGTACGGAATTGGCAACGAAATGAGGCTTCTTCTCCTTTACAAACTTCCATAGCGCCTGCTCGGCTTGAGTCTTGCTCGCACCATATACATCCCAGGCTCGATCTTCCTTAATAGGACCTGGCGCCCACGCACGCTCGACGCACTCTTCGTTCCAGGTGTTCTCGTCGATATCGAACTTGACATTTGGCTTCGGATTTGTTGCTGCCGTGGACGAGCTAGTGTAAACTAAGCGCTTCACACTGGGCTCAGCGGCCGTAGATTCGAGAACATGTTCGATTCCAGCAATGACAACCGGAATGACCTTTTGCGGATCTGGGTCGAAGGTCAAGATGCTTGCCATGTGGACGACTCCAGAGACTCCTTTGACGGCATTATCGAATGCACCCTTCACAGACATATCTGGCACAACGGCAATCTCGAGTGATCCAGGGCCGTATTTCTTGTTGAAATGATCCAGCAACCATTTGCCCTTATCCTCTGAGCGGACTGTTCCCCGCACTTTGAAGCCTGCGATGAGAAGCTGGTCAACGGTATGACTCGCGATGAATCCATTAGCACCTGTCACTAGGACGAGGGAGCCTTTCGAAATTGCGGACATGATGGACGGAAATTTGGTAATGATCAAGGTGAATGAAACAAAGAAGCCCGTACCATATGTTGTAAACGAAAGCTTTTGTAGTGGACCAAGTGAAGGGTTGTGTTGGCTTTGTAAGCTGGCTGCATCGATAGGTGCTCGGTTCGATGCGCCTCAATTGTACCACTTGTAGTTTTGAGCAATTTCATGCACGATAAACAATCCGTCATGAAGACCGAGGTGTGTTACAAAGAAATGATGACATATCCATACGTCTATCGGGACCCCACTTACCGAAGAGCACCTAAGTGGTTCCTCGTTCATGCTTATACACAGACGTGAGCATATACAATCGGATACAATCCGAAGTACTAGATTAGGATTGTATGATTAGTCACCCTAAAAGTACAGATTGAGCTTGGAATCTATGCTAAGGGATTGAGATTGCTTGTGTTAGATTGATTAAAGTGGGTGTATAGCCGGGGCCCTATATTGGGCTATATTCAGGCATTATTTATGCCTAAGGCTGCCATATTAGTGCCTTAGGCTAGACTTTGGGCCTTAGGTAGAAATAATGCCTGAATATGGCCTAATATTAGGCCCGCAGCTATTTACCCCACTTTATTCAATCTAACACAATCAATCTGACCAATCAGATTAAGATTGTACCGTCTTGGCAATCATTTTGAGTCGTAGATTGAGCTTGTATTCTCTATCAAAATTTTGGCCCAGATTGAGATTGCATAGATTCGGATTGTATATGCTCACGTCTGCTTATACACTAGCAACACAAGGATTAGTTTAGTGGGAACTCATGAGTGGGCCGAATAGAAATATTCAACATAGATCCTTTACTGGTCCAGTTACACGCAGATTATGATATTATGAATCAATTATAGTACAACACATTGCCTTCGAACAGACGCCTCGCTGTTCGCGACACTGTGCACTGGACAACATGTGAACTGCTCTCCAGGAGTAGGACATCAGCGTCAACAGAAATTGAGCCGCCGGGATGCTTGACTGTGACAGCGCGAGTTTTGCCACTTGTGGCGGGCGCTTTACAGTACATAGTCTCTGCGTTGTTGGGACTCGGTGTACGTTCCGGTGTTGGTAGAGCCTCAGAGGTTGATAGCAGGTTTGGCACGGTGCCATCTATGCAGACGGCCGCACCAAGACACACTGCTCCTGTAAGTTGTAGACTTGGGTGCGGTTTTCCCATGCTGAAAGATTGGACCTGAATATCCATACCAGGACTTGAAGAAGGCCACACAATCGCGATCTTGGGCGTGCCTCGCCTGGCAGCGGCTTCTTCTTGATTATTGGCCATGTTCATCTTGATGGCACCAGCCCTGCGAATGCATTCGACCGTGTCCACGTAAAGTTGGTCTTGCGGCATTGCTGCTGACAACCAAGTTGGGAGAGTAAAAGCGTTGACAAATACAAAGGGGTTTGCAGCATCGACTAAAGTAGCTTGTACGGTGAATGGAGTGTCAAAGGTCGATACGGTAAGCTCCTCAACCCGATTACCGCTGGGAAACAATGCCCCTGTGACGCTTCCTGCAGGATCAACAAATGCGACGTGGACTTGACGGCCACTATCAACCACCCCAGCCATGTCATATAAGCCATCCTCTTCGAAATGGTCGTTCTCATCAACATCCACGGTCTCGACCATGATTCGAGAAGTGTTCGTGTTGAAAATCCTGACTTCGACCTGGCGAACACCTGGATCTGCTATCACCAATCGTTCATCCAAGGCAAAAGGGCCCACGCCGCTGGCCATGTTCCCACAATTGCCACTGAAATCAACAGTCTCCATTCCAACAGAGACTTGAGCAAAGGTATACTCCACATCAGCATCAGAGCGCTGGGAAGGACTAATGATCGCGACCTTCGAAGTTGTTGATGTCGCACCCCCGACGCCGTCAATCTGACGAGGCTCGTTGTTCTTTGAGCCCATTGCTGCCAGTAGAGGCCTGACCCATTGATCTTGTGATGCTGGTAGATCCTTTCTGTGTATAAAAAGTCCCTTCGAAGTCCCGGCCCGCATCAGAACGGCGGGCAGGACGTGTCGAACTCTTTTTCGTTTGAGTGTCGTTTCTTGCATGTGGACACCCATATTGATCTTTGTTACTGTAATGCCCTGGGTTTGATGAAGTGTTCCGGTAGTGCGTGGCTGTGGTGATGAGATAGCTTGACCACGCAGCGAGACATATGTTCGGCACGACGTGGCCTATTGTACTAGAGTCCATCTTCTTATGATGTTATTGCGTACGACGGGTGCAGTGATCAGGTCTGCAATCCCGCGGCTACTACATCCTGTCAAAGTCCAAAAAGAGGCATCACGACGATCTTGTTACTGACATGAAGCGCGACTTCAGTGAGGGAAGTGTATGTGGTGAGTACACACTGAGTGATCTGTACCCGCGGGAAGTTTGCCATCTGCTACATTAGGTAATAATAGTGACCACTGAGTAATCAAAGTCGGCGTCACTTTGGTCACTCAAACAGTACTAGCCCGATTCTCCTGACGCCTGAACCACTTTGCGACCCCAAAGTGAAGAGTTGATAACGCATCGTTTCTGAAATTCTCAGCGTTGAAGAAATAACGCCAATAGACCGCTCAGCATAATATGCTCCTCGCTATATGTTGATTGTTGAATAGTTCATCTTTCGTTCTCGCTGGTTGGCCTAGCATGGATGCGTGTGAGCCGGGCAGCGCTAAGGAAGGTCTCTATACCACCCAGGGCTTACGTCTCATCTCACTAATCCACTACTCAATAACACATGTGCCGTCTATATGGGGCGGCTGCCGAAGAAGCGGGTACATGGCCTACTTAACAAGGTTCAGTTCCCGCGGCCAGCACCACTTGTACGATTGACTACACCCATCACTGCCATGCTCCGTCACCTACCCGTCTCGAATCAGTTCACAGAGGATCCGACCGAGAAGGCGTCGGACGTATAGTCATGCCTACTCGAGAGTCGCTTACAGCCAATGGAAAGCCCAGAAAGCGTGCTACCGAAGCTTGTACTACATGCCGCCGCAGAAAGATCAAATGCGATGGGGCCCAGCCCAATTGCGTCAATTGCAAAACTTTCAATCGGATATGCTCGTACGAGCCGATCGAAGAAGAAGTCCGCCGCCAGCAAAAGCCGAGGAAACGTGTTCGGCGTGGAACGACATCGGATGCATCGCCTACAAGCAGCCTAATCGGAAATGAAGGCGATCAACAAACAACTGTTCCTGCCAGAGGTAAGCGAGTGATTCGGGTTGTCGTGTGGCTCCATGTTCCGGATCTTTCTGCCTTTGTAGTTCAGTATTCTAGCGGCCTACACATAATATACCAGTTGAGCCCGGTAGGGCCTCTAGCATATGCCGAATCAGCCGAGCTAATATTTAGGATCAGACACCCAAAGAAATGTTTCTACGATAGTCTTCTCCGCAAACGGAACTTCAAGCTACCATGGGCAAACGAGCGCTCTTTTTGAAGAGCTGCATTCTGAGCCTTTACTGCAAGCAAGACCGATACCCAGGATATCTGAGGCCTGGGCCGAAAAGGGCCTTGTCGCAGAAGCGGCTAAACAAAGACAGATGGAAGACGTGAACTTTGCCGCAGGAACCCTTGATTTCGATGGAGTTGATCCTGATCTCGGCATGCATCTCCTTTCTCTGCATTGGAATCGTCAACATCACTCATTCTTGATTACGTATAGACCTGTGTTCATGAGAGATATGGCCTGCCAGGGGCCTTACTTCTCAAGGATTCTATTGAACGCCATCTACTTTGGAGCAGCAAAGTTTAGTCCTCGCCTAGAAGTTCGGAAGGACCCGAATGATGTTAGGACTGCTGGGTGGCAGTTCAGAGAGCGTGTTCGAGAACTTCTAGGGAGCGCACTAGACAAAAGTGAGATTACTACCATTCAGGCTCTCCTAGTCATGACAAACTCCCTATTCGCTCTTGGCGACGAACGAAGCGCAGCTTGGCTGTACGCTGGACTTGCATTTCGGATGATCATCGATCTAGGCATGCATGTTGACGCGCCGGACATCTTGTCTGTTCGCAAACTTTCAGAAGAAGATATCGAAGTACGTCGTCGAGTCTTCTGGGGAGCGTTTGTTGTCGACAAGATCCAGTCGCTGTACCATGGCCGACCAGTGACTTTTCAAGGGCAAGACGCTAGAGTCCCCATAAAGTTCCTAGACACATTTGAGGAGCTGGAGAGGTGGAAGCCTTTTGCTTATACTCCACAAATCGAACAATATGGCGGTTGTCCTGCGTTTAGCGTATCGACCTTTAGCCATTTGTGCAAGCTTTCTGTCATTCTGGGGGACATTCTTACATCGATTTATGCTGAAAACAGCTCAGAAAGAACTCCAGACGAGCTATCCAGGCTTTTAGAGGAGCTGAATGGAAAGCTGGTCCAATGGCGCAATTCAATTCCGAAGCACATGGAATTCGATCATACTAAGCCGACGCTCTCAGATCCGCCGCCACATATTTTCTCTTTACTCATCATGCACCAAGTATTGGTGATCCTACTACATCGTCCCTTTGTCGCTGATGGCCACCTCTATCGCAATGCACGATCAGTTCCTGCCAATGCGTTTGCGGCGTGCGCAACAGCAGCCACTCAGATCGTACATCTTTTACGAGCCTACGACAAAGCCTTTTCGATCCGCAAAGCCCCGTATCTCATCTCATATGCTTGCTACGTTAGTGCTACTATACATGCGCGGATTGTGGCGCAACGTGGCCGCTTATCTGAGGCATATTCTTCTGTTGAGACTTGTCTCGCTGTCTTCGAAGAGAACCAAGAGACTAACTGGGCTGTCAAGCGAGCCAATATCATCATCCAGAATCTACTCAAGAAGCTGGGTTCTACTTTGCCCCAGAGACCATGGAAGATCTCCAGTAATGCGAACATACCTAACTCCAGTGGCGATACTGACCCACCTCCTGCGACGGCGCCGTTATCACTTGCCGACTCCTCTGCCGTTGAGCAGCCGTCCCCAACGTCGAGTCTGGACTTGGACGCAATCATACAGAGTTTTGCCCCTGACCAGGATCTATCTCAGTCTGAGTTTACAATCCGCACCGATCATCCGATTTCTGGAGATTTCTATCCACCACAAGGGCAGTCTGGTTCATACAACTCCGCGTATCCATTGCAGATGGCCTACAATCCATATAACTCTGATCCTAACATTGACGATCTCTTGTTCGGGTTCAACAGCTCTACTCTCGACAATTTCTCCTTCCCAGACTGGACAGGTACATGATGCCAAAATAGCGTCGGAAACTTGTCTTTCAGTCAAAAGGAATCTACTTTCAGCGTGAACACGGAATATGGAAGATATGATGGATTGACATATAGGACTAAAAGACCAATAGCATTGGCGATATCTCTTGGGTGCTTTGTCCGAAATTCATTCGTCTGAAGCATCGCACCTTTCAGGCAGGTACTAGGTCTTGATGGATATTGGTCAACCATCTAGCTCCTCATTGCGGTGTTACAAGTGGAATGCTTAGCAAAAGCACCTACCCAGCCGAACACTGAACACAACTTCCTCGTAACATTCCATAATGTGATATCTCCTACATCAACACAGTCTCTGTCCTTGCATACATCAAGGCAGCTGTAATCTTCTCATACACTGTGAAGACAATACCACCACTAAACACCAATCTCCCGAGCCTCATCGTGCTGCCAGACCAGAACCCTCGGATACCAGAAGAGGACAGAATATCTCTCACTGCCTGAACAGTAGTCGCTCCTTGAGTACTCTGCGTACGAGTCTTGGTTGCATCGAACGGCTGCGTCGCGTAGACGGTCACAACACCTGCCGCAGCACCAACTCCAAAAGTCGTCACGCTATTCTGCGGCAGACTCAAGTTGACAGCAAAGTCTTTGAGGACGTTGTACGAACCCATGCGTACAGCTGACGTTGATCCTTGCTTCAAGGTCGTTGAAAAGAGACCTCGATATAGACCGCGGACGCCGTTCTCTCGGACGATTATGCCAATGGCATGGAAGCCTCCTCGAAATCTTCTGGCGCCCTTTGCGTCGTCAATTCTGGTCTACTCATCAGCCACAGCACAAGCAGTAATGGTCCTGATGTTCTTACAGCGCCGTCTTCACGCGTTCCGTCGGCGTCACAGCAATAACACTCTCAACACATCCTGCCACCATACCGGCAAAAATCCCTCGCATCGGAGACAACTTCCCCTTTTCATCCACGAGCGTATTTCGTATCGAATCGAAGCCGAGAAATCGCACTCCGGCCTTGAATGCAGTGCCAATAATCAGCGTCGAGCATCCTGTGTATACAGCCCCTGATATCGTAAGCCACGTCCGTCTTTGTGAACTATAGTAGTAGACTTACCTATGCCCTCCGTCCGTGCGACTTGCGTGATGATTTTGAAGGGGTTTCGCGAGCCGGACTGGCCGTGTAGCTGCACTCTGGTCTTCGCGAACTCGAATGGATACTGTAGCATCACGAGATTAGCTTCAGGCTGGTATTACTGTCAGAGTGTGGACAGCGACTTACTGTGGCTGTGGCTTCGACAGCACCCGCAATGCTCCCGGCGAATAGGGACACGCCAGGCGTTGGTTTCTGTTTCTGTGTATCTGCACGCATGCTGTCTATTTCTCCATGATCTATCCTCTATGCAGGCTGGAAATGATGTGTAGCTCTATGCAGAATGCTTTATAATAGACTGCCTTGGGCTTGCGTTGCTTACACTGCTAGAATTATTGCGGGTACATTCGTCTGCCTGTTTTCGATAGGATTAGGACTACGTAGATATACATCCGGCCTTTTACTTCCGTCGCACATCCGCGTTCTACTAGGTTCCGGGTAGATCCCGAGGCATGCTACTAGTTACTAAGTGAGTAGTGTGTACACGTGTGTATGTACCCGCGGGACATGACTATACGGGGGCGGGATCAACGACCCGATTCAGACGACCCGCCTCCACATCGTAATTACCCCAGATCAGACACTACATACGACCAGACATACCAAGACGCTTGCAACATGGCTGATGTTGGTTTAATTATAAAGCTTGTCACTACGACCTCGCCGTGAAAAAACAAGACCTGCAAGCCAAGACGCTGTCGAGTCGTCTGTATTGGTGACCGCAACCCGTCAGAAGTGGCATTCATTTCCCAAAATGGCAGCCGAAATCGAAAAACAGTCTCATGTTCACCAAGAGTACACCGGCTCAGAGACTCGCACGCCGGTGCAGATCCAGTCGCAATTTGCCCTGCTGCGCGACCTCTCGGACGACCAGATGCAAGCTCTGGACAAGAGAATAGTCAAGATCCTGGATTGGCGGATGATGCCCATCATCACACTGATGTTCCTAATGAGGTAGTTTCATCTCGCCTCGTCAAGGCAGTAATATGCGAAACATGAATTGACTCGTTTCAGCTATCTCGACCGCATCAATGTCTCCAATGCTCGTCTCGCAGGCCTGCAAGACGACTTGCACATGTCCGACACGATCTGGAACGCCGGGATTTCGACATTCTATGTGGGGTATTTGATCGGGCAGCTTCCAGGGGTGATATGGATGACGAAGATGAAGCCGAATCTGTTCTTGCCGGGGGTGATGCTCGCGTGGAGTGCTGCGACGATATGCATGCCGGCGATGACGAAGTGGGTTTTCTGAGTGTGTTCGCAGAGGGGAGACTTTGCAGCGTTGACACGGTGCTAGTGGAACTGGCTTCGTGCTCTGTCGATTCGTCATCGGGCTCTGTGAGGCGCCGTTCTTCCCTGGTATCACGCTGAGTGAGTACGCAACGAGGAAGGAAGTGGTGGATGTGGTGCTGATTGAGAGTAGTGACGTCGTCGTGGTATAACAAGCGTGAGAGTCCCACTCGGATGGCAGTGTGGCATGCCGGCAACACCGTCTCTAACATACTGTCTGGCTTCCTTGCCGCTGGTATCTTGACAAACATGGAAGGCGTCCATGGTCTGCACAGCTGGCAGTGGTTTTTCATCATAGAAGGTGCAGCATCAATTGCGATAGCTGTGGCAGCTTTCTTCCTTCTCCCAAGTTGGCCACACGATACGAGGTTTCTCACAGAAGAGGAGCGTGAGATGGCTCAGTATAGAGTTCTGGTATCGAATGGAGGCGTCGAAGAAGCCTTGGGTGGAACGTGGGATGGCATAAAGGAGGCGGCCAAAGACCCTTTCACATGGTTGTTTTGTGGAATGCATTTTGCCTTGGTTACGGCGCAGAGCTTCAAGGACTTCTTGCCATCGGTAAGCCTCTTCGTACCAGGCCATCCAGATTCAGAGCACTTACAGAAGCATAGATCATGGAGACGTTCGGCTTCGACACGCTAACCACGTACCTCGTCCAAGCACCTCCCTATGCAATCGCGTATGCTATATCATGCGGACTTGCCTACTCGTCAGGTTATTTCCAAGAGTCTTGCTTTCACATCATCGTCCCGATAATCTTCAGTGCCTTGGGTGCTTCACTGTTGATCGCAACCCTCAACGTTGGCGCACGTTACTTCGGGTTGATCCTGCTTATAACCGGCACGTATAGCGGACTCAATCTGCAGCTCTCATGGGAGACTACAGTGGTGCCCCATCCACGTAAGAAGAAAGCTGCACTGATCGCCATTGCAAATGCTATTTCGCAAGTCTCGCACTGGTTCAGTAAGTATTCTGAGCTTCGATGGGAGCGTTCATCTGACAGCGCAAAGGCCCACAATTTTTCCCGACATCCCAAGAGCCGTTTTATCGCCTAGGGGGTGGATTGATCCTTTTTGGCTGTCTTTTCGCCGTCATAATATGTCTGTTGGTAACTTGGCGGGCGAAAGTCCTCAACAAAAAGCTCGATGAGGCGGAAGGGTGGTCGGAGCATACGGGTAATGAACGGGGTTGGAGATATGTATACTAGGCTCAGCTCCCGCAGGAATTTACAGTTTGACGATAAGATGATTTTTTGGACCTGGTCGTTTAAGTGTTGATAGGTCACGATCCGATAGACCAGGCAGATGATTGCATAGTTCGATGCAAGCACCGGGTGATATCAGTGCGTCATACTATATCCCTCGTTTTCTTTTGCCTTGTTTCGTCCCCTTCCTTGCCTTTTGTGAATTTTTTGTGGGAGGAGAGATGCTTGCCAGATCGTTCAGTAATACAGTCACAGCTCTTTCCCACATGCTGTCGTCTTCAGACTGCTCTGAGTGAGCAAGGAACTCTGCCAATTTCAACGGCGGTTGCATACGATGGACGAGATCTCTAATCGTAGTTTTACATTTCTCCGTGACTTGATCATCTGAAGGCATGGAATTATGTACTGCTAAGCACTGAAATAAGATCCTGAGCGAGTAAAGTACGGCTTGATATTCGGCAGAAGTCTGGATATATTCCCAATCGATTCCATGTGTAGCACCTCTAAACAAATCCACCATGTTTCGTTTGGAAGGGAGTCTTCTACCTCGAGAGATCCGGGTAATGCAAACATATCTCATGCACATTAGACGCCATCGATCGTTTTGTTTGTGGCCTGGAAACAGGTGTGCTATATGCGTGGCATTTTCGATGAAAGTCTGGCAATGCTCGATAATCTCTGGCTGGGAAAGCGAATCGATATAAGTGCCACCTATCTGGTGGCCAATTCTCGAGAACTCACGAGTACCACCAGGCGTTCCATTGAGTCGAGCAATAGCGTATCCAAGCTGCCGGAAGTATCGACCAGAGTCCCAAGGCGAATGCTTATCAGGGTCATCAAGTAGCACAGGCATGTATATCCTGCAGTCCGACTGCAAGGAGTTGATCTCCGAGAAGGCCAGTCGATCAGAAGAAAATACTCCGGCATGCAGTAAATACTCCGAGACTCTGGGATCAACCATGATGTTCTCTGTGAGGTGCCTCGTCATAAAGGTTCTGCTGAACGAAGTCTCATGGCAATTATGCAAGTATGGTTGCGCAAACCTGTCTATGTCGTCTCCAACTGAATCTTGGGATAGAGCGGCGGACGCACATTGCCTGAGCGATTTGTGGCTGTCCAGGGTAAACTGAAATGCAACCTGAGTCATTGCGGTAACACCAAGTTCACGTGTAATGCCTCGAGGTATGAAGCATGGGACACTGAACATCGCTCCAGACTCATCTGTCGGCATGTGCACTCCAAGGTCATTCAGAAAAACTACAGTTCCGTCGCCAATATCGTGAATAATGAGATCTGAGTCTGACGTAATGACTATCCCACCAGTAGAGTGCGCCAGCGTTGCACAATGATCATCAGCTTCGCCATCAACAAGTGACACCATGTTCTGATATTTGCTCAGCAGCAACGCCTCTATCACCGCCGGCACCAAGAATGGTAGGGGTGGGAAAGTGCCGAGAGCCCATGCGCGCGTATGGATGTTCTGCTTTGCCTTGAAGGATATCAGGCGATTCAAGCTGCTTGTAAGTCGATCGAGACGTTCTTTACGCTTCGATATTGGTAGACCGCCATCAAAATAGATTGCCTTACTAACAATTGTCAGTATAGAGAGACTGGATTAGGGCCGAAATGTCAAAGCATTCAAATAATGGAGTCTACTCTATTTTGACGTCAACATACACCTGCCCATTGTAAGCTTCCAACTTCGACAGCCAATCTACAGTAGCTTCCCCGATCGCATGGTAAGTGAGTGTAGAGGCGAATGTGTTTGTCGCCCCACTCGCTAAAATCTCTTGGGAGAAGATGAAATGCGCCAATGCAGGTCCATCAATGATGAGTTGTTTTGGCTTGTCGTCATTCGTAATTTCGAATTGTAGAGACGTCGCATAGGGCTGTACCTTGGATAGAAAGCCAGGTATACCCATATTGAGAGGCCTCTGGTCCTTGGCTGAGAGCTGACGCGATCATCAATATTAGAGTCTAGAAATGCGAATACGGCTGATGCTCGGCGAGCTTGTTCAATTTCTGCTTGTGATTGGCCACAGATTTTTAGCTCCACAAGTGGGGACTAAGCTCCGGAAGTGAATGATTTACGAGTCGGCACACATCAACATCAACAACTTCGGATGGCGTCACAAACCGAAAATATACTCACATAAGAGGCGAACGGATATATGAAGGAGTGATACCCTCCTTGACATGAGAGTCATAACGTATAGTAGGCTGATCATCATGTTGGTGTACTCTTTTCAACAGTCCCATCCCAGACTGACGAGTGTCCAAGTCCTCTTCATAGATACAAAATAGCTATGTTGGCTCCCCGGAAGGGCCCTGCATGACAGTCCCGAGTGGTTCAGGACTCCCAAATATTGGTTGCCCATTCCTATCCCACTTAACAATCTTCGCCATCGTGTATCGCGACCGGTCGCATGCGCCATTGCTATTCGCCGTGGCATGATATACATTCCATATCTGAGTTCCGTCTGGACTCTGGAAGAAGCTATGAATCATTATCAGCATATGTTCTCAGATCCTCAAAAGCCTAGAAAAAAGTATAGCTTACCCATTATGACCCGGCCCAAAATTCCCATTCGCACTTTGCAAGAATGGCCCAGTCTTTGTCCAGCTCGCCTTCTTAAGCGGATCCCCGCCAACATAAGTCAATACGCCCAGCTGGTAACTGCTTGTCCCACAGTAGCTCGCGGAGAAGCTCAGAAACGTCTTGCCCTTGTGGTACATAGCAGCTGGACCCTCATTCACGCCGAACCCAACAGTCTCCCAATCTGCTTCTGGTAACGACAGCTCATGCGTCTCACCCAGCGTACCAGGCTCGAGCAATTCTGCAATACAGAGGCCTTGGAGGTCGGATGTAATACATGACCATACGAAATAGAGCTGATCTGGGAAACGAAGGACCGTACCGTCGATGCCAAACTCCGAGGTCAGCGTCGACAGATATGTATATGTGTCGAACGGGGTGGCACCGCCAATGAGTACGTGCGGGCGCTGTGTGTCACAGCATGTAGTGCAGAAGCCAGCGCTAAAGTAGAGATACCATCTAGATGACACATTAGTACGACTTGAACGTCTGTCTGTGCAAGAGGCGAAATATTACCGGCCGTGGATATAGTGCAGCTCTGGCGCCCATAACTCGCAGCTGCGCGACGGGTCGTCGGGGGTGAAGACGGTGCGTGTCTCGCCATCCTTGAGTCCCTCGAGAGTGGTAGCCCGTGTAATCTGGACGTTGCTATATGTGGTCGTGGTCAGATAATAGTAGCCATCGAAGACGACTATGTGTGGATCACTCCCTAAGTCAGGTTTCAGGGGATCAGAGTAGTTTGCTGCGAAGACGAGGGAGATGGCGGATAGGCATATCGCCGAGAGTAAAGTAAGAAGTCTCATATCTTACAAGAGAGAAATTGAGATTTACTTGTTGTGGTCTTCCAATATGCCTTCTCTCGAGCTTCTCATATGCTTACTGTCACGAGAAAACTAGACATTGGACTAAGTGATCTTGGCATGAAATTTTCGGTTATTAGGGAATGATCATCTTCAATCGGGATACAGTAAGTAAAGCGAAGTCAGAAGATGATTCCAATGTTCATGATACCAAAGTTTCATCAGTTTGTGCAATATGCCGAGCACACCAAGATCTTGGAGATGATGGAGACTCCACATTACGAATAATGAATGACACAGGGGTGGGCCTCTCATGATATTCTTTTGTTTTCCTTGCTTGTATCAAGCCCTAATTGAAGTAGTTGGGTGAATTTCCTACCCCGCAAAATGCTAAAAGGGCTTGTTGCTCTTTCTTGGCAGCCCGCCGGATGCAATGTCGATCCATCCTTGAGTATAGACAATACCGGCTAAGTTGCGAACAGCATCTTCAAGTCGCGTGGTCCTAATAACGGATCATGCCTCCAAGCTCCCGTGAACAACATCCCTGCTTGGTGTGCACGGCAATCAATCCTTTGCAAACCCACCGGAACCTCACTATTACTAGACCAATCGTCCCGAACGCTTCCCCGGATTTCGGCCTATCAAGTTCCGGATCTAGTAATGGCGCATCGCCTTCACCTGGGGTCCTGTTTAAGTTCGCAACGGGCCTGCATCTGATTCTTAGCGTAACATCTGGGAGGGTATGTCATAATCCTGGGCTCACGTCATGTGAACGATGTCGCCTGATGGTAAGTTTTATCCATATAGTGCTCGGGCGAACCATACACTTGCAGCCGTCTTGGCAGTTCGATTGTTATACCTCACTCCTTTCTGACTTGGGAGCACGAGATTGGGAAGAGAATTCGTCCTATAAGCAAGGATCGTGTAAGATTTTCCCAATTTTGACAAGAGATACCTGGAGGCCTTCGCGAGACTTTGGTACCTGATCTGCTCTCACTACCGAGCGCGGCATATGGAAGTGGAGAGACATCGTTTTCTGCGTATATATGATCGTCATACCTATGCCTATAACCTCACATAGGAGTCACTGAACCGTTCTTCCTTTCTTTACTCACAAATTCCACCGCAATGCATCTCTCCACATGTCTTCTCGCAGCCGCCACACTCAACTTCGCCATCGCTCTTCCTTCTAACCTCGAACACCGGAATGACAAGGTCGGCTACCTCTTCACCCACTTTCCCCCTGATGATGAAGCAATCCACATGCTCCTCTCAGACGGCAACAATGCCCAGACCGGCTGGAAGACGCTCTCCTATGATGGAACCTCTAACACCTCCGCCATCCTGCGTAGCGACGTTGGCACTAAAGGCGTACGCGACAGTCATATCGTCACATCTCCTGATGGATGCAAGCACTACCTCATTGCCACGGACCTAAACGCCGAGGCCCTTAATTACGACTACAACTACGCCAGCCGCTTTGGCAGTTTGTCCATTGTCGTCTGGGAGTCCCCGTAAGCCTGTTCCTTCCCATTCTCCGGCTTGCAAAGCCCGGCCCTCCTAACGCTGTGATAGTGATCTCATCAACTGGTCCTCCGCACGCCTCACTCCGCCCCTTGTCGACGCATCCGCCGGAAACGTCTGGGCACCCGAAGCAAACTGGGACTCTCAACTCCAGGCCTACATCATCGTCTTCGCTGCCCGCTACTGGTCCGCGTCTGACCCGGATCGAACTGGCGCACAACCGCCCAACATCCTGCAGTACGTCACAACAACCGACTTCCGGACCTTCTCCGCGCCAACAGAGTATTTTGCACCAGGTTATCCCGTTATCGACGCCACGTTTCTCCACGTACCAGAGCAAGGCCCGGATGTGTGGTATCGCTGGGTGAAGTCCGAGGTCGACTACATGGTGTTTCAACAGCGGAGCGAGGACGGGATCCGAGGGACGTGGACGAATGTGGGTGGAGCACCGGATTCGGAACGGATCGAGTTTGCGAGACAGTATTCGAACAATGAGGGGCCGCTGATCTTCAGAGATAATGTTGATCCGGGTTTATTTCATCTTTGGATTGATGAGAGTACTTTGGACAGCTACATCCCAGGGCAAGCAAGAACCCTGGATGACATGGCGGCGTGGGAAGGGCTAGGGTTGGATGGATTCCCGACGCGGGCAAAGCATGGTGTTGTGGTGGCGTTGAATCGGGAGCAGTATCGTGGAATTAGCACAAAGTACAAGGTAGTTGCGTGAAGAAGGCGGTGCGATAGAAAGATATCATCTTGAAAAGGATTGGGAACAGACGTTACGGTAATGATCAACCATATCTCAAACAAAATAATTGGATCCATGGCTCTCTGATGGTCATATCGTGATGGTTGTGAGCCGTCTGAAGTAACAATGCAATGTAGAGAATATAATGACAAACAGTGCGTGAGTATCGATATTGCACTTTAAGAGCTAGTCCAATAGCATTGTGCAGATACGGAACTTGTACAACAATATGGCAGTCTTGCTTTGTTACTCCGTCGCAGGGGAGATGCATGACTACTAATGGTTGTTGTAGCGTGTTGTATAGGATCTTAAGCATTGATCCATGAGATATCTACGAGATACAGATGTCGGAGTGTTATGATGCTCATGAGCTTTGAGCTATATCGAAAGTCCGGTAAGTGGAAGCTGCGAACTGGGGGCATCTACATAGAGTATGAGGGTGATGGTGACTGGCGAACGTGTGTTCTTGCCCCCAAACATATTCCTCTGTCGACGACTCCCTCAACGATATTGCAAGTATTCATTTGAGTCTGAGGATGATGTCCCGGTGCCATCAGATGGCATGATCGCCATGGAGGCCGACACCAGTCCATCGAAGAAGAGGTTCGACGCAATCAGAGCCAAGTGGGAGAAGGTCGCAACACCGAAGCAAGAAAACCTCCAGTCGAACAAAGGAACAACAGCGCACATGTTCAACATGAAACGTCTGCCGCAGTCTTTGTCCGAGCCCAATCTCCCCAAACAACAACAACAGCAACAACAACAAGATACGGAGCCACTACAGAGCCGAATAAAGCGTTTCACCTCCATTGCTAACTTAACCACGCCTCTGTCCGCCATCACTTCACGCGCCCGTCGACGCGACCCACAGCTTCTTCTCCCTCCATCCTCCCAATCGTCGAACCCCAATCAGTGTGCCTCTTCGACCGCGATCGTGATCCGCCAGTCGCCCGTCAAAGCAAAGATCCACGATGCCGAAGCCATGATTTCTTCACCCAAAAAGCACCAGAATACGCTGCCGAGGAGTGCTACGACGAGCAACCTCCCCGTGCTTGCAAGATCGCGTCCTGTCTCAGGCACGTCCTTGAGCTCTTCGCTCCGCTCAGCCAACGCACCTCTCCCACAAAGCAGGATTCCAACACCAGGCCAAAATGCAATCGACCAGCGCAGTGCCAAGTTGGCCGCAGCTGGCAAAGCTCTCGCCAGTATTGCCAATCCCCCAGACTTGACCCGATCTCTGACACAGCCCATGTTCCCATCCATGGCGATGCCTTCTCGTTTCATAACTCCGAGACCTGAGAGCTCGCGAAGGGAACAGCCATCTGGCACGTCATTGAGAGGAGGTGGCGGTAGCATGAGACGAACCTCCTCGTACCTCAAGAGAGACAAGGTGGATACGCTTGGTCAGATCAAGGAATCGTCAGACATGTCGGGAGGCACCGAAGATGACAAGAAAGACAAAGCAAAAGATAAAGAAAAGCTTAGTAGAAATTCTGAAGAGAAGGACAAGACCATGCATGCCAATGGGTCGCGCCACGTCAAATCACCGCCATCAAACGAGCAAACACCGAAAGCAAAGTACCACCTCATCCCGCAGCAGAACGGCAGAGATAAAGGTAGAAAGCACAACTCTCTTACCGTACCGCAATTGAGAACCCCACGGGCGATTACAATTGATACAAAGAACGACCTAGCATTGGTCCCCGTGACGGCCAAGAAGCTGCAAGTACCTTCTGGCATGATGAGGCATGCTTCGGTCCATGATATGATAGCCCAACCTACCCTTACCAATGTTTCCAAGCCCGAACTACCACGCAGCCATACTTTTAGCGGTATCAATAATTTCTTCAAGAGCTCCCGCGACAGTATAGGAAGCATGGCGAGCATTACTGCGCGACGGCGTTCCGACTCGAGACCCAGAAACTGTCTTGCTGGAGCGGAGGATCTCGACGTGGAAAATATTCCTCGAGAGGTGAGTGGTCTTATTTTTACTTCCGTCTAGACAACCACGAATCCTCCTATCCCATTCTTACGGCGCGCTTGTTCTTTCACTCTCTCTCTACTAAGCCCTTAACATCTATGCCCTTTTTCCTACTGCTCGTCAAATCTGACCATATTTCCCATCTCAGGTACATAAATCAGAGGACAACGGATACTGGTGCGGCCGCCTGTGTACCATAGACAATCGTCTCCGCGACGAAGGCACAATGTATTCCCACCGCCACGCCGCCCGTGACGACGACGCACGTCTCCGCAAAGCCTTCCGCGAGCTCAAGGGGCTGTGTAAGACCGAAGAAGCAACTTCTAGCCTACGGGTATGTACATAATCAGCTACCCAGTTCTCTTCTTTTTATGATTTGAGTTGAGGCCAAAGATTAATCTTGGAAATGCAGCGCTACATGCATCGCTACGCCACCACGCAGCAGAACATGACCTGGGTTATGCAGGAGTTGCCCCGGGAACCGAAAAGAACGCCCATCAGGGACGCTGATCGAGGATCTTTCGGTTCGTTTGGCAGTGTTGGTGGAGGTGGCCGTACGCCGAGTGTAAGGATTGGACTTAGGCATTTGTTCGGTAGGAATGGAAGTAAGGGACAGCCGGCGTAATGTGCGAGCAGGAAAGCTTATTGCAGCTACGGGCCGAGTAGTAAGAGTGGTATTGCATGGCGTGGTATGACGGTGGAGATACGGAAGGGAAGACAGATGTATGGCGTACCGGGGCGGGGGAGTTCAATTGCCAATGTTCTGCATTATTTGGCGAGTCGAATGTGCGCGGCCTTGCGCGAACAAAAAGTATGTGTCAAGAGGATCGATAAGACATTCTACTTTTGTATGTCTGAGGTGGTTGGTTTCAAGATGCTACAAAAGAGCAGCTGGTCGGGGTGTTAGCCAGACAGGAAGCTCACATAACGCCGTGTAAATGCCCACGTAAAAAACGCCGTCTCTGCACGTCCCATACCCGCGAGTTCTAAACTTTTGTCATCATCTCCATCATTTTCCTGCTCCTTGGCTGTGAACATGCCATCTCCACTTCAATCCTTTCCTTTCTTGACAGCAGCAGCTTTATTGGTCATGTACGTCTTCATCTGTTCAATGCGATTCACAAAAAACACCCTCTTGACATCGTTCTTCCATACCAAGACACCGAGATTTCCGGCGTACGCCACCGCGTCCGCATACTCGTCCTTGCTCCCAAACTCCTTGAGCAAGTATCCATGAGTGGCCTTCATCCGATCCCCCTCGATTTGCCATAGGCGGATCTGATCAACGACTGTAGGAGGCAGGACTGGATTGCTCTTCGCCATCTGTGGGTGCGCGTGCGTGGCCAGATAGCTGATGATCTGATCGGACGTGATGCCATACCCGATAGCTCGTTGCACGGATGATTTCGTGAGTTGGCCGGCGACGAGGTTAGGGTAACGGGTTTTGAGTTTGGTGAAGAGATTGAGCACGGCGATTTGGAGGACCGAGGAGGTGTAGGCGTAGAGACGGTAGTTGGTTTCGATTATGATGTAGCCTTTGCCGGCGGCTGGGGCGCTGGTCGGGGTGGAGGATAGGGACGTGTTGGAAAGGGCGGAGCCGTCCGATGTGAGGGTTGTGGCAAGTCGAGTTGGGTAGAAGACTGGGGAGGAGGGCGACGGCCGGTATACGATGCCGAAGTCGTTGAGATCGTCCAGCATATGTTTTTGAGTGGGCGTCAGGTTCTCTGCAGAGTAGTCTTGCCCGAGTTCGAGAGAGCCCAGCATGAAGAGAAAAGAAATGATATCGACGTGTTCCATTTGTAGCGATTTAGCGTTGTTCAAATATACGACAAGTAAAGACCAAATCTGTGCATTGACTTCTTGAAGTAAGAAGGTAAAGCCGACCTGGGTTATTGAGACGCGACTGTTCTTATTTGTTACAAAGTTGCCGGTGCTGAGAAGAATTTTCGTGCCGGTGCTGATTTCTGCGGCTGAGCGAAGACCTGCGCCGGTGCTGGCGACCATGTAGTAGAGGATTGCTTCCCACTGCTGGCGAGCATAATCATCGAGGAATGTTATATCCTTTTTCTCTGTCTCAGGCGTGTTGCACGGTATGCCGAATGACCTGTGGTTTCCGCCGCCTGTTAACGCTTGCCGCAGCGATTTTGCGAAGATCGGGGAGAGGCGGTAGACAGGTTTGGAGGGGATTTCTTGGTCGATGGACAGGATGTGTAGCCCCTGGAGGAGAGTGACAGCCTGTTCCTTTTCCCTTTACTTTTTGTCAGTCGTGGCCTGTAGTGGTAGCTGATATCACTTACGCCTTGGCGTCCGGACGTATCCAAGCATCAAGATCTGTAGCGGCGAGCGGACCTGGCATGTACAGCATAGCGGCGACAATAGTCTTTGCTACAAACAGCGCATTAGCAAGTGATAAGAGCACCATGAAGCCTTTACCAACCTAAGTGCGGCAGCAATCGTCGAAAGACAGCTAGGACAGTGCTCGGCAGCTGGTACAATTTCTTGTGGTCGACGCCGGGCAGACTCTCCAGGTAGTCCAGAGCCTGGGTTGATGACGCCGACATCGTGAAAAGATGTAGGGTCGTAACAGGTATATCGTCACCTAAGTATCATTGTAATGTGGATAAGACGCGTACAAGTAAAATCTGCTACGCGCGATTGTGAAGTGAGGCAGAGGTATTGAAGTCCGAACGTTAGAGAAGGCTGCTCTGATGTCAATGGATCAAGAACTCCACAATGTCTTGGCACTATCTATGCTAAGCCCTTTAGGGCTGAACCCAGTGTCGACGTTTCGGAACAGGCTGTGATCTTAATTCCTCTCATCTTTACAAAAAGCTAGCCATGGCATCTCTGAAGTTTGTTCGCTCGGTGGGTGAAATCGATCTAAGCTTTGGAGCACTGAACTAATGAGTCAGGTATGGGAATCGTTCAGGGCGAATTCCGGACTTGAACCAAGGTACCTCGGTCAAGATCAATATACTTACCTGTTTGTACATATACTCACAAGATGATCATGCAATAGGCTTCTTGATGAGGTATCTAGGGTATCCTACCAATATGGGTCTGCCAATGTTAATCTCTATCAAAGCTGAAAATAATCTCTGCCGTTCCTGGTTGCGTGAACTTTGAACTTCCGATTCAGAAGCAACACACCGTATGTATCTATTTCTTCACAGCACTGTAACCAATGGTCATTGGCTAAGTAATATAGAATAGGCTAAACATCCTGCATGGTGGAACCATAGCAAGCATGGGTGCGTCTCGTATTATTACGTCTACCACGCCTCTAACACACACACATAGTTGATTTGGGTGGCTCCTTGGCTGTAGCGTCGAAGGGGCTATTCTCAACTGGCGTATCGACAGACCTGAACGGTGCGTAACAATGGCGACTTGTTCACTCACTAATTGACTTTTCGTTCAAGTTACGTACATCAAGTCGGGGGGCAAGATCGGAGACACCATCAGAGCGGTGAGATTTCGCATGCACGTATCAATCTGGTCCAATTGCTGATATCTTCACAGGAAGCCACATGTGACAAATGTAACAACACTCGGCATTGGAGCCGTCTCTGAAGCTGACTGGTGTTTTTAGTCGGAAAGACTCTAGCATTTACATCGATCCGCTTTACAAACGCACAAGACGAGCTGGTCGCTCGTGGAAGCCATACTAAGTAAGCTGCGGTTATACGATCAAATCGAATGTTGCTAATGAACCCAAGGTATATCGCACCAGCTTGGAAAGACCCAAAAAACATTACAGACGAACTTGCGCCCAAGCCAGAAGAAACACCTGGTCAGTGAACGCCTCACACGAGGCAATTCATACGTCGGAGTGTAGTACAGTATTGTCCTAAGACTCCACTAATCATGACTTGGTTTATAATTTAGACATCGATAAGCAATGTCGAGTACTTACATACATAACTGGGTATCTAAGGACCCATGTTCGTCCACTCCTTCTCTTTCGCTCACTACCTATTCCAATGCCCATTCCTTCTGCTTGCCTATACGCAGTCGCCCAACCATGCAATGGTATTCCTACATTGATGATCAAATTGTGCTTGACCCTCCTTTTGCCCTTGATTTAGGCTCGCAGTATCTTCCAAGAAAGTATTCGCCACACTAACGCCTCCGCCGCCGATGTCTTGGCTCAGGTGAAACGCAAAAAGATCTAGTGTTTTTCATGCATTCCTCCTAAGATTGAAGCGCTCCGTTACTCGCGGCTTGCTCAGCGGCGACAGCAGCAAAAATAGCATCAGCTTGGTGCACTGCACCCTGGAGGACTTGTTGCTCCTCAGGAGACAGGTTCTTCGTCAAAGATTCGTACATCTGTGGCTCTCTCGATTGCAATTCTATTAGATATTAGCAGGCCGTTGATTATGTCAGGGAAGACAGCATCTGTACCTATGAGAGAACTTTTTAGCATGCTGTATGGCTCTAGCTTATCGAGCGGTGTCTCGAGCAAGCTCTCCTCCTCCAAGTCATCGTCATCCTCAATGGAAGAAAACTTCTGGGCCTCCTCATTCAAGAAATCCAGATAGGCGGTACTTTCATCTTTGACATCGTCGCCTTCGTCTTCGCCTTCCCATTCCTCGACTTCCCACTCCTCGTCATCCTCCTCCTCGTCGTCATCGTAGCTGCCAGCAAAGTCTTCTCTCTTCGCCTCTTCACGATCTGCTCAGGGGTTAGCATATATGACAAAATCTGTTGCAGGAAAAACTTGCTTTTTAGTGCGGCAGGGAGGGTTTGAAACAACCGGACGAGGCCCTGTAGCAGTCGCGACCACCCTGGTTGAATTGTGACAGGTACTTCCTCCCCTCTCAATGAGAGGAGCAGTGTTATCGCAGCAATAGAAAGCTTCTTGTCGTGAACTCGGGTGAAACTGTCCATATTCGCAAACCATTGACTGAAGAATTTGTTGGTCCACTGGTTCGCCTCAAGGATCTGGAGAGTAAGCCTTGGGTTGTAGTAGACGGCGTTGATGACCATTTCCATGAGATGAACTCGGACGGACTTGACTTTGGGCTCATCGTTGTTAAGTTTCCCCATAGCAAGGCTGATGAACTCTGGAATGCATGCATCAATACTGCCACGAAGAGAGAGCATGAGGTTCTCGGCGAGCTTGCACCCGCATATTCGCTCAACACCCCCGACTTTGTCGTCTTTAAAGATAGTCCGGATGATGTCTACAATAGCTTCGAGATATGGGGGATTCTGTCTGAGTGCTTCGTGACCAAAGCTAACAAAGTTCTCCAGTGCTGGTAGCATATCTTCGAGATAGAGCTCAGCCCCTGCTTTAAAGGTCTTGTGAATGAGCTCAAATGCCTGCCACATTGTAGGTGAGATGCTCTTTGCTGCGAATGTACAGCTGTCGATTATCTCGAAGACTTCATTGTATAGGTCATAAAGCTTATTTTCGAGCGTGATCGTGATGACAGGCATTAAGACAACTTCAAGGTGTAGGAGCACGTCTGGCGTACTCTCCAAGGTAAGGATAAGAGTTCCGATGGTCTGAAGCACTCCCAATGCATTGATGCTCTTATCATCCAGGTACTCACCATTCTCGTCGTCATTGCCTCTTTCGATAACAACCCTAGCGAGACGGAGGTAGGTATCGCGAAGCTGTTCACTTAAAGCCACAGCGAATGGGGTTAGTTCGTTAGCGAAAACCTCCACAAAGTCTTCCATGACATTCGCTAATGCATCGACATCGACCTCGTTGGCGAGTTTCAAGAGTTGCTGCATGACCTGGGGAATGTTATGTTGCATAGCCTGCCGAATGAGGTCATGTCTGATAAGAGGCTGAAGTGCCAAGGCAGCCTCGACACGTACAGGAAGATCCGGGTCCGCCATACATTCAAGTATGTTCTTGTAGATAGTCACGAGATTATTCTCATCCTTGAACTCTAGTTGCTCAAACCTTTCCAGTGTATCGCATGCGCGGGCGCGAAGGAAACCATGTTCGCTGTGGAATTCCGGAAACACATGCCTGACGAAGAAGTATTCCATCTGGTCCGCAATAGGACTCTTTTTCCCAAGAAGAACTGTGGACAAAGATCCAACCATTCTAAGAGCTCCTTCTTTCTGTCTTGGGTTCCTTGCCTCTACTGGTGTTGTCTCCCATTGGTTCATGATGTTATTCACAAAGCTTAGCACCGTATATGTCTGCTTCCTTCGATTCTTGGTGAGGGTGGTAAGGAAGGTCGTTGCGGCGGCATCGGGTGCGGTCAGTTCCTCGTAGAAATTTAATCTCCGGTGAAGGTACTCCTGTGGATCAGATTCGAACAATTCAAGGTCCTCGTCCGACTGGCAGAGTACCGGAAACACAAGGTGAGCTATCAAAGTTTCCGTGTGTGGCTTCAGAAGAGCCCACATCGCTTTGGGCTTGACACATTCATCCAGAAAAGTCAAAGTAAAAGACAGACATGGTTTGCTCAGCCAAATGGTTTTAGCAACCCATTTCTCGATCTGCTGTAGATAAACTTTGAAGATCTCCGGGGCAAAAACTGCGCTAAAGTTCTTAGCTACTTCAGCATAGTCGGCTTCGTTGTTTTTGCCGAGACTTTGCGGGTTGCCGTATCTAGTGGCGTCTGTCAGTCAAGCCCAAAGTAACCGGAGCGGACGTCTTACCTCATATACAGCCTGTTCAAATTAGCGTACGCCCATTTTTTAGATCTCCACCAGTGATTATTTTCTCTGTCTTCAGTATCTTCTGGCATCGCCATCGTCTGCAAGTCTTTGCCGACAACGTTGATGAAAAGTGTGCACCAGTTGATCATGGTTTGCTGTTCACGTAAGCAAACTGGGAGTTCGTACTGTGCGGGATCAGCATATCTTCCAAATGTCATTCGTGCGCTCATACTTACGTATATTGCCTGCTTGTAGACTTTGAGAACTGTGTGGAGCATATCGCCGGCCTCGGGCGTAGTCTGGTTCAAGACACCGTTTCCGATATTCAGGAGTTGAGGGAATGTCATTTCAACAATCTTGTCGAATTCAGCTCTTGCTTCCCCTCCCTTGTAACGGTATATTCGGCAGAGGGCGAGGAGACATTGAACACCTGCAAAGACCGAATTTTCATCGCCGGCGTTCAGTAGATTGATGGTCAGCTCTAGATAGCTCGGCCATTTCGAGGGAAAGTCGGATGCGAGTATTTTTTGAAGCGTAGGCGTAAGCTGAGCGCGGATAGAGGACGGAGAGGCAGCGAGGATGGGCACTAGGCGGTTTCTGAAAACGGCCTTCTCTTCCTCAGGTATCGGCTTTGCTTGCGTGAATTCTTCATCCGACCAGCCCTTCTGAACGCGATTTTTGGCATATAGGACAGCTACGCGGCCAGTCAGCGTGCCAATTTTCCCGAAAAGCTGGATGAACTTGTCGGGATCACATACTAGCTAGTCTCACAGCGTGAACTTGCTCGGACTCCAAAATGTTCAAGAGCGCGTCGGTGAAGCCAGGTTGCTCCTCTGCCTACGCACATTGTGAGTTCAAAGGCAATGGAGTGGAGTACTGGCTACCATACACGTTTAAGATCAAGCTCTGCTTTCCTTCGCGTATCGATGTCAGCCTCCAGAGTCAACTGGATGCAGGCCCTAAGTGCTGTGACGTCCATCTTGGTACCGTTTGAGGAGCTCTTGAGGGTTTGCCAGGACTAAACACGTGGGGTCGCCAGGATCGCGAAGCTTGCACAGACGGTGCTACAGGCACACGATCGATGTACAGGGCAGGATGATCTGCAGAAAGGACTTAAAGTGAAGCAGTTTGTATCTAAGCGAAGGGAAGAGTTTTGGGCATGTATGTACGGAGGGGTGTGGGAATTTTTGTTCGTGATGGTTGGCCGAGGGGTGGAATGTACTAGTGCTGTGGGCCTCCTTTTAGCTAGGGCCGGCCTGCTTAGATAGCGCGACATGGCCTGCCACCTATCAATCATCATAGCTAGCTGAGAGTCTGTGTGAGCTGTCAACACTCTCTTCGGTGGAACACATGCACAACGCTGTGAATTGCTCCACCACTCCACTGGCTGGCTACAAGACACACGGTATCACCATCCAGACGACGTGTTTCTTCAACAGTCAAGCACAACGGGATCGATCGTATGACGTGCGTTCGCGCTCTGCTGTGATGCGATCGCTGACTGACACCGGCGCACTTTGCTTTGTATGTACTATGTACGTACAGAACAGAATGTCATACGACACTCTCAGTATTGCCTCCCTATCAACAACGGCAAGTAAAGCGCCGCTTGTCGTCAGTCAGGCCAGCCTACATGTATAAAGATGCCACTGCGCATACGTCTCGCTTGATCATCTCCTGCGCTGTCTGCATCTTGGTAAACAGCTCTGGATCGCCAATGATGCGTGCCGCATTCTTCACCTCGCGACAAGTCTCATCCAACCTCGTGATGACACGAACAATAGTCCCTTCCATGACGTCTGTCAAATCCGTGATACGGTTGAAGGACATGCCGCGCGCCCATTCGTAGACGACTTCGACCATTCCAAACCGTGGCTTGCTAACAAAGTCGTTCGAATCGTCAGAGGATAGAATGACCTGATGGAGTGTCTGAATCTGATTGACCTTTTCCGATATCTCCACAATCTTTGCCTGTCCCTCTTCCAGCCTGGACGTCAAAGTCGGAGTGGCGTCCGTTTTCTCTTGGAAGACGAATGCTGAAAGCAGCGCAACAATCTCCTCAGGCTCATATTCTGACAACACATTTTCGAGGATAAGTTCGGTCAATACCAATTCGTCGGCAGAATGGATCTAGGCATATCAGTAAGACAGTGCGCTTGTATCAGAGTAGGACACATACTTCACATGCAACTTTCCCTTTTAGCTCGACTCGCGACTTGTCGTCAATGAAGCCTAGGTCCTTTAAGACGGAGAGGCGCTGTTCATAATCTGGAAGCAATTGTAGATTCTGATCCGACATCAGTTGCTTGAGCTGCGTTATGGACTCTTTGATTATCCATTCGTTATGTTGCATGGTAAACTGCTTTCATCAGTATAGGACTAGTACGAAGGTATGTTGCAAGGCTCACGTGTTCTACAAATTTCGGGCACTGCAAGCATGCTCGGTGCTGTGCGGTTTCCGCCTCCTGTTTACGAGCTTCTAGGATGTTCTGAAAAGACAGATCCTTGATTTTAGTCCAGTCTAGCTCATTCCAGTCAGAGAAATCCCAAGACTTGCACACAGGAACGAATTGGTCTTTGGCGACTTCAAGCGCGCCTACGTTAAACATTAGTATCATAGCTCGTTGCCAGCGAGCTCGTAATACTAAACACTCACCTTTACGATCGTTGAGGGATTTGAGCGGAGCGACTACTTTTATGGCTGTGCTAGTCACACATTCCACGTCCGCAAGATCGACAAAGACAGGCTCTAGGCTCATATCTTCCACGGTATGAGGCAGAGGAGCAAAAAACTTGCCAAAGTCTGCCAGGTATGGCAATGCATCACTGATATGCTTTCCTCCTTGGGAGGATGCTATCTCCAGGACGCATAAAGCTCCGGTACCCTTATTGATCCCGTCGCGTATTAGCATGCCTGCGGTCCGTACACCAGCCTGTGATATATTAGCAACTTTTGGGGAGACATGAATGGGTTCGGCAGTCAGAAACCTTTTTGTAAACTATCAGTCTCCTTGCAGTGAACCACTTTCTTCCAAGAGGAGATGCTAATGCTGCAAGAAGGAGATCATTTGTTAACCGTTTCCAATTTATACAAGCTTGGTGGCACTGCTCGAGATCAATGTCGCAAATCTCGCAAGGCTCTCGTTTGATTTTGGCCAGGTCAGCCTCGGACAGCTTCACTTTCTTCTCGTGCTCTGGTAACAGGGTTTGTGTAGCGTTCTCACTGAAACTGCGCTTAATCATTTCCTCGATCTTCAAAGCCTCGACACGGAGAAGATTTAGAATCATGTTGTATGTCAACCGAAACTGCGATCGTAGCTTTGTCGGATCGCCTAGCATCATCTGCCGAAGTCTGGCTATTGGCGGTGCTTCATCTGCTCCAGGAGCAACGATAATGACTGAGCCAACCGGGTCAAGGCCTCTTCGTCCAGCTCTCCCAGCCATTTGGGTGTATTCGCCAGGAAGTAGGTCTCTAAACGCTCTACCATCATGTTTACGAAAGCCAGAGAAGACGACAGTCCTGGTGGGCAGATTGAGACCCATGGCGAAAGTCTCTGTTGCGAACAAAACTTTCACGAGGGACTTTGCAAATAGGATTTCAACCACCTCCTTAACAATAGGTAGCATACCACCATGGTGGACAGCGATGCCACGCCCAAGAAGCTCTCTTAGCCGTCGAATTTGTGGGAGAGTCCGGTCTTCCGGTTTCAGTCGAGCGATAGATTTCTCGATAATCATATGTACAGCGCTCTTTTCTTTGGCATTGCAATAGTCCTGGTTCGAGAGAGCATCGGCATTCTCTTCACATCGCTTCTTCGAGAAGACAAAGATACAGCATGGAAGTAACTGCTCGTTCCGAAGATGATTGACTAGATGGACCCAGATCGTGCGGTCCTGTGCAGCCGTTGTACGCCCGCCGCCTCGCCCTGTTCGAGCTATGTTTCCTCTACCACGCTGCGCAGGTGCTTGACCCCGTCCACGTTGCTGAGGGCCACCCCTTAGTGAACCACCCCGTTGAGCACCACCTCTTTGTTGTCCACCACGACCACCTCGTTGATTACCACCGCCTCTTGGGCCTTCAGGTTCTGGAGGGGGGGCTTTGATTTTATCTTTGCCTGATAGTGCATCGTTCGCATCCTTCCAGCCTTTCTCGATAAATCTTTTTTCGGCATCAACGATCTTATGCATAGCCTTGTTCGCCCACAGGAAGTGCTCCAAAGGCACAGGCCGCTTTGACGTCGAAATAACGTATATGTCCTTCTTTTTCGTTCTTCCTACCCACGAGGCAAATTCATATGTGTTAGGCACTGTTGCGGAAAGTAGAATGAGAGTAACGTGCTCGGGAAGCATGATGATGACCTCTTCCCACACGACTCCACGCTCGAGGTCGTTTACATAATGGACCTCGTCAAATATCACAAATTCGACGTCACGGATAAGATCTGCACCACGGTAGAGCATACTTCGCAGGATCTCAGTCGTCATGATCAGACAGCTTGCTTCAGGTCTGATCTGCACATCACCAGTCAGGATTCCGACGTCATCGAACTCGTTGCGAAAGTCTCGGAATTTCTGGTTACTGAGCGCCTTGATTGGCGAAGTATAGATAGCTTTGGTCATGTGCTTTGCTGCTAGTGCAATTGCATATTCAGCGACCACAGTCTTGCCCGCAGACGTGTGAGCAGCCACAAAGACGGAGTCTCCATTCTCCAAATGATAGACGGCCTCCTTTTGGAACGTGTCGAGTTCGAAAGGCCACTCTCTTGCCATGTCTGGGACGAGGTCTCGAAAGTTGGCAATGCCGCGATTGATATCGACCATATGAGCCCACTGTCGACCTCCTCTCTTGGACGAGGCTGTTGCTAGCTGACCGTGGGGAGCAAGGGATGGGAACTCCACGGGCAATAGAGCATCAATGTCGTCTTCGCTTTCACTTTTATCGTGATCTTCGGAGCCGCTTTCTTTGTTTGCATCGCGAGACCCGTGCGGTCTCTTTGAAACGACATCATCGGCATCATACTCCTCCGTCGTCTCCTCTAAAGTCTGCTCTACTTCAGCCGCGGTAGCATCATCTGCTTCCTTTCTTAGTTCAACCTTAAGGCCTCTCGAAAAGCCAGGAGGAATCTCCAAAAGGCCGCCCTCAACTCCAAATTCAATGATACGATCTAGACCACCGGCTTGCACCCTTGTCTTTCCGGCTTGTTGCTTAGATATTGCGTCGTCTTCTATAGCTTGTATTGATTCGACGTCATCTAGTCCGCCTGGTGCGAAGGGAAAGAAACCTGCTGCCCCACGAACAAATTCTGCTCTGTTGGCAGGTTTCCTGAGCAGTGATGTTGAGTTCTTCGCAGTGGCACTGCCAGCAGGAACTGTGATCTCCTTATAGCCAGTCACACGACCTTCGAGTCCTTCGCGTGTGAACCGAGTGATTGTTCTCGTCTGCGTTGGTGCGATCTCGAAGAGGTTGGTATAGTTGGCTGGAGTTTCCCACCTGTGCTGGAGCTTGTTGAGCCACTGCGTACTGAATGACGTTGAAGGGGTAAGGAATTCAGTTTGAAGCTCAGATTTGAGCTGTTCTTCACTTCTTCTGGCGCGTTTGCATGGGCGTTGTTCATGAAGAATCGTGTCTATGAAGGCGTCGTCCTCTGTCTCCAGTGCTTCCGCGACTAGATGCACTTTATGAAATGCATCAACCAAGTCTTCCATCCTGTCAATCATAGCAACAGGATTGCACTTAGTGGAAAGACGTGGCACCAAGAGTATGTTGTTCTTGTCTGTGACGTTGACGGCCTAGGTGTGGAACTCTTAGCGTCTTTCTGTTACTAGGAGCCCCACTTGCACTTGGGCACAATTAGAACATGGATGTAAAGACAATGCCGGACAAACCAGGCGATTGGCGCCGGTTGCCACGAATTTATCATAATTATCACCACGGATCATCCATTCCACCCATCTCAGCCATTGCTTCCATTTCGTCCGCAAATTCTTCTTCTTCGGGATGGGCTTTCGGCGGTTTGGCCGTGGATTTGGTTGCGTTGATAATAGATTCTTCCTCTGCCAACAAAGCGTCAAGATCGTCATCATCAACTTGATCGCCAGAGCCTTCATTCCTATGAGATTCTTGTTCTTCAGCTAACAAGGCGTCAAGCTCGTCATCATTTGGGGTGTGTGAGAGAGGTTCACTAGCATTCTCCTGGCCCCTTGAGCTCTGCGCCAGTCTTGCGTCTAATCTTGATTCACGCGCTTCATTGTTGGCTTGGTCACCGTTCATAAGCCCTTCGGACGCCGGACGTCTTGGGACATCATATTCGTCGACATAGTCATCTGGTTCCGAGACTCGTGGTTTTCCTTCGTCAATCCATGCCCTCCTCATCATCTGTATTGTCTTCTTGTGACCCAATTTCTCTACCATCACCAAAGCGTCCGTGAACTTCGCACGTGGGTATAGATCGTCGAGCCAGAATTGGTAGGTGTTGAGTAGGCGAGCGATATCAGAGAACTGCATGTAGGATTAGTAGGATGGTAGACCTAAGTGAAACTCTGTTACGTGCCTCGTGTCCCTTGCCCTTGAACCTCAGTCGATCCTTGGATATTTTGCGCAGCTTTGGGATTCCAGCAGCTGACAATAATCTAGCCAGTATAAGCATGCATGCCGTCGTTGTTCATCAGATTCTGGCATCACCTTGCCTCGTCCAACTTGGGTATCGGCTGTCGTTTCTTAACTATCTTGACTTCCTCCTCGATACCCAAATCATTCTTGACATTTACAGCATTGGTGCGAGTTTGCTCTGCGTCGTTCGGTGCATTGCCTACGTCTCTAAATACGTCGTCCATACTGACATCATAGTTGAACAAATCGTCCAGGTCGTCGCGACTTGCAGACGCTTCCGTAGTGGCTCCTGGCATTCTGGCTTCGTGGATATTCAGAGTCTTGTCTACAGATGGTAGCGCCTTGATGTCTAAGTGGAGAGCCCAGCTGGTAGAGGTAATACTGTGGAAATATAGTGTGTATCTCACAAATATCCGATGTAGCCTCTCCGTGGTATAGAGACCGCGCATCGCGAAAGACGCGTCGCGGCGCGGGCGCGGATCAGTAAGTTGCACTAGTCCTAATTAGGCTAAGGCCCTCACCACACTTTCAATCGGTTCCTTTCTCATCGCCGACAAAGCCTATTGAGCGCGACAATAGCAGCAACCGTGAATGAAATCTACCATATAAAATCTATCGACGTCTGATCTGAAGTCCTGAAACAAATTGATGTCCAGTCTTCGTCTTGCTCCTTGCCCAACGACATTAAATAAGCATCAACCCGCGCATTCTGTCCAGGAGACATTGAGAACCAAAATCTTCGCCGGAAACATACATCGCGAAGCAAACCAATCTTGTTCTACCAACCAAAAGCCCCGCCAAGTCAAGTGTTGTGGCCCATCAAAACTGCTATCCTTACGAGCACAACGCAGGTCATTACGATGGCTGTGTCAGAGGTGGAGTCTGTCGACTCCATCTCGTACAGACTGCGAGACTTGCTGGCCCACGCTCGCCGATTGAAAAGCTCGACTTCAATAGATCCTCGTCTGCCAGTGTCAGATCTTTTCCAGGAAGCAGGGCAACCCAAAGTCCGTTCCCACCCAGTTCTTGCGAAGGGAATACTGGAGGCAGCGGCCAGAAAAATATTCTATGGTATATTGGTGAGTCACGTGCAAAGTCTGACTTTTAGGTTTACTGACTTCATAGGACGAATATGATATAGAAGAGCCTGAATTTGTTCAAATGTGGAATCTGTTGGATATTCTACAGCACTATGAAGACATCGGTAAGCATGCACTCGTGACCGCCTTGGTCGCAAAGTCACTAAATACCTCATGTACAGGTCAAAGTTCACCAGCTCTGGTACTCTGGCTTCTCGAAGAGATGCTTGACAGTCAGAACATTGAAGCTTGTCGCCGTGTTTTCGATTACATGGAATCGCGGAGAGAAATCTTGATCGCCGTGAGTGAGAAGCAAAGTATTTGACGGTTCTACAGCTAAAAGACCATAGAGCAACTTCTCAAGGAACAAAGATTTAGTCATCTTGAGGTCTTGCAACGAACTTCTTCGGCGTCTTTCTCGAGCTGAAGATGCCGTATTCTGCGGTCGCGTCTTCATTTTCATGTTCCTCAGCTTTCCACTTGGCGACAAGAGCTCCGTCAACCCCCGGGGCGATTTCCATGTGGAAAACGTCACGACGTTCGCCGACTCGCCATCAGGAGTATCGAACGGAGAGCCTGATGAGATGGATGTGGATGGAACGGAGGTCACTGAAACACAAGTCACAGTGAATGTTCAGTCGGACGATGCCGAAACCAACACATCCGCGAATCCAGACGAAAAGGTGGTGCAGAAGAAGACACCAACCTCTCAGGTCGATATTGATACGCTCTATCCCATCTTTTGGTCCTTGCAACAAGCATTTTCCAATCCTACTCGACTGTTCTCTCAGGAAGCGTTCGACGAGTTCAAGAAAGGACTCGAGATGACTCTACAGAAGTTTAAAGAGATCCCGACGGTAATTTCAGGAGAGAAACTGGGTGTCGGCCGTGGGCTAGCCAGTAGTTCTGACGATTTCGCGAGCACATTCAACCCCAAATATTTGACCAGCAGAGATCTATTCAAACTAGAGGTACGATCTGTTCCCGGGCCGGACGAACTGTAAGTGCTAATGCCGAAGACCAGTTAAGCGATCTTGCGTTTCAACGACACATCCTCGTGCAGTCACTCATTTTGATCGACTTTCTCCTATCCCTAACCGAGGCATCGAAAAGCAAGCTAGCCCCAATCACCACGCAGAAAGCACTCCGGTATACCTTTACAGTGAGCGAACACGACGTACGTATACCCTAGCATCACTAGTATGACATGCAAGTGGCTGACACGAACACAGGCCGGATGGGCTCTTGGTATCAAGCGAGCTATCGTAAATTATCTGCAGGAGGGGCCCGAAGGCAAATTCTATCATCGCATGGTTGAAGTTGTCTTGTCCCGAGACAAGAATTGGGTCCAATGGAAACTGGAAAACTGTCCGGAGATCAAACGTGCCCCTGTGCCGGCAGACGTCTTCCAGGAATCGAAATCTGGAGCGCAAAAAACATGCGCTGGAAGGGTCATGCGTGCAGCGCCCATGGGGTCTTTAAGCTTGGCATTTCTGTCAGATAGCGATGCAACAGATGGAATGGAGGGTCTCAGAAATGGCGATCGGTAAGGTTCCGCTCATCCGAGAATTTTTGATGCGAAATTGTACGAAGGCTTACTTGGGACAACAGCACGGTGGTACCAACGCCAGAGAGCTTCATTCATGGCATTCAAGGGGATGACCTGGATCTGGAAATGGCAACTGAAGATGAAAAGGAGTCATTGCACACGGCTAAAACCAGTAAGACATGGCGGGCTCTTCGCATTTCAAGCAGGGATAAGCTCAGCCGCTTCGATCAGATTGATGATGGAAAGAACATCCAGAAGCTTACGCAGGTGGAGCCATCTGCAGAACCGCACGCAGAACTTTCCAACGTCACTGAGCAAGGCGAGGCTGGTTCTGGGCCAGTAGAATTGACAACAGAGAGCTCCGTGACCGAAAAGGGTGAGAAGGTGCAGGGAACACCGCCCTTGGAGGAACAGCGGGCCGGTTCTTCAGATCAAGTGACAACAGCAGCATCCGAGGGCACCGGTTGAAGAAGCGACAGCACATTTCCAGAAAGACTAGCCAGGCGCCGTTGAACCAGAGACTAATAATTGGGCCATCGACAAACAGATCGACTACGATCTATAACGCAGGCACATATTGAGTATGGGGAAGAGAAATCATCCTGCAAGATAGCAGCAAGGGTGCGAAATGTGGGGTTGGGATTATGATGAAATGAAGAAGATGATGAGATATGTTCTTGCCATTGAGCTTCATCGGCAGTTACTGGTGGATATATTTGGGACAGATGATAGGACCGGTGCGAGAACGATCTCGGCGTAGACCAGAATTGGTTATTGTCGACGACTGAAGCAGAGAAATGGGCCGTGGAAGCCAGGAATCGTGTGAAGCGCTAATGCTCGAGTTGGGCGCATGCCAGCCTTCTCTTCGAATACTATGCCTATCGCGTTCTTCTTCTTGGACTTGGATGCGGCGGAAATATTTACCGTCGTGCCTGCTGATCGTCTGTAGAGGAATGTCTTTTCCTTCTAGGGCAGACTTACGCGGGGAAGATGCAGGGTCAGTTGCATGCATGCAGGTAGGTCCTGTCAGACAGGCCTTGGATACGATGAGGTTGTGTCAATAGGTTCTGTCATTAAGGCCTTGTCATTCAAGCCTTGTCGGTGAGGTTGTGTCAGTAGGTAGGAAGACGCTTCCACTGGCACGTCAAGCTGGCTATACGATGCGTATTGTATGTACGTTTCCTGACACGCCAGAACCCTTCCTCTCGATCAACGGTCTACGCTGTACATCTGCGCCTTGTGGAGATGCATAGCTAGCTATAGCACACGGCGCCTCAGGTTGATATGATGTAGTGGTGGTCGCAGTAGTGTCACCGTAGCAGAAGTTTTGCATGGTATGCCACCAATGAGCAAACACCGGTCCAGCGGACACAACATCAGAGAGACGTGAGCTGCCGGCTAGCCTCACCGTCTACGATGGGAATGTTAGTAGTATAGATTGTAGCATCATATTCGCGTGTCGATGCATGTGCCGGTCGGTGGTGTGTTATTTTTTCTTCTCGCAACACATCTATGCATCTATCTATGCATCTGGCTCATCGTGGCGGTGGCGTGCAGAACGAAAGCATAATGATCCTTCGCTGCATGTCAAAAGCAAACTATCCCAGCTGGCGAAACGAAACTAAGGCTCATCTCATCTTGTTTGTTGACGGTGGAGCCACGGGGAGATGCAGGGTATCGTTGTATTATAAGTGTGCTATGAATCTTGGATGAGTGTTGTTGTTCCCCCGGATGGTTACAGACAGACATGGGTTCGAGATTGAAGGGCGATTCGCTTGTCTGTGCGGTGCGATGGGATGCGGCACTCTCTATCTCTGCCCTCCCCCGTCTGTGTATTGTGTATTGTTGTATTGTGGGTTGTGGGTTGACCGCCATCCATCTAATACCATATCGCGATCTATGCCCATATCTGCCATCTACCATTCCTCCCCGTTCCCCGCGCATCATAACCCGAAACCGAAACTTCAGCCCATGCTCGTCCGCGGCCGCGCGCACATGGCACATGGCAGCACACGCACGCAACATGCCCATCCCAGCGGGCATCATCATCTCAAATGTCTGAGGCAGTGAAAGCTGACGACAGCCTGCGACAGCTTGCGACTCCAGCTGGGTCTTCTTTTTTCCGGGGATAACACAGCCCGGCTGCCGAATGCGAGAATTTCCGTGGCTCTCCCCCCCCCTCCAATCTCTTCTCTCGCGCGCTGGCTTGAATCCGACGCGTCTGCAGGACTCCATCGGCGAGCAACCTGCGACAGTGGTACAAGGGAGAGACGTGGAGACTTTGAGTAGCAACAGTGGAATCGCACGAATCCCATTGCTTCATCTGGGATGGCCTCGCGGCCTTTCCCCTGGGTTTTCTCATCTTACGTCGTCCGCCGTTGCAAACCCAATTTCGCACAGCGGTATCAGAGAGAGAGCTACACGGCACGAGTGGGTGGGGCACGGAAAAATCATGGCAAAAGGACGTAATACAGTACAGCAGGATGGCTATAGCTAAGCAAAGCATGGCATGGCATGGCTGATGGTCTGGAGCCTACTTGCCATGAAATGACACGAACATCCCAAGCAAATCGGCGAGGCGGTTCGGCCCTATGGAAAACAAGGCCGCCTGTCCCTCTGTTCCTCTTCCTCTGTGTTGCGTCTGTTGGTTGTGGATAATAATGCCGGCCTGCATCTGGGAAAGAAGTGGGTAATTGGTAGCTCTACATCGTATGGCATTGCCGACGGACACGGAGACATCCCCGGCCAGTTCGCTGCTATTGTAAGGACCGTCGCATTGATCCCTGCTGGCATTGCGCTGTCCTGAAGCTAGAAGCAATCCCAGTTCTAGCGGCGCGGCATCAATGTCGGAGGCGATGGGTTCTTTTTCCTGTCTCCCGACTGTCCCCTCTCGGTCCTTTGCATCAGACCGCATCTCACTGCTCTGAGTCCTTGACGGCATCGCCTTATTACACAGCCAAGCAAACCTCGGACGAGGAGGCTCTTGCGCGCATACGCGTGTATCAGTTGTGGCTCGAGAAAAAGACCTCCTATCGTGATATCACTACTTCTCCTCTGCCACCTTTCAAACGTCTCTAATTAACCATGACAACACGCCATACCCCCCGGCGCTGATCACGGCAACAAGCAGTAGCAATCCAGACCCTGGCAGCCCTTCACCAACTTCAGTGAGGCGCTTCGGGGATCTGTCTCCTTGCCATCGGGTTCAAGGATGACTGTCGCGCTCCTGCGTCCAGATGCGAGGGCTCATCGGCGCCAAAGGTGGGACGTCTCTTGAAGGATTCCGTCATGTCCTGTGTGAGTGAGAGGAGGCATATGCGGCTTTCACGAAGCGCCTTTCGTGGGCATCGAGAAGCAACCTGGGGTGACATTTCTCGCGCTTAGTTGTAACCAGCAGCTGTGGCTTTTTTAGCGAGCCTGCCTATTCTTTCTTAGCTGAATCCTGCCACCAAACACACATCGAGTGTATTCTACCGGCGCGGGCCGAAGCTTTCGCCGTTGGAAAATCAATGCCTAAGTCGCATATAGTAAGTGGCAGTGAATCATTGGCGGCACACGCACAAGCCTTCTTGTCCACGCTCCTTCAACTCTGGTCCGATCGCGCATGGGCAGCAACACGAACAAGGATTTGTGGACATGAGGCATGAGCGTGAACATGGGACAGAAGGGGGGAGGGGGAGGGGGAGGGGGAAGGGGATGGAGCATCACAGCAACGGCAGCAGCCACAGCAAACAACAGACTCAACAGCAGAAAAGAATCTTGCAGGTCAGGCTTGCAGCCGATCCCGTATGTGTTTCCCTCCACATATCTGACCTTGGACGTCCACGCATCACCGGTCCCTCCCGCTCTGTAGGGCGGATGAAGACGTGTACGAATGAGTGGTCATGTCCTTCATGCGGTCATCAGCAGAGCATCTGGTAGACATGGCTTAGGCCTGATGAAGGGGATGCATCTGGCTAAATCGTCCTTCCGTCTTCCAATCCTGGCGGACTGTCACGAAACATGGACAACGTTCAACGTGGAGATCTTCTTCGGCTCTTCCTGCTCGCCGCCACAGATGACACACTACGACGAGACGAAGACCAGAGAGGCTTGCAATGGCTAGCGCGATCATCATCCAACTGACCAGCGATACGGCCCAAGAAGTATGGAGTATGGCAGAATAGCGTGCTCGCTTGCAGCGTCTGCGAAGACCACCTGCCTCGATGCCTATTAGCATACAGCATGCATCTTTCACTCAAACCCCGCAACGAGCCTTGATCCCTGCGCTGCTTAATGCTGTCGACAAGGCCGTCCCTGGTTTGCCCCGTCGGCTGTCCATGCCTTCATTTCGGCCAGTTGTTGATCGAGGTGGACCTCCTACACCCACTGCAATTCACTTGGCGTTGAGTCTTTTGCTACTAGTCTGTTTCTTGTCGTCCTGCTCCTTGTTCCCCCTCTGCCACACAACAATATGCCCAGACCTTTCATGATCTCTTTTGAGACCGGCAACCTGGTGGATCACACGGGTCCGCTTCGTTTGCTTTCTTCGTTCCAAGGGGAGACGTCCCGAGGTACCGCCCCTGGCATTCTGATCCCGTCTTCATGCTCTTTGATCACTGACGGTGTGGAGTGTCTGGTCTGGCGCAACTACCATGACCGTTATTTTTACTTCTTAAGCTTCACAGAGCCCCTAACGCACTTTGATCCTGGTTGGTCTTTGCTGCCTTCTGTTCACGTCGATTTACCCGGAACTACGGGATTATAGTATCTGTCAAGCCACCTTGATCGAATGGACTGACCTTGCGCCTCTCCTCTGCCGTGCTGGGGGTTTCCCATCCCGTGATCGCTTCTGGCAGTTACTACAAAGGCGGCTGGTGTCATTCTCCTTATCGGAGCGTAAAGACCTCCCGCTTTCGACCTGATCGGCTTTGCTCTTGACTGAGCCAAGCTACGTCGCGAAAACCTGCCGTGCATAAAGGATTGACAGCTACCCGAATTGCTATATGCAGCCTCGGTGCACAGTGACTCAGTCTCGCTGATCATTCATTCCCTTTCAGCACAACACAGACAACCTCTCCAACTGCCGTGTCAGTGTTGCAGAAACGACCCAAGATATCTCATTTCATTGTATGAGTCTACTACCCGGATTCTGGATCACATTCGACTTGACCGCGCTCTATCAGACTTCTGGCTCTCACCATTGTGGCAATCAAACAAACCGAGTACCCCGCACGATCAAGTGACTGCTGCTGCTTGTATCGACCCCAGGGCCAAGAGGACAACAAAGTCAACCGCTGGTACTGTAAGATCAGGCCGACAGCTTCTGTACTGTACAGCAGAACTGATACGGACAGGCATACTTTGATATTCAGCAACTGCTATCAAGCACGAGTCTAGTAACGTAATCCCAATGGTCGACAGGCTCTTTACTCCCATTTCTCCTCCCAACTCGCCTGGTATGTCTGTGTACCACGCAGTACCATCCAACTCCGAGTGGCAAGCTCGAGATCTCAAGGCTATAGAGACAGAATTGGTAACCCCTGAAGGCTCGATGGCCGGTTTGCCTTCTGAGCCACTGGGACCGCATGTTGATGTGGACAAGCATTCCCTTTTACGAACGCACGAGGCTTTTCCATACAGTGTCCAGAGGCCCTCATCGCATCCTACTCCACTGGACAGTGACAATTCATCACCCACCCCTAAGCAGGACCGGACAACGATGAGCGATCTCGGTGAAGAACGACAAACGCCTATCAACTATGGTGGATCAGCTCCTCCGAGTCCAGTCTCACGTCTGACACCACCATCACCTTCAGCGGCCAAGTCGGACTCCCAGGACGAGAGTGGGGACGAGGATTGTGAGGACGACATGCTTGACGATGAAGAGCCTAAACGACCGCTCACTGCGCAGGAGCTTCGAGCCCAGAAAAGGAAGATGAAGCGATTCAGGTATGTCATCATCATCAGCATACTAACCCGGAAGTCGATGAGTTGAGTTAACGTTCCACACTTAAGGCTTACGCATAATCAAACACGATTTCTCATGAGTGAGTTTGCGCGCCAGGCACATCCTGATGCAGCACATCGGGAACGATTGGCAAGAGAGATACCCGGGTTGAGCCCCCGCCAGGTTCAGGTGTGGTTTCAGAACAGGTTCGTACTGCTGCCGTATCCCGACCCGAGCGGCCGACGATGCTGATAGGTGAAACACTAGGCGTGCGAAACTGAAGCGCCTTACTAGCGACGACCGCGAGCGTATGATGCGATCGAGAGCGCTTCCAGAAGACTTTGACATGTCTCATGCGCTGCATTCTCCATTTGGCGGACCGCCTGGCATGGGCACGCCGCTAGCTTCCCCAGGAGGCTTCTCGCCTGCGTTTGGCGACGGGAACATGGTGAGACCGCTGTCCATCGACACGTTTAGACGGGTATCGAATGGCACACACATGTCTCCGACAGGCATCAGTCCTGCGTTTGGTGGCTTCAACTTTACTCCGCCACAATCTGCAACCGACAGCATATCCCCCATCTCTGGTCCTGGCGATACCCCTTTCACGTTTCCGTCCGCCCCATTGGAAAGTCCACGGAGGACAAAGCCGTTTGTCGGGCCCGTCACCACGGGCTCATGCTACACATCCCACCCACAGATCCCTCGACTACAGGTTCACGACCGGATCCAACGGAGCAGAGCCGAGTCGCTCACGTCGCCGTTGAGGACAAGCATGAGCTACAGTGACGGTCTGAACGGAAGCCACGACAATACATCGCCGTATGGGCATGACGGCTCACGCACACTTTCCAACACAATCCTCCCGTACGGCATGGGATACTGTTGTAGGTCTGCAGAATCGTCGGCCAAAAGTAATGTCTAACGTAGCACAGACTCGCCAGTTCCGGGCTTCCAGGCCTCCGCAGCAACGAGGATGCGCTCCTTTTCAGGCACGGTGCCGCGACGCATCGAGCTCAGCTCACATTACACCAGCAGCCGAAGTAACACGACTCCCCAAACAGCCACATATCCAAACTTCCAAGGCTCGCCGCTCCTCACCTCGCAGAGCTACGAGATGCCCCATCTCAGCGCGCCGCACCACATCTCGACCTTCCAGAACAGCTTCATGCGCCAGGATGCCGGCGACGCGTTTCCTCCTGTTGGCGCGGTGCTCGGCGAGATTGCAGACGGCCATTCGCAGGACGGCGAGCACCACGACTCGAACTCGAACAACTCGCGATACTAGGTCGTCGGGGAAGACTTTAGCTGCGCTCAGTGTAGGGGAGGCCTGTTTGCGTCTCCTCCTCGAGCGTCTCCTCGAAAGAGAAAAGCGAGATCGTAACACAATGCGCGGGCGGGGCGCACGAACGGGTGCGACACGGGATCTACGGCTGTGCTTTTGCGTCTTGCGCTACAAACACGACTCGCTTCTCCTCCTCCATGCCCAGTCCATCGTCCAGCCGGGGCGAGCGGGTTGGTGGGATATGTGGTCGCCCTTCCTTCCGATACCGCGGGACGTCGCGATACACAACGTCAAGCGCGCAGGGAGCACTTCTATCATGCATGCATGCATGTACGCATGTGTGTTGACGAGACTGCATGTAGTCGTCTGGATCGCGTTCGTCGGGTCTCTGGGCGCGCGATCGGAGGGCTCGCTTGCTGTATTGATGAATGCTATTCTAGTGCGATGGAGTAATCCTCGCTCGCTGTGTGCGCTGCTCATCACAACACAGCATAATACATTGCGCGTGGGCAGCCGGTCTCATGTCATCGTCATCATATTCGCCTGTCACAGTCTAAGAGACTGAGCGATATACACATATCGGACACTAGGAACTTTCACAACAAGGCAGCTCAGCCTCGCACTTCCACCCTCACCCTTCTTCCTCGATCGCACATCCATTTCTCTTTTCGACTCGCTACCCCCAAAAGAGGGAGAGAGAGAGAGAGAGAGTTAAACACATACACGCCCGTCATCATCGTCATCAACTCGTGGTGACTATAGTAGTTGTCGTGTAGCCCTTTTTCCTTTTATTATTGAATTTTCTGGTCTGTATACCCCGGTGATATTTTTTCGGTCTTTTTTTTTTTCAATTCGGCTCTTATGTCTATTTTTCGTTTTGTTCTGTTTTTGTTTGGATTCTTATATGTTTCGTTCTTGTATGTATGTTGGATATGTGTGTTTTGTTTGGTGGGGTAGGTGGGGCTGGAGATAGATGCTGGGGATGAAGGAATGATGGGATGAGATGGGCTGGGGAAGGAAGGAAGGAAGGAAGGAGTGAAGCAGGGAAGGAAGGAACAGGATAGTGTGTGTGTGTGTGTGTATGGACGCATGTGCGCTGGACGCTCGACGACGCTGACGGCACGGGACAAAGCGGAGCATAGATGAGGATGCGATGAGATGAAGGCCTTCAATTGTCAAATGTGTATACGAAAAACGTTCGGGGTCATGTCATGTCATGAATATGTGTATATATGCGTGTAGATATGAGCGGAAGCCCCCCTTGTTCTGGGTGGGGACGTATGGTTTCGGAATGGAAGTGATTTGTTTGATTTGTTTGGTTGCTGTGTGTGTTGTCTGGTTACTTGGTCGTAGTCTAATGTTGACGTATGGATAAAGTACACTTGGATGTATACGACTTGATGCATATATCTTGATGTATACAACTTGATATAAATATCCATATATACGCTTCTACACCACCCCCTCTCTCTCCCCCTCCCTCCCTCTGTCTCTCCCCATATCAAAGTATACATACACCCTCACACCAGCACAACAACATCCAACTCTCCCAACCCCATCCTAACTAAATCCCAAACTCCCACTTCCCGCACCCAGACCGACAGAGACTCCATCCCATCCCATTACATCATAGTATGTACATCGTGGTGTGTGTGTGTGTGTGTGTGTGAGGAAGTGCAGTGATCCGAGGCTGACCTCGGTCGGGTGCTGGGTACACGGCGCGTGACACCTGGCGTGCGTGCGTTGTGTGTGTGCGTGCGTGCGTGCGTGCGTGAGAAGGAGAGAGCGAGACAAGAGGGAGGACGCACGGATGGGGGAGTGAGAAGGAGGGAGGGAGGCAGAGAGGAGGGTGAAGAATGGTGTCTGTGTGTGGTGTGCGTGATGGTGCGTCTGTGTGGTATGTCTGTGTGCTATGGTATAAGTGTGTGTATGTATGTATGTCCGTGTGTCATTTATCCGTGTGTTGATAACTGCGGAGCGAGGGAGGTTATGTATGCTGGTGTGTGTATCTACGGGTCTGTGTGTTATGGCTGTGCGAATGTGGGGATTTCGTTTATGCGTATATTTGTGTATCTATATGTATTGTATGTATATGTATATGTGTATATGTATATGTGTATGCATAGATGTGGGTATGAGTCTGCGGATACGTCTGTGTCTGTGTCTGTGTCTGCGTCTGTGTATATATATACAGATATCACTACCCGTGCAGCGCAAGCACACTACATACAATACAACGTCATGCGCGATTGAACTGGGCACTAACTAATCAACACCGACAATCAGTGCGATTAACATGGCGAGACAACAGTGCGCGCACGGCTGGGGGAGAGGGACAGTGTGTAGAAACTCGATGGTAGAACCTAGTCGGTGTGCCTGGCGTGCGTAGAAGGGAGCATGAGCAAGGAAGGCAGGTGCGATACAGCACGAGCTCGAGGTCAGTCCCTGACGTTGAGCTGCCGTGTCGGTGAAACCAGGGGTGTCGGTATGTATACTCAGGGGAGTGGCAAGGGCAAGAAGGGAAGGGAAGGGGGGGTGGGGTATGGATAGTTGGTTTATTGATGCGCGAGACAGAGTAATGCAGTGAGTTTTGGGCGTGGACTGGTCGGGGTGTTTTGGAAAAAGGGCTATTGAATGGATGAATGGATGGATGGGTGAATGACGGGAATAGAGTACGGTTAGTGTGATGGGATGATGTCTGTCCAAGGCACGGTCCGCAGCACGGCACAACGGTGGGTTATGGGTATGGGTAATGTGTGTATGTACTGTATGCGTATGTTCCCTTGGGCCGTGCCGTGTATCGGGCAGTTGGCAAGTGTATAGCCCGACTGCATGCATGAATGATGCATGGTGGTCCTGTCAGAGGTGCCGAGTCATGACATCAAAGACCCTGAGGGCGATGGCATCAGCCCTGTCTAGATAACATCAACCCACCACACGCTCACGGCCACGGCCACGACCACTCTCACGACCACGACAAGTGCTGTGCCGGCACTTTGTTCGGCTGAGTTCGAGCATGCCGTCGGCTCCGTGTCGAGCTGTTCCGGAGGCCATGTTCTAGCACCAAGTCATGCCACCATGGGTGATGGATAAAAGGGTGATGGATGGGGTTCTCGGCGGATCTGGTGGTCTCGTGAGGCAGGTGGTCGCTCATATGCGGGACATGATCTCATCCACGAATGGACCATACAAGAGGTCCGCGGAGACAAGAGTCAGAAAGAGGAGAAGTGAGAAGTGAGAAGGGGGATGGATTGGGTGAGAGGGGGGAGGTGTATGGGTGAGGAGGTTGGACGAAGAGATGGAGACGCCAAGTCTTCTGGAAAAGCGCGAGAAGGCGCCACTTGCGAAGCCTGCGTGAGACCAACCGGTCTGTACCTGTGCATCTAATATCTGCCGCCCTTCCAGCCCCAGAAGTAAATGCGACGATGCGACAATGCGACAATGCAATCAATGCATGTCCGCACAGCGTGTTAGCACATGGCGGTGACAACACCCGTCACGTCTTCTTCAAAGCGTGATTCTGCGGGGCCGGGGCTGAGCGCGTGCGCATCGTTGCGCGACGCTTATGCCTGTGCAGAGGGGACGTTTGCTGGACGTAATTAGATACAGGCCGGCTGAGTGAAGATTGGATAGCGTCGGCGAGGCCCGACGATAGAATCTGCCGCATATGTATGACAGAATGGCCAAGATGGACGAGCGCATCACCGACCGCGATGTTGTCTGTGTTGGCGCCGCAGCAAGCAGGTAGGTAGGTAATAGGTATGGCGCATCGTGTTGAGCCGACACTGTGGGATAGTCAGTCAACGACGCAAGATCTCGCATCCAGTGAGCAGAGGGATACCTTGGAAGCTAATATGCATGCGCCATGACGTGCAGATGGACGAGGGACAGGAGGGACAAGAGGAGGAGGAGAAAGTCAGCCGTCTATCATCCATCCCATCCGTCAGTCTCTTCGTCGACCCATTCTATCGTCCATCCATTCATCGATCTATGGATCCCTCCATCCGTCCATCCTCCCGTCCAACCATCCATGGTTCCGGGCGGGAGAAGTTCGAGCGCAACCAACGGTCCGCAGCGTTAGGGTGGAGAGTGAGTGGAGTGTGGAGTTCTTGAGAGCGGTGTGACGGACCGAGGAGGTGGTAGAGTGTTAGTAATTAGTGTAGTAGTAGTATGTGTATAGAGTTGACTGGCCTGGAGTGGACTGAAGACTGAAGTGAATGTCCAATGGCAGCACACAAACACGAATACAAACACAAAAATGTCAGCGTGAGTCATCGTCATCCTGTATATTACTGTATCAGTACTCTGCCATCATTAGTTGTGTTCTGTGCTGTAATGTGCTGGGCTGTGCTGACGATTGCGCATGCTCCCCGGCTGTCATTGGTGCTGCTGACAAATGCGCAAGTGGCGTTGTGGCAAGATTGGAACTGTGGCACCAACCACAACCACAACCACAACCACCACAACAGTTGAGCCAACAGCATCACTATCACCACCAATCACTTCCCACTCTGCCCTTCAACATTACACTCAACGACTCGTTCGAAGAGCAGAGACGCCTGCTTGCCGAGTAGTCGTGTATGGTGTATCATGTGGCTTATCGAGTATTTCATGGATAGTGTGCCTGGGAAACACACACTGTTGTCATTGTTGGCTGGCACAAGTGTGTTGCTATATAGATGCCTGGACTCGAGCGTTGACATGGCACAGCACGGTTGGTGTCTGTCAACTGGACATGTTTCTTTTTCTGTTTCTTTCCCACAGCCATGAAACACACGCGACATGCCGCCCGTTTGAACTCTAAGTCTAATTCTGAGTCTGAGTCTGACTCGGATGTCTGCCTTGGGAGTGTCTGATTCTAGACACCTGAGGCAGCCATCGAGGACAGAAAATGCCATGATAATCATCATGGCCATTCGTCCACGTACCAATACGATATCATATCATATATACATGCATTCATCAAGACAGCACATCCATCTTCTTCTTGAAATGAGGCGGCGTCGCATGATGTTGCTTTTGCCTTTGGACATACATACGACGGACGCCATCATCTCTTGGCATGATGGCACGTAATTCCAGGAAGCGCGCCTCAATATTTCTCCTCAGCGCATACATGGTGGGAGTATCTAGTAGTGCTAGTAGTAGTTAGTATAGTAGATAGTACCAGTAAAATTATGGGTGATTCTGTCCAAGAGACACAACAAAATAATAGTCAAGTGAATTCAGAGCGCGCGCGGCGGCCGGGAGCAGTAATTAGTTCTGCCGATGTAGCCCCAGGCCAACAAGGCCAACATGACGCCAATCAGGCCAACATAAGGCCAATCAGGCCAATCAGGCCAACATCAGGCCAATCTCAGGCGCAAATTAAAGTCCCCCCGTCACTTTCGCACTTTTTTCCCTTTTGCTCCCTTCAATCACCGCGAAGTTCTTCTCCATCACCATCACGGAGACAACTTCAACAACTACATCTCCTCACTATACTCGAAGACGACGAAGTTAAAGTCCTCTTCATCCGCTCACGCTACGGCCTCTACTGTCTCCCATCCATCAGAGCAGTCCCTGTTTCGCCGTCGCATTCTCGTTCCTGGACGACGACGACAACTCCACCCGCTACTCTTTCACTGCGGCCAGTCACCTTCTTCACTGAAGGCGACCTTTTTCTTCACTCCTCTCCACTCATCCTCTTAACCTCTAATAATAGAGAAACGTCCGCTGTACTGTCGCTCTGATCAGTCCGTCGCGCTTCTCTACACGCTCTTCCTTCAATTCTCAACGACTTCTTGTCGCTTGCGACCGCACAGTTTTTAATACCCTTTTCGGCCGCTTCGCCTTCCCACAAGACGATCCTTGACAATCGCCACCACTCCTCACAAACACACACCTCTACACACTCAAAAAAACACCTGCAGCATCCTCCTTCAAAAGCCTCTAATGACAACTACGCTTCCTCCCCCGAACAACCCGTCGATAAACGCCGCGCAGACTGCCAACGCCGCTTCCTCCACCTCAGGAACGACGTCGCCTTCAGCCGCTGGCTCGGCTCATCAACCCACCGCTCGCTCGTACGCAAACGCAACCAAGAAGAATTACACTCCGCCACCCATCGCGTCCGGCAATCCCAACGCTGCTGTGCAACATGGCAAGACAAACTCTCCTTCTCCTGTGAATGGTAAATCTTCTGTTCCGCCAGCTGTACCCAACATGAGCGCTCCTACTATTGTCAGCGGCAACGGTGCTCATCAACAACAACATCATCACGCCGATCACAGTCGCAAGGCCTCCATGACCATCAGTGCCGCCGGTACTTCAATCAATAATACAAATGGTGGCCCCGTCGGCACAGCCGGCAGACCAAACATCGCCTTTGGCTCCATGAACGCTGCTGGTTCTCCTGCTAATACCCATACCATTCCGCACCAACCGCAAGCCTCGACCCTCGCTCCAGGCCCCAATCCTCGCGTTGTCACACCTGCCCACTCACCTTCACCCATCCCACAGACCTCGAGCGGCGGAAGACCTCCCGCGAGCCTCCAGCCTCAGGCCAGCGGACCTTTGGTCTTTGGTAGCCAAGGCGATGGTATGGATCCAAATGTGAGTCGTGTATCCATGGAACTCTCTGCACCTAGCGCGCTTTTCAGAAAACTAATAATTTTTTTTTCACCATATTAGGCGCGCCCAATGTCCATGCAACAGGGTCCTCCACAAGCACAACACCTTCGCAGAGAATCTTCGCAATCTGCACACAGCGAATCACCTCTCAACCAAATGCGCTATCCACCAAATGCCGGCAGAGGTCGCGGTGGCTTCACTCCTGCCTTTCAGCCCAACTCTTCGCCCAGCATGCAATACCGTCAACCTAACCCTCGAGCTCCTGGCCAGTTCCCAGCTCAGATGGGCAACTCTCCATACCGCGCCTCTCGCACACCCAACATCACCCCAGCCCAGATGCAACAGCAGCAAGGCTATGCCAACCCGAACATGCAGCAGCCACCACCCTTTGCCTATCCGCATCTTTCTGGCCAGCAACAAGTAAATCAGCCGTTTCCTTCTCGACTCTCTCCCGACAATCTCTTTTGTGAACAATACTTCAATTCTCTGTCTTCCAATTTTCGATTGCCTGGTGTTCTTTCTTCAAACTTTCGATTGCCCTGCGATCGCAGGGCGCTTTCTTTCAGCAAACAAGAATTTTCAACTGCCGACTACGAGCACTATCTGACATACTTGAAGACGCAGGGCCCGTATATGATGCAAGGCTACTACGATCATACCTATGGCGCCTACCAGCCCCAGTATGGCATGCATCCTAACATGCCGCAGTACCCGACCCAACAACCCTCGAGCCCGCGCCCAGGCTACGCTCCGCCTCAGCACCCTTACATGGCTGGACAGTTCCCTCCGCACGCTCATGGCATGCAGCGGACTCCCTCACAGCAAAGCCAGCACCAGCACATCGACCGCCCTTCATCCGCCCTCAACCAGCCACAGACTCCGGCCTTGCCATCTGCTAACCATGCTCACACCCCTAGCCAGAGTTCCGCCAGTCCCGCGCCCAGCTCGACCAAATTCACCGTGCCCGCCAAGACTAAGAGCAAGGGCATCGTGATCAAGAACCCGGATGGCGAGGTCATCACCTTCCCGAAGAAGACCGCATCGCCGGCGCCTGCTTCGCTGGCAGCAGGCGGCCCCATTGTCGTCTCCTCTACGCCCACGCCCCCTCCCCGTGCACCAAGCGCTACCGAAGCCTCCCACGCGAGAAACGAAAGCTCAGCCAAGAGCGACGCCGAGAAGAAGTCCGAGTTCCGCGAGCAAGTCAAGAAGCAGCTCGAGTCCGAGCAAGTCGAGTCGCGTCGCCGAAAGGAGGCCAAGGAGGCCGACGAGAAGAGTGCTGCTGCCGCCGCCGATGAAAAGCTCGAGGCCGAGACCAAGGCCAAAGCTGCTCGAGAGAAGGAAGAGGCTGACGCCAAGGCTGCACAAGAGAAGGAAGCCGCCGAAAAGGCTGCCGCCGAAGCTGCTGCCAAGAAGGCCAAAGACGATGAAGAGGCCAAGAAGAAGGAGCAGGAGAAGGCCAAGCTCGAGGAAGAAGAAGAGCAAGAGCGCATGATCCGCGAGATGGAAGAAGCAGAGCGTCTCGAAGAGGAGCGCGAGAACGCCTTCAAGGAGAAGCAACGAAAGCAGAAGGAAGAGCAGGCCAAGATCGAGGCCGCAAGAAAGGACGAAGAGCTCAAGAGACTCGAACGTGAGGCCGAGGAGCTCGAAGAGAAGAAGGCCAGCGGCGCCAAGTCTTCGGATGAGGACGCTGCTGCTCTGTTTGCCAGCCTCAAGAAACCTCAGCTCGGACCTGGTGCCAGTGCTGCCTCTGAAAGCGGTACTTCGACTCCTACTTCGACCACCACTGACATGCCGCCTCCCCCGCCCCAGCCTGCTTCTCAACCCAAGCCTGCCACCTCTACCAAGCGGCCGACTGCGCTCAAGCTAGAGACTCACAAGTCCGTCGAGCCCGCGCAGCCCACTGCTGGGATGGAGTCACTCAAGTCCGCTCGCTTCCTCCAAGTTCGCGACGAGCTCAAATACCCATCTGGGATCCAGTCGCCAAACCCGGCACTCAACCAGGGCGGAAAGACCAAGGGTCGCCAATACGACAAGGAGTTCTTGCTCCAATTCCAGGAAGTCTTCAAGGAGAAGCCCTCGGTCGACTGGGACAGCAAGCTCAAGGAAACCGTCGGCGATGGGACTGACTCTGCCCGTCCAGGCTCGTCACGCACACCGGGTGGGATGGGTCCTCGCGGCAGCTCGATGCGTGGAAGTGTTGGTGGCAGCAGTATGTCGATCATGGGCCAGTTCAGTGGCCCTGCTGGCCGCACACTGCCCCCTGGTACTACCTCTCAAGATCGCTTCAACCTGTCTTCGTCGTCACAGCGCGGCAACATGACCAACCCTCTCGCCAGCCTGGTCAACCGCCCTGGTGGAGCATTCCCGATGGGGGGCAACCAAATGGGTCGTCAACCGTCCTTTGGTGGCATGCCTCAGAACCAGGGTACTTCACGACAGGGCAGTCATCGTGGCAGCAAGCGGGGCGGCCCGCGTGGTAACGATGGTCGGCAACCGAGCAAGCGTGAGGAAGAACAGGCTGCCAAGGCCATGCCTTTGACTGCCGGCATGGACCTCAAACCGCTTGAGATGTCCAAGACGGGCTGGAAGCCAACGAGTCTGACGGGTGCTGCGCCCGCCGTCCTGCCTGGCGGACACATGGCCCCAGACATGGTCCAGCGCAAGGTCAAGTCAAACCTGAACAAGATGACGCCAGAGAACTTTGAGAAGATCACCACTCAGATCTTGGATATTGCCGGCCAGTCCGTGCATGAGACCGACGGCCGCACCCTTCGACAAGTCATCCAGTTGACGTTCGAGAAGGCATGTGACGAAGCACACTGGGCTTCCATGTACGCCAAATTCTGTAAGCGCATGCTGGAGACGATGAGCACCGAAATCAAGGATGACAACATCGTCGGCAAGGACGGTTCACCCGTAGTGGGCGGCGCTCTCTTCCGGAAATACCTGCTGAACCGTTGTCAAGAAGACTTTGAGAAAGGCTGGGAGGCAGACTTGCCCGCGAAGCCCGAGGGCGAGAAGGAGACGCAGAGCACCGAGGTGCAGATGCTGTCGGACGAGTACTACATTGCGGCCGCGGCGAAGCGTAAGGGTCTTGGTCTGATCCAGTTCATTGGCGAGCTGTACAAGCTCAACATGTTGACGCTCCGTATCATGCACGAGTGTGTGTTGAGGCTGCTCAACTTTGAGGGTCTGCCGGACGAGTCGTCGATTGAGAGTCTGGTCAAGCTGATCCGAACGATTGGTGCTACCATGCATGCGTCCGAACAGGGCGAGAACATGATCGCCGTCTACTTTGATCGCATCTCCAAGATCGAGAAGATGGAGGGACTCAACAGCCGTCTCCGCTTCATGCTCTTGGACCTCATGGACCTGCGCAAGGCTGGCTGGAAGTCCAAGGACGACCAGAAAGGACCAAAGACAATCACTCAGATTCACGCCGAGGCCGCTGCCGCCCAGGCTGCCCAGGAGCAAGAGCGCCTACGTCAAAACCAACGCGGTGGTGGTAACCGCATGCCTATGGGCCGTGGAGATGCTCGCTCTGCGTCTGGACACATGCCCCAACCGGACTACCAACGCAACGTCGTCGGTATGGATGATCTCAGGAAGCTGTCCAAGAACGCGGCTTCACGCACCAACAGCCAAAGCCCCGGTACGTTCGGCCCAAGCTCTCTCTTTGCCGGCCGTACCAGCAGTGGCCGACGCGGTCTCGGGCCAGGTACGCTCGGACGGGGTGACGAGTCTGGCGCATCGTCTCGCACCGCCACTCCACCCACCAAGGAAAAGGAGCCGGCAACCCACACGAATTCGTTCAGGTAAGTGGAACATGAAATGAATTGTCAACAGCATACTAATCGGGATCCAGTGCCCTTGCAAGTCTAAATGCTCAGGAAGAGGAATCCGCAGAGGTTGGCTCAAACCCTTCATCGCCGCCAGTTGCCAAGACCCAAGCCGCACGCTTGCAGGAGGCTGAGGCGGGCAAACCATCCGAATCATGATTGCGCGTCTTTCCGTACGTGCAATCTCACTCAAAGCATAGCGACGGTCGGCCATTCCTCATGAAGCTGGCTCGACTCCCTTTCTTCTTGTTCCTATAGACTTTGCCTTTGCGGCATACTGTATCTGCATTTCGTGGTGTTCTTTGCCATCGAGTCCACTTCGGAAACTTTGTGTTAACAAAAAGCGTTCGAGGCTCGTTTGTCTCACAAGCAAAAGTTTGAGGGCCGCTCTTCAGCGTGGATGAGGTGCTGTACCTCGTCCCTGCACGCCGCCCCTCTCGCATCATGCTATAGACCCGGACCATTACCCCCCTTGGCGTCACGGAGTTTGAGGGTCTGTGGACTATCTGTCGTACTGTCGACAACTGGTTCCGCGCGGACACTATTTGTTGGAAGCGCTTGCGCTATTCTCTTTCATGCTGTGTTCATATATCGCGAATGCTGTTTTATCTCATATTGCCTTTCGACTGATTCCCCCTCGAGCGAGCGGCATCATCACTGCACGCCGTGGTTGTGACCGACCACAGCTGCTATAGTCAGTGGCTACGCCCATTTTAATAACAGACGACGGGATGGTGGGGACGGAATGGTGGGAAAAACGGGCGGGAAGCCAGGGCGAAGCGAAGCAAAGAAAGGAGAAGGTGGTTATCACGGGATAGACTGCGTTGTTTTTCTTGCTTGTTCTTGTTGTTCTTGTTTCCTGATCATGTTATTTTGCCCCCTCGACCCGACCAACCTCCTTTCTTCCCTGCAACAACAATACCAAAGCCAGCTGCGATTTGTTTTCTTGCTTACTCTTTTCTTTAACTCTCGGACTGACTGAGAGAATTGAGAAAAAGGGGGGGGCCTTTGAATGGAAGAAGCATCACTCGGGCTAGCTTTGTGTTCTTTTTTTTCTCGCCTTGTCCTTTTTCTGTATAAAGCTTATTTACAGCTAGCCACCCACCCTCCAACAAATGCGTAGTACTGCGAGCGTTACGTAGGTGGCTAGCTCTCTCTAGCAAAAACTTTGTCGGTTACCTTCATCGTGCCTGCGTGGTGCTTGTGCTTGTGCTTGTCGTGTGAGTGTGAGTGTGAGTGTGAGTGTGAGTGTGAGTGTGAGTGTGAGTGTGAGTGTGAGTGTGGGTGTGAGTGTGAGTGTGAGTGACATATGACCACTTGGCCTTGATGATGATGCGGGTCCATCTATAGCTACCGCATATAGCCTTCTTGGAACGAATGAACAGTCATGCCGGACATGTGTATGTATATGTATTTTATATATACACACATCTATATCCATCTATCCATACACACCACACCCACCTCCAACCACAACACAGCAGACACACCGTCAGTTTTTTTCCCCCTTTGATTTTAGGGTCTTGTTTGTGCATCCATTCATTCATTCATTCATTCATACATCCAATTCCATCCATTCCAGTCTAATCCAATGCCAATCCAATGCCAATCTCATCCCCTCCACACCCTTCATTCAGACGACATCATCCTCAATCCCACACGTCCGCTCCATCCCACTCGCCCCAGCGCCAAAGTGCCATTTCACGAGCCCGCTGCCGCTAGTCCACGCCCAGAGTTCTTCTTCGGCGCTGAATGCAATGTTGTAGATTACGTTGGTGCTGGGACTGTTGCCGTTGTTGCCGTTGTTGTCCTTCTCCAACGATAGCGTGAGACTCGGCGCGATATCGACGATGCAATCTGGCGAGGCGTTGGAGGGGTGGTATGTGGGCGAATCGGGGCGGGGTGGGTTGTTGTTGTCGTCGTCTTCTTCTCCATCACCATCACCATCCTCATCCTCCTCAAACCCCAAGCACCACCGCCGATCCCGCCCGCCCACATCCAGAAGCCCGCGTGCCTCGACCGCAAAAACACACACGGTGCCCCACGCCGCCACTGCGATCCTTGCCCGCAGCGGCGAAAAGGCAATGCATAGCCCTGCCGAGGAGATATGCTGGACGTCGATCGCTGGTGTTGTTACGAGGCGCGCGACATAGCGCTGGTGCACGGGCTCGGACGGGTCGGATGCTGAGACGTCAAAGGGGGCGCAGGGGGGTGTGGTGGAGAGGGCTTTGGTGAGGTATATACCCGGTTCTAGGCCCGGGAGTGAGATTGGGGGATGGGCGTGGACGAGGAGGTGGAGGGTTGAGGTTAGGCAGCGGGGGTTGTTGTGGGGGAGGCAGTTGTGGTGCCAGGTGAAGAGGAGGCCTTGTCGGGGGCCGATGAAGGAGAGGGGTGGGTTGGGGGCTGGGAGGAGGAGGTGGGTTGGGGGGAGTTCGAGGATGACGAAGCCGCGCTGGAGGCTGTATAGGGAGGCGGGCATGCGGTTTGCGGGGGAGGATAGTTCGAGGAGGTCGGGGGTGCGCCAGGACAGTTTGGAGAGGAAGGATGGGTGTTGGGTGGGGAAGCTATGCGTGGATAGCTTTGAGGGTTGCTGAAGGGGAGGAAGGTCGGCGAGGGCGTTGTCGGCGGTGGCGGAACGGGATGGAGCGGCAGACCAGATGTATAGCTTGGCCGGGTATGCGGGCGGGCCGATGTGATACTCGACGCGGGGCCTGTCGTGCTGGACGACGGAGACAAGGTTGGCTGAAGCGGATGAGTATGCCAGGCCGTCGGACCAGGGGAGCAGGAGCGAGTTGTCTTGCTTCTCCTCATACGCCCCGCGTTCCTCGACGGGCATGGCTTCTTCGTGCTCGAGGAGCTGGTAGTCGACGAGGGTGAAGGCACGGGCGGTGCATAGTCCGTCAGGGGTCAGGAATGGTTGTCCTTTGTCGAGTTTGGGCGAGGCTGGGGTGACGGCGGACTCGGATGAATACAGCACGCTCAGGGAGGGCGGACAGAGGCCGGGAGGCGATTCCGAGGACGCAGGTGCTGAAGCTTCGGGGTCGGAATGGAAGACGAGATCGGTAAAGCGCATGCGATAGGGGTGCGGAGGGTACGGGGCGATATAGGAGACGCGGCGTACACCGGTGGCAGGATTGATAAAGAAGATGTGAATGGACTGATCGTCGATACAGAGCGCAGCGGCGTGGAAATGGAGGCCGAGGCCGGAGTGCGAACAGGGTAGCAGGACGGCCGTCTTCGCGTGGTATCGGTGTGGTGGATTGAGGAAACGAGTGAGGTCGGGCGACAGGACTCCGGGCTGGCAGAGGGACCTTGCGGATAGCTGCGAAAAGTAGTGCAAGAGGCTTGGGCCGTGGTAGTCGGCGTGGTGTCCGGGCAGACCAGGGAGATATGAGTCTATCATGGTGCGTAGGAGGGCATCGTTGCTCTGAACTAGCTTGCGGAGTGTGCGGCATGTTGATTTGATGGCGGACAGCGACAGGGGCTCGAGATAGTAGAAGATGGACAAGATGAGCTCTGACGGCAGTCTTAGTAGAGATGGCATATTTGAAGATTGAGAACGCGGAGGGGGTTGGTGGGGGATTGCATTCATGATGTGTATGTGTGGTGCGTGCGAACAGAGTGAATAACAAACTAGTCAAGGTTGAAGAACAAAACAAGTTAATATCTTGCTGCCTTAATGTCTCGCTGCCTTAATGTCTCGCTGCCTTGTTGCCTGCGTTTGTCTAATGTCTTAATGCCTTACCGCCTTACCGCCTTACCGCCTTACCGCCTGAATGCCTAAGGAGTCTTTCCCTCTATCTCAACACCACTTCACGAACAGACACTTCACGACCTCATGCCCAGTGTTCCAGTAATACCCCTTTTCTACAAACACTCATACATCTTCATACGGACCTGTAGCATTTCACGGCAGTACACAAAGTTGTCGCGACTGGCATGAATGTGCTGCTGCCATCGAGTTCGCGAGACGGTATATCAGTCGTATGAGAGGCTCGTCTCGTGGCCAACCTACCTTCGTATCCTCATAACGCCGACGATTGCGAGGTTGGAACAAGGCGCACGATCGTGATATGAAAGGGCAAGATGAATTTCATGCATCTTATGAGGCTCTACTATACAGCACTGCAAAAATAAACTAATTATACCAACGTATGGCTGCGCAGGCCCAGACCTTGTCGGATGACTCGTACTAGACGTAATACACAGTGAAACTGAGACCACAAACAGTGAACACGGCGCCCCACACGCCCAGGATTAGCTGCCAACCCGCCTAGGATTAGCTGCCTACAAGCCCGGGTTTAGCTGCCCCTGCGTTCCCCTATCATCTTGTGTCTCACGCCGCTTGGTGCTCACTGCGCGATAACTAAGAAGCACACCATGCGATTGTCTTATAAGGCTGGCTGGGTCAACTAAGTATGGATTGGTTAGGTAAGGTAAGTAGAGCCCGTCTAAGCGATCGAATCACGCGACGTCCATCTGACTGGTGTTCATCCGCTCGAGAGATCAATCCCGAACTCGTCGGCCTCAGAGTTTTCATCCCTCGTCTTCTCAATGTAACCTGCTATAAAGTCCCCATATTTGCTAATTGAATCGCTTCTCCCCTTTACTCTGTCTGCCCTGCCCATTGCAAACTCCCTTCTCCTCGTGGTTCTCGTGCTGCTCGTGCTGGCGGAACCCCTCGCCTGAAACATACCACCATGGCCACCACTACTCACATTGCCGCTTCCGACGTGAACGAATATGACTTTATTATTGTAGGAGGCGGCACCGCCGGCTGCGTTGTGGCAAGCCGTCTGTCCGAGTATATGCCCCAGAAGAAAGTCCTGTTGATTGAGGCTGGTCCCAGCGACTATATGGACGATCGTGTTCTGCTGTTGAAGGATTGGCTCAATCTGCTTGGCGGAGAGCTGGACTACGACTATCCCACCACCGAACAGCCCATGGGCAATTCGCACATCCGGCATTCCAGAGCAAAAGTCCTGGGTGGCTGCTCCTCGCATAACACGCTCATCTCCTTCCGGCCGTTCGAGTACGACTGCAAGCGGTGGGAAGCCCAGGGTTGCACGGGCTGGAGCTTCAAGAACTTCACTCGTCTCCTCGACAATCTCCGCAACACCATCCAGCCCGTCCATGAGCGCCATCGCAACCAGCTCTGCAGAGACTGGGTCGAGTCTTGCTCGTCTGCACTTGACATCCCCGTGATCCACGACTTCAATCACCAGATCAGAAATACCGGCTCGCTAAAGCAGGGCGTCGGTTTCTTCTCCGTCTCTTACAACCCCGACGATGGTCGACGTAGCAGTGCCAGTGTCGCCTATATCCATCCCATTCTGCGTGGCTCCGAGAGGCGTCCAAACCTGACCATCCTGACCAACGCATGGGTCTCAAAGGTAAATGTCCAGGGCGACAAAGCCACAGGTGTAGACGTAGCCCTTCAAAACGGCGAGAAGTACACTCTGAAAGCCAAAGCCGAAACCGTGCTGTGTGCCGGAGCCGTCGACACGCCCCGTCTGATGCTGCTGTCTGGTCTCGGCCCCAAGCAGCAACTCGAGCAGCTCAGCATCCCCGTCGTTAAAGACATCCCCGGTGTCGGCGAGAACCTGCTCGACCACCCGGAGACCATCATCCTCTGGGAGCTGAACAAGCCCGTGCCCGCAAACCAGACCACCATGGACTCCGACGCCGGCATCTTCCTCCGCCGCGAGCCCGCAAACGCCGCCGGCGACGACGGCGACATTGCCGACGTCATGATGCACTGCTATCAAATCCCCTTCTGCCTAAACACGGCAAGGTAAGACTCTCGCCGCCCATACGCACCACCCGCCCATATGCGCCCATCTCCCACATACTTCTTTCCCCCTTGACTCTGCCCACTCACTCACTCACTCACTCACTCACTCACCACTCACCACTCACCACTCACACAAACAGACTCGGCTACGACTCCCCCATCGACGCATTCTGCATGACGCCCAACATCCCCCGCCCCCGCTCCCGCGGCAGACTCTACCTCACCTCCTCCGACCCCACCACCAAGCCCGCGCTCGACTTCCGCTACTTCACCGACCCAGAAGGCTACGACGCCGCAACCATCGTAGCCGGCTTCAAAGCCGCCCGCAAAGTCGCCGCCCAAGAGCCCTTCAAATCCTGGCTCAAGCGCGAGGTCGCGCCCGGTCCAGACGTACAGTCGGACGAGCAGCTCTCCGAGTACGGGCGGCGCGTCGCACACACCGTCTACCACCCGGCCGGCACGACGAAGATGGGCAATGTGCAGGCGGATGGGAAGGTGGTGGTGGATGCGCAGTTGAGGGTGCGGGGCCTCGCGGGCCTGCGTGTTGCGGATGCGGGCGTGTTTCCGGATATGCCGACTATTAATCCTATGCTTACTGTGCTGGCGGTTGGTGAGCGGGCGGCGGAGTTGATTGCGGAGACGTGGGGGTGGAAGGGCATGCAGAGGGAGCGGTTGTAGATATATATGTATGTGATGTGACGGGACGGGACGGGACGGCACAGCACGGCACGCGGCGATGATATAAGGTATGTTCTGGGTGAACGGTTTGTATCAGCAATGTTTTTCTATGTTACAAGTGGTTTTGGCTAGAACGACATCCATGATATATCACGAATGTAGGATTTGACTGGCCATGAACAGTCTTCCTTTCATGGACACTCAATATCCTTTATAGAATCTATGCTGAGAATGATATACATCATAATTTTGCTCATCACGACTAAGCGGCATGCTGACGACTATGGAGCTGGCAGGATATCTGGTCTGGTCCAAAGGTACTATACTCACTGTTCTCGAGCTACATTCTTGCTCGCTCACAGCACCATTGAACTAATAATGCAAGATAGTCATTACTTGCCTGAGGCAGGAGTCTCAACGTCAATCAATCCTACTGTGCCACATACTGCGCCACACGACGGAAATATATACTCGACCTGCTGTCTCCATGTTTCTTATCCACTGTACAAGCTTCAGAAGGGCGTCCAGCGTCGTAGGTAGATCCGACCGCGTCCATGTCACAGACAAAGTTCCTCCAGGCGAAACAACCTGTGTGCCCCAAGGGCCAGCATTCCAAGAGCCCAGTACATCTCCAGAGAGAACATAAACAAAACAAAACCAAATCCCTAATTAATGGCATCCTCCCTAGCTCCAGAAGAACCGCCTCCTCCGTCCTCAAAACCGTCAATAATACCCCCTCCGAGCTCTCCCAAACCCTCGCGGTCCTTCCAGCCCAGCGACTCTCGGCAACCTGCGAATCCCATATATCGACAGCGATATGAATAAAAGCCGGCGAAACTGTCGTCTACCCCATATTCCAGAGAGACATACTCCATCCGAGACGATCCTAACTTTGCCCCGGTGACGCAGCGATCGATAGACGGAAGATTGTCCGCGGTGTGTGTATGCAGAGGCGATACACTGTAGGGGCTCCATGCGGAAGGAAGACTGGATTCATAGCGGTGGTATTCTCTCTTTTCCAAACCGTTTTGGCAGATCTGATGGTCGTATATGTGAAGCTTGATCACATCCTATCAGATATCTACTCCTGCGGGCTTGTCGTAAGTGGCCACTCCTACCAAACAGTCCTCCAGAATACCCCTACACTATGACCCTACCACAGAACATATCCACGCCCGGCGCCAGCACTCTCCTCCTCCATCTCGACGGCTACAACTAGCATCCAGGCAGCTACGACGGTAGCGGCGTGACCGACGAACAAGAAACCCTCCCCCGGCACATTCTCCTCCTTCGGGCCCCCTTATCCGCGCCGGAAATCCTTCAAGCACCTCCGCGACGACGACGACGACGACGAATAGTCCAAGAGCTCACCAATACAAAAGACGTCGAATCATACTATTAATTAATATATCAGTATATCGGGACAGGTGCTGGCCGCCACGTCAGTCAGTCAGTCAGTCAATCACACACACAAAGCACAGAAAACCCCGCCCTCTGATTGGCCCGAGCCGGCACGAAACAGGCAATTACAAAGTGAACAACGTCATGGAACGTAGTCGCAATATTTGCTGCTTGCGCGACATTGTAAGCCTGGACGGCGGGGGGGTCTGGCAGCTAATTTAGGGGCCTGTTTTGCTGCCATATTACCCACGGGGCCAGTCGTCGCGCATAAATATCTTACCTGATATCGAAGGAAATATAGAAAGCCACCCCTCAATGAAGAGATGTATTGTGTTCTTGGAGAGTACATGCATAATGCTAGGACGTATAAAAGTACACATATACGTATACAGTGTGTATCTACATTCTTTTCCGCATTCCGTTTCGTTTGTCGTTCGAGTGGTAAACAAAGCACACTGGGCATGGAAACAAAGCAGAAGCGTCGAGAGAACACGAATCTATATATATATGTAAGTAATCGGTCAGTCAGTCAGTCAGTCAGTCAGTCAGTCAATCAGCCAACTAATTAATCAGTCAACCAGTCAGTCAGTCAACCAGTCAACCAGTCAATACACCACCACCAACACCCTACCTACGTCCCATCCCACCCAACCAAACACACCATCGCCTCCACACCACACCACACACCACACCACACCCCTCGACCCCATCCAAACCCCACCCAACCTCCTCCAAACCAACCAAACCAACCCAAAAAAATGCGCCCAATCCCCCTCTCAATCCCAATCGCCAACCTCATGTCCATCCTCCTCCTCAGCGCCCTCACAGCCAGCCTCCCAACAACCCAATCCGCCTGCGCAGCACGAGTGGTACGACGGTACGGAATCTATGCCGCGACAGGGCTAGAATTGGGACTTAGATCCGGGGCTGCTGGACACGTGGACGAGGAGGACGATGGGGTAGTGCGTGCGAATGGGGGGAACGGGGACGGGGACGGGGCACGGTGATGGATGAGGAGGGAGGATGGTGTTGTGGTTTTTTTTTTTGGGGGGGGGATGAATTTACGAATGAAGAGGCGAATGGATAAATGAACGAATGAATGAATGAATGAATGAATGAATGAATGAATGAATGAATGAATGAATGAACAAATGAATGAATGAACGAATGGCGAGGCTTGAGGGAGTGAGTGAGTGGCTGAAGGGACGAAGTGGAGTGGAGGGTATTTATGAAGAAGGGATAAGTAGAGGATAGGATTCAAATTCCAGTGCACTCGACGACGTTCCAACCATGATTAATGTTCTCCTTGCTCCTATTCTGCGATCTGATTGAAAACCGCGGTCTATGCTCTTTTTCATAATACACTTCGCGCTGCTCTACAGACCTCCCGTCTACTTCCAGAGCTTGCTCAAACTCGTCGCCTTGTCGTCATGCTTGTTCAACACCTTCGCTGTCGCGAGGTCAAAGTCCTCTTGTGTGACGTGCACTCTCCGCTCTCGTAGCGCATACATGCCTGCCTCCGTGCATACACCCTTCAGCTCTGCCCCTGAACATCCATTCATCTTTTCTGCAATCTTCGTCAGGTTGATGCCGCGCGTGAGGTTCATGCTGCGGCTGTGGATGCGTAGAATGTCTGCACGCGCCTCGACCGTTGGTGGCGGAAACTCGATCTTACGGTCGATGCGGCCCGGTCGAAGGAGCGCTGGGTCGAGGATATCGAGACGATTGGTGGCCATGATGATCTTGATATTCTTAGTGGGCTCAAAACCATCGAGTTGATTCAGCAGCTCCAGCATAGTGCGCTGGACTTCCGAGTCGCCGCCAGATGAGCCTTCGACACGGGACGACCCGATGCTGTCAATCTCGTCCATGAAGATAATGCTAGGCGCATGTTCACGCGCCATGACGAACAGCTCGCGCACCATACGTGAGCCCTCACCGATATATTTCTGCACCAGCTCCGACCCTGACACGCGGATGAACTTGCAGTCTGTGTGATGGGCGACGGCACGAGCGAGAAGTGTCTTTCCTGTACCCGGGGGGCCGTATAGGAGAACACCCTTCGGCTGAGCGATACCGAGAGACTCGAAGAGCTCTGGATGCTTGAGACCAAGCTCGATGACTTCTTTGATCTCTTTGATCTGCTGATCCAGACCACCGATCATATCGTAGGTAGAGTCGGGCACCTTTTCCACCATCATGAGAGACACGAGCGGATCGACGGAGGAGGGAAGCATCTTCTCGAGTTTATAAGAATCGGATAGGAGGGTCACGCGTTTCCCGACGGTGAGCTTCGCGATATCGACGTTGTCTGAAATGTCCACGACTGCGCAGCCACGACGTCAGCATGCATTCTACCACGCATGGCGACAAGTGGGCACGTTTCGTCGCACCAGCTATTTTTCACGTACCATATTTGCCCTCTGGATGCACCTTGACGAGTACCTTCTTCGTCCCCATCACCTTGACCACCTCGCCGACGTACGACCCTGGCTGTTGCAGCAGCCCTAGCTCTTCGCGAAGCAACCGTACTCTCGAGTTGTAGTCATTCCGTTGTGCTTCCAGACGTCTGAGTACTGCCTGTCCTTGTATTATTTCGAGCTTCATGCTCTCTATCTTGTTGTGGAAAAAGGTGTCGAGCGCCATGATGGACGACGGCAAGGGCGGCAAACGAAGGTTGAGACTGTGACTGAAACGGAGGCTAGGTGTAGACTGAGCCAAGGAGTGAGATGAGTAGTCAAGAGACTCAGCGCTTGTGAAGTCGGGCAGAGTGGAAGCGTTTAGATGATGCAGGTAATCGTGGTTGGTCGGAGGTCCATTGCGAGATCTAGCTTCACCGAAGCTCAGGTCCGGCCGGAGATACTTCGGGACAGTCACCTGTCGACAACACGGGTAGTCCTGAATGAGATACAGAGTTTCCAAGACTTGATTGGTGCATCAATATTATCAACTACATCTGTATACGTTCGGCATTCTTGTCGTTTCATCAGATGAGGATGTCGATTTAGATCTTGTGCTGTTCAATGTGATTCTTCTATGCCCGTAACATTATATCTACAGAGCAGTAACGAAGTAACGAGTGTGAGACGGGTATCATCAGTATGTGCAGAAATCCAAGCCAGGCACCACCCTATGTGCATTCAATAAGATCCTGAATATGTGCTCCATACGCCTTATTCGTACCCCGACGGAAAATGACAAATACATATAACAGAATATCGCAAAATGATCACCCTGTACTGGAAGGCCCCCACTCGTGCCGAGTCGCTGGGGTGTTGTTTTCACTGCCACTTGCCGTCGGATTCCTCTCCTCGGGCAATCGACCAGGTTCAGCTTGTCGAGTGCGGATGCCGAATGTTCGATTTAATCGTTCAGCAAGTCGTCTTCTTCGTGAGTCGTTTGCTGCGCCGTCGGTGACATCGTCATTCGTCGATCGTAGACGTCGAAGCTCAGCAATGCGTTCATCACGCGTCATCGTACGACTAGAGCTGAATATGTACGTTAAAGCGCTTCGTCTGCGGAGATCCTCTTCGAGGGGCGGTGCATCAGAGGGACTGCGAACTGCCTCATCTTCGGTGGCTTCAGGCGGGCGAAGGTCTATGCGACTATGAAGGGGTTAGCTAAAGAATGGACCAGCAGGATTTGATTATGTCTTACCAAAGCGGACACGTTCCGGAAACATTGAGAAGCCATTGATCAACACAGCCAGCGTGGAACTTGTGGTCGCAAGGTAGGACTCTAACGTCCTGGCCACGTTCGAATTCTTCGGCACATATAGCGCATTCCAATCCTGTTGCCTCACGGTTTGATACGTCGTCTGTACTCTTAGCCTCTGCTGGTGCAATACCACCCGTGTTCTCTAAGCTCTTCTTGGGAGCGCTTGCTGCCGTGGACGTAGCTACTGTGCTTGCGACCTCCAATTCCTCTGTCGTCGCTCCCGTGTTGGTGCCTGTCTGTTTACTGCTAGTCCCGAGCTCTACATCATTCGGCTTCGATGCTTGCTCTTCGCCAAACTTGACGATTGGAAGAGTGTCTAGCATGGCTCGTGCGATGCCACGGGCTCTACTTTGCCTCGGTCGGCCGGCGCCATCTCTGGGACCATACCTTTCTGGATGCCGATGCGCTCTGACAGCGCCAGTCATGATTATGATCAGGAACAATGCAGTGATGACACCCGTGATGCTATACAAGATAATCATCGCCACTGCAGTCGACGGAGACGGACCTCCTGGAGGTTCTGTCTGGTTGTTTGGCCCCGCCCTCTGTATTGAGACCAGGAACTCTGAGGTGGTGGAATTCGCAGCTTGCTGAAGCCTACTCAGCAAGTCTGTTGCGTTCCGTGTGCCAATCATGGTATATATAGATAATGCGTCGAGGCTCTGATCTGCAGTAGTGTTCGCAACACAACCTGCTTCTGCTACCTGACTGAACAACAGAACAGCAGATGCCCTTCGATCTTTCATAACGATGTTTACAACATTCGCAGCTTGTAAGTTGCCAGGATAGTCTCTCGCGTCGCAGCTAATGTAAGCGACATTTTTCCCTCCTTGAGTGGGGAACGTGTTGGCATTGTCCGTATTGGCTATGATGAGGTTGGCCATTGTACCTGGCTGCCACGGTATTAGGCCCTATGATACAAGTCTAACAACTACAGGCTGACTTACGTTGTCTCTTGCTGCGGCCGTCATGCCCTCGATGTCGGCAATGTGACTCGTATCGCCGCCAGCCAGATCGAACTGCGGTTCTGCAGCCCTAGCCTGATCAGCGGCATGTATTGCAGTTGTTGATTGCGCAACGATGGTAGTTGCGGATGCTACCGCTACCATGAGCTTGTACGTCCATGATACCATGGTTGTGGGTATGGGTTGCGCGAGCAGTAGTAGTTGTTTAGGACGAGACAAGCGTCATTGCTGTATGTCACTTATGGCAGAGATCACTCGTCAAAGATCGTGCAAGAGAATGATGTGAGGGGCGAAGACAGTGTAGCATGACATGGCTCGGTATCAGATCATGAAGACCCAAGGTAGATATGGGGAAATCGTGAACGTGCTGCGCTGGGGCCGCCCGGATCTGATCGCCCCACTTATCCTGCCGTCACTCAGTAGTCCCGTCACTTAATTACTCAGTACTAGTCAGACCCAGCCCCAGCCCCTAAGCGTATCAGTTCTTAATGGCGTATTCGCGTATTGGCGTCTTGGCTCACCGCGCAGAAACACCTCACCTCATGGCTGGGCAGCTCTCCGCCAAGCAGCTTTTTCACTGTGATTCCAGCATATCAATCCGACTTTCTTCTACACAGCCCCATAGCGACGAGGACGAGTTCAGACATCCCGGCCCAGACATGATATACATGGCTTCGTCAGCATCAAGATAATTGGCTAACAGTAGTGCCTCCACCATACACCCTCGGATCCGCTAACTCCGAAGCCAAGTCTGAAACCGTCCTTGATGTCTCGCTTCGTAGTTCATCGTGGCGTGGCGTGATCAACAAACGTCATGGAGTATTACTTATTGGCGTCGAGTAGGCTTGTCTGTCATTTGTCTGCAAGAATACTGCAAATGAAGAATGTGTTGGGTTATCTTGTCTTATTAAAACTCCTTCACGTATGCATACCATGCTTCAACAGCGAAGGAAGAAAAAAAGAGATGCCAAACCCTGACTCGCGCTTATATCTGCTATGCCCATGTCTCATAATGTGTACCTGGGCGCCTCGCTATGTGTTGAATGATGATTCCTGGTGGTAGAATCACCGGAAGGGTTTCCGTCTTAGAGTAGTATATCGTCTTGCAATGTATTGCCGTCTATTCGGCGACAACGTTATCCTGTGTCTAGACACCAGCCAATTACCGATCTCTGTATCATCGATCGCTATGCAATGCAGAGATGAAAGTTCGAGTCTCAACTTGATTAAGATGCCACAAATGCGCAGCCGGGAAGAAGCAACAACGCAAATCAGAGTCGTCGTCGCTAGAAAGCCCGGCCGTGAGTGCCACTGCCCTTGACTTTGAAGCTGGAGGACTCAAATCGCGTACTCTCTAAAAGACCACCAAGCGCCAGTGTATCGTACGGATCAACACCATTCAGGCCCGCTTCGTTGAAAGACGACAAGTAGAATCCGACAGTGACGACGAGGTATGCCAGAATCAAGATAGACCCTTTAAAGTAGTTGCTTCTCCCCTCACCGTATACGTACGATAGAAGGAAGACGCAAAGCACTACCGTAACCATGTCCCATTGCGGGAAAATAAGAGCTGTTCGTCGTCGTCAGTGGTGCTGGTAACGGGAATGTGTCTATAGACTCACTGAAGGTATGGTGTATGACTTCTTTGGAATCGACGAGACCAGATGCACCGTAGAAAGCACTGAACAGCACCAATGCGGGTACTTGAAGCAGACAAACTTGAAGGGCGTAGGCGGAGCCGATCTCCATGGACAGAGCAATGTTACCGTTCATTGCAAACGAGATAGCGTTCTATTTGTGTCAGTAACTTTAGTGCTCGTTCGAGGTGGAGACCTTACAAGAAATTCCGTTGTATTCGGAACCAGTGCGAAAAGCGTAATACCCAAGAACTTTTCGTCGATATCCACATTTTCGAGCACAGCATCGACAGTATTCACAAGAATCTCAGCAATGATTGCATAGGCGACAGTTGCGCTGAGAAGGATGGCCGTACTCTTCTTGCGACTCCAATTAGGGGCGTCGTGACCACCGGCTGCCTGCTCAGCTGGTGCTTCACCATGGGCATGCGTCTCTTCGACAGTCGAGCCTCGGTGGCTATGTGCTCGTACCGTGGCAGCAGCCTGTGTTACCTTTCGTGGCGCCTTCGTTGCATCACGAGCAGCCACAGCAGCGGCAGTGGCGGCTATTTCAGCGATGCACTGGGTGATTGCATTGTTCTGCTCATCCGACAGGCCTTCGACATGAAGACTTTCGGGCTGTGCCATCTCACCGTCAGCCTTCGGCGGTACGACATGTGGTGTGGACGGTATGGTGCTGGGAGCAGTCGAAGACTTCTTATGGTTTTCGTGAATGACTTCCCCGCTAGTTGTAAGACCTGCAGATTTGAGAGATTGTCCTAGAATACGCTTGTACAACTGTGTTTGTCGGATATCGGATCGCGATGTGCCACTGTGAGCTTCAAAGGATGATTGGAGATTCAGCGTGTGAGGGTGCTCGAAATGTCCACTAGTGCTCAGCTGACTACTGGTCATATCATGCTTCTCGGGCTTCTTTTCATCTATCTCGTTGTTCCAGATGACCGCGGCATGAGTTCTCAACGTGAACAACAGGCCAACGACATATGAGAGAAACAGAAGAACGGAGCAGAACCAGATGTACGGCTTCAGCGCTTCTTTGTAAAAGCGATCATGTATGGCTGGAGCCTGGGAAAAGTAGCATCGTCTGCAGTCGCGATCGCCCGTGTAGGCGTGATGAGCGCATTGATGGCAATTGAGCTCGTGCTAGGAGTCGTTAGCGTAGGTCCAATAAAGCCCGATATACCACTTACACTGCCGTAGATCTGGTAAAATAGCGTAGGACTGAAGCAACCGATAATGGCAAAGAGTAGCATGGTAGATGTCACCCCTGCTGATCTGACGTTGAATCTTTGAGTCTTTCGTTTCAATGCACCAAAGCACATGGACAACCCAGGGAGAAACAGTATAGCAGCAAAGATGCTGCCGATGATACTGCCTTCGACCAGTTGCGCCTTACCCTCTTTCAACGCAACGCAGTACAGGAACACTTCCACAATGGTGGAGAACAGTGCATTGACGGTAGCACCAATGCCCATAGATGATTGGGCCGAAATTGAAGCCACAGCTTGTCCGATGAAGTAGGCCAAAGGTATGATTGAGAACAGTGCAAGCACAAAGACGAAGCCTGAGCTTGTGAGTGCGTTTCTAATTCCAAGAGCTACCCCAAGCACCCAGTAATCGAAAATGACGAAAGCAACAATTCCGAGCAAGTTGATGAGGAAGATGTTTGTACCGTCAATTGTGTATTTCCAATATCTGGTGCCAACAGCACGGTATGTGCACAGTAAGATCGAGGAAGACTGCTCGCCACCCCGTCGGACATCAGAACCATCAGCGTGGAAGGAGAGTGCCAGTGGATGCCGTCGCATATGATCAAATAGTAGTAAAGTCACCTTGCCCATAGGTATTGTAAAAACCAAGAGCCAGCATATACCGGAGACGAGCAGGAGGGACGGTGCCAATAGACCATAGAAGGCGATGAAGAAGATGATGCGACCGAGCGTCCATTTACCGCGACCGAACAGACGTCGCTTTCGGGTATCATTGTCATTCGAATTACTGTTACCACGTCCGGTCCGTCCAAGTAGACTCTGGGTCTCGGAGGCTGTCGAGTCGATACTGTTCCGTCTTCGTCCGATGATAGAGCCCTGTATGTTGATCGGTCCGAAAAAGAGTCGACCTTCTTCGATGTCTCCACTCTGCCATTGCTCGTATTCACTGATGCTTCTTCCTTCACCCTCATCCTCCTCGGCGTATGCTTCATCCTGGATAAGTCGAACATATTTGCCAAACGGATAGATCAAATACCGCGCTAGGCCCAACAGCACAGTTCCATACTCGACACAACTCCCTTGAAACCCAAAGAGTAAACAGAAGAGACCACCGGCAGCAGCAATGGCCGCAAGCCACCATCCGAAGAGAATCGACCATATGAAGTTGAACAGAACTAGCCAACGACTCACGAACAGTCCGGGTGTAGAGTGGATGTCTCCTTCAGCGTTCTTCTGTACAGATCGGTCCTTCTTGTAGAGTGCTGGCTTCCAGATCCTGATACCAAAGGGATGTGTTTCGTTGATGGCTTGTTGCCTGTCTCGCAAAGTAAAGCTCTCTGCATCGCTAAGGTCGGCATCATCGTCGTCTGCACCCGGAGTTTCTACTTCTTCTTCTTCTTCATCCTCACCAGCTACAACGGTTGCCTCTTCTCCAGATGTTACATTGTCATCTGGAGACTTTGGACCAGACAGACTCACCTCGCGAGGTGACATCGGCTCATCATCGTCACCTTCGACTGTCGATAGCTTAGGTGGTTGCGCGGTCACTCTCCTCCGTACGGTCGAGGGCTGCCGCCTGAGAGTGCCAGATGACTGTCTTGCTTGTCTAATCTTCGCCATGTCTTCGTCCACCTCCTCCTGGGCATCATGGACAGAGAAATGTTGATTGCGGTGAGAGGAGGGCCGGCGTCCCATACCAGGTTTTTTGGGGCGCGATTGTTGTGGTGAAGGCTCGACGGAGGTTGAGCCAGTACGGGTTGTGTTGCCAGATATCGTTCCTATTGTAGAATGAGCAGTATTCAACTAGATTACGACTCCTGTACGTACCATATACGGAGGTGGACGTCTGTGACCGGTTGTGATGTCTTCGTTCCGTAGCTGGCGACTGGGTAGAGCTCTCTTGGACCGCGCTCCAGTCCGTTGCCCTCGCTGAAGCTGCAGCTTCTTCGCCAGCAGAGCTTTTCGGTCTCTTTGGATCAGACATTGTCACGGGCCTGGTGTTTAGATCGTGGACCGAGATTCTTTACGCGATGGTAGGGATCGAGACTATCGCGTCGGACTATGCTGCTCAAACGAAGGATGGCACAGCGCGTCCTCAGCCTGCCGGCGTGTCGAAGAGCTGCGGCCGGGCCCAGAAAGTGCGCGTGTTCGACAAGGAATGTAAGACTGAATGGTCATGAGGAAGATATCACTGCATGCTTGGTCGGCCAATGTAGGAGTGATAAGTTGATTATCAAATGTAGCGGGGAAGCTGCAGCAGTGTTGCACGTGGAGAGCAGAGCTCTCTCTCACAAGTGACGACTGGAGTTTAGCTTCGAAGTCCCAAGCATCAACCGACTACACCTACGGCCCTTCAAGCTTTAATTTTGCCTAATGGTTGGTCCGCGCGCAACTCCACACGTCATGCTGCAGAGTCTGGTTAATTTATCTCGAATCTAATTTCCGTTGTCCAAAATATCAATCGGGAGCTGTTTCTGTCATGCACGGAGCTCAAGATTGGTTTAGCCCGAGCCTTGACGTAAACCTTAAAAAAAGGTCGTTGCCGGTTTCTAGGGCATTTTCGGCGAAAAGCGATCTCTGGGGCACCTGTAGCAGTAGTGTGGTGTTAATCACTGGAGCCCAAGAGTCTCGATGTAGGCAATTGCAAACAGATCTTGCGTGAAGTCAGACTATCGATAGAACTCGCGCGCACACTCACATTCAGTCCAAAGACAATGTGATTGCTTGAGAATTTCCATTACAGACAATTTTGCGCACATAGTATGCGTGTCCGCGTGCGTCTTGGCGCGACTTCGTTTTAGCATTCATATTACTTGTAGACTGGCCCGAACATCCCTGGGCTGTCTGCTTTTGCGTCCGCCACAGTCATATCTATCATAATGCGTGTGACATCGGCTGTGAGGCGCGAGGTCGTGGTACGAAAGACGTATTCATGTTACTACCACGGGAACATGCACTTGTGGACCAATAACCTGTGGCCCAGGGTATCATACTCCTTCATTGTGATCCAACTGTCGTTTCCGTTGGGGCTAAGCTTCCCAAACACACTGCCTCCTTTCCAAACGACGACCTGAGGATCCAGCTCCCTAGGCGGCGGACCTATCAAGATTTCTTTCTGGAAACCAGGCTTGAGCGCACGCAGTCGATCTTCGAGCACAGTACCGAACCCGGGCATAGCACCGCCGCCGCCGATGAGCATAATGCCTCCAAAGAAGTCTCGCATTTTGCGCTCGTCGCCACGAGCTCCTTGCGTTATTGATGCAATTATAGCCATGTCAAGTGGCATGACTGGTAGAGTCTTGTCCCTCTCTTCAGCGGCACGGATCTTTTCTAGGGTAGGGTCAAAGAATATTTTGCCTGCATCAGTGGCGTCATTTGTTGCATCAACTGCTGAGGACGCGCCAGCTTGTTGTGGTGTGCCTTCCGGTGCTGGAGATCCGGCGATTGACGAGCGAGGAGTGTTTTCAACTTCGTTGAGGCGAGAGAGAAGACTAAAGTGGGCTTGACGGCTCGGCGTAGAGGTTACAGCAGCCGCTGCTGAAGTCTCTGTTGTTGATTGTGTACCATTTTCTGTCATATTTGAGTATTTCTCAGCTGCAAATTGTATGACTGTGGCTTGCGCCGGGGACAGTGGGTCATTGGGCGATCCATCGTATAAATCATATGAACGGTCAATCAACTTCCGGCGACACTCTAGCTTCTTTGTGTGATCAAAAATTGTAGGTCGAAAGAAGCCCTTTCATTGTCAGCGTGATTTGTAAAGAGTGACGAACAGCTTACCAGAGGCGCCAACATGACTTCGTCGTATGTTCTAAATTCGTATTTCCTCGTATCCTGTCCAAAGGCTCTAAGATGGAACTCCCAGCCATGAACGGTTATATCCTGTTCTTGCATGGTGCAAAACTTTCTTTTCAATTCCTCTGCCAATAGGAAGTCGTAACGCCGCCTGAGATTGATATCTCTATACGGAAATTGATCATGTAGCATCATCCTAACGAATGTTTCGGTGACATCTGCACCGCCGTACTTCATATTGATTCGCGAGTCTTCAGCACAAAGTCCTTCGTCTACGCAGCAAATGGAAGTTTTCTGATGTCCTATATCGACGATGCAGGATATGGAGTACCCAGCGCCGAAAGTAGCCGAAAGACTTTCCTGTTGAAAGCAGACGCGCCCAAATCCAAGGTCTCTGATCAGTATGCTGAGTACCGTCTGAACATAAGTCCGTTCGTAGAGATCCGGTATTATGAAGACACAGCTATACTGTGCCCAATCTTTCCGGTGCGATAAACCAAGTAGGTTATTGATACTTTCTTCCAGTATTGTCGTGAAATCGTTGTATAACAGGTTCTTGTTTGCATAGTCGACTTCGTTGAAACAACCGTTCCGTATGGGCCAGAAAAGTTTGTACCGGGGCTTCGAGCCTTCAGGTATCCGTAAAGCGGCTTCTCCAGTGATATATTCGGGTGGCTGTTTGGAAGGGATCTCGGTCCACTCTATGCGGTGTGGATCGTTATGCTCCGTGATGACGTCGGGTTCATGCCTCTTGTTGAAATTGAGGACCAACTCCTTAGAGTTTGGTAAGAGCCTCCTTTTGTTGTTCCGCATCTGGGTTTTGAGGTCTGCAGACATGCTCGCAAATTCCTTCTTGAAGTCCTCTCCAAACCACTTGTCCATTTTCTCCGGTATCTCGCCATCAATTTTGATTCTTTTGGGTGCCGGTTCGCCGTCGCCCTCTTCAGACTCATTCTCCTTCCATTGCCGCGCGATTACCATAGGTACCGTCTTTGGGAGAGCATCGTTACCAAGTCCTACCCTTAGGTTTTGGCTACCGACATGTATCACTACCAACTTAGATCCGAGAACATCCTGTGAGCCCAGTGCGCCACTCTCCATATCATTGATGTCATCTGCTAGCTCTGTAGTATCTACCATATCACCGGTCTGAGCTAGGGCGCCTCGGTCTTTGTTTTCTCGTGCGGTTTGTAGATGTCGTGCGCGGCTGTCTTCATTCTGTGTTCGGTAGGCAAGGTATTGATCGTCGCGTTTCAAGTATTCACTGGAGGCTATGTTGTTAGCTTATCCCATGGGTAATGCGAACAGCGACCCAAGGGGCGGCAGGAGGCAGGGATTAGAGCTTGTTAAGACAGTCGGGGGCGTACGTGTAGTAGTTCTTCTGATTGATCATATTCACTTGCGGCCATGTCGAGAGGTCCAGACCATTGTCTGTCTTTGCCAATCCTGAAAGACGTTTCGTAAGCTCCTCTGCACGCGCCAGCTAGTCTGCTGGCATAAATGTTGCTGGAAACATACCCTCTTCCCGCATCATCGCCTTGCCGGATTTCTTGCCCACCATCTTGAATGCAATGAAGACTTCGAGCCTGGGTCATATGAGGATATGAGCAGCTCTACTACCAGTTCTAGGTTGTCCACGCTTCAGACTTGTCTGTCCAGCTTCAAACGCGTGCGTCTCGACAATAACACCTAACGGTTAATTACGGTCGGGTGGAGGTGTATCATGAGCTTATCAGATTCTACCGAACTTTCCCCGGCTCAATCTATTCACGTACGCGATTCGTTACGAATGAGGGAATTAAGCATCCTGAATCTGAAGGACATGGAATGTGTGTGCTAGAGCCTCACAATTTATGTATCCATCTTTACGATCTTTTGCGTCTCTCTGGACTGCGAGATTGGGACACGCCATCACAGGTAACAGCGCATGTCAGATCTACTCTATGTCATATTTAAGTACCAGTACCCTTTGCTTAGAGCAGGGTATATCATACAACTCTACCAGGTAAGAGGTTCTGCATAGCTATGTTCAGCTTCAGGACCGATCTAGACATCTTCTTCTACCTTCTCATGCGACGAATCTGAGTCATTCACCGACTGTCTGGCATCAACACCCTGATCCTGACCTAATCTTCGCCATTCCACTGTGACAGTACCGATTACAGAGGCGCAACCGAGTCCGACGGCGACATAGAATGTATTAACGAGGGCATCGTTATAGCCGAAAAGAAGAAGACTCAATTCCTTCCCCGACACCATGTCTCTTATGTTCGTGGCCCCGGTATTAGCTATTTCGCTTGGATCAATACTAGGCATTCCTGTAAGATTTTTGACCAAGCTATTCAGAAAGATGGCTTGTCCGATTGGGAGGCAAATGGCTGTACCAAGGAAGCGCACGAAGAGGACAAATACAGTCCCGGTCGCGACGTCCGCCCGTCTGAGAACAGTTTGTACGACAACCAAGCCCTGCTGCAAGCCAAGTCCGAGGCCAATTCCGAGAACCACTTGGTAGCCAATCCATTTAGCAGGACCAGTGCTGGGCTCTAGTGTTGTTAGGAGACCTGCTCCGATGGGCATAAGTAGCGAGCTGGCATAAAAGAAAGGATTGTTGTATGGAATCAATTTGGTAAGAATCACCCCAGACCCTACCGAGCAAAGGACTGTTGCAATCATTGTCGGAAGCAGCATGATTCCGGACTTTATGGCACTTACGCCCTTGATCGCTTGGAACCACAACGGTAAGTAGAAGACTATGACCTGTGCGGCAGCGCCGTTGCATAATCCGAACCAAGTAGCACCCGCTATACTCCGTTGCTTGACAATTCGTGGTGGTAATGTTGCATCTTCCTGTTTCCAGATCTGGATCCCAATGAACACCAGAAACAGGACGACGCTCAGTACGAAGAGTATAATGATGCGGGCATCATTCCAAGGATATTTGACCCCACCCCATTGCAAGGCCAGTATTAGACAGACGATGGCCGGTAGAACTACGATGGTGCCAATTGGATCCAGCTGTTGAACTCTGCCTACGAAGCTAGAAGCTGGAGAGTCAAGCTTCTGCCCTCGCTGGTCGACAAAAAAGAAGGTGACAATAATGGATATTGCGCCCACGGGAAGATTGATATAGAAACACCACCGCCAGCTAACCTTATCGGTGAAGGTTCCTCCGATTAGTGGTCCCACAACCGACGCAAAACCATATACAGCGCCGAACAGTCCCTGGTAGATAGGACGCTCCTGCAATGGAACGACATTGAACAGTATTACCATGACCCCTGAGAAGATCGCTGAAGATCCTAACCCAGCAATCGCGCGTCCCACGATGAAACTTGGTGAGTCAGGAGCCGCACCGCAGACGACAGATCCGATCTCGAATATGACGCAGGATATCAGAAAGATTGGCTTCACCGGATAGTACTTGTAAATCTTCCCTGTGAGAAGCTGGAAGCAACACATCGTCAAGATGTAGGCCGTATTATACCAGGACAAATCGTCGAGCGAATGAAATTCATCGGTAATCCGAGGCGTTGCTGTAGCTAGAATGTTTTGGTCCTATAGCCACAGATGATCAATACACATGTTGGATAGAGCTTCGATTGGGGCTATTACCAACGTGACGAGGAACATGGCCAGATAAGCCGCAGACATGATAATTATACGTTTCGACAATCTTGGATATCCATCTTGGGCCTGCTCGGGGATTGCGTTTCCCTTGCCATTTGAGAGGGCTTGTGACATTGTAATATGGTAAAAAGATTCAATAAGAATGCATAGTAACTTGGAAGGTGAAAAGCTTCTGAAGTTGGGCTCCCACCTATCTTATATACATTACTCAAGGATGAGCATGAACAAGCACCTCACCCTTGTCCACTGTTTGTATGGTGCTCGGAGAATAGAAAAAATACCTTGCCGACCGAGCCAATATCAAGAGCTAGGAATACTACTATTATTTGATTGGTTGCTATGATTACAATCTCAGTTCAGCCTAGTTTCGGGGCTCGGACCGACCAATTTTCTTGGGACACCCGAAGCGACCGTCGCAACTGTCTGTACCCAACACCGAATCAAACAATTTATGCAGAAGCACCATAATGGCAGACTCGATCGATCTGAAGAGTTGAGCATCGAATCTTCTATATACCCGCGGGATCTCAAGGTCTGCCTATCGCCGGGCCTCAACTCTCGAACAATCGTCAGCTCTTGATATATATTAAAAACACCCGCTCTACTCGCGACAGTACATTCGGACTGACTGCAACAGCCTGGTTTGGATCAAGCCTACAAGCAAAAACTAGGCGCAGTACTCTTATGCTTCCAATCACCCAGGTAAGTATAATGAAAAGCTACTCGAAAGTATGACATGTCTGAACGTAAATCTAGCTCCAAATACTATCTCTACGTTAAGGTACCATGAGTGTCTCAGGTCCTTCAAGCTTCTCATGTTTGCTTTGCCGTCAGCGGAAAGTCAAGTGCAACAAGCAGAGCCCGTGTAGTAACTGTATCAAAGCTGAGAAACCATGTAACTTCATCGCCCCTGTCCGTGGGACGCGGAAGAAGATCAAGCCGCCAAAGGAAGGTCTCCACGCCAAGCTACAAAGATATGAGGAGCTCCTGAAGTCTTATGGAGCTAAGATTGAGGCATCAGACGAAGATCATCAGACGGATGCAGAAACCGTAGCCCAGTCTGAAGACTTCGAGATGGTGGAAGCCCCACAACACCAGAGTGTGACGCAAGCCAGCCCTAGTGCGCATTCGAGGAGGTCCCCGGAGCGACGACCTGAGGCTTTCGAACACGGACCCAAGCTTGTTACCAAGAACGGAACTTCTCGATACTTCGACAAGTAAGCACTCGATCTTACCCTCTGTTTGTATTTTTGCAGAGATCCTTTGATCGGTTATATCTTGCGTTGGCTGGTATCTTTCATTGAGATACAACCGCTCAGGTACAAGTCACTAGCCAGTTCGTCAGCTTCGTATTCTCTTTGTTGCCCAAGTCCAGGCCTTCTTTACCTTCTGCCTCTTCCCCTCGATCTAAACCTGCCCATCACTCATTACGTCATATTCCATATTTCTGGACTCTTATTGTCCCTATCTCGTGTATATATTGGCCTCTACAGAGAAACTAACTTGATCTTCATGTAGTGCTTACTGGGGCAATCTTGGAGATGAGGTAAGCATGCTCCACAGGGACGTACTTTCACCATAGTAATAATGGCACAGCTCCAGCATCCCGAAATTGGTAACCTCAAGGAGCCTGTGGAAGATAACAACACGGATGGGACTGAGATATTCTTTCAGCCTGGACCAGAGTACAGAATTGAGAATTTAGGTGCACTACATCCGAATGCCCAGGTACTGAGTATGCTGAAAGACATATTCATTGATCGTGTGGATCCGCTACATAAGATATATCACGTCCCGACGTTCTGGAATGGGCTGGTCAAGGCCCTCCAACGGCCCGAGAGCTTCTCTAAGAGCTTAGAGGCAGCTGCATTTGCATTCTATCTCGCCACAATCTGCTCTATGAGTGAGATGGAAATCCAACGATGTTTTGGTGCACCGAAATCTATCGTAGGGCCTCGATACAGACTTGCTACACGACAAGCCTTGGTCAGTGCAGGATTCCTTTCAACCTCGAGCCCTGAAACGCTTGGCGCGTATGCCATGTTCATTGTGAGAAACCCAGTTCCATCCCGTATCATATACTTACCTCGCAGATGAGCGTCAGAGAGAACCACCGAGCCGACACCCTTTACGTGATGTCTGGTATCTCCATAAGACTTGCGCGCAAGATGGGACTTCATCGAGATGGGCTATCTCTGGGTCTTTCGCCCTTTGAGACCGAGATGCGTAGACGGCTGTGGTGGCAACTTGTATACATCGACTTTCGTATGGCCGATGTCTTAGGCATCAAGCCTTCTCTTGATCTCGATGGCGATACCCAAAAGCCCTTGAACGTCAATGACGATGACCTATACCCAGATATGACGGAGTTTCCTACCGAGCGAAATGGAATCACCTCAATCACCCTTTGCATGATCAGATGCGAAACAATGGAAAATTTGCGCTCATTGTCTCTTTCCATTCCAGGAGATTCACGCTGGGAAGCCCTCTCGGGCCCAGCGGTTGCCGTCGAAATGAAGGATGAAACTATTAACAAGCTCGAAGACCATTTGGAAAAAAAATACCTACGTTACTGCGATCCTACAAATTCCTTACACACGTTTGCGTCTATAATGTGTCGAGCGACAATCTGCAAGCTTAGGCTACTCGCACACAATCCGCGCCAATTCGCCACCAGCCGTTTGCCAATACCTAAGGATGAACGAAACATCGTATTCGTGAACGCTAAAAAGCTGCTTGAATATGTTGTGTTTTTACAGCGAGATCCGAACATGGAGAGATACCTGTGGCAGATTGGGACTAGCTTTCTCTGGAACACCATGCTTTATGCTCTGATTGAAGCTCGGCACCGCAAGACTGGTCCAGATGTTGACCAAGCTTGGCAGCTGATCGGATCTGCGTTCTCACATTATCCACAGATCTTTGACGAGTCCAATGCTGCAGCCGTTTACATGGTTGTAGGTAGGTGGGCCTTGCAAGTTTGGGATGAATATGTCGCAGCTTCGAAGGCTGAGGGTCTGCCAGAGCCTCTTTGTCCAGACTATATCAACAAAATCAGGCAGTGTCACGATCCGATCTCTGATCCAGACTCGCCCAGCAGGTCAAGGAATGACATGACGCAATCTAAACAGACATCATTCAGCTTTCCGCAAAATCAAGGACAGACATGCAATGATGGACTGCACGTAACGGAAAATCTGGACAGTTTTGGCCTGCCTGAACACTTGTCTTTCGAAATGGATTCCGGCGAGTGGCTTCAATGGGACCAATTTCTTGCAGGACAGGATGGTTTTGTCCAGGACAGCTTCACACAGCTTCCGGCAGCTCAGTGGACTTCTCTTAGGACTTTGACGACATCTGATAGTAGCAATCAGAACAGCTGAAAGGGTCCGTCATCTCGATGCATAGAAGATAGAAGGAAAATCGTCGAATGGCTGTTTGCAGTCTTGAACTAGCCAGAGCACGGTACCTGCCAGGCCGTCTCCTTTGTCTCACACATGCAATTAGATGCATATCCATTGACTCGTACGGCAACTGCATCGCTTGATTAGCACTATTTCGTGCCTTTCCGTGGAGCAGATACTTTCGTCGATCTCACGTCATGAGACTCGAGCCTGTCTGTCGCCATATGTAGAAGTCTTTCATCCCAGTCGATCCACAATCACGCCTATCAATCCGACGAAGCCTACAGGTGCCCGAACTAGAAACTTTGAAGAACTCGGCGAGACTATGGAGGATGCTACGTCGATGGCATGATGAGTGGGTGGGGATGCGCTATTAATTAATGTGGACAGACATTTTGCCCCGGCAGTGACACCGAGCACGCAATTTCTGAGAAACTCGGATATTCAACCTCTATCGCTCGTCAACTGGTATCTTGCGTCGCGTCCTAGGCGTATTCCCAATAAGTCCGACTTAGCAGAAATCTGATGAACAACCAATGATGACATCGGTCATGTTCGAAGGGAACGAACGCACGAGTATTACAACAACGAGCAGCCGAAGCAAGACTACAAGGACGGGATATCCTTCTCCTCTCCCAGTCCGCATCCCAGTCTTAGATACCCATGATATTGGAGAGGCTCCTAAGGAAAGGACTGGATCGATACCGACCCCAAAGCGATCAATATGGCGCCAAATAGACGATATGGTCAACTATGTTCCATCGCGCTGTCGCTGGGATCCGGAGAAGCCGCCGCATTTCAGCATGAGCATGAATTTTATGTTTGCGTTTGCTGGTTGCGTCACATCGGCGAACATGTACTACACCCACCCCATCTTGAATGTTATGGCTGAGGACTTTGGTGTTGAGTATGAAGAAGTGTCCCAGATCCCAACCGTCATGCAGGCCGGATATGCGGCAGGACTGTTCTTTCTTTGTCCGTTAGGGGATCTTTTGAGACGAAGAGCCTTTGTGACATGGCTGGTGGCGTTTACCGCAACATTATGGTACGTCATGAGTCTTACCTTTGTTATCTCTGCTCATAATCTTCGATGGCTGCATTACGATTGATCCGACGGGAGGAACCTATCTCGGATTCGACTAATGATCTAATCATGTTACAGGATCGTTCTGTGTGTGACCAAGTCTCTCGCTGTTTTTACAGCGATATCCTTCATCACTGCAGTCACCACCGTTACCCCTCAACTCATGGTTCCTCTCGTCGGCGATCTAGCACCTCCTCATCGTCGAGCGGCTGCCATCAGCATCGTTGTCTCGGGACTTGTGCTCGGCCTTGTCCTCGCACGGGTCATTGCCGGTACCATCACGAACTGGGTGTCCTGGCGATACGTTTACTGGATGTCACTCGGACTGCAGTATCTGATCTTCATCTTGCTTTGGCTCTTCATGCCCGACTACCCTTCATCCAATCCGCAAGGACTGAACTACTTTAAAATGCTTCTTGGTATCCCCTGGCTCTTTCGGTATCCTGTCCTTGCACAAGCCAGCATTGTATCGTTCTTCGCAGCTGCAACATACACGAACTACTGGACAACATTATCATTCCTACTCGCTGGTCCGCCGTACCATTATTCGTCGTTGGTGATTGGTCTCTTCGGCCTCATCAGTATTGCAGGTATGCTTCTAGTACCTGTCTATGCACGTCTGGTCATCGATCGCTTCGTGCCACTGTTCAGCGTTATCACCGGTGAACTAATGTGCCTGATCGGTATTCTGATCTCAACTTACACTGGGACATTTACCGTGGCCGGGCCTATCATGCAGGCATTCCTGAACGATCTTGGCATGCAGATCGCGCAAATCTCTAATCGGAGTAGCATATACGCCATCAACCACAAGGCAAGAAACCGAGTGAACACAGCGTTCATGGTAGCTACGTTCTGTGGTCAGCTTACTGGCACCGCCGCAGGAAATCATATCTACGCTGTTGGAGGGTGGGTGCGTAGCGGAAGTGCAAGCGTAGGTCTAATTGGTGCTGCGCTGGTAGTCTGTTTCTTGCGCGGGCCTTGGGAAGAGGGCTGGATTGGATGGAGGGGAGGCTGGAGCATATTCAAGAAAGACGCACAGAGTGCAGATGGAAAGACCTCGGAGAAGGCTACCCTCGGAGGGATCAGGGCCACAGCGGTGGGTGAGAATGGTATCATTGACACGGAACAGGGTAGCTTAGAGAAAGCAGCAGATGAGCTGGATGCAGAGGATAGAACGATCAGAACAAATAAAGAGGAGTCGGACAGGGAGATCAATATAGCACACTTGCATGTTGCGAACGATATTCGGAATCAGTAGTATAGATTGGGCACGCTAGGCTTCTGGGTGTATATGCAAAACAAGTCCATATTTACCAACGAAGTCTTGTTTACGTACTACCACGGTATATGCTCAGTAAGTTGAAGTTAATCTTCCTAGCCGTTTTCCAATAGTTTGGGTGCTTTACTTCAGTCCTCACATACGCGGTAATTTGAAGCTGCGAAAGGACTTCCCAACCAGAATGCCCTGTAGAGAACACACGTCTGCTTAATAGCTTGCGGGTGTCGTACTGATACAACCCCCATCGAGCATCATAACGCTCCCGCTAACATATCCTCCCGCTCGAGACGCAAGATACAGGATAGCACCAGCTATGTCCTCCTCCGTTCCTGTGCGCTGCTGAGGTATGAACGACTTTTTGTACTCACGGCCTGTAGATGCTTGTGGAATTCTGACTGTCTGCAGCCGATTTTCGGTCATGGCACTCTCGAAAACTGTCTAAGCGTTAGTATGTATACGTCGCTAAGATTTTATTCTTACATCCAGGGGCCAGCGCATTCACACGGATGTCATATGGAATATACTGTGTAGACATGCTCTTGACCAAGGCCATAGCACCGGCCTTGCAGCTATGTATTGAAACGGAGCACCCACACGCATGAAGGAGAAGATACTCGCTGTTAATACTATCTGACTCGGACACTGGTAGCCCATGTTGCCTTTCTTGTTACCTGCGTCAAGCAACTCCAGGAATGCGAGCGCTGTATAGTACGAGCCAGTAGTGTTAACGTGCAAAACGTCGGTGAACACCTCCATAGGTATGTCAAGTTGCACCTTCGCATATTCTGCTATGCTTACTGTAGACGTATCGACCCGTGGACATGGTCCTAGCATCCCAGCGTTGGCGACCAGAAGATTGATATAGCCGACTTCGGAGCGGACTTGCTCTGCCATTTGCTTGAGAGAGTCTTTATTGCTGACATCGCCTTGAAGAGGTATGATGATATCCTCGAATGGGGCCGCAGTCTCCTCGAGGACTTCAAGCCGGCGGCCGGTGATGTATACTTTGTGGGCACCGTTCGAAGCAAGAGCTCTAGCCATATGGGCACCAATGCCTGTGTATTTTGTGAGATTGTAATGTTTGGAATCGAGCCACAAGCAACCCACCTGTGCCACCCCCTGTAATTACAGCTACGATTGAGGTAACCTCGAACAGTGTCTGGGCCTTCAATGATGCCATCTTGAAACTATAAGAAAGATACTTTAACCCAGCTATGATTAACAAATTTATATCTCCTATCCGATAAAAAGTCTTGAGAGCATATGTGGGTGAATGTAGGGGACTGCTAAAACTCGTTACTGTCGAAACGCTGCTGTCGACTCAATCTACAGCCAACTTAGATATCTTATATCTAGCTGCCAAAATCTTCCAAACGTCAAGGAGTCCGGACATAAGACGCCTTATGTATCTGATACAGCGGGGTTGAACAAATCTCTCCGGTCACCGCTCTTAGCCCGCATTTCCACTAAATGGAATCTGAGTAACTTTGTTCGCACTGCATTGCAAAAGACCAGACAGATGTGAGAACTTATGTGGACAGTTTTCCGTTCCATCCTATCATATCTACCTCCCTAATAGGAGATATTTGGGTAGTCGGAATTTAAGTGATCGAGGAATGATGTCACCGTCGCTATCAATGTCGAGAAATGGTACGGGAGATTTGCGTGAACTTTAACACTGAATAACGCGTTAGTTACACTAATATTGTTAACGTAGAATCATTTAAGGCTTTCTTACTCCGAATTAAGACATAGATGAGTCAATAAGGTGCCATTATGCTCTCATTGCTTCCATCGAGCACCTGTGCGCTTTGCCTAGAGTAAGGCCACTAGGCCCATGCGGGTTCGGACATGTGCATTTAGTAGTCCTATACTGAAGTCACTAAAAGCGCTGGGTCTACCTATCGCAATCTGCCGGCCATGCAGAGGTGGGGACATGGCACGGGGAGTCCGTGTAACGATCACGATGGTTCATCGTGCGGCAGTAGTCCCACTTCATCGGCGTTAAAAGGTGCTTAATGCAATTATGTGCCCTGAACCATACAATTGAATGCAATTGATTGCCGTGGGCGGTTCGGCTGATAATGTAGGTCAAGTCGCCCACGTCGCATTTCCTCAGGGAGAGAAAACTATACACAAGTCGAAATCTAAGATATCAATTATACTGATAGACTGGGGATATCACCACGTAGCCTCTTAATGAGCCGTGGGCTGACACTCAATGAGACGAACAACTTAGGATACCACCAATCAATGTAAGTTTCACGAAGACCTGGAGCAAACATTGAAAAACTCAAACATACGGGGAAAACTTATGAAGATAAATTCATCTGCGGCTGCTGTGAAAATGTATTAATCTCCTCGCAGTAGAGAAAGACGTTTGCTAAAGCATATCCCAAAGACCGAAAAAGTTAGGCTCATCTGAAACATGAAAAAAGGAAGCGCTCAAAGCGTACTCAGCTGACAAGGCGGGACAAGTCACTGTACACAGTTCCTAAAATTCACGTACCCACATGAAAAGGTTTTGTAAGGACCTGTTGCATTCCACATTCGGCACGTTTTACATCCAATGTCGATTATACAACAAATGTGTTTGAAGGAATCATGCTTATGATAGTTGTCTGAAGTATACGGCTACACCAATCCGGACACCGACACGTATGTCACAGTTACACTGGGATATGGTATCATGGTCTTGTTAAAGACATTCGAGTTCAGAACTCCAAAAAGACAAGATCGCCACCAAAAACTTCTTTATGAGTTTCTATACTGAGATAGAGAACGTTCACCTACATCATCGGCCGAAAGGAACAGATTCTAGACTCCTGGCTAGGCTGGCTATGGAGACCATCGAGACACAGATCGTAATTCTTCTTACACTAACTGTATTTGAAAGAAGAGGCACTGCACGCTTCATATACGGCTACGTTAGCATCATACAGGGATCTCATGCGGTCTTCACTTCAGCCACTAATACGTGGTATGATATGCTTATTATCTGCCCTACCCTAGCAGTGGCTATGCAAAACTTCATATTGTAATCATACAGATGAGTATACAGGCCGAGTAGATCAAAAGAGAGCCTTTTCACACAAATCCAAGGCTTCAGGCATCCAAACACCTCACAGTACTAACAAGGATCCTTGCAGAAATCGAAGACGTAAGCCAAGCACAAAACACCCTGCAACATGCACCCCGCAAACGCAAGCGAGCAACATCCATGAATACCATCCATGTACCATTGCGTAAACTTGTCCAAGTTATACCTTTCTCCTTGCATCATTTGAGAAACCAAGACGATGCTCAGCCACGATGATGAATCGCATCCTTTAGCTTTACGATCAGAAGGTGTGGATGATGATCCTGCGGTCCACGACAGTACTGAAGCTGCCGATACTGTCAACTAGCATTCTACTGGACAGCCAAGCTAGCTTGTGTATCCTGCAGGGACAACATGACCATCGTACACCATCCCTTGTTGTTACCTTGTAAGCCGCTATACGATTTTGTGAATATACGGACTGTCCAATGATTAGCTGTCAAGTTGCACTCATAGGTACTTATAGTAATATACTTTAGTTGCATTTATCTTACTCCGGGATAGAGGTTGAAAACCAAATATTTTGAGACTCACTTCATTAACCCTTGTATAGAAAGGATTAGACATTCACTCGTGACTATAGCACACGCGAAAGAGCATTTTAAATAGTGGACAGAACTCTAACAATACATCTGTAATATCTTTATATATTATAAATAACATTGTCACTCAAGACTGTACTAGACTATATTACAAGCATTTACTATTTTAATTCCTTTCTACTGTCGTAGCTACTAGTATCTATGACACAAGATCATAGGTCTCTTTTTACAACCCAAGTCTATTATATTTGATGTCTCTATTATATAGTAATAACAGAATCTTAGCTGGTTTCAATAATTACTCGATTACTGTATCAGCCTTGCGTTATTTTCAAGTTTCCTGGGAAACCCAATTCATCTCACCACTCGCAACGACAGCCAAGCCAACACTTTATTGTAGTTTTGAGTCTGAGCGTCGTAAGCACTTGAGCTCATCAAATCAAAGAATAGCTTGGCCTGCCAAGCTGCTCGTCGGGTCTTCAGTACATGCTCGCGGCGCAGGATTTGGCGAGCATTCCCAGGACCAAGGATCAGTCTGCAGCCAACAATTGTTTCGACGTCTTTGGATACTCAACCTTGAGTCTTGGTACGGCGTCCTTTCACCGCAAGAGCTTTGATGACGATTTGACCTGGCTAGGTTGGCCATGTACTGCCAGGTACTTAAGAGTCGGGTCTGGTATGTAGCTCAATTGTGCTGTTGTTTCCACTGTCCCGTATCAACCTCTTCATGCTCACCACCATGCAGTTCTATCGTCTTTCAGTTGCAGCTTTCGTTTGTGCTGTCGCAGCTCAGAATGCGCCACAAGATCTAGCTTCCGTCATATCGGGCAATGAAGGTCTTTCTACTCTCGGCACCATCATCAGTGGGATTCCAGGTCTCTCCGATGCCCTCAATCAGCTTTCCAATGTCACCATCTTGGCGCCAAACAATGATGCCTTTTCAGATCTTGGGGACTCTGCCCCTTCTGATCCTGCTGTGATTCAGGCCTTACTGAGCTATCACGTTATCAATGGCACTGTCGCATCTGAAAACATCACCGACACACCTGCATTTGTCCATACTACTCTGACAGACTCGGAATATACCAATGTCACCGGTGGTCAAGTCGTCGAGGTCCGCACAGTAGATGGCACTGCCACCATTTTCTCCGGGGACGGGTCAAACTCTACCGTTGTCCAAGCGGTAAGTTGACTGGCATATCTGCCACTACACATGTCGTCCGACATGGTCCTTTCCACCAGCTCCTACTAACCCTGCTAAGGATATCCCCTTCTCTGGCGGCATCATCCACCTCATTTCCTCCGTCCTCACCATCCCCGTCGACCCTGTCTCTTCCCCTTCCGTCTCCTCCGAAATCACTTCTCTTGCGGATGTCCTCACATCGACCTCTCTAGGCACCACCATTCAAACCCTCTCCGATGTGACCATCTTCGCGCCTAATAACGCTGCATTTGAAGCCATAAGCTCCACTACGCAAGGCCTCGACAACGAGACACTTTCCTCCATTCTGCTCTACCATCTCGTGGTAGGCACGGTTGGATATAGCAGTTTGCTTACGGACGACATGACCCTCACAACACAGGAGGGCGGAACGTTGACGATAAATCTGTTGGAAGATGGAAGTGTTTTCGTGAACGGAGCCGAGGTCGTGCGAGCAAATGTGTTGGTGCCGAACGGGGTGCTGCATATCATTGATAAGTATGTTGCATGCTCTTCCTTGCTATATATGAAATCTCTTGAAAGCGTCATGTGTTTGAGACGTTTGCTAACGTATGCTAGTGTCCTGAATCCTTCTGCGGCTGATGCCACTCCTGAGCCCTCTGCTACATCTGGATCTGCGGCCTTTAGTGGCGCATCCAGTACGCCGACTCCTACTGGAGCTGCGGTGTCATTGCATACGGGTGCGGCTGGCATGGCGGCGCTGTTTGGAGGAGCAGCCGTCATGCTGATGATTTAGAGTACATGAAATCAAACCCAGGCAGAACCAAAGACAGTATGATATGATGAGGGCCACAATCCTTGTGATGGCATATAAATGCAAATAATATATTAGTATGCGCGTGGGCAATTGAGCTGTACCCCAACATCGCAACAATACAACTTCTGGTCAAGAAATCCACAAAACCCCATCATGAAAGTCGTGATATGTCCAATAGTAGACGCAATACCAAAACGCCACGCTATGTGCTGCAGCATATTCAAAACCTACCCTCTTCTTCATCAGGCCCAAGACCTAGAAATCGCCACACGAGTGTTGGGATGACGAATGGGAACTCAGGCGCGTACAAGTCGATACCGTACCCTTGCATGCGCACCGCATATCTCGGCCTGCAGAATGTGTTACAAGCACTCCATTCCAGAACCAACCAGCCTAAAAATGAGAAAGTTGCCAGTCCGAACCACGTCATATGCTTTTTGCTCGTGGCCGGGTCGATGTAAAAGAATAGACGAATGAAAGCTGCCCATAATAGGAGAAATGGATTGATGATGAGGATTTCTCTCGTCGTCGAAGGGCACGTGTGTAGCGTACCATCCGCGGCCATGATAGAATTAACAGACGACGTAGAGGATGTAGAGGAATTGGGATTAAAGGGCACAGTTTCTTGAGATTTGGAGTTGACTTGGTGCTCAAACTTACGCAAACCTTGGCTTGATTGCCGGAGGTTGGCGCGTGTGGCGCGTAGTCGTGTGTTCATCGCGACGAGCTGGTCAACCTCATGGAAGCGCTTACGCTCATTATCGTTCTTTGGCGGATTGTTGGCAACTTGAATACCCGCGAGAGTGTCGTCCTCGAGGTCGTCCTGGCCACTACCAGAGCGCTTCATAGTGAAAAAGTCCTCGAGTGAGTCAATCGTCGAATCGCCTAATGGTTCGAGAGTCTCCTCGGTAGATTTGGCGCGAGACAGAAGGGCTTCGAGGGCGGACTTGGGGAGCTCAGGGCGAGTCACGACCCGGGCCAGCTTCGTGGGTGACTTGTCCGGCGCAGGATCACGCGGCTTTATCCTTGTTTCACTATCTGTGGTGGATCTCTTTCGTAGGTTGGCTGGGTTAGAGGTAGCCTCTCGGGCAGAAGATGCTGCCAGACTCGGCACACTGAGACTTTTGTTGTGAGTCTGATTTGAAGGCTGGCTCTGCCGTCGCGGACTTTCAACAAATCGAGCGACTGCTTTGCGCTTTGGACTTTCTTGCTTTATATCGAAAGAAGCTCTGATTTCCATGTCTGGATCCTCCTCCACCTTGCCATTTGCTCTCGTCTGTTCCTCCGCTGAGTCTATAGCCCCTTCTAGAATCGTATCTGTCCTCTCTGTAACAGGTGCGGACGGCTTTGATTTAGTATCATGGTGTGCTTTCGCTTGCGCTTGCTCCTCTGGGGGCGATTTCCTGGGCGTCAGTATTCGAGAAAGCGCGCGGAGGGTGTCTCTTGTGGAGTCTGAGCTATCTACCTCAGGGCCGAGTACAGTGTTGATGATAGTTGAGCAATGCTCTTCGTCCAGGTCCTTCTTCGCCTGCTCTAGTTTGACTCGTTCCGACCTTATAGATTGAAGTAGCCTGGAAGAAGGCGCAGGCGTCGAAGTGATGACCGAATTCAGGCTAAGGTCACTTTCGAGCTCCAAAGCAGCTATCTCATGAAGCGCTGAATTTGATTTGGCTAGTCGAGGGATTCTTGATGCGCTGGGGGTTGGCGTAGCAGGTTTTGGCGAGGGTTGGGGTATTCGAGACACTGGGGTTCCGGATCTTGGGAATGGCGAAGAGCTGCGAGGGCTCGGAGAAGAGACCCTGGCAACAGGCGAGTAGCTTCTTGGTGTAGGAGACACCGACAGCCGTTTTGCAAAGGAAGTCTCAAGATTGGGGCTTAGACTTGAACGTCGTGAATCTCTCGCTGGTCCAAGGCTCGACCTCTTGCTCCTTGATGCTGTGTCGTGACCCCAACGTTCCTGTCCTAACTCGCCTGTCGCATCCTGAGGAGCTGCAATGGTCTTTATCCAGTCACGATTGACGCGTCCTTTCCGTCCCCAGGTCGTGGGTAACCGCAAAGGAGGATCTGACATATCACTGCCATTGATGCTAGCCGGGCTGCCCGCTTCCCTGTTTGCACCATAGCCTAGCTCGTATTTGCTATCGGAGTTTGAACGTTCGAGATTCTGGAAGGTCAAGGACAGGGATTGCTGCTTGCGCGCTTTGCGGAAAGGTTGTATCGGTACATTGCTGTTTATCGCACTACGTAGTCGCTTCTCGTCGCGTGCTTGCTGTATCATGAATTGACCGAATTCGTCTGTGTCGTTCTCAAGAGAGGTAAGGCCTGATATGGTCGAGCCCTGAGTGAGTTCCTCTGAAGGAGCGCTCGTTCTGGTTCGTTGATGGGAGTTAAGCCGGTGGGACTGCGTTGGGTGCAGGGGGTCGCGCGGATGGTAGGAAAACATTGCAGCGAAGACGTCATCCGCTGTCGGAGCAGAGTCCAAGGGCATCAATATCTAGACATGTTTATAGGCGTTGTAAGGAAAGCAAGGTGGCGAGGATAAAAGAATCGCATGAATGTGTTATGGGCGGTTATTTGTGAGTTGAGACGCGTTCACTAGCTTTGGAGCTCCAACCTTGCGGGCACCAAAACACCGCCAAATTAGCGATGGCCCGAGCGCCTTGCCCCAGCTTTGGCGCTGGTTTAATATGCAGGGTCCCTGAATCACTACTGCACTTCACAGGCGACATCATCCAACTAATTAACATATAGGAAGACATCGACTGTGAAACATGTCAGATATTCCTGACTCAAAGGTAAACACTGTATAATGTATGCTGAACAATGAATATCATCTTACAGGCTCTTCGTCTGTCCCTCAATGTCCAATAATTCCCAGTGACAAGTTACAGAAGAATGAACTCCTCATGTCCAGGCTTGATATCGCCATAGAGCACAATCTTTCTGAATGGCGGGAGATGGAACGTGCTATAACTCGAATCGGAGGCTCAACGACCATACCAGGAACGCGACGGATGCTACGCCAGCGACCATATATCAGTCTTTCGCCTAACATGAGCAATTAAATGGTTCAGCAGTGCTTCATTGTTCCTCATTACCCGTTAGCCAGCCGCACTCCCACAGAATCAGTCTTGGAGCAATCATCTTGTACCAAGGTCCAAAGAGGTGATGAGACGTACAGCGCAAGAAGTGACCAACCTAACCAGTGTATGTCCATGTACGTGATCCTGATTTATACAATTGCGGTCGAGTCTGGGTCAAGATTGGATGTTGAGATTGCACAGCGTGCTATTGGGAATCTGGAGACATCTCTCAGGTTGCTAGTGTATCGTAGGATTGAATAATTTACTGCGATTGACAAGCTAAGATGATAAACTCGTTAGTTTCGAGCTCTCATACCTCAGATTTGGGCTTTGTATGGACGTGAGAATTATCGGCTAACGGAAAGGTTCATCTGGGTCGGCGTGCTGCTGGGATATTTGGCCATTTAGAAAGACGTACTTAGACATCTTAAGGTATTGAGTGTCTAGCCGCTCATGTCTCGTAATCTGTATATTATTGAATCATTTTTCGGGTCCACATGTCATATGTACACAGAACTCTCATCAAGAAAACTGGGCATTGAAGCAATTTTTTTAAGATGGCTCTAGCACAACGTCAGACTCGAGGTTGCTCATATGGTCTTTAGATTCGCTCGCGATTATTGGGAGACGAAATTCTTACTAGTAAATCCCAGTTGGGCGATATGCAACACGGCCCCTTCACCGACGCGGTCGACTCGCCCGTGACACCACGGCCCGCAATCCTATCATACATCTTTCGTCGCCGTCCTCTGATCATTCCCATGCTTGGCCCAGCATTTGCGAAATGCATCCATCTGAGTTGGTCAGTAACCATGCCAGTGGATCTCCAGATGTGAGAGATGTTGAGGGCCTTGAGGCATGTGGGAGACGCACCTCTGCCTTGCATGCGCGCCAATCCTTCTTTTCGTAATAACAGTCCGTCATACGAGCATTTTCGACTGCATTCATTAGTCTGATTCACGACGCGCGCAAAGGATACGGATATGTACCGGCGCATCCTGTGTTGTCTATTCTTTTGTCCCTGTGACGTTGTTAGGGTATTTTCTCCGTTGAGCAGTCATGGAATGGCACTACCACTCATCCGCATCGTCATCATCTTTCATCGCCCGGGCCCGATCCTCTGCTGCACTGTCACCTCCCATTTTTGATGGTTTGAGAAGGATTCTGAGATTGCAGATGATGCGGTAATATGTATCCACTCGCAATGCCAAAAATACTAGCGCGATCTCACCCTGACGTTTCAGGCGTGGCTAAGTCCATTTGCGGTTAGACTTCCCGCAGCTGTTCCAGAACGTCTAACGTCGCCTCATGATTGTCTCAGCCCTTGCGACAGATCTCCCTCGCGAGACATGCTCTGTTCTACATTTGTTTCCACATCGCGACTTGACTTTGCTCTCTAGCATACGCCAGTGGGTTGGTGTCCCCTCATGGAGAAATTTTTGATGCTTGAGCTGTATACCAGGATACGGCGCGAATCACTCTGCTGTCCTTGATCATGATGGCGATCAATCACATCCCCTGCCCTCTGTACAACTAAGAATTCCTGTGTTTTCGTTCGAGATCCAATGGTATCCGGCTATCAACGCCACCCTCAATGACTCTGTGTGCACTATAGTATAGCTTTGACTTCAGCCCCCAAAAAGACATACACACGTGCGATTCCTTCGCCCCCAGTTGCTTTGGCAGAATGCTACATCAGGAAGTCTAACATACTCTTGAAACTAGGACTGACTGCTTGGGGGAGGCAATCTGTATAGACTAGTCCGAACAACTCCGAGCATGATAATCTAGCCGCCATCTCTTCCCTGGACACGTGCGACCAAGACATCTCTTTGCAAGCATTGTTCCAAGATTGCTGCGGAATGTATCTCTAACAACATAGCGCTCTGATATGTTTACAAGAGGTGTTCCAGCACTGCTACGGATCGTGTCTCTGTTATGAGCGTTGACTTTGGCGCCTTGATCACATATCGCACCTACTTTTCGCTAGCTTCCGTTGACGGCTACTACAACGCCCTCTTGGCTTGACGTTCTGGGGTAAAGGAATATGCATTAGGTCTCGAATATTGTATCGAAATGAGACTCTGACGCTGCGTCTATAGTCATCTCCACACTACCTGTCAAGTCTCACGACACAGCTAGTGTCAGGTAAGATCGGTCTTCGCTCCCTCGACCATTCTACCTCATGGCCAAATCTACTATAAAGGGCGAGTTGCTGCTCACAGTTCAATCTTCATCCAGCAGCATCTTCAGCATCCTCAGCATTTCAGGTTATCCCTTCCAGCTTTACATTCTTCATCTCGTTGATCGAGTCCATTCTTTCCAACTAATCAAAATCAATACACCTTCTCTTTGAATACCTGCTAGTCAGTCTTTTTACGACAACATTCAAAATGCAATTCACTACCGCCATCGTTTCCCTTGCTCTCGCCCTTACTGTCGCCGGTCAGGGCACTCAGTTCATCACTGGACCATGCACCAGCGACGCTGACTGCGCTGCCGGATGCTGTGGCTTCAACACTGGCAAGTGCGCCGGTCCAGTCATCGCCCTCGAGCGTGACGGTGGTTGCGGTAAGTCTTGACAACACTCCGTCTTAGAATTCCAATCTGATTCACTTCAGGCTTCGGCTCCGGTACCCCCAACGACAACGCAGCCAAAGCTCTCGGCTTCAACGGTGGCATCACCAGCGCCTCCAACGGCGGTGCGGTCCAGAAACAGGACGATACCGCGGCTGGAAACCAAGGAGGTGCTCAACCTAAGGCGGCTGGCACTCAATTCATCACCGGAGCCTGCACCAAGGATGCAGACTGTGCTTCAGGCTGCTGTGGTCGCCGCACTGGCAAGTGTGCCGGTGCCATCATTGCTCTTCAGCGTGATGGTGGCTGTGGCTTCGGCGATGCCCAGGCTAATGACAATGCCGCTAGGGCTATGGGTTTTACTGGTGAGTTCTCATAAAATCTTCCATTTAGCACCTATTGATCGTTCATAGGCGGTATCACCTCCCGTTCCGTCAGCAACCAGGTCCGCGGCATGGCATGGGAGAACTAAACGTTCGCTCTTCTCTCAGTCTCATTGCATGAGAATAGCATATCATGTCGAGGTCTTGCACTAGTAAGGTGTATTGCATAGCATTGGTTGGGGCATTTTGGGTATCGATGCATTGTAATTGATAGGTAGCTGGAGCGCGACGCACTTTCCTTGATATCCGAAATCGCTGTGGGATGCTGGAATGTTTACATTGTTAATATATTAGCAAAAAAGTCTGTGACTACATAACATCTCTTGCTGTGTGACATTGTGATTATTTTGCAACCCTGACTGTCTAAACTAGGAGCTTCCTAGGCTTAGATCTCAGTTGTGTTAATGGTCGTGTCTTTTTCCATCAAATTGTCAGTGTGCCGATATGACGTCCTGAGTACGATATTCTATTTCAAGCCGGAAGCAAAGAAACATTCTACCGGCAAATGTCATGACAGAACTTCGTCATTTTCTGCTCTTGCCCTCGAGTGATAAACGGGTTGTGAAGAGCTGACCAAGAGCATCTACTTCCGTTCGCAAGGGAGCAAAGACACGAACTCCAGATACGATCCACTTTGTCCTCAGAAGAAGGACCGACAAGACACACCTGAGGGTACCCATCGGTCGATCCGGTATTAAGTGAGGTGCCTCATCGTAGAACTTCGCACACTTAAACATGAAAACGTCGAAGGTCTATATCACGACGGTTGCGGTAATCGTTAACTACATGCCAAGATTAATATATGCGCGACACTTTTTGCTCTTGGCAGCCAATAATAGATATAAAGTGGGCTTCAAGGATCGACTCAACCCCAGTACAAAACCACAATCGGGTCCACACCGAGCAAGAGGCAGATTTTTGCCTGCGCATTCAGCCTCCATGCAGTCATGCTCGCACGCGTCGCACGTGAAACCCAGCCGCACCTTGTACGATCGCCCAGATCGCATTACACAAAACATCCGACACACTGCTGGCGCAGTACGTACATCCTCCTCCGCCTGAAAATCCTTCTGTTCTTACCTAGAGTAAATGGGCGCCAGTTCCCATGTCCATCATATTTCTACCTCACAATTGACCAGATATGACATCTCCTACCCCAACTCCAGCCCCGACGTCAGTCTCGGTAGACCCTAGATTGGTCGGCTGGACGCAAGACGGCTCTACGTTTATCTCACAGATCTGCAACGTCGGCTCGGAAACATTTGCATTTGACGGCACGCGCGCGAGCTGCTGTGCGCCACCTAATGCCACAGGCACGCCAGGGTGTCCGGCACGAACGGGGTGCGCTGGGAGGACTGTTTTGCAAATTAATGCAGGGGGACATGTCTGGTGAGCCATGCTCGCCAGGTTTTCGAGAAGTAGAGTCAGGAATTGACAAGTCGGCTAGTGAAACGGGATCCACGTGTGTAGTGAACACGTTGATCGAGCACTTTCCGACGGACCCGTTCGAAGTACAGGCTACGACGAGTATGTATGGCTGTAGGAGGACGGGAAATGAAGGTGGGAAGTTGTGAGTTATTAGGCATGCAGTGAGGTGTGAACAAAATCCTGACGCGTGCAGATTGTATCGCGAGTCCCCAGTTTCAGCTTTCACAGCGACAGAGACCTTGTCGAGCTCGAGTATACCTGTCGAGGTGCCGTCTGGGTCCGCATCAGGAGAAGGGAGTTCAAATAATACACCACTAATAGCTGGCGTTACAGTCGGGGTGGTGATCGCTATCGCGACAATTGGAGCTATTTCGTGGTTGCTGTGGCGGCGGAGACGGAAAGTAAATAAGATAGGCGGAGGTGAGGGTACAATGGATCGGAAGATGGATTATACAGTTCATGAAGCTGACAATATGGCTGAGCGACCGAGCGAACTGGACACCGGGAAAAATACGATGCCTGAATCGGATGTTGTTCATGAGCTGCCGGACAGTGTTGCGGAAAGGTGACGAGTGGTTACGGTTTGGAACACAGTAACGTGATATCTGCATACCATTTCAAAATTCCAGCGCCTCTGCGAAAGCAGCCACTGTTCATGATCCTTTCACCGCTTTCTGCTTACGCCGGCAAAGTATTGTTTTGACGCTTCCTATCATTGCAATTCAACGGCCAGCCCCTAAGTTCAGCGATCATCGGAGTCCCGTTACTCCCTAGTCATTCATGATGTTGTTTGTCATGCTTCTCAACTATTCCAGTGCATGTCGGTTCAGGCTGTAGGATTGTCAGTAACAGCTGAAAGCTCCACTCTATGACATATTGCGTACGCTTGACCTCCATGTTTGCGAACCGAATAACACGCATGGGAGCTTGTTATGGCTGGACCTGAATAAGGCTAGCGATCGACTAGCGAAAGTGTCCGACGTACAGATTATGGGGTACCGCTTCCATTCCATTATGAGACAGGATTTGGCATCAGTGACACCAGCACCAAGACAACACTGAATGATGATTCGCAACTCACCAAGAGCACGGTTCCGCGTCGTACTGCAACAAAGCCTTCCGTAGCACGCGGTACAACCTGGGTAGAAGGGCTGAAGAAGACCTGAACTCTCTGGTACATCACAGCAACGGCCCAATGTGTCCGAGGCTTTCAAAGTCTGACTGTTCAGATAACAGCTGTACACCGCCGGTGTTCAGAGCTCATATAAATATGTTTCATTTCTTAAGTTGCCTACCATATACATCCGACGGTCATTTTCCCAAGCGTCAGTACCGTATCGTATGCGATAATCACGTAGCAGATAATTTCTGACAAGTCCTGTATTGCGCCATTCCCACTAATTCAGTATATACGAAATGAATCGAAGTCTATTGTCACTAGGAGGTGCGGACGCGTCTGTTGGGCTGATGTCCTTAACAATGAATATTTTGGAAAGCCCGTCGGAGAGAGGTGCATCTATCACACTCGATACGGCTCGGAGTCGAAGGATTATTTGGCATTGGAAAAGCGCTTCTTGCCGACGGTGAAGGGGACGTATCGGTATTTGATCATGTGTTGGATTTGGCGCCTCACTGAGACATGACATTAGGTCTAATAGCATCGGAGAGTTCTGCATCACTTACTAGTCAATGCGACCAGAATGAACCAGTACACAACTAGCACCGGCCAGAAGACTGGAAGGTTGAACATTTCGAACCAACTGCAGAAGAAGCCGATAACAATGGCCCGGGTGGCCGCGTACCAGAACTTGAACTCTGGGAGCCTTCTCACGAAAGGTCTGAATTCATCCTCTTCTTTGGTTGGGAGTCCGCTGGAGCCCTCCTCCATCCCTTCATCCTGTTCTAACGAAGGGTCGAATTTTGGCGAAATGAAGGCGAGAAAAAGGTTTAGGAGGTAGATACCGAGGGAGTAGGCGACTGCGCAGCTGTTAGTATCCAGCTTCAGAACTGTGACATCATCCCAGTTAGACTGACCAATATACCATCCTTGCGCAAAAATGATTCTAAGACCGAATAGAACGAACACTGTGCCTGTACCCACCCATCGGTACGGAACGTACGGAGTTGATTTGTCGAGATACGCCTGATAAATCTGGATATCGTCTCGTTAGTGACTCGTTATGTTCTCGCAATTACTAGACTCACCTGTCCAAACCGGGTTGCTTGCGAGCTCACGGCGGCGAAAGGGGTATCCGGCTCTGGCGCATCCATGTTTCAAAGGTGGCGAAGATGGCGCTGAGAAGTGTGAATTTAGAGCGCCGATCAGAGAGGACTGCGCAAAGTGAAACAGATAGATAATGAGGGGCTGGGAGGAAGATGATAGTGACTACGAGTATGGAGGTTGAATTAACTGTATAGTGGCTGGATGGCACTAGCGCGAAACTGCGGCGACGTGCCTAGGTGTGGCGTCGACACTTATTACTCAAGCCACATCGCACTTTCGCCGATACTTCTGCAGAACATGCTGAAGTGTACGCCGAGTCATAGTCACATATACCTCCTGCGAGTAAGTCGCATATATTCAGGCCTCTACAATACAAGACGATACATTATTACATGCCTAACCGAAATCATTGACCGCTCTCAAATGCTAATTTCAATCCGCCTGTCCATGCTCCCGCGAGATGCAACCTCACCAAACTTTTTACGTCTCCATTCCTGGATTCACGGCGCAGGTATCGGAACGATGTTATGTACTCCAAATCCGAAAAGGGTGTCTCCAGGAAAATATGAAGAATTCCACAAACGCCAGACCGCTTGCTATGCAACAAAAGGGGATGTACGGCATTAATGGTGGGAGCAAAGTTTGATGCTCCGTGTGGATCAGGAATCCAAATGCCCATTGAAAGAGGAGGTATCGTAATTGACCGGTTTGCGTAGAAGTTGTAAACCGCTTTGGGCGTGAGTGTTTGCAGATAAACCTTCCTCGAGTAAAAGATTTGGCCAAAGAGGATGGCCTTTTGGTGTTGTGTCATGAGTTTGAAAGCCCCGAGCAAGCTTTTTGCGTCTATTTTCTCTTTCTTCGATAACACTGAGGCCTATATCAAAAAGACGGCCTTGACTGAAACGATCCTCCAGGCGGCTCTCTTCGAAAAGTCTCTTGAGTGATTCGAATGGCAATGAAATCAGGATACTCGAGATCAGATTGACGCAGAATAAATCCGGCGGGAGCTCACCAAAACGGATCTGACTGAGACGCGGGTGGTGCTTGTTGGGTCTAGAATCTCCCAGAGGAGGCAGTCGAGGTGACGCCGCTAACTGAGGAGCGGCTGTGTTGAGCTTGAAGTCTGATGGTATGTTTTGCGCGATAAAGTCGAGCACCGAGACTAGCAAAGATGACTTCTGGCCCTCAAAAGATGTATTCGGTTGGATACCCGGGACCGGTGCAAATAAAGTCGGATTTGATACGAAATCTAGAATCTTCTCGATAGTGTCCCATCTGAGCAGCCTCGCGACCAATGTGAAGCCATCGCGCACTACTTCGGGGATACAAAAGGCTTCGCCAGCCACGAGGTATGCCAGAGCGTGTTCGACACGTCCAGAAGCCACGGCTAGTGTGCTTCCATCCGCGTTGAACGGTGGAAGCGGCTCAGTCTCAACAGTGGTCAGCAATGGACCTCCGTAAAGAACTCGTAAAGCGTCTAGGTAGCTATGCCAAATGAAATGCTGTGACGGAACTTGTAGCTTAGCAACTCTGGTACCTTCCAGTGGTCTCATGCTTTGCGAGATTATGTTTCGAAGAACAGGACTCCTGGCAAGTAACACACCATGGGCCGGAATGCAAAAAGTTTGCATGTTGGGATCAGGTGAAACCTCCAAGATACAATCAGCAAGGGCTTGATTCCCAAAATTCTCACTTAGCCAATCACGTAGACTGTAGAGTGGTGCCATCTCTGAGCTAGAGATTGGGTCCATGCCGTTTACACGAGCGCCATTCTGGGTAGGCGCGCGTGTGTCTGATCTCTTCGTGTCTTGATCTTGATTGCGTGAGGAGCCCTGCGATGGTGACCGTGAGTCCTGGAAATTGCCATTCGGCGGGCCGTATGGTGGACGGGGGTAATAGAAGTCTTGGGGCCTTGCGCCATACGGTAGACCTTCAGATGGATACCAAGGAGGCTGCTGCCTTCCCAAAGGCTGGTCCCTTCTGTACCCAGCCCCATTGTGAGGTAGACCCATGATCGGGTACATAGAACCAGCGTGGGGATCCGAAAGATGGTGTGAATGGGCAGGGTAGAAGGGCGGTGGACCATAAGTAGGAGGCATGTACCCAGGTGGTGCTTGAGGCATTTGGAATGGCATCATACCTGGAGGTGGAGCCGGGGAGGTATTGGATGAATCGGCATAGCCACCAAAGATGATCCGGCTTGGGCTCGGACGCGGATGGTGCATAGTAACATTGTTTGATGGCAGGTTCTGAAAAGGGACAGAAGATGTCGTGGAGGTGGGCGTGGGCGTGGAGCGGTCTTCAGACGGGTAAAAGGGAGGGGGGAGCTCGTTGGCCACACGACTAGATACGGTGGAAGACTTTCTCGTGTGTTGGGATACAGACTGCACACCGTCCTGTTGTTCTGCTACCTCCGCAGGCACGATCTCTTCGACTGACGACACATGGTCAGTATTTGTACAACGGGGTCACACCTGTCGCGACACGCGAGACGAAACTCACGAGGCAGAACTTCATTCGATTTTTCTGAATTGGCGACTGGTTCTATTGTATGAGCTTCAATTTGATCTTCGACGCTTTCGTCACTCTTGATCAGTGCCTGTTCTTGTGCTGGCGCATGGTTTGTGTCTCCGTTTTCAGGAGAGCGAGCAGATATTGTATTTGTAACATCGGGGGGGGAAGCATTCGACTTGGGAGGCACAGAAGGTTTTGAGTATGCCAGAGGAACAGCGGGTACAATTCGAGCTATACGAGGGGCAGCTTTTCTATTGCTGGTTCGTACTGGACGAGCGGTGTCGGCAATGGGTGGAGTCATGTTGACAGGACGGACCGAGGTATACACAATGGTGAGGCAGCGTCTCCAAGATAAATGAGCTAGACAGTAATCTGGCCACTACCTTGGAGCGCCCGTGAAAGAAGATGGAGGTGCGTAATGGAGGAGAGAAGAAGAGAATGTGAAGGTTGTAGTGGAAGGAGACGCGGATGATGAATTGGAAGCTTCAACAAGAACTTTGGCACTAAGATCGAATGTGGGGGAAGCTGAAGCGACACACTAGATGACGCACGGCCCTCTATCTTGGAATTCCAGGTTGGATGTGTTTCTAGTTCTGCCTCAGGCCGCTAGGTCCTTGTTTTCTTCTCCATCCCACACCACTGACTTGTTTTTCGGCTTGAGACATTGATGTGATATCTCATATTGCATACCTGTATGAGAGAGATACTGAACAGAATAGAGGAGACTGATACAGTCGGCCCGCCTTGGGTATCATTCGGAATTAGCTCATAACTGACTTGCTGAGCAGCAGAGGCAACTGACCAATATAAACCGACGTGCAACGAATGATAAAGTAGCATTCATATAGCTTCACGTTCAGTCCCTTTGTCGTAGGCTGTGCTATGCTTCGCGACGTTTCATGACAGGACCCTTTGGTTCTCACAGCACGTCCTCTATCCACTCGTCAAAGTCTAGTCTGGAGGTAACTTGATTCACATCGTCGGCGATGCTATTGACGAAAGGATAGTGAAGGATTACTTCATCTACGGCAAGATCGAAGAAGACTATGCTCGTTCTTCCTACCTCAAAAGTTCCATCTCACTGAGTATGCGTGGAAAGCGTGCGCGATCGAGGCTCCCTCACACCTCAGCTCCTGTGACGTCTCATTACAACTCTTAAAATTCCTAATCCTCTCTCTCACATCATGACTTTCAAGCTTACTTTGACTTCCTCTCCAATCCTTTGATTTACACTGTCACGACGCTCCAGTCAATACTTCTAATCGACATCCTACATTGCCTTTGTTCTTACTCCTAAGTCCTACTCTAGCAACTTCAAAAGACGCACTGGATAGAGAGTAATGCCCCGTGGCAATGCAAACTCTGAAGCGCCAACATTGACCGTCAGCCCCAAATCTCCGGTTCAATACAAATGCTCTTCAAGCCCCTCATTCCCGATACAAGAACATTTTCATCGGAACGGACAAGCGTCGTTTAGGGGGAAGAGAAAGAACAATATCGCTGGCGGTGAATGATTCTCATTGCAGTTCGAGCTCTTTATACTGATCGTTTCCAAACAGGAAATCGTTTCTCCATCCTTGCGAGTCTTGATGACACATCTGATTCATCTCACCGAGCTTTGGATATAACATCGTCAGGGAGACTGAGTCGCAATCGCAAACGTGGAAAACGAGGGGGCGCTAACAGCAGAAATGGCAAAGTTCCTGCTCATTTTGAAGCACTGAACAGTCTTTTCACAGAGATGCCGTTTTTATCCCCTACTAGACCGCCATCAGTACAGTCGGATCTCGATGTAGGTACGGTGCCTAAGACAAGGGATTTCACCACGAGCCCCGAAACCCCAAGCTTTCATACACCGACTAGGTCTCTATCAACAGTTACAACACCTGCCACTCCTTCCCCGGTGCCCAAGACGAGTCCCATTATACCCAGATGCTCACTTCGGGACTTACCGCGCATTCCAAGGTCAGATCCCGTGAGTCCGAGGATCCGGAATCAGGCACGAATAGCTCAGTTCTGTCTTCCTATGCCGTCTCAAAACCCATTTACTACGGGCACTCGATACTTCCCGTTGGCACCACACCCTCAGCCTAGACTACCAGCGAGCAAGATTTCAAAAGCTTTGGTACAGCTTCACCGTGAATCGCGATTCTTTCCGTCTCAACGTACTCTTGAGAAACCAATGGGGGAGCCAAAAGATCCTTATGCAGGACAATCATTCTTCATGATGGGTCATGCGCGGCATTGCTGGTGCTGCCAGGAGGCCAAAAGCCGGCCGGAATTGGACCCGGCACCCGAAACCAAACTTTTACACATACCTGACCCTCCTGTTGACGATACGGATCGTCGGGCATGCTGCACGACTGTTGATTCTAGCTTGGCTTCGACCGTCGAGACTGTCCCTAGTACCCCCTTTGAAGTAATTGCTGCAGAAAGAGAGGACAGAGAAGGCTGGACCCTACTCTTGCCAGAGGAAGAGTCCTCTAATCCAGTCGAACACCCAGTTACTGCTACATCGGCAAACTCTGTTATACCGTCTCCACCTGGTAGTCCTCTAAGAAATCAGTTTGACCGTTTCAGACACGCGATGGAGGGTGTTGAGCCGAAGTTTCCTTGGGAATGGGGTGATCCGGAATGGCAGTGGTCTGAACTTACTAGCACTGGCTGCTAGACTTCTGAACCCGAGCTTTATTATAACGTTGGATGGTACAGTACTTGAGCCTTTGAAGACGGTGCAACACCTGTATTCATCCTAATCAAAGCATCAATCATAACACATATCCCAAGTCTTTTGGTTACATGGCAAACATTATGTTCTACAACTAGAGTGCGGGCTAGCTTACCCTTTTCTTGTCTCGATCAACCACTCTTTATACCTCTATACTTTTGCTTGAGTCGTCTTGATCTTGAACCATTATCATACCACGTCACTTACATTTACCACTCTTCTGTGCCTCCCTGTATTACTTTTCAGACCCTCTTTCGTGGGGTAGTACTTGGTCAACTAACCCATTTTTATTGCTCTTAGTTCTTGTACAGTTTGGTATCGTTGATACTATAAAATGTGTGGCTCAACCTACTCCCCATCCGTTGCAAGGAACCATAAGATACCCTTTTAGGCTGTGTCTGGAAGGATGTGGTCGTCGATGGTGAAATGGTTAGCCCGACTCGGGTCATTCTGACTTATATGTTGCAGCTGTTCTCAGCCTGGCCTTGGGTGCGAGCTACGCGTTCTTAGGTATAACCTCATGCTTTTCTGCTGGCCTGCTTGGCACCTATCAGATCTTCATATAATTATTGTTTTTGGCAGTCAGAAGGTATAGATCGAGAGAACTGCTATGTGTCCTTGTGCTGGTTACCTCTACAAGCACTGTTACTCTATGTCACGACTGTCTTCCTGTCCCCTCAAAGCCTTCTCAAATACTGGTAGAAATCTATAGTATTAATATAATGCGTTATATTTACAGTGTGTAGCATGACTTGTGACTCATGTAATCCATGTGAGTTAATCCAGACATATGAAATTCAGTAGCCTGATAGGCTGTGTTCGACTCCGTCCAGATCACAAAGCAAATGAAAAGGTTCCCTTCTCTCTCAGCCTCCTGCCGTAATAATAGAAAATGATAGGTATCGGCACCATCGCCATTGAAAAGAATCCTAGTAGACTCGTCGCCCATGCTACACCCAATGCCCGATACATGTATGGTGTAAACAGCAGCACTGAAGCAGCGCTGACACCACGGACAAATCCATTAGCTGCAATGGCACTGGCAACGTTCGACAGATAGACATCTGCGATGTATATTACTCCGTTGAAGAAGACACTCGTAATACCTGCGCCGATAAACACGCCAGATATGACCTGAGGCCAGAATGTGATGTTGGGATGTGAAGTCCAAGCAAACCAGAAAAGTCCGATAGGGAGGCTAAAGCCACCAACAATCATAGGAAGAAGTCGATCTTCTGGCGAGATCTTGCCGTTCTTCTTGAGAATTCTGGCGTAGCGTGTGCGCGCGTCAACTCCCATGCTGATGCAAGCGATGATGATCCCAACCATTATGCCAAGGAACGGTAGTGAGGCCATCACAGGTTCCCATCCGCGTATCATGCGGAATGCTACAGGATACGCGAAGAAGATTGCGTACAAAATACTGTAGACCAGGGAGATGTAAGCTGTGACAGCAACCAACTACGAAAATCGTCAGCGAGTACAAATGAATGAAGTTGGGCAGCTCTCACAATCGGCTCCCGCAATATTATCCGAACTGGTTTAAGGAGGTACCTCTGTGCAACAGCCTTGAAAGTGAAGGGTGATTCGTCAAGCTTTGCATGCCATGCCCATTCTTTCGTCTCCAACCGCTTCTTTGTGGCCATCTTTTGGAGTATGATGGGCTCCGAGGTCTCCTTAACAAAGAACATCCCAAGCAGAGTGAAGACTCCTGAAATTATCATAGTGACCCATGCTGTCCACCTCCACCCGAGATGGCTGTGTACAATCAAGGAACCCATAATAGGTCCCAAGACAGGACCGAGGAAAACAGCAGCTGCAAAGACGGACATGGCTACTCCACGATCCACTATATGGAGCATATCGACATATATAGCACTCGTGACCCCAAGTGGTGCCGCTCCAAATAGCCCAGCAAGGAAACGGCTGACAAGCACCGTTTGGAGGTTCTGGGCCAATGCCAACGGGATCTGACAGATGACAAAAAGAGTAAGACCCGTGAAGATTGGATAAAACCGGCCAAATCGTTCAGACAACGGTCCCCATAACATAGGTCCTGTCAAAAGTGTGTGAGCAAGAACTAGTGATATCCCGATTGAGGGGGTTTACCGAACGCGAAACCCAGCACGTACAGACTGACACCCAGAATCATCACTTCTTCACTCACGCCAAACTCTTCCGCCGTGACTTTGGTGCATGTCGAGAAGATGCTGCTTGCAAAGCTTACACAGAATGTACAGGCGGCGGTCAGACCAATGATCAAAAATTTATCCCTTTGTCTGAAGTTTATCGGCTTCAACGGGTCGTCAGGTCCGTCAAAGTCGACGAGCCATGACTGTACTTCCTTGGTCGGGGATGGTGCAGCACACTGTAGTAATGTTTCTGATGAACTGTAGCTGCGAGCGCAACGGGAACAGCATTGCGTGACTTTTCCCTCATCTTTCACAGAGTCGTTGCAGGTGTCGATACTATGAATCGTGGGAGCTACTGAATGCCAGGTTGTGTCTCGAGCTCCCTGCTCAAATTGATGTAGACTCATCTATGGTCAAATTGAGAAATTTGTGCTGGACTTGCTTCGTGAGGGTGGAGACGGCTGCGAACAGAGATGAAGTATGTAGCCTTGGTGACGGGAATTGGAAGAATATGGCCCATGGTGTCCGTACAGCCTGCCTGCCCACGCATTTGTCTCCGAGCATCAACACCAGCAAATCGCCAAGGGGCTGGGGTTCATTATCGCGCATGAGGTATAATGATACCTCCGTGTTTTGCGTTGTCCGGTACCCACTTTTAGATCGCAGCCAGTACTGTAGACTGCAAGGCACGGCTCCGAACGTCAGTGCGCAGAAAATTCCGACGCAGACAACAGGGGCTAAGAGTCCGTTCAAGAACATCATTACTACGCCAACATCTAACTGGGTACGATGATCGTAAAACTTCTATGACAGTCAGACAGCACCTAGGTCAGTCTGCTGTCAGAATCTAGTTGATGACACCATATTTCAGTGGTGGATGTGGTACTTACATGTGACAGTGTTTGCGGAACATTACTACGCCTTGTCAATACGGTCCATGTCGAAATGTACCATGATACCTATATTCCGATTGATCGAATGGTTTACTCGACCTAATTCAAATACCTCATACTAGTTTCTGCCCCGGGACTAGCCACATTTCAAATGGCTATTACGTTGATTTTAAATTGGGTTTTTGCGTCACGTTATGGTTGAACGGCTTTGAATACTTCCGTAAGCTTACTGCATTCTACCTGCTCGATGATGGTCGCATGTTACAAAATGCGACAACAAAATTTTCAATGTCTCCTCGAATTCCTCATGATCGTAGCCTGAGTATAGTATGGTAAGCTTAGTTTTGTCTCGTTTCGCCATTGGTCGATATTACCCATGACAGACAGACCTTTGTCGTGTCTCTGCGGCACTGACAAGAACATGTACAGAACGGTCAGCCTGGTCGACACGGTAGTCGTTTCGTGTTGGAAGCCATATGTGGTGTATTATGCCTGCAGCAAACTTCAGTATGCAAGCCATTCGAAGAATCTGAGTTTGGTCAACATTTGTCTTTGGCCAAGTATAAGAGCCGTTGCTCTTGTTGTCAGTATCAAGTTCACTTGTCCAAGGCAGGTATGGAGGTGTATCTCGTTGTACCATCAAGTGTACATGCAGCACATATCCGGGAGAGATCAAGTTTTTTTTTTTGAACTGTAACACCGGTGACACAATGAAGACTAACCACAGATCACTCAGACGGTTGCAGCATTGAGAAGACTTCATTCGGAACCTGATTCCAACATGAACACTCTCTAGAGCCTCTGGAGATTGCGACAAACCTTTGAGCCGGAACGCCCTCGTGTTCCCGACTAATAGAAATGGTCCTACGGGTCTTCCCAAAAGAGTAACCCACACAAATTCAACATGATACGACCTTCTAGAAATCGGCTACCCGTAAGCCCGTACCTTTCATAATAGCGTTATGTGACACACGAAATGTCTTTGCGAATATCGTCATAACGAATTTCAACGATCATTGTTCCGGTCTTTTCGCATTGCGTCGAAGCCAAATGTATTTGGACTACACAATCGTAAGAGCACCAAAGGCGCATGACGGATCCTCAGATACCATATAGCACTCAAAGCTAAATAATTAGACCATGCAAAGACCTGAAGCAATCGACTCCCGAAAATGTTGGACAGGTCAGTGATGAACATACCGGAACAGGCTTAGCGCAACTTAAAGTGGGCTCCCTGACAGGAAACATAAATTATTATAACATCACGCCATGCTACTTGAAACACTTGAAATCAAGTCCAGTCTTGAAGTCTCGCCGTTGCCTCCATGATGATCCGCCCCTACGCATCACATGATCGTTCCCTTGAGGATCGTCTGTTATCTTATCCCACTTAGTTAGGGCTTATTTGGCACTCTACGACCTCTACCTACGTCTACAGAATCCAGTTAGACGAGACGATTTGGTCGTTCAACTCTGTCACGTTTCGTTCTACAAAATTTCCTAATTACAACTCAATTGCAAAGTCGCCCTCAATCACCATAGCTGGCTGCTATACCGCAAACATCACACCACCATGCCTCCTCAATCCGCCATAATCGTATGTACAACCATCCCCTCCCCCCAAAATAACCACCTCCCGCAACCCCCTAGGCTAATCCAAACCAGATCGGGGGCTCGCTCTCGGGCCTCCTCGCCGCCCTGACCCTCTCACCACACATCCCCCAAACCACCATCCTCGAAAGCACGCCCGCAGCCTCGACCCGCCACTCGCAGGCCGCCGGCATCTCGCCCGGCCCGGACTTCCTCGCCTTCATGGCGCGACATGACCGTACCGGCCGTGCGTACACGGTCGGCAAGGCACCGGCCTCTGTCGTGGGGCTTGACGGCGCGATCGTGAAGCCCATGGGCGCCGTGCTGGAGCTTAGTTCTTGGAGTGTGTTGTATGCGATCCTGAGGGCGAATTATGATGGATTTTCCAGTGTGGTTGTGCCAGAGCCGCCGAGCGGGGTGGCCGGTGGGACGTATCTGAGTGGGAGGAGGGTTGTTGGGGTGGATCTGAGTGATGAGAAGGTGGTCCGGGTGAAGTGTGCGGTCGAGGGCAGGGGAGAGGAAGTGTATGAGGCGGAGATGGTTGTAGTTGCGGACGGGAGCTATTCGACCGTGCGGGAGCTACTGTTTCCGGGGAGTAGGCGGCGGTATACGGGGTATGTGAGTTGGAGGGGGACGGTGAGGGAGGCGGAGATTAGTGAGGCGACGAGTGAGTATTTTGATGGGGCGCTGAAGATGTTTATGGGGTTGAAGAATGGGTATATGCTGGTGTGAGTGATGCAGGATGATCATGGTGAGATCAGAGCTTATGCTGTACAGGTATAAGATCCCTTCGGACGAGGGTGAGCTGCGGCCAGGAGGCAGACTAATCAACTTTGTGTGGTACCACGAGATGGCAGAAGGATCTCCAGACCTGAAGATGGCTATGACCGATATCAACGGCAAGGAGCACTTCAACACCGTCACACGGGATCTGCTCCAGCCACAGGCGTGGGAAAAGCAAAAGGCCTTTGGTGTTCCGCAAGTTCCACTTCCATTTCAAGAGCTTCTGCAAACGGCGACCTCAATCTTCATCACCAAGATTAACGATTCAGCGACGTCACAGCCGGTAGTGCAGGATCGATTGTTCTTCGTCGGTGACGCGCTCCGTGCCCTGCGTCCTCACAATGCGCAGAGTACGAACCAGGCTGGGTTTCATTGTCGATTGCTTGAGCAAGTGATCCTAGGGAACATGACGACCAAGGAATGGCAGCACGAAGTCGTCAGCCAGGGCCGTATAACAGGAGAAATGAGTACATTCATCGGCATGATGGGATTTCGTCGCAAGTTCGCCATGCTCGCAGCGTATCTACGCCATCTCAGGCTGGTTTGTGTCTACAAATTCGTCGGGTTCTGGGGCTGGCTTTTCAGGGGACGGAAGAGCACTGGATATAAAGAATTTCTCAACAATTAGATAGTTCTCGACGTGGATTCTATGCTCTGAATGACAGAGGTTGTCAGCTATCTATCTGAAGACTATGGTGCTGGGCATATTGTGTAGTCATCGGGGTTCATCCTCCGCTGGTGCTCATGGAAGTCGATGTTGGGTCTTCGAGGATTGATCTGGGCCATGTCTGCCCGTCTGCGAGTCTTTGCCTTTGACTTGTCCCGTGTCTCTTCCTGGACATCCCTGTTCGCAATGGCCATTACGTAGCCTCTGTCATTTGAAACCTGGCAAGTTTGAGTCTGAACAACTGTGTTGTCTGACTCGGACGTAGCCGTTAGTTTGATGGTTGCGTGTTCTATAGCATGTGCTGCAGGGGCAAAGGCGACTCTCGCGACTGTTTCCTGCCCAAATCTGGCCGTGGCGAGTTCATTCGGAAGAACAATCTGCCATCCGGACCCATCTACTTCAGCACTTAGCCGATAAATGTCAGAACTTAAATGCAATGGTGCTCCACTTGCAGCTTCACCAGTGTTCTTCAAGATGAAAGTACACGAGCCTCCTGATGGCGAGCCTGGTGATGCCTTGCCTTCAAGCAAGTCAACGCCATACTTGCTGGGAGCATGAACACTGCTCGTGGGCAAGAGAGACTTGACGCCGACGGTGTAGTATAAGACACCACTTTCATCAACCTCTGGCTCAACAACGTAGAAGTGTAGATTGTTGGCCTCGTCAACGTACTCAAACTGACTTCCAGAACGTGTGCCGGCATGGAAAAGAGCATCCATGAGTTGCCGGTAGTCACCTACTGTCAACATGCTCTCGGTACCATCCGGCCGAACAAAGTCAACTACGTCAATGTCCTGGGGATTGGCATCAATGACCCACTGGAATGGCTGTCGCGCGTCCGATATCTGGCCTTTTGAGAGTAAGACCCCTGAGTCAGCTTGGAAGCTATCTGCACCGATGCGTTGAACAACTTCAAGATCGTAGAAATTGTATCCCCCAGCATCACACAGTGGATCTGTCGAGATATTGCAAGCAGGCGAGTCGTCAGAGTCGATATTGATGCGCAGACCCTTGAGGCCGTCTGGACCTTCATCGACGGCTCGTGCGGTGAGTCGAGCAACAAGAACACCAGAATATGCTGTGAGCTCCTCACGAGAAGTCATCAGCACACTTGAGTTGTCGACTAGGCCAAGTTGAAGCTTGTCTCGAACGGTGTGAAGTGATCCGAGGGAAGCCCCCTGAAGTGCTGGAATCTGCCATCGGGTATGTGGTCCCCCTGGTCCGTTGAAACTTCCACGAGACATCATACTCCAGGGGCCAGTATATGCACGGCGAGCTGGAAGTCCATAGGGATTGTTGTAGTTGTCTCCAATGCCGATCAAATGGCTGAGTTCATGCGCGTAGACTGCAGCACCTGAACTCTCACCCTGTGTACTGCTTCCGCCGCCGGCATTTGGCCAAATCGATGCCGCACTGACCCAGCTCGTCCACTCAACATAGCGTGTCGCGGCGTAGTTGGTCAGGTTGCTCAGCCCTGCTGGAGGCCCAAAGTCTGCTGGTACATCCTCCTTGGTTTGGAACTTCATCTCGCCAAATTCTTGCCAGGTGGAAGATTCATCCTGACCTGCAGACAGTATGAAGACGAGCTCAAACGCGCTCGCTGTCTCATTACCAACATCTGCACGCCATGCACCCAGCGCGTCTGTTCGTAGGTCGACATTGCATGGTGCTTCTGGACATGCACCGGGATTCATGCCGTCCTCTGCATCATCAATACCATACTGGAAGCTTTTCCGGGGAAGTCGATAGGCTCCGAACGCAGTCAGATCGACACCGTATCGACCAGCAGAGTCCTCCATCCAATACTCATGCAGAGTATGCCCGTGGTTGAGGTCCTGAACTTTGTTCAAAAGATCACGGTAATAGCCAGGTACGTCTTCACGGGCGAGACTATTAACCACTGGTTGAGGATTGTCGAAAACAGTGTTCCCGGCAGCTTGCGTTATGGTGAAGTTCATGTCGGGGTAATCAACAGCCACGAGTGCGATGTTGAAGTTGCGGACAGAGCCTCGTCGGCTCGCATCGTTCCATTCGATGCCTGGTACTGGCACATAGTCGTCCCAAGTCATCTGGTCAGGATTTTGCCAGTCTTGAAGATCCAGTATAGCGAACGGGTCATTCTTGCTCGTACTTGACCGTGCTGGCAGGGCTGAAGCGACGCATGAATAGGCTGTCAAGCCACGCAGGGCAAATCGAAGAACGCCGATCATGGTACGAGACCGTGAACGTGAGATGCCTCTGAGCTAGACATTGTCAGAGCAGAGGCGAGTTGCTTATTTGAATGCCTGATCGGACGACTATCCAGGAGCGGGGAAGACGTTGCATGGTTGTGCAGAGCCACTGGGTTCGGTGTAGCCTAATGCAGCAGGCGATTCAGAGTTGCCAAGTATCCTGTGGAGAATGCCCTAGATGACTATCCTATCCCCGTGTATAAAAAGTATAGTAGATGAATTCCATTATCTGGGAAGCGAATCAAACCACAGGCGACGCTCGTATGATCTTTTTGACAACCCACCTACCTTGTACGTTCCTGCGGCTGAAGATCTTGACGACATACGCCGTTGGGAACATTCGTCAGCCACCTCGAATCTGCAAGCGCGTGAAAAGCGATCTCTAATACTGTAGCTCAGGCAATAATGAAGTGAAGACTGAGTGAGCACGACGAACACGAGAGCTCGTTTGAGTCAAGCTGATCTTCACGATGGCTCGGCCGAGGGGTGAACAGTGTGTTTCAAGACTTCCTGCGCATAGGTGAAGCCTACCCGTCTGAGAATAACATAAATTATCTATTCCCCCCACCTCTCAGGCTCGGTGGGATGGCGAAATGGCATCGCGTTGCTTTCCGGTGGCAAAGATTGTGGGTTCGAGTCCCATTCTCATCGTTTTGCTTTTAGCATTAATGTTTTGTGGATTAGAGGCGTCATTTTGGTTCTAGGAACATCAGAATGGCTGGTTTTGGCGGGGACGGGACTCAGGGGAGCAGGGCTGAGTTGCAGGCGTTACCGGTAGCCGAGCCAGTAGCGTGGTCGACTTTTGAACATGTTAAACCTAAGACATTTCTTTCTCTGTGGTTTTCCCAGTAAGTCAAGTTTGGAACAGATTTATTAGAGCTATATTAGAGCTATATTATAGCTAATGCTCTGGGGCGTCTTCTAAGAAGCCTGCATACGGATCATCCCATCCTGCAGCCATTCCTCTGCTTGACACAATGCGGTACGACACCCCCACTTTGATATGCCAGAACCTCCTGACAGATGGAGTCCATATCGACATCTAGCAACAAAGTTGTGTGCAGGCAGTCATGGGGCTTCAATCGTTGTATGCCGACACAATGCGCGTAGTCTGTTCATGGGAAATGCCTAAGTTGCTCACGAAAATAGGCCAATCGAGGTGCAATCCCTCGCCATGGAAGTGATTTGCGCCCTCGTGTATGCATGAGCTCGCTAGTGGCAGTAAACACGTCTCGCAGACTGGTATTTCGATATGATATTCGCAAGATCCCCTGGTTCTAATGCATACCCAGCATACCGAATCCATACATTCCAACAAGGGATCTTTGAGCCATTTCGAAATACGCACCGATGGGACACACCCTGCCATCTTTTCTTCACCATCCCAAGGGAACAGCGCTGCTCTTGAAGCAATGTGGGTGCCAAAGAACCTTGTCTCTCTTCGTCAAATGCTGACATTTGTAGACCTCCTATATGGCTAAGGTTCGATGGCTGAGAGATAGTACAAGGCACCGTCGCCGCTAATCATATCTACTACAGGGACAACTGCCAATGCTCCAGCTGTGTTCATCAAGACACCAAGCAGCGAAACTTCGACACCTTTGAAGTAGTGTCCAAGAACCCCTTGATGACCAGACTAACGATGACCAGCTTCCACCAAATCTGTCCTTCCAAAAAGTTGAAGAGGCTCAAAATGGATACCAAGTGCAATGTAAGCTTTGATGCAGTATACCAGTCACGTCTCGGTCTTGACTGCTTCATTAGGGAGCGATGGCCATGAGAGTTTTTACGAAAAGGACTGGCTGGCCAGAGCAGGTCTCAAAGAGACAAGTGCAATTCAGCAAGGGCGTGCGCCAAAGTAAGCACAACATATTACTGACTGACAAGATCATGAAGTAATGTCATGTCCTGTTAGTCCTGTTCTCTGGAATACCGATTATCTTGCAAAAGAAGGGGCCCCCTCTGTGCAATACGATGCAGTAATGGACCCGACTTCTGAAGAGGGTGTTCGCGAATGGGTCACTGCAATTGTAAGTGATCTGCTTCGCATGTAAGCCCTTTTTAATTTCGATAGCGAAACTTCGGTTTCTGTTACGTCGAGGGTGCCCCTGTCGACCCTGGAAAGACCCAAGAGCTGTTGGAACGCATCGCATTTATTAGAGAGACGCATTATGGTATGTCTAATGGACTTTCACGTTCGCATAGCTGATTACAAGCAGGTGGCTTCTACGACTTTACCGCAGATCTGGCATCCAAAGACACCGCCTACACCTCCATTGCACTCCCAGCTCACAACGACAATACGTACTTTTCTGACCCATCTGGTCTGCAAATGTTCCATCTCCTGTCTCACACAGAAGGTGAAGGTGGAGCTTCGCTACTGGTCGATGGATTCAGTGCGGCAAAAGAACTAAAGGAGACTGACCCAGAAGCTTACAAGATTCTAAGCGAAGTTCCTGTGCAGTTTCATGCCAGCGGGAATGAGGGCATCAGTATACAACCATATCAAGCCTTCCCAGTTTTCTTGCTCGATCCAGTCGACAAAGAGCTCATCCAAGTAAGATGGAATGAGTCGGACCGAGCAGCGTTGCAGATTCACCCTGCTGGATCTCAAAAATGGTATAATGCAGCCAAGTGAGTAAATACTCGGGTAGAATGTCCCCACTGCTGACGGTGGTGCAGGAAGTTCGACACGCTGTTGAAGAGCGCAAAGTACGAATACTGGGAACAGCTTAAGCCTGGAAGGCCATTGAGTATGTCTGGACCCCCCAGCTCTGAGTGATGCTTATAATGGCAGTCTTTGACAATTGGCGTATCATGCATGGTCGATCTGCTTTTACTGGGAAGCGTAGGATCTGTGGCGGCTACAGTAAGTGGTTGGCGACAAGTATGCAGTCAGACTCGCCAACCTAATCAAATATGTGGCAGTTACTCGAGACGACTACATCTCGCGCTTCAAAATGCTATACTACGGCCCGGAGCATGTGTTGAAGAACATTCATGTGGGCGCTTAAAATCACTGGAAATCTGAGGGAGGCTGGGTGATAACATGGCGAACGTGGCATACAAGAGCTGTTGTGTATCTCGCATTGAAACAGGGCTCGAATATAGTCTTAGCCTAGATGATACACTAATAACCATATATTGTTGCTTGTCTGACGGACATCCGATATTATATACATGTCTGCGCACGGACGTTATACGAACCGGAGTGAAGCCGCGACACTGATCCGGATTCGCGGGCAGAGCTCCAACCTCGTCGTGCTCGTAAGCTTTGTTACCTACGCATTCGCCAGCCATATCTCATTCTACAACCGCCACACTCCGAATCCCTTTCTTCTCGACCACCTACGGCCAGTCTTTGCTACCAACAACCTGCCACTTTCTCTGTCCATAATCTAATACGACAATATGGCAAGTCTCGAAGAGCTCGACGACTTGGAGCGCGAGATGGACAAGGACCGGGACGAGAGCGATGATAAGGATGGCAAAAAATCATCCAAAGATGGGGATGCGGACATGAAGGATGCAGCTGAAGAGAAGGAAGAAGAAGTCCTCGACGTGGAGATCCTGAACTCTAGCACACGAGACATTATTGCTCGGCGGCGGTTACTGGAGAATGAACTGAGGATAATGCGGAGCGAGTTTCAACGATTGAATCATGAAAAACAGACAATGCATGAGAAGATCAAGGACAACCAAGATAAAATCGAGAATAACAGGTACGTCTGTTCCCAACTGAACACTCGGCGACGAGCCCCATTCCTCAACACCCAATTACAAATACTGACTACATCACTAGGCAATTACCATACCTCGTAGGTAATGTCGTCGAAATTCTCGATCTTGATGTGAGTGCCGAGGCGGCTGAGGAAGGTGCAAATATTGATCTCGATGCCACTCGAGTTGGCAAGTCAGCCGTCATCAAGACATCCACCCGCCAGACCATCTTCCTGCCGCTTATCGGGCTCGTCGACCACGAGAAGCTAAAGCCTGGTGATCTCATCGGTGTAAACAAGGATTCCTACCTCGTACTAGATACCCTGCCCGCCGAATATGACAGCAGAGTCAAGGCTATGGAAGTCGATGAGAAGCCAACAGAGAAATACACAGACGTAGGAGGTCTTGACAAGCAGATCGAGGAGCTGGTAGAGGCTGTGGTGTGGCCCATGAAGGAGGCCGAGCGATTCAAGAAGATCGGCATCAAAGCGCCGAAAGGTAGATCCATCGATATCTCCCTGCCTACAGCTGTACCTAATCATATTTCTCACAGGTGCTCTGATGTATGGTCCTCCGGGAACCGGAAAAACACTTCTCGCTCGCGCATGTGCTGCACAAACCGACGCCACCTTCCTTAAACTTGCCGGCCCACAACTTGTACAGATGTTTATCGGTGACGGCGCGAAACTTGTACGAGACTGCTTCGCCCTCGCAAAAGAGAAGGCACCTTCGATCATCTTCATCGACGAACTTGATGCCGTAGGTACGAAGCGTTTCGACTCAGAGAAGAGCGGAGACCGTGAAGTGCAACGTACGATGTTGGAACTTCTCAACCAGCTTGACGGCTTCGCCTCAGACGACCGTGTCAAAGTCCTCGCTGCCACCAATCGTGTTGACGTGCTCGATCCTGCCCTCCTACGGTCCGGTCGCCTTGATCGCAAGATTGAGTTCCCGCTCCCCAACGAAGAAGCCCGCGCCCAAATCCTTAGGATTCACAGCCGTAAGATGACGGTGGACGATGCGGTGAACTGGCCTGAGCTGGCACGCAGCACAGATGAGTTTGGAGGTGCGCAGCTAAAGGCTGTGTGCGTGGAGGCCGGTATGATTGCCCTACGAAGCGGGCAGGCAAAGATTCAACACGAGCATTACGTAGATGCCATTTCAGAGGTGCAGGCCAAGAAGAAAGACACGGTCAATTTCTACGCATAACGATAGCATGACCAGGGGAATCCTCGGAGCGGCATATATAGCACAAATCGTAATAGAACGCTTGTTGAATAACATCATCAGGGTCGTATGCTTAACCTACTTGGATTATCACGCACATGATGTTACGCACTGCATACCAGAAGCGCAGAATGATATGATCGAAACGTCAGAGCATCAATTGATACGTCGTTCTCGGTCTGTACACGTCAAAAATAGCAGACATACTTTGACTCGCTAAATGATGGACGACGATGATGATGATGATGATGACAACAGTGATTTGCGAACAGGGGCCCCCCCTCCCCGGGGATAGAACGCACGACTAATATCCTGCGCGGCCCTCCATGCATGCATGTATGTATATGTATGAGATACGAACCAACCAACCAACCAATCGACCAAGGAAACTCGTTTAATTATGTTTCTGGATTCCCCTCCACCACCACCACCACCACCCCGCGAATAATATTCAATGAATGCAGCAGAAACAAGGAGGAAGTAAGCGCTTTATGTCTTCTTTTTTCGGGAGAGGGGAGGGTAAGGGGGAATAACGTAGCGTGAGGTATGCATAAGGCGTCGCATTCGCTGTGAAGTCGCAGAAGAAGACTGACAGATAGACAAGACAGACAAATAGACGGACAGACAGACAGGCAGGCAGACAGACAGCAGAACAAAAGCAGTCCAAGCATTTCCGGGTCACATATCATATCCATCCAGAAAAACCTATGGTGCTGTGCATGTTTCCCATTGTCCGCTCCCACAATGGATCAGAATCTCCGCGAAATCATGCTCGTTATCCCTCTCACTGGTACTCCGCTTCCTACCGCGTCGTCTTCTTGACCTCCGTTGCCCAGCCATCGATACCCTCGCCTTTGCTCCCAACCGGTACGTTCAACTTGACATGATCCATACCCTTCGTGTTCTCTGTAAACGCATGACTGCTCATCCCGCCAGCATTGGCGCGGTCTGCAGGGATCAACTCCAACATCGGAAGTAGAAAGTCTCCAATGCGCTTAGCGTCCTCGGCAGAAAAGTGATATTTTTCTCTGAGAACATCAGGCAGCGCCCAGTGTCGTAGGCGGTGTATGTTGCGTAGCTCGCCCTTGCGGTTGAAGATCTCCTGCGACCATTTGCCGGACATGCAGAGAGATTTGGGAAAGGTCCCGAGAAGCTCGATGATCTGGGCGATATGATCGTCGTCTTTGCCATATTTGGTGCCAGATTGCGGGTCGAAGAGGTAGTCGCCGGTAATCAGCTCGAATACCTACATACTGTTAAGTTCTGGACTGATGATGAACAACGTATAAATACCATTGCAGCCATGCTCCAGACATCTGTACTCGCGCCCCATTTAGCGCCGAGAATGACTTCTGGCGACCTATATTGCCTTGTCTGAATATCGTTGGTGAAGTGATGGCCGACCCAGCACGCATTGCCTAAATCAGCAATTTTAACAGATATGGTATCGAAAGAGAGATCGTCTGTGACTTTCTCGGCAGGACCTGGAGGGCTGGCATTCTTGTCGAGGCTGATGCCCGATACTTCCTTGGTGAGCAGGTCGCTATCATGCGTTAGCACTGTTTCAGAGACCTGAAGAGTTCGATCCACAAACGCTGTCTTTTCTCGCTGCTTCTGAGCCTCCTCTGCACCGATACCAAGTTTCTCTACCATGGAAAGACCAGCGGCTGGAGAAGATGTGCCTATTGAAACACTCGTTAAAACACATTCTTCTGAATCCGGACTTTTACCTGACATGGGGTATTGTTTACCTGGTGAGTTTTCATTCATGACTTTGTTTAGAGAGCCGGGGAAGTTCATCAGATCGCTTTGACTGAAACTAGCATTGAGTGGACTCGGCAAGGGTTGTGATCCTGTAATCAGTGTGCGTCTTCTTCTTCGACCGTTCCTGTTATCGCCCTTGTCTTTGCCGGGTTCTGTGACGTGTGCCTTGACAATCTGCTCAACGTCGCCAATCTCGATGAGGACATTTTCGGGCTTGAGATCGGTGTGAATGATTCCGCATTCGCGGTGGAGATAATCCAAGCCCAAAAGGACTTGCTTTGTGATTTGTTTTACGAGTGGCATAGGGATGCCGCGGTGGTTCCATCTCTTGATTAAACCCAAGAGGTTTTCTCCCAACACCTCAAAGACCATACATACATGATTACCGTTAGGTCCTCGATGTGTGAACGAATCCAGTAGACTGACAACGTGTGCGCGACCAGGATGGTCTTTGTTGGCCTCGACCACTCTTTTCAGCAATTTGATCTCGTCAATTGCGGTTTCCGTATAGTGAGTGGCAGAGCGTACTACTTTCAGTGCGACATGTTTTCCGGTGGTGTTGTCCCGCGACAACCATACAGTCGAGAAATGACCCCAACCGAGTTTTCGAACGATTGTGTATTTACCGTCTTTGTATTGCTCTCCTACCTGCACGGGGTGGTATCCGCCTTTGCAGTAATCTTCTGAATCCTCTTCATCGGCGGTGTTCTCGGCTGCCTCGTCTGCCGACGACGAGGAGGATGAAGGTGATCGATTTATTTGTGAGGTGTAAGAAGGTTTGTGTTGTGACGAAGGAGAGTTTGCGCTGCGGAGCTGCGCGTCAATATAAGGTGGCATGTATGCGAGGCTGTAGGTCGAGCCATAGAGCGCTTGAACTTACTTGTGGTTGTAGCTGTAATTTGAAGCAGGACTGTTATCAGAGCTTTTCTGGCCATCGGTTGTGATTATGGGTTTCAGATCCTGGCCCTTTCTGCGCTTCTTCTGGCCGTTCCCATTGGCAGCTTGCGCAACCTGCTTCGCCTTGTTGATGGCGGCCTTTTTAATGTCAGAAGCGCCATTCATCTTGGCGTGTCCAGCACGGGACGACAGGGCAGATCGGTGTGAAGTTGGGCGGTGGCCAAAGGTCGGTCGAAGTGGGCAGCGAGGTCGATCACCGGGTGGTCGGAGCAGCGCGGAGCTCTGGTCGGGCTGTAATCATCGAAACCTGAAGCAGATAAAAGCCTCAAAGGCCAAGAAAGGGTACGTGAGAGTGTGAGAGAGAGTGAGAGTGGTTGAGAGGTGGTGGTGGAAGTAGCAGTGCAGAAGAGAGAAGTGAGAGCTCAATCGCGATAGATGTGTAGCCGCCCGCCAGACGTGGGGTTGACGGGTTGACGAGGTGTGTCGGCAGGTCTGCCCCGTGCGCCCCTGACGCTAAAGCAAAAGAGTAACTTTACGGTTGTTGAAAAGGGCGCAACTCTGTGACTGGGTGAAAGTTAAACGGAGAATGGACTGTTATGTGCGTGTACAAGCGTGCAACTCGACGTTGTGTGTGTGTGTGAGAGTGAGTGCTTGTGGGCAGGAGGCAAAGTTGTTCACGGGAAGCAAAGCTGTTACAGCTCGTGCCGTGTCGGGGATGGCAGCAAAAGTCGTGTGGCGGGAAAAGCTTGTTATTGTTGTAAGTAGTAGGACATCCATTAATGATTCTGAGGCTCAACAAATGCTGCTTGCTACGCCCAGTTTCTCCGTCCTAATGACAATGATGGTTATGATGACGATGATGACAATGATACGACTGGCTTAACCCTGGCCCGTGTACTACCATCAAGTACAGAATGTAGTGCCTGGTAGTATGTTCTCACTGACTCGGAAAACACGCTGTTCTACTCTTGTAAGCCGCGTATAGTCCTGCGTCGTGAAGATGTCTGATGCCCTTCGATATTCTCCGCTGCCTCCATTCCTAATAGCAGATAGGAGATTTGTCTCATGCTGATCGCATGATACTGGTTACAGCTCCTAGGCTCGATCTACCTACACAGTAGTACACTAGTGTGGTTCATGTCCCTCGGTTCATTCTTGTCGTGGACATTTTTCACCGCCTTGATGTGTAAAGCGGGCATCGAAACGAATGAATCGTTTCGAAGTCTGTCATTCTATGCGGTGTAGGATTCCTACAAGCTATGATTACGTGGATGGTGAAAGTCATGGCGTCATGGCATTGCTGAATTCCTCTCTTTTCCTACCTACTTCCAGCTAAATGCACATACCTCATTTTGTTTTTCACCTCTAAAATATGGTAAGAGATGTAGTATGCATCATAATAAAGACCAATCCGAGTCGGATTTTTCGTCATTGTGTGACGGAGCACTTCCTCCCCGATTCGCTTCGTGCTGCGGCTTTATTGTTGCGAAAGATGCTGTCAAATCGCCTTCATCAGCTTCTTTGTTGCGCACATAAAGCGATCCAATTTTTGCCGCACCAGACGCTCGTGCCTCGTCGTAGTCTGAATCTGATTCCGACATGCTATGGTCTGCTTCATATACTTCAGCTTCTACTTGGTGGCAGATGTGCCCTACTCGGGACATCCGCTCATCGTTATTTTCCATTTCTAGCCCAGAAGAACTGCTATCAAGCTCGTTTATAGCCTTCACCCAATGGGCATTTGCTTTTGGGCGGCGCACGAGTGTGAAATCGAACGGCGTAGTTTCTTCATCAGACTCGTCGCTGCTGGTATATATACCACGGTGTTTAGGTCGATGTACAAACACGCATTCAGCTGTGGAATTTCGGTCTCTTCGAGTGTGCGTGTTACAGTCCACGTCAGAGTACGAATCAAGACCGTGAAAGTCATATAAGAAGTCTCCGAGCGCCATGCGCGTCTGCTCTGCGCGAGTGAACGGTGTCGCTTCCTCAGTCTGGAGTCTGACAATGTCAATGGCACCTAGATCACTCGTGTAAGTACTTGTTCGCTGTCTACTAGTGTTGACTGAGTACTTACCGTCATCTTCAAATCCGCGCTGGAAGTTTGTTCGACAAAGCTCCTGTGTGAACTTTCGCATCTCAAAGGTAAGCTTTTGGAATTCATCGTTGGTGTTAAGCTGGTGGTAGAGAAAGCAATGAACGCAGTAATGAAGTATAGTGTCCACCAAAGGCGTCTGATCTGCGAGATGGTCGAAAATGAACCGAATTGCTTCGCATAGATCTGCGGGCGGAGTGGGTTTCGAACACGAAACTTCAGTCTCTCTAATGACGTTCGCATGGGCCATTACTTGAAGCTCTGGAATTTCGAACAATTCAGCCATGCGGCATAATTGTGCATGCACAAGTATTGAACACCCATCCACACCATCCAAGTAGTCACCAACGTAGATGAATCGGAGCAGACATATGATGAGAACACGAGAAGGGGCCTCGACGCTCGCGCGAGGAGAACCAGACTCGCCAGACTCGAACGAGTACGCTAGAAGGGGGCATTTCTCTGCGATGACTTCCACGATAAGACCATTTATGGTAGATATACCACCGCTGGGTAGACTGATTGAAAGAGCTGCATCCCCTGGTATAAGTGTGAGAAAGTCAAGATTGTCAAGAGACTGAAGTGAAGGTTGCGCAGGCCACTGCTGAATTTGTTGTGGCCGAGGAGACACAGCAGTTATTGCCGGTGTATAGGTTTGCGCTCCTCGTGATGTGGCATGGTTTCCGCTCCACAGGTGTGTGTTTCTATCTGGAAGATTACGACATGGCTCGATGTACGGATTCCAAACAGATGACGGAGAGGATAATAGAGGAAGCGTTGGTGAATCCGATGTGCACGGATCGGCTGCGGATTCTCGTAGTGCAGTGGTAGATGTTGGTGTCGGAGGGCAGGGCTTCTGCCAAAACAGTCCTTCGTCAGACTCATAGAAGTCGTCCCAAGAATCAGACACTCGGGACGTGTTCATTCTGAGTTGCTAGACTCAAGTGAGGGCTCAGTGCTTATGTCTGTGCGTCGTTATGGTTCCGAGAACTCAGACAGACATTCGAAAAGAGCGTCAATTGTTTAAATCAAGGTTCTGACTCGAACGATTCGAACGACAATTTTGGGATGTGGTCCGCGGAGTCAACTGATCAGTTCTATGTGGCTCCCTACCGAGATATAAATGAACAATGGTGCACAAGAAGTAAATTAGAGACGAGGATATGTGCAACGACAATTGAAGAGGACGGAAAGTTGATAACAGAAAAAAGCTTCTATGTGAGACGAAATAAAGACGAGCCCCTCAGATGTGCAACACCAGTGACCACGCAATTGGAGCGTCAGCTTGGCTGTTGCCTGGCCCTGCACACGCATCTCTGCGTGCGACAGACAAGGCTGAGGTGGGTGTTGACTGGCCACATGAGACTGCGGGCTGTGAAATGATTGGCTTCATCGGATCATCTACAGTGCGGCTGCGGCTGACCTTGACACTTGTAGAGATAATGAGGCGCACTGCGTATGTCCTAAACCTCTATGCCGTAGATAATGTGATAGCCTTACCAGTCTATCGCCACGAAGTAAATGGACGACGTTATTGGTTTGGGAGACTCAACCTTGGAACTGCGCAATGCATATATGCAACATCACCATGATCACTCTAGACTGATGGCGGGAGCGTATGCCGGATGCCTCACGTTAGCAGTCCGTCAATGCAGAGCTAATAACCTTTGCCAGGAACTCGGTCCACGGTCTATAGCGATAAATGCTATGTTCAGTGGCCTCAGGGAGAGTGACTATGGCTGGATCGATTTTCAGGATGATAGTATATGATATATCGATGGAGTCAAGAACAGCAGTAATGGCACATTGACGGGTACATATCTACATTGCTTAGCCACGCTGAATCGATCGAATGACGTGCGCCTTGACTCACCTATCCGAAGCAACATGTATGCATTATGCTTCATGCCATGCATGAGGCGTCGAACGGTGACGATCCATCGCTAATACTCAGACGGTGCCAAGACCAAAAGTCACGGTACCTTTAGAATCGTTCCTCTATGTCGGTCATAGAGTCAATGGATTGGTACGAAGTATATTCAGCTTTGAGTATATTGGCTACCAAGTGTCGACGCAAGCTGTAGATGGATTAATATTGTAGTAGTAGTTATACTACTTCGATAGCATCACCGCTTCAACACCGGACCTGTTGCGTAGCATTTACGTTGTCTTAGACCCGATGAGTGATATTTTGTTAGGCTCTTGGTGATGCGACGACAGAGCGCAATGGTGATTCAATCATTTGTTTTGGTGTACGTTCAACGGTTAGAGTTGGTCGATGAAAGGTAAAAGGTCGCGCGAAGTGGATTGTGGCCGGAGCTGCCGCTGCTTTCTGCCACCCCAAGCCGCTTTTGCGGGCTTGATTTCTTCAATTAGGCATGCCAAGCCGTATGCCTGCTAAGTAGTAGTAAGGGATCCCCTCGAATTTGGGCAGTTGCCCGCTAAAACACGCCATCCGCAGTGCAGCTCAACGCCAGTATGTGCATAAAGTTATCGTTCCACCTGGGATATCATGGTCTTTGACATCCCTCTTCTTCTTGAGAAATCTTCTTACGCCTCAGATCAATCGTCAGCAGCTACAACTTACGATCAGAGAGCCCGCGACTCTTTCCAATTGCTTCATATACCTTTCAACGATGGGCTGGTCTTCAATACTCCCCGAGCCGCTCACTATCCTTGAAACTTGGATAGTCAGAGTATTTGTACGCTCAGAAGGATCAGTTGCTGATTAATTTACTAAAAGCTCCTCAGTTAGTACTCTCGATCCTCACGTTCGGCCCCTGGGCCGTCCTCATCATCTATGACCTCCTACTGTATATCTGGCGATCTGTTGTTCATGAAGTTCCCATCGTTGGTGGGAGAGCTCAAGGCCGATTACGTCCAAGAGCGCCGAGCTTAAGAGAGCGGCCTGATGGCCACAGACGGCGGATAAGTTTGGTTGGTCGGCCAATATCCATCTCTGGGAATAGCTCAGTCCCATTTGCTTCCGGCTCCGCATTTGTCGAAGATTCCGAAAAGATGGACCGCAAGAGAGAGACAAGAGCTTGAACATGAATCAAGATTGCAAGAGCATTGGAATTGGATGAGTTTCATGATTCGCGAGCTGTAAACTTTGTGGGCTTGCCGTTGATATCCATCATTGCCCTCGTTTTGTGGAACGAAATGGCCAAACGCAAGCAGTAAAAGTCTCCGTGGACCATGTTACTGCCACTGCATGGGAGGGCACTTAAACCCAGAACCACTGTATCGTATTTGTACGAAGTCGAAGCCCATACCGACGTACCCACGCTCCACGTACCCACGTCTCCATACCTCAGGTTCCACTAGAGCCTTTACCCCTCTTGTTCCGGGCAGGCTATGCTAGCAATGTGGCTGCATATTTGCAGGGAATACTCCCAACACGCATCCACATGCCGAGCGCACGCGAGAACGGGCGACTGGTCAGACATTGCACGACCGGCAAACAATCTCGCATTGGTATCTGTCGTGACTTTGTCGACTTCTTTGCCTTCAAGCAAAGAAACAACCAGATAACCGGACAACTGGCTCATGAACGCCTTGCGCCCGCGGTGATTGCTATATTCTTCGTTGACTTGCGATAAGGGCTTGATATTAGATCTCGGATCTATCGAGCACAATGGGAATCAGCTGCGGGATCCGTTACAGGGCTGAAAATTCCTCCGAGCGAAACCATGTCCGAGGGGACTGGAGTTTTCAGCGCGGTCGCATGTGCTACAACAGGTTACCAACCAACAGTAATGTTAACTAAGTTTGTTTGCTTCTGAGTAGGCGAGGCCGGTGAGCCGAGTGCACGTTTCTTGACCAATGGCTTCACTACAAACGTACAATCTAATGGCTATGTTCAACCCAGCAATTCTATGGCCTCTTGCAACTCACCGCCCATTGCACGCTGGAACCACTTATTAAATACGCTCACGTCTTAGTGTTTAAGTCTCGATAACAATCGTAAGGCGTCCAGGTTGCTCAATATGCACATCGTCCTTTTTCGGTTTTCTCGACACCATACAAGGGTACGAATGAAAGGACCGTGTTTGCTAGACCTTCCCTCTTAATCTTTGCATTATCTTCTCCATCACAGACGTGTTAATACTTGAGTATTCTCTTCTCACGACAATCACTATTCTTCTCTTGTGTAGAAACAAAGCCTGCCGCAACACACACATCATGCATTACCAGCGTCATATGCCTGCCGCATTTCCCATGCAGGCAATGCAGGGACCACCAACAATGCCTGGTGGTCCATTCGAGTACCGACACAGGATGGTCGACCAACCTCAGATCCCATATGGCATCGAAGACATGGACTATATGCCAGGAACCCATATGTCGTATTCATATCAAGGCGATGTCCCACGTAGCATGGGGCCAATGAATCAGATGTCTCTAATGGGCGTACCGCCCGGGTATGATCCAGAGATGCTCATAAATGCCTCGCAAGGCTTCGTTTCGGAGGATGTCATACGCAGGTATACTGAGCACCTATCAAGATTCGACTTGAAAACTCATCAATATTAGCACCAATCTTTCTGTGCAAGTAGCCAATTCCAACCTCTGCCCCTCCACACCATACGCACAATTACAACCAAAGAGGATGCATGACGGAAGATATCCTCAAGATTTTCGAATGGCAAGGACCGTGGAAGAAATGAAATGCATCGAGGGTATGTCTGTGCTCGCTTCTCCGTGTTGTCATTGCTGATCATCAGGCTCCACCCTCGATCGCATACTTCAAGCCTATAACCTGCCGACCGATCTACGCTCCTTTGGTCTCAGCTCTGCAGATGTCCCAGCACCGAGAGTAATTAGAATGGCAAAGCTTTGTACCTTGTTCGACTTTCTCGGGGCTACACAGCTGTCCTCGGACATTCCACCGATGAAGCGACGGCGGGCCGGACTACTTCCTATAACTATGGGTCATTATTGAGGAACTCGGACTGTGTTTCTTCTATGCCTCGTATCCAGCCTGCCCGCTCTCATCTTCTCAATGAAAATCCTGGGTTATATATTTGTCGGAGGCACCGTCTGACCGACCTCGTTCAACTCAAGTTTGTGAGTTTGCTCACAGAAAGAGCTACCCCGCTAAGAAGGGATCCATTACCCAAACCCGGCATAGCATCCGAAGCTCCAATAACTGTTATGATAGTTGAAGGTATATCAGGATCAACGGAGCATATGGGTTCCACGCTTACATGAGCACCACTTTCCATCATCGACGCTTTGCATATGCTATCACACTTTACGCATGTCTTACTTCCATTACTTCAGTCTGAGCTTCATTGTCATACTTGCGTTCTCTCTTGCCTCGCGCAAGCTTGGTGAATTCTACTTCCACTCAAACACTCAACATGAGGTACCATTCCGTGCATCTTTCGTATGATACCATATATCACATCATTGTTCTGTACTCAATGCAACATATGACGCCCGACTAGGACTAGATTTGACCGTGTGATTCCTAGATCCCAAGCAAACCCACTTCGAACGTACAATCCACCAAGAACAATGGCGATCCGTGTATCGCATCCTATCAAGATATCGAGCCACTCTCAAATTTTGACTGGAGGACCACTGAACCGATTAAGCTACGGCCGTTTAAGCCGAAATTTCACCTGACAATGGGTACCGGCCGTCCCTTACATGCACTTGCCCTATGTCATGCTATGTCACCATATCAGCTTCATTGTCACCCCTGAGTAGACTAACAGCCCACACCAGCCATCGAGAACACATCTATATCCGACCTGATCCCCTTCGACAACACCTACCTCGACCGTATAAGACTCCGCCGCCGTCTCCTATCCACGCTTAGCACTGAGATCATCGCCGCACACCCAGTCGCACAGCCCGCTGTCCACGAATTCTACACCTGGGTCTTCACAATCTACCTACCAAGCCGGTACCCAACCATGTTCACCCTCGCCCCCTCACCCTCTGCCCCTACCTCTCTCACAAACCTCATCACATCCGAATCCATCCCTCTCCTTGCACCGCTCAATCCCCTCGAATGCCTCCGCACCATCGCCGCCCACATCGACGACGACTTCCTCTTCCTGCTCCCCTCACCAGAGCACTCCACCGCCAAAGACCAATACATCCTCCGCGCCTACGCCACACTATTCCCCTCCGGCTTCAACCCAGCCACCAAGCTCAACAGAACCCTCCGCGAGATCCACGAGCCCGTGCCACGCTACGCATCCAAGCTTGCGTTCAGCATGGACCGCTTCTTCCGCTGCATGCCCGTCGGCCGCGTGGTCAAGCGCGCGAATTGGACTGTTACCACCTCGCGCGACCTGCATGTGCTTTCGGGGACACATGCCAGTGCTGCAGAGGCGGGAGGGGATGGGGCTGGCCTGGATAAGGCGCGCGAGGATGTGGATTTGGGAGAGACGGTGTTGCGCGCGGAGAGGCAGACGTTGCATCGTTTGCCGGGGAGTGGGGCACTGGTTTTCGCATTTAAGACGTATGTGTATGAGTTGGGGGATGTGGTTCGGGAGGGCAGGGGGGAGGAGTTGGCGTGTGCGATTGAGGGGTTGGGTGAGGGGGGTGTTGTGGGTATGAGGGGGTATAAGAGGGCGGATGTTTGGGGGGAGAAGGTTTGTGCGTTTCTGAGGGGAGGTGTTGGTGGAGAGATCAAGGGTTGATGCTTTTAAGTGAGGAGTATATTTGTTGGATGTTGATACAGGATGTGAGAAATGTACTGTTGTGGTGAGTGGAATGAAAGGTGCAGAAACATGGCTCTCTTCCACTTCGTAGGCAGGCCATGGTTTCGCTATAGTTGCGGTTTGCTCTGTGTCGCCTCGAATGCCTAATAATGTAAATGCTTACGCGATATCGTTCTCTGGAACAGGTCTCAATATATGAATGCTAAGTCTCTAGACATGATACGACAGTGTACTCATCGGCGTCCACTACCCTCGCTTAAGAGTTCTGATACTGCGTGCGCTTGCTCGACCGTATGCCTTAATGATAATGATATATTCAACCAAACTTTCAGTCACACTTTTCGCTATGATTGCATGGGTTGACTCTATTGGGAGTGCGATCTGTTTGAGTATAATGTGACTAACGCTCTGCGCTTGAGCATGAAGCTTTCCAAACATGTCATCATTTCTTGAGTTCGACAAGCAGACCGATCGAGTTCATACATTCTGATGGATAATGTAGCACGCATCCGTGATAAACCGTTATTGTAAGCAAATGATCAGAAGATAAAGCGTTTATTCTCGTTATGAAAGGGAGTTTGAATGTGTCATGCTAATTAACATAAAGAAAAAATGACAATAGTAAGCAAATGTGCCCACTCGACAGCGTCTCATCCGAAAGCACGGCAGTAGAAGCAAATCTTCAGAGGAGATACCATCTCCTCCACCGGCGAGACTTAAGGGTAATGACCTCTTTTAGTGGGTCTGATTCACACCCTCGGATCGTAGATATCATGACAATCAAGCTCAGGCAGCGCATTCCATTCCCGCTCAAGGTCTTCAAGGGTGAAATCGTGCGAACGAATATCGAAGCTGTCGGCTGATGATACTGGAAGAGCATTGACGGTTGGGAGGTCAAGCCCGTCAAAATATACTTCGCTCTCTTCTCCATCAGAACGTTATTGTAGCATCCACGAAAGTGCAGATTCCGCGACCAGACAAAAGCTTCTCTGCCTGATGGATCTACCAAGACATTGGAGCCATGAGAATTCCCATCGTCATATCAGACCATAGATGGTCTCTGCCCAAGAAATGAAGAGGAGAGCGATGGATACCATGACGAGTTCGACATCGTACGGGGTACTCTAGGATTACACCGACTCATTGTCCTGGGCCTTGTGCTATAATCCTCTCTTAATTGGCGTAGCCTTCCACTGTTACGTAGATTGAATATACCAATCATCTTGTCGACTAGATAGTCAATGAAACAATCTCACACTGGTGACACATGACCTGGAGTGAATTTACCATTCGTGAATGAGACTAATTATTCATGTAGAAGCAGAGCTAAAAGCATATAGCATATGCATATAGATATCATAATATATCGTATATATCTTGATTGACATATTTCATACCCATCAAATACGACTGACACCGGGGTGGTATGTAGTGAGGAAGGAAACAAGATATGACATGGTATAGAGCTACTCTAGATGCATGCGAGAGAAGCGAAAATTTCATAACCCCCTACGTCGTTTGATACCCTTACCATCTTGTTTGACCCAGTAGGCCACATCATCCTTCGTGTAAGGAAGGTCATCGTCTTCTATGGGTTTCGTTTGTTCGCTTTCCGCCAGTGGGCGCGCTGTCGCTAGGCCGTTGTTCAAGGCACAGCACACGATTTGTTTCTCCATACAATAATCACATGCGAAATCTTCTCCATGTGGAAACACTGCAACACCCTTCTTTGCCATCTTTCGACTGATACACTTCATTGGAGTCTGCTCTCGTGTGTGCTTCATCCAATCCTTCTTCGTTTTCCCGCTGTTCCATGGCTGGAAAGTGGTCCAAAGGACTTGGATTACGGCGCTCGAAAGGCCATCAAGCTCACCAAACAACTCTCGTAACTGCCCTAGCCCAACGTCGGAGAGGACAGGTTGCATTTGGACAGGTACCCGAACATTGTTCATCATACTTGGACCGGCGTCTCCGAGCTCTACGAACTGTTCATTGAGACTGCTTTGACTTTCTTGGGTAGAAATCTGAGCTTCCCGAAGTCTTAATGTATGGGTCTGTTGCTTAGCTCTTAGAGCTGCTTCATCCTTCTCTAGCTTAGCTTGGTCGGATGTGAACTGTCTCCGTGCACGCTTTATGACGCAGATCTGATCGCTTAGAACAGCCCGAGAGGTCAAAGTCCCATAAGGGAGGAGCTTGACAAAGCCCGAGAGGTCGAAGTCCCAGTCTCCACGAATCTTTTTATGAGAGGAGAAAGAAGTGGGAAGGCGAGAGAGGCGAGAAGTGAGAGAGGCGAGGAGTGAGAGAGGCGAGAAGTGAGAGAGGCGAGAAGTGAGAGAGGCGAGAAGTGAGAGAGGCGAGAAGTGAGAGAGGCGAGAGAGGTGAGAGAGGTGAGAGAGAGCGGCGAGAGAGGTGAGAGAGAGCTGTGAGAGAGGTGAGATGAAGAGAAGTGAAAAAAAGAGGCGAAAAGCAAGACCTTAAATAGTTGGACGCAAGCTGAGAAGTGGAAGCCGCGTGCCCTGGTGACGTACAAACCCGTACCTGGACCGTGCACAATACATTTTCCATCAGTCTCGTCCTCCTCATCCAGATATCCAGTAGCCAGTATTCTATCTCTTGTAGACCTGATCTAATCCAAAGCTCCACCCTTTAGAGCCCACTTTGTCTTGACCGTCTCTAAGATCACACTCACTCATTCTCTAGCAAGAAAGGTCTGAGCACGCCTGACACTGCGTTGCCTTTCTTCGAGCCTCTTTTTTCCCCCTTCGAAACACCTCTTTCTCGAGTCTCAGCGAGTCCTAGTCTTCAGTAATGGTCTGTAGTTTGATATACCAGTAACTTGAGACAGTCCTCCAGAGCAGCAGCGCTGTGATTCTCTGATGCCCTCACAAAGCTCTTCTTTCACTGTCCAGCCATGGATGGCTCTCTCGGCGGCAGTCTGACTTTTTCTCATGTGCGGTTGCCTGTATGCTGTCTAACGTAAATCTTACTCGTTCGGAGCATGGTAGTGTTCTGTTTGACATTTGTGAGAAAGTCTATGAGCTATTGTTCTCTTTCAGGAAGAATGAAAGAAATATACTTAGGATAATGAGCTGTACATCTCCAAACACCCTTCAACAACACCATGACCACACCCGCGATCTTCATCCACAAAGTACTATAATCATCACTGACGTACTGCCCGCACATTGGCAAGTAATGAAGACGTTACGAGGGATGATATACAGTGAGGATGGGTAGGCTTGTGCAAGTGATATCGTGTATTGGAGCCGGATGTAAGGGATGTTCTTTCGGATTCTTGGTGTTTAGTAAATTGTCATGATGGGATAACACATATCTGCTTTCTGCTTTGCGTCACGGAGCGTGCAGATACTAGAGCAGCGCTGCAGTAAATACAGTACCTGTGACATGACTCTCTCCTCAGATGACGTCAGACGTCACACTTGAGTATGTAAAGGTGCGCAAGGCGAGGGCTTGCTGAGTACTGATCTTGGGGTGGTTGAGGTTAAACTTGCTGTCTGGCTGTCTGGTCGGCTGTACTATGTTATGAGAGCTGTATCACAAGTTCAGGAAGAGTAATGAGGCGGAATCAGAGCAGTGGACTTATGCCTTGATTACACCCGTGAACCTTTGCGAATCATCCACTCAAAACTCCATGCTCCTCGCTCGCCTCTAGATATTCCTTCCACCAGTCACGCTGATCGTCTGACCACTAATATAACTGCTCAACGGACTCGCAATCGCCAACACGGCACTCGCAGCCTCGGTGGCGGTACCAGGCCTCCTAAGCGGGATATCGGGATACTCATTCCCCTTATCGCCATCCTTGGCCTTCTTCTGAGCGCCGGGTATGCCCAGCGCGACTTTTTCGCCGTCCGGGGTTGTGACAAACGCGCCCTCCTCCTTGGCTGCCGTCAGGCGTGTCAGGATAAAGCCAAAGGCGATGGTGTTTGCGCGCACGCCGTAGCTGGGGCCCCATTCCTTGGCAATGGTCTTGGTCAGCCCTGTGATGCCGGCTTTGCCCACGGCGTAGTTGGCCTGACCAGCGTTACCGTGCAGGCCGGACGTGGAGGAGATGTTTATGATGTTGCGCGGCTCGCCGTCTTTGACGCGGAAGTAGGGAGCGGCGGCTCGGACGAGGCGGAAGGGGGCACCGGTGTGTAGGTCGACGATGGTTTGCCATTGCTTGTCTGTTGTCTGTGAGGGTCTTAGACTGATTCTGAAAGTGAGGAGGCAGTGGCTGCGTACCTTGTGAATCACACCGTCCCAAGTGTAGCCGGCGTTGTTGACGATGATGTGGATTTTGCCGTTGCCGAATTCTGCTGTCTTCTTGACGAGCGTGGTGGCATAGTCTGGGTTTGTGACGTCGCCGGCGACGGCGATGGCTTTGCCGCCGGACTTGTTGATAGCGTCAGCGACGCTGGCCGACTTTTCTGCGAGGGATCAGAGATTCATTCAGGATATAGCTTGTGCAGAGGGCGTACTCTCGTCAATGTCCGCAACTACGACGCGAGCTCCCTCATTGGCGAAGAGTCTGGCAATCTCAGCGCCGATACCTTGACCGGCACCGGTAATGATTGCGACTTGACCTTGCAACATACCCTTTGGGTAGTTGAGGTGAGCTGCGATCTGGTTGACTCTGTCGGAAGCCATGATGGATGATTGATGTATGGACGGTTGGGGTGAAGTTGGAAGGTGTCAAGAGAAAGGCCAGTCAAAGAAGAAGTTATTCATCGGCAAGGGCGTGAGGTGATCCTCGGCCATGATGTCGTTGGAGCTAGGTAGTGTGTTAAAGCTATAGGTACGTGCTTGTGGAGTATGCGGAGAACAGAGTGGGCCGGGAAAGCTAGCGTTTGCCGTTCATAGCCGAGGCTCGGAGCACGCTAGATTCCGCACTGTTCATTGGACGGTCCGAATACATTAAATTTATACACAAGACGGCTTCAATAACAATGATATATTTGAATAACTTGAAATCAAGAGTTCATACTACAAATTTACTCCTGCAAATGCTTAGAATATTGAACAAAGAACCACCAACACCAAGAAATGCTATTATAGACTCCAGACCATGCCCCGAACAAGAAGACATCGCAGCGCTGTGCCAGCAGCATGAGCCAGCGGATTGATTATTACACCCTCATAGTTCGTCAAGTCGTAAACACATCTTCACACTCCTATGCCTTTCGAACCCTTCGAGGCTTGCCCGATTCTTTCCTATTGTATGGCTCTTCAGGAAAGACCCAGCCCCTGATTCTCTTTGCGTCTCGCTTCTCGCCAATGTTCGGCTTCGGGATCCATGCATCCTTCTCGATAACATTTTGTCTGGTCAATGCGGGAGGACCACCGACCTCCATGCGCCAGCTGATGGCTCCAGGTAGAGGGTTCTCCTTGGCCAGCATGTGCAAGTACCAGAGAGCGAGGCCGGCAGTCAACTGAGCCTCGCCAGTCTCAGGGTGAAAGCCATTGGTAGACAGGCGGATAGGAGCAGACAACTCAAGATAGCCAAAAAGGGGAACACTGCCAGAGCTGTTGACAGTGGTGGAGTCGGTCATGCCACTGTCTGGAGGGCCACCAGCGCGAACACACAGGACTTCAATCTCAGTCATGATGAAGCCGTATCTGCACCCATGATCGCGCATGATCTTGTGGAGATGTGCAAGGCCTTGAAGGTAGTAGACCTGCTTGTTGGGAGCCTCGGACCGCATGCCGGTGTTCCACTGATCGTAGGACTTGACAAGCCCGACAACACGACCACGACCATCGCCTAGCAATGTCTTTTCGTAGTCAAAGGAATAGTTGGAGACAAAGTCGGGCTGGCGCGAGCCCGGAGCAGGCTTAAAGGAGCGTATGGTCATGTTTGGATCTCCAAGAGCCATCCTAAGGGCCGAGTTGACCTTTTGCGCATGGTAGTCGCGGCAGATGTCGTGGAGTGCGCCCTCGGAATCAGGCTGGAGATTGGGGCGGGGAGGTGTGGGAAGCGTCGCAGTTGAGACCGGGAACTGGAGCAGCTTCATCAAGTCAGGCACTTCGCTGATCTTCTCAACAGTGAAATCGGTCCATTGACGCAGATTGCGAATGTCCCACCAAAAGTAAGAGTTCATGCCACGGCCAGTAGTAGTGACACGGCGAACAAGAGCTGGAGACGGATTGGGAGCAGTCAGGTAAGCCAGCATGGTCGTGGTGGACGTAGAAAGTGTAAAAGAATCGACTGGCGATACAGTAGAGGAATACTGAACAGCTGGAGCAGGCGTATATTCAGAGCGCTGATAGTCCTGAGCATAGGTATCCTGCGACCAGGACTCAATTGAGTTGTAGCTGTTGACCGGAACGGCATTGGAGATGTGCATCGCGGGTGGCGGAGGAGTTGCAGACGTGGTGTAGACTGGCATCTGTCTGTAGGTGGGATAGCCATAGCGACTGATAATGGACTCATCGATGCTTCCGGCAGATTCAGCGCGGTGGTGAGAGCGGCTGGCTGATTGAGAGCGCGAGTGGCTGATTGAAGGGCGACGAGAGAGTGCTGGTCCAAAGGTGACTGGCGAGTTGAGATTGGAAAAGGAGGTCTCGTACGGAGAGGGTTCAGAGATTGGAGACACTATGTTGCTCTGCTCGCCCGGGCTAGCGCCGCGCCTGTAGTAGGATGAAGGACGCGCGCCGTATGGGTTGACAGTCTGAATATACGCAGCACTAGACGCAGACATGGTCTTGCGATGACGGATAGCACCAGTGGGTCCAGCAGTAGGCTCTGTCACCTGGTCCTGCTGACGGACCTTTGGCAACAAAGTCGTGCCATGCTGCCGGATAGGAGACCTGGGCGGAGTAGTGATGTTGGTTCCGACGGAGCCAGGGGAAGCATCACTGGAGTAAAAGGAACCATCGGAGGTGCTGCGACTGTGCGCACTCGCGGTGAGGTAGGACGAATAGGAGACTGATGGGGGAGTGAACTGTCTAGTGTACATTTTGAGGAGTATGCTACCAGACTTGGACATGGTCAGCTTCAATTGACAGCCACAACCTGAATGCGACGACTTACGCAAGTCTAGAAAGAGAGACTATAGTATTATTGGGGGAAGAAATGTTTTGGAGACAGAGACCGGCTCTGTAGGGTATCTTGATGACCTGCAAGTACACAAGGAAAGAGAAGCAAGGAGAAGATGGAGATCGCAATGGCGACTCTGTTCAGTGTTGAGTTGATATGAAGATGGAATGATATGAGAATGGTTGGATTGCGGCGAAGCAGGCAGTACTTATCCTGAAGCTCTGAGGGAGCATGACGTCCAAAGGATATGGCAGATGGGTACAGACTGGGTGCCCTAGCGCAAAAAAACAAGGTGAAACACAAGCCCTGCGATCCGCACTGGGGCCGTCCAGTCCTCTTTGGGAAGCATCACGGCAAGCATTAAGGTGTTGCGACACGCTCAAGAAGGGTTACATGAAACGACCCGTTGAGAGACCCAGGGTGGGTATAGCGCCGTCGAAACGCTGCTATATTTGAGTATCATGTTGAAGAAAGCGGGACGGTGATTGGACAGAAATAGGGCAGCAGACAGCGGAGGACAGAGAAGTATCAATAGCATAGAGATGGCGGGCGAGGCGCTGACAGCAGGCGGGTGGGTAGGATGAAACCGGGCATTATTCACTGTGCCGCCGGGAGCAGTGGAGCAGAGAATAGGAATAGAAGCGTGGTAAGGTGGTTGTGAGTAAGGCAAGGCATAGAGGGTGGAGGTGGTAGGGGGAACTACCAACAGTACCTTAGGCGCTGGAGCATAAGCAGAATTTAGACGACGTTCACAGCAGTGTTTATGCTATTCCGCGATGGGCCTAGCGTGCGCGGGCCGGCGCTTGAGTGTGGCCCGGGCTGATTGGTGGACTGGCGGCAAAATACACAGTAATTCATTTTTCGCTCCCCCACAAAGTCAAGCATCGGAAGGACAGCTATGAACATGCATCTGCTGTGGAGCCACGCAAAAAAGAGTCATCGTTCTGGCGCAATGGAGAGTCATGTTTAAACAGCAATCGATTGGTCTGCATCGCATCATGGCAGCTGTTTCGAAACACGCTGTGGTGCATATGGCTGCGATGCGAAATCGGTGACTCACAGCAGTAATCGCGACTATAACACGTTCCATCTCGCCTGCAAACAACGCGTTTCCCCGCGACGCGTCAAATCTTCGTTCAAAGCCATCGCCCACACCTTCGGCAATTCATGCATTTCACTCCGTCTTCTCACTCGCCTTATTCCGACACTCGAGCAGTCGGACAAACGTTGCAAATTGTGCCGTATTTGGTGCTATTCAATGCTTCTGTATGGGCCTGTCTCATTGGCTCGCGACCCACGCCCGGCGGTTAATTAATCTCGTTCCTCGTCGTCCACGTTCCTCCACCACGAACCCCAAATAGCTGGAACCGCCGTATTTTGCGTACATTGTGGGCCCCGTGCCACCAAATTTCCCTCATCAGGCGCTGCCAATACCCAGGGCGCCGTCAATCACACTCTAGTGCGTCGTCGTATGTCACCTAATATATCCATATTAAGACATGCTTTCAATATGTGGCTAATTGTGCTAAAACAGGAACTATCAGTGCCGCCGACTCTACACTCCCTCACTCCGTTGACGCCGACGAACTCCCAAGAGCCTTAGCCGTTTCATTCACACAGATCGCATAGACTCTTACTTTGTCATGCTGAGCCTCATTCCTCCAACAAGATCCGTGTCAGGCGTTTGCCGAACTCAAAAGAGCATTGATAGTCATGCTCTACAAGGCATCTGATGCAAGCATTGCAAGTGATGCAACCTCAGCGAACACATCACTGCCCCGATTTCCTCCTACAAGCCTGCCGTATTGGCGATACTATACCCCTTGCTGATGCGCGTCTCATAGTAGGCTTCTTTATGCTTGCACATGGTCATGCCACCATACATCCCAATCCACGACTTTTCGATCGTGGCGAGCTTCTTCTGCAGCAAAAACAAAGGCATGGCTTCGAATCTCTTCCTCCAAAGTACATCCCAGATATCGCTTCTGTGCTGTCTCTGCCGGCACTGCCTGGTTGATTGCGGCGTCGACGGCCAGAACGAACTGTCTCGCTAGTCCACTGTCTCCACCACCATGTCCCCCGCCCATCTGTTTAGGGACAAATGATTCAGTCCGGCCCGTTGCGAAGTCATGCACCTTGATGGTGAAGCTATCGTATTCTATCTCGCCTTTGGTCCCATAGATCCACCCTCGACGGTCGCACTGCTTTTCTGTGAACGCAATCATGTGGAACTGCGCTGTCTTCTCTGCACGTCCTTCAAGGGCATCCGCGGTCCCGTGCCCACGCTCGATTGGATCGTCTTCCCAAGTCATGGTCACAATCTGATCGTCGTTCACATCGTTATCAGACTCCCAAACGCATCGGCCAAACCATGGACGTGCGTCTATCTCTTCCTGGGGCATCTCTCTAGAGTAGTCCTCTTTGAGGTTGGTGAGTAGCATATCCCTTGCTGGCTCCAGACCGGCCGACTTGTAGCACTCCTCAATCTCCGGATTGACGATGCTTACTGGCCAGTCGGTATCTCCTTTCTCCAGCCGTCTCTCAACGTATATTTTCCTTGCACTATAAATGCAGTCTTGCTCGATTGGGCACGATAGGCAGTTGGTGGCTTCCCCCGCCGCAGTCGGCTTCCTTGTCTTGCGAAACAACTTGCGCGAACCTGAAGAGGCAACATACTTTGGTGCGTGGGGCGGCTCGTCACTCTCCGCATGTGTCGGTGAACACATGAGCCAGAGCAGAAAGTCAATGTCATGGCATGATTTAGTCATCAGCGATGGCGCTGTCTTGGACTCTTTGCGCCAGTTTCCCCTACCACTCGATGTCAGCCAAACTAATCTTCACAAACAGCATAACTGCCCGCAGTTTCTGATGCCTGATCGCGTTACTGCGCATGAACCACTGCCATCCAAGCTGCGATGGAGAATAAGGGTCGGCCAGGACGTGCCGTTCCCGTGAACTGCCGTGTCCATGCCCACTGTGCCTGTCCATGAACAACTACGCCTTATTCATGCAGCTCCGCAACGGCACCCACAAGACACGAAGAGGGGAAATATACAGAGGAAGGTTGGATCTCACTAACCTGACATACGAATGGCTAAAATGCCACCACCCAACAGGCTCTGTATGCTCCACACTGACGATGTCCCCAATAGCCTTCTTCACTCTGACCAGGTCTCTCAGCATGATGTTGTGTGGACTATACCGCAGCACATGACACACGCCCAGCACCACTCCCGCATCTTTATACGCATCCCAAATTGTCTGGATATCACCCAGTCGCGGTGCAAGTGGCTTCTCGCACAGGATATGCACTCCTAGGCCCTTGACCGCAGCTAGGATATCAACATGCATCTCGTCCAAAACACAAATCGCAATGGCATCCACCCCCGCACCATGTGTCTCCGCATGTTCGACCCATGTCTGCCAATCTGTCCATTCTTCGCCGTCACATGGACTGGTGCGTCCTGCAGGGCCCCAAATGTACTTTTGACCAAACACTCCACGTTTATACGTGTTGGGCTCGACGACGCCTGCGATGATAGCGGGGATATGTGTTGGTCCAGTGTCGTGTCGGTGCGTGGTGATGGCCGACGCATAGGCGTGACCTCGACTTCCTGCGCCAATGACGAGCATGCGGACCTGTCGTGCCGATGCCGAGATGGACCCCATGATGAGTCGTGTGTGCAAGTCCCGTCGAGAATTCTCAAAAGTGATCAATCAACAAAAGACTAGGAAGAAGCCTGTCCAGATCGAATCAGCCCGACAGTCCGTCCAAAGCCGTAACCGTGTCTCGCAATAATCTTTCGATAAACGTATTGAGAGTAGGTATGGATGCAACGACTGTGACGTCGCCTGTCTCACACTTTCCCACTGAGTAAAGCAGGTTTACTCGACGTGCCGGGAAAAGGGATGGTCCACACTAAATAAAGGCATACACAAGGCCGACAAGGCAAACCCCGACTTAAGCTGACAAGGCACACTGCCGGGTGGTGCAATGCAATGCAAGGCTAATCTGCAACGCTGCTGTCCTCTCTCGCATGCGTCGTCGTATCGCGCCAGAGGTGATGCGAGACCCTAAAGTCTCGTCCTGGAATGCTGTTTTGATTGAACAGTCAGACCTGGGCTGCAGCGACGAACGTAGTGGTGAATACGGGCGACTGGATCAGCAGATGGTGAGAGATGATGTGACAGATATTCGTCAGAGCTCCCTTACCCCGCGATGTTTATGTTTGAGTGCTGATGTTGGATTGTTACCGACCTGATGTTTCAAATGGCCCGTGCTTCAAGAGTAGATGTGTGTGGATGTCTACATAGCATAGATGAGAAGGTGGGGGCTGTGCGTTGTGGCTTCGTAGGGCTGGCCAATCACAGACGATGTGTTTCGCAGCCTCAGCACTTCCTGTCCTGTATAGCTTCAATTTAGACATGTAATATATACCCTGATCGGGAAGGCGGTATTCATCATAGTACAGCCTCACACGAAGCCTATCGACGTCATGATAGCCAGCCAGCTCGGTGCGATCTAGCTATTAATCCGGCATAAATTTCCTACCTAGCAAGGAATTGGTTCTTTTTGCACAAAGGAAATATCCACTTACATGTCGAAGAAAACACATGTGTATGTACGGCTCCTACCCTATCCTACATAGGAAAAACCTCACGCCAATGACGCTGACGACGAAGCCAACGCCCACCGCTCCAGGCAAAGATATATGCACATGAAAACAACGACAAGAGAGAGAGAGAAAGAGCATAGGTATATGTAGATATGTACGGCAAGGCTAATGCCCTGGCAACAACGTCTCACTGGCGCGCGAGATGATATCCCTCGTCTTGAGCATCATCTTCATAGCCAGCTTCCAGTCGCGCACTTCGAGCGCATCACGGATGAACGGGAACGTCACGCCTTCGCCGTCGATTGTCGAGGGCCCGAAGAGGACGTGCTTGTACTGTTCGCGGCCGGGGATCTTTTGTTCTCGTTAGTATGCAGTCAACAATATATACACATGTATATGGTTAGTAGGTGAGATGAAAAACGGGGCAACTCACGCCATAGCCCACGCCATCGACGGGCTTCGCATCCCACGGCCAATCGAGCAAATGGCTCTCAAACGCAATGGCGCGACTGTTATGGCCCCAGCGATGGGCCGCATTCGTGCGACTCTCGAACCCGCCTGTGCCGAGCACCTGGCTGTACCAGCGGTCCTCAAACGACATGAACTGCACGAGCTCGCGCTCCAGCTTGACGCTGAGCTCGCGCAGCGGTGTGATGTCGAATTCGTCTGCTTGTGCGCCTGCAGCAATGGCGTCCATCTCCAGCTCGTCGACGTAGTCCTTGAAGCTGTCGGAGAAGTCCTTGAAGTGGAACGGCAGCATGGGTTCTTGAGCAAGGTCGAGGATGAGTAGGACCCATATCTGTGCGAGTGCTGTGTGGTAGTGCATGTCCGGGTCGACGTGCTCGAGCATCCATTCGTATGTCTCGTAGCACGAGTGCAGCGGCCCACCGTCGCCGCGAAAACCGAAGTCCAGAGTCGTCATGCCGGCGAGAGATTGGAAGGGCACGTAGTCCCCACGGGCGTCGAGGTTGGTCATTTTAGTCGGAGTGTCTTGGAAGATCTCGCTGAAGGTCTTGTTGCGCACCGGGTCCGAGACGCGGCCGAGAATGCGGGTGAAGGCGCGCTCAAGCAGAGGTGAGCCGGATAGGTGGAGGTTGTCCCCAGACACACCGTTGTCGACGTTGATGTATGCGACGCCGGATGATCGTAGGTCGTCAATGTGGTCTTCCACAAATTCGGTCGAGCCCATGAGGTTGTATTCGGCTGCGTCCCAGGAGGCGAAGACGATGGAGCGGGCAGGACGCCAACCCTGGCGTTGGAGTTGGCCAAGTGTGTCAACGACTTCAAGCATGACAGCGGTTCCACTATGGGATGTCAGACAAGTCAACCAGTAGTCAAGTCACCTAATTCTTACCTTCCAGGATCGGCGGCTCCGAAACACCACGAGTCTCTATGGTTGCCGACGATGATCTTCTCGGTCGGCGTCTCGTACCCGTGATAGTACCCAATGACGTTGTGAATCTTCTGCGTGTCTGTCTCGGACTGTTCGTTCTGTATTCGAACAATGGGCGATTCCTCGTTACCTGACCACCAAACTTCATCTCCAGCACCGCCTCGCCAATCGTCTTGCAATTCTTCACCGTGACCTTCAAGGGAGGCTATGAGGTGTTTAGCGTCACTCCAAGATAGTGGTAAAGATGGTATTTTGACGAGACCAGGGTTGTTATGTTTAGGCTTTCGCGGTACAGTCGGTCGACTTGGATCACCGGGTGTGAGAACGTCACCTACAACATAACTTGTCAATGCGACTGAGCTCCTCTCCAAGCTGTCTTGAGGTCGATATTTGCCTTCCGGCCAGGTCTTTCCCTTGACAAATCCATCATCGCTAGGATCTGTGTAGATCAGACAGCCCACTGCTCCCGCCTCTTGTGCGGCCTTTACTTTTGATGCTGCATCTTTCGGATGGCCACCGGCTCGCACCATGACAATAGCCCCCTCTACTTTAATTTGCTTGTCTGCAAGCCTTTTGAAATCTTCCCGAGATCCGTAATGTGCGTATATTAGAGGCCCTTGGGCAGATCCGCGCTTCGAGAGACCATGGTAAGCAAGCGTCTGCTGGGTACTCTGCTCGGCGCCGGGTGCAACGTAGGCATCAGGCTCTTCAATCTTTGCATCCCACGCCTTATCTGCAGGTTCAACGATAGAGACCTTCCGGCCGTTTTCTACCGGATAGTTGAGGTACACTTCGTACTCCTCGACCATGACACCCTCTAGCCCACCCGCCTGAAATCTACGCTCAATCCATGTTCCTAGCTCATAATTACCCTTTGTACCTGCGACGTGATCGTAACTCGTGATGTATTTTAGATTATCCCGTATCCGGTCTGTGTTGATTGTTCCTTGAGCGAACTTCCGAACCCATTCCGGGTTGAAAGTCTGGCCTCCGAGCCCTCCTGACTGCATGCCGGGGAACATCTCCGACACGAATAGCAAGTAGACCAGACTGACAACAAGAAAGAGCCCGAATAGGCGCGCTATTATAGGTAACGAGGGTCGATATCTGTCCGAGACCGAAGGCATCCGTATTCGACCCGTCAGCCATCGTACGTTCAGTTTTGGCAACTGTATTCTCGATAATGTTGTTGTCAGACTGCTGATCCTCTTCGAAAACATGCTCTGCCCTCCTCCTCCTCCTCCTCCTCCTCCTCTTCTTGCACTTGCTGCCGCTTCTTCGTCGTCAATGTCCATCTCATGCAACTCCCTCCGCAACTCCGCCTCCTCCTCATCCTCATCTGCAATCTCTCCGTTCACTTCCGGCAGACTCAAATCGCTGTCTTCACTATTTCGCACGCTCTGCACGCTCGGGGGCTGGTAGTAGCCATTTCGTCTCCTGCTCCCGGAGCTTGTAGCGAAAGCGTCGGGCTGTAAGAGACCTTGCCTCTCGGCGTCGTCGCTGACTTCTCGCGGACCAAGGTGGGTATTGGAGGATGTGGCTTCTTCATACGACGGGATGGGCGCATCCTGCACCTCGTACGGGTGCTTCTCGTCAGGCATCTGATGCCGCGAATGGCAAATGTGGGTTCGCGTCTGGCTCGCAGGGTGGACAATCCTTCAGCTGGTGCGGCGGTGGTTCGGGGGTAGGTGGGTGGGATGATTACGGGCCGCGCATTACGCCAGATGATTAGAGATAGATATAGTACAAAGAAAAGAAACTTGAAGGGACAACAGGAACGAGCGATGGAGTGTGCAAGTGTCACGGAAGCAGTGTTTGCGCGAGGAAAGTCGCAGGCTGGTGGAGTGGAGGCCGGTGAGGATGTTCCCCTGTGGTTGCGTCTCAGTATCGGTTTGAGCTATACCAACACCAACCCGGAACGAGAGATGCCAAGGCCAACTACGCGTACGCGGTAGAACATCCTTGGATCCACAATTACATGCACTTACGGATGATTCGTGACTTGATCCAGGAGAATGAACCACCTCTCCCAGAGCTATATTGCCTTCAATGTTCAAGCCAATGACTCGATATCCCTGCAATTTGATCATCTTCAGCCCTACTGGACGCACAGAACATATACAAGCACTAAAAGACCTCCATCGTCCTTGAGATGGCATAGGAACGCATTTCCTCAAGCTTCCTCGCTGAATGAAATCAGTCTCAAAACTAATCACAGTCATCAATTGTGCCGTTCAATCCCTCAAAGGGCACTGAGAACAAGAAATCAAGATTCTTATTTTGAACAAAGTTTAATCGTAAAGGAAGATCATCCATGACATTCTAACAATCACACTATCGGGGGCCGAGATTGACTTTAGGAGAGGTATTTAGCCTCCTCTAAGACATTTATCAAATATTCTATTCTGTATAAAATTGAGGCTTGGTGTATCACACTTCACGCGCTGTTCGCGAAGACATCCATGTACAACGAAAAACTCTCACAGTATGTGATAAACACACCAGGGAAAGGGAGAATGTGCCACCAGGGCAAGCTATCTCCACGCGGTCTTCAATCCTTTCCTCATCCCCTCTCTACACAATCTAACCACTTCCTACCGCCTGCGGATTGTTAAACCTGGCCTCTGGGTCATACTTCTTCTTAATTTCTTCCAGCTTCGCATAATTCGGTCCCCAGTACCGTTTGTGTGCCTCATCCCTACTCAGACTTGGATCTGCGTAGTTCGAATACATCCCAAACACCGCGTCCGGCATCGCCTTCTCTACATTCTGCACCCACCCATTCATCAAGTCCATCCCGTCTGCCGGGAACTGGAACTTGCTATTGATGTTGTCGTAAAATTGCATCTTCAGCACAGCATTGCGGTGCGGATACGCGGTGGCGTCGACGGCAACCTCGCTGATCGCAGAACCCTGGCCGCCGTGTAGGTCAATGTTCAGAAACCAACTCCGCGTGTTGGCTTTCGCGGTCGTGAACAAGTAGTCTGACAAGGCGACGAGGCCATCGGAGGAGAGCGCTGGGCCCATAAGACTCTTGCAAAAGAATGTCTCGTGCTTGTCGTAGAAGTCGAGAGGTTGTTCCAATGGGCCGTTGGAATACTTGAGGAGGCTATCGATCCAGCCTTTGTCAGCAATCTTACCTGTAGGATTACCAAGCTTGGCAGTCAGGGGTGCGATGACTTCGGAGAAAGTTTTTTGAGGACCATAGTAGATGCCGACCAGGGAGAAGGCGTCCTTGTTGATGAAGAGTCGTGTCTGAAGTTCCTTGGGCTGCTTGGTGGTTGCAAATTCCTGGACTGCTGCAATGGCTGTTTGAGCAGCACTGCTGTTCTCGATACCCAGGGCATACTCGAAGACTGTGTTCTCCTCCGGTGCCTCGAAGGTTTGAATCTTGAAGTTGGTGACGATTCCAAAAGAAGATCCGGCGCCCCGGAGAGCCCAGAAGAGATCAGAATTCTCGGATTGAGATGCCTTCACGAGACTACCGTCTGCCAGTACGACTTCAGCCTCAACCATTGCATCGAGGGTGAGGCCTTTTCGGCGAGACGAATAGCCGAAGCCACCGTGAAGAACAAATCCACCCAGACCGACTCTGTCGTTCATTAGTGGGATGATTATGATGATAACAGTGTTACTGACTCTGGGCACATGCCCTGAGATATCGCCCTTTTGCCTTGGTCGTACAGACCCAACGCAATATTTCCAAGACGAGATCCGGAGCCAATGGTGGCGATTTTGCTACCTTGATCCAGCTGGACCTTGTTGAAGCGCTTCATGTCAATCACTAGGTGGCCATCCTCCCCACCAAGACCCCAGGACGCATAGCTGTGGCCTCCAGATCTGGCAGATGCGGTAAGCTTGAGTTTGGCAGCACACTTCACCGCGGCTTGGACCTGGTCAACCGCCTCTGGGACCGCAATCGTAGCCGGAGTGAAGGGCACTCGAAGGTTGAAAGGCTTGCTAAGGCTTGTAAAGTTTGTTGAGCCAGGGGCTACCTGAGGAACAGAAGAGTCGTCCAGACATTCAGTGATGGGCGAGCGTCCAAGCAGGTAAGCATTGCCTTGGGTTATGGAGGCGGCCAAGAGCCACAAAGATGATACGAGCAACATTTCGCTATCGTGCGTGATTATCAACTGCGTGACCTACAGCACTGTGGCGATGGGCTTGATATAATCATATAAGCCCATACATCAGAGCGGAGATGGACAGGGCCCGCACTTCTCCGATAAGTCGATTGCTCGAAACACTTAATTACACGACATCAGTCTGAGCGGCATGTGGCAAAGCGCATGAAAGTCTAATTGCTTTTGTCTCAGAAAATCCTATGTTATTCAAGGTCTTAACTTTAGTGTGACGTGGGCAGACATGGATGGCGGGAGCCTGCAGTGAACTTGGACCTTAGTAGGAGGCCCCTCATCTGCTTACTAAGTGAAGTTACCAGTAGAACTTATAGTTTTCTTCCAGTCCGGTCATGTTCTAGTACCTATCTAGGATCGAAACATACCTTAACAGGAATATTACCTCTCAATAAGCACTGATGCAAGACGAAGATAATACCGTTGCATGTGCAAGCCATGCCCATAGATTCAGTATACAGTATGTCTGGGGTAAGTGGGAGAATAGGACCGCCGGTACTTCAAACAACACCGTGCTGTCATGCTCGGGATCCTTTCTCGGCATTTATCAATCTTAAGTGTATGCTGCCAGGATCTCCCCGCGAGATGAACGCATGGATCGGCGCTTGGCCAAGTCGATGGATGCTATGTATAGCGGCCCTATACCTGTAACAACCGAAGGAGGTCCACTAATAGGTATGTCCCTGAAAGAGGGGAACTGTAATCAAAGCGTGAGCTAGATATCGTTATTATATTGAGGCTACGCCATCTCTCAGCTCTATTCTCTGTTTGTTTCACGGCCATTACTCACTTTGATCTTGGCAATCATGTTAGTCCATATGTATACACTGCGAAAAGCAATCGTCTTGGGCCCACTCTTCGCGGCTTGCACGCTTGGTGAAGACTTATTTGTGTCGCATTATGCCGGTCATGTTTCTTCTTTGTCTCTGCAAGGGACCAGTCTTACCGAAACATCCAAGGTGAAAGCCTGTGGATCGCTACCGTCATGGCTCACGTTTGAGCCTCACACCACGAAGACTTTGTACTGTTCCGATGAGCAATCTGACGGTGGTCATGGCTCTCTCAGCGCCCTAAGTATCACTGAAGATGGGAAGCTTACGCCCCAGGTGAAGGTGGATGCTCCTCCGAGTGGTGTAGCTAGCACTCTGTACGGTGGTGACAGTGGCATCGGATATATCGCGATCGCGCATTAGTATGTATGGTTCAAACGATTGCCTCACAACCATACTAATCGTGGCAGTGGATCATCAACGGTCTCAACTTTCAAGCTGCCACTGACAGCTGCGTCGACAACGCAGAGAACATTCAATTATAATCTATCTTCCCCGGGTCCCGATCCAGCCAGACAGGATGCTTCTCATCCACATCAGGTGCTCACTGATCCAACGGGCGCGTACATCTTTTCGCCTGATCTTGGAGCCGATACTGTTCGCGTCTACTCCGTCGAAAAGGAAAACGGAATGCTGAGCGAATGTCCTGGTCTGAATGTGACCGGTGGTTCAGGGCCGCGACATGCTGCATTCTGGACGCCACCTTCATCGTACTCGCGCATCAGTCGTACGAGAGCAGGGACCAAATTGTTTGTACTCAACGAGCTGAAAAACACGATAAGTGCTTACAGCGTGTTTTATCCCGCACACGGGTGTCCGTCGTTCAACAAGACTCAGGAGTTGAGTCCATACCCTGAGAACAAGGCAGCTCCTTCCGGTGCTGGTGCTGGTGAAATCCATGTCAACGGCCAATTTATCTACACGTCGAATCGGAATGACGGGTCGTTCTCTGGTAATGACTCCATAGCAACATGGTCTATCTCGCCCATGGGCGACATGTCGTTCCTGACCTTGACGCCTTCTTATGGCTCATACCCACGGACATTTTCGATCAACAAGGCCGGAGATAAGATGGCAATCGGAAATCAAATATCATCAAATGTTGCAATTGTTTCCAGAGACACGGAGACAGGCCGGTTGGGTGAATTGGTCGCAAATTTGAGAGTCGGCCCAGTCGGAACGCCGAAAAAGGGAGACGGTCTGAGCAGCGTCATTTGGGCGGAGTGAGGGAAAAGAATCCAGTTTGCCATAGTTAAGAGACGCTGGTACCATATCCATGTATCGTTGTCGGTGTGTGAAACTTTTGAGGTTGTAAACTGACTTCGTGCGACGTGCCGCGCCGCGCACGGACTCACGGAGGCGTGTGCGCGGTGACAGCTTTGAATGTCATCACGACAAAAAGAAGCCTCAGATGACGCGCAGCAAAAGATATACACAAGACACTAGAAGATTCAGCCAAGAGGATCCCGGCTCCTCCTAGAAATATCTATTACAGAACTCGCCGGTCAAATCTCCGCCGCTCCAGTATTCAGGATCCTACGAGAAATCAGAAACTCCTCATCGAAATGAAGACTGACAACTACACTAATCTGTGCCTCGAGCAGGCGGCCTCCTCTCCCCTGCACTTCCGACATGGTTGCATCATCGTCAGCGGCGGCAAAGTCCTCGGACGCGGCTTCAACGACTATCGCCCAGGTTTCAACAGCGGCGTCCTGAAGAGTGGCCGCACGGGCTTGTCCACCTCCATGCCTGCTGCGACCCAGCACAAGACAAAGTCCAAGTTGTCGAAGCACAAGCCAAAGCCCAAGCCAAATAATCGGGGCTTTTCTATGCCGTTGTCCCTGCATGCCGAGATGGCTGCCATCCACTCCGCTCTAGCCACCTCCACCGCGAACTCTGGCAGGATCCAGTGTTCTCTTAAACCGACGTTCAAAGTACCGGGTGGTTCCAAACGAAAACGAGCCCGGGCAGCCGTTCTTGAGGAGTACGTCGCCCGGGTTTGTGCCGCAGAGCCGGCCACCGGCAAGCTGCAGGTTCAAGAGTCGGGTTTTGAAGGGCCTGCATATCAACCAGAGTGGAGGGAACAAGAATGGCAAGCACAAGGTGTTGGTGAAGAACGAGAATGGGAAGGAGAAGAATTCGAATGAGCGTTCGGAGCGCGAGGTGAAATCCAGTCCGTCGGGGGCTAAGATTTTGTCGTCGTTGAAGCAGCAAAGACATAATGATGTCCGGCAGCGGGTGAAGTATCCGGGTCTTCATGGCGCGGATCTGTATGTTGCTCGTCTCTCGAACACGCCCGCCTCACCGTCTTGTGGTCATGATGTCTCAGAGCCTAGGTGTGTTGACTCTTCAGACTCCTTTCAATCACTGACCAGCGTAGCAGCGCGCCTGCCAAGTCATCTCGGCCGTCGAGTCTGTCCTCGCTCCACGATGAACTCAGTGATGCATGTCATATATCAGAAGTCTCAGCGACTGTCACAGAAATCACTGTTCCGACACCGCGAGCCACATGTTCTCGGCCGTGTTATCGCTGCATCACATACATGCACTCTGTCGGAATCAAGCGCGTATTCTGGACCACGATATCAGGCACATGGACCGGATCCAAGGTGCGCGATCTAGTCGATAGTCTGGACTCGTGCAGCTTGGAGGACACAGGGCATGAGGGTGACGACGAGCTTGGAAACACTGGCATGTTCGTCACAAAGCACGAAGTATTGCGAATGAGAAAGGCCATGCGCGGAGAAGATGGTGTTGAGGTTTGATATCTCTTGGTATCATAAAGTTCCTTTTCTTTCCACATAGAGAAACCAAGTATCTTTATATGTTCTTCTTGTGAAAAGGGCAGGTATAAATAGATATATAATATTCCTTATATAAGGAATATATATCTAAATAGAGTTATATAATAGGATCTAGCCGTAATAGACTATTATATAATAAACGGATCGGCGGAGTATAGCTTAAAGATAATAAGAATATAGTATAATTCTTAAAGTAAAGACTAGATAGAGAGAGAACTAAATACATAGAGAGACCGTTCCTTATATATTCCTCCTTATACATTCTAGATCCTTCTCTTAATTAATAATAGGAATCTTCTAGACCTCTAGACGTACGTATACGTTCTATAGCTCTAGTAGTTTCCTTAGAATAGAATAGAGTAGAGTAGAACTCTATAGAACTTATAGACTCTATAGTAGAACCTAATAGAACTCTATAGAAGTTCGTGTTTCTAAAGACCTCTAGAAGTTTCTAGAGGGTTCTAGAAACTTCTATAAGAGTATAGAGTATTTATATATATAAGTAGATAATATTAGTAATATCGATTACTAATATTAAGCTATTCCTAATAAGGAAATACCTTATATAAACTTATTAGATATAGTAGAGGTTAAGTTTATACTTCTGTCAATTCTCCATCCAAGCTTTATCGGATCGACTTTTGTTGGACATAGCTTCATCCCTTGTGCCAAGAGCTAGGAAGTGACGCTTTGTTTCGGCCAGGTTTCCATCCTGTTACATCCATCGCCCAAACTTTCACGTGCAGGACACGGCTGTAACCAAGCTTGTCTGCTCCTCCTCATCATTAACAGTCCTCACTTCGACTTCCTGCTTCAAACCGTTGCGAAGACGATGACGATAGTCCGCCAACGTACGTTTCAAGTTGCGCTTCGTCTCGAGTGTATGCGTCTCGCGGCACCTTCTCACAACATCCTCATCGATTGGCCCCTCCCTCTCCTCAATATACATGTGCCTAATGACGACCTCCAATTTCGACAAGCACATCTCGTACCCACCAATATATTCCCCGCGATAGAGATTCGGCAAGTGCGCATAGCAATGGATGACGACCGGCTCCATCCACTCAAACTTGACCGCATGCCTCCAGTCACAGTCAACAACCAACCGCACCAACCCAGTCGCAAGGTGTAGTATCGGCGCAATACTCGCCCCTATAGATCTGTATTCGCGGCAGCTCTCGTCCATGACAAACACATCCATTCGACGGAGCAGCACTGCCTTGTCGCGCATCTGACGCAGCGCATCTACACTTTGTTCTATCCCCTCGTCCGTCGTACGCACGCACACGACGTTGCGGTACAGGATTGGCGTGGCTTCGGTGTTGATCGCGCGGCAGGTTTGCAGGAGGGCTGTACTTGGGGTGTCCTTCGTCTTGTGCTTGCCTGGGTGTTCTTCCTTGCTGTGTGCGCTGCCGGGACTTTGGAAGCAACTGTGTAGGGCGATTGGCTCCGATGATGCGAGGCTGAGCTTCCAGATGGCGTCTCGGAGCTTGCGCGGGAGCGAAAGCAGGCGGTTTGGCGCCATTTTGGCGGTGGACATGGGTGGATGTTCGAGGATTGGAAGGGCGATTTAGATTAGGGGAGTTAGGTGAGGTTAGGAGTGGGCGATTGTTGTGATACAATCACGTGTCGGGCTTGAAAGTGGACAGGTAGGTGGGATATCAGTTCCATGACATGACTATTATACGCCAGGATGCACGCGTTAGGTCTAAGTCTTTCATTGTTTTCTTTTCTATTCTGGATTATGATGATCAAGGTCCGTGTCTCGTAGTCGTCGTCTGCTAACGACCAATATTTCAAAATCCTGCTCGTGGGCTGTCAACCATGTTTTTTTCCAGTTTCTGATTTCTCCTACTCCTATATTGTGTTTCTCGAGTCAAAAGCTATGCAAGAATATCGCTCTGAAGATGGCATGCAACGTCCACCAGTAATGATGTTGCAGCATAGAGCGATTGCCGTTGGTCCTCGAAGTAGCCACTAGGCACCGACCTGATCGGATTTACTCGCTGTCTTTGTGTTCTTGCGCCTTTTCCGCTCTATATTGCTGCAAACATTTCCCCAAATATACTCTATACACTGCAGAATGCACCGTAACGAGGGTATCATCATTGAAACCTAGAGCACGGGCGGCGTTGTCGAGACCTACAGCACGAGTAACGATTTCGAGACCGTCCAGCGCACCATCAGTGCGAGAACCGTACTCGACATCCTTGAGTTGGCCAGATGCCTCATCCCCCCGCTCGCCATCCATGCTGTCCCACATATCCGGATTCCCGGTGCAGAACAGGTTTCCAAGTAAGCTGACGTCGTGGCGGTTTTTGCAATTAATAGTCAGCTTTTTCAAGTCTGTTGTGCGGGCAAGTATAGGGGCCAATTGAGGACCGATGCGGCACTTCCGGGAGGAATCCGGTATGTCATTGACGATGAAGCGGCGGAAAGAAGCCCATTTTGTAGGTCTCGCTTCGAAGCGGACTTTGGCTGCGTTGATGTCCTTGAGGAAGACTTCGTTGTCGTACAGGTATTGCGTAGCTTCGTCGTTGATCTGTTTACAGGTTTGCAGAAGGGCGAGGCAGAGTGGCTTGTAACGATCCTCTTCCCATATACGATCGCCTGGACGGGTCACGTAGATGGGTTTATCTGAGGTGAGGCATGACTTGTAAATCTTATCGAGAAGCTCGCTTGGGAGCGAAAGCAGTTGACTCTGTGTCATCGGAGTCGTGGTAGTTCGAGACAGAGCCGTCGACGATGACGCTAAGGGAATGTATTCGATGATGGAAACAGAGAGACTGGAAAGAAAAAGGCAGCAGATAGTAAAGGTAGCTAAAAATCCTCAGGTATCTGGAAGAAAAAAAATTGACAGCAAAGATGTATGTGTATCACGAAAGCAAACGGCGCGCACTGCTTGCTCAGCATTCTTTTGCTCACTTCTCCCGCGAACCGAAAACAACGTATTGCTCCCAACGTCGGTTTCCTGACACAATGCAAATGGACTTGCCTCCACCACTGTACTCGACTTGCCTCCACTGCACACGAGAGCATGGAAAAGTGGCACGAATCGTTTGTCCTCTGCGATTTTCCCTGATATGTCCGTGTCATACACCGGTTCCAACGGATTACAGTCTTGCTTCTGCTTGCTTGATGGAAGAGTCACAGGTGTCTTTCTTTGTCCCTAAAAAATCTCTCGCTCGTGTGAACTGATATTTTTCAGCCCAGGGGGGAACGGAAGGTCTGGCTTTCGATTCCATGTATATCCATCCATCCATCCATTTATGAACTCTCCACATCTACATCCACGCCCACATCCACATCTACCCCCTAAACACTCCCCTCCCACAACCCCTAAAACCCCGTCCCCCCTTAAAAAAACACTCATCTCCCCAAAATCAAACAAACACGCCCCCTCCAAATCGCCTTGCCGCTGTCGTGGACTGCCATGATTAATATTATGTGACGAGAAGAAAGAGTAAGCAAGCAAGCAAGAATGGCGCAAACGAGTACGATTTGGAGGGAGGATGGGAGAGAGATAGGTAAATGTAAACAGACTCAAAACGAGCAAAGCACGCACATAATACTGAAAATAAGACGTATATCCATACACATATACATACACAAGTTACTCAAAACCCCAATCCATATCTATGGCGGTGCACCGCACAGAAATGAATCTGTAGAACAGCATTCGTGAACTTCACCCCCCTTTGCCCATCAACAGCAGCAGAGTTCAGGAGTCTTCCCCATGGCCGATGGATGCTATGGCCTGGAGAAAGGAAAAAAAGGAAAGGTCAAGGATGATGGCACAGAGTTCGGAGCCTAGACCGTGAATGAGTGTGATGTGGAACGCATCGCAGACCTTGACTAGTAAGTACACAACGTCGTGAATGACGGACGCAGGAGATTCGGCGAACGGGAAACACACCAACGGGATGGTTGACAAGGGGGCGAACAAATCCGACGCTTTGGGATTCGTGATGCTGCCACGCGTATGCCAGGCGACACTGTCAATCAAACGGTGTGGAATGATGAAGAACAACTCAGCGTGTATTCCCAACTAAAAAGCCGACCCAAAGGCGGCCCAAATGTTTCGATTGTAATTTTGTTATCTAATGACCCATATGATAGCGGTGCCCAAACGCACTCTCTCAACCTCATCTCTGTGATGAATCTCAACCCTATGAACCTTGGGGAGTAGTAAAAAGGAATGAAACAAAGCACAAAGTGTTTCCCGTGCAAAATGACCAAATTTTCGTCTAAGCCCAATGCGATGATGGTAATAAGAAGTAGGGAATGTAGACATGTAATCACCACCGTACGTCTTTTGCAGATACGGAGTGCGAGGTGAAGAAGAAGTATAGAAATCGCAACCAACAGCTCCTTGCAATGTAGCTTCCGAAGAACGCCTTACAATAACAATTTTTTTTAGCGACCTTCCAGCTGAAGACAGAAGAATTGAGTGGTAAGGGCCTTGGGAGTCCACGCCCATTCACTGCCCTATCGACACCAATGTGGAGAACATGACAAAGAGGAAACAAACTCCCTCGCCCATCGAATCGTTTAAAAACCTTTCAAGCGGGGCCGAACTATAAAGGGGGCATGAGAAAGAACCTATAAACGCGCTCCAGTGTGATAAAGAAAAAAAGGAAACCGTGTCGTCAATTACAAATAGCCGCTAACATGATGCACAAGATTGGTGATGCGAGAAATAGACGAGAAAGCTCATGAAAGTAAGGGTGAAGCGAAAGCAAAATGTGGTCATAAAGTTAAACCGATGCTGTTTAGGAATGATGTGCAGTGCAGTCGTAATAGTCGCACCATTTCTATAGTGTTTTAATGCGCCAATGATGGCGCGTCTTCATGAACAGGGCTAGGGTATGGATTGAATAGGCGGCAGCATGCGTGGATGCAGCCAAGACCGGAGAACCGATATGCGTAGTCGAGTCAGTTTGTCGGTCAAGTGATGGCCTCAAACAAGAAAAGGTCGCACAAGGAGTCGAAATGACGCGCAATATTGAGGGACTGCAGAGGAGAGCAAGTAGCCGCGGGTATGGCACGTTGACTGAGGGCCAGATAACGTTGGAGCCATCACCAGAGCTAATCTCCGAACCCAGATTTGCGAATGAAAATGGACATGCAGAGCCAGGCTTGAATAGCACGCAGGGGTGACTTCCAACTGCAACTGCCAAAGCTCCGAGCTCGCAGCAGAAGGACTTCCCGGGAAAGGAGTCTTTGCCGTAATCGGAGTGAAAGCCCATGCAGAGTCGATCCTCTAATATGTAGACGCAAAGCAGGGACGCGTTGAAACAGCCAGGGAATCGTGAACATGCGCAAGGAAACAAAACAAAGTCTTAAATAACGACAGAGAAAAGGCAAGGTGCCAAGTGAACTTTTAGTGAGCACACAAGATGGCGCTCGTGAATCTTGTGACAGCGTCAGAGTGGATTGGGGATTCATTGACATGTTCGCTGTGCAAGATTCGTGCTGGTCGGAGATGGTCATCCAGATTGCTTAACCAGCCACAGGCTGCGTGGCAAATCCGGAAGTCATCATGTACGGCGGGTGTCGTGCGCAGCAGTGGAAGCACGAGCAATGCGGAGGATGACCATTGTAAAGATTGTACTGCTGGGAAGCTGCACCAAAGCAAGAAGACCCGTAGCTAGGCAGATGCTGTTGCAGAGCGGCCATTGGCTGTGAAGCCGGAGGGAATCCAAACATAGTGCGACGAGAGTAACCTTCAGGCGGTGGTGGAGGGGCCCAGGTGGTCGCGTTGCCGTAATACTCGGGCGTGGTAGGGCCTGAAAGAGGTGCAGTCGAGGCTGGAGAATGATCATGCGTGGACCTGGCACTCCATGGATCGTACTGCGAGTAAGCCGGAGCGCTGTACTGAGAAGGCGTGTGCTTCAGCGAGTAGTCAGGAGTAGGCAGCTGCTTGAAACCAGCCGTGTAGGGGTTCGTTGAAAAGCTCTTCATGCCGCTGTACTGGTGCAGAGAGGTATCGATCGGTGCTAGCTTCGTCTGGCGGTTGGCACGAGCCACAGCATTCGCTTCAAACTCTTTCCAGTGTTTGAGCCACGTGGTGAATCCTTGGGCCTCCTCAGGATTGCGGTGCAATCGGAAGTCAAAGGCTTTCAGCCACTGGGACTCAAGCACATTCAGGTCAGCCACGACAATGCCGCTGACATCAGCCCAAGACCGGTTGATGAAGGTGTTGTCGTCCAAGAACTTGCTGCCTAGTAAAAGGCCGAGGGTAAGGAACCTGTGCAAGTTGGTTTCCGGGTTCATCTGCGGGCCTTCTTGGGAGAGCTGTGTCATGCGCAACGACAAGTAATGCAAACCCAGAAGAATGGTCGCTGACGGAAGCCGGGTGGCAGTGAGAACACCACCGACCCACTTGCGGAAAGAAGGAGGCTGTGGACGATTGGGGCTAATGCTTCGAAAGATGTCAATATCTGCCATGCAGATGGGGGAGTGAAGAAGTGCATACATTCCCTGTGCCATGTCAGACACAAAATCAGTCATGACATCCAACTCATAGTCTAGATTTGCAGAGACACCACCAGTTGGCTTCTCCTCTTTCTGCTGGGTGGCCCGAGCGTCTGTGTTGCGCTGTGCTCGCAGCATGTCTGCATCGGCCATTGTCCGCTGGTCCGTTCCACGCATGGGAGGCAGAATCGGTGCTACGACAGGCTCATAGTAGGAAGCAACTGCGTTGTTGGCATAGCCACCGTGATGCTGCTGCTGTCCATACATAAGAGCTGACTGAACAGACGGCAGATGTGGCTGGTCGTAGCGCTCTGAGTAACCAAAACCGCCGTCGTCATGCTGTCTCATCAACGATGGTGCCCCGTGTGTGAGCTGTGGATACTGGCGGGCACAGCTGTTATTGTAACCAGGGACAAATTCTGGGGGAGTGAGAGGCATATGCCGAGGCATGTGACGGGGATAGTAAGCCGGCATGGCTGGTTGGTACAGGCGCTATGGTATAGAAAAAACTGGTGTTGACGGCACCCTGGAGACTGATGCATTAGATGGTGTCGCGCAGTATCGTGACTGTAGGCTTACTGTTTCTTCTATTCCCGACCGCAAAGAGCACGAGCAGAAGCTCTGAAGGGCTTGCTGTAGATCTAGACGGTGGCGATCATGCAAGTGGTAGCGATATTAGATGGTGTTGTGATGGATCAGCGATAGAAGGATGGAAACTTTTAGGTAGTGAGAAAGCTGTAGGTTGAAGAAAAGCAAGCGTTGAAAATTCGAAGGGCGAGGAGCGACTTTTGAACAGCGGTGACAAGCTTGTCCTGAGTGAAGCTCAACAAGGGAGGAACGTGTCCCGGGTGCGCGCGTGGTTGGACAGGTGGCAGCTGAAAAATTGAGGCTGCGTAGGTAGGTGAAGTGAAAGTGAGGAATGTGTGGCGTAGACTTGACAGATCCCACAGAACGGCAAAACGACTCTAACTGAATAGATCGCTGTGCCGCAATGAAATGTGAAGTGTTTGCGGGAGAGAGTAGACAAACTTTCTTCGAAACTTCGAAACTTCGAAACAAGACCTGTCGATCGGGCAAGTCGTCGTGGCGGTTCAGGCAGGGAAGGATGCAGAAAAATCGCGAGGAGAATCCCAAAGCCACGTTTTTCGAGGACCCAAGAGGTGTAGTCGAACGCTGCGAGAAATGATGACACCGGCGAGTTTGCTGCAAGACTTGGTTTTGAAATGCGCCTTGATAGATGACCGAAGAATCACACCAGGCTTCACCTGATTAAGGATGAGGAATGATGGGGCTTGGTCTATGCAAATGTGACGAGAGCGCAGTCGTCGGTTAACTTTTCTTGTATCGAAGATCACCGAGTAGTCTTCATAGGTTATAGGCTCGCTCTTTCTGTAGAACAGTCGTTCGACCGTGTTCAAGAAGTGAAAACGTGGTGGATCGAGGAACGGAGAAGCTGCGAGGATGTAACCGATAAAGGTGCTACGGGAGCAAGGACGACGCTAGTAGGCAGTTTGCAAGAGGCGAAGAAATTGATCGAGAGGTTGACAGGAGCGGAGAGGATCGGAATTGGAGAAGAAAGAAGAGGTGTGGAGGATGAGAGGATGAGGGTGAAGGGAGAGTGCGAGAGAGAGTGTATGATGAGGGTAGGAGACGGAAAGGGAGAAAGTGTGTGTGTGTGGGTTGTGTTGGTGGTGAGGGCGGCGAGAGAGAGAGAGTCAGAGGAGAGACCCTGGCGCTACTCTGGGCGACCTGGACTAAGGGAAAATAGTGATGGACTGGACTGGGGGGAGCGGCGGCGGCATTGCACGCACACACACACACGACGCCACTGACCAGTGACCAGTAAAGTGACCACCACCCCCAGGACGGACGCGCAAAATTGCGACTGGCGAAAAAAGCCTTTTTCCTTCCCTCCTGACTGGACCGACTCTTGGCCCTGCCCACCCACGCTGGTCTCTCTGCCTGTCCAACACCGACTCGTGCTAGTACTCTTCTTAATAATTATCGCCCCCCTATTAAAAACAACACGCTCATGCTGCACACACACACACTTGCTGCACAATAATTGGGCTTTTCATTCTCTCGCTCCTGTGGCAGTGTGGTCCCCGTTCCCGACACAGGCCGACCTGGGAAATTAAATCCAGTCCTTGATTTGCCCTGGTGTCGTTCGCTTCTTCTCCACACAAGCACTTGGTAGTAGTTAGTCATAATGAATGCATAGTATTACTGTATTAGTCTACTGTACTTTCATTGAAAGCAATAGCCTGATCCCTACGTGCTCGTCTATTCCAGTCACCACTGCCGTTTGTCATGTCTGCGCCCCTTGATGATGATACTATACACTTGATCAAATCATGATGGATGCGCTGCACTGCGCTGTGCTGCGCTGCCACCTCCGATCCGCGGGCGGAGCATGGCTGTCCTGCCCCGTTTGCCCGTGGGGCCATGTGTCTGTCTGTCTGTCTTGCTTGCGATCCTCGCTGCTCGAGCCAACGTCTGCTCGGGGGGCGACCGGGTTCAGGTTGGCGTCATGCAGATACACCAGACTTGTGGCATTGCATTGATGATGGAGCATCTGAGAATCTCAGGAATGATGAGACAAAACAAAGGGCCACGTCGCAGCTTGTCCACCAGGGCTCCAATATTCTTTCATCCTTCTCCTTCCGCCTGTTCTCGGCATGCCTAAGCCGGCCGCGTTGGCTAGTGCCGACATAGTGGCCCTGGGCTCTCTCTGCTCGACATGCTGAGCAGCAGTGAGGTCATGACATGACGTCTGGAGATCGAAAGATTAATACCGTGTCGGCAACGGAGGAACATTGAAATTTCTCGTTAATCTATACAAATTATTCTTTCCACAGGGCTTAACAGAGTCGTGCCATGGGGGAAACAGGTTCCTTCATACATCCACTGGCTACGTGGTCCCATGGATGGCGAATTAGGTGCAATGGCGCAGCCCACACGGCCATTTCTCCTCGCGAAGCGAACCAACGGTCAACCGCATGATGGATGTACAGCGCTCCCCATTCTTGGGTTTGTGTGCAGTGCATAAAGTGCAATTCGTTCCGGCGGCTCATTCATTCAGTTCGGCACTACGGGTTTCTGGTTCCTAAACAGTTTTTCTCTCGTGTGGCTGCAGAGTCAGGTTTTCCGCTGAAGCTTGTCCAATGACAGAGCCCGAAAGCCTGCGCTGCTGACATGAAGCTGATTCTGGTGACCACTTCTACACCGCAGCTCCAGACCTCTCACCATGTGTTGCCATAATAAGTCTTTAAAAGTGCAGCCTGTTGAGTGCTCACGACGCCTCGGGAAGAGTGCCCGGCTTCAAGACGCTGTCGCCTGGTTAGACAGAGTTGAACATTTGGCGCAGGTCTTGACGCGTTATTCTCGGGGTTGGGCTCCATGACCTGCAGGAGGACCATAGCGATCCACAGCGGGCCTCATGCTCGGCTCTATCATCTATCTTGCAAGACCATCTGGCACACGCCGGCCGGCTGCGGACACTCTCACTCGTCCATCAGTCAGAGTGGTAAGCCGGCATGTGGTGTGTAATGCTCGAGAGTCATCTTCACCGCACCGCACCCTAAACGCACTGCAGTTCACGGGAGACAATACGTCTCTCGACAGTAGACAAGCAGGCTGGCAACGCTCGAGTACCTGATGCTGTAGCTCACTCCTGTCTGTACACTGCCGAATCTGTGTAACTTTAGACCGATCGATTGGAGCGGCCTGGTAGGACTTTGTCCGCATCGCTGCCCGGCGCGTCGACTTGACGTACGTGGTCGCAGCAAAGCAGAGTAATACCTCCGACCGGCCCAGTCCTATTCTTGCTAGCCAGCTGGGCCCACGTCGTCATACGCACATTCATGAGCACTTTGCCCGCGAGCATTTTTTTGGCGCTTCTAGCCGGTCTATAGGCGATGGTAGCTGTACCTGGCCAGCATAATCATCATCATCGTCATCATCTGTCACATTCTTTGGCGTCTCGCTCGCGTCGGTCTCCCTCGGTGTTTCTCCATGATGCAGTCTGCTAGTCACCTAGTCATGGTCATCAATAGTCATGCAGTCGCTCCCCAGAACAGTCCTCGAGTCTCGAATCTTGTGTGAGGAAACGGGAAGCGAACTGTGGAACTGTGGGCACATCCTCGGCTGATTTACGCACACACCTTACTGCCTAAGGCTGCTGATTCAGGCACGTAGGTACCCAGGCAGTAAGGCACGAATGAATATTTCAACATCTGATGTTGTGAGTGGATAATATATATGATATGATTGGTCGGCCTCGAACACGCTAATGATACATCTTCTCACCTCATTCATTTTCTCCTACTTTCATCTGGCATGCTATACAGTTATATTCCGATGCACCAGATAAAGGCAACAACAGGATACCATCTCAAAAATATGACACTAGACCAGAAGTTAGTTCTCTCTGCAGGCCTACAGGGTATATAGCCACGAAAAAAAAAACGTGAGCTCAGACTATCAGAGTGCCCCTGTACAAAGGACTACTACTGTGGCCTGGCATGCTACTTCGACTCCAGTCCCAATGGTGTCATCTTATCTGCCAATGGTACTACAGGATCCCTCCCGGCACCTACGCTCTTGACTTCTGCAAAGTCCAGCCCCCTTCTGATGACAACCAAGTCACCCTTTCTGGCAATGGCAAAGTCTCGCTTGCATAGGAGGATGAGGAGCTTCCCTGCCATATTCCGCCATTCAGACAACACGAAAAAGTGCCGCTTGTACTGCTGTGTCGCACCGAAGCTCCGCGTGTCAAGACTGCACACCCACAGGTCGGTGTCGAGGAAGTAGAGGATGTGATCTACCGCTGCTATCAGATGGTCTATTTTGGCACCAATATGCTCGAACCCGGGCGAGGCAGTCAGGAGAGACGCAGTGTTGGTGAAGCTAGGGGTAGGCCAGCACGTGAGGGTTCTGGTATCGTTCTTTGACAGACGTAGGTCTGCGGCGATATAGGGTGAAATAACGAGCGATATTGGGACTGAGTCTGCGGTGACGAGCACGCGATCGAGCTTGATTGTCGTTGGAGTGGAATTGTCCCAGGGATTGAGGCTTGCTTCCTGGCTATTCATGACCAAAATAGTTCGAGGGTCTGTGGGTAGTTGGGCAATAGCAGACCCAGGTATTGCTGACATTTCGTACAGTTTTGTACCATCAGGGCTCCAAGCCCGGTATACTGACTGACCTACAGCTAGGATATTCTTCGTGGATGGTTCAAATTGAATTCCAGTGGTCGATTCGTTCGTTTTGATATCTCCAAGCATCTCTTGTAGAGCCCAGCTGGTTTCTTTCTTGGACACCTGCGCAACAAGTAGTCGCCCTGACTCATCAGCGCTGCTTATATGAAGACCATCAGTCTCGGTTATGGCCAAGGCTGTGACGGCAACATTTACAGCATGCGAATAGAGGACTCCACCGGTGCTCGCATCATTAGTTGAGAGCCATGAGACTGTTCCGTCCTCTTTTCCAAGAAATGCAACCAGGCCGTCAGCCGTCATCTTCATGGCCGTTATCTCCGGAGCGTTTAGCCCCTCTAGAATACTACCTCTTCGCGCTGTTGAGGGTACAGGGAGACTAAATTCGCTGGAACTTCCACCGTCTACGTCCTTGCGTACTAGTATAGCAGGTTCCCAAAGTCGACATTGCGTGGACCGGATGTCCATGAATCGCAAACTATCCTGACTGAATGCGAGGGCACGAATACCGTGTTCGTACGCATCAATTCGATATATCATGCTTAGCCTGTCGCCAGCAGAAACCCCCAAAATTAAACACTTGCAACGTGCCTTGTGAGCTACCTGTCACAAGTGTTCGTCCATCAGGAGAGCATGTTAGGCAATGAGCAAAGACACTGGGGATCTGATCCCTCGGCTCAGCCGTCCAGAGGTCATAAACAACGAGCTCTCCGTCGCCGTAGGATACTATGAGAACGTTGATTTCAGGGCTTGGGTTGAACGCAATGGCATCGACGCCGTACTGACTCGTCGATCGTGTGTAGTCTCCTAAGCTTCCCGCGCGAATGAAACTCAGAGGTAGTCGCTCATTGTCCACGTCTAATAGTAGAACTGTCTTGCCTCGATAGCTCACAGCCAGGGAAGTATAGTCATCAGAAAAAACTGCCAGACTAGGTGACTGACTAGGAAACTGCTCTAGATCGGAACTGTCTATGCTTCCGACAAGATTTATCACGTTTATCTCAATACCATCGCCTACCCGTAGAGTTCGCAAGGTATTATCTCGACAGGCCACCAGTAAGAGTTCGTCATCAATGGTAAACATTGCTGACATTATTGGATGCGTCACACCATGCTTCCATAAATTTTCTCCGGTATCTGTGTCCCAAAGACAGGCATGCCGCAATCCGATTGTAAGAAGCCAGCGCTCATCGTTGGCGAATTGCACGAGCTTTACCCGCTCAGCATGGCATAAGGTCTTTGTCAGTTGGAAAGAACCGCCGTCGTAAAGTTTGACTGCGCCTTTAGATAAACCAATCGCGAATAGTCTCTCGCCATAAGTGACGGCAGTCGTCTGAGCACCTTGAAAGTCAATTCGCGCTAGACAATCGTCCCAAGACTTTTGATACAGCCCCTTCACAAGGAGACCACGCTGTCTAGCCGAGTACATCCGGGCGATGATAGAGTCAGAAGGACATATTGGAGGTATCAACGAATGGATCGAGGACGGTGAGGCAAGCAGCTGAGAACGAAATTTGGCACTAACGCGAATCAGGTCTGTGGCCCATAGCTGTACTGTTTCGACTTCTCGAGATACTGGAGGATAATGTTTTGCTCGTCGCTCTAAGAAAGCTCCCAGGTTCTTAGCGGCTCGTATCAATATTCCAAGGTCCTTTGATCGGGCCGCGTATTCGATCCAGGAAAATACATTTCCTTTGAAGAACAAACACAGTTCTTCAAGTGGACCAGGATGTACCGATGTGGATCTATATATGTGGTCCGAGAAAAACGAACAAACATATCCTTCAAAGGCACTCTTCGAAGCAGGGTTGTCTGGTTTGAAGGGCTTCGTATTGCTAAACGACCGTCGTGCAACGAAAGGAGGACGGCCATTCAGGATCTTCTGTTCTCTGAACCAGTCACTGGACAAGAATCGAGCGCAAATGCTTGCTAGATAGGCGTGGCTCACTTTCCTGTCGATTTGCAGCTCAGGGATGCAATTCTGCGCGATCATGAACTCCTTGGCAGTTTGATGAACCATTTGCACACGCGAGGCGTGATCGATAAAGACTAGATGGCCACAAATGGAAGCAATAGACTGTTCCAGTCCATGCACAGTCTCCTTTATGTCTAGCTTGAGCGCATACTGCAGCTCTTGGACCGTCAAGGGGCGGATGGCACAGACGCACCAGGTCAAAATCGCTCGAGCTAACTTCGTGTTTCGATTTGACTTGAGAATATTGCGAAGCATCCTGGCGTAGACATCATTCATGTCCGGAGGTACTTCATTTAGGACACTTTCGATGGCTTCTTCACTATACGTAGTTTTGAGTTCCCGTACAATGAGCCGTACCCACAAGAAAGAGCCATTGGCCTTAGTGAGAAGTTGCTCCTCAAGCCATGCCCTGGTATCACCATACCCCACTGGCAGTTGATCCATCATTGAGTCAAGGTATATCTTGACGTCTCTTGCCGTATCAGCTGCCGATATTTGACGCTGTACCACCGATCCCTTCATAGTCCCAAAAGCATGCTCTATTTCGGGGATCCTACGACTTGTTATCAGAATGCGCAGATTTGGCGGTGGTCGACCAAGTAACGAAAAGAGTGCATGACTATTGCTGCATTCATCAAGTCCATCAATGACCCAATGATGAAATTGTGAACCTTCAAGGGGAAAAAGACATCTTTGAAAGAGTTTCCGCCAGACTGCCCTCTCATCCTCTCGATCCCAGGATACGTCTTCTTTCTGAAGCTCCATCATCTTGTTCCTTGAGATAGAATCAATGAAGGCCATCTGCAGTGCCAACGACCGGAGACAGTCAGATACCGTCGAACGCCCAGTGACGCCGTCCTTGAAAAAGAAGTAACTACAGCTAGACCCATCCCCTCGAAGCTCGTGGATTACATGGCTTGCTAGAACAGACTTGCCAGAAGCAGCGTTACCACTCAACCAAAGAAAGGGAGGCGATTTGCGAGAGAAGTTTCGCCAGCTATCAAAGACTACATCGTCGCTGAACCACTTGCAAGACCCAAGAGCACGATTCTCATCAAGCACCATCAGATCGTCCTCGGGTAAGTCGGGTATGGCGGTCAAAATCTTCAGACCATCGAGCTTTTGCTCGGACGGGTTTGTATTATTAGAGTATTCTAGTTCTCGTTAGTATGGCGACTCTGCAACCCGTATGGCCCAATCAACCTTCGGAAACCACAGCATCGACTGTCGCGCTTAACGCATTACGCACAATCTTGTAGTTGGAATCGTCCGCCGAGTCAAACTTGCAGACGCCTCTGTGGTCTGCATATATGCATTCAAACCGCTCTCCAGCAAACCCGAGAGTCGCTGAGTCTTTGTCGACTATGAGAGCGGATGCGAGGCCAATCTTGCTAGGTTGCGACTCAAAAAATGAGCGTAGGTGGAGGTCTTCAGCATACTGGCGAAAAGTCTCGTTGATGGTCGAAATGGAACTTGAGCTTGGATCGAGCTCGTCCACAAAAGGCTTCGAACCACTGACTAATCTTAGGATGTTCCTGAGCGTACGAGCCATATCAGATCCGCGATGGGGAGTGGCCAAGAAATGTATAGCCCTGACGCGGCTTGCAAACTCGCTATACAATGCCTTCTGTCGTGCCACGACATAGGCCTATCACAGAATCAGCACACGGCTGTGACCAATATCTTTCCACTCCAAACCTTTTTGATCACAATCCCTCCCATACTATGGCCGACTAAGATGATTTTGGTCTGTTGACGAGGTCTTCGTATGTTACCATATTACTCCATGGTTTTGACGTACCCTTGATCTCCTGATGTGAGGACTATCTTGGACTTCACCCAATAGCGAATGTGCAAAGTCTTGTATGTTCAGGATACTCTCACGCCTCTCACTCCAGTCAGCCTTGTAGCCAAAGCTGTGAATGCGGACATTCTCAAAATCAGGATCGTTTGGTAACCATTCCTTTGGCCAGAAATGGAAGTTCGAGGACGATTTCGACCACGTCTTGCGAGATCCGCCACCTAACCCATGGACGAAAATGAGGTCGATCAGCGGCGTGGGCACTGCAGACAACAGATGCAAGCCCAAAGGGCCCTTTGCTTCATCTGTGGAAAGGTCGATAGATTCATTGATACTTTCAACACCTGGCTTTCGTTGTGAATTTGACGTCGACCGTCTCCAGAGCTGTTGGTTGTATGGTCAGCCTAATACTATATAGTAATTAGTCCAGCTCCACATACCGAGTTCATGGCAGTTTTCCAAGTCAGCACTAGACTAGAGTCTATCGTACTAATTTGATGAAAGTCACTGCATGTCCCAACTACTCATTAGAGTCTGTAAGGAATGACAAAGTTGTTCGCACTGGAAGCCTGAGTATCTTCAAGTTTGAAGGCGGGGCAACGAGAACCATCTGCAATTTATTATTAGAAGCAAAATTACTGGCCAATCGCAGACACTGTCGATCTGCATGGATATACGAGCCTTACTAGACTGGCGCCTGGTGTGCTGTTTTCGAGTCGACCCCGTTCTAGTGAAATGTCGATGCGACGAAAATTGGACCATTGAGTCAGGTGAAAGAAATGATGCTCACGTATCGACACGAGCGGCTAAAGTGGGCGTCAACTGTTGAACAAGCAGATTCCCACTTTGACAGTTGAGATGTGATGGTGATCAATTTGTCCTGGCGCACTGCGACCCACTTATTTTAGCGCGAAACGGGCTGAGGGCGCCAGAATGCAGCTGCAGTCGCGATAGAGTCTGAGGGTTCTGACTATATCAGTCGATGCCGAGGGCAAGTAATGGTACACCTCCTCAAACTTTGCAGCGGCTGTAGGACTAATTTTCTCGGGATCGAAAGGACCGGTGCTCTCCTCCCAATTTTTCGCTGATTGATTTATATGATGGATGCCATTTCCAAGCACGGAATCGACGAGAATGTGCTGAGGAGTAAGCTAATCGTATATAGTGTCATGACCCAAGATGTTAATATCGCCAGGCCTGCCGTCCGTGGCGTCTGTAACTAAAATCTCTCGTCATGGAGCATCGGCTTGGACAAAGCGCTTCCGAATCGATGTACAGCACACTGACCAGACTAAGGCGAGTTACTTCATGAAGCTGTCTTTGGACCATCACGGAAAAGAAGCGTTGAAAGGAGAGTACGAGGGAACAGCTGCACTGCATGACCTTGCCCCTGAACTGGTGCCCAAGCCAATTGCCTGGGGCTCTCTCGAGTCCAAAGAAGATACGCATTTCTATCTGACCAAGTTCTACGAGCTCGGTGAACAGTTACCGAGTGAGGCCGATTTCTGCAAACGGTTGGCAGATCTCCACCATAAACATTGCTCTCCGAACGGAAAATATGGTTTCCATGTTACTACGTACAATGGTGATCTGCCACAAGACAACACCTACGCTGATACGTGGGAAGAATTCTTCGTGAACGGGCTAAAGCATGTTCTTGCACTCAATCGCGAACGAGGTGGCGTTTCGGAAGAATTAGAGAGTCTCGTTCCGGATTTGTTGGAGAAGGTAATACCTCGACTCCTGAGACCTTTAGAAACGGGGGGGAACTCTATCAAGCCGTCTCTTGTGCACGGTGACCTGTGGTGTGGGAACGCAGCCATCGATCAAGAGGATGACAAGCCAATCATTTTCGATCCGTCGAGCTTTTGGGCACACAACGAATGTGAGTAGAGACATGTAGATTGTGCTGTGGTCGAATTTTGCTGACGAGAAGCTAGATGAGCTTGGTAATTGGCGGCCTGCACGGAACAAGTTTTCGCAGAGTTACTTCAACGCGTATCACTCCCACTTTCCGAAAGCTTCCCCAGAAGAGGACTACGATGACCGTAATGCGCTTTATGCCTTGTGAGAAGTCCTATCGCTATACCTGACTTTAATCCTCTTCCGGCTGACCTCAATAGACGTTTCAACCTGCATGCGGCAACTTTGTTTCCTAACATGGCAAGCTTCCGAGAAATGGTTATTGAGGAGGCAAGAAGGTTGATTGCGAAGTTTCCTGAGGGCTACGACAGCTGGGCTCAGGCAAGTGCTGGGGCCTCGGAACATTGATGACTGGCAAGCTGAATGATCAACACGAGACAGATTTCGTTTTCAGCTGTTTACACAAGGGTCAGGCTTTAAGGACTGAGATTTGACATTGATTCATGCGGTCCCTCGCGTCTTTAGCTCAAAACGTGACAGTCGGCTGAGACACGTGCTTTGAAAGTTAATTTGAGAATGGCTGCAATTCCTGGTCTGGCTGTGTCGATATCATATTCAATCTCTGCTCTAATTATAGGTGCGACATTACTGTTCGGTCGGCTCATCATGCTTTTCGTCGAATATGTCAAAACCAATATAGTCTCTGGGTTGGAGGTAGCGTATCTCGCCAGTCTCCTTGTACACTTGATCCACTGTCTGGAGACTCTCTGGACTTAACTTCTGTAGGCTCTTGCAAAGATTCTCCTGTAAGCGACTCTCTTGGGAAGTCTTGGGAACGGCAGACAGTCCACGTGTCAATAGCCATGACAGTAGCACCTGCGCTGGTGTCAAATCAAGCTTTCCAGCAAGAGTTATAATCTAAGTGAAAACATTAGCTAAAGTATTTACCTATACAGCTCTTAATCGTACTTTCGGATGTAAGAGAGGAACTGGGATGTCCTTGTGTTCCTTTACCGCGTCGATCGGAGCACCACCGAGAGGCTGATGTGCTGTTACATGGATGTTCTTATCGTGGCAGAATGAGATCAACTCATATTGTGGAAGGTAAGGGTGTATCTCTACTTGATTTACAGCTGGGGGAATGTCAGCGTCTTTTAACAGTCGTTGTAGCTTTCGTATGTTAAAGTTCGAAACACCTAAGCTGAAGTCAGCGTATAAAACGTGAGCACACCATGGATAGACTGAACCGATGGAGCGAGCTTTCTTCGTGTGGACGAGAGCTTCCATACTCTTCCACACTTCAGGATAAGCTCGTGAGAGGTCATAATCAATCTTTGGCTGGGTCTGGTCAATTGCACAGAACGATAATACAGGACAAGCTATGTACCTTCCCATTCTCATGACGCTCTTTGATACGATCGTTGCCTGATGACTGATATGCATGGGAAACTAAGATCCTGGATATCAGCTCGTGTTGATTGCTCAGACACAAGGTACTCACAGTGCATCATGTAGAGATCCACTGACCCACAAAGTTGAGGTCAGCTGCCCGTCACGGCTGTGGTAATATAGCATGCGTACCATAATCCAGGTCCAGACTTTCCAGACTTCTTGCCATAGCCTCTGCGACATCACTTGGTTTGTGCCAGTTCTGATCCCTACTGTTCGTCAGATTCACAGATAGGGGGCGTCACAGTCGACACCTGAAAGACGTCATACAGCTTTGTCGTAACAAACAGCTCTTCACGAGGCACGCCACTGTCTTTGATAAATTCTTTTATAGCTTCACCCACAGCCTTCTCGGTGCCGTAAGCAGTAGCAGTATCAATGTGCCGGTAGCCTTTCTTTAACGCAGCAAGAACAATGGCTTTCACGCGGTCTTGACCGTCGCCCTTGAATGTCCCAGTCCCGATACCAATCGAAGGCATCTTCAGACCTTCGCCAATATCGAACTCCGTAGGTAGTGAATTCGAATCCATGATTTCGGGCGGAAGGTCTCGTCACTGGCAATTCGTCGATTGAGAGATTGTTGTGTCAAAGCTCGTGATGGGAAGCGCAGACGGCGTGGTGGAGTGGTACATATCAGTGGGGAGGATATAATTGGTCAGTAAAAATTATTGTAGCATGACATCCAGGTCGTCAAACCCTTGATGATATAAATGATGGATAGCAAAGTGCTTCATGGTTTGAGTGGTTCTTTGTTAAGCTTCTAAATATATTTCAAGCGGAGTTTGAATTACTGTTCGCAAGGGTTCGAAAACCGTTCTACTGGCTGCAATACTGGTGACCACTATATAGAGCATTTTATAAAACATCGCCTCACCCGTTTTTAGTCGTTGAACTTCCTACTCCTTATGGTCTCCAGTAGTGAGTGGTCATCAATGACGCTGTCGGTACGAGCCATATCGAGATAAAGATACACGTAGGCTTTGCTACTTCAAGCGTGTCCTTTGGCCTTTGTACTTTACATGGTCTTAGGCGCACAAGCGTTCGGCGTCATGAAACGCGAGAAACGAGGCATCAATATCATCAGGATATCATGACATTGACTACATTTGCCCTATAGAAAGCTTGCCCTTCGTGGACCTTATGCCAAGCCCAATATCACGGACTTTTCTAATGCGCCGCGCAAAATACAAGATCCGACTTTTAGTTCATTTGCTTGATAAGTGCGTTGATGAACTCCTCACGGTTACCAAGATCACCACCCTCAATAAAGTGCTTGAACTTCCTTGGGCGGAAGCCACCAGTCGGGTTGCTGAGCTTGAAGGGCCACAGGAAGTTGCTGGCCTGTTTGAAGTTGGGGCCGACGGTGTAGATCTCGTGAATCAGGTCCTCCATACAGACGATGCCATACTTGCCGAGGCTCTCCTCAATGATGTGGTTGTCAGTCAGCGGGATACGCTGCTTGTCGATCTTACCGTATCCACGCTTGTAGATGAGCTCGCGGACGGACTTGAGGTTAGGGTACCCGTAGGCGATGAAGGGCTCGACAATCTTCAGCATCTCGAGGGTAGCCTTGGTCAAGCGAATGAAAACACCGTTGTTGATCTGGAGGAGACGGAGGAGCTGAAGAGTCTTGCGCTTCTTGGGGTCAATCTTGTTGATACTGTGACGTGTTAGGACAGGACAATCGCATTGACATAGTGCACCTACCCCTTGATGCGGACGACGAAGACCAGCTTGTTCTCAGCGGGAACGTAGAAGGAGCCTTCTTGCTTGGCAGCACGAGAGAGACGGATCTTCTCGCGCTCAAGGTCACGGTACTCCTTGACGTAGGACTCGGCGCGCTTGAAGATGACCTTGCGCTTTTCCTTGTTGGACTGTGTGAAGCTTGTTAGCATCAGACTTTGCAAGATTGAACGCAAAGAGGAGACACGTCGACGTTGTCAGTCCCGAAAGATGGTTAACGAACGACATCATCGACCCGTAGGTCTAGCCGACATGGTTGGTAGGTTTCATCATCTTGTCGCGATGCTTCCTCTGCGCTTGGGGGGATAGGCTTACAGCGCGGCGCTTCTGAGTCTCGGCAGCGCGAGCCTCACGCTCCTTCTCTTGACTCTTGCGCTTCTTTAACAGAGTCTCGGGGACAAGAATGTCATTGTGCGAGGGGATGCTCCTAGAAGTCGATGTCAGAATGGTCTGGCGGAAAGCAATATGCTTCTGTACTCCAAGAAGAGAACTGCAGCAGGTGCGGCATTCTCAACTGGAGATTTTAGACTCGACTTGAATTTAATCGATGAGAGTTCTCAGTGCAGGACCTGACATCTGGATGCACAGGGGTTACATGCAGGAGTTTTTCTCAAACGACAAGACCCCGAACGTGAGTTCAGGAAAAGTGCGCGCACGCGAGGGTTTCGATGCAACGAAGCACTTTCACCGTCGACGATGTGTGGCAATTGAATTTAAGAGAGAAGGTTGCCCTTCAACTCCAAGACCCCAGGCTCTGATTCTCCTAGGATAGCTAAAAGCCAAACATCGTGGGAGGATAGAGCGACAGGAAAATCGAGCTGGGTGCAAGCTGTGGAGCCGCAAATCCAGCGAGAAAGACCACGACCATCTGCATTCTCGACTTGTGTATCAGTAGCAATGGAAAGAGCAAAGACCTACGTCTTGCTGGTGGTGGTTTGCTTCGGCATCTTGTCGACGAGGTTGCTGCTGGCGGTGCTGCGGTTAGTTGTCGTGAAGTCGTGAGGATCGTAAATTGTAGGGTTGCAATTTTGCTTGGGAGAATATTCGCTTGGTCGTGGGCGCTTGGACCATGCTCGCTAGACTCGAGTCACGTGGCGATAGCGATTGATCGCAACCTCACATGGGCTAAGTCATCACCACTGTGCTTCCGTGACCAATTCTCAGCAAAGACTACTAGTTGAAACTGGATCAAAGAGAAGCTCGAACCTTGTGCATCATATGATCACTCTTACCGAACCTCTTATCTGTTTATTTTGAGCATTGTCTTTCTCTCTAATTTAGCATGCGACACGACATAGCATAACTACTGATACCCGTAGCACTCACCCCTCAACATGTCTTCGAATCGCCGCGGCGTCGGCCTCTCCGCCTTCTCTCGCTCTTCCATAGCAGCCTCACAATATGCATCCCACGGCTCAAATTTGCGCGCCACTCAGTCAACCTCCTTCCAAACCCAGCTCTCCGTCTTCCAAAACCTCCTCCATCAATTCAGTATCACCCATGCTAAGGAGATCCGATCAAACCCTAGCTTCCGCGCCGAGTTTGCACGCATGTGTAATGCCATCGGCGTGGATCCTCTGGCAAGTAGTCATCATAAAGGGAAGAAAGAAGGAGGTAGCCTGTGGGCACAGATGTTAGGGGAGAGTGTCAATGACTTCTACTTCGAACTTGCAGTACGTGTAGTTGAGGTGTGTAGGGAGACGAGGGGCACGAATGGTGGCTTAGTGAGCCTGGCGGAGGTGAGGAAGAGCGTCCTCAGGGGTAAGGCCATTGGTGGTGGTATGGAGGTTTCTGAGTGAGTTCATGGGCACCGCTAGCCATTAGCCGACGTGATACTCACACAGGACAGTGATGATGTTGTTAGGGCAGTAGAATCATTGAAACCGCTTGGGTCTGGATTCACAATTATCAAGCTTGGCCACAGTCAGATGATTCGGTCCATACCAAAGGAACTGAATACTGACCAGTCGACTGTTTTGGAAGCGATACAGGTGCTCGGATACGTTACCGTGTCAATGCTCCAGGTCAACCTTGAGTGGGAACGAGCCCGAGCAAAGACTGTGATCGATGATCTAATGGGCGATTCCCTCGTGTGGGCTGACAAGCAAGCCGAGGAGACGGAGTACTGGTCGCCAGCATATACACAAGGAACGTGACGCTGAAGATTGTCTAAGTGGATGTGTTCCGTTTTATGACAATGCCTATAAACAATGCGGGGCATGGGTTGCGGACTTTGAGCCCAACCCACCGATTAACAACGCCGATGCAGGAAGACAGGAGAAATCCATGGGGCCGTCTAGGCCTGGATGGCTCGACCCAGTGCACCACCAGTGAACTGCTGACCACCTGGTCGGTGTTGACCACCACCACGGCCGCCTCCTCGTCCTCCACGCTGCCCACCCCGGCCTCCGCGACCACCTCGTCCTCCTGGACCGCCCTGGCGCTCGAATGCGTGAGCAGTGCCCTGTGTCCTTTGCTCCAACGTCTTCTCGTTGGACTCGATAAGACCACTGGCTTTGTCACTGAGCGTGAGAGCCAAGCTTTGCAGTCTTGAGAGCTCGACACCCTTGCGGAAGATGACGACACTATTAACCTGGTCAAGCGCTGCGGCAAGCTCTTCATGCGAGATCATCTTGCTCACCACCGCTGCGACTTTACGCTCGGTGAGCTCGAACATGGATGCCAGGGTGGTAACAGAGAGTGTGTCGTAGAAGGGGGCGTATGTGAAAAGATATGTCCGTAGACCTTCTTCTTGAATCTGGGCCGATAGCATCTCCTTGATCTTCTCCGACTGAGCCATAAGCTCCCAAATCTTGATCGAGTTGATGAACTCGGCTGACTTCTTCCACTCGCCTGCCGCTAGCGCTTTCGACGCCTGCATGACGTGATCTCTTGTGTTCTCGGGAGGGCCAGTGAAAATTTGACGCTCATGGTACTCAAGAAGACGTCTGTATGTCTTGCTGATCACGCGTTTCCGGATGTCTGGTGACGAGCCGATCTGGGCCAATAGAGGGATCTCGAGAAGCATGGAGCAAGTCAGGTAGACGCACTCAAGCAGCTCGAGGTTGATGTGCATGTGGAAGGGCAGTTGACGTTGGCGCTCGAGACGTTCTTGCTCAGGCGAGATTTGCGAGTATCGCTGCATTTGTAGACCTTGTGCTAAGAGCTCTTTTTGCCTGTTGCTTCCACAGATCTCTTGCAGTGAGTTTTGGGCCTCGTACACCAAGCCTGCGCGGAAGGCACAAAGGCCGACCTGCACGAGCGCGCGGTTAAAGAGGATCTGGGAGTTGACGTCGAAGTTGCCAATGGTTTCTTGCAAGTGCGACATGAGCATCATGTCACGAGCCCGGTAGTAGTGATCATGCAGCGCGAGGAAGTAGATTTGGCAGAGCATGGCACGAGCTCGGATGATGCCCTCGCTCTTCTCAAACAGGTATGTGCAGAGAGATTGGACGAGAGTAGTGCTGTCTTTGGCGCTTGATCGCGGTGTGATTTGCGAGTCTCGCTTGGAATCGATGCTCTTCCATGTGTTCTCTTCCAAGAGTTCAATGACTTGAGAGGGCTTCGCGTACTTAGCAGGTGTGCGGATCGAACAATGGAATGATTTGCTTACCTTGAAATACATGTGCTCCAGTCTGCGCATAACGACCCGATTTGCAACCTCCTGCGAGACGCGGAGCTCAGGATTCTTTTGGAGGCCCTCGACGTACAATGATGCGCGCACAATGCTGCCATATAGTGAAGCCTCATCAGTCAAACGCTCCACGTACTCAGCAGTGTGAGGGTCGATAGTTTGCAGAGAACGAGTAAGTTCGTCGTCTAGACGCTCGACGGAGGAGACGACGCTACCAGGAACCTTGAAGATCTCACCAGGAGTGATAGTCGGCAGTTTGTCATCGTCCTCCCACTCCTCAGCGCCCTCGATAACAACAATGTCTTTGTTAGACTCGAGGATATCAAGTAGTTTGGAGAACTCTTGCTGAGCAAGTTTCCACTGCTCCTGAGACATCTGACTTCCTGACACGGAGGATGAATCGAACCGGGTCGAGATGAGGGTGAGGAGTACTCGGATGCGTTGATAATCAGTGACCGCCACATCGAAAAGCTTCTCCATGACCCGGGTTTGTTCGACACGGTCTGTGTTCTTCCGCCCCCGTGATTCGACGATAGTCCGCAGGTGTTTGAGAATGCTTTCGGGCGTGTATTGCATGGCCTTACCGCCGGCACCAACCATGGTGAAACCATCGTCCTCAGCGCCTTGAACAGCCTCAGCGATCTCAAGAGGGCTTCGCTTGGGCTTCTTGGGCTTGACCACTTCCTCTTCAACCTCCTCTTCTTTCATGAACTCTTCAGGGTCTGCACGATAGGACTCAATATCCTTGGTGTATTCTTTGTTGTTCTTCCGAATCTTTTGTCGCACAGCATTCAAGCCGCGTGTGTTGACTGCATTCATTTTCTTTTGCGTCCCCTTCTGCTTCTCGACGGTCTCGTTGACGAGGACCTCCATGTCCGCGATCGCTTTGATATATAGCTTTGGCGTCTTGCTATCATTCTGGCGGATCAAGTTAGGGACTTGGCGGTTTAGTTTATCGAATTCTACGTTTTAGTTTAGTATGAACAGTTGTCAAATGTTTCGCCATAAGCCGCACCAGTTGAGATGACTGCCCAGTCATTGATCTTTTCGGCATTCTCGATCAGCCTGATTGTGCCCTCTAATTCCTCGAAACGCTTGTCCTTTGCACTTTTGACCACTGGGCCAACTGATTCGGTGTCGGACTCATCAGAGCCAGAGACATCTATCATGAATCTGCTGGCACCTTTACCGCTTTCATCACTGCTGGAATCCGAATCCGAATCTTCATCCGCATCAGAATCTTCTTCAGAGTCTTCCAACTCCGACTCCTCGTCGCCAGAATCGAGGAGCTCCTCCTCTTCATCAGAACTGCTCTCCGAAGAGCTTTCGGCGCTGTGAAAAAAACGTGACATGGCGAATGAACTGACTTGTGTTGCTGTCTTGATGCGCGATGGACGGAATGGTCGCACAGTTGTTTCGGCCGCAGGTCTTGTTAAGAAATCCTGGTGGGGTTGGCGATCGCTTCGTGTGGGTTGTGCGCGACGAATTTCGAAGTCTTGGCATGAATAGTGGCAGCATTAGATCACGTGAAATTCAATTGAGTCAACTTCAAACTCAATGCTAGACCGTGAGATCAACAATCTATACACTATGTACTCGTCTGTGTGTCATATTCACTTCAAAACACTTATAGAATTGGGAAGTCAGTCCTTTTTGTTGGACCTCTCAGGCACACCTCTGCGTTTTCAAAGCAGCAAAAGGTTTTGATTCCTGTGAGAGCGTTCAAGACCAAGTCTGGCCTTTCTTCACGACTCACTTTCTGGGTCAGTCTCTATACTAAAACAGCGTTTGTGGTTCATATGGGCCTAACACCCGTCGTCCTGCTCGACTGACTCAAGGATATAATGAAAACTTCGTGCTCATTGCCAGTCATTCACTTTAACAGACACAGCGTCTTTTGGCGAGTCAACATACGTGAGTCCCATTGGATGCGTGAATTGCTGTCACCCTGGCTTGCTTAACTTGTTGTTGCTGACAGTCAAGCCTCTGGCCACTTGGTAAGTAGACGGTCAGACAGATTAAGCCATCACCATAGCCTGTCGCGCTCTCTCATGATACCAGGTGGCTTGTATGAATCTATCATACGCATGCAGGTTCGGCGTCGTGGCGTCACCAGGCTGGTACAGCTCAACACGGGCGTTTGTAAAATATTCAGTTCATCTGTGCTTGTCACTTCCAGAATTTCACTGCCATTGTCCGTTACCCATATAGCCTTCCTCCAAGGTGCGATCTTCTAGATGGCGGATAAAATCTCGATTGCTTCTTTGTTGCCCTGTACGGCTTGCCCGTCGTCTCGCGGAGGCGTTTGGATCAGGTGCACCGTCTGGGGGTGGTGGGTAATAGGCCGGGCTCGGCTGTAGCCTAATAGGCGCATTCGGGTCTAGATGGCTGATGACTCGTTGGAGGGCCGGAGGGATGCCGCTGCCACTGTTCTGTTGATCTATTGTCGATGCTCGCTGGCGGCCTGCTCTGGTTGTTGCCTGGGCATATAGGTTTGGTTGTGCATTGTATCTTTGACTCTGGCCTTGAGGCATCAGTCCCATTTGCTGGCCATAGTTTTGCTGCGATGGATATGGCGGCGGCGCTCCTTGATGTGACGGGCTATACATATTGCCGTACATGCCCTGGGTTTGAGGAGTCTGTGGGTATTGATTCATGTGTTGCATATTCGCGTAGGCAGCGCTTTGGGCTTGTGCTTGGGCTTGTGCGGCTTGCTGCGCCCGTTGCTTGCTCATGGCCTCAGCACGTTGCTGTTCCTGAACACCGGGTGCGGGTGATCGACTGGATCCGGGCTTTAACATCATGGGCGGGACGAATGGGCCAGTAAACTTTGTCTGAGTGATGAATGGGTGCAATTTGGCTTGACCTGGTGTCCATCTTTCGAGAGGGTTTAGATTGAGCAGACCTTGAGCGAAGTCGATAAATGCGGTCCTGTTCGCCATTTCTACAAATTGTTAGCCTTGTATGAAATCCTCTGTTGCCGACAAATACCTTTCTCAACCTCAGCAGGCTTCATGTTCTTCCTCGGCATAGGATAGTTTCTGATGATCTCCGGTAACGTTGTGGCAGAGAAGTACTTCTTGCTGGGCTGCTCCTTCGTCCCATGCTCCCTTGCATATTGGTCCATGCTCTTCAGTCGGTACGTTCGTCGCCCGAAATCATCCTGGACCTTTTCGAAGAAATCTCCGGACTGCTTGCCCATCTCTAACATCCACGTAGGAGGTAAGCCAAGCATTTCTGTGATCCTTGCAACTTGGTTGTATTCAGATGAGCCTGGGAAGAGTGGTAAGCCTAGGAACAACTCCACGACAATGCAGCCAAGAGACCACATATCGATTGCGGATGAGTATCTGATACGAGTCAGTTATGTCTAACAACCAGGTTGGCAGGAAACATACGGCAAGCCCAATAGTACTTCCGGCGATCGATAAAATCGAGACTGGATATATGTGTAAACAGTCTGCCTCTCGTCGCAGGCTGACCCGAAGTCGATAATCTTGATGATCGGACTCTCCAGACTACGACCGTTAGTTAGAGTAAGGTACACGAACTGGGTAGGTTTCATACTTCTTCAGAAGGATATTCTCCGGCTTGAGGTCACAATGTATCAATTTTGCCTTTCCTAGAAGAGCAAGTCCATTGATAAGCTGCTGCGCAAATACCCGGACCAGCGTAGTGCTGAGGCCCCGGAACTGGTTCTGTTTGATCAGTTCGTACAAGTTGACGCTGAGAAGTTCAAAGACAAGGCATAGATGTTGCCTATGAATGAAGGTGTCCTTGAGTCGAAGGAGATGGTGATCATCATTCTTGTCCATTTGCTTGTTCAACTGACACAGTATTAGAAATGAAGAGCCCGGACTTGATAATATAATGCAACTAACCAGATCGAGGACTGATACTTCCATCATACTCTGATTGAAGTAGGCCGTGCGATTCTTGATGACCTTTACTGCAACAACCTCTTGTGTCTTGAGGTTCTGACACTTGACGACCTGACCGAATGTACCTTGACCAAGCACGTCCAGGATAAGGTATCGATTTCTGATACACCAGTCAGCACATCTTGGTGGTGAAATGTAGCAGTCCAAATAATTACTTGTGCCCAGACTCCTCAGACCCCAGTATGTCATTGACATACAAAATGTAGTCGCTGTCTTCGTTATCATAGCCATCGTTCTTGACACCCTTGGAAGGCTTCGTCAGGACCCTTCGAGGATTTCGTGTCGACTCGTACTTGAAACCCGGATTGCATATGCGGTATGTTGCAGGGAGTTGTGTGGTCAAGGCTTGCAAAGGCTACGAGTTCGTAAGTAAACTGATATAGGATCATGCTCCATTGAGAGCACTTACACTGACAAAACCGCCCTCAGGATGCGCACGCCGGAACGCCGGCTGAGCGTTGATTTTAGGTTGAAGTTCTGCTATGTTATGGCACCGTGTGAACTTGGGAACCTGTGAACGATTGGCATGTGGCATGGTATTTGACGGCTGTGCTGTCCGCGGGGATCGGGCTTCACGGCCATAGACGGCGTTCAATTGAGCGGTCGCAGACTGAGGGTAGTAGGAGTCAGGGCTCATATTTGACTGGATAGGTGGTAATTGATTGACATGACCCCCTCGAGAGGCTGCGTGTGTCTGAGTCAGCTCTTGAAGAAGCACTATCGCTCGATATGCTTACCTGGAGGTGAATAATAGCTTTGCGGTGGAGACATGTAGGGGTTAGTTCGTGTTGGAGATTGCCGTGCTGTCTGACTCTGGGGCGTGAAGCTATTATACGTTTGTTGTCCCGCTGGTGACGCGCCTGCGTATGGCGAGGTGGGAGAAAGATTCATAGGCGAATAACGCCGAGCAGCAGCAGATTCTTCTTGCTGCACGAAGTGCTGCGAGTACCGTTGTTGATGGTTGGCCTTTGCAGGGTATTTTGGCCGGTTGTACGCATCGGCGTCCTCCATCGCAACATCTCCGTCTCCATCCCCGCTGTATTCTGTCTTCAAACCTTGTGTATCGTTTGGGGACGCGATAGCCATGCTACTTCCACGCATGTTGATCGAGGAGGAGTCGATTGGGTCTTGCTTCATAACATTGGAATCACGCACATTCTGCTGTGGAGCTGTCATATTGTGGGGTGTGTACCGCGCCTGGCGGCTTGTTGATGTCGTGTCCGAATATGCCGTCCACTGCTGGTCCATTGTAGGCACCCAAAGGGTTTCAGTTGATTGACACGACTCCTACGACTACAAGCACATCAGGAGGGAGTGCTTTGTGGCCGGTCGGTGATTATGCGCATTCCAGGTCTGAGATGTCGTCGAGGGCCAGAGGCGCCGCAGAAGTTATATGACCGTCGAGGTCACTGACAGGGCAAGCAGAGCAGGGTGCAAGTTCACTGCTTGTCGCGTAGGGAGGTATGGAATCGCGGCAGACTTGGAGTGTAGGGACGGGGTGGTATGCGGCCAGACCTGACGCAGCTGGCGGGTGGGGCACTGAAATGAGAAGCCAAGCGTTGTTGTATTGAAACGACTTCGCAAGATCTTGAGGCAGAGGCCAGGTTCAATGTGAGAAGATGGAGCAGAGAAAGTCTGCCACAACAACGCAGGACGTGCGAAGGCAGAGGGTGTTAGGATAGACGTGAAGCTGCACGCTGAGGTGATGAATGTGCTGTCCGACCGTTGCGTTGATGGGAGAGGTGAGCTCTGCACGGACGGGCCTTCACGGTTAACGAACGTTGCTGGGGCCCGACAAGCTTTCAACTCTACACATCACCACCATCACACTATAAACAAACAAACTTTAACAGGCGATCATTCACCGTTGCACCGTCTTTCACGCATCGATTCATGTTCCGCGATAAGACTGACTGAGATGCTGGACTCTCCTGTCTATCATTCTCTAGGATATAAGATATCATTCTGCACTGCTTGGACTGTGCTGCCCGACGGAGCGCCTCTCCAGCCCAAAATGCGACCTGTTAGACGCTCACACCCAAACAAGCTTTCAATAGGCCCGGGGCTGTGAGTTCAGCTCCTCAGGCCAAAACCAAAGATACCATGGAGCGCATGCCAACCCACGCTCATTACGACTGTACATGTCGGGGTCTCAAGCCGTTACTGACAATGCAGCGCGACCGGCCGTCAGTTGTGGTGCTATCCATTTTCGCAGACAGCGGTACTACAAGGTGCCTAACTCATCTGTGGAACCAACTGAAAAGGTGGCTCCTAGCGTCCAGAAAGAGGAAACGCCAATAATATTCACAGCCCATTCAAACAAAGGTCATCCCACTTTCAGGCCTTACAGCCTTTTAAAGCTTTTAACGTTAGCAGAAGCGTACTGCTCAAGGCCTCGAGAGATCAACTTACGAGGATGTTGGCCGTGTGACCAGTGCTTCTACTTGTGAAGAAGGCATATCTTCAACCCAATCTTCGATACTCAAATCTTATCAACTGTACGTACTACTCCCAGTTGTGAAGTCAGAAACACAAGGCTTGGTAGGTCATCTCCTTCCCTAATGCAAGAATTGCTACAGGGATCTTGGTGCGTATGAAACGCCGAGTCGACACTGTAGATGAACAAGATAATCAAGGAGATTTCAAGTCTCCATCACTGGTGACTTGGAAGGTAGTGCCCTTGATACATGAAGTCTGCGGGTACGTACTCTCCATCAAATTGTGCTACTTCCCCAAAATTAACACCTGCGCCAGTCGTCTCGTACCACATGTACTCCGAGTCATAGCTCGCTGGAGTCGTGTATGGGCTCAGAACGTCTCCGGACCGCGAAGAAGCGCCCGGATTGGGTGAAGTATATCCTGATCCTTGCTCGCTCGTATGCGATCTCAGAGGAATTCCTTTGACCAAGACATCCGTTGATGTCGCTATGATCTTCATTGCCTGATCTATGCAGTCTGTACTTCTACTGGATAGGCGCAGAAGCCAGTGATATTCTTCAAGCTTCTTTTTGTACATGTCTGCCTCTTCCTTGGACGACGCTGTTGCCCAGAGGAGACCGGCAAACGTAGCAATCAATGCGAAGCCGTAGTGCGATGCGAAAAACCAAAAAGAATGAAGCTGTTCGGGACGAAGATTTCTCACAAAATCTATTGACATATAAAGGCGAGCCTTGGCTGCTTTCCGACACGCCTCGACAAGTGACTGATCTTGCTCGACGCTGAGCAGCTGAACTATACGCCGATGGAGGCATATTTCCAACGCACAATAGGCTAAATGAAGGTATCCTGCTGAAGAGAGCTTCCTCGGCGCAACATTTTCGATGGCCAGTACGTCTGGTAGCGCTGAGTGCCATTGCCGGAGTGACATTTGTATGGGCTTCGCTCGCTCAAGAAACCATCGCACCCCGTCACTCGCATGAGTTTGCAGCTCAGCCGCTGACTTGATAGAGTAGAGGGTTGTCATGAGAATTGAAAGGATCTCCGATAGCCTAATCATCTCACAGAAGAGCATTCGCCCATTTTCGACTTCAGTACTGCCCTCTTCGTCGTCCTCATCTTCGGCATTTTCTGGGAAATCAGTCTCCACGACTGGTTTGACGTCCCAGTCATTTGAGTGTATATGTGTTGGGCGTCCGTGCGCGAGAGAACCCCATTTGTCCTGCATAAAAAGGGCCCAGGCCAGGCGTTTCCTGAGGCCTTTCTCCCAATCCGGTATTCTCCAGTCTGTACAATCGAGGTGTAGCCCAAGCTCCTGGCCAAGACCTATTAGTTGGGTTGTCAGAGGCCAGGAATCTTCAGCAGGCGTCTGAAGGAGTAGAAGCCCTGCTTGAATGGTGGACAGTTTCGGTCGATATATGACATCGTTCATTGTCTTTGAAGCAAGTTTTTCCAGCTCGCCAACGTCCGGCTTAGGCAACAGAGCCAATTCGGTACTGTAGGACCACCAGTTCAACGCTAATATGTATACGGCGGCTAGTAAAGGGGGCGACAATTCTCGATGGCTCCGCTTATACTTCTCCAGGTAGACCTTTTTATGCATGATCGGAAAGCTCGGATGCACAATGCGAAAGTATAGGTTGATGAGGCCTTCTCCATGAGGCGATACGATGGACTCAATGGTGTCAACGTCGTAGACTTCATCCTCGTGGTTTCTTGTACTCTCGTCACGGAAAAGGATGAATGATTGGGATCGACTGGCCCTGTATAGAGCTTCTCTTCCAATAGGCAGGTCTTCTCTCTCCGCGAAAGCATCGAGCGAAAGAAGTGTCGGCTCGTACACAGACGAGAGACCTAGCATCCGACCATGTCTGTGGCTCTGTAAGCCGAGAGTTCTCTTGAGAAGCGACGGTCCTTCCAAGTCCGCATAGTCTTGAGTGTGACCTGGCTCAGTCTCAATTTGGGTGTTGGCAGGCCCTTTACGGACGGCCAAACGCTTCTCATGCGAGCCCCGGCCAGGCTGTCTGTCAATTTCTCGGTTTGCAGAAGATGATCCACTCTGATCTTCATCCTCAGCAGTTGATGTAGCTTTACGTTTACGAGGCTGAGGTTCCTTCAGAAAGGTACATTCTTGGCGATGGAACTGACATAAGACGCAGGCTATTGCACCTTCTTCGATCTCACATCTTGACTTCCGACGCCTACATGAATCGCATGGTCTCCGAGGTCTCACTTTGGTTCCTGGAAAGATGTCGATAAGTGTTAGCACGGAGTCACCAGGCATGCCTGGTCTATGTGACATCGTGAAGCTCGGGTTTCAACTGGACTAGGGCCGATGTTAGCCGTGTAATCCGGTTCCATGGTCTCGGTTCTGTGTGTGGGTAACCAAATACGATCCATTTGCTGTTGTTGATCTTGCAATGGATGCTTGATCTAAGTGGCTTACCGGGACTGGTATAAGCTACTTACAAAAGCAACGACTTATGTCACTGTGTATCATTTGGTACCTGCATGGACGTACAGCACCAGTCGATTTCTAACTTAGGTAAGAAGTGTGTCCTGGCTTTTGACCCTGAACATGCAAATCCTCGCAAAAGAGACTTTGGATTCTTCCCTATATACTGCTTGCGGCGTAGATTTACCTGCGAAAACATATGATAGACTGTATCCCGTGTCGTCATCGCTGCGAGGGCTGAACTTCAGCCTTTCCCGCACCACGTAGCTCCGGCCGAGGGTGGATTGTGCTCTCTCGGTGGACGTTGAAGTACGAATATACCTGAATTGGGAAAAGTCGAAGTCAAATTAGTATCTTGATAGGACGCCATTGAGGCCATCACACATCAGTTCAAGCCATCTGTAGCTAGGCATCTTAGCGACGAATCACAAGCCTCGAACAGCGCAATGCCTGTTGGCCTGCAACTGGATGACTACAGCTGCATACTTAGACACCTAATAAGTGCAGCATCATGGTACCATGAAATTGATCGTGGCTTATAGTGGCATTTTAGATATCCATTCGAAGAGTCCTCATCATCTCATGCACCCATACAGGTAAGTGGCAGGAGAAGAGACGTGCGGAGCTATTGAGTTTCTAGAGTAACTCCTCCACAACTAATGACGGCTGAAGCTCACTAACCAAAACCAAGATTGGTCAAATTCATTCGACTCATCTATATTGAGGTAGGTTCCAGTAGCTCTCACTCAGCTACATCACATCTGTATGTTCATCCTCGCGCGCAAGGCAATCGCCAGCTCTCGATAACCCCGAATGCTGCATACTTGATCGATACTCGTTCGTGAGAAGAGGCCAATCACATTAATACTCCCCTTGACCGAAAATGAATAGCTGCAGCTTCCAGAAATGGCTCCAGGGAATGCCAGTCCGCGCATTGCAAAGCAGAAAGAAGCAGTAGACCCACACAGTCGATTCTAGACTCTCTAAGGAGATCAATTGAAAGCAATCAGAGCTGATAGGTCACACAGACTCGACGTATTGCAGCATTCGCGAAATTGTGCCAGCTTTATTGTACATGAAACAGAATATCAACAAACCAGCCATCGGGGCAAACGTACGGTGCATCTGACAGATAGGATTCTACGAACGGCCGGAGTATGTACATACTTACATGCATGCATGAGCTTCGTTGTTATCTTAGCGTATGATGGACTGCGAAGGATTTATCACAGTCGAAACATACTCCAGACAAGATGAAACATGCCTTGTGACATCTTGTGTTTGTTGCTGTGGACCCATGTATTCCGTCAAACGAACACTGCGATTCAAGAGGAGTCTAGTAGCTGTCTCAAGGGCTGTGAGCGCAGTATGATTCCTAATACTGTCGAGGTCGAAGCGGCTAGAATGTCGAAGCCCAAGTACGTATGTAAGTTCAGTAGGTTCTCCTGTATGAAGCTGCAATTGTATCGAAGCGATGTGTATGTCACACAAGTGCTACCTACGAGGCAACATCAGACTATCTCGATGCCAATATCCAGTGTGTCATACTCGATGCACATGACTTCTTGGTCACCCCGGATAGACTATTCAGTCCATTAGGAATTTCTTGGACTCTTTCCCTGTGGCACTTACCACAGTGCGGAATGCATCTTGTGTCTCGGTCTATCCGACAACTGAGAGCGGCTGTGTGACAATTATCTGCCCCTTATCTGGATTCATACAGATGTCTGGAAAGACTGCACTACACAAAGATGGCTGCTACATAGGTTAGAAGAGACTACTGATTGGTTAAGACTGAGTACCAATATGATCCGACCGTTCCTTTCAGTGTCGAAGATAGCGTCGAAATCATACGACTTACTGGCAACGACTGAATGATCATGCTTGAAGGTGAGAGAGAGGCATGCTAAGAATATGCAGCCTCTCTGTTACGTGTATAAGGTGTATTGCTCTACTCAAGCCTTCTAGCAGCTTTTGACGCTGGCACGGCTTTTCTATATCCTTTGAGAACAGGTAGACGCAGATTTTCTTTTGTGCCGGTCTATACATTGGTAAATCTTGGCTCTCTCCATACATACTCGTGCGTTGGGAGAGCTATCTTGTCGGAGGCGGACGGACTTCTTACGAATGAAGACTTACATTCGCCCTTCATGTCCGACCTGACAACTTCCCACCTGGTCATTCCATGGACAGCACAGTCCTTCTAGATAGATTCCTGCCACTACATCCACTTCCTCAATCCTTCCCCTCCTCAACATCATCCAGGACTTTCGCCTCCCCCTTCGGCGGCCTCTGCCCAAAAATCGTACTGCCCACCCTGACCTCCCCACTGCCCTGCCTAATCGCCTCTTCAAAATCCGCACTCATACCCATACTCAACTCGAGCTCGCCCTCTGGCACACCCAACTCCTGCGCCACACGATCCCTCGTCTCCCTCAAACACACAAAATCCGCATTCTCCTCTCCATCCTTGGCGCTCTGACTCCGCGCAATAGCCCCGATGGTCATCAATCCAAGGAGCTGCAGATGCGGACAGTTGTCACGAATGTGTCTGCAGAGCGCAGCGGTGTCGGCAGGCTCGACGCCGCTCTTGGCAGCTTCTCCAGACGTGTTCACTTGCACGTGCACGCGCAGCTTGTCGAGATCCGTCTTTTCTTTGTCCTCCTCGCCTGATTTCTCGTCCTTCTCGGACGCTAAGCGCTCTACGAGTGCCCGCCGTCCCTTTTCTAGGCCGTCGGCTTTCTTGGCGCTGTCCACGCTGCTCACACACCACAGGCTCTCTACACTTTCCGCCAGTGGCCGTGCCTTGTTGCTCTGCAGACCTCCAATGAAATGCCAGCGTATGGTTTTGGGTAGGATGTCTGCTTTCTGCTGAAGTTCTTGGAGGTAGTTTTCGCCGAAATGGAAGTGAGCAGGTGGGACGCTCGCAGGAAGAGAAGAGGGGTCGAGGGAGGCTGGGTTGTGCAGGGCGAGGATCGTGGATGCGGGATGAAGTTTGGAGACGGCTATGAGGCGAATCTATATCGGCGTTGTCAGTGAGTATAAAATGGTGGACGGTAAATGGGAGGAGCTTGAGGGTCTGAAGAAAGGTTTACCTGTCTTTGCGACTTGTTTGCCGCGGCGACTTGGTCTGCTACATATTTGAGATTTTCGAGCAGTTGGCGCGCGCGTTCGGGTTTAATGTGCATTTCTTGAGGCATGGCGTGGAGTGTGAGTTGAGGGACTCGATGATGATGACGGCGCGGGAGCTAATAGGAGATCTGCAAGGCGATCGGAACGGCGGTATCTCGGATCTTCTGGAATCAAATGCCGACGCAAGATTGGAAACGAGTGACATAACGATAGAAGTGTATTCAGCCAGCATGGAAAGTAGACCACGCTCATCCTTTTTATTCGGAATGCACCTATTCCAATGCTATGTCATAACACCTCATATACCTTCGTATAACCAGCGCTGTGCCTTTTTGATGCCCCTGAAGGTTCAATAACCAAGGCTTCCGACTACTGAGGATGCGCTTCAATACCCTGTGACAATCTTTGCTCCATTAACTTAGCCAGAGGTCCTGGTACAGCATCATCAGTCGCGCGAATAGTCAGTCGGAACATCTGTAGTGGTCAGTACGCTAGGCGTGTCATGACCATGAGCACAACTTACATTTGTTTCAAAATTGGGCTCCAGCCGCAACAAACATCCATATTTGCCTGCTGTCGTATGCAGAATAGTGGCGCCAACTAAATTCTTCTGGTTGGGATCTACGCCATCAAGAATGCCCCACCCAAAACCTTCGACCACCTTCCTGGTGAATGTCATGTTTGCAGTCCGTCTCTTATCAACGAGTCCAAATATTCGTTGCTCCTCGCGAGGTGCGCCTCCAATCTGCTTCCACCTCTTAAAGAAGTTCTCCGCGTCAAGTTTCGTATCCTCCATGTACTTGTGAATGACTACAGGAAGCTGCAAGGTTAGAGCTTGAAGAGCGCCAGCTAGGTACGAGATTCTGATAGTGGGTGGATGCTCAAAGACATTCTTCGCCTCGAACATCGTCATCTGCTGCGTTTGACCATCTGGATGAATTGTGGTTTCTGGAAGCGTTTTTGTGTCCGTCGTCAAATTCTCTGAAGACCTATTGTCTAGAGTCGTGGTGAAAGAGCCCATGGCAAAGGATGACTTGTTAGTAAAGTACATGACAATGCAGCCAAGTTCCTGCCTGTATTCGCTGCGGATGCCAACCTGTATCTGATTGTCTTCGTACAGCACGCCCTCCCTCTTCAGCAGTAGACGATTGTAGCCGATCTCCCAGTCAGGACTGAGATGGGCCGCACTGGCTAGGTTGGGTGTCACGAGCACTTTGTTAGTGTCGACGTTCATGTCCAGACCAGCCAGATCGCTGTTGCCATTCTGATGAGCACCGTTCGTACCGTTAGTTGGTTCTCTCGACGTGTTATTAGCATTGGGGGCGTGCTGTGTGAAGGACCGTTTGAGTCCAGTATGTTGCACAAGGTTGAACTCCTTTGGATCCGCATTTGCATCGCGCCCACCAACGACCCAAGTCCGCTTGTCGCTGGTATTTCCGTGCTTCTGATGTAGCCGAGACAGCAGAGCCGATGCACGTTCTGGAAAAGGAGGCATCTCATCGCAAACTGTGCGAAGTAGATCATCCGTAGGCAATGTGGCCAAAGTGAGATACTCACACGCTCGCTGCTGAAGCTCTGAATCCAGCGTCTGACTATATGCGCGGAATACTTGCAGGAGTTGGGGCTTGATTTCTGGAAACAGGTTGACAAACTTGATGAAGGAGGACAAGATGATGGCCCGCGTGCCCGAAGAGCACCCTCGAAGCTTCGCTTGCAGAGCCATGAACTGTTCAATAGGACTACAGCCTTTGCTATCCGCAATGAGATGTCCAAACTCTCCAAGCAAGTAGCCACCAATCTTTACGAGAGTTTCGTGGCAGTCCTTCTTGATGTATTGAAGTATATGCTGTGCTGCATAGACCTGCAACTCCTCATTATTGGTGACAATCTGAGTAACGCGTTGCCAGACTTCGTCGCTGACGTGGTCTCCGGCCATCGCAATAAGACGAAGCGAGATGTCCACATACCACTGTATGTCAGTTGCGTATTTCTCAGTCAAGATCGCAATCTTCAAGACCATCTCTTCTCGAATCGCATAGTCTGCGGATTGCAGATACTTTAGCAACTCTGCTACGATTGGCTGGGCGTTGGTTGCATCACACATGCTGTAGAGCAAGTCTAATCCCTGGCGACGAACACTGATATCGCGATCCCGAAGAGATCCAATGATGATGCTCTGATTCTCCTTGAGCGGCCCAAGAGTTTCAGATCGTGCAGCCAAGTGAGTCATGGCTTCTAAACCAAGATATCGCACATTTGTCTCTCTAGACTGTATAAATTTCCCAAGCTTGGACGCAACCGATGCCATCAATTCGTGCTCCGTATCGAGATGGATGATGACGTTGATGGCCTCAAATAGAACAGCATTCTGAGCGTTATTTTGCTGGACGTTCTTGGGCATTTCCATGGCAGCCGTCAAGATGGCCTGCAGCGATTCTCGAATTAGGTTGCGAATATGTGTGTCCTCTGGTCTTGTCAATGGAAATCGCACATATGTGGAGGAATGTCTTACGGGATGGTGGATAGTACTGCAATATCTTCAAGAGCTTTACCTGTATCCATGGGCACGGCACTTTGTAGTACAGATAGTCTGCAGAGCATTCGTTGTCCACCACTATAGCTTTAAGTCTTCGAGCAGCCTTTACATAGCTTCCTTTGTATTGGTCTGGGCTCTCCTGTAGCAGAGCCATGACGAGAGATGTGACCGACAGCGCCACTCCCATATCCGGGTCGTCCATCAATGAGATGATGCGCTCTGCCCATTCGAGCTGTACGATTGCAGGGTATTTGCGGAACAGTCGTAGCAATGTTAAGGCCGCCTTTTTCTTTACAAACGCCTTCGACGTCCTGTACCTGGAATCAGCATTCTAGATCTTGTGATGGTGTCCGTATGACCTACGGTGATATTAATAGTCGATGGACGTCCGCACTCAACGACTCTCCCATTTCTTTGCCGCCAACGTTCGCGATCGCATGCAGCGCTAGACAATTGTTAAGCTCATTATGATCCATCAAGTCCTTCCGTATACTATTGACGACCAGATGTAACAGCTCGTGTTGTTCGTGAAGGAACAGAGTAACAGCGAGATACCCAATCTGTTTTTCAGAGTATTTCGTCGCAGAAATTAGATTTACGGCTTCGAGATGGCCAAAGTCGACATTCCAGCCAAGGATATATATGTATAAAAGCTGAGATGTTAGCATGACGACCTGAATAGTACTGGTACCGGAGGTCGCACCTTGCAAACGTATTTCTTCCTGGAGTAGCCATTCATATTCCCATCTGCGTACATAGTCAAAACGAGCCCAGCTGAGATGGTGTCCAGAATCTGTACCTCGAAACTTTTGCCTATGTCGCTCGTCAGCACCATTCTTCGACGAGCGCAATGAAGAGCTTACCGTATATTTGCCAACTCCTTATTGATTCGTTTCTCCTCCAGTTCTCTTGCTCTGGCATTTCGTAAATCTGCAATGAATGACACCAATCCTATCCTACTGTCAATTTCAACTCTAATCCTAGGATATTTTCTGGTTCGCCGTACCGCGCATGGTAGGTACATTGCCTTGGTTGGAATTGCGGCTGAATATGCTGCCAGTCGCGGACGCCATCCTGAGTTTTGAGAGAGCCCAGGGCGCACCCTCGTCTTATTGGGTATATGTACTGCTGGTCTCGACAGAAATGTTGAGGTAGACCCTCTAGTGGCGGACAGGGACCATGTCTTGGGCCTTTTGACTCGACGCAGCTCGGCTGTTTGCCAGGCAGGAGGTGGAGGGTAGCGGGAGAGTTGCAGGATGGATCGGGTCGTCGGCGACACACAATGGCGGGGTGTTCGTATGTTGGAGGTGTATGAAGAGTTGGTGGTATTAGGAGGGAGTCCGACGACTGTATGGATGCAGTATAGACGAATGTTCCAGAGGTGCCTGCGGTCTCTGCCCTGCGTCTGTCGCGCAAGCGCGGCCACTGCGGTGAAAGGTCTTGGCAAGGAGGGACCTCACTCCCCCTGGCCTTGTGGTCTACTACTCACGACACCAAAAATCAATGGATCCAACAATCAGCAGCATATTTCGAGTGTTCATTTGCTCATACATCAGACAGCAGAATCCAGCAAGAACATGTGTGACAGAGCCTTGAGGTCGGTCTGCCTATCTTCAAGAGAAATGTCGCCGTCTACCCGTCTCCACCATTAGTTGCGATATCGTACTCTTCTCCATTGAACGGTTCATTTATTTCGGAAAGCCAACTAGATTGAGAATACTGAGACTTCAAGCGGCGCATTGCCCTGCAGCAGGAACCTTGTCTGCATGCAACGGGTCCGGCAATGAGCTGGCTTGTTTCATGCAAAACCATACTCGTCGATCTTGTTGGCTACTGCCAGAGAACGTTCACATGGTTCGAGCATAGGAACAAGTGCATTGCGACAGGATTCTCAGTATTAGTATTCTGACGGAACCCTTGCGAAGCAGATTCTGGAAAGGACAATCTTCCGCAAGGCCATCCTCGGGCGCTGTGCTATTCGAAAACACTAGTTGCTCAATTGAATTCTTCAAATACGATGAATATCGACCACAAGATTAACCAGCTCGGCATATTGGTCTACAACAAACAATAACAGCAAGCTGGTTATGCACTCTGTCCTAACTCACTAGTCCAGAACAGGCAAGGCTATATTTAGGACTACCCCGGATCTAGCCCGTACCATAGCTTTTGGTACAAGCTCGATCGACTCTTCCGATTCTCCCTTTCCAGGCAGGTATCGATCGCCGAAACTCAACCACATCTCGATCCGTCCTAGAAAGCAGTCAACAACTCATGAAAGCTCCACTGTTATGCAACACCAGTATTTGTGACAGTATGGCGGTCTGCCATCGCCAACGAAGAGCAGGACTGTGCTTTGGCGTTTGATCCAGCCTAAAATGGGCACGCGCGCGGATAAAGTGGTAAGGATTGATGAAAATGCCACCATAGCGTTTTCACTGAGACATTAATGGCAATAATGATCGCACAATGCCCTATATATAATACCACCGCCTCGTACGCCCACCGTAAGTCCTCGGCTCACTTCTTCCTCAGACGTCGGATCGGCGTACGGGACTTTTCGACTTTGACAGCCAAACGTGGCTACAACCGCACACAATACCAGCGATATGTCGAAATCTTCACCCATCAGATTTTTCGTCGCTTTACTTGCTCTCGTCCAGGTTGCATGCTGTCTGCTCAATATCATGAACCTTTTCGCTCCACCAGCCGCAAAGGCATTGCTGTCAAAAGTAGCTACCATCAAATGGCCGCTGTCCTTTGATTATGCCGTGCGAGACACGCCCCTCACCTGAGACATCAGCCACCTTTGTCAAGCGATGCTGTGTTTCATGCTCTGTCTTGCATGCGCCGGAATGCAAGCCATTCATTCCAGACCAACTCACACAACGGCCAAGAACCTCACATTCGTCCGCAAATGCTAGCACGAGCAATGATATCAACTGCTGCCACAATGCAGGAGGCACGGCAACTCGAGTGCTACTCATGAGAAACGATTTGGGCCCTGCCTTGGCTTCAACATCCTACGAGCAAATCTATCGACTCGACCTTGAAGACCTAGCCTCCGAGCATGGAATGCTACTGGGCTTAGAGGTTTGCTGGTTCGTCGGAGCCAACAGTCCGGATATAAGCGGTCACTGCTTGGATATGTCGCGAGAGAAACAAATTGTGCAAATGTACTTTGCATCAGAGACGCTTCGTCCAAGAAATCACGGAAGTGGGCAAGGGGGTTTGCGTTTGAGAGCAGGAAACAACATCTCTATATGTCTGACATGACCAGGACTTATATGTGTATATATTCAAGCGTAAACAAAAGACATAACCACTATGCGCCACCTATTTGCTGCGTGTCTAGAACTAAGCCAAAAAACTGTGTATCGTCGCACCAAACACCGTAGTCCCAACACGACAAAATGCCCCCAACTCCCCAGCTCTTTCCATCTACCATCCAAACTTCTCGACGCAAACCCTCACATCCCTCCCCATCCCCACCATCCCCGCACACGCATTGCGTACATCGCGATTCATCCCGTCCGGGCCGCTCACAACAACTCCCGTCCTTCCGTCCTCCTGTGCTACCCAGTGGCCCACTATCCCCACTACATCAGGCCGTCCCGCCCGTTCCGTAGCCGCCGGAACAGCAACCTCCAATCCCCACGCCACAAGCTCCTCCATCTTCTCCTTCGGCAGCCACTCCGCATGCTTCTCGGAATGGACAACCCAGAGCAACCTCACACGCCGTCGCCTATTCTCTCCATTGCTGCCCGACAAAGCGAGCACATTCTCGGCATCGCAATGCCGTGGATGTAGCAGCGCATACAAGAGCGGGTACGCAACTGCAATGCCCGAGCCGCCTACCACCAAGATCGCGGAATCCGCGCTCTCGAGTACGTCTAGCGCGTGCGGACTCCCGTACGGCCCGTCGACGCGCATGCGGACGCTGGAATGGGTGCGTGCGTAGGCAAGAAGGGACGCGCTAAAGCCGGCTCGAGCGCGGACGAGGAGCGTCAGCCATGCGTGCGACGATGCGGTGGTAGAGGTGCTTGTGGGCGCGGCTGAGAAGATTGTGAATGGGTGTGCTTGTAGGGCGGCGGAGCGTGAGAGCGCGGGGATGGTCACGAAGACATGATCGGTAGGAGCCCAGCCATGAGAGATGTTTGCGTGGAGGAAGGGCGTGGTTGGGGGTAGATGCCAGTTTGCGGAGATGAGGAGGGTGTGTACGTCGGGGAGGATGGTGAGGGATGCAGTGATGGTTGTGCGTTTGAGCGTAAGACGAAACAGGATGCGATCCGTGAGGAATATGAGCACAGAAGCGAGGACGTAGATCTGCGCCGTGGGGAAATGGAAGTATGCGAATAGAAGTGCGAGGGCTTGGAAGACGATGTGCGAGGCGAGGAAAAGCTCGTACCAGCGTTGTCGGAACGAGCTTAGGGATGTAACGTACAGCGTTTCGTATGATATAAACGCGCCGAGGCCGAGGATGACGAGATTTGTGCTTATGAAGCGCAATAAAGTGAATCCTTCGGGTCGTAGGTCGATATACCAGACGATGATCATGCCGAGGAAATGCAGAAGCGCGGTCAGACACATGAGTTCGCCGAGACGACGGTGCCAGATGTTGAGAGATTCATAAGAGATCCCAGTGAGCCAGCGAATCGGCTGGTTTTTGGCGCCAAACAGGTAGAGGAAAGGGAGGTTGGCAACGAAGATAAGACCCAGGCGGTCGGCGAAGACAAAAAAGAGGTCGAGGCGGAAGGGGATGCGATACACGGCGTAGAAGATGTTGATGGCTAGGAAAAGAATTATAGCAAGAGACGTAAGGTTTGAGGGGAGAACCTTGTCAAAGTAGGGGATGTTGGCAGGTTGATACATCGCCCAGGCTTTGATCTTGTTCTTGATTCTTGGCTTCTTTGTTGCTGATATTCCTAATAGAGGTTTCCTTTCGTTGTCGTGGCTGTCCATTTCATATGGCGAAGTCTCTATTCCTACGACTGTACTACTCCCTGAGGTCATTCCATCGTCTCTTTCCGTCAGCAATTCTGTGTCCACGGTCTGCGGTCTCGAGTCTTTCTCTTTATTGTCCCCCTTTCGCCACCTCCTGCTTCTCCTCTGCCATACATCTACTCCGTTCCAAATTGTGAATCCAGCTAGTATCATCAATAGCACTCCATTATAGCTTGGTACAAATCTCCGAGAGAACAGTATACCATTCACTAACTCTTTGAATTTCTCAGGGTCCTGGGGTGCCTTGCCGAAGCCTAGGGTTCCGACAGCACCACCGGTTATCTTTCGAGAGTGTATAAGGCGTGTACGAATGGCAGCGACGAGCCAGCCGTCATCTGCGCTTATGGCTGTCGCCATGTATGTCGTCGTCTCGGATATATAGGTGTTGATGGTGGTACAGGTTCGAGATCCGAAAGATCTTATCAGATCAGATGAGATAGCGCGGGGACGGACACGGCACGTGGGTTCGGGTGGGTCTGCGAGTCATGCTCGCTCTTTACATGAATCATATTGATCGCTTTTGCGTTTTAGCTGCTAGTTAGCTGCTAGTTAGCTGCCTAAATATGGTCAACGTCGATGCTAGTATATGGAATTAGTTCTGTGACAAAGAACACAGCCTGAGTTCACGTGGTCTTCCCGGTTTCTGATCATCTTTCAGTTCCATGTATGATTCCTAATTCACCAAAAAAATTCGTCTTATAGTAGACTTCACACCGTTCCGCAAAAAATCGTTGAGTTGAGGCTCTCTCACCCAATGACCCACTGAAGTAGCATGCAGTACTCGATGTGCAAACGAGCAGGACCGAATTGACAGAGCAAGTGTCTACACGTCCACCAGACTTCCAACAGGATCTACCAACCCCGGACATCTTCATGGTCATCACACATCCTTTAAATCTCCAATTGCGAGCAGTGAAGAACTACATAGCTCTAGGATACGAACAGTGGCGCAAATCCATCCCGACATTGTTGTCAAGGCTGGTCTATATCTAGACCTGGACGATGTGCCCATGATCGAGCACATCAATCATGTTTCAAAGCACTTTCCTCTACCTTTAGGATCACTAACCTTCATGGGCAAGACATATATATTTATATTCATGACGCGCATCATTGGATCCTCCTTAGAAGAGCTGTAGCATTCTCTCTCGGCAGACCAAAAATCTCTGTGCGCGATCAGCTTGATGTCATACTCCTGGAGCCTAGAGCCTTACCACCACCTCCTACGCAGCTTGGCGGGGACGCACCTCCGAGGTGCAGAAGAAAGCTACGGACTAGTATTATGCTGATCAATAATGAGGCTGGGTACAATGGCTTTCTTCCATCGACGATACGTTCAAGAATCACGTAAAGGTCTAAGGAAATTCATATTAACAAAGTGTCTATGCTCAGATTATCGTGTCATCATGACGCATGGTGACTTCCACCCGAGGAACATCGTAGCAAAGCTTCATGAAGAGCGCGTTACGATAAAGGGTAGGGTTGACTTGGACAGTGATGGCTCGTACACGCAGTACTGGGAGTACTTGAAATTCCTATATACTATGCCCTCTGTTGGGGAGGATGATTGGTGGTATTATTTGCCAGTATTGGGGTTGGGAGAGAATCATAACGAATGGGCCGTGGTCATGGTGCTCGAGAGTATTATTGAATGAATCCTGATGACCTCTCATTCCACAGCGCAAGTCTCCCCTCGACTCGTTAAACTACTCATTATATCTAGCTTCGAGGAAGTTTTTGATCTGTTGATGGTCGTGGTCATCGATGATGCCGTCAGCATTCGCGGCATCGAGTACTTCGAAAACATATGCCTGACAATCCCAGGCTGCGCTGTCTGTGTGTGGCTTACAGCTTCGAGCATTCTGAGTAAATCCTTCGACATCGTCGATCTGAGTCACAAAGACATCCGTTATGTGGCGACTGGAGTGCTCCGGTGGTTCATTATCCCATTCTGCGAGTTTGTAAACTCCAGAATCTCCCTCAGCTTCGAAAACTCGCGATCAGTCGGGACCTTTCAGCTTGATAGCCCAATGGTGGACATTCCCGTCCTTTGGCTTGTATATAGCGACAAACACTTCTGTCATCTACCATGTCCGTCAGTTTATCACTAGCATCATCCGGAGCGAGAGCACTTACAATGAAAAATCGTGGACGTGTAAGGGTAGGTCGAACCCTTTTTTTTCTGTTTAAGAAGACACGCGTGGTTACTAGTGCTAAGAGTGATAGAAATTAGGCAGCCAACTGATTGCGCCGGCTTGGCGCTTCCGCGCCTTCATTCCAGAAGGTCATGACTAGTAGTAAAACCTGACAGCCTTGTTTGTCTATAAATCTGGTCAGGAATTCTTCTCGCAAGTGTGCGTTGGCAAGTGCGTATTAAACAATCGGGTCAAGACATGTTCATCATTCTTGACATTGTAAAGCCCACACACAACGCCATCCAGGCACCAGAGTCAATATGTCTCACATACAATCTTGACATTCTTTGGGTTTTGTAGTACAACATATAAGCTTGGCCATAGTCTTCTCAGCTATCAATATCAACATCTCCGACTTTCATAAACTTCAGTGTTGTACCATAGTCGCGCCACCGAATCTACCCTCAAAAATGTCTGACAGTGATTCCTCCAGTATTGAGGAAGCCGTTGTTGGTATTGTATTAACTGCTACTTCAGCACCCAATTATTCCTTGGCAGTGAAGTCTGGCCAATCCGCAAAAGCTGACAGAGAAGCAAAAAAGGTAGCAAAGGAACAAGAAGCTAAGAAAGCAGAAGAAGCCAAGAAAGCAGAAGAAGCCAAGAAAGCAGAAGAAGCCAAGAAAGCAGAAGAAGCCAAGAAAGCAGAAGAAGCCAAGAAAGCAGAGGAGGCTAAGAAAGGGGAGGAGATCAAGAAAGAGGGCACCGACAAATAGTGGACTGCTCAATGGCAAGTGTAATGGCCACACGGCACGACACATACATTCGGAACGATCTCCTTACTCTTGCTTCACAATCCCTATCTTTCCGTCCGGTTGTTCGCTGCACGGCTCTTCCTTGCCAAACGCACGGCGGAGCTCCAAATCATACTGCTTCTGGTCATTGACTTTCTGTTCGACCACCATCCCGGAATCTTCTCTCCAGAATCTCGACAGCACTTTTTCGCATTCGGGCGACAAGTAGGGGGAGAATCGAGGGCAGATATGCTCTTCAATAACGAAAAGTATAGCGTTGAAAGACTCCAAAGAATACCAAAACCACACTCCTCTTGACTCCCACATTTTATTCATAATCCTGGCAAGTGAAAAGTTGCGCTCCGATGCCATTCCACGCTCCTCTTCTTCAAACATATGCATAAATTCTTGGCGAACCCTGTTGAATTCATCGAAATGTTCGTTTCGTAGTTCGTCAATGCAACGTCCGGTGAGCCAGTAAGGGACGGCAAGCATCTCTACTGGTAGAGCACATACCCATTCTAAATCAATGAGACACGTGATGTTCCATTCTTCATCAACAAAGATGTTGCTCGCGTGGAAATCGGTAAATTGGAGAATGAATGGGCCATTACGGCGCTCACGTCTGATGTAATGATGCGATAGTGCACGGAGTAACGTTCTGATAGACATCTGGCTGCGGCAGTCTTCAGCGCTATAGACAGCATTAGGGTTACTAACAAGATATTCATCATGCATGGAAATCATATCAGATACGAATGGCTCCGTTTGCAGATACGTGTCGTTTTGTTGTATTATTCTTGGTACGCCATCGTTCTCTAACATCATGGTCGCGCAAGTAAGTGGACGATTCAATAATGTTATAGTGCAATCATGATTAAATCGGAAAGCGCCTATTCTAGGCTGAGGTATGCGGGCAAGAGAGAGCATGAGGTGCGCTATGCCTTTTTCTAGCCTTTTTCGACGGTCTGGATCTTCTCGCCACATCTCCCATGTATTAGAAAGCACCTGGCCCGTTTCGGGTTTGATATATTCGAGTAACATGTAGGCAGTAGGTAGGTTATGGACGATTGAGATCGGGGTGTACTTCGAGAGCTCTGGATAGCAAAAGACACGGTAGATAGAGCGCCAGAACAGACATCTAAGGCGAACGTAGAACGGGCGTTTCTCCTCACGTGTATACTATACGCTTTTTAGCAGGTAATTGACAAAGTCAAAGCACCACCTACATGACGCTGGTCCAAGGACCCAAAGCCATGTAGGAACGGGATGCGGATATCAGAGCATTTCTTCTGCATCCAGACATATGTGCCCACTTCGCAGCTGAGTTTTTCGTCCACTGTACCAGGATACCTCTCTTCAGCAAGCTTGTGTGGCATTGGGCAGCGCAGGACAAACTTCTTCCCTATACCACGAGATGTCACCTCTACTAGCACACAGATGTTGAAGCTGCCTTGGATCCATAGTTGCGGTGGAAGGACTACGCAGGTGTCGTTCCGACTAATTTGAAGGTGGTGTCTAGTGAGAGCGCAGATAGTGTCTCTACAGTCCCATAGTTTTTGGTAGAGGTCCCTTGTCGCCCGGACATCCGCTATCTGATGGAGGATGTTTCTTTCTTTCTTCGAGGCCGAGGTATACGTGCTAGGAGCGCGGTCAAGGTATTCGACACCGTCGAGCATGGTGATGGTTGATGGAAATGCACGGATGACTGGCATAGGTGTTGCAATGCAACCCCTGACTCCACCCAGCCTGAAACCCCTTGATCCGTGCGCTGAAACAGCCCACAGTAGTTCAGCCTGAGCCGAGGAGCTAAGCATGTCTTCCAGATTAGGGAAACATTCCAGAACACCAATGCATGGATGTTTACAACATCGAGCTCCGACATCATTAAAAGCACAATGATGACGACAGTGACCACAATGACCACAATGACCACAATTACCACAATTACCACAATGACCACAGTGACCACAATGCCGTAAACAGATATTCATCATTAAGATCGTTCACATTAATTATCTGCAATTACACACAAGTAGAACCTAGCCCGAAATATGCAGGCCCAAATTGCCACCCAACAAAACTTTGATCGCTGCAATCAGCTCCTTGCCAATGGCAATCCCGGTGCCAAAGTCCGGCACAGTGATCGCGACAGGAATCATCACGCACTTCTTCAACGTAACTGGCTTCCCGTTCAGCCTATCTGAAATCCAATTCAGCGCACTCGCACTTCCCGTGATCGCCTCGCTGATGTGCTCGCCGATGATATTCTTCCGGTACTCGATGATGGCGCCCTTCCCACACAGAGTGTCGACCAGTTTGTCCGTATCCGCCACAGGACTGATCTCGTCCGCAGCAGCCTTGTACACATACATCGGCATCGTCGGAGTCCCGTGAACACCCATGAGTCCCGCCGAGCCCAAAACACTGCTGGGCACCGGGTCCTTGGACAGCTCCTTGCCGCCATCAAAGTATGTGAACAAATCCTTGTTCCCACCGGCACTGGCCGTCTGCTGGAGGCAGCCATTCGCAATCTTGAAGAACTCCTCCTTCTTCTCCGCAATCAGGTGCTGGTTCGCGTACTCGGTCAGGTTCGGGAACGCCTTGATGAAGCCGTATATGCCACTGAACGCCAGCCCCGCGAAGAAGCCCTTGTTGATCGTCTCAAGAACAGACTGGATGTCGGGCACCAGCCCGCCCAGCGCGACGCCCTGGAACTTGAGCTCTGGCGCATACTGTGGCTGCAGCTCCGCCGCCCACTCGCTGGCCAGCGATCCGCCCGAGTAGCCCCACATTGCGTATCGCGCGTTGCTGGCTAGGCCGGCGGATTTGGGCGCTTCGTTGAGGGCGGCGCGCACGCTGTCGAGGGTTGCGTAGCCGGCGGCTGTCCCGACGGTGTAGACGGCGTTGAGTCCTTCATAGTCTGACGACACGACGTACCAGCCCTGGTCCAGCGCGGCGGCGATCATGATGATGTCGGCGAGGGCGGTGGTGTTGGCGCCGCTCTGGATGGCATAGCTGGGGCTGCAGTCGTTCTTTGCCGAGTCGTAGGCCTGCTGGTATGCGAGGAGCTTAGTTGGGTCTGCTTTGAAGGGCTTGAGCAGGGTGGTTACTGCGGCAGCTGGGTTACCGAGGGCGTCGGTGGTGCGGTAGAGGTACTGGTATACGGCCTCGACTTTCTCGTTGCCGCCCAGGTTTGGCATCAGACCAGACAGGTTGGGGGGCACTTGACGTTTATCAATGACGGTGCCGGGGCTGTATGATGCAATGTTGGGGGGAGTTCGATAGAAGGGGTCCTGCGACGGGATGGTGACGCGGCTAAGGAGGGCTGCCGCGGAGGAGAGCGTGATGCCCGAGAGGAGCGTGAGTGTCGTGGTGAGCTTCATGATGGCGATAAGGGGCACTCCAGAGAACCAGCTGAGAGAGACAGAGAGAGAGAGGTATGGGGTTGCAGACAAAGAGCTCGCTGAACAAAAGGAAAAATTGTGAAGGCATCAAGCCCCTATATATATATAAATCCTCAACGATAGCCCAAACCAAGACGCCATCGTCCCGATCTTTCGTTTCGTTTTCGTTACGATCCCACGGATATCCCAAAAAAAGACGAGACGCAGCCCTAAACTAGCCCAGACTACTCACCTGCACTCCGGAAGACCCTCACCCTCGAATCTAAAAGGGGTGTTTACCCCAGAGTGGGCTTAGCGCTGATTCAACGCCAGTAAAACATGGCCAATCACAGGCCGGTAATACTGTCCACGCCCCACACCCCCCTTGCCACCAGTGGTGTCGTGCCGGCGCCCTAACGGTCTCATCGATGGTTCGGCGCTCCATACGGCTTAGCCGATCCATCTCCGATCAAGTCCGGAGAACCAAACATGGCCCTCGGATCACGCAGCTGTCGTGGCTCGTTTTGTCGTGCATTTGTTGATGTAGCCCTCTATGCACGATGCGCCCAGTGGAGAATCCGGGGTGCGTTTTCGCGGGGAGCCCGTTCGTTTGTGGAGAGAGCCCAGGGTCACCGCTTGGCCGAGGCGGGGATGCGGTCACATGTGGGCTTTTCCTCTCCCTTTTCTTTTCGATTTTGCGGAGGAGGGGCGTGACGATATCGAACAAGCAGTGTTCGTAGCCGGAGTTGAGCGGGGCTGGGTGTCGTGATGTTAGGCTTGGGCGCGGAGAGGGGTCGAGGAGGCAATGTTGATACGATGGCCTTGGAAGTCCGGGGACATTGCTGTGATTTGATTATAATAATGATCTTCAGGCAGGTTTATTGGGTGTAAGTGCGTGCGTCGTGCTCGTCATGGTGTCGTCAGATGCTCGGACATTGTGCGCGAGAAATAAAAGAGAGAGATTATGTATTTGCCGCCTGCGGTCTAACTGTGTATGATGTCCAACGCGCGACTCGGCATAATTCATCAGTGCAGTGAACAGACAGCAAAACAGAAATATGCTGATTGCGGAGAAACGCGCTCGCTCGCTTGCAATAACGCTTGCAGAAACCATGCTGATGCCATATGTCCGCGTTTTCAGATGAAACAGAATAGAAGAAGCGCCTTACTATGCGAGCCGAACGAATGTAGCGGACAAAGGAAACATACGTGCTCATCACAGGACCTGCCTGGTTAGTCCACTCAAGCACTTTCGATCTGCACCCGCTGGCTTTTCCTGTGCTCGGGAACTTCTCCCAGCTGCACTACAGTCGGCACCATAGCCTTGCGCTCGCCGAATCTCTCCAGTCCGTCTTTGTCTGCGCACAGTCCCATGCTATCCTTTCTGCTCCCAGTGGGGCCTCTGGACCTCGTCAGGCTCACGCTCCGCGCAATGCCAACCTGTACCGTGCCATTCCTCATACGACTGGGCTCTAGCGTCTTCGGTAGACGGCAAAGTGCTTCTGCGGTTGGCGGAGAAGTGGGCCTGGACGATTTGCGGGGCGGAAGCGGAGAGCGCTTGCTGGTCTGTCCTTTTGGAGGGGACAAAGTTGGAGGAGATGATATAAGAGCTGGAGATGCGTGTGTGGTAGTCACATGGTCTTGTTTGACAATACCTTGTGACAACTCTTCGGATGGTTCCTCGGTCAAGCAAGTAATGTGGCGTGAATTGGCGGCATCGTCGATTGCAGACGCTTCTTGGGAGAGAGGAGTTTCGTTGATAGCAGGGTACTGAGGCGAGCCAGAACTAGGCGAAGTGGTGGTTTTATTGAACCTATCTGGCTTCAGAGATGAGAAAAATGCCCGAGCTGGTGATTGGACAGGTTCTGTTTGCGAGCGGAGTAGTGGACGACGTATCTCGGTGTCCTGTGGGATTGGTGACGGAGCTCGTGAAGCTCGAGTATCAGGTGGTGGAAATAAGGAAACTGCAAAAGAGGGTGAATTGTATGATGGAGAACTTGCACGGCGCAATGGCTTCAGGTGAGTCCGGTTGGCTGATTGAGTCTGTGGTGGTCAGCTAAGAATTGCAGATACGATCAGCTCTATGATACGGACATTGACTGTGAACTCATCGAGTGGTCTCGATGTATGGCCATTACTATTTTGCCGCCTTGAGAGGAGCGAAGAAGACTCGTCCGGTCTCAGCAAGTGCCCAAACATAACACTGTACCGTTCCATCTGCGACTCGGGTATATCGATGTCCAGCATCAACCCCGAGGACTTCGGCTTTATCGATGTCGAGACCGGGATAGATGTCGCGTCCGGAGCATCGATAGTGACGGCCGGAATTCGTGAACCATTACCCTTTGGTGGTGGCGCCGGATTCGGCTCTTCGTTATAACGATCTGATGATGATTTCTGTTTCTTCATGGACTGCGATGGTTTTACCGTCCTGCTCTTGGTAGGCTCACTCTCTCCTCTCCTCCGTGGACTCGGCCTCTTCCTATCCTCCTCTGACACCAGCGGTGACCCCTGCTTCGGTACCAATACGTGTCGCGGTTGGTCCGGATATGTGCGATAGTCCAACGGCGTCGGCACACGTTGTATCTGCACCTGGTAGAAAGGCTTGCTTGGCAGAGTCCCAGCCTGTTTCTTTCCGAAAATTGATCTCCAGCGACTGAGCTTCTGATCTGGCTTTTTATCGCCGTGATCGCTGGTGTTGGTTGATGATGGGGCTGGGCTTGCAGTTCTCGAGTCGCAGGACGATTCAGGACGATTCCAAGCGACTGCTTGGGATGGGCTCCCCAGCGCCATACCTATTGTGGGATCGTCGTATACCTCCGCAGTATAGTACACACTCGTCGAGACAGGTATCGAGTCGGCTGAAGGCTTCTCCGGATTCGCAGTTCGAGGCTCATCCGATCGCCGGACGGTTCTCAGAGATCTCGACTTCCTGAGACCAGCACGTTGGGGAACACTAGCCGTGGCATCTTGCGATGCCGTCGGCCTAAGAATGTATAGTTCATTGCGTGATGCTGCCTCGGCTCCGGTGACAGCGGATTGTGACACGTCATTTCCACACCGAGCGTCCTTCTGCGACTCCCGGAGTCTCAAAGATCTGGATCGTCCGAGGATTGGCATCGTGTACTATGATGAGCCGTGAATGGAAATGACCGGACAACGCAATGCGTTACGGAAGAACTGCCACACAAAAGACGATATCGAAGAGAAAGTGTGTCGAGGCAGCGAGGATCAGAGAAGAAAAGACAGGCCAACCCAACAGGACCCCCGCTACAGATTAATCATGGCCAGATTAATCATGGCCAGATTAATTACTGACCCCGACAAATGAAGGGAAATTGAAGCCCTGCAAAAGGGTACAAGGAACACTTTAGCCTTGCTACCCATGTCGTAAGTTGAGGAATGCCAGCACGAGCCAGTAAAAGCGCTTGAAACACACTATTGCATGCATGAAATTCAGTCGACGTCGAATCATATTAATAGGTATTGCAGAATACAGGGAGCGCCCTAGAATAAGGTAGGGCACTTGTCAACGACAGATCCCAGCGTGCGAATGTCTCACGGCGTCATTTGCAACACGGTTGGTGTTTCATCTTCAGCGCCACCACCAACCACTACGCCCTGTCATGCATGTGCCAATCTCCCGTCCCGAAATGCAGCCGTTCCTATATGATGATGATGACAATGGTGTATCTGCCGGATAACAGCGGGAGGGCTGCACAGGGCTGTGGAGAGAGACTACAGAAGCATGTATGTCGGCGTGAGATGGTTTGATGGGAAAACAGTAAAGAAGAAAATTGGAATGGATATATATGCTATCTATAGAACGACGGCCCCACATGGGCCAATCAGCCGCCTACCACGTGACCGCATTTCCGTTGTGGCGGCGCATTGACTATATCAGAATTTCAGAAACAGCCACAGTCCTCTCTGTTATTTCCCAAAAGCGACAACAGTACACAATACACTTTGTTGCTTGCTTTCCATCTTAATCCATCTGGATCTTAAACTTCCATGCCACGTCAGATCATCACGGCCCACAGTTGACGAGCCGAACCGTCTTTCTCCAAACGTCGCACACAGCATACTTCGGTTTCGAAACTCCACTTGGTGTCCACCAGAACTCATGCATTAGCTTCCTGTGCCTTGCCTCCGGCACACTCGATAGTGCGGCTGGGGCGTCAGTACATGAGCACCATAGAAGGGGGATTGCCCTACTCTTTACAGGCGGTAGCAGATATTATGCGCAATTGAAGGCAAACGAGCGCGTAGCTCAGCTCCTCGGAGGCGTAACAGACCATGACAGCCAGAACAAGGACCTTGCTCCTGGTCTATGTGGCAGAAACATATCTGCCCCATTTTCCCCTTGACTCCTCCTTTATCCGTTGCGTAGGCATGGCTGATATCGATACAACCGAGGTGTAGAAGCTTTGATGTTGTCTCGAAGATCAGGTCCCATTGATCACGTTCGAGCCAGCCTTTCACACGGATGTAGCGCAAATCAGGATGCGACATGAGTCTCACTGCTACATCCAAGTTTGCCGCAAAGTATTCTGGCGGAAAACACATCCCGAGGCGAAACAATCCTTTCGGTGCGTTTTGCGTTCCCAGCACTTCATACAACTGCTGTCTTGATGTAAGATTCTCCATGTTTCTATTACCAATGTCGAGTTCTTTCAGGTTTCTTGCGTTCATAATAAGGTCTAGGCCCACTCTGACCCCTTCTCTAAAGAAACCCCATCCGAGTACGAGAGTTGTCAGATATTTGCCCCACGTATGGAGGAACGTTGGCGACCTGTACAGAGACAAGTGTAAATGATGCGTCACCAACTTGCAACTTCGGACCCCCTCTTCCAGATCAACATGTGTGAAAGGAACACCATTGAGCGCAACCATTCCCAAGACAACAGCCCATTGATCTGTGCACGTGAAGCATCGCTCGGATATAGCTGCTTTGGTATCGTAATGACTGAGTCGATCGACCTTTTTGCAATTCACCAGGCGTTCCTTGATAAGCGAGAAGAGATCTGTAAACCGAGTAGAGGTCAGGTCGAGCCGTCCAGACGAGTCGCGGGCCCAGATCAATCGACTGGCCTCGTTCTCAACCCGGCTCCCATGGGTTAGTAGAAGCCTCTGGACAGAGAAGCGCAGCTTTTCATGGTGTGCAACACGACAAAGACGGTCAGTTTTCTTGGTCGAGAAGTCTAGCTGGAAAGTACCAAAATACCGCTGGCCAAACGCGTCCCAAGAAGCATCGTGCAGGGCAGAGCAGGTAAGTCGTACATTCTTAATGTCCTTTTTCGAATCGTTCTTCCCATCGTCTAGGAGACTCATCGTATGGATAAGTAACTCCAGTGGAAAGTGCAACAATAAAGTGGGCATCTTGAGGTGATTGGTGCGAGAAGTTGAAGAGGCAGTATTAAGGAAAGAGGAAGACCAGAAGAGCTCAAGAAATAAAGGAACACCTGCCTGGCCGGAGGTGGGAGGTCTTTATGATGGTTTCACCAATGAGAACACCATTGAGCGCGTCCGACTGATTGTGTGCGCCTCATGTTTTGGGAGGTGAACATGCGGCAGCCGAACAGGCTACAGTGGAGGAAAATTGTTGACATGATTCACTACGGTCATGCATGTACTATTACCATCCGACCGTGTAACAGGCCTTTCCCGCGTCCACTAGGGCTTTCGAAGCATTAACTGAACACTCTGGCCGTCGATAAACAATTGTGTCGCTAAAACATTACACAGTATACACACAAAGAACGTTGAAATAATGGGTATACCCGCCGGCCATCAAAATAAACCCGTACGCCTGCCTGCTCATGAATCATCGCCATATCACAACATCACAATCTGATCTGCTTAGCTTAGCTCCCCTCCTTCTCCTGCAGCGCAAACGGAATATTGATATCGAAATCCTCACTCGGCCCGGCCACCCTGTTAAACACGCACCTCGCAATCTCCTGCACGTCCTTGGACATACTGGCCGAATGCTCCAGATATATATGATTCATCAGCGTCTCGGCATTCCCAAAGATAGGGGTCCCACGACTCGCCACACTGCACAGAATGCACCCGTAATTACACCTCTCGCTATCGCCAGTGCCATCCGCCGCCGGCCCGGTCTTCTTGGCATGGCTCTTCGCGAGGAAAGCCCATTTATAGCGAATCCCGCACCCGGACACGTGGACGTTAGGGTCGATGACAATGTGGGGTTTCTGGCCGAACGCTTTGCCGCTGAAGGAGCAGGAGCGGCATTGCCAGACTTTCATGCTACCGTACATGCCCGAGGGCAGTGTGACGAGCGAGATGCCTTTGCTGAACTCTTCGCGGCAGCTCCACGCGCCTTTGCAGAAGCCCCAGTAATTGTTGCTTTTGGAAGGCCGGCCGAGCATCGATTTTGGGTTGCCGGGCATCATGATTGTGTCTGTCTTGCGCGAAAAGAGGAAGGAACGATCAGGATTGCTGTACGAGGACTTTCTGTTTTGTGCCGCTGGGTTGGTGCGCTCGTAGCCTGGGTGGAAGCCTGAGAATGGGCTGTCTGGTGTGATAGGGGAGGATCCAATGTAAGGCGATGCGTCTGGCTGGGGAGAACTGTTGGCAGCCAGTTCATATGCTCCGATAGATGGGACAGAGCTTGTGCGGTTACTGCCCGAATAAGAATGGACGCTCTTCGTAGAATTGGAATCTTGACGCATAACACTGTCGTGTCTTGGAGCTTGTGAAGCACAAGTCGGAGTAGACATGGTAATGTGGAAGGCGTTAAAGTCAGGTATAAGATCGTTGCCACCATCGCGGGTCGCAATATGTCGAGAAAGCCAGTCGAAGTTTGGAAGAAGTTCGATGCGGCTGCTTTCCATAGGTCTCCTCGATGATGGTCGCCGTGCTACCGATAACAGTTTACCTAGCCCGTGCTGTGGTTCGTGATCGATCGCGGGGAGCGTCACCGCAGAGGGGACAAAATCAGCTGCCATGGTATTGGCCGTCATGAAAGTCCGGACGGAGTCCATGGATGTTCTTCCCTCCAGGTCAACGGTAGGAGGCCGTAGCGATTGCTCTAGCGGTAAACTCATGTAGATTCGTTGCTTGAGCTCATCCAACGCCGTGATTGTGTCACGACGGTTCATGATGGAAGTCTCATTGAGCAAAGTGAGGTCAAGGACTGCATTTTCGTACTGTATCGCAATCTGGAGGCTTCTTATGATTTCAGCTTGCATCATGACCGCTATGTGGAGCAGCCGATCGCGAGCAAGAGCTGCACCAGTCAGTACGTGCGGTATACTGACGGCTAGCAGGGAGTTTGGCAATACTTACCATCGCCAGTACGGAACCTGGGACCAATCTCTCTACAGTCTGCCTGGTACCGCTGATTGACTTGAATTTCACCGCTCTGCAGTGACTCCTGCAAGGCCTTTTCCCTATACGCCTGCTCTTTCTTGCTCTTTCTCTTCTTCTTGATGAGCTTCACCAGCTCGGACCCGCCATGAAAGGCCGATATAACGGCCGAGACAGCAGCGACAACCTGATGCGACCACAGTTAGTGGCGGTGCTACTGGTACTGTCTCTCATTGGAATCCTGAACGACGCGGCACGACTGTGGCAGGGATACCTGGACATACCTCGAGACCGGACATCTCAGGAGATGCACGTCCAGCCTAGAAGGCTAGAGACGCGCGCGGTCTAGATCTAGACGAGGTGCTTTATATAAGAACAACGAACGCCTGTCAATAAGGTAGATAGATGGAACCTTCAGAACGCAGGACGGAGAATAAGAAAAGGTAAGAAGTAAAAGACAGGTCCAGGCAGCACCAAGAGCCTTATTCTAGATTCTAGGGGAACGAAGAGCTCGGCAGCTCAGCCCCGGAAGGCTTCAACGCCATCCTTGGCTATTCAAAGGAATACTGAAATACGGACCTGGTCAAGAACGCCTCGTTCACAGATTCAGTGTCGTGGAGGCCTATCAGCTAGGCGTGTTGTACGAGAGTCGGCTGTGCTGCAAGCCACAGTCTCGATGCGGGAGAGGGGCACGCGGTCTGGAGTCCCCAAGGAGACCATGACATCCTAGGAGATAGAAGTCTACAACAAAGCCGCAACTCTCGCAGACGTATGCCAAGTTACGTATGCGAAGCTTCGTTAGTATAAGCATCTCTTGTGTGAAGCGTGACAAGAGGTTGCCTGTGAAGGGTAGCCCTCAACTGCCAAGATAGTAAATCGGTGAGGCGAACTAGTGAATCAATGAATAGGTTCAGATGTTAGCAAGGGGAGTTTTGGCTTACTCGCATGCGACATGCTCTGGGGTCAGTAGGCAAGCCTGGCATGAGAAGTTCCTCCAGTCATTTGACTTCCCGTGCAGAAGCTGACAATATCAAGGATGACATGGACTGGCGCCAGGGATGCAGAATAATTATCAAGAACGAAGGTTAAGTAGTCTAGTCGTCATTTCATGCTTCAAGGACTCTATCTAGTGTAGGTCCGGAATACGTTTTGTGTGGTATGTAGGGGTTGGTATAGACAGTTACCGAAACGCCGCCAACAAGGCCTGTGGTAGGATGCAATAAGAAATCAAGATGCCCAGAAACACAATTCCAGGATTGAAGCACTCGAGCTTCCCTTACATAACCACACAGCAAGAGTTCTGCTTCTTCGCCTGGCAATGGATTAGCTTTATAATCACGTTTGTTAGGCAAGTAGTCGGCATACCCCTTTGTAGAATTGCCTGCTCGAGTAGCTCAGGTCGTTACTTTGGTCAACCAACTTGTCTAAATTCTGTCCACGTTGAAGGACACTCTCGATGGTCTTGTGCAGCACAATCTTCGTCTCATCCAACTCCCTCTGTATCTTCATAATATTGTCTGCTTGCTCTGGATCCTGGTATTTCCTTATGTATTCGTCGAGTTCCGGGAATCTGTACGTCCCAACAGGGACACTGTCTTGTGTAAGTGTGGCAAAAGTCGCTCGCGGGTGTTTCGTGAGAAATTCATCGGTAATCTTGGAAAGGAGTTGATGTGCGACCAGACTAGGGTATTGCGAGTCCGAAATTATGATTCCTGCAATACCCTCAGAGCGACCATATGCGTGGAAGACATATTGTTCTTGTTCGGCGTCGTGACGTTGCCCTGGCTTGATTCCCTCAGCTACGCCTTTGCTGAAGACCGTCATGAATTCTCCGACACTGTCGCAGGTCAGTAAAACCCATTGATGGAAGTCGTCTAGTGGCTTACGCATTCTTTTGTAAGAATCCATAGCTGCTCAAGTCCTTGACTGCGCAAAGCTCAACTATCGGCTTGGCGTCGTTCTTGAGAATCTGGTAAAGGCGTTTAGTCAGGCTGCTTCTGAAGCTTCTCAGGCCGGCAACGTACGCCCATATAATAGATCTTCATGATTGCGTATGGTCGCAGCAAAGTCTCAGGCTCGGATTGTATTCGATGAGGGACGACGTATTTGGTGAGGGCTTGTAGGGTGCGAGGGAGATGTAGATACGTGACGGATCAGACGAACATTGAATTCATGTCAGGTGCAGCTACGTAGCACTGACCTTCGGGAGGGTCGGGAGACCGAGGCTGACGCTGACCTAATCCATTCATTGGCTTAAGTTCAATGAGATTGGCTTGGCGAAGTCTAAGATTTACATCTTTGACCATTTAATCTTGACATGTTCCAGCCTTGTATCTGCTCATCTCAGGAGATCGTCTGTCATATCTTGGAGAAGTCACAGAATCACTCGCGCTTTGATGATGTGAATAATTCAATTCATCAACCGATCAATTATCCTGCTCATCGCCTATGCAACAATGTGTTTGGCTTATGCCCAGAGTCACCCTCTAGAACATCGCCCCAAGCAAATAGTATATCACACATGCCCTCCCCACGTGATCTTCAAGATAGTTGGCAGATCTACGATTGCCATGCCGGATCTGCGTCAGTTCATTCCAGCGGCAGGACTAATTAGACTCCTGTGGAAAGATGCTTGAAACCTCTTCCGGGTTTGTGTACTTTCATCTGATGGGTCTCGATCGAAGAAACATGGGCGTCAAGGATGAAAGGCAAAGGCGTTTGATGCTACACGATTCCGGGAATCCGGCAACCTGGCCGAGCGAGATTCCTGATCATGAATCCGAAGCTCATCGCCACCGATCCGTGGTACAGTACATAAGAATTATATTCTGAGTATATTTCTGTACATAGACTGCGTCTCCTCACCAATCTCCTGGATCTCTCGTCTCGACATGAAGCCTTCCTTGTCATCATCATCGAGATCTCCTGCGACGGACCGGACATTTGCCTCATAGTTCTCGAACAAGAATTGGATATCTCGAACATCCCGAAGCTCCTCTCGGCCGTTACAATGCCAAAGCTTCGTCTTCAGCATATAAAAGATGTCGAGAGCGTAAAATGTGTATTCGTAGCCTTCAACGGTTCTGTGAAGGCTCTCGATATGATCCGGAAGTCGACTCGCACGGGGGGTCCCCTTACTAGCTTCACGGAATCAATATCTCTCGTGTCTTCATGACTTCATATAGAGATAAACAACATACAGGGGAACACCAGATCAACCTCAACCATGACCGACTCTGTACACCCAAGATCGCGCTCCGCGGGACCAGTCTTGACGAAAATCTTGAGTACACCAGAAACCATCCGGGTATTAGGTATGCGCAGTCTGGAGCATTGCTCAACGATGTGCCGAACTTTTAAAGGGGTACTGTTCACGATCATGTCAATGTCGTTTGTAACGCGGCGTGAGCCGCGGCAAAGCATTGCAAAACCTCCCATTACAACACATTTGATATTATTGGCATCAAACATCTGTTGAATGAACGCTGCTGCTACGAACAAGTTTGCGATGGGCTGGCCTTGAGGATGCTTCAGACGCTCGTCGCCAGCGTCGTAGTCTGCCGGATCATATGTTTCAGCTTGGATGATGAGTTCGTCGCGCATTCTGATGGAACAGAGTGGAAGATGTATATCACGGGTTTTGGTGGCTCAGGTAGGTCGAAGACAAAGTCTTGTATGTTCATTGTGGTGGTTCGTTTGCGGTTGTGCTGATGCGCGTGCCACAAACTTCTAGGCAGCAGCATTTGGGATACAGTCTCGCCATGCCACTTGATGCTCTCGTTCAGGGGTTGGCTTAGTGTTGCTTGACATATGTTGGGTGATTCAATAACTAATCAATACGGTAGACGTATTTAGTCGTAAGGAAAGAACGTTGGCACAGCGAAGAGGAGGATGTCAACCAATTCACCTGGACATCGGCCCACGCTTTGATTTATTCCTATTTCAGCTAGCCCTACTTCCACATGAGGAATGCACATTCTCATGCATTTCATTGTTATCACGTTTTTAACGCCTCTTTTGATGTTAAATTCTCTATTGCAATCCAGGCTGCAAAGACCATCCAAATATTATCTGTTAACCACTGGCTGTTGCATTCATATCAAGTCACACGATACCTCAACACGTCCGCTTCAACTTTCGAACATGGCTCATCAATCTTATTTACCAACAACGCTCCTGGATTTACTATCGAATTCGCTAGTTTTGCGCAATACTACTCCACATCTACCTCTCGCGTCGACGTTCGCCCTTTCGGCTACTTGCAAAGCATTCAGAAACCTTTTGATCGATACGCAGACTCCTGACGCATTTCGATACGTGGATCTGTCACAAGTCAAGAGCGCCGACATCAAGGTTGACAAAACGAGTCATATTTACTCTGGGTACTGCAACTGGAAGACCCTGAAAAGGGACGAGACGCTGACCGAGGATGAATTTTACGGCGGTCCATTGTCAAGAGTGTTCTCGAAGATGTCAGGGAGTATTCTTCTCAAGAATGTACAGACGCTGATTCTGGACGGCTTGTGGGTTCCAGATGATATAGTCCGAGACATCATCTGTAAGGATCGGTTCAACGTTCGCGTACTCTCCATTCGAAGTGCAAAACACCTCGATCAGCAGAAATTAAGGCAAGTCCTCAACGACGCCGTTCGGCCTGTTCGAGCTAAAGGTACTCCTCGGCTAAGGCTACTGTACCTATTTGGACCAAAAGACAGTGCGCTTCGCTCACAAGCCAAACTTGCAGGCTATCAAGTCTCCAGGGGAATCCGCGGCCCCCAGGGAGGTGCTGAGTGGAAGAAGAAGTCCACGACGGCACTTGGATCATCCTTACCTGAGAAATGGTATGCACCAACAGGTCGTATGTTCGACAAGAATATGGGCAAAGACTGGGCTGGTACGCTCAAAGCCTGCGAAGGGATCATTGCATTTGATGCAGTGCTTTGTCGAGGACCCGGTCATCAACCAGATTACATATCATCTTACGCGGGAGACTGTGTTCTAGCACCAGCAGTTGCAAACATAGCCCTCGGGCACTCTGGCTGTGTTGCTTGCTCCTCAAGTCCTGAAGGTGCTGCGGTTTTTGGGCAACTACCAAGTCATTGCTTCCCTCTCCTTAGCCCACCACCACGGCTCTCAACAACTGTTCACGCGGCACAACGACCACACAATTCTGGTGAACCAGCGAAATTTATCGCACGTTGCGAGGACTGTCTCACGCATAGGTGGTGTGAGCAGTGCAATCAGTGGTGGGATGAGCGCTGTTATCCCGTCAGCAAGCTTGCTACGAAGGACGCGATGGGAGATCTCAAGGTAATTCTAGACCGCTACCTGGATTGTCTTGAAGTCGTACCACAGTGAAGATGTCCATGTACAAGTTTTCCACTCGGCTTCATGTCGTGGTAGTCTTCTGGGCGGAGTAAATGTTTTGACATTAAATAAGTGTCAGGTACCTCTTTATATTTTGGGAATGCAATATCCTGAACTGAACGATACTGACAGACTCAATTATAGCCGAAGCCACTTGTCAAGCTAGAATGCCTGAGGTGCGGTCCAGTGGTAATATCATATCGTCCTAAGTCCATTAGGACTGTTTACTGAATTTTCGCAGTGCGGCGATTGTAAAGACCGCTATACAAGAGTGTGCCGTCGATGTCGAAATAAACACTGCATCGTGCACAAGAGCAGTCCGTCGGAGAGTTTGGTATGCTTTATTCCTTCACGTATCGATGATGTTTTGCCGTCGTTTAGAGCTGACAGTACTTAACGGTAGTGCTATTGCTGCCATCGCCGTCGCATCGTGGAGTTCCAGAGCTATACCCATTGATCATGTTCTAGCTTCCGGACAGCAAGATGCGTGCTTTTTGTAGGGGCAGAGCTCAGAACAACATTATGTATACTTTCCAAGCTATCTAATAGGTGCATGCTCTTGTGGACATGGTAGATCCGTCTGGTGAAAGTGCTGAACATAGAACCTTGGGATGGATGGCCATCATCAAACACTGGAAGTTTTCTTGCCGCGTAGCGAGTCCTGACATGGGAGATCTGCCTGAGGCTGACATTACCGTATGCTTAGTCATCTCATTTTTGGTTGATGTCCACGGTGTTCCAAGAATCAGAAAGCAGCTGCCTGGAACACCAAGCTCTGTACTTCCTATTCCTACACAAACTAATGACCTGAATCCCATACGCACACGCCGGCACAACTCACCCACTTTCAGATCTCACCTATAACTCTCTCGCCCTACAAGCTCTACCTCTCGGCGTCCAATTGACACCTACCCCCAACATAGGCCAGAATGGCCAGCTACGGCTACCCTCAACAACCTGCTCAAGGCGGCTACGGCGCGCAAAACCTCCAGTTCTACCCCTCATCCTACGGCACACAGCCAGTATCAGGCCACTCTACACCCTTCCAGGCATACAATGGAGGCGCACAGTCGCAAGCATTTGGCGGCGCGGGCTTCGGAAGTGGATTTGGAGGACAACCTGGTGTGAGCGGGCGGATGGGCGAACAAGGTGGATTACGAACGGGCTGGCTGGCGGCGTTTGGGACAGAGGGGTATGATGGCGAGCCGCCGCTACTGGAGGAGTTGGGCGTAAACTTTGGCCATATCAAGACCAAGGTCAGTGGGAATTCACCCAAGAGCATCCGAGAGCATAGTAAGGCATATGGACTGACGATTCAGTAGACACTGGTAGTGTTGAATCCGTTCGGGAGAATAGATCAGCATATCATGGATGATTCGGATCTCGCTGGACCGATACTGTCGTTTTTGCTGTTCGGCACATTCTTGTTACTGGTGAGCTATGTCCTTGGACGGCATTGTGGCTCCGCTAATGTGTGTACAGTCTGGTAAAGTGCACTTTGGCTATATCTACGGACTTGCGCTCCTCGGTAGCATTTCCCTCCATGCAGTACTCTCTCTTATGTCGCCTCCTCTCTCAGCCGCGGAAGAGGCTAGCGCACAAGGACATCATCACTCGTCATCACACTTTCAGTCCACGCTGACATTTCCTCGATCGGCATCTGTATTGGGATACTGCCTTCTACCGCTCGTAATAATATCTCTGATCGGCATTGCGATTCCAATGGATGGCATGTTTGGTTATATCTTGACGAGTCTGGCAATTGCGTGGTCCACGTATAGTTCCAGCGCCATGTTTTGCGCTGTCGGAAGGATGAGTGGTATGAGGGGATTAGTGGCATATCCGTTGGCATTATTCTACGTTGGGTTTGGGATCATGAGTATCTTTAGCTCAAGAGGGACGGGCCCAATCTCTGCGGCTTCGAGTAGCTGAGTGACGTGGATGGTCCTGCAATATCAATCACCACCTCAAAGAAGATGTCTTCTATGCTCATATACACACTACATACGGGCAGAATTGGCCCGAGGTCTGAGGGGCGTATCGATTCTGGATACTCGTGCTGCATGGGAAGACTAATGGCTTTGCATAGTCGTCCAAAGAGAATCCTGTGGGTTGGTGAGTACAGTATGGTTCAAATTCGTCCACCTTTTGGCCACTCTCATGGGTATGACGGGCCTCGAAGATCTAGTAGCTATAGTGTCATACTGGATTCAGTCTTCATGCGCGACCACCATGGGCTGGAAGGATATTGACAGTGTTTGCCGCATTGTTAGTGTTGACTGATGACGAGTTTCCAACGACGAAAAGCGAAAAATGTAGACAACAGTCTTACAAGAATGAATATGAACGATGGTATTAGGGTGCCTCATAATAAGAACCATGCGCTTTAGCTTCATCGTTCAGTGAACAGGTATTACACTATTACACTAGATCAATGACGGAATTTATCGGAGCAAGTCGCTGCCAAGACAGGGTCCATGGATTCATCTGCCAAAAAGTTGTCACGCTCGGACCACTCTTCATCTTTACGACAGCCTTGTTCGCCTCGTCGCGAATCTTCATTGTATCTCATCTTCTTCCATATACAGTTCTAATTACTGCCAAAAATCATCTGATTCAAGCATTCTATCACCATGGGCTGGTTCTGGGCAGATACAACCCCTACGGCATCTCGCATTCCGCCTCATCCCATGCCCTCCTCCGACGCCTCTCCTCCTGTATGTCCACTGTAGAACCACTGTAGAACAACTCATAACAGTTCTGACTCCTCATAGCCCGGCTGTCCAATGCATAATCCCTCTAATCCTTCACCTCCTTCAACTGTATCATCAACTACACCGTCCAGCGCATGCCCCTATACACCACCCGACAAAACGCTCTCCGCAATAACTCCCGCCACCCAAACACCACCTCCCCCTGAATCCTCGCAACCTCGCTCGACCCTCTCCAAACTAAATCCCCTCAACTACATGTTCTCCGATCTGTCCCAGTCTCGCGCGCCCAATCAAACCACCGCCCTCCCCACCTCCCGCGAAGCCTCCACCATCCCGCGCGGCGACGGCAGCGGAACATGGGAATACCCCTCCCCCCAACAAATGTACAACGCCATGCTGCGCAAAGGCTACACGGACACTCCATCAGACGCCGTCGAATCCATGGTCGCCGTGCACAACTTCCTCAACGAGGGCGCCTGGGGCGAGATCATCGAATGGGAGCGGCGCTTCGGGCGCGGGCTCGCGCACGGCTGGCGCGCATGTGCGCGCGGCGAAGACGGCAGCGTACATGGCGCGATGCTGGGCACGGGGGAGTGGGAGGACAAGAGCGTCCCGGAGCCGCGGCTGGTGCGGTTCATGGGCCGGCCGTCGGAGCGCACGCCGAAAGCCAGTCTGATCCAGGCGCTGGGGTGGGCGTGGCCGAGTCGGTTTGCGAGCGAGGCGCCGTTTGATCGGCATGATTGGTTTGTGCGGAGGTGTGATGAGGAGGGCAGGTGTCGCGAGGTGAGGTATGTGATTGATTACTATGAGGGGGCTGAGGACGAAGAGACGGGCATGCCGGTGTTCCATCTGGACGTGCGGCCGGCGGTGGATGGGCCGACGCAAGCGTGTGAGAGGTTGATGCGGTGGGGTGGCGATATATGGTGGAGGGCGAGCGGTGGGGTAACGAGGGAGTTACAGAAGGCCCAGGAGGCGAAGGCAAAGTCGTAAACGCATTCGTCAGGTGGACTGTATGATATATAGGGATGGGAATGGTGTGTTCCTGTCATGGATTACGGCTTTTTTACTCTGATGGGAACCGGTAATGTGTATCACGATATGCGGGCGCTTTGACTCATCATAGTTTACTCTTATTTCTTGTAGATTCTTCTCCTACATACCTTAGTATAACGAACCCGGTCTACACTCTCGATCACTACGCTCCAGTATCTTCGGAAGGGCGATCGTACTTGTGCTCATGCCGCTGCACGCATTCAACGTACAACGTGTCAATTCACGCACAGTCACCGCAGTCCGCGTAGGAGAGTCATCAGATTCATTCACTAAAGAAAATACATATGGAACTATCCAATATAAAAGAGAGTCGTGCAAATTTCAAAGCTCATACTTTCAAAACTCATACTTCCAAAGCAAAAGGAAAACATCATAACGATACGTGCCCAGAAACCCCGACCTGCGCAGTTAGAGCATCAGACCGACTCTGCCTACATGGCGTCGCTACCTGAACCAGGACAAGGGATTCCACGAGAATTCAGGTGGCTCGGGTCCGGTATGCTCAAGGCTGTCTTTCGGGCAAGTGTGCCTGAGGGGATGATTGCGTTCGTGTGATCCATGAGTGATTGGCGTCGTTGTTGGTGTGCGCTTGCGTGTTGGTTCGGGGTTCGTTGTCGGTGTTTGTGTTTTGATCTTTGTCTGTACTTGCTTTGTCGTCGATGGTTCCTTTGTCGTCGATGCCTCCTTTGTCATCGATCTGCTCAATGCCTGTCGCGTCGGTGTTCTCGGACACTTGCCTGGCTTGCAGCTCCTCGGCATCTAACTGCTTGACTAGGTCTATGAGCGACTGAGCTTCGGCTGGAGAGTAGATTCTTTTTATGACATCGATGACCTGGGCGTCGACCAACCATCTTGGGAAGACTCCCATGTCTTGGGCTCCATGGTATATCACCCCACGGTGAGCGCCTCGAAGAAGGAATTCTCGAGTTGCCGGGTAGCTACGACGATCATCGTCTTCATCTTGATAATATGTGGCTATCTCGCCCAAATATGCCTCCCAAAACGTAGGCAGGAACTTCCCTGAGCTTGTACATTGTTGACGAATCCATGGGGTGAGTAGACAGTTCGCGGGTACGCCACGATCTAGAAACCAAAGAACAGACCGACTTATAGGTACGGAAGGATTGTTTGGCGATGAACTTCCCATGCGCATCCGACGTGCTGAGCACCCTCGGTAGTATTTGGAGGGCATATGCCAAGTATTGAAGAACTCGTCGCACAAGCGAATGAGGTCTTGCTTGCTGATTTTAGCACACTTTTCCTCTACATACCAAGCCAAGTCGTCAAAACGAAAACGGAAACGAGAACCCTTGATGAATGACGACCAACAATAAGGGATCCCCTTCCCGTCGTTCGTGAAGAATTCTGAACCTGCATTCATGGGGGTTTCAGGTTCAGAGTAGTTACCATCGCCGGGCAACAACTGGTCCCAATGGCCATGCAACGAACCGTACATCTCCTCCAAATTTCGAAATCGCGCCCAGTCCTTATTTAACCTCCAATTGTCTTCGTTGGTGTAGCTGAAACAGAGGTAAGGGTAGGCCACTGAATAGACGCTCTCGCGGTGCATAAGTACAGAACACAGTTGGTCAAGCAATGACCCTTGCACCTGCCGATCAGCCATCCGAGCGACGATACCCAATATCATATATGCTATATTGACATCCATATTGATGTGGAAATCTTTGCGATCCACAATGTAACCGAATTGATTCGACGGACCAGATGCACAAAAATGTGTACTAGTCATTTTCAGGCTCAAGAAGCATCCATTCATGATTACGGCATCGAAGTCGATTTCTTCGCACGAGCGTCCTAACTTTTCTTCCAATGCGACTTTAGTGACAGGAGATCGCAAAAATTCAGAAGCGGATCGGTGTATAAGGTCGACCGAGGGGTTATTGTGCTCATAGTCCCAATCACCGAATACCTGCAGAAGATCTGGGCACCGTGCTTGGAGTTTTGCTGATTCCGATCGAATCAGTGCAACTTCTTGAATTTCTGTGAGAAGAATGATTGGAGCTTTTACACCTAATGTGAGATCAGGTCGGGGTCCGTAGATTGGCTTAAAGACCCAGAGCGGTAAACACAGCTCGTCCCTTATTTCCTCCCAGTATGTTATAATGCGTAGTATCCGTATAAGGTCCTGCTGGTAGAAGTCTTCAGTCGTCTCTATCATACGCATAAAATACGCATGCAGCTTCGTTGGCATCGTGTCAAGTCTTGCTTGTATCGTCGCTAGGGCATCACCATTGATCAAACTTCTGCAAATGCTTTTGGTCACCAGAACGACCCACAGAAATACGCCTTCTGACTTGTAGGCAATCTGAGATTTTATATGTTCGATCACTTTATCGTCTGCCAAGAATTTTCTGTAGGAGTCCTGACACAATTCCAGCTCCACATAACGGCGAATATCGTTCAGGTTCAGCTCATGCATTTTCAAGTGTCTTGAACGGTGTCCAAAAGCATTTGTGAAAACATTCCATGGCCTGCTTGAGACACACAATTTGAAGGTTTGGATAGAGCTGAGCTGTTCCACTATTGTTTTGATCCTGTAGGCACTGTCTGTTGCATGATCGCCTTTATGCGTAGCTTCCTCGAGACCAGGTTCTACCGAGTCTTCATACTCATCAAGTCCATCAATGAATAAGCAAAAACGAGTTTTAATATCGGGGGTATCGAGTCTATGGAGACAACCCAATAAATCAGGTGTCGTCCACGGATGTCGAATTACAAGTCCGGGGTCTAAGCTTGAGATGTTGGACGGAAGTATTCTTTCGAGTAGGTCTGGGCTTTGTCGCACGATTTCGAAGAGCATACAGCGAAGCAGGCTCACCAGAGATTTTTGATTCGACGTGCCAATAGCCCAGAAGTAGAACCCGGCCGTAACCAATTGTGCATCTCCTGCCCAATGTCTTAGGTGTTCGGTCGTGGTTTCACTGTGCTGCAGAAATTTGACCAGTGTCGACTTTCCGGATCCAGGGGTGCCAGTAATCCAGAAAATCCCTTCTTCCTCTCTTAACCACTTCACAAAATGTTCTTGAGACTTGAAAATCCAGTCCAGTGTATCGTCGTGAGGGCGTTCTATATTTGCCAGTCTAGTCCTCATAGCAGCAAACTGAAGTGATTGCAAGACAGCAACCAGCATACTGATATGCTCACTTGATTTCTTCCAGTGCCGAAGGGTGGTAGAAATTTCCTTTACCGATGAATGTAATTCTGTCTTCAGAGTCTCTGCCACCGATTCAGCTGACGCGTTGATAATATCCTGTAACTTCTGAAAGCTTTCCCCTTGACTCAGTTTAAGCCGTTGGTACTGTTGAAAGACTTCGGAAGTCGCCACAGAGGCATCGCTTTGAAACTTCCTGTACCCAGTAAATTATCGGAACTCATCTCGACGACCGAAAAACATACCTGATATCTATCAGGATCTGCGAGTCGAGCTCACTTCGAGCATCACTTAGCTGTTGGAGCTTTTGGTCAATCTGTGGTTTGGCTTTGTGATTGCGGATCGCTCCACGTACAACCCGAAGGCTGAACCGTCGTGCTGATTTGGGTAATCTGAGTTCTTCAATTTCCTTCTTGATATCTGCAGCCAAGATGATGCACTGGCTTGCCAGATCACATGTTCTTGTATTACTTTGTGAGTTTCGGAACTGGTCTGCACTACTTCTCAGCTCGGCCAGAGAACTGGTGAGAAACTTCATGTTTTCTTGGATAGACTCGTTTCTAGTCGTTGAACCGGACGTATTTCGTTGCAGCTCAGAGCCTGTGTCGTACAGCTTCTTTGCTATTTCCATGAATTGGAGGACGTTCCCCGCCAAGGCTACAGCTGCCAGAGCCTCCATGACTACGAAGAGTATAGTAACGCTGTGACCACGTTGAAGATCACAGCTAGGGAACACTGGCTTGGGCTAAAAGAGGCTCCTCAATGATAGTGATACAAGAATGCAAGGAGGAATGAGTCCATGGAGAGAAGGCGAGGCCACGAGCGGCGCAGCATCAAGGCTTTGAGGCTTAGGCTGCGGAAAAGGCATCGTGCAGCTCACGCGGAAGGCTGTCGTCAGTCAACAGTACCGATGAGCCCCTGCGCGCATAAATCTCTAATCCTGTCCGAGACTGGAGGGACTGACCTATTTTGCTTATCGCGTTACACAGGTCTTGCAGATCCAGAGATGGGCATATACAATCCTAATCCTTCCATACAAGCTCAATCTGGGCCAAAATTGAGATAGAGAATACAAGCTCAATCTGCGCCTCAGAATGATTGCCAAGATGGTACAATCCCAATCCAATTGGTCAGATTGCTGCTTATGTTGAATTTAAATAAAGTGTTGAAGTGGGGTATATTTCTATAGCCTTACTGGTCAGATCATGCGCAAGGTTCGTCGACAGGACGAATTGCCAAATGATTGAGTGAGCCTACTCGGTCAGGGACCGGTCATGTTGACCCTTTGAACCACTTGATAGTAGGACCTTTCTCTCGGACATTCAAACGGATATCGGACATGGAACCCGTGGAATTGTAAGATGGAAGCACTTCGTGGAAGCGATGAATACATTAGTTGTCATCAGCGCTAAACCGTACTTGGCACCGTAAGGGACTAGAGCGCCAAGGATTTTCACGATGACACACCTCCATATTCATGTGCGAACCGCCGGCGTTCGACTTTGGCGTCCTTACTCCCCTTGATGATATTTGAAAGGCTGCATCAAGGCTACCGAAGAAATAGAACCCGCTCTGTCGAAGCTATAGAGTTTCCACAGGAACCATAAACGAAGCCTTATGCCGAGATGTCGCCGTCACTCGAGGACATGGAGGCCGAGTGGCACTCGCAGCTCAACGCAATGCGCAGCGCCATTGCAGACTTAGGTATTTCCAAGTTGACTGGAAGTACTGTCCCGTATGGTCATGATTTTGAATTGGACATAGATAGTACCCCTTCCGCCAGTGCGAGTGACGAAGACCTTTGGGACATCATTAGCGATGATAATGATGATGGCGAAGTGACCGACTATTCTGCTATGGCTGCAGAAAACAGCCTTTCTACTGTTTTTAGTAACTCGGGTACAATTTACAGTCGAGAGTGGCTGCGTGAGCAGTGTAGTCAAGTTGCTCGTGGCAGTGCAGGCCTGGACGGCGACACACTACAAGATCAAGTGTTTGCCGTCCTTGCCTCGGACAGCAATGGTACATTCACAGGCCTCTCAGAAACCTTTCTCCATTCTCGTGCTGACAAAGTCTAGATGAGGAGCTCCAGATGATACTTGCAGAAGTTCTTGGTTATGAACAACTTGACCTCGTTGCTGATCTCATCAAACATCGGCAAACGGTAGTCCGATCTTCTGATACCTCACCAGACAGCAGAACAACTGCCGGCAGGTTGCAAACACGACAAGAGCGTGAAGAGACTCTTCGTCGACAGGAACTGGAGCATAAAAATGCACCATTACCAGCACGATCTCATTTCGATTCACCCAAGTATCCACACGTTTACAAGACCCATGATGAAGGCAACACGTTGTCATCCTCTGGCAGAAAGTACGCCGTGCCCCAAGGAAGTCAGCGTGTTGAACATGAAGTGAGACAGGATGTTGAATGCACACCGCAATTGCAAGCTGACATTTGTTAGAAATATGAAGAATATACAATACCCGCTGCAAAGGTCGGCGTCCTTGGCATGGGCCAGAGTCTAGTCGAAGTTGCCCATATGGATGGGCTTTGCAAAAGAACTTTCAAAGGGTACAGAGCCCTCAATCGCATGCAAAGTTTAGCTTACCCAGTCGCATACAAAACAAGCGAAAACATGCTCATTTGTGCTCCAACTGGTGCCGTAAGTTTCAAAGCCTCTCCGGTGTTCCACGTTGAAACTCATTATAACACAGGGTAAAACGGATGCAGCAATGCTCACTATTCTGAATACCGTCTCAAAATATGTGGCACCCAATCCAGTCGAACACCCAGATGCTGTCGACTTTACTGTCATGACCGAGGATTTCAAGATTGTCTATGTTGCCCCTATGAAAGCCCTGGCAGCCGAAATCACAGACAAATTAGGGAAGCGCCTGTCCTGGCTTGGCATCCAGGTTCGTGAATTGACGGGTGATATGCACCTGACCAAATCAGAGATCATGCAAACACAGATCATTGTTACGACTCCCGAGAAATGGGATGTTGTCACGCGGAAGAGTACTGGAGACACGGAACTCGTACAAAAAGTTCGATTGCTCATTATCGATGAAGTCCATATGCTTCATGATGAGCGTGGAGCAGTGTTGGAATCGCTTGTTGCACGTACGGAGCGTCAGGTTGAAAGCACTCAATCCCTCATTCGAATAGTTGGACTTTCGGCAACGTTACCAAATTATGTGGATGTTGCAGACTTCCTCAAGGTGAATCGCGATGCTGGTCTCTTTTACTTCGATGCCTCGTTCCGTCCGGTACCCTTGGAACAGCACTTCATTGGAGTCAAGGGCAAAGCAGGGACAGCAAAGTCAAGAGAGAATCTGGATACTACTGCGTACGAGAAGGTAGAGGATATGCTGAGAAGGGGGCATCAGATCATGGTCTTCGTCCATTCGCGCAAAGACACTTTCAAGACCGCAAAGATGATTTATGAAAAAGCGTTAGAGGCAGCATCAGCTGATCTACTTAGTCCTATCGGCCATCCTAACTATGACAGTGCAGTGCGGGAAATGAAGTCATCGAAAGGCAAAGAATTGCGCGAACTGATACCGAAGGGCCTGGGAACACATCACGCTGGTATGCCACGCACAGACAGAAACCTGGTCGAACGTCTATTTGCCGATGGTGTCATAAAAGTGCTGTGTTGTACTGCTACTCTTGCTTGGGGAGTCAATCTGCCCGCCGCTGCCGTGGTCATCAAAGGCACAGAGCTCTATAGCTCACAAGAGGGAAAGTTTGTCGACTTGGGGATCCTTGACGTCTTACAAATTTTTGGACGTGCTGGTCGGCCGCAATTTCAAGACACGGGTATCGGTTTCATCTGTACAACACATGACAAGCTGCATCACTATCTTTCCACGGTCACGCAACAGCTACCAATCGAGTCGAGCTTCTCTAAACGAATGGTCGACAATCTGAATGCTGAGATCTCGCTTGGGACGGTTACTTCCGTAGCAGAAGCTGTCCAATGGATTGGCTACTCCTACCTCTTTGTGAGGATGCGGCGCAATCCTCATTTATACGGGATAGATTGGGCAGAGATTAGAGACGATCCTCGACTCGTTCAAAGGAGACGAAAGCTAGTTATTGACGCTGCCAGAGTCTTGCAGCAGAGTCAGATGATAATCTTCAATGAAACTACCGAAGAACTCCGAGCGAAAGACGTTGGCCGGATAGCCAGTCAATACTACGTGCAACAAAGCAGCATTGAAATTTTCAACACCATGATGAAACCTCAGGCCACAGAAGCTGACGTGTTGAAAATGATCTCCATGAGTGGAGAATTCGACAACATCCAGTCAAGGGATACGGAGGAGAGGGAACTCACACGATTGAAGGACGAAGTGATTGCCTGTGAAGTCGATGGTGGTGTCGGAACGCCTCACGGCAAGACGAACATCTTACTTCAATCTCACATCTCGAAGGCGCGACTCGAAGACTATACTTTGTCTTCGGACACTTCATATGTAGCCCAAAACGCAACACGAATTTGCAGAGCTCTTTTTATGATAGCACTCAACAGGCGATGGGGTCACCAATGCCTAGTACTGCTGTCCCTGTGCAAATCAATCGAGAGGCAGGTATGGCCTTTCGAACATCCTTTTCATCAATTCGACCTTCCACAGCCTGTGCTCAGAAATCTCGATGAGAAGAGTACTTTGACCTCGATCGAGCAGATGCGCGATATGGAGCCATCAGAGATTGGTCAACTGGTCCACAATAATAAAATGGGCGGTATCCTGACGAAACTACTCGACAACTTCCCAACTTTGAGCGTAGACCACGAGATCGCGCCACTCAATCGCGATGTACTCAGAGTCCGATTTTATATTACTCCGGACTTCCGATGGAACGATAAGCACCATGGTACTTCAGAATCATACTGGATCTGGGTCGAGAACTCGGAGACATCCGAGATCTACCATCATGAATTCTTCATCCTATCAAGAAAGAAGCTGTACGACGACCACGAATTGAACTTCACTATACCCCTAACTGATCCACTGCCGACTCAGATTTACGTCCGCGCCGTGTCTGATCGTTGGCTTGGAGCCGAGACAGTTACTCCTATCTCGTTCCAGCACCTTATCAGGCCCGATACGGAAAGTGTGTACACTGACTTGCTCAATCTTCAACCATTGCACATCTCAGCACTCAAAAATCCGCTTCTGGAGGAACTTTATGGCCAACGCTTCCAATACTTCAATCCCATGCAAACCCAGATCTTCCACTGTCTATACCATACACCGGCTAATGTATTACTTGGATCTCCGACAGGTAGTGGGAAGACTGTTGCAGCTGAACTGGCGATGTGGTGGGCCTTCCGCGAGAACCCTGGATCGAAGGTCGTATACATCGCGCCTATGAAGGCGCTTGTGCGCGAGCGAGTGAAGGATTGGGGCAAACGTCTTGCTCTTCCGATGGGTCTGAAACTCGTCGAACTTACTGGTGACAACACACCTGATACTCGTACGATTAGAGACGCCGATATTATTATTACTACGCCTGAGAAATGGGATGGTATCAGTCGTAGCTGGCAGACGAGGGGCTACGTGCAACAAGTCAGTCTTGTCATCATCGATGAGATTCATCTACTGGGTGGCGACCGTGGTCCAATTCTTGAGATCATTGTCTCTCGTATGAATTATATTGCATCTCAGAAGAAAGGCTCGGTACGCTTGCTGGGTATGTCCACTGCGTGCGCAAATGCCACAGACCTGGGCAACTGGCTTGGTGTGAAGCAAGGGTTGTTCAACTTTCGACATTCTGTACGACCGGTACCGCTTGAGATCTTCATCGACGGTTTTCCAGAACAGCGAGGCTTCTGCCCGCTGATGCAATCGATGAACAGACCGACCTTCCTCGCCATCAAGTCACACTCTCCCAACAAGCCAGTCATTGTATTTGTCGCTTCCCGACGGCAAACTCGCCTTACAGCCAAAGATCTCATCAACTTCTGTGGCATGGAAGACAATCCACGTCGCTTTGTAGGAATGTCGGAAGATGATCTTATACTCAACTTATCCCGCGTCAAAGACGACTCTCTTCGCGAAGCTCTTAGCTTCGGAATTGGCCTGCATCACGCTGGTCTCGTTGAATCTGATCGACAGCTCGCAGAAGAGCTTTTCGCAAATAATAAGATACAGATCCTCGTTGCCACGAGTACTCTGGCATGGGGTGTGAATCTGCCTGCGCATCTAGTTGTAGTCAAGGGTACACAGTTCTTTGATGCCAAGATCGAAGGGTATAAAGACATGGACTTGACAGATGTTCTCCAGATGCTTGGTCGCGCCGGTCGTCCTCAATTCGACTCATCTGGAGTTGCCCGAATCTTCACACAGGAGGCTAAGAAGCCATTCTACAAGCATTTCCTGCATACTGGATTTCCAGTAGAGTCCTCATTGCACAATGTCCTGGACAACCATCTGGGAGCAGAGATCTCGGCGAAGACTGTTGCTACAAAACAGGACGCGCTGGATTATCTGACATGGACGTTTTTCTTCCGGCGTTTGCACAAGAATCCATCGTACTATGGTCTTAAAATTTCTGCTGATGAGCACAACACCATCGCAGCCCAACAGCTTGCGAATGAGTACATGACTGAACTAGTTGACAGGTCTCTCAACGAGCTTGCCACTTCTGGGTGTATAGAGATCCACTCCGATGGTGATATCGATCCTACCCCTCTTGGTCGCATAATGAGTTATTACTATCTGTCGCACAAGACTATTCGTCATCTTAAAGACCATGCGACACGCACGGCGACTTTCGAGGACGTGTTGAAGCTGATGAGCATGGCGACCGAGTACGATGAGCTACCAGTTCGTCACAATGAAGACTTGATCAATGCTGAGCTATCCAAAAATCTTCCACTCAAGGCCGATAACATGGACTTGCCAATGTGGGATCCGCATGTAAAGGCATTCCTGCTTCTCCAGGCCTACTTCAGTCGCATTGATCTGCCTATCAGCGATTACGTTGGAGATCAGAATTCTGTACTTGACCAGAGTATCCGTATCATCCAAGCCAGCATCGACGTCCTCACCGAATTCGGGTTTAAGGAAAGCTGTGCGATGATGATGACGCTGCTGCAGTGTGTCAAGTCAGCGCGCTGGCCAACAGATCATGTTCTGTCTATCTTTCCAGGCGCAGAGCGTCTTGCAGACTCGCCTCCGAAGCAAGACGCCACCCCATCTTCGCTCGTCGCCGTGACACAGATGACACGTCACTCCATCGAGGCATTGCCATCCACACTCAATATTCCACAAAGCATCCGCCCTCGCTTCCTGAAGGCTGTATCGCATCTCCCAACACTCCATATTAGTGTTCCACCCGACTCCATCTCCTCCACCACTCTCACGCTCTCCCTGACCCGCACCAACCGCCCGACCGACACCCAACTCCGCATCTTCGCGCCACGCTACCCGAAGCCGCAATCTGAAGGCTTTTTCGTACTCATCTCGCTTGCAGGAACCGACGAAATTGTCGCATTGAAGCGCGTCGGTTGGAATGTAGCTGACCCCAGAAAAGCTGGTAAAGGAGGTCAGAGTGCGAGACCTGGCATGAAGACCATGGCAAAGCTGAGACTGCCGGAGAGCGAAGTGGCGCGGAAGATGGATGTTAGCGTTGTTAGTGATGGGTATGTGGGCATGTCTTGGAAGTTGCAGATTGATGTACCGGCAATGATCAAGACGATGGGAGTTGAGGCGCCGGCGGCGAAGAAGGAGGCTTCTTCTTGATTTGCGATGGAGTGTTTCCTGGATTACCGAATTCGTCTTCTTTAGTGGACTTGGTCTGCTCGGATGGACAGGAGGAAAGTTATATTGCTGGCATTGTAGCTTGTTATATACGATTATGAGATAATAAACTCAGATGCCTTGTCCTCGCTTTATCGGTTGCGTAAGCTCCACTTCTACAGACGACTCCTTGACGCTTTCAAAAGAACCAGCGCACGGAATATAGCTATGGTTCGTGTACGTATAGCTCAGAGCATACATGTCTTCCATTCGTTGCCCCTAGTCATGGTTCTATGCTCTGTCGTTGTATGTAAAATATGCATACACACACTGTTTTCATGTTCAGTCAGCGAGCCTCTGGAATATCGTAGATTGCCTGACTCACCTAGCCGACATGTACTAACAAAATCGACATTTCTCGTTAATCCGTGGTGCCTGGACTGTATGTTTTTGCGTGGGAGTCTTGCAGAAACCACTTTTTCCAGATGGTGTTGTCAGAGATCCACACCTATGAGGCATCTCCTGGAAAGCATGGCCGCAAACGGCCGAATAGTACACGTACCAGCCGCAGGTGCAGTATCCTGGGTTCAAGGGGCTGCTGACAAGATGATTTCGAACGTCGCGACCCATACGAGCTGGCTCAATCGTTGCCATGACTTTCTGGAGATACCAAAAGCTTGACGAAGGATCGTGTTAAAAGAGTACTGAACAAGTAGATCAATTGAGAGGAATGTAAGGGTAACAGAAACGATATTGAAGTAAATGATGAGTGAGATCTTGCAGATATCTTCAGCAATATATAAGTTCTCTGAGTATCCTCAAGCCTAAGCCCTCGCGTTTTAGCTTGATTATTGACCTTGGATGAGTTCGCGCGCGCTTCCAGAGCTCAAACGGGCAACGGTATACGGATGAAGTGCCGCTCAAGGTTTCTGCGCCGCAATCGAAAGATGGGACGAGCACCTTAGTCGCCATCGGCTATTTCTGGACGACCTGTCACGACGTACAAGAATCGTGTCGAATCCTCAAGCCTGAGCCCTCTCGTTTTGGCTTGAATGTTAGACTTCGAATTCGCGCGCTTTCAGAGTTGAAACGGGTAACGGTATACGAATGAATTGCCGCCTAGGGCTTCTGCGCCGCAATCAAAAGATGGCTGAGCACTTTAGTTAGTCACGTTTATTTCTAGACGACCTGTCGCGACCTATGATAAATCATTTTTGAATTTATGGTACCGCGCTTTGAGGGGCTGTGCGTAGTAATAGCCAATTGTGCTTGCGAATTTGGCGCCGAGGACTGAGCATCCACAAATGTAGTCACCCGAAGAATGTGTTCGAAAGTGCGAGCTACCGAAGATTTACCGACCGCAACGCGCAACGCGCTACCCATATAGTGAGTGCATCGACCTCTGATCACGACATACTCTATTCATGACCATAATCTGTCTTTGACACGTTGGCCAAATCGTATCTCTCACAATGATCAAGCCGAATGAAAGGTTCATGTCTGAGGGGCAGGGTTATTTTGGTTCACGAGAAGACCCCAACACTGAAACACATTGCAACGTGTGGGACTGGGACCAGCTCTGCATGATAAAGCTGAAGGGGACAGCGAAGCTCTTTCCGCCCAATGAAGACGTCGAGGTCCCAATACTGGCACGAATGGCCGATCTCCTATCTCCTGAAATCCGTGCGGTCACAGTGAACGATGAAGGGCTCATTGTCGAAACATCGAGAGATCCAGAGGAGGACGATACGATGTTCATTGGTTATCTTCCCCTCTCCTCTTACAAGTTCCTTCATGGATGCCGTCAAATACAGTATTCCAAACTAAAAGAACTCGATCGCCTTGGGCCTGGCGTAGACCTGTGTTCATACCACGACGAATCCGGAACTCTCGAAAAGGTCGTCTTCAAGTTCAATCCCATTGGGAAGGATTTGCGGTTGAACATGGCATGGAATGAGATTAATCTTCTTGCGACTCTGTCAACCCACCCAAATATTGTACCATTTGATCGCGTGGTGCTCGATGATGTTGAATCGCGTGTGGTCGGCTTTACAGTGAAATACATACCTGGAGGGACTCTGGAGAATCCAAAGATACCATTTCGCTTCGAGTGGTTGAAACAACTCACCGAGCTTGTTGATTATCTCAACCTGGACTGGGGAGTCATGCATCAAGATATTGCACCTCGGAACCTGCTCATCGATCCCGAGACACAGAAGCTCCTCCTCTTTGACTTCAACTGGGCTGTGTGTGATACAGAGGACCTATCATCTGGGCGGGACGATGTGACTGGTGTCATATTTACGCTATATGAGCTTATCACAAACGATACGCACTTCACAAGCATCGCTCATTGGGAGCGCAATGTGGATGTAGTTCAACACATGACGGACTGGCCTTGCAAGCGCGAACTTGATGCTGACGTAACGACGTTACGCAAGTTCCTGGACGAATGGGTTGCAACCAGAAGATCTCCTGGCGACCTTGAACGATTTCTCAATGCACCAAACCAACTTGAATTGTCAAAGCGACCGAACCCTCCCGACTACAATGTCCCTTTTCCGTGTGGAACGACACTCGAGGGTGAAACGGCGTGGTCGACAGGCCCGCGAGGTGTGCAGGATGCAATTGGAATAGGTCAATTTGTTTTTCGCTGGCAAAGACCGCCACAGAGTAGGTTGAAAGGGCCAGATATCTAATCATGATAATAAGCAACATGGCTGTATTTTTCGATTCATACTAGAGAGAACGATTTATGTCGTATATAGCAGGGATTACGCTGCAGGCGAGCCTTATCTGCTATTACCGCGTAGCTCCTACATAGCAATAAGGCTGCAGCCTTTCGCCATAGTCCTCACCTCAGCCTCGCGCGTCTGTCTACGCCTGTCACTCTCCATCAGAATCTTATCACATAAAACTAGTCGTGACATTCAATGATCGGCATATCCAACGTGATACACTATGATGGAGTCTTTCATTTACGAGCCACTCGATTCTGAACAGCATGACTTTAGGCTTCTCACGCTACTTGGCGGCGACGAAAAGCAAATTCGGTGCAGGATCTCCCATTATTCACTGAGCTCAGACTCGGCTATCAGCAAGCCTTATGAGGCATTGTCGTATGCCTGGGGTGTTACCGCCTTTGTTGAGTGCATCGAAGTCAACGACAAGGAGTTTTGGATTACTGAAAATCTGAAAACAGCATTGGATGTTCTTCGGCATCGAGACAAAGGCAATGATCGTACACTATGGATAGATGCCATCTGTGTCAATCAGGAAGATCTCAAGGAATGCAATCAGCAAGTCCCCATGATGGGAGAAATATTCGAAAAGGCGGAACAAGTGATCTTCTGGCTTGGAAAAGCAACGAAGCATGCAAGAACATTGATGCGATGTCTCAACACCCTTGAATCAGCTTTTGTAGACCGGTCCGAAGGCGAGCATTGGGAGATCGACGATACGCGATGGCTCGGGCTCTGGAACAGCTTTGGCTTTGCCGAGGAAGTGAAGCAGGCCTGCGTCACAGGTCTCGAGTTCCTCCTGAGCCAACCGTGGTTTGAGCGAGTGTGGATCATTCAAGAAGTTGCCAGAGCTAGTGTTGGAACTGTATGCATCAGCGACTTTAACGTGAGTCCAAAGATACTCGCGGTCGCTCCTGTAGTACTCGATACAATTCCCGACCCTCATTGTCTCTCAATCCTGAGTATAATGCCAGGGGTCACGAATCCGCGCCCTGAGTGGTTGTACCAAAACAACGATATCATCACGATCATGTCGAGGTTTAGAAACTGCAAGGCCACAAAGGTTCATGACCGAATTTATGGACTACTAGCAGTCTGCACCCACCATGACATCCAGATTAACTACGACCAACCAGCTAGCGAGGTCTTCCAGCAGGTCTTCGATGCTACACTCAATATGACTACCGCATCCTTGCATGAAGTGCTCCTCATATTTCAAAACTTACCAACACTTAGTGCTGTATTCATGGTCAAAGTTCAAGAAGATATCTGGGCAAGCTCCATGAAAATGGCTTCGTTCGAAGTAATTGACGGATATTGGAGGACAAGATACGAGAGTTTAGAACCGCTTTTCGACGCTTTGATGTCCGTACATAAAGAAACGAAATTTGACTGGCGGTTGCTGATAGAACCGAACGAACATCGTGTATCCGACACAGAGAAGACAATGTTCCAGAAAATATCGCATCTCCAACGAAAAGAAGACGGAGGTCCGGGCTACCTTCTTACCCGGAGGTTGTTTGATGATGGGACGTCAATGGCGCATGTGCAGGTTATGGTGCCCGAGGTAATGACCGCCAAAGTATGGGCGATAAACGATCTGGGTATGGCATTACACACTGCCCATTACTATACTGGTCTATCCACTGCTCGAGCTTTACTCCAAAGTGTGAAATGGAGTCCGGATTTGTTAGACCCCGTATTCCAAGCATCAGTTACAAGATTGCGTCATGAAATTGTTGAATTACTGCTTGAGACAAGAAGCACTCATAATGCAACTCAACTGGACCTTGACAAGGCCTTGGGTCGAATACCCTTGGGTGAATCATCAGATCGTAAGCAAATTGCACTACACATATTTGAAAAGTTGATCCAGTCAGGGGCTAGTTCAACCTCGCTACAGAACAACATTGGCGTTCTTATTGCCGCACTATTGGAACCAGGATTTACCGGGCTCGCGGAAACATTACTTTGCAAAGACCCAGACCTTGCACAAGTGGCCTTGTTCACAGCTTCGAGTTCTGGTGACCCGGACGCCATCCAGGTACTGTTATCGTATGTCAAGAATGTGAACTGCATAGACCCTAAAACAGGCTTAACACCATTAATGGCTGCTTGTACACCAGGTAAAGAAAATTGCGTCCGGAAACTCATTGCCGGCGGCGCAGATGTAAACCAACAGGCTATTTCTGGGCATACGGCTCTATTCCAGGCCGTGATACACCGTGCGAAGCTTAGTATGCGACAGCTCATTAGCGCTGGTGCAGGTACAAATATCATGGATAAAGATGGGCGGACGGCCCTATTTGAGGCCGCACGATGCAAGAACGAGAAGGCTATAGATAAGCTTATTGCCGCTGGTGCAGACGTCAATTTCGCAGACAAGCTCGGGCGTACGCCATTATTTGAGGCCACAACGTCTGAGCACATGATTGGCATGAGGTACCTTATGGTGGCAGGCGCAGACGTCAATCACAAAGATAATCGCGGGCTTACGGCCCTATTTGAGGCGGCACGACATAGGGAAGAATACTGTATACGAATGCTTATTAACGCTGGTGCAGACGTCAATTCCACAGATGACCGCGGGCGTACAGCTATGTTCGTGGCTGTAAACTATGGTTCAGTAGACTCTCAGCTACCCCTTCTCGCCGCTGGAGCCGATTTGAATCATAAAGACACCGATGGACAGACAGTCTTCTTAATGGCCATGCATCGCCAAAACTGTGTGCACAGCAAAATCATCGCCGCTGCAGCCGACGTTAATCAGGTAGATGACCGAGGAAACACAGCGCTCATTATAGCAACAAGAAGCCTATTCTATAGCAAAGAGGTCGTGGAATCATTGCTCAAAGCTGGTGCTGATGTGCATTATCAGAGTGCCGAGCATGGGACAGCATTTCACGCGCTGATCAACACATGGAGTTTTAAGGACTGCTGTTATAGTGATGGTCCAATATTGACAGCTGACTGTTTGCTCGAATACGGCGCTCAGCCTTCAGAGGAAGACGCGGAGACACTGAGGAGGTGGCAAAGTCATCTAATGATCACTCGGAGGAGAACGATAGCACCTTGAGAGATTGGATTACACTTTAGTGCTATATACTCTGGGCAATAAGTCATCAAGTAAATTTCTACAGCATGCTATAAACATCAACCCATTTAATATCTACATCACAGTGGCCGAGATATGACATGTTCAGGTAGGGGCGGCACGGCACGTGAAGAACCAGCGTGAAAAAGGCGTTGGATCTATTGCGGTGCCTGAGCGCAAACATACCCTTCGTACATCCACATGTCAGTCAAACGCTGCGTCACGGCCGAATCCAACAGCAACACCGCAAGCAGCAGGATAGCCCCTTCAAAAAGAATCACCAGCAACAATCAGCCCAGACCATCATACATTACTCCTCCGACCTCATACCACATTAAAAAATCCACATCGCACCCCACATTCCCACCTCAACTGGCAACAAAATGCCCAGTATGCCCCTTCACCCCATCCCGACACCGCTCACAGTCCTCCCTCCTGCCTTCCTCCCACCGTCCTCTCGCCGACACCGCCCCACTGCGCATCCTCCGCCTCGGCACCGCACACCTGGCATCGCCCTCCACGCTGCCAAACACATTCATGCGCTCCAACAACATCTCCGCCGAGCATCCCGGCGTCGTCGGCTCGTTCTCACTGATCGGTGAGGGCAGACCGGTATCGTCGAACGCGAGCGCGCTGTTTCGGAGAGCGCGCACGGGGAGACGGAGGGGCGCGGGGGATGTGCGGGCGCGAGGGAGCGGAGGGCGGAGGGATGTGCTGTCGGTGTTGGTCGCGGCGATGGGCGTGGGAAGGCGGCCTGTGGATGCGGCTGGGTTTGCGAGTTTCTGTGCGTCCAGGCGGGCCGGACGGGTTGGACGGATGAATGTGGGTGGGGAGAGGCGTGATTGGGGAGGCGGTGGAGTCATGGGGACGTCGTTGTCGTCGTCGGAGTCGGTTTCTGAGTCGATGTCCATGGCGTTTGGGGTCGTGAAGTAGGATTGGGGTGCAGAGTCGGAAATGGGGGTGGGATAGAAGTCGAGGAGAGGGGTCGGTGGGAGAGAGATGGAGCAGGCGAGGAGGAGGCCAGGAGTGAAAATTTGTGGTGTGTTGCATGCTTTCTGTGTCTGTGTGAATATCTTGTCCATAGAGATGGTGATAAGATTGATTACAACATACCTTGTCCAAGTGCATGTGTTGATACTCTTCTTCCTCATCCTCATCTCTCGCCCGCTTAAGCCCCTGAAACAAGCCCATGATGCGCGAGTCCTGTATATCGGTTCTCACGCGTAGTCTGATTAAAAAGAGGTCGAATCAATAGAAGATCTGGCAGGACAACGAGAATGCAGGACGACCGGGACGGCGAACGAGGAGGGTTTCGGGCGATACTTGTAATGCAGCAAGAGGGTCAGCAAAGTACAATCAACAAGCGCCCGAGTCAGGAAGCTGCCACACGATATGGCAATGCGATGCACAGAGTGTAGAGGAAAATTGCGGCTCCGTGTTTCAGGCGCTCGGCTAGGTGCAGAATTATGTCATGGAAGGGGGCCGTGGCGTTCAGGAACAGGAAGGTCGGCTGGGTAAAGTTCGAGCCAGGGCTTGTGAGATCGGCGACTTACCAGGAGACAAGTAGCAGAAGTGTGTTTGAGAAGCATGTACTAGCAGTTTTATGTTAAGATATGCTTATCCATCCCGCGTGTTGACGGTCGTCGCGATATTAATCCAGGTTAGCAGGGAATGCCCGGCGCTAGCAGGGATATACATATCTGCTAGCCAATTATAGCTCGCGCTCGAATTAGAGATTGAGAGCCTCAGGCCGCAAGGGTGCTTACATAGCACACTATATCTTAACCTTCGACCTCAAGTTGTTTTCCTTTTTGTTCCCTGCGTCGGAATCGGAGTTATGGTATGCACACGCCTTATGTTAGTACTTATATAATATGCGAGTTTGCTCTATTCCTGCTGCCTTCATTCAATATAGGAGCTAATTATTCTTTTGAATGGACATTTCCTCCCTCCTGAGTACCTCTTAGACTCTCCGCAGTCACTTCATCATGATTAAGAAACAACAAGGCCAACTAGAATACCCCGCCAGCCATAACACACTCTCCTCCACCACCACCAGAGTCGATGATGGCCTGATTGGATGTCACCTCACACAAAATGTAGCATTTGGGAGACCGTCGGGCGCTTTGCATGCCTAGCCGCACACATTCTCACGCGTCGCTCGCCAGCAAACAACGCTAGGCCGCATACAGAAGCGAGATCGGACGAGCTTAGCGGCGGGCGGTAATAGGCAGAGCATCATCAGCCCCGCCATTGGTCGAGAGACTTTTTTATTTTGACTCGAAAGATATCTAGTCATACCTCTCTGTACCCCATAACTACTTTCACTAATTACCACATCCGCACCACTACGCTCTCTCAATCCCCTCTCCTCTTCTCTTCAGCTTTCACTCTACGTCCAATCCACACTCAATTCATCATGACAGCCATAGACCTCAACGCCTCCGAGCTTCCCGACGATGTTCGCAGTATGTATTGCCCCACTACTCGCCATGCACTCGACCATTGATTTCAGCACACTTACACAAACAACCACAGTCCTGGGCTACGATCCCCTCATCCCACCTGCCCTCCTCGCCGCCGAGATCCCCATACCCTCCAACGCCGGCAAGACAGTCCTCCAAGGCCGCCGCGACGCCATCAACGTGATCAGCCAGAAAGATGACCGTCTCCTCGTCATGGTCGGGCCCTGCTCGCTGCACGACCCTGACCTCGCCCTCGAATACTGCAAACGCCTCGTAGATCTGTCCAACAAGCTCAAGCAAGATCTGGTCATCATCATGCGCGCCTACCTCGAGAAGCCTCGCACGACAGTTGGCTGGAAGGGCCTGATCAACGACCCGGACATTGACAACAGTTTCCAGATCAACAAGGGTCTGCGCGTAAGCAGACAGTTGTACTGTGATCTGACAAGCCTGGGTATGCCAATTGCGAGTGAGATGTTGGATACCATCAGCCCGCAGTTCCTGGCCGACTTGATCTCGCTAGGTGCCATTGGCGCGCGGACGACTGAGTCACAGCTACATCGCGAGCTGGCCAGCGGTCTGTCCTTTCCTATTGGATTCAAGAACGGCACTGATGGAGGTGTGAGCGTCGCGGTTGACGCGATCGGATCAGCAGCTGCACAGCACCACTTCATGGGTGTGACGAAGCAGGGGCTAGCGGCGATCACCAAGACGAGCGGGAACAAGGACTGTTTCGTGATCTTGCGTGGAGGGAGCAAGGGAACAAATTACGACGCCGAGAGTGTGAAGGTAGTCAAAGAGACGCTGGCGAAGAAAGGACTCCCGCAGGTAATGATGGTCGATTGCTCGCATGGAAACTCGCTCAAGGATCACCGCAATCAGCCCAAGGTTGCGGATGCTATTGCACAGCAGCTGAAGGCTGGCGAGGATGCCATTGTGTCTGTCATGATTGAGTCGAATATTGAGGAGGGCAACCAGAAGGGCGACGGTAAGGGGCTTGATGCTCTGAAGAAGGGCGTCAGTATCACCGACGCCTGCATCAACTGGGACACGACCGTCGATGTTCTCGAGAACCTCGCCGAAGCAGTCCGCGCACGACGGGAGCTGAAGAAGACGGCGACCAACGGCGCGCACTAGAGAAATACCAGAGGCATGTTGGATGAGTCGCGCACGAAAAGTTCCTTTGTTTATGATGATCTGATCCCCTTTTTCTTCAAACATCTCCGAGGTTAGATGTCGGCGTCCGGATAGAACCTTCCCCACCCATAGCAGAATGTACATATCAAACCGCAACCTCTATGCTATGCGTAGCCGCGAGCCCGTATTCACGCTTTTCTTTTTCCACATTGGCCACAAGTATATATATATTACACAAGAACTCCACCCTGATGTTCCTCTCCCTTTTCCGTCAACCCAAGTGCTGCACCATTCAATCAAACTCGAATACCAAGTTCGCCTCTTGTTCAAACCGGCAATTCCGCATTCCTCCTCGCGACTCCACCCATCTTATCCAACACGACGGCCACATACGGACCCACAACCGGCACACTCGTGACCACACCCGCGATCGTGGCGAAGAAGTCCCCAAACAGCACAAATATTCCGTACAGCTCTACCATGAATCCGACAAACGTCCATCGCAGGAGGATCAGCATGATGCCGCCGCCAAACGCGGCAGTGCCTTTGATCTTTTGCCGGCGCGCGAAGAAGGCGAGGGTTTTGGCGAAGCCGATTATAAGGGTCAGGCCGAGGATGAAGAGGATCTGGTAGGACACCAGGTGTGTATGTTAGGAATTGGGTGGTGGATTGGTGGGGAGGGACGAAGGGAGGGGCGTACGTTTCCCATTGCGAGCCTGATTGTTGTCAGTTAGTTAGTCGGTCAGTCAGTGATTCAGTCAATTCGTTCATTCATGCAATGCTTCCGATCCCCCTTGAAGCAGGCGAAATGGTAGGGCAGGGAGTACATACATGGCCCTATCAAAAAACATCATGACGCCTCCGAGTAAGAAGAAGCCGCCTGTATTTGCAGCACGAGCGTGTATGTGAGCGGTTTGTGCTTTCTTGACAATGTGCGTTGTGTACGCGTGTGCCGTGTGAAAGGCGCGAGTCCTTACCTACCCCCGGTGCAGAATGCGACGCCGATTTCTGTAGGGTGGTGAGGTTAGCATTGATTGTGTGTGTATGTGGTTTTGTGGGAGGGGGGGTGGAAGGGGACGGACTTTGGCTGTCGCTGAGCCACATTGATGGCATTGTTGCGGTTGTGTTGGTGTGGAGAGAAGAGAGAAGAGAAGTGTAAGGGAGAACAATGTGTGTAGTTGTGTGTTGCGCGTGTTGTTGTCGTTTGGGCAGCACAAGACGACACGACACGAGACGAGTGTTGGAGATCTGGCGTGGACTTTTTGGGACGCGGAAGGCGGAAGGTGAGAAAGGGGCCCGTGCGTCGACGGAGGTGAGGCGGAACCTAGATTGCGTGTGGTCGGACGCGTAGCGTGATTATGTAAGACGCGGGAGAACTTCTTCGTGTTCAAATTTGTGATGCACGAGTCCGGCGTCAAAAACAGTAGCTTTTGCTGCTATAATTTTATTCTATTCTCGCACAATGAGCCCCAGATATGTGTATGGCTATATGTTTCTATGTATGAACTAGCCGGCCTGACTGTGCTTTGGAAGCTTTGTGTGTAGAGACCGCGCCGCGACAACGGTAGATTCTCATTCTGCTGTAACTAGTACCTCACACAATGGGGTGCTGGTATTCGTCATTGGCGAAGAGTGACTATTGCGGATCACAAATAAGCCGGAGCGCCTTCTTGAGCCCTTCTCCGAGAGGAGTTGGGTGGGTGGATTGGGCTTGACTTGGTTGGTCACACATGTCGGACACGCTTGAGCAGCATGAACGCCCTATCTTTTCATTCCCAATAGATGGTCGTAGACAAAAATGACATGCGCCCTCCTTTTGAACGCCGTGATCTCCAACAAAACTGCCAGTGAATGCCGCGCTCCCGCTCACTTTAGCACCGTGTGCGCTCCTCTCGCCGCAAGATACTGCTCCGAGCTTCCCTGGGCCATTGTCCTCAACAAACCATACACCTCCACATTATGATACCGCAGCCGAGACTTCGGATCTGTATACGGCGCCGGCAGCCCCGTCACGTCGCAGTAATGCCGCTGACTACTCGGATGCAAGCTCGGCGCGCTCTCCACATTCGTGTACGTGACTGCAGGACCACCACCGTTCCCACCCGTTGCTGCCCTCTGGTTCTTCTCCAGCACCAGCCTATCCAGATGCTGTGCTGCCTGCGCGATGTTGGGGTTGAGATGTGAGCCGTTTGCGGCTGCTGCTGCGGGCGTCGCAACGCCGCCGGTGCTGGCGGCAGCTGGAGTCGAGCTTCCGCTGTTGTTCTGTGTTGCGAGCACCGAGGCTTCTTTGCGTGACGCTTCGGAGAGGATCTGCTTGACGTTCTTGTTGCGCCGCTGTGGTGGTTTCCAGTTCGGGTTGCGGAAGGGCTTGCGGATGGCGTAGAGGTCGAGCTGGTCGAGGAGGGCTTGGTGGTTGGTTTCGTCTGAGGCTTGAGTTATCGGCGCCATAGCAAGGAGGTGATATGCTGGAGGTGGAGTGTTTAGGGACTGAGAGAGCTGGTTGAGGTGTGAGTGGTTTGATGCCCGAGTCGTTTATGGTCGATCCGAGTTAGGAATAGCGCACTGGAGACTCTAAGCTAGACGGGAGATGTGGTTGTACCGTTGTGGTTATGTTTAGACTCTGCGAACATTGCTTAGAGGGCCTACATAGTGAACGTAGTGAATACGTATTGTGAATGAACATACTATGGTACGGCCTAATAACATAAACAGGTTGGTTTATATCCTTCGATTCCGCTTATGCTCAAAAGTATACTTCGTTCTACCTGACAATTAGTTCCGGATTTGGTATAGCGTGCTAGCTCTTCGTGATTTACCAGGTATTATGGCACCTGTCTAAGCAAATGGTCTTAGGTTGACTGCTTCAAACTACAAAAAGCATCTGGACAGACCGATTACTATACAGATCAATATGGTAACCTATATGTCTACCAGACCTCTAATAATACGCTAACATCCTTTGCAGGAGAGCCCACACGAGTATCAACAAAGCCTTTTGCTTGCGCGTATTATCAACAACGTCGTACGTCACATGTCAACAACCTGAAGTAGCATTATAGTGACAGAAAAACCAGGAGAAGCTGAATGAGTCCGTTGTAGTCTTGAACAAGAGCTTACAGGCAGGTATACACGCTCGACATCTGTTGTTGTCTGCTGACTTTGCAATTATAGGAGATCATCATCCAAAACACGAACGTCGAGCTGGTCGCTCAGATGTTTAAGAACTACCAATCGAGTACACTCTTCCACTTACAAGGTATGGATTTTGTTTGAGCATGCGGGCGATTGATATCTGACCGCGTTGAAAGCCACGGACAGTCTGAAGGACCCATCATGAAGCAGAAGGGACAGATTCGCGATGTAATGGAAATGTGCCATGCTATTCTGAAGTCCTTGTAACACTGTTTATCAACTTGAATGCTACATAGGCCATGGGTTGCTGTTTCACGAGTCCTTTGCTCAATGAACGCGCTCAGCAATAATAGGGTGTTTTAGCCAGCCTTGCCCGCATTCCGTTCCGGGCGGCGAGCTTCAGATAGCTGCAACCAAAATGTTACCTTTCGCAGGACTTCCGCCGTATGCCTAGAACCACAAAGCTGCTCTGGTGAGCCATCATATCTTCACAACTCCGCCTCTCCATTGATCGTGACTTGCCATGTGGTGATTCTGCGCATACGACTCTACTGTCGGCCACCGCAATGGCACCTTCATTCGCAAACGATGTCCCTGCTGGCTCCGGGCGCAACTCTCCCAAGCCTGAGCCTACGAAGCTTTGGGGTGTCAGCGAGCCTCCGTTCGAAGGCTTCAAGCCAATCGATACTGAAGGATACAAACGGAGCAATTCCAGCACCGCAATCATCATCGATAATGGTAGACTGCATGCTCCAGCGCATAAGATGAAGCACGATGCTGATGAAAATAGGCTCTTCCAATGTTCGCGCCGGCTGGGCTTTCGATAACAAACCACGAATCACATTACCACCTCTTAACGCCCGCTATCGAGATCGGAAGCTAAACCGAACGTTTGTCTTCACGGGATCTGACGTCTACTCCGATGGAACGGCGCGCGGACAGGCGAAAAATGTGTACGAGCCGGGTAGCAACATAATAAACAACTGGGATAGCATGGAAGGAGTCCTTGATTATGTCTTCGTCAAACTAGGACTGGGTGATGCACAAGGGGGCATAGGAAGGCCGGTGGTCCTGACAGAGCCAGTCGCAAATCTGGCATACTCGAGAAAAAGTATGAAATGTTGCACAACATATGACTGCACTGTGCTAACTTGTATACAACAGCCATGTCCGAGATTCTTTTTGAGTGTTATGGCGCGCCTTCCGTGGCCTATGGCATTGATTCTCTCTTCTCGTACAACTACAACAACGGCAAACACGGCCTCGTCGTGTCCTCATCATATACATCAACCCACCTCATACCTGTCGTCAACTCAAAGCCACTTCTGTCGCATGCGACTCGCCTCAATTGGGGAAGGTTTCAGAGTGCGGAATATCTACAAAAACTGCTGCGCCTCAAATACCCTTCATTCCCGGCTAAACTCAATGATCCACAGTCTGAGGATCTCGTGCGCGATCATTGCTATGTCTCGGACAATTACGAGCAGGAATTAAGTCGGTATCTCGATTGGACCGGCTTGGAAGACCGCAATCGCACCGTTCAGTTTCCCTTCACAGAGCAGATCATTGTACAGAAGACTGAAGAAGAGCTGGCAAAGATAGCAGAAAGAAAGAAGGAAAGCGGGCGGAGGCTCCAGGAGCAAGCCGCGAAGATGCGGCTTGAGAAGCTGATTAGAAAAGAGCAAGAACTGGAGTACTACAGAGAGTTACTCGACAGGGTACAAAACACGACCAAGAAGGAGGCGAGGACATTACTGGAGTCGGACGATTTCGACGACGAAGGGCAACTAGAAAAGAAGATCAAGGAGATGGACAAGTCCATTCGCAAAGCACGTAACAAAGACCTCGGTGATGAGCCAGAGGAAGAGCAAGAGGAGCCTACGTTCCCTCTACTTGAAGTTCCGGATGACCAGCTCGACGAGGATGGTCTGAAGCAGAAGCGACAGCAGCGTCTAATGAGGTCCAATCACGAAGCCCGCGCAAGAGCAAAGGCCGAGAAAGAACGCGAGAAAGCCAGAATAGCCGAAGAAGAGCGTCTGGACACCGAGCGCCGCGAGAAAGACCCAGAAACTTGGATCGAAGAGCGTCGCGCCGCGCGACACGCAATCGTGGCTAAGATCAAGGAGAGGGAGAGGATGAAGGCAGAGCTGGGAAATCGAAAATCGCTTGTAAATCAGATGCGCATGAAGACAATCGCCAACCTCGCGTCGGATACCCCAACAAAGAAGCGTAGGCGCGGCGGGGGTGACGACGACACATTCGGTGCAGACGATGCTGACTGGGGTGTATATCGGACTGTTGCGACGGGCGAACAGGACAGCGATGATGAGGAAGAAGACCTCAATTCTAATCTGAGAAAGCTGGAAGAGCAGCTACTTCAATACGACCCGAACTTTACAGAAGACAGCACACGAGAGGCCGAAACAGACTGGACCAAGAGTTTAGTTCACGCTTTCCTACGTGGACCATATCCTTACGACCCTGAGGACCAGCGGCAATCACATCAACTGCACTTGAATGTTGAGCGTATCCGCGTGCCAGAAGTCGTCTTCCAACCCTCAATCGCGGGAGTAGACCAAGCCGGAATCGTGGAAATTGCAGCAGGCATCCTCAACGAGAGGCTTGGTGACTCTGCGTATCGGACGGAGATAATGAAAGACATCTTCTTGTGCGGTGGTAACACTTTGTTCCAAGGATTTGAAGAGAGACTAAAGAACGAGCTACGCGCAGTCATGCCAGCTGACGCGGTTATGAAAGTACGAAAAGCCGGCGACCCAGTGCTAGATGCATGGAGAGGTGCGGCAAAATGGTCGGGCACTCAGGAGGCGAAGCAGAGCTTTGTCACGAGGGCGGAATTCTTGGAGAAAGGTGGAGATTACCTGAAGGTGTGTTGCTCAAAATATATGAACGCGCAATCAATGCTAATGCTGCACAGGAACATTCATGCGGGAACGCCTTTCAATCTTACTAGGTATATGTCTTACCACATGAGCATTGGGATACTCATCAGCTCAAGAATGGAAACATCTTTTGTGAATGCTTCACATTAAGAATACAAAAACTTACGGTGTTTCCCTCTATCTAGTGCCACTACATCCGTAACCGGACCCGAGGCTGCTCGCTGCACTGGTACCGTCTGTGTATGTGAACATCGCCGTCCTGCCGTCAATTGACTTTTCAGTCTTCAGTGACCATTCCAGCATCCAAGCAATAATCGAGGCCCCTTTAGTGGAGTTCTGCACACTAAACATCGTTCAGATCATGTGACGTCTCAGCCTCACGAACCTCTTCCCCTGAGGAATGACCTCACCGCGTCTAAAGGACTGGAATTTAGCCAAATACGCTTTAGTGTTGTTCACGTTGCGTCTTGGCAGACCCAAACAAGATCCTGCCACGCGTCTTATGATTGCTATAACAATACTAGACTTGAGAATATCGAATAATTGGATATAATGCTTCCGAGGGGAGAAGATAGTATGCTTGCGGATGGGACAATGAAGCTGAGCGATCTGCCCCGTTCGGCAAAACAATATATAAGAGCTAGACCAACTAGCATCCCATAACCATTTGGATGGTATTCTGACAACTTATTTCCAAGCATCGAAGATGATATTCTTATTGTTTTCGTTTTTATTGAGTGCATCTGCTGCGTTTCAGCCGTGCCCACTCCCTGGTGCCGCATTTCTCCCTCCAAAACATTTGGCCACAGATCAGAACTTCAAGCAGCTGGCGGTAAATCTGACTAAAAAGCTCGACAGGGCTTTGAACAGTGGTCAAAGTAGTTATGGCCCGGTTCAGAAGGACAACACAGCGTACTCAGTGTCAGTTTTCGCCGTTGATAACCCAGATTTACTATCCCAATGGCATCACACACCAGATATGATCAAAAACTCGTCATTCGGTGTACAGACAGTGGATGCAAACTCGGTCTATCGTATTGCCAGCGTTTCAAAGCTTGTCACGGTCTACGCGCTGCTCGCATCGATAGGAGACCAATACTGGCACCGGCCGGTCACGGACTTTGTTCCTGAACTACAGCAGCACGTCGAGGAGGATACGAAAAGTGCACTGGAATACGTGCAGTGGGATCAAGTGACGCTTTCAGACCTGGCTAGCGAGATTAGTGGAGTTACTCGAGATTGTAAGACTCCTTCTCTACCATGTGACATGTGATGAATCTATGCTCAGCATTATACAACAGTCATCGCCAGAAAGAATGATATCTCGTTTATTCCTGCATCTGTCGCGCAGATGGTGGGCCTACCTGCTCTCTCCCCGGACGACCTTCCACCATGCCTTCTCAATGCCACAGGCACAGTGCAAGACTGTGATAGAACCGGTACGGGTGTCTAGAAGCCATTTCGTGTTTCGCTGATCAGGTCTAGAATTCTTCGCATCTATCGACACTCGACAGCCTATCTTCCCCTCGGGACTAAAGGCGGCGTATAGTAATACAGCATTCCTAATCCTCGGTTACGCCATGGAGAGTATTACTGGCCGCTCGTTCGGAGACATCCTCGATCAAAGCATTATCGAGCCGTTATCGCTGAACCGTACATTCTACAGTAAACCTGAGGATAGCATGGGCGTTATTCCTAGCACTCCGTGGGAATCACTGTGGAACTTGGTCACCGCTTTGCCTGCGTGAGTTCTAAGTCCACACTCGTTTTCTGTAGCCTAGAAATAACTCTGTTCTATAGTTCTGGTGGCATGTATAGCTCTTCTTCCGACCTAGCTGTTATAGGCCGGTCGATCCTCTCCTCGGAACTCCTGACTCCTGCGACAACCAGGTCCTGGCTGAAACCAGATGCTTTTACTACATCTGTTAATACAGCCGTCGGGAAATCATGGGAGATATATCGCTTTCCTCTGTATGAGCACCGAAATGTGGATGCATATACCAAGTCTGGCTCGCTTGGGGCGTACACATCCAATATCATCCTTCTCCCGGAGTTCGGCGTAGGATACTCCGTGCTAACCGCAGGCCGTGCTCTCGAAGCTCCTGTCACTCGAACCATCGCCGAATCCCTCATCCCGGGACTCGAAGAAATTGCCAGACTACAGAGTGTCGAGAACCTGGTTGGTACCTTCCGCGCCATGGATGGAGGACTGAACTCGTCCATGATATTTACGTCTGATGCGGGGCTTCCTGGTCTGGGTGTCTCGTCGTTTATATCGGATGGGAAAGACGTTGTTGCCAACCTTGGAAGTCAATTTCTGGGATCGGGCCAAGGACTAAGCCTTAGACTGTATCCGGCAGAGCTTGAACAAGATGTTGGGGATGGAACGCGGAGGATTGGGTTTCGTATAGCCTATGAAGTTGTCGAAGAGGCACAGAACAGCCCGTTCGCGGCTTGTGCGACCTGGTTTGGCGTGGATGGCCTTAGTTATGGGAGACATGGCGTCGACCAAGTGGTGTTCACGGTAGATGAGAATGGACGGGCACTGAGCGTGGAACCACTACTCCTCGACGTGGTGTTGACTAAAGTAGGTTCATGACTGGGCACATAGTTAAATACACGTTTTGAATGCAGAGCTAATATCGACGAGATCATGTACTGCCCTATCATAGGTGATCGACTTCCCAAAATGTCACTTCTCGTTCCAATTACCGAGCTCTAGAGTAACTCTTCTGCCTTTGCTTGTCCTCACTACCAATAATCCCACTCAAGCCGCCTCATATGGTCATACACAAAGAACAACAGCACACATGCCACAACACCCACCCTTGCCGCCATCCTCCTCACCCCACCCAATCTCTGCACCCCTTCCTCCCCACTCCCTCTCCCGGCACTCCTGCCCCATTTACCTTCTGAGAGACAATACAAGGTAGCGCACAACTACAGGTATGTAGATACATAGCGACCATAGAGAAGCATACGTTAGATTGGCAATACCTGCCTTCAAGTTCTTCATGGCTGCAACCCAGGACCGAGCTCCGGAAGTCCGGCTCGGAGATGCTACATATCCGACAGTCGGAATACCACATGTAAGGCATCACACCACCCACGTAACTCATCTCACACATCCATCTCGATGACGAAATCAAAAACATAATGACGCACTTTACATCTAACCGCCAATCCATCAAATCCAAGCCACCGCGGCGGTAATCAGCAGACGACACACTATTACGCCGTGCCGAGCCGAACCTAGCTCAGGACCCTTTCTACTGCTAGTCACAACCCCAAGCTACAACCAGTCTCTCTGCCAGACAATACGTCACCCATCACAGCCCCTTTCAAGCCATCTCCCTCGCCATCGAAAGACAAATGCAGCGTGACGAGCAACGCAATCCAGTGAATGACCCCTGTCGCAGATCAAAGAACCCGGGCGTACACCGCAGTACGTAGCACGACGTCATCGGAGCCTCCCCGCATGACCGCGCCACGCTCGCCTCGATCATCGCGGGCCTAACGCCCGATCGGTAAATGCGCGCCCAGGAGATCACTCCGAAATCCTGTTTTTTCGGGGACTTGTTTAAGTTGTTTTTGGAGTAGTGGATATTTGTAGGTATATGTATATATATATATATATAATGTGTTTGTCTCCCCTTGCGACTTTCTTCTCCTCGTACATCATCCACAAACACATCTCAGCACATCCACACTGTACACACACACACACACATACATACCTGCAATAAACACCCCACGAACAGAACCCAACCTTCTCAAAACAATGAACTCCCTCAAGAACGCAGGAAACTACCTCTCCTCCAAGGTCCAGGCCGGCGGCCGCGCAACGTCCAAGGAGGCCAACAAGCAGGTCGCCAAGGATCCCAACGCGCCCATCACCACACGGTACGTCAAACGCTCAGTCACTAGCTTGAAATGTCCTCGAATAGACGGAGATGGCTGATTCTTAGTTCCAGAATCTCGGCGGCCAAGGATGCTGTTGGTGATAAGCTGCACGAGTCCAAGCACAAGGGGAACGCGAGTGCGTATAAGCAGGGGATTTGAGTGGGGATGTAGGTAGTAAGGTGCGGTAGATGAGAGAAGCTGGTGGTGGGATGTATTATGGTGTATTGCTTAATGGGATTCTGGGGGGGTTGTAGAGGTTGTGCAGCGGGTTTTCGAGGATGGTGAATGGGTTTCTTGTGTGTATTAATGACTGTGTCTTTTTATACCCTGATTCGTCTTTTATGAATAAATCTATATCCCCCAGTGACACGAGGTTTTCAATAGAATGACAGCTTCGTTACATGTTGTTCGTATGATCAGGAAGTATATTCGCAGACAGACCTTGGGAATGACGACCTTTTGAGACTAGACAGACCAGTCAACAGGCTGGCTTCGTTCGTTTTGCTGTCCATGTCTCATTCGAGCACCATGACGCGACTACAGGAGTTAGCTGGCCCTTGATTGGGACCGCAGAACGAAACTCTCGTCGAGACTTGACCAGTTACAGCATGTGTATCCTGTCGTGCAATCACTGGGTCTGCTTTGACTGTGTGTAGTCTCGAGCGTTCTCAGAAGCCTATTACAAGTGATGAACGGTTTGTTCGTCTCACAACATCCATCTCTACATCTCAAACTCCTCAGCGCGCCGTCCACATCCAGATACACGTCGAGGCATTTGTGACTATAGCCTGTTGTGTACAGTGCGCGACGCGCAGGTCAATCATCAGCTTTCTCGCTGTTTTCGTTCCTCACATAGATCTGTATAGACCTGGGATGTAATGTTAAGACGTCTAGCCTTAGATTCAAGTAGGGTAGAGATGCACATACGGACACAAGACTCAGTCCCATTCAAAGCATCTTCGAACAAAGCATACCATGAATTTCAAGCACGCCATATCCACCCCTAGCGCCAATGCTATGCTCTTTTTATAATTTAACTTACAACGTGAACTCAATCATCCAACGATCCCGCCGCCTCCTCCGCCTCGATCCTCGTCCTGTTAGCCAGCCGGACCAAGTCCGCATCCATATGCACGTCATCTTCATCGTGGCCCACTCCTACCGGCTCTCCCTCCAACAAGCCCTTGCCGACATCATCCTCGTCGTCGTCGACGGGCATCCTCTCCTCTGTTATAGCCGGCAGCACACCTCCGTTGGCTTTCATGGCTTCGACGGTAGCTTTGGTGATGTCCACGACGTAGTTGCCGAGGTGCTCCAGGCCTTCGATATCGGTGGCCTCGACGGCGTCTGCTGCCAGTCGCTTCGTGGGGTGCATTTCGCCGGTGACGACGGCGAGTTTGGTTGGGCGGGCAAAGAGACGGTCGAATGCTTCGTGCAGCTCGAGGCACGACTCGAAGACTGCACGGCGGCCGAGGACATACAGGCCAAGGCGAGCGCGTGAGAGGGCGACGGTCAGACGGCGGATATCGCGGAGATAGCCGACGCGAGTGGTGCGAACGAGAGAAAGAATGATGTCTAGATGCCTGTCAGTCATGGTCGTCTGGTGTGATTGGTGGGTTGATGCTTACAGTCATTCTGCTCGCCCTGGTACTTGTCCACTGTCGTCACGATCCGCGGGAGACCGAAAAGCCTGTGATTCTTGCACCTGTGGTCCAGCACGTCCTTTATGAGCGCTCGTTGTCCGGCATATGTTGTTAATATCGATATCTTGGAAGCTGCGTAGCCTAGAAGACGCATATACATGTAAATCTGAACAGCGTATTCGGCCTCGCCCAAGTTCTGGATGAAATGTGGCGTTGGCTCACTCTCGCCTTTACCTTTGTAGTCAGGCACGTCAATGAATTGGTAGTCATAACGGAAGCCGGCGTTCGCTGCAAGATACTCAGGTGATGTCTCAACGGACGGGAGGTTGCCAAGATGAGGGTATCGCCATTGGTACAAGTCTGCGAGAGTCGGTCTTGCACGACCTTGCTGGTCGAGCATGATGGTCGGCACACCAAGACGAACCAATCTCAAAAAGAGACTCTGTTCTAGGTTGGCGTACTGTCTGAATGCCATATTTTGGATGATAGGTGAGTTTTGGTAGTGATCGCCACACATGACGATCCGCTGCAAGGGCAACTCGCCATCCTTCGGATCCTGAAGAGCCAGGGGTATGAAGTTCTCAATTTCCGTGATCTGAGCGGCTTCTTCCATGATGACGTTGTCGTAGTGGAAGCCAAGCTTGGCAATCTCTTGCCGTCTCATTGCTGCATGTGTTGATGTCATGGCAATGATGCGTGCTTCCTTGATGAGAAGATAGTTTGCCTTGTCTCTTGCATTCCTCAGGATCTCAAATGGTCTAATGTCCTCTAGTTCGCTAAAGATCTTCTCGACATGACGATAGCAGCCCGTGACGACGTCAATGATAGCCTCTCGCGAGCTGTCTCGTGAAAATAGTGGCTGTGGCGCGTTCGAAAAGTATTGATGGAACGGGAATTCCGAGATAATTTGCTCGAGGCTAAATGTTCCGGATTGTACACCTTCCCAGTACTTCGTCCATGCTGGCTGCACGTAGACTTTGTTAAAGTAATCCGCAGTCTCACATGAGCTTCCATGTGCACCCGGCGCCTGGAAGTTCTGAGCCAACCGATTGACTTCAGCAAGATACTTTGCGCCATTCTCCAAGAACGACTCGACACGGCCAAACTTGCTGAAGCTAGCTTCTGTCTCAAGCTCCTCCTCTCCATGACCTAATCGAAGGAGATGCCTTTCGTCGATGTCCAGGGCCACGATCTTCTGGAAAAGCTGATTTAGGGCCTGATTGCTGTGTGCGACGAGGAGTGTCCGTTGTGATGGGAAGTTGTGATATATGTTGTTGATAATCTGTGTAGCAACATCGGTCTTACCAGTGCCCGGTGGTCCGACAATGACTGTCAAACCAGGCTGTGTTCCAGACGTGATGGCTTGAATTTGTGCCGGGGTGAATCGTACAGCGTTGAGCTTTGGCGCGTCTGTTGGATATGGTCCCGTGTTCGGAGGTTTGTACGTCGTCACTTGTAGATTCTCGGCTGCTGGTGCTTTGGGCTCCTCGGGTTCTGCGCGCCGTCTCTTTTTGGAAGGACGAACAGGAATAGACTGCTGCTCTTCTTCGGGGAACTCCAGCACATAAGGTGGACCGAAGCTAGCCTCAACCTCGTCGCTAGGTTCGATGGTCTTGCCGGGTAAGCTTTCGATTAAATGTTGCCAATCCAGAAATGTGTCCCTGAAATCTATGGACTTCAGCCTGTTAGATAGTCGTTTATAGGTGGCACTAGCAGGATCACCATAGCCAAGGAACACTTCCTGGAACCAAGTAGGCGCTGGAATATCAGAGAGTGTAAGCCGACGAATCGACTCCAAGATCGGCCTGAAATTGTTCTCACGACCTCTTCTCCTCACAACCATGTTGATATCCTCGTACACGTTTGGTTTGCCCGCAGCTTGGCGATCGATGTCTTGCTGGTATGTCACAGCGTCAATATTGACAATGAGTCGTACTTGTTGTCGCCGGTAGGATGCCCCGTTTTGCACCTGATTCTCCCGCAGCGTCTTTCCATTCTCATCTTGGACTTCGACTACCTCGGCCGCACGTAAGGTCTTCAGCCCGATCTTTTCAGCCGAACTGTCTGTGCCGTGGCCATTCGAAACGAGGCGGCCATCCCCATCAGGATGGACTGCAAGCAAGAAGATCACGTCTCCGTGGCGAAGAAGCTCCCACTCCTTCCGAAGACCAAAGTTTAATCGACTCACATCGAGAATGAGCTCCGAACGGACATGTGCAGGGTACATTTGCCCGACGTTTGCTGGCGCAACGTCCACAATCGCAGGTTTCGGTATCGGGAGTGCAAGCCGCGAGAAGCCATTGAAGCGGGTTCCTGCCGAGAGTGTTCTCTTCGGTTCCATTCGTTTGATTGCATCTTCCATGTCAGACCTGATTTCGTAAAAAGCCTCGGCTCGGTACAGGATGAAAGATCTCCAGAGAAAATCACCCATGCTAAGATATTGCAAATTCAACTTTGGGATGGCGAGCGGTCGAGAACCGTTATATGTCTGGTTTCTTAAAAATGTCTCCTCGTATAGGACGCGCTCCGTTGGTAATAAATGCATCTCCCGCACCGACTCCTGGAACGTAGGCCGCCGTTCATGTGCGCATACTAGAACCTCCGTAAAGAAGTCTCGGTCTTGCACAACCAGGGAGGATGATGGGAACTCTGTTCGAAATTTCAACAGCTGGCAAAGCTCTTGAATGTCATCATCGATGAGGGTCTTCAGGTGGCCTTCCAGATCAGCCCTCTTGTCAAGCGACGCATAGTTCGATAGTGCCAAGATGTGTAGCTTCTTATTGAAGTGCTTGATCGCGATTCGTTGGAGCCTGGCCAGTTTGGCGCAGTGTGCTTGGTGGTACTCGATTGCAGTCTGTTGTTGACCGATCTGATCATCGATCGGGAAATAGGTGAAATGCCGGAACAAACCAAACAGATCCCGGAATAGACCACTGTCTGGCCCGGAATACATGGGGGACAGCTTGACAGCAGGGACAAGATGAAGATCCTGTAAGAGGGTATTGACATAGCGTCGAGTTGGGAGTTGACTGAGCAAGTCGGAAAGAAACTCCAGGAACCGCTCACAGTACAACCTGTTCTCCATTCCAGGCTGTCCGGTCTGTTCGGGTCCATATATGCGATTCAGAAAGTCCAATAAGAGAGTGTAGAGCCATGATCGTTCGAACCTAAGTTTGCCTTTGGTCTCATCGTCAGCACCATCGTACTTCTTCTGCATTGCCCTCCATGCCTTTCTCAGCATCACATTCTTATCCAGGTGTCCTTCCCTAGCAGAATCGCTATGCAGATTGTGCCATAAGCCTATGGAGACCAGTGGTGCGCACTCCTTCCTGATCAGTCCACTGTCGAGTGATTGGAAAGCTCCAATGATAAACGATATAAGGTGCTGCCGTATCTTGGATGACAGACTCGAATCGATAGTCATAGATAATATGCGGCGAAAACAAGACGAGAACTCCGAAGCCCTATTCGTGAAGACGTCTGTACCTCTCTGTTAGCAAACAATCAATCACTCATGTTCTTCTCTCGGCCTTACCCCAAGCAGGCAGATTCTCCCTCCTCTTCACAGTAACCAGCAGAGCCATAAGCAGCACATGATGATTCGAGCTCTCCTCGCTATACCCAGGCCACAAATACTGCTCCAGCAGCTGCAGATTCTCCAAGATCAACAGCGATCCAAACGCAAAGTCGTCCTTCTCCAGGTGATCCCACAGCTCCTCCTTGACGACCGAGTTTCGCACTCTGGGCGTCTTCGCCGTGCCCAGCCAATGCTTCCTCGCGACCTGCGCGTAGTAGTTCTCTCCGTGGAGATCGGACGTCGTCGGCCTCGTATGCAGCGCAGACTCGTCGGCGGATGGAGCTGTAATGGGCACAACGGAGCCGTTGCGCGGGCGCGAGGGTGCTGAGTCGGCCATGTTTTGGCGCGCGCGCGTGCAGGTATCGTACAGTCGGATATGGGAAACCTGTCCGGGGCCTGTTATGCTGGAGTCATTATCGTGCTTTGCGTGCGCTACGTGAGAGCAAATCGCGACGCGCCTTTGGGGGATTATTTCCAGTAGCTTAACTTTGATTGAAGCTCCGACGGGGGATGGTGCTTAGTCATTCATGCGGGCCCGCCTTCATATCAACCTCACCTCTCACCTCGTCTCTATACTTCCAGACAATATTGCCCGCCCATCATGGTCGCTCTCAACCCAATTAACACGCCGGAGGAGCAGATTGAGATTGAGCGTCGGACGACGACGCTCTCCAAGAAGATCGATGCGCCCTACCCGGTACGTGCTGCACAAACCTCAGACCGGAGGGAATATCCAGCACAGAAAGAAAGCTAACAAACACCCGCAGCTCATTGACTGTGACCCGTACGTACACCCTCGACTCAGCGCCCTCAGACATACTGGATAGCTTCGCTAACAGACAGAATAGACACTTCTCCCGCGTACTACGCTACATGCGCGGCGCAGACTACGCCATGGCCGCCGGCATGACCGCTCTCCCCACCGCCCTCATCCTCCTGCAAGAACGCATAAACCCCATGAACGTCGGCAAGCGCAACTTCGCACGCATACTCCGGCTCTCGTTCTGGGGCGGGCTTGGGTCCGGCTTCCTACTCGCGTACCAACAATCAAGCTGTACGTGAAACCCCCCCTCCCCCTTTTACCGACCACCCGACGGCCTCAGTAGTAGCTAACGCAGGAATCATAACGACACACAGACCGCTTCTACGGCGCGATCGAAAACCGCCGCGAGATCGACATGGACATGCGGGAGATGGTCGACAAGGTCAAGCGCGGCGAGCCGCTGTACGGCGTGAGCTCGCTCAGTCCGCACAATCAGGGCACCATGGCCAGGAACTCGCGGTATTCGGCCGTTGGTCTGTATCTGGTTCCGTGGTTCAACTTTGTTAACCACCCATACGTATGTAATCTTAATTCCAAGGGTCAACCGGCTGTTGTATAAAGGGATCTTGCTGACGAGTCGGAATAGCATGGCGTGGATACGGCCAAGTATTATCGCCAAGCGGAGCGGGAGCTGGAGGAAGAGCGTCTTAAGAGTGGTGCGTCGTGAGTGTTCGCCAATAAAAGGGGGGAGGGTGAGGGGTTCGATTTGATGGGTGCCTGGGACGACAGCAGAGCAACTATCAATGTATGTATGTACAAAGCAAATCAATGTCGACAATTTTTCCTTTGCAGTAAACCTGGATCGGCGTTCTTATACTAGTATGTTGGTGGTCTCCTATCGTAGATATTGGAGAACCTGTACACTGTCATAGCCGGCTCTTGCATTGATTGCATCAGTACATCGTGATAATGCCTTCGGTCTCCAAAAGTCACCTCAAAACAGCAATAAAACGTTTTTTCATTGGTATCACGGTGTCTCTACTCTACTCTACTCTAGCCAAGCAAGGCGCACTCTACATTTCTATGCATCAGACCTCCTCTATGCCCCTGGCATCAAGCCCAGCCATGCTCTAAATCTTAAGCTGCTCCAGCGTGCTATACCCAGGCGGCACAGCGCCCTTCCGCTGCCCCTCAAGACCGCTGACCTTCGTACAGATCCACGTCGACGCATACATATTCACACTATCACAACGCATTAGCAAGATACACTTTCACAAAACTCAAGAGCAGGACTCACCGATCAATACACGTGCCCGGCATGCGCATGCCGACGCGATCACACCTGAAGCCCAACTCCTCAAACGTCTCGATATACCAGGGCGAGAGCCCAGAGCTACGGAGCATGACACGGCCTTTATTCTTCAGGACGCGGTTCAGGGCGCGGATCTGGGTTGCGGCTTCCGGGCCGGCGGGGTCGAACCAGTCCATGGAGTCCATGACGACGGCGATGGTGAGGGTGCCGGGGCTGATGCGGGCGATGACCTCGTTGATCTCATCGGTGTGGATGCGTAGGCCGTCGAAGGCGTCGGGCTTGTTCAGCTTGATGTGGGCGCGCGGCGTGAGGTACTCTGGGTGGGAGCGGCGGCTGTAGCGGCCTTTAAGACAGAGGTAGTAGTAGTGGTTATCCTCGCTCAGGAGGGTGGTGTTGACGACGGGCTCGAGGGTGTTGACGATGTATTCCCAGATGGCGTGGCCGGATTTGTTGGTGGTGGTGTGGATGTCGGCTTGTTTGAGGTAGTCGTGCTCAATCATGTTGCGTTGGTTGGGCGGCACGCCGAGGGCCTTCCAGAGCCATTTCTCGTTGCCGACGACCGTCCACGCCAGGATGCGGGAGAAGACCACGTGCTTGAGGCTGTGGTTCCAGATCTCGCGCTGCTCGTTGAGCGTCTGGGCGGAGCAGAGCTTGTCGACTTCGCCGGAGAGGCGTAGGGTACGGAAGAGACGGCCGACGAGGCGGAGGGCGTGTCCGGAGCCGCCAGTCAGATAGAGGCCTTTCTTGTTGAACGTTTCGGGGCCGTAGGTCAGCCAGAACTGGAAGGCGAGTGAGGACATGTGAGGGGAGAGCTTGGTGACGAGAAGGTTGCGGAACTCGTCGTGTCGACCCTCGCCAAACATCTTCCAGACGTCGGCATAGCCGAGCGCGGTAAAAGCGGCGACCTTGAGCTCGAGCAAATGATTCTGTGCAGGGTTGAGGTCGACTGCGTGTATACGGCGGGGGCTTTCGAGGGCGAAGGAGAGGATGTTGTCACCCGCGCTGGTTAAAGCGAGGATGACATCGTCAGACTTGACCTTGAGAAGCCGCGCATCAACGCGACTATCTTCCCAGGTGAAAGCATAGATGTAGCTGTTGTTGAACATTACTGTTTTAGCGACTTGATCCTCGAAGTAGATTCTCCAGTGATGATTCTGGTACCACGCCGCAGGCAAAGGGAGACTTGCGGCGAGGTTGACCAACGCGCATTCGTATGACTTTGAATGCACGTCAACCGCGTTCGCGCTGTGAGACTTCTTTGCCTGGAGATCCAATGCAGTCAGGAAAGGAGACTCGGTTGCAGCACAGTCGAGCTCGGCAAGCTTCTCGATTGAAGCTCCATTCTCTTTTGCGCAGCCAATCCATATGTAATACGGAATACGAACGCCCATGAAGCGATTTCGCTGATTCACACTGATGATGGTGCCGAACCGATACTCCAGGTAGTCCTATCTTCGTCAGTCACTTGAATGCTCCTATAATGCACCACGCTTACTCTTCGAGCTGGCTCCAAGTTGACGCGATCTACCTCGAACCAAGTTCTCCAGAAGACGCGAGAGATCCACATGCAGTGGCGATCGATGAAGCCCCCGGTATAATTACGGCCCTGGTAATCGATAGCGCTTTGTACGTAGAAGTCGCATACACCGATGATGCCGCTGGGCGCTAGAAGGGACGAAAGCGAATCGACTACAGAGTGAAATTCAGGGATCATGGAAAGCGAGAAGCTCATGGTGACCAGCTCAGCGCCGCCAGCATCGGCCTTTTCGTCCAAATCCCGTATAATGTGACCCTTCTCGGCGGCCTCTTTCTGTTGTTGAGCGCTGCTGAGGTGTTCATGAAGACGAAATCGGCGAGCATCCTGGCATATGACGTGAACATTCTTCCAGCCGAGCCTTTCGAAACGCTTGCGCGCAACTTCGAGGAGCGAGGGGGATAGATCGACGATGTATACGGCCTCGAAAAACTCGGGGATTGAGATTTCCTTGGACATGGCTTCAATGTTGTAGCCTGTCCCGCCACCAACCTACATTATATGTTAAGTTTGATTGATTTAACATGGTAATGAGAACGCTCTTACATCAACCCATACGGGCTTGCGTGTGAATTGACCGGTGTGTACCTTATGCTTCAACTGGGCAGCAACCAGGCCTAGCATGTCCTCACGACCAGTCAATAGCTTTGCACGCGTCGCATCATATATGCTGGCTTGTGCCGAATAGAAGCTCTCCAACGCATCTTGCTGGTTACCAGTGCCGTCCCCGGTGTGGGGCTTGAGAAAGCAGTTGTACGCAAACTTCAAGTACGCATGCAGCGAATATGGATTTGGCTTGCCGTCCTTGGAGGGCCAGGAAGCAGCTATGAATGTGATGACGAGGAAGACGGCAAGAAAAAAGATGACAATCCCAACCTCGTGCACAGGGTCTTGAGGAAGACCCATGGCAGCGCCAATCATGATTGTATGGAAGACTTGGGGCGCTCGAGTAGAGGGAAGAGAGGAGTTGAACCTGAGGAATTGCAACACAGGACGGGCCTACAGTTGATATCTATCAACATAGCAATTGGGGGGGCTCTAAACATTGGGACTCCACTGGCGCACAGTCTAAGTGAAGATGCCCACCCCTCAATCACAGATACCCCTCCATTGACTCGAGCTTCAAGGCGGGAGCCTATCAGATGGTAAAGTTTGGAAACGAGCCCTGACGACAGAGGACAACAATAGCATAGCGTCAGAGGGTCTTTGGCGCAGACGATCAAAAGGAGCACATAACCATGGGTCGGCATGAGCGGTCATGCAGGGCATCAAGATGCCGAGGGAATAGCCTCTCGCCGTGTGGTGGGGTCATGATCATGGAGATGAGCCTGTAAACGGGGGTTGAGATGCCATGTGCAGCGAGAGCTGTGGTGTTGAGGAACCAGAGTCTGGGGATGGACAATGGTACGTCTCGCGGCCAAGAGCCAATCAGCAGTCCTCATGCCAGCACGCCCAAGTATGGCTCGAGTGGGAGCTCACCAGATCCACGCGAACAACATAAATGATATGCAGTGTCAAAGGGTCCAGCGATCGAGCTTGGATACGAAGTCGCTCTCGTGACCAGGGATCTCCGGTATATGCTCTTGATTGCCGTGGTTCCTATAAGATGCTTTGTTGCGTAGTGAAGCACGGCAGATCGTTCGTCAAGCGGTCGACTACATTGACCGGGCCATACGCTTCACAATGGGTCGGGGCTTGTGAGATGAAGGCCTTGAGATTTGTCTGCTAAGTGATGTCACGAAGACTGCAAGAAACGCATTCCGGTCGTGCGATGTCGAGAAACGGGGTCTATTCAGCTGCGCAAGAGCGAGGTTCTTGTTGTGACTACGGTGTCTGAGGGAGTGAGGGTGTCACACATGGGACAGCCAGATGGTTACGAAGGTGATGCGTGATTCAGGTCCGTCGATATATCTCAGTCAGGCATATCAAGCTCGCAAGAGGTTTGCCAAAGTGAAGATGATGTGGAGTTTATGATATCATGTGACTAGGCGCCGAGACGCATCATGCAGCTAGTACGCATCCGGAATAGCCTTGTCCATTGTTTTGTTTACACTCCACCAGCGACAATTTGCGACAATTCACCGACTGCGACAACGACATTGAATTTCCGCATTATCGCTTACAACATAATACAAGATGGCCGAGCCAATGTCGCCGCTGCCCTCGGCCGCCATAAATACCACAGTCCCTGAAACGCCGGCGGGAGAAGAGACCTGGCACGACCCTCCCAGCTCGCCGTTTGTCGAGTGCGTCGATCAAGAGAACACTATGCAGTCTCTCGATTTGCTCGAGAGGAAGACTGCGCAAAGAGTGGTCTCGCAATCTATCACACCAAGCAGACAGTCGCCCAAGAAGGTGCTGCAACCGATCGAGAATCTTCCTGAACCAGAAGCCGTCCAAGCCACGCCTCGCCCATTCGCGAAAGAACAGTCGCCTGTGAAGCCAACGCCGTCAAGATCGGTATCCAGAAGACGATCACCGGTCAAGCGGTCTGCTTCGCCACCGGCTGAGCAGCTGCGCGACAATGAAGGCCTGACGGTGGCTGCACGAAACTGGGAATACATGCAAGCAGACATCCTAGGCTCCGACGAGATTGACTACGATGAGACTATGGACAATACTTGCTTCAGTACATTTTCAGAGGTCCCGAATGTGGACATGACGGCTTTTTCGAAGATGAGACGCAGCCCGACGAAACAATTGTTCGATCAGGTATGGGCAGAGATCCTCACAATATAGGCTTTCCACTAACCCATGTTTTGCAGTGTTTGTCTACTCCACGACCAGGCTCCCAAAGAAGTCCTGGCACCGTGAGACGACACGGAGAAGGCCGATCGCCCTCACCGACACCGCGTGGTAACAGGTCCCTTGTTATAGATGCGTCAGACACGACCAACCTTTTGTTGGACTTTACCGAGCAAATCCAACAGTTTTCGACGGCAAGATCGCAAATGTCGCCCAACAAGATGTCGCCTGTCAAGTCACAAACGGAGTCGAATCTGCTGCACTACATCAACGGGCAGCGCTCACCGGGTAAAAGCACAAGACCACCCGCGACACCCTCGGGCAACAACCGGAACATCCTAAACTTGCTCGACTTTGAACTTCCCCCACCCGCAACTCCACGCTCACTGCCCACGATTACAGTGCGTGAGCTCGAGTCTGTCAAGTCCAACTTGACTGCACAGATCTCACAGCTTACAGCATCGCTAAGTGGCAAGGACGCGACAATTGAAAGTCTGACCAAGGCACTGAACGACGCAGAGAGGCGTGTGGGTGAAGCAAAGGAGAGTGTACGCGAGGAGCGAAGCGCGAGGGAGCACGCAGAGAACGAAAAGGCAACGTGGGAGAAGAAAGGGCACGAGGTCGAGAACGTACTACGCAGCATCAAGAAGGAGATTATGGAGAGCGAGAAGGAGCGCGAGGAGCTGTTCCAGAAAGTGGAGGCAGCCGAACGACGTGCCGACGAGGCTGAAGCCAAGGCGTCTGATGCACATGCAAAGACCCTAGAGGCCGAGACCAAGCTTGTCGACGCGAGCGTGTTTGTGGCAGCAGACGAGACATCGTCGTCGCCGCGCTACACAGCTGAAGAAGTGCAAAGGCAGATTGACGAAAAGGTCGAGACGCTGTGCCGCGAGCTCCACATGGTCTACAAGAAGAAGCACGAGACGAAGGTGTCGGCGCTCAAGAAGTCATACGAGGCCAAATCGGAGAAGAAGCTTGCTGAACTGCAACGCAAGCTCAGCGAGCAGCAAAAGCAGATTGACGAGCTCCAGGTCGGCAAGGACGCGACGTTCTCAGGGGTGCTGCCGACGGACCTTCCCACGGCGCAGCACGCGGCAGACATGAAGCGGATCGACAGTCAAAAGGCGGAGATTGAGGAGCACAAGGCGCGGCTGGCGGGGGTGTCGGAGGAGATGCGCACGATGCGCGAGGAGCAGAAGAGGCTGATGCAGGAGCTGGAGCAGGAGCGGATCGAGAAGGGCGAGCTCGTGGCGGCGGCGGAACAGCTGATGACGCTGCAGGCGGAGCAGCCGCAGGTGGTGGAGGATTTCCGGAAGAGCGTCAACAGCAAGCCGTCCGGGCTACGGGCGCCGGGCGGGAGCAGGATTGGGAAGATTGGCGCGCCGAGCGGCAGCGGCAAGAGCAGGATGATGAGCAATATTGAGCGGATGGGCGGTGGGATGTAGGCTTGGACTTGAGTGTCGCCCTCCCAATTAGTTCTTTGCTGTGGTGTAGTTCCATGGCGTATTGGTTTCTTTGCTGTTGTGTAGAGGTCATTTCTTGAAAAAGGGGGGTTATTGTCATGTCATGAGCTAGCGAGCTATTCTTTGGTTGTTTTGCTCGCCGAGTGTAGCAGCGCTGTCTATATCATGATGCAGCTTCGCAAGCTTTGTTCAGTCGTATGTGGGACATTATGCACACACGTCCAGCATGAGTTGGACGATATCACGTGGGCAAATATCGCACGGACCCTCGGAGGTCCGCAGCAACCCAGTTACTCACCATAACCCATCTAACCTTCCATCGCGCCCCTGCAAAAAAAAAACACATTCCCATCACCCACACAGCAACAGCACATCCACCATGGCCCGAATACCACAACGCCTCCTGGCGTCTATACCATCATCATCATCATCATCATCACCATCCACCCTCCAGCAAGCAACCGCCCGACTCCCTCCATCCCTCGCAGCCTGCACCCGCTGCAGCACCACCACCACCACCCTCCCCCACGGCCGCCGCCACCTAATGACAGCAAAGTACCCCGACTCCGCGCCCCGGAAAACCGACGACGACGACGACGAGTCTGTCGTTGCAACGCGCTGGGACGGGATGGAGCACATGGGCTCGGAAAAGTCTGTCCGGCGGGCGGGTGAGCCGGCGGTTGAGTTTCGGAGGTGAGGAGATGATGGGACATGGAGGAGGTCTGTGGGCTGACGAAGGGTGTAGGTTTATCAGTGCGAGGGGCAAGGCGCAGAGTGATAGGGCGTTGACGGGTGTGTTTGAGGGGGTGTTCAAGGCGACGGATGGGTCGTGGCGTGGTGTTGCGCTGGATGATTTGGGGGTTAAGTTTCGTGTTCGTGTACACCCAATTCCCCATCTACAGCATCACAGCACAGCATAGCTAACCTAAATCCCCCAAACAGGCAATCAAACAAATCATGCAGCAAACCGGCCGCATCATCCCGGACCCCATCATCCACGAGGTCCGAACCGCGGGCGCGCTCTTCGCACACATGCGCCAGCAGAACACGCAGACACAGACGACGAAGAGCACGAAGACGCAGAACGGCACGGCCAGGGTGGCGGATGTGATGCGCACGCGGGAGCTGGCGGCGAATGTGCATGTGAGCTCGCGGCGGCGAACGATGCAGAGTCGCGAGTCGGCGATTGGGCGGTGGAAGGTGGTGCAGAAGGCGTTGATGGAGAGGCATTTGCCGCTGTATCGGGAGACGCATGATTGGGATGCGGGGCGGGTGAGGGGGCGGAGGGGGTGTGTGTAGGGTGAGTGTGTAGTGGGTGGGGAAGGGGAAGGGGAAGAGTTGTTGTTGTGGTGGTTAGGGGGGAAGGTGTGTTTACGTAGTGTGTTTGATGGGGAGATGGCTTGTGTGGGTGTGGTTGGATGTGTATGATAGATGGATATATGTATATATCAGCCGAGTCAAGCATTCTGTGCGTGTATTTCTTGTGGAATCTCAATGTTATGAATTGATAGATTGGGAAGTCTACGTCTGTCTGGGCGAGTTGCAGCAGTCACGTCGGTCTTGTGTTGTGCTGTCCCATGGTAGTGCAGATGGACAGACGACATAGTAAGACCAACACTGTCTAGGTGTCTGTAGGTCTGCAGTCTGCATCGCACCTCAGGCATATGGATGTTGCTGCCTGAGGTCGGAACCCAAGTCAAATTCTGCCTGAGGCGCTGAGCAAAGCAGATGATTAGACCCTTTAATAATACTAATTAATTACATCGATGGATGGAACGACAGTCGCCTGGGTGCGTGGATGCCTGGTTAATCAGGCCATCAACGCAGACTCTCAGTGTGCTAGACCAGAAAGTAGCCTGTGTGCCTGAGACATCAGGCAATCATCAGGCAACACCCTCCTCCATCACAGCCCTTATCTTCTCCCCCTGCCAGTGTACACTACCGACCTACCTAGCCATTACAGCGACCAAAGGCATACCATCAGAACAGCCCATGTCCGCCAAACACCCGTTCAACCTCTACCCTACCTCTATTCTATTCTAAACACAAGACCAGCCCAGGGAACGAACGGCAAAGTCACTGTAGTGAGGTAGTGCACACGCAAAGCGCTATCTAATTAACCCTCCGTTTCCAGACGGGGTGCAGGTCAGTACTGTAGTTAGTAGTAATTAGTATTAGGCCCGGGATTGTAGTCTATCCCCGAACGAAATCCTTCCCGGGCGGGCATGCGTGCGTGCAGGGCCAGGGGCATAGTTCCGGGCTATTCTGCAATCCTGCGTTTTGAGTCTTGTCTATTGTTGTATTTCTCGCATTGTGAGGGACGGGGCGACGGACGGGGATTTGCGCGGCATCGAATGGGGTGGTGCGATTGATGACAGTGATGATGATGATGATGATGATGATGATGACGATGACGCGGGCTGTGCAGCGTATGTATCGACGGATAGTTTGATGATGGATGGATGGATGGATGAATTGGATAGATATAGACAGATATGGGATGAAGCATAAATCAAGATCGAACCATAAAGTCGTACGATGACGCTTGGGGAAGTCGCCCAAAGCGGACAGCGCCAAGGAGCAGCAGCACGAGACAGCAAAGACGGAAAGGGCAACCAGCACACACGCGACAATAACAACAGCAGCAACAACAACACAAACACAAACACAAAGGGGGGATTTCTGTCTGGGCCGGGAAGGTGCAGAGCCGCCGGGGGGATGAATGACAAGCAGCCAATCACAGCGCTAGCTCGCGTCCCTGATTCGACCTTCGCCTAGTCTTTTTTTTTTCTTTGGGGGGAGGCAATTATTTGTCCTGGGAAGAGAGAGAGAGGTGATAAGATTGTCCGACAGAGAGGGTAGGTAGAGCGTGCTTTGCTTGGACTTTGCGGTTTGGACTGATTGCAGCTGCGTACATACATGTCAGATATCACGGAGTAATGATGGGATGGACGCTGGAGAGTCGGATAGGTTGGTTGAGGGACGACTGAAGGAGCTATGCCCGACTTCGGGATTCACAGTGAGAGTGAGAGTAAGAGAGAGCGGGTAAGAGAATTGTGGTTCAGCCACGCACGCCAGGGGCTGCTAGGGGGAAGAGTCAAACAGGGGGGACAGCAAGAGGCACAGGCACAGGGCACAAATGAATAGGAGGATGTTGTATAGAGAAGAAGATAAGAAATGGATTAATGGATTAATGAGAGAGTCCAGACGTCGACTCCCGACATCCTCGTTGCCCGAAGCAGCTAAGAATAAATATTTAAATCATTTGTGCTGCTGCATCACTGCCGCCGCCCGCCCTGCACCAAAACACACACACACACACTCACACACACATACACACATCCACACATCCACACAACATACAAAAAGCCTCCGCTGCTAATAATTGCCCAAGCTCGGAACTTACTGCAATCGGATTCGCCGCTGTCAGACCGCAACTTTTGCTACACGGCACTTGCTGCTACAATTTCTGCATATTACTCCTCTCTGCCAACCCTTTCCCCGCCTAGCACACTGCTTTTCCCTCCACTACTACCACCACCACCACCCCTTCACTCTAATCTTCTTCACTCCTCACTCCACCACCTCCCACTCCTCAACTCAACCCCCCAAGAACACTCAACGTCCTCTTTCCAACGCCCTCACATCATGGCCGCCCGCCCGCAGAACATTGGCATCAAGGCCATTGAAATCTACTTTCCCTCGCAGGTCTGTCTGCCCCTCCCTGCGTCCTGTTTTCCCCACCACAACAACAACAATAGCACGAACTGACCTGACTTCTGCCCGCAGTGCGTCGACCAAGCCGAGCTCGAAAAGTTCGATGGCGTCTCTCAGGGCAAATACACCATTGGTCTCGGCCAGACCAAGATGAGCTTCTGCGACGACCGCGAAGGTGCGACTCCCTACTACCTTTGTCCCCCGCAACGACGCGGCACTGACACTGACACTCCTCTTCTACTACAGACATCTACTCCCTCGCCCTCACCACCACCGCCTCGCTGCTCAAGAAGTACAGCATCGACCCCAAGTCCATCGGCCGCCTCGAGGTCGGCACCGAGACGCTGCTGGACAAGTCAAAGTCGGTCAAGTCGGTGCTCATGCAGCTGTTTGAGCCGCACGGCAACACCAACGTCGAGGGCGTCGACACCGTCAACGCCTGCTACGGCGGCACAAACGCCCTCTTCAACTCGATAAACTGGGTCGAGTCGTCCGCCTGGGACGGCCGTGACGCCATTGTCGTTGCGGGCGACATTGCGCTGTACAAGAAGGGCAATGCCCGCCCGACCGGCGGCGCTGGCTGTGTCGCCATGCTCGTCGGCCCAGACGCCCCCATTGTGGCCGACCCGGGTCTGCGTGGCAGCTACATTGTGCATGCCTACGACTTTTACAAGCCCGACCTCACCAGCGAGTACCCCGTCGTCGACGGCCAGTTCTCCATCCGCTGCTACACCGAGGCCGTCGATGCCTGCTACAAGGCCTACAACGGGCGTGAAAAGACGCTCAAGGGCCTGGCGAACGGCCAGGCCAACGGTGCGAACGGACACGCGCCGACCGCACAGCACGAGACCCCGCTCGACCGCTTCGACTACATGGCCTTCCACGCCCCGACCTGCAAGCTCGTCTCCAAGTCGTACGCTCGCATGCTCTACAACGACTACCTCCAGGACCCCTCGAACCCGCTGTTTGCCGAGGTGCCCAAGGAGCTGCGCGACATGGACTACAAGACCTCCGTCACCGACAAGACGGTCGAGAAGACGTTCATGGGCCTGACCAAGAAGCGCTTCGCCGCGCGCGTCCAGCCCGCCACCCTCGTCCCCACCATGTGCGGCAACATGTACACCGCCAGCGTCTACGGCGGCCTCGTCAGCCTGATTGCAAACGTCAGCAGCGCCGATCTGCTCGGCAAGCGCATCGGCATGTTCAGCTACGGCTCCGGCCTGGCCAGCTCGCTCTTTTCCTTCAAGGTCAACGGCGACGTGGCCGCGATGCAGCAGAAGATTGACCTGCACAAGCGCCTCGACGCGCGCCGTGTTGTGGAGCCGCAGGTCTATGACGATGTGAGTGGGCTTGTCTTTCTTGCAGTGTCTTGCAGTGTTTTGCAGTGTTTTGCAGTGTTTTGCAGTGTTTTGCAGTGTTTTGCAGTGTTTTGCAGTGTTTTGCAGTGTTTTGCAGTGTTTTGCAGTTATATTGTATACCCATTTGCGGCGTGTCACGTGCTAACCCTTTGCCCGTCCAGATGTGCAACCTCCGAGAACGTGCTCACCTCAAGAGCAGCTATTCCCCATCCGGCAACGCCGACACCATCGTGCCCGAGACCTACTACCTCACCGAGGTCGACGACATGTTCCGCCGCAAGTACGCCGTCAAGGCATAGTATAGCGGTCTTGAATTCTACCTACCTTTTGCGTTTAGAGAAAATACCCGCCCGTACCTACTTGCTTCCGAAACCCCGCCCCCCTTTTTTGCGCATCTTGTCAGGAGTTTGATATGTTAGACGACGCCTCGATGTGGAAAGAAGCATAGAAGTGACGTTTCTTTGGCTTTTGCTGTGGCCAGCCTGGCGTGGGCTAGGTTGTTGTCAACAAGAGTGAGAGAGAGTAGATGGCTGCCGAAGCGACGGATTTTTACGTTTTTACCTTTTTTTTCCTTTTACTGGCGATACCGGGTGGTACTGGGTTTTAATGGTCATGTGACATGTGGACTGCAAACTGCAAACTGCAGTGCAAAAGACGAAACGTCGGTATATATATTTATATAGCTCGCAGCCTCGCAGCCTCTGAGCCTCGCAGATTCAACACCGCGACGGGTGTCTTTGCGCGAGGGGCGGTCTTCCCCCCGTTAGCCGGCAGTCTGGCACGGGGACAATGAGTAGACTATAGATTTATGCTATTAGTATGATCTTTCTGGCATGGCATGACCTCGCTGCTGTTTTGAAAGAGCCCATCTTCTGTGTGCGCAAGGGACGATGTTATGATGTGTTGTCTCGCGCCCGCCCGGCGGCTTACCGGATTGGGCGTCCCGGGGCTGCTCGACGTACCTACCTAACATGGTATGTAGCATGACCTCTGACCTGCAACGTCCCCGCATTATATTATATATATCGTCTACAACGACGTTCTGTTGTGCCTCTTATAAACGATATACTGCCGTTACCTTGGGGTTCTTAGCACACGAAATTATAATCACCGTTCTGCTGGGTAAGATACAAGGCGGATCCAGACGTTGACTTCGACATTGTTGCAAAGGACACTGCTATAACGACGACATCAACGACAATCACGACGACAATCACGACAATCACGACCACAATCACGACCACAATCACGACCACAATCACGACCACAATCACGACCACAATCACGACCACAATCACGACCACAATCACGTCGACATCAACGACAATCACATCACCCACCACTACCACCACCAACCCCAAAAAATGCCCTCCCAACTCCCCCTCCCCCACCCAATCTCCTCCCTCGACACCCCCTCAATGCTAATCTCCCTCCCCGCCCTCGAATCAAACATCACCTCCCTCTTCTCCCTCCTCGCCGCCTCCCAATCCCCCAACACCAAAAACAAAATCTCCGTCCGCCCCCACCTCAAAACCACCAAATCCCCACACATCGCCCACAGACTCACCCGCGCCGGCGCCCGCGGGTTCTGCGTCGCCAAGGTCTCGGAGGCAGAAGTCATGCTCGACGCGGGTGTGACGGATCTGTTGATTACCACCGAGGTGGTGGGCGAGGTCAAGGTTGCGAGGGTGGTGGAGCTTGTGCGGCGTGTGGAGGGGATCAATCTGGCTCGGGCTCGGGCTCGGGCTCGGGCTCAGGCTCAGAAGGATGGAGAGGAGGAAGGAGAGGAGGGAGATGGAGACGGAGAAGGGGAAGCAAGAATATGCTGCGTGGTAGACTGTCCCGCCGGCGCCGACGCGCTGAACCACGCCCTCGCCCTCGCCTCCCCTTCCCCCCAATCCACGCCTCTAACCCTCGACATCCTCCTCGACATCAACACCGGCACCCACCGCACCGGCCTACCCCCCGGCCTCCCCACCCTCCACCTCGCGCAACACATCCTCACGCAAACCCCGCACCTCCACATCCGCGGCATCCAAGGCTACGAAGGCCACGCACAGCACATCCACCCTGCATCTGCGCGGCGCGCCGCGTGCGAGGAGAGTCTGGCATTGCTTACTGGTACGGCGCGGCTGTTGAGGGGGGAAGGGGTGGATGTGGGCGTGGTGTCGTGTGGGGGCACGGGCACGGTGCGGGTTTGTGCGGAGTGGGTGGATGGCGTGGATGGGGTGACGGGCGTGACGGAGGTGCAGCCGGGGAGCTTTGTGGGCATGGATGCGGATTATTTGGATGTGGTTTGGGGGGGAGGGGCGTGGAATGCGGAGGAGGAGGGGGATGGAAAGGGGGATGGAAAGGGGGGAAAGGGGAATGAGGGTGATGGAAAGGAGGAGGGAAAGGGTGATGGAAAGGAGGAAAAGGAAAAGGAAAAGGAAGAAGAAAACGGCAAATTCAAACCCGCACTATGGATCCTAAGCACAGTCATCAGCGGACCCTGGGACGTCGACGTCGACGACAACGACGACCAGCACCCCGAAACAGGACAGAAACAACCCCCCAACCGTCCCCGCCCCCGCCGCCGCCGCGCAGTAATAGACGCCGGCCTGAAATCACTCACCACCGACAGCGGGCCCGCGCGCGTCTGGCAGCGTCCCGGCGTGACATACGAGCCGCTCGGCGACGAGCACGGCGGACTGACCTGGGACGCGGACAGCGATCCACAGGGCGGATTCGCGTGGGGCGAGCGCGTGCTGCTTGTGCCGAGTCATATCGATCCGACGGTCAATCTGCATGATGTCTTTTATGCTTGTCGGGACGGGCTGGTGGAGGAGGTGTGGCCGGTTGTTGGGAGGGGGATGGTGCAGTGATTACAGGTGGTTCTTTTTTGTTTTTTTTTGTTTTTTTTTGGGGGGAGGGTATGTGGAATGAGGGGTTTAGGGTTTGTGGTTTGTGGTTTGCGGCATGTCGTACAATCATGATACATGATGATGCCTATTTGAGATAGGAGTAGGCTAGTAGCTTGATCTGAGCAGTCTTGTCTCAAATCACCTCAAGCCCAACTCCCCAACACCAACGAAACAAAACAAAAGAAAACACAAGTGTCCATCGTCGGTCCATTGACCCATTCGCACCCTTCTCCGCAAACCCTTTCCCCATTCCAAAGACGCTGTAAACTCCCTTCGCTAACCCTTCCGAGCCGCGTCGCAAACATATCAGACTCACCTCACGTTCCTAGGCCAAAACGCTTCGTACATTCCCCCCCAACCCGGCACACCCGCGCAATCAGCCGCTTATGGCCCTCGTGATCATAGCCCTCGGCGGCGACATACCAGACCGCGCCCGACAACCAAGCAATTCCCGGTTCTCCTTCTCCTCCTCCCTCTCCTCCTTCTTCCGCAACCGCGGTGGTGGCAACGAGCGCTTGGACACGCCCGCGCTCCGTGTAAGTCTTCGTGTCTTCACTTCCGCTTCCGCTTCCGCTTCCACTTTCGCTTTTGCTTTTGCTTTCGCTGTCCCCTGTCGATGTGCCGTCGCCGTCGAACGCGCCGCTGTACCCCGCTTTACAGCCTGTTTCCGGCGTCGCGTCTTCTGCTCCTCGCGCAACACACCAGCAACAGCCACAGCCACAGCCGCTCCTCCATCACCCTGCCCCTTCATCTCAACCAGATGTTCAAACAACCCACGAAGCTGGTCGGGCTTGCTGATATCATAGATGCGTGTCTCGTCATCAATATCGTCGACGGCCAGCTCTCCAGAGGTCAGAAGGTCTGCAAGATCCCGCCCTTTATACGTCAAATTCGCGGTTGGGTGCTGGGCGAGGTCAAACACGATGTTGGGCTTGCATTCGTCGCTGTCAAGCACGACGCATGATGTTTCCATTTTCTTGAAGAAGTCGTCGATGTCGGTGGTGAGGTAGCGGAGGAGGGGACTGATTACGAGACGGGCGAGGGCCGGGTGCTGGGGATTGTGTTAGATGATGAGAAGGCGTTTGAGGAGGGAGAAGGGGAGGATGACTCACGTCGAATGTAATTCCCCCACCATCATCTCTGCCCTGATTGGGCGCGAGGCGAAACGCGCGGCACATGTTTGTCAGTCCGTCGAATTGCCAGTCACGCTCCATGTCGTCGTGTGCTTGTTGTAGGAAAGGGTCAGTGGTGCGCGGATTCCATATCTCCGTCACGCTGGCTACTTTGTCCATGAGAGGGTACATCTCCGGCGGCGTGTGGAAGAATAGATCCAGTAGATATGTAACTATGCTGTAAAGAATAGGCTTGTCGTCATCTAGGTGGAACATCTTTCGTTCGAGCGGACTGACCACTGCAACAACCCTGTCCGCCAGATTATCTGGTATGATATCCTTGAGCTGCGAGAAACTTGTGTATCTTCGGAAAGGCTGAGCAGAAACTACGACCGGGTATTCGAAGTCCTGGGGTAAGCATGTTAGCGAAAGCAAGGCTCACGCAGAGTTGACAAATGAAGTTATGCATATATACATACCAGCATCAGTATTTGCGAATTTTGCTGGCTCTGGATGTTGATACTAAAGTCAAAAACGCGCAGAACATCGGTGATGGCAGATCGGATCATACCGTCGTCGAAGAGGCGTAGACCATATTGCAAGAACGACGGAGTTGCCGAGTCGTGGTTTTTGAGTATCGTGAGGAGGTCGGATTCCTTACAGCCGTTACCGAGTACGCGTGATGACATGGTGAGAGCAGTATAATAGAGTGGACAGTATAGTATGATCAGATCTTTGAGTGGTGGTGTTGAGCAGAAGATGTGTGTGTGTGTGTGTAGGAGAGAAAGAGGAAGAAGGCAAGTTGGGAGCTGAAGTGAAGTGACGCTCAATTACGTCAGCAAGCTCAAACAACCTACCAAACTTGGTGGAATGTTGAGCCAAGGCGCTAACATGTATGAGTCACGTGGTTGGAGTGCCTTCGGGTAAAATCTGCGGCGTGAGTCATGCATGGAAGTGTCACGTGTGTTTTCTTGTCACGCTGATTGGCCATAGAGTATCTATCTGCTCCCAACTCCCAACGCCCTGCTCCCTACTCAATGAGTGTTGACGACAACATACGGTGAATACACACAAAGTTGCCTTCTTCTACTTACTCTCCTCCGCACTGGACACAATTGATCTCTGGTTTACCAGCTTCTGGCCTGATCCCGATTCATGGTAGTCTTCTCCCTTGTCGGACAGCTCACAAGGGAGTCCACAAGCCATGCTGTGCCTCAAGGCAACTAACTTGACTGGCTCCGATAGACTCTTACCTGGTCTTTTGCTTGAGCGGTGCTAGGGTCTCCCAGCCAATACTGTGTGAACAACAAACAGCATATGGCCAGCAATGGAGTTTGTCCGGCGGCAAATAACAGGGTCCAGACCTCGTCGCCATCTTACTGGGTGATGCACAGGCTGAAGCCTGCAGTCTGTGGAGTGAAGTGCAGACTGAGGCCGGCGCGAGAGCTAGCCTTGCAAAACAATGGGATCCAATATTCTGCACAGCCTCCTTCAAGGCAACAGGTAAAACACCAACCATCAGACGGAAGCTAGGTAGCTCCACCCTGGCGCTTACTCGCGCTTGGACACACTACTAGATAGAGCTGCCTTGCCTACCACACATCACCGCTGTTCGTCCTGCCTTGAGTCCTGAGAAGAAAGTTCCCGACAGTCTCTGTGCATCCAGGTAGACAAGTCTTTAGCAACACATACAACATGGATACCGAGCATTCCTCCATGCTTCAACGTGACGAATCTGAGGAAGTCGAAGCTGTCTATTTTCCAAGAGGAGAGCGACGACCTGATGAGCTTCCCCAGGGGCGGTATATTGACCGAACGCTTGAGGCCGATATCACGTGCGCGGAGTCATCTGGACAACCACCGGCTAAGTATCAGAAGCAGAGCGCAGATGAGAAAGCAGCTACAGCAGAAGTCACCCCAAGGAAGTTTTGGACTCCGAGTGAGTGGGCCACCAAGCAATTGGAGTTCTGTCATGTTGTATTCTGTGTCAAGCAAACAGACAGGAGCTTAATCTGTCCCCCCGACTGGGTCGATGATCAGCTATTAGACTATCTGCTTCTAAACATGGAGATAAGTCCAAAAGATGTAAAGCAAGACACAGTCACTGGCACCGGATACCCGAACCGGGTTGCAAGACTGCATGCTAATTACGAGTTGCGGAAGCACTTGCCACCTGGCCGTAACGCTTATTCAGCATTGTCAAGCATCATTCAGAGAAAGAGAAAGAAAGGAGATGAAGATGGGGACGGAGATGAAGAGGAGGACGAGACGGAATCTGAACTCGAATTCGAAATGAGCGACGAGGAACCCACACAAACTGCGTCGCGTTCCGGCCGGAAGAAAGAACGTTACCGGAACGACCTTACGCCCCATGATGTTTTCCCGGACAACTACCCGGAGGACTACGTGCTTGAGCGTCACCAAACTAAGTCGGGCACAACTTCACCCACTCTTAGTCAAGAGGCTAAGGATGAGACTTATGTGGACAACCACATGCGACAGTTCTTGCATGAGTCACTGAATGCAAAATTGGGAGAGCAGTGGCCGGCTAATGATAAATACGTGACCCTGTGAGTACTGCTGCACCGAAAGTGAAGTTTGTCTGTGTTGATTCTTGGGCTTTATTAGTGAGCAGAATCAATATCCTTTCGCGATCTTCGGAAGAAACGTATATACCAAGCCCGACTTCTTTGTCACACGGCGCCCCAACGAACCGTGTCTCGTAGTCGAGGTAGGCATTCGGGCGGTAGTGAAGTGAGATGTTAGACATAGTCTGACTGTGCCCAGAATAAACAGTTGCATCATAGCTATTCAGTTCCAAACCTTCATGGTCAGCTAGTCGCAGAAGCCATCGGAATTGCAACAAACAGATACGCATACCTACATGAACAGGGGCATCGAATCGTTGACCCTATGGAGGTAAGTCAGCTTACCTGTCGAATGTGCCGCAATCTATAATAAATCTAACTGTTTCATAGATAACATTGATATCGTGCGTCCATTTTACTGCCAAGCTCTACAAGGTGTACATTCCGGAGTCCTATCTGGAATGGTCCTCTCGAGCCCGATCATTATCAAGTCGTCCACCAGCACCAGGATATCTAAAGGTCGTGAGGGAGAGTCAGTTGTACGATCTGAAAAGCATGATCGGTTCGTCAGCGATGCTCAATCGAATATTACATATCTTTCCACACCCACAGCCGCAGCCACAGCCACAGCAAACTGCATCCTAGGGAGCGGTCACGAGCCATGATTACGCACACCGGTCCAGCGTTATCGATACAGCAGGCACAATTGGCAACAAGCAGGACCTAGGAATACACGCTGCCCATAGAGCTGGTGTGTCGAACGGAGAACCGGGTTTAAAGGACGGATGGGTATCGGCGAAACAGGTGTCCCTTTCAGGAATATATAGTCCTCAATGTATCTAGCAATTGCCGCTCTCGGAGAAGGATGTGGCTTTGAGGGAGAGTTCCCCCTGTTTTTCAAACACACTCGTTAGACTCCTCCACTTTTACCCAATTACTCGGTTTGACATGATCGCACACACACACATACAACAGCCCATACAACAGCCCATACAACAGCCTACACAACAGCCCATACAACAGCCCATACAACCAACACCCATGCCCAAAACACATCCCTGAAATACAACCAGCAATGTATCCCTGAAATATATCCCTAGAACACATACCTAAAACACAAACTTAAGAACTACCAACCTCCTCCTCCCCCTTCCTCCTCTACCCCTTTAGTACCTCCACCCACCAGCCATGCACACACATACATAGAAATCAAGCCAAACTAGTCAACATACAACACTTATACCCGTGTCCGCTCCTCCTCTAGTATAATCTATAAGGTGCTTTTGTATTCTCTAGGGGGACGGAGTAGTTCTTCTTACTTCTCCTCCTCCTCCTCCTTCTTCTTCTCCTTCTCCTCCTCCTTCTTCTTCTTCTATCCCCTTATTCTCCTCCTCCTCCTCCTCCTCCTCCTCCTTCTCCTTCTTCTCTTCCTCTTTATTCTTCTCCTTTTTGTTCTCTTCCTCCTCCTCCTTCTTCATACTTCTTCTTACTTCTCCTTCTTCTCCCTCCTTCTCCTTCTTCTAATTCTCCTTCTTCTTCTTCTTCTTCTTCTTCTTCTCCTCCCTACCCCTATTCTATTCTGTTCTATTCTATTCTATTCCATCCTATTCGATTATATAGATGAAGAAGAAAGAAACATATTTCAAAACACGCACATGCACATGCACATGCACGCACGCACGCATGCACATACACATGCACGCACGCATGTAAGCATACACGCACGCATGCACACAACACACGCACGCACATATACACACACGCACACGCACACATGCACGCACGCACATACACATACACATACACACGCACGCATATGCACGCACGCACACGCACGCACGCACGCATGCACGCATGTACGCATACTCTACAAGGTAGTAGGAAATGAAACTGTCTTGTAACGGTCTGGTAATTGTCTGATATTGCCTGGAATTCTATCATCTGGCATTCCATCCATCCACGCATCCACGCATCCACGCATCCACGCATCCACGCATCCACGCATCCATCCCTCTATCCATCCATCCATCCATCCATGCATCCACGCATCCATCCCTCTATCCATCCATCCATCCATCCATCCATCCATCCATCCATCCACGCATCCAAGTCTCAATCCAAGAAGCCCAAACAGAAAAGCAGCCATTCAAAAAGCACACGGGCAAATACACAAAGCACACGCCAATCTCCTACAACAACAATCCAGAACGCGAGCAGTGTACTGTACTGTACTGTACTGTACTGTAGATGGTAGTAATCGCATAATGCAGAGTCCATGTATACAAAGCCCCCAGGCCCCAAGGCCCCAAACACCGTGTATGTCTAGTCTAGTATAGTATAGTGTACGTAAGGAAGGAAGGAAAAGGGACGCCGATGGCGACGTCACTACCACTGTGATCACTACCGATACCATATCATAACCACAACACCCACAATGACCACCACCACCACCACCACCACCACCACCACGCCCACAATGACCACAATACCATCACCACACCCACACCCATCACCATCACACCCCTCACCAAAACCCCCTCTCAAAACGCCGGCAAAAACCCACTCTCAATCAAACTCTCACTAGCAACATAACTAAACCCGCCAAACGGATTATTCTCACCCATCCTAACATCCCCATCCACCGCCACACCAGCACCACCACAACCAGCATCCCCACCACCACCACCACCCCCAAACCCCAGCCCCACCCCACAACCAACCGGACTCAAACTCAACCCCACAAACTCCGGATCAAAATTCTCCGCGAGCGCGGGATCCGTAATAACAGGCACAATCGGCGGCACAAGCTCCTTGCGCTCAAGCGCCCGCCAATCAATCCTGCGAAAAAACCGATGCCCCTTAATCGTGCCCAAGTCCCTCGGCATATTCGCGCCGAGGCGCTTCTTCGGATTCTTATTCAACAAGCGGGTGAGAATGTCCTTTGCGTCGAGGCTGAGGAAGTAGGGCAGGTGGGGCTTCGCCTTGAGGATCTTCTCCTGGATCTTGGTGGTGTTGTTGGCGGTGAAGGGGGCGGAGCCGGTCATGAGGTCGACGCCGAGGGCGCCGAGCGACCACCAGTCGACGGCCATGCCGTAGGGGGCTTCGCGGACGACCTCGGGGGCCATGTACTCGATTGTGCCGAGCATGGACTTGCACTCGCTGCCCTCGACCGAGACCTTGGACAGGCCAAAGTCCGTGAGGAGGAGGTGGCCGTCGGCGTCGAGGAGGATGTTTTCGGGCTTGAGGTCGCGGTAGACGACGCCGAGGTTGAAGTGCAGGTGCTCGAGTGCCAGGACCATTTCGGCCATGTAAAAGGCCGACTTTTCCTCGTCGAACATCTTCTCCGCGCTGAGGTGGTGGAAGAGCTCGCCGCCTTGGGCGTATTCGAGAATGAGGTAGAGCTTCTCCTGGTCCTGGAAGGCGTAGTAGAGCTTCACGATGAAGGGGTGGCGGTTCACGCTCTCTAGGATGGCGCGTTCGGATTTGGTGTGCTCGATCAACCGTTTGTGAACGGTCAGGGAAGCTTTGCGAAACTGCTTCTGTGCGTACAGCCGACCGGTCCCACGCTGCCGGACGAGCAAGACTGTACCGTATGCGCCCTTTCCAAGGCAGTTTAGGGGCTCAAAGTCGGCGGCGGTCATCTTGCGCGACATGGTCGGTCGGCGCGAAGCAGCCAGGTCCACAGTTAGTGCAGACTTTGGTGGCTCCGTGGCATCAGGACTCATGAAATCCTCTTCCAGGCCGATTTCATACGTCTCCGTTTCGGTTCGGTCGCTGTCGCTACCGGTCGATATACCACTTTCGGTGCTCATAGTGGTGTTGCTCTCGCATCTCTGCAGCAGTTGTGCAGGAGTCTCCGCACCATTCAAGGCTTGGCTAATACTCAGATGCTCAAGCTGCTGCTTCAGCGCGCTAATGCCAGATGGGCCTGTTTGGGGTCGAAGTGCTGGGCTGTTCGTGATACTCGAGTATGCGGTGCTGGGTCCTATTCTAGGCGTACTCAGCGCCGAGATGTCCGACTCCTCTCCGGCCGAAGCACCGGGGGTGTGGAAGCCTCGTGTAACTGTCGTAGCTGGTGCTCCGGCCTTTGCGTTGCGCTTCTTTTTCTTCTTCTGCTTTGCTGCATTGCGAGCGACTTCTTCGATGTTGATCTTACCAGCTCCTTCAGTCCTCTGAGCGGATGGTGTGCGTAACATCCTCGGTGCCTGTGGGGACATGATGGTGATGGGCGGGGTCCCAGTCTGACGGCGATCCACGACGTCATCCATGGCAAAGTCGTGTAGCGACATTATGATTGTACTGTTGATCGAGTATTCCTTGTAATATACGTGGAGGTATAACGCAGCCAAGTATGTGCAGGTCGTAAATTAAAAGTATAGATAGGTCGGAGTCGGAAATTGCGCTCCAAAGACGTTTTTAGGGTTCCGTAGAAATAAGCTTTCACATCTGCTCGTCCAGTCCCTCGCTTTCCAAGGCCCTGTAGAATACCTGATCTGGGAAATTTGCGGCACCTTAAGAGACAAAGTCCTTGACGCCTGCTTGTGTTCACCGCCGCCCTTTCACTTCTTTCCCACACTTGCTACCAACGTCGGACCTGCCCCAGTATTACCGTCCGCCCTGTTCAAGGCGGACCGTCCGCCAGTAGCCAAAGCAGCGATGCGAAGCTGGCGTCGGTATGCGAGATCTCGAGTGTCAGGACTCGATCAGGGAGAGCAGCACAGGCAACGTCGCGACAGCGAGCAAGTTGGAAGCGTGTGGGAAAAGTCGTGACAGGGCCCATAGATGGTGGTAGTGGTCGATAAGGTGTCTCTTTCAAAGGTCAGGGTGTCTCTGACCGCGCGGTAGTATGTCGTTGTTATCCGGAATGTTGGGGGTGGGAAGGGGTGAAAAGCAGGAAACAAAGTCGGAGAATAATGACTGTCGACCGTCTTAGTCAGGCAACAATTTTCAGCCGCCCTTCGTTCCCCAGACTGAGCCGTATCGGGTTAGCGTGGCAGCCGGACACACCTCGGCTCGGCCCTATCGAGAATGGGAAAGTGTGTACAGTACAAAACGCCATCGCCATCGTCTCTCGCACGTGCTGTAGATCGTCCATCTCTGTCGCCATCTTTATATTTAGCATACACATCAACACTACCATCGATCCTAATCCTTAGTCATCTCGAACCATCATCATCCTTGCCGAACATCATTCAGACAGCAACAGACTGCGTGTTTTGCAACCCAAAAGCTGTGAATGCGCGCACCCAGTCAATGCGCATCCCACTGTCTTGTCTGGCCATGCTTGTGCATATGCACAAAGAGGCAGCATGCGGTTATGTAATGTAATGCAATGCGATGCGATGCGACGTGGGCAAGATCAACGAGTACAGGGATGTAGGAGAAACACGTGCTAGCATGAGATGTGTATATTAGATGATCTATCTCATTCTATAATCAGTCAATCAACGACATGCCATCTGGCCTCCCTTGGGAAACACAATGACTGGTGAACCGAAAACGCCATGCAGTGAAACTCCGAACACGCTAAATGGACTTGAACTGTAATTAGCGTGACAACTGCAGACAATTTTTGCAAAAGCAAAGACCGGAAAGTAGGCGCTCAAACAGTGTGGTATCGCGCTCTACTCTGTCACCTTTCGCACAACGCCGTAAAACCACAAACATGCATAACTCATTAATAACTTCGTGAACGCATTACCGGAATGAAGAACGTAATCAGGCGGGAGGTCTTGGGCCACAGATCGTCAAAGGCCGTGAAATGACAAGCTTCTGTGTCGTTGTATACCGATATCAAGGACGGCTCGCGAATGCTCAGACTTCCTCTTCACAGTCAAAGTCATCATCGACTAGGATACGCACGACTTCATGCTTTTGTACGACCTCTCCTGGGAGGAAGCGGCAAGGGGCAGCGGTGTGCACTCTTGTCTCTTCAATACGAGTCTTGCGTCGCATAAAAGGGAGCTGACAAGCGCCAGCAATGGCGATAAGGGCACTTGCCCACCACGCCAAAGCAGTAAAGTCAAGCTCGCTTCCGTAGCCATAGAGAAGACCTGCGATTGGACTGGCGAGTGTGCGGCATGCAGCGCCAGTGCTGGCAGCCAGACCATTGATCTTGCCAAGATGAGAAGGCGCGGGCGTAGACTCTTTGAGGAGGATGAGAAGAAGGGGGTAGGCGACGATGGAGAACAGGTTTCGGACAGCCAGGCACGCATAGATGCCAGGGTAGAGAAGGTGTTCGGGGAGGATGGAGAGGTAGGGTACAATGACATATGCGATAGGGTGGCCCACAGTGACCGCGATGAAGAGTTGCCAGATACCGAGCCACGAGGCGAGTAGTGGAAAGACAATGGCCTGGATGACAAGAGCAATGAGGCCATTGACACTCATGATGAGGCCAACATCTTGGACGGACAAGCCGAGACCACCAGCCAAGAAGCCGTTGTCAGTCCCAAGCAGAGAACGGTCATCTACGCGCTTGTCTTGGAAGAAGATGGGCAAGAGGTGATCATATGTCATTGAGTGGTAAGTGAAGATACCAAGAGCCACAACGAGCATGACGATTCTCTTGCTAAAGACTTTTGTGTCCGAGGCCGAATGGACAGAGGCAGGCCGTCCATCAGCTTTGACGTGCCAGGTTTCCTCTTGGGAAACATTGACTTGGTCAAACGTACCATACGACTCGGTGGCCAGATTGGCAGCGGCATGGGACATTGCGCCTGATGTTGGCATCAAAGGAGTCTCAGCAGACGTGGTTTGCAAATCAGCTGGTGTGCTCCAGGGCTGCATATCAGGGTGGGTTTCATCAATGAAAAAGAAGCCAGCAAGGATTGAGCCCAAGAGCATCAATGCACAGAGAAGATTCGGCAGGAGGTAGGGAAAGCGCCCGAAAACACCATCAGATGCAAAGACGGATGGGAACATGACAGCAGGTTCAGCAAAATAGCCGCCAATTGACGGACCAACGATAGTTCCCACACTCCACACGAAAGGCATCACAGCATAGGCGCGAGCTGTGTCGCTGTCAGACTCACGTGAGGATATTTGCAATTGATGAGATTTGACAACTTACGTTCATGTTCTGGCTTGTGTACTAATTCACCGACCATAGTCTGGATGACGCCAATGTTTCCATTGAGCATGCCTCCGAGAGCCCTACCGAGAAGAGCGATCCAGAAGTTGGGGGCAAAGCCGACAACAAGCATAGATAGGAGGGTGCCTGCGCAACCGAATAGAAGCACAGGTTTTCGGCCTACACGATCAGAAAGACCGCCCCAGTACATGCCAGTGCATGCTTCGGCGAGGGCAAAAGCCGAGATGAGGAGACCAGCATAGAAGGCGGCATTCTTCTCGTCGGTGACGTGGTAGTGGAGGACGAGCTTCCAGGCGTAGGGGAAGATTGAGGTGAGAGCAACAGGCTCGGCAAGCCTAACAAGCGCTGTAGCAATTGTCAGATAGGCAATCAACATGTGGTTCTTTGTGATGTTCCATTTGATATGTTGTGTAGCAACGTGGGTGGTACAACAACAGCAACAACAAACGCCACACCACAAACAAGCAAGCAATTGACAGCGAAAGGTTGACTCACCTAAGAAGAAGAGCTGTGAGGTAGGAAAGATGTTAGGATCGCGACGAGATCTTGGCTGTTTGGTAAGATTCATAACCGCACGGCCTGGCATTGATCTTACGAAAGATGGCGGCACGCGACAGTGGAGAGAGATGGGTGGTGGTCGCTCTGTCGGCTAAATGCGGCACTAAACCGAGGGCTCTAATGCACGTCTGGACGAGTAAGGTTGCGTATGAAGCGTGAGTGGGGTGGAAGAGAGGAGCAGGTATGGATACAGCGGTCAATTGAAGAGAAGAAGAAGAAGAAGAAGAAGAAGAAGAGGAAAGGAAATTGAAGGTGAAGAAATGGAGTTTGGAGGGAGGAGGAGGAGGAGGAGGAGGACGAAAGTATCGGATTGCCGTTATCAGTCAATTGGTCCCACTAGCGCGCGAAGTCGGTGTCCACAGTGCTGGGATGGTCCGTGCGCGGAGAATCTTCGAGGCACATGCTACATGGTGTGCATGGAGGAGTTTAACAGATGGATGGATGGATGCGACGGGACCATGTTGCATCGACATAATGCCCGAAGAGAAATATATTTGCCGACATATTCCCTCAATAATGCTCTCGAGTGAATTTATGGTGGATGATGATGTTGCGGTGTGCAGTGCGCGGTATAGAGTGCGTGGTATGCACGTGAGGCAAGGTGTGAGTGGCAGGCGGTAAGTAGATACGACTAATACAGTATTAGCTAATAATAACCCATACCGATCTACCTGCAGGGCCACTGACCACTACTCTACTATTACCATGTACTGTACCATAACCCACTACTATACTACTCTACTGTACCATCAGCGGGTCTACGTGACTGGAGCACGCACAGTGGGCCAAACGGGGGCACAGCGGGGGGCGTAGGGGGCGTAGTGGAGAATAGCCGGGCGTACAGTTAGGCAACCTACTACCTACAGTAATTAGCAGCGGCGCCCAAAAAGCTGCACAGATGGTAGGGCATTGGGTGCGTATTGTATGGAATGAAATACGTATAACGTGGTATATCCTGCGATGTGTTCAATAGGTAACATGTGTGCGTACTATGTAGCATGAAGATTCGTAAATATACATCATATAATACGTCGTATGCAGCATGTAGTGTGTATAATAGTGTCACTACTGCTGACTGTTCACTGTTGACATTCCAGCTCGACTGTTTACCGTTGACTGTGCCCCTTCTCACTATGCACTACACTCACCCACCCCCTCTTTGAACCCCTTTCCCATCCCCGCATCCACGTCCACAAGCTCAACGTCACTCGCCCCATCGTCCCGACTCCCTAGATTCGTCGACTTCACCAAAGTCGTGTCGCCGCCGAACCGCTTGCGTTCGCTCGCTCGCTTTGCATATCCATGAGAGTATCCTGAATATCCTTTGCTGCGGCCCGCGCTGTCCAGTAGCCCTGGCGCCACGCGCTTGATCCACGCCCGAAACGACGGTAGGCATGAGCATATCACCGACACAAACGCCTCGATAATGCTCCAGTACGCCGCTGGCACCATGTCATACGTCGGATTCGTCGACGATGCCCACGCCACGAGCGTATGCAGTCGGAGCACCTGCGTCATTGTGACACTGTAGCTGTGTCAGTCTCTTGCTCGCACTCTGCCGACCATCGTCAACTTACAAGAGTCCCACTGCGAAGATGAGCATGATACTAATCTTCTTCCGCGTCCCAACCTTCAGCTTGTACAGCACCGGCATCGGCGTTATGATGATGACCAGATCCAGTGCGAGCACTGTTGCTGCGTGGCTCCATCCGAACGCCCGGTTGTTGATACAACTCCCGGGCCGCCCGTCGCTGCGCCAGCTAGTGTATATGTACGATATCGGGCGACAACTGAAGATCTGCAGCGCAAGATACACTACCGTATGCGTCACATTGATCATTAGAAGGATCATCACTGCCCGTCGTGTCCGCGTTCCTGGGAAGATGCGCAGGTAGAAGAAGAGGAAGGACATGCGCGTGAATCCAATCGAGAAGATGTAGCCTATCTGCCCTACCCACACACTCTGCCGCCCCGTCAGTCATATGAACGCCTAGCAAATTCTGCGCTTCACTTGTACCATACCTTGAGAATCGCTGTAATCGTGTCCGGCGCGAGCGTCCAGATGTCTTTTCCCAGACCCCTCGCACATGAATTGGCCGTTGTAGCGATGACCGGAATGTGTGCAAACTAGAAAACATTCTTCATCAGCCCACGCTCCTTGCCCAATAGCAGCCTGCTCTGTAGTAGAGGGGTGGAGGTATAGAAGAATGATGAACGGAAAGACGGAGGAAGTGGCAAGAACTGGTAGGAATGCAGGAATGAAAGATTGAGAGAAAGCAAAAATCACGCAAATCATACCCATTGCAAGACAACAAACGCCGCCTCAGGCCTTTGCGTCCAGTCACAGACATATGTTCTCACGCCCATGAACAGCGCTGCCAGACCGGCAAACACACCAGTCAGTATAAGCATGGTGTCTCGTCTACTCCGAACTGGCTCGTTGCATAGCGTCGCTGTCACGTTTCTCGACGCTGCAGATAGTCAGCTACAATGAGCGCAAGACGAATGTCTACCTAGACAAGAGTGTCTCCACGTACTTAGAGCATCAACAACACTACATTCCTGCAACACACATTGACCAGTAGTGTTGATCAACTGGCTATCTGCACAAATGCACGGTACGTCTGTAGCAGCACACGACGAGGTCTGCAGCGATTGCACGAGACATTTCATCTACTCGTTATCAGCAACATAGTCGGCGGTCGAGAAGTCGCAGACTTACACCACAATTTGGCAGCGTCTGCTGTGCTGCTGCGAATCCAAACGTCTGCGCAAGCAGAACCACGCCAGCTAAGACGCCTATGGCTTTCATATCGACACCACTACTGAGCAAGTGACTACTTTTATGCTGAAGAGTCTGTTGATTCAGAGTAGAAAGAGCTCAAACCCGGAGCAAGTTGGGTTCAATGGAACATAGGCTTAGGCCGTGGCGACAGGATGGAGAGTTACTCAAAGTGCATCTTGGACTTTGGTCCATCGCGAGCCCCGCTTTATGTAAAGCATTAATTGCCTCTGCTGGCGTTGCGTTGTGTGGTCGCAGCCAGTGGACGGACCGACTGATCTGATGATATTTAACCTCGATTTTGACCTCCCCACCTCCAAGGGTCTGCTGCATTCAGGTTTCACCTTGATCCTTGAGGAAGGAGCCGGAGCCCTACCAGGCACACTTGCCGTTCAACGGTGGGGGCTCTAGGGACTCGGGGACTGGAGGAGTTTAAGTTGAGTAGGCCAATTAGGGGGGGGGGGAGGCATATTGGCATATTGGCATACCGGCATGGATATTGGCAGGTAGTGGAGGTAATTAGGTATTAGGTCTGGACTATGGAGCATTAATTGTTATCGCGCTAAACCAGCCCCGAAGGTATTTCTACCTCTGACTTACCAATTTTGGAAAGCCGCGAGTCATCGCCGAACACGGCTTTTCTTTGGATTGTTTACATGAACGAAAGAGCCAGGTCTGTTGCCGCTCCCATTTGTCCTTCTCTTTGACCGGATCCACCTCTTTCGCACGAATTTTGCCAAGGTTGTAGTGTAGGCAGCAACTCTTTTGAGTCGTTCAGGTCAACGGATCGTACGTGTCAGACGTAGAGCATTCTGTGTGCAACGCCACCAGGTGCAGCTAGAGTAACGCTGTTCCGTAGCGAGTCATCTTTTATCTCTACGAGCAACGCCGTTGCAGCTAGAGTCATTCTATATTCCATGACAGCTGATCTTTGCCGCAGTGGCATGCTACTCAAGTAGTCGTTGCATGAATGAGCATTGAGAATTTCGGACCTGGAACCACAGAAAATCCAAAGTTTATCACTGTCCAGGCGCGTCTGGAGTTGTGGTCTCCGCGTATAGTTCCATCGCGGATCGACCAAAATTATGATTGTTCGTTACCATAAGGCTGTGGCGGACTGGCTGATTGGATCGAACGATGCATGGAGCCCCGTGCTTCTCCGCACCCTGAACCCCCCAGACTTCAGAGTTCCAAACTGCAGGCTGGAATAAGGCTGAAATAGTGGGCCACCAGTCAGACCCGGAGTGACTGTCGACACATGGCGACGCTGGTCTTACAATCTGTTAGCGTGTGCAGATATTTGACCTTTACCGCATATTGGACATTCAAGGGTGTTTGAGTAACAGTTCGAAAATCATCTGCCGCCCACACGAACCGCTACCTTGTCGCCTGACGTTTCCATGTATTGATGCAGCCTGTAGGCGCAGTTGGCGAAGAGTCTCGAGAGATCATTAAGGCGAAAGCCTCGAGAGACCCAACGAAGCGAATATCTCGCGGGTATCAACAAGGTGAAGGTGGTCGGATGAGAGGGCTGACTATTAACATTGTGCAGGGGTGATACTATAGTTCACACGTTGTGTCTGGGGTGGGCCGAGCCACGAAACCCCGCTTCACTATCAGGTCTCAGACCACCTTTTGGCTCTGGCATTTACTAACCTATGGCGGTTCGACTGAATGTTTGATTGCTGTTGTTGACTGATGTCTTTTTGACGTATCCCATGCGGCATAGAATCGGTCAGGCGAGTATTTCCTGTAGTGTCTAGGACCCTTGAGAGAATAGTGGGATAAGTCCTATGCAGAAGATGTCAAGCTCACGTCCGAGTGCGAGACGATCATGCGATTTGAATCCTAGTTCTAGGCGCATTCATTAAGTCGAACGCGGATAATGCTCATCCCTGCCGAAGGGATGGTGACGACTTGGCCTCGTTCTCCACGCCTCATACCCACCGTGCTGAAGCTGGGGAACCCTTTGCATGTCCATCCACATTTCGCAAGGTCGATCTTCGGACACTGGATACCCGGAAGATCTTTCCACTGTCGTTCTTTCTACAAGATCGTGCATGTTGGGCCATTGCATTTCTTACTAAATGGTCCTGTAGCTTCCCAAATTCGTCTCCGTCTCCTTAGCCTTTCCCTCTCCTTTCGCAGCCCTGACGAGCCCCTCAAGCCAGTCCTGGTGACCTAGTAGCATTTTATTAGGTTTCGCGCTTGCCAGCTGCGCGGCTGGCACTCCGCATTGGCTTTCCTGCGTCAAGATTCTAACTCTTTCACCGTCAAGGTCTTCGACAAGCCATGCATGATAGACCTCAACCTTTTCGTCTCTGCTACCATCGAGTACTGCTGACCATGCTATGCGACCGGCCTCTCTCGAGGTTGGATTGACAGATTCGTCGATGAATGGTGGTCCGCATTCTTCCACTGGGCAGGTCAAGACTGGGAAGCCAAAGGTGGAAAATTTAAACGTGTCGCCTTTCTTCAGTATTGGTCCTGAGGATGGAGGCACAATTTTCTCGCAGTTGTAGTAATAAGATGGCCATTTTGAAACGTCAGCCAATTGTTCCCAGATCTGTTTTGCTGTAATTCCTCTTGCAAAGATCTCGTTGCTGACAAAATTATCGGTGGTGCCTGGAAGGTACTTCTCCGGCCAGATGATGGCCGATTGCGTTGCGCGCGACATAGTTCGTTTCCAGTATCACGGCAGCTTTACAGATGATATCTTGGTGGCATGAATGAGAGAACCAGTCGTGCAGGGCTTGTTGAGCTTCGAAGTGGCCGATAAAGCGATTGGTTACACATGACGTCATCCACACGTCTCATACTAAGGGCATATTCATCATCTCCAGGCTCCACGACCAGTGATATCACGTACTCACTCATGCCAGCAACAAAGCATACGTTGTAAGATTGCCAGCAACAAAGCATACGTTGTAAGATGAGGCGTCAGTGGCTCAGTTTGGGTCTTTCGCCATCTTTACTTTCACGTTCACATGCGAGACCAGCGAGACTGTGGCTGAGATGCGCTTGTTATTGTTTACGCGTTGAAGGGAAACCTACACTCTAAAAGGTGATTTGGTCATGGATATTAGGGAGTTGCTGATTGGGACATCGATGGCCTTCTGTTGCATTCCTTATTCCTTACCCTTGCCGCCGTGCACAGGGCAGGATGGTCTCGCTGCGATCTGCCATCTGGCCCGGAACATACCTCAGGAGAAGATTGCATTCCATCAGCCACACTCAGCCACTCAATGACGCATACTTGCCCGCTTTTACCCCCCGGCATGTGCTAGGTGTTCGTTCCTGCTTTGAGCTGCTACCAAATCCGGGGGCTTATATCAACACCCGTCATTGGAACCTTTACCACACATTCCTGTCCCTTTCTCCGTCACCATCTCACTCTTGCACCTCTCCCACTTCATAAGATCCATTCACACAATCTGCACACTGCACATCCATCCTTCATCAAACTCAACGCTTTCATCATGTCTACTGCTGTTCACGTTAAGAACATCTCTAGTCAGACTTCGGAGAAGGAAGTTCGCGATTTCTTCAGCTTCTGGTGAGTCTTTGTCTGGTGGCAACACTGCTTCACTCCCTTCTGACCAAAAACAGTGGCAAGATCTCGACTCTCGCCCTCACCCCCGATGACAACAGCACTCAGTCCGCTCTTGTGACCTTTGAGAAAGAGACTGCTGCCAAGACAGCTCTGCTCCTCGACAACACACAACTTGGTACTTCGCAGGTCAAGGTTGAGAGCGCAGCACCAAATACCACTGCCGGAGAGAAGGCCCCTGCCTCGCCGGAAACAACCAAGGACCATGATGATGTTACTCAAGATGACAAGCCCCGCTCTCGCGTCGTGGCTGAATACCTAGCCCATGGCTACCATATTTCAGACCAAGCCATAGAGCGGGCCCTGGCCATGGATCAACAGCACGGTGTCAGCACCAAGTTCACGAACGCTCTCAAGTCTTTCGATGAACGCTTCAAGGCAACCGAGAAAGCTCAAGCAGTCGATGCCAAATTTGCTGTGTCTGCTCGTGCCAACGCTGGTTGGCAAGGTCTGAGCTCCTACTTTGAGAAAGCTCTTGGCACTCCTACCGGACAGAAGCTTCGTACCTTCTACGAACAGGGCAACAAGCAGGTGCTCGATGTCCATAACGAAGCTCGCCATCTCGCAGATCTCAAGAAGGGCGGGAAGAATGGTACTCCGGAGAAGGTCTCTGGATCGGATCGCACCAAATGCAACTGTGCTGCTGACGGTGGCGTATGCGGATGTGCTCCTAGCGAGTGCGCATGCGCTAGCTGCCCGAAGAACGCAGAGACCGAGAAGGCGTCCACTGAGGCGACCAAGGCATAAGCTACATTTTGTAATGTTCACCGTCTGTTGTGGTTGGCGCGGTGTTGGGGAGAGAAAAATTGTTACTACGATGAGAGCTCGTCAAAGTTGGGAATCGGCGTTTCCACGGTGCTATTTACCTGTACCATAGGATTAAATGCTATACTTAGCTTAGTCACAATCATAGTGTGTGTTTCACACTGATGCAATGAAATAATTTCTATACAGATTGACATATGTAAGAGGGCTACGCGCTACATCACAATAATATGTCTCTTGTTGTATTACTAACTCGTAGCTCCAGGCCACTTCCCGGGATTCGCAGCCGAGGATGACAGCATTTGGCAGTATCGAAAGGCTTCCCATTGGCTGAGACTTCGTTCGACCCTTCTCCGCGCGACCGGAAACCAATTAGCATTAGCACGACTGCTGGCCGAGGCCATCGTCATGAATCAGTGCAGTATATCCTTCGGTTCAAAGCGCAGCGATGCGCATTCGTATACACGATCCTGTAATCTTATAGACCTCCTCCGCTCTATAATTCACTCGAGGTATCATACATATATATCTCTCCCCCCAACAGCCGTAGCTATCTTATCGAGTGCCTTAATCGCCATTGGCCGCCGCACACAATTCGGGTCATAGCTCCTCCCAGCCCACCTGCAGCATTTTCGCCACAATGAATCGCGACAAGCAGAAGCAGTCAAAGCCAAATCAGCTCACCGGGAAAGATATCGCAAAGCACAACTCTAGAGACTCGTGCTGGGTCATTATTCACGGCAAAGCGTACGATGTAACGGAATTCCTGCCAGAGCACCCAGGTGGTCCCAAGATCATTCTGAAGTATGCTGGAAAAGATGCGACTGAGGAGTACGAGCCCATCCACCCGCCTGACACGCTCGACAAGTACCTACCAAAGGAGAAACATCTGGGAGAAGTGAACATGGACACTGTCGAGAAAGAAGAGAAAGAGGTGGATCCAGACGAGGAAGCGAGGCTGGAGAGGGTCAAGACGATGCCAATTCTGGAGCAGTGCTTCAATCTTATGGACTTTGAGGCTGTTGCAAGGCGTGTCATGAAGAAGACCGCCTGGGCATACTATTCCAGTGGCGCTGACGACGAGATCGTGAGTTTTAGGTGTCCATACCGGAGCCCAATCGCTTACTCCTGCAACAGACAATGCGTGAGAACCACTCGGCATACCACAAAATATGGTTCCGCCCGCGCGTCCTCCAGAATGTAAAGAACATCGACTTCTCTACCACGATGCTCGGTACGAAAGTCGACATTCCCTTCTACGTAACCGCTACTGCTCTCGGAAAGCTAGGTCATCCCGAGGGCGAGGTCGTGCTCACACGCGGGGCGAAGAAGCATAATGTCATCCAAATGATCCCGACCCTCGCATCATGCTCCTTCGATGAGATCGTCGACGCTCGTGAAGGCGACCAAGTGCAATGGCTGCAGCTCTACGTCAACGCGGACCGCAAGATCACTGAGAAGATCGTCAAGCACGCCGAGGCACGTGGCTGCAAAGGTCTCTTCATCACTGTCGATGCACCTCAACTTGGTCGCCGCGAGAAAGATATGCGGAGTAAATTCTCGGATGTTGGGTCCAATGTGCAGTCCAGCGGTGGCAGCGACGTAGATCGAAGTCAGGGTGCTGCGCGTGCCATCTCGAGCTTCATCGATCCTGCACTCTGTTGGGACGATATCCCATGGTTCATGAGCATCACCAAGATGCCAATCATCCTCAAGGGCGTGCAGCGTGTGGAAGACGTCATTCGTGCGATCGAAGTCGGCGTCCAGGGCGTCGTACTTTCGAACCACGGCGGTCGCCAGCTCGATTTCGCACGCTCCGGCATCGAAGTTCTTGCCGAGGTGATGCCCGTTTTGCGCGAGCGCGGCTGGGCCGATCGAATCGAGATATTTGTCGACGGTGGTGTACGGCGCGCGACGGACATTATCAAGGCTTTGTGTCTTGGTGCCAAGGGCGTTGGTATTGGGCGGCCGTTTCTATATGCGATGAGTGCGTACGGACTGCCTGGTGTTGACCGTGCGATGCAGCTGCTCAAGGATGAGATGGAGATGAATATGCGGCTGATTGGGTGCTCCAGTGTGGAAGAGCTGAACCCGACGCTTGTCGATACTAGAGGACTGAGTATGCACACGACAAGTGTGCCATCAGATACGCTTGGTCTCAATGTTTATGATCCGCTTGTTGGGCCGAGGGAGTCGAAGTTGTAGATGACTATGATGTTTTAAACGTTTCAGGATTGTAGATAGCTATTTGTACTATATACGCATACGATTTAGAGACCCCGTATCTAGATATTCATGTAGCGTGATCTTATCAGTGTTGTTACAATCACAAATTCCAAGTGATCGGCCAAGTCTATACCCAGTCGCTCCTTAGGTACAAGGTAGTCAGTCGTCAAAAGATTTCCCATCGTAAGGTATTTGGGGTGGTAAGCGCTTCATACTAGTCCCAATAAAGCATAGCCGGCTCTCCTTAGCAGTCTTGTCCACCGTCGGAGATGCTGTATCAATTATCATTATCCATGTCTGGACAGATTGGTCTCCAGTAGGATCCTCTCCATCGTCATGCAGTAATTAGATGTCTGCGTCAGGTAGCCCGCAGGCTCAGGTTGCTTCATATGCGTGCGGCATCTGTGTGTCGGTCATCGGCTCCGGACAATCTGCTTTCAGCCTGGAGAAGCTTGTTATGGCGCCTCTCCGAAAGGTCGCATCATCGACGAGGCTCGTCTTCTAATAGGGGCCCGGACACATCTCACAATCGTAACAAATGGAAGCCAGTGTCAATAGCATGTATCTCTGACACGCATGGTTCATGGCACGCCGTTCCAGACGCCGACATTCTGATCCACGCAGGCGACCTGACAACCCGTGGTGATCTCCCTGCCATGAGAAAATCCATCGAATGGTTAGACAGCCTACCTCATCCACACAAAGTGATCATAGCCGGAAACCACGACTCCTGTCTGGACCAGAACAGCCAATACTACAACAGGGCCATCGCCCACACGATCCGACGGAAATTCACGTACCTCCAGAACACATCGACGGTCATCACAACCAGCTCTGGACGCTCGATCCGGATTTACGGCTCCCCCTTCACGCCAGCTACTCGTAGTTTGAGCATACCCCGGCTGTCCTGTGCATTTAGATATAAGCGCAAACGTGACGTCTGGCGAGGTATAGTTCCCCAGGACACCGACATCCTCGTCACACACGGGCCACCTCACGGCTTCCTCGATAATCTGCGCGGCTGCAAGCATCTCACGCGAGAGCTATACCGGGTATCCCCCCGATTGCACGTTTTTGGGCATTACCATGACGGCAATGGTATGCTGGCGCTGGACTCCTGGTCAGTGGAGAAAGTAGTCAGAAGGGTGTTGGAGATGGATCCAGCCCCGGAACACAAAGTTCTCAGCACACTCAAATCTCTTTTCCAAGTCATGTATTCGTTCCTGCGCATGGTTCGGGGGAGTAGAGCGGGGAACAGCATGCTGCTCGTCAATGCGGCTGTGGGCCCTGGATCAATCGTGCCGTCGACCTCTGAGCTCTTGCAGTTGCATCTGGCTGAACGACAGGAGGCCGACGTATCTGCTAAGGGTGGGGATAAACCGTTATACGGGAGTGCCATTCTAGTGACTATATAGTCATGACCTCGACTTCTATATGTATTGTATCGCCGACAGCCCAAGCATTGGAAGACGGAATAGGTGGGTGGAAAATATAGACACTTGGCAAATACAGGCACAATCTTGTATATCATATCACCTTCAAGCGACTCGCTCCTCATGGTATATGAGAATCTACCCGATAAACAAACTTTTCTACTAGCGATTCATCAGGAGCATATCATGCACTGGTTTGTATCCCGACAGTTTTCATCTCGCGCCGTATATAGGCATACTGTGAGTGATGTCCTCATACTGTTGAGTCTCTTTACCATTCCGTCTTACGCTTGTTCCGTATTGATATCGAGGCAGTGTATCGAAGTTGTCCTTTTAGCTCCTTACGATTTCCAAGCTCAGTCCTTATGAATCTTGCAAATCTAGGTGTTATTGATAGTGGTGATAGAATCTTACCTAGGTTACTAAGATAGATAAATAGACTATGAGTATGTTAGCTATAGAACATCCTTCTTTACCATCCTAAGTTTGCTTACCGTACTATACTAATATACTATTTATTATATAATAGAGTTATTTTAGTCTATCTAATAGAAGATAGAAATATAATAGTAGGGCTCTATATACTGTAAGGACCCAATCATGCGATATAATTAATTAGCTAATTCTTAAATCTCTAGGTCTATTAGTAGCTTACTCTAGATAATTATAATAAATTATTCAAGCCTTAAGAAAGACAAGATTAAGTAATGTATTTATGATTATATACTATTCATAGAGGAGAACAGTAGAAAGACATAAAAATATAATATAGACCTTGAGTACTAGAAAGAATATCCGTCAAGAGATTTAATTAATTAGTGATTGGATGACCTTAGACCCTTTGATTATTGGGTAGCGCCTTGGCAGTGGGCGTGCATTTACCAAGACACGCCGGGCGCCAAAGCTATATATATACTGAGAGTCCCTCCCACAGAGCGTCTTCTCAAGCAAGCCAACCTTCTCTACAACACTTCCGTGTAAGCATTCACCTCTACTTTTCTGCACTCTCGAGACCTAAAAGTGCAATGTCCCTCTTCGCAAATGACAACAGTCTCAGTGCTCTCATCAACAGACCACGTCCAAGCCGATGGGCACTATTCCTCAAAGAACCCTGTGTTTTTATTGCTCGGACGCTCTACAGCTGGCGATATGTTCTTCCTAGCGATCCAATAAATCCAATCACTGTGGTATGCATTTCAGACACGCACAACAGCCAACCACCAGTTCCTGCAGGGGACATACTTATACACGCTGGAGATTTGACCCAAAGCGGCACTCAGGAAGAGCTCGCTGCGGCTATCGAATGGCTGAAGGCCTTACCTCATGCACACAAAATTCTCGTAGGCGGCAACCACGACGCTCTCCTTGATAAATCCTTCACCCGGCACAGATCTGACCGGGTCATGAAAGGGCTTGACTGGGGAGATTTGATATACCTGGAAAGGGAGAGCGTGGTAGTGTCTTGCTCGAATGGGCGACGCATCTCGATATATGGAAGCCCGATGTCGCCGCGTCATGGGAACTGGGCTTTTCAATATCCACGGACGGAAGATATATGGACAAACACTATTCCATCTGATCTAGATATTCTTATCACTCATGGTCCACCGAAAGGCCATCTCGACTGTGGCGGGCTCGGCTGTGCGTTTCTGCTTCGGGAGATCTGGAGAGTAAAACCCAAGCTTCATGTGTTCGGACATGTCCACGAAGGGCATGGCAAGGAATGGATCCCGTACAGTGTTCTTCAGGAGGCATATGAGGCTACGGTTGTGATGCGCGGAGGACTCAGCAACATGATCTGGACGGTCTGGATGTATCTGAGGGTAAGGTTCGCACCGCCTACAAAGTCGAGCACTTTGTTGGTCAATGCAGCACAAGTAGGCGGACTGAGAGATGAGGTTAAGAGGGCTCCCATAGTAGTGCGAATATAAGGGCGCGTCCCTCCGTCAGACAAACAAAACATGTGGTTCATGTACATTGATGTTCTTCTCGAAAAACCATTCGCTGCGAGTAGCCTCATCTGCAGACTGGCCTTCGCTGTCGGGAATGTCTAGTAAGATATCGAGCTTCGGTACGCTGTCCAGCCAAGAGGGCAATTTTTCCAACACCTTGGGCTGTTTCTGTAGTTCATCTAGTTCTTCGTTGGTGATAATGGAAGGTGCATCTCTTGGCAAGCCCCTTTCCGCCAAGTTGTTGAACGCGTAGGCTAGATACCGAGGGAGAACAGCGAGAATAGCGTAGCGCTCTGCATTGCTATCTTTGGGGTCTGGTATCGCCGAAACGGCCCAGTCAGAGTGGTTGTAGAACCACTCAATCTCGCTACGGAGGCCAATATTGTAGTCGAGAACGATATATTCGTACATTCGATACAGGGACGCGAGAGGGCTCACCCCCTGCGTTTTTGCTGGGCGGTGACGGCGCTTCTGAAGGATTGTTCGAACATCATCGGGAAGCTGCGCCGCATTTGTCTTGGTTTTGGGCGTTCTGAGCCAGTGGAATATACGTTCGAGTCGTGCGAAGGGCATGGTTGCTGGAAGGACGGCGCGATCAGAAACTCCTCATGGCTTCGAGCTTCGAGCTCGCCGGGCAGATCACATTTAAGCGCTCTACGGTCATCGGCAATACTTACTTCCGCGCTAAGCTGTATGAGCCACGACACAAACATAGTGAATTGCGGCACAGTTAATATCGTTTCGTTAGCCGCTGAACTGGACGGTACACTGGTGTCGCATTGGATCAAACGTTCTTCATCGTTCGTCTTTCGGACTCTACAATGTACACACCAGAAGCAACATGAGCATGAATTATTAAGATACATCCTATGAGAGCAGGCTGATTAGCCGCTGCGACTATTCTATTTCAAATATGAATGCGGAGTGCTCACAGGTAACTCGACCTCGACGCCGCAATATGTCGAGCTATAAGAGCTTCGTCGTAGTTCCTATGGAGGCTATCATCAATTTCCTTACAACCTTTGTTCATTCCAGAAAACCAATCGAACGTGCTTGTATATCTAGCTATCTCCGAGTTCTATCTGTTTCTTTTCAATCTACGCATCTTATCATCCTTGAACATGGGCTGCAATGTTTCCGTACCGAATCGCGCTCCCAGCCCGAGTCAATTACTAGAGCTAGCCCCTGTGGCACACCCTGGGCAGCAGTCACTTGCTCCCGAGCTCAATCGAGACACACTTGTCAGAGCCCTTGAAAATGTCGCAGCCTATCTCAAGAGCAAAGGCATTAGTATCACTGTCATCGCCGTTGGGGGCGCAGTGAACACCATCTTTTGCCGTACTCGCGGTACTACGCACGATATCGACTTCTTCAATTCAATACTCAAGGACAAGGAGTTCAAGGCTATCATTGAGGCATCTAGCTACGCACGGTCCAAGGACCGGCAGCTTCAAAGCGATTGGTTCAACAACCGGACCGTACTCTTCGTCCCGCGATCTCAGCGAGATGCATTGACACGTCGAGCCATAGCACAAAATGAAGTTGTATTTCAAGCCAAAGGCCTTACAGTACTCGCCGCACCCTGGGACTACGCGATTGCGGCGAAGTTGAACCGGTTGACTGGGTCATCAGGAAGTGGCAAACCCTCGAAGCCTTACGATATGTCTGATGCAGCGACGTACTTGGAACGGTACTTGCGTAGCAAACGTGCCAAGGGTATCACGAAGAGTCAAATCAAGGCATGGGCGAGACTATATGAAACACATTGTTCAGATCAGGTCATTGCCCAGCTCGACGCTGAGTACCAGAAACAGTATAAACTCAAAGTAATCGATATGTCCCGCTGATGAGTCTGCCTTCCTCTGATCAGCGTTGGATCAACCACAATTACGACTAACTTGCGAATTTTGGCAAGTACTAAGAGATATTCTCCAGAGGTACCAGCATGGACGGACGCGAAGTAGAATGTCATCTTACAGGCTAATGGGTAAGGTTTGGTCTCATACTATCTGACTGATGACACTTTATGTACAATTTCGTATATGGGGATGTATTATAGAAATGAGCACGATCAATGGTAGAACCAAACACCTTCGTACCGTGGAAAGACAAGTAACCATCAACCAAGCCGCGCTCCTCCATGCTCGTCTGATTTTCGTACGATTGAAATCGACGATCCTACTTCCCTTGAACATGACGCACAGCTGCACCGCCAGGTGAACTTGTCTTGAACGTTCCCACAGCATGACAATAATCAGAAATACGCAGATAGCCTGCCGGCTCATCGATTGAGTCAAAGCAGACAATAGTGAGTGCTAGGGGGATATTGCAATGAGGATGCTTCAATAGACTCACAGCACAATAGAGGTTGTATCCATATCAGCAATACGCTGGGATACTTGATATATCACATTGTTATTATAGACGGAACATGCAATGCTCCTCGCTCCATTTGCACTGTTCACCGCACCCCGCCCCTGAACAGGTTTGCCAAGCTCACTTCAACAATCAGTGATGCGCATTCACAGATTCACTTCCTTCGGCGACAATAGTAATTGGCTATTGCTTGTCGTTCGCCGATTGCCCTATTGAGCCCTATTGAGCACAATCTTCTCGCTAGGCATCCTACCTGTATATATTCTCGTCGTCGCACTTCCCACTCTCTTCTTTTTCTCTTCTTCAAGCATCTTTCACGCTGCAAATTTTCCCCAAATTTTTGCTGCCTACTTACCAAAGTCCTATCATCAATCTCCTTTATCTCTCTTCAATCCTTCTTCCAACCTTCTCCAACCCTCTTCAACTTTCTTCAACCTCCTTCAAACTTCTTCAACATGGCAAAGAATACTTCTACCCGTGCTGCTGTCGCCAAGAGGCAAGCTTCCGTACCAGTGTCGAGCAGGAAGGCTGGTAAGGCTCCGGCCACAACCAAAAGCTCGTTGGCCAAGCGTGAGTATCCCCTCCTATGTTTCACATGGTTGATCGATTCTAACTGGAATCAGCCTCGGAGCCTGATGTCATGGAAGGCATCGAAGATAGTAGCTCCGGCCTGTCAGATGCCCCAAGCTCTCCTGAAGTTGTCTCCTCCAAGCGCAGGCGCATTGGAGGTGCTGAGGCCAAGAAGCCTGTTGCCAAGTCTACCGGAAAAGCAGTTTCTCGTGATGATCAGGTCGACGATGACACTGCCGAAGCTTCCACCGGATCCAAACGCAAGAGGGGCGCTGGCGCCTCCTCAGCTGACAACGTACCGTCCAAGGCAACCCAGGCCGCAAAGACGTCGAAATCCGCATCTACAGCGCAGAAAGACGCAGTTCCCTCCCCTCCCAATCCCGCCCCCCTTGTCCCTGTCTCCCGCGCCGAGAAGATCCGCAATTCAAGGCTTCTCTTCGACCAGGCTTTTGACATGGAACCACTCATTGCCGCCGCCAGAAATTCTCAGGACTGTCTCAGTGCTGACACCAAACGTGAGTCTCGCCCGTTCAAGCTGGGCCGATACGACGGCACCGTCGACCAAATGACCAGGTTGGCATTCAACCTCAAGTCCACCGATGGCGACATCAAGACCCTCTCCCACCCACCCCCCATGGACTGGACCAACAAGCAAGCAATCACCACGCTGAACAAGTGGTACGTCCAGATCTACTCCCGCACAACCGGCGGCCGGCTCCGCCAAATCGACATCTTCAACGACGAGGAAAAGCTCCTCATCAAGCACGAAGTGCAGAAGAACCGCTCCCTCACAATGAGGGACCTCACCACCTCCATCACAAAGACCCTCAACGACAAGTTCGAGGGCAAGAAGACCGCCACAACCCCGGAAGGCCGCCCCCGCCGCGGCATCACCTCCGTCAACGCCTTCCTCAGCAAGTACCGCGCAGAGTACCAGGCCGCCGCCCCAGTCGCCTCCTCGTCCGCCGCGCCCTCCTCCTCCAGCTCCGCCGCCCGCCGCATCACCGCCTCCCTCCCCCCAGCCCGCGTGCTGCCCAACTTCAAGAAGCACGCTTCCAAGCACGCCTCGCCGCCCTCGACCTCCTCCGCCACGCAGACCGACCCGGCCGCCCTCGCAGCCGACAGCATCGCCCTGCCCGCGCACCACGCCGCCCTCGCGGCCAAGGACGCCCTCATCGCCGCCCTCCAGGCGGACAACGGCCGTCTGCAGACGGACCTCGACCTCGCGCGCGCAAAGGTTGCCGAGAAGGCTGCGCGCGTCCGTGAGCTGCGGCGCGAGGTCCTGGTCAAGGAGACGAGCCTGGAGGGCATGAGGACGTTCCACCGCCGGGAGATGGCGGCGTTGAAGGGCGAGCTGCCGGCGCCCGGGAACGATTTCAGAGACGCGGCGCTGAGGGATGAGGAGGTGGAGGGGTTGGCGGAGATTGTTCCGGAGGAGTTGGTGGAGGAGGAGGAGTTTGTCCGGGAGGAGGTGGTGGAGGAGTGAGGGGAGAGGGGAGGGGGGTCTGGGGTTGGTGGGAGGGGGTGTTGGGGTTGGGGAGGGAGGGGTGGAGATCACAAGAACGCTGCGTCGTTGTAGTATAGTACAATCAACATTGCATTTGCTTTCATCATCTTCTCTACCTGTCTTGCCGTAACTGTGTCTTGGCTATACGTGCGTAATGCTCCCAGACTACGTATGTGGTAAGAAGGACGTCTGCACAAGGGCCATATACGTGATATTCACTCTCTTTGTTTGCAGTTCAGTAGTTCTTTCATATCGATACGTCTAAATACACGGTAAGTAGGAGCATTCAAAGCAATTCTCCCGCGCTATCCATACCATAAAGCAGAGTCCTAGACAGTAATTCAACGACTACTCTCCATACTCGATATAGCATCCATGATATCCATCCAAAGAAGTCACAGCTTAGATTATAGGATATTTCTCTGCCAGTATGGAGCCTATATGTACCAGTCACCTACATACCATCCCCACGAAACAGCATGAGAAGACATAGATGACCTATACACACACGTAAGAGACAAGGAAACCAAGAGACAAAGGAAAAAAGGAGATAAGAGAGAGAATTATAGTGAAAGACGAGCCGCCATGCTCCCCCTTTCATGGCCCAAACCCCACCTCAGACCGTGTGTCGCTGTCTCGGGAGTGTACCCTCACGAGCATCTCCTCCGGAAGCGAGCATCGATTACACCTATACTCGGCAGTGGAAAGGTGCGCAGCCATGGTGCCCAGAAAGACATTTATGATTGAAGCGGACCGGGAAGGGCGCAGACGTGCTGGCTCGGTATGCTGTCGTACATCAGCACACGCCGTAGTAAAGGGAGAAAACGAAGAAGAAGAAGAAGAAGAAGAAGAAGAAGAAGAAGAAGAAGAAGAAGAAGAAGAAGAAGAAGAAGAAGCAAAGGGCGGCGATGCGACATGCGGAGACACATCATAGTTGGGCGAACAAGATCGCGGGGAGGGAGGTTCAGGGTGGGAAAGTGGCAGAACAGGCGAGGAAGGTTGCGGGGAAAGAATGTGTGGAGGAGCAAGTTGCTCCATATCAGAAGCCGGGGCAGTAGGAAGTGCCGCAAGAGCAGCGCTCTCTTCCTTCTCTCGCCTCTTCGCCGCATGTCGTGCCTCGCAGTCTGGGCAGTAGCCATAGATAAGCTCGCGGTCGAAGTCGGCGGCTTTGCAGACTTTGGGCGGAGATGCGGCCGGGCAGCGAACGAGATAGGAGCCGGAGCCGGGTTTGTTGGTGGATTGGTGGCCACAGCCGTATTGCTTGGGGGACTGCAGTTAGTATCGATAATCAGGGGGACGGAGGGAAAACAATATATGGGAAGTGAGCAGGAAGAAGAAAAGCAAGGGACGAAAGAGTGAAAAAGAAAAAAAGGATACTGGGCTCACAATGTAGTGGTATTTGCACATTGAGTGTGCCTTGTCGAGACTGACGTCTCAGAGACCTGGGAAGATTGTGTTCAGGGGCTCTGATTTTCGAAAGTAGTATAACGGTAACGTAGCAGCGGCAATAGCAGCAGTATCAGTCGTGAGCGGTAAGCAGATCCTAGCGTATAATACTTCTAGACACGTTGGGAACGACAGACTTGAGGTATCAAGGAGTGCAGTGCTAAGGTAGAGAGAGAAAGTCTTACTGAGTGGTAGATCCGCACTCTATATACTGAAAGACAGGCAAGACTGCTGTCCTGCGATTTGGAAATGTACCCATCACGTTTCCGTATCTCCTCACCTGTCAAAGGTTAAGATCGAGCAGAAGTGTATGTACGAGGTCGGGAAGTATCTTAAACATAGGTAAATACGCGCGTGATAGAAGCGAGTTGGGGTTCAGAGGCATATATTCACCCTCTCGTGTCCAATATCAAGGGGGTGGAAGTTCGTAAATACGGACTGGATCTGTCACATAGCTATGTAGAGGCACAGGAGCCCAGTGTACGAAGGGCACGAGGTTGGAGGATCTAGGGGAATCGGAGATGACATCAGTCCGTGCGATACTGGACTATCTGGGTGAAGCTCGAGCAGCTCTGTGACGTCGAGTGCCCATGCACAGTGAGGCTTCACAGCGAGAAAGGTGTGCAGTAGGTCTTGTCCTGGATGGATCCCTGGACTTTGACTTCAGCAAACGTTATCGAGGGAACTTATGCTCAACGCCAAACTGACATGAGTGAACGACGTTTAGATTGCTCACGAAAGGGTGAAGTTTCACAGCACAGTAAAACTATGGGCCATCCAAGATCCAGGACACAGCTTTCCCAGATTCCCTAGAACCCCTGTGTCGGAGAAAACAATGTGAACTTTTCACGTATATACAGGGCCTATGAATTCTGATTTTCATCCGGGCGTAGCACTGTCAACCGGACTCAGAATTCAAGACCTTTAGACTGCTTCCGATGGCCCATGAATAAGCTGCTGACTACAATAAGCACTGAAACGTTCCAGGCTTAGTTCAAGCACACATTGTGGCGCCCATTGCTTCTCTTCTTTTATCAACGCTCACCAAGGCACACTGAAACTATAACAACCTTTGACCTTTCGTTAGCAAGATCATGTAATTCAAGGAGGACATTTACTCATGCCTGAAGTTGGTATCCAATCACGTGTGGCGAAATGAGACTTCAAGCTGTACGGTGCCATGATGTGCCTGGGTATATTGCTCTACGAACTTCATCCTTACTATTTTCTTGCCATTCAAAGCTGACTAGATCTAAGGTACCTACCTTCACGTCATACAAATGACTTTTGATGGCGAATGTGAAATTGTATCAATCGCTTTTAGGCGAATAATGTCACTCACTCACGATCGAGATGAACCAGCGAACCCTTCGCGCCTTTCCAATGTTCTTAGCTCGCCATCTTTACCCTGTCTAAATTTTCGCTGAGACGGGTCCAGCTATCAATTTCACTACGACCCAGAATCATCCCACCCTCTACCCAATTCCTAGTGAAGAAGATGAAAGTTATGTCAAGGCTTGTGCGGCCATCCCTTCCTAGTTTTTGGTGATCGCAAAGCACCCCACTCATCTTTCTTCGGTGGCCTAAATAATTTTGTGGGTGCCATCGTCCAATCGCCATCCCATGGTCCAAAGTGTGGAGCCCCCTCTGGCTTCGGGCCATGCTCAGACGTCTCCAGCTCTACAGCGATGTCTTCACTCGCACGGGCCATTGCTATATCTTTGCTGCTCAGCCCTTTCGGGAAGTTTGTAGTCCAAGTCAGGCTCAGGTCGCGGTTGTGGGTAACTTCGATTATAGGGTGGTGGTTTGATTGCTCTGCAAGGGCGGCAATGCGCGTTATGAAGAGGATAGCGCGATGATATGTGGGAAAACGGTAGGTACGATGAAGGGCATGAGAGCTCCAGACAATGTAGCGGGTTTGCTGAAGGAGAGGGTCGAGGTTGCGTCGGACTTCGTCGACAGATTCGGTAGGAGCGACACGTACGCTCTGGAGTTGGTGCTGATATTCGGATATGTTAGTGGAGGTGGTATTCGACACTTCAACATTGTAGCTCGCTGTACTGGACGAGAAGAGGCATGCGGTCGAGGAACGATGGATGATAGGAACGGAGAAGGAGCTGCTCAAGACACGGCTTGTGGGCAATTTGAAACTGCAGATGAGTCAGTATGCTACTGAGTATGACCTGTGATGTGAGACGTACCATGACGGCGTGAGACAACGCCGTGTGGCAAGCATGAATATAGTAAGAAATGTATGAGGCCGGGTATATGACAATATAAATTCCGAGATGCGATGTCCACGGACGGGTCGCAACGTGAGGTCCTCCAATGGAAGATAGAGAAGGTCGGGAGACGTCTACAGCCACTTTAAGCTTAAGCCTTGTAACCCTTGTCAAGCACGAGGATGATGGAGCATGCAAGTGGTTCAGCAGCTAGTCAGTCAGTCAGTCATCCAACTCCTCTAAGCAGACACAGCTTGAGTCAGCCATACAATACACGAATGGCGTCGCTGAGGGATTGGGGAGGAGCGATTTCTGCCAATTCTAGCAGAGTTGCGCCAATTGGGGAACAGTTTGGCCGTATTGAGTGTGAGTGTTGAGGCCGTTCTTCGTGCCGTTAGTGACCTATGTTGTGTTGCATTCCGTTCGGACCAAACTTCCGGACCTCAGAAATGTTTAGTCAGCATATTCCTCGTATCGAGCAGCCAAATTGGGGCAAGAAGTATCTGATATCTACATTGGAGTGAATACTATATTGCTGCACAGGTAGCCTCCAGAGAGTGTATTAACCATTCTATATTCCTCAAGTAACAAATGAGTCTGTCACATATGGTACTAGTCATTATTAACGACCTTCGATATTACACTCCATATCTAATATCAAGAGCCCGGTGTTACTGCGGGGAAGGCTCGGTATTAGGTAATCAGAAACAGAAAACGACGCCAAGCGCGGCCGACCAAGACCCGACTTTGCCGACCCCCAATGGCAAAGTCCCGCCAACACTACAAAAACCCAAGCTGCCCCTCGGATATCAGGAGTAGTCAGCCCTCACCTAAGCAGACATCCCGATACCACCGCCTCAAAGGTAATGTGCTTCCATCTCTCTGGTCGAACCTCTACACTCTCTCGTTATTGCAATATCACTTCGAGTTCTTTCTTCGTCCTTTTGTGAAGCTGTCCGGTTGTTATTCAACACCTTGTCCTCAACAGTGCTACCCTCATGACACCACTACATCTTCACAATAGCTATGACCGTGCGACTGACCATGGCGCCAGTCGCGTACATCGATCGCCGACGAGAGTCTCCCAGTGCTGCGAAGGACCCGACGACCACCATCGACGTAGATCTAAATAGTGACTTCTAGCCTCAAAGAGCCTTTGCCACCATCCAACAACACGTCGGGCGCTTTGCATTGCGACCAAATCGCATCCTCCATCGCGCCGCACATAGCAAGAAGCTGTCAGTTGTGCGCCTCTGACCAGGTCACGGTACAATGCAACACGCTCAGGTAAGCCGAGAGACTCAGAGGCGCCGCATCTATACCAATTTTGTATTCTATGACGAAGCTAAATGCTGACAAATGTGACAGGACCCTAAGCCGACCATAGAAATGAGTACGTCCCATCCCAGCGAACGTCCGAATGTCTCATGTTCCGACGAATGCGATGACTGAGCATTACCGATTACTAACGTCGTCTTTTCCACCGTACATAGGTCTCAGAGAACACCTCCTTGCTGCCGGGGCTGGCCAGCCCACAGCTCCAGTCACACCAGTACACCAAGGTCACGGCATTGGTGTCGGTCACCAAGATCATCATATCGACCCCGCCATTTCGGGATCGGCAGGGTACGGCATGAGTCCAGATGACGATGGACACCTGAGTAGTGAAGGTCGAAAAGGCAGGCGAGAGCTGTCAACATCCAAGCGTGCTGCGCAAAATAGGGCCGCTCAGGTAAAGTCTCCTAAGGCGGTTGCATACCGACATATATAACACATGCTGACAAGCAATTTGTGTAGCGCGCTTTCCGTCAACGCAAAGAGGAGTACATCAAGTCATTGAAAGACCAAGTAAAGGAGTACGAGACACTCGCGGAAACATACAAAGCTGTGCAACAGGAGAACTATCAGCTACGAGACTACATCATCAGTCTCCAGTCCAAGCTACTCGAATCCCAAGGCACCGTACCCCCACCGCCAGATAACGTCGATCTCTCCCGGCCAAACGCTGCACTGGAATCAATCCAGCACTCCGCGCCTTCCGAACCCTCGGCGCCTCCACCATCCACTGCGCCCACCGCTACCATGACACCCGTGGCCATCAACCAGCTGCAGCAAGCAGCCGCGCAGGCATCCGCTCACGACGTGAACAACAACGGTACGCCATACGACTTTTCTAGTAGTTCTTTGTTCCGGCTCGCACAAGGCATGACACCCGCATGAGTAGCGTCGAATATCTATATATATCACACACTTGACAGCGCCTTCACCTTTTTTGCCCTACGCAAACTACCAGTCAGCCCTTCACACAGCATCTCTACGCATAAATCAGCTTTGACTCAAAAAAAGCGCCCATCGCTAACGGCCTCCTCGTAGATTCGAAGCCTCATCATTACGGGGATGCATGAAAAAAATAAACACACACACAAAAATGTAATATGAATCCTCGTCCCCAAAGTTGAGTTCAAAGAAAAAAAACAAAAACAAAAGGATACTTTTTCAGGCTTTGGGCTCAACATGAGGAAGGATTGCGCCGAGAGCTTTACACTTTTTTGTGTCTTTTGGGGGGGGGGGGGGGGAAAGGTGGCGTTGTGCTTGATATATATGATATCTGTCTCGGCGTGCCAAATTCGCTGCTCAAGAGTTGCCCTACCGTGCACGCATGGCGTTTTTTTTCGTTTTAAAAGGGAGGTGGTGTTTTGACTGTTGCATCGACGTGGTCTCCCTTCTTTTTTCCTTTTTCGGTTCGTTGGAAGAATTCGGGGATACATGTCTATTTTAGTTTTCTTTTGGAGGCGGTCTCCTGTATGGCTTGCTGGATGGATGGATGATATGCTTAGCGTAGACCAGGTAGTATAATACTTGGTGTTTCTATGCCATTCCTTTACCAAGATGCATTCCTGTGGTTGCTGATCGACAGAGGACAAGTCCCTGAGGTTCACCATGTGGCTACTACCTACCTATCCATGTACGAAAGTGACGTGGACGATCGTCTAGCTCAGTTGAACATGTCCGCCCGTGAACGGCGAGTTTTTTTTTGGATTTTTCATCTGATCTGATCCGAGTCAGGAAGAAACAAGCAGGTATTAATTCTTGATTCGAAAGTTGAAGGTCTAATTATAATGCTATTCTGATACGGCATGTATGCTCGCCATGTACATAATCAATACCGGTTCTGGCTAGTAATCAGAGTCTACACCCTCCTGGGCTCTATAACGAAGAGAGCTCTCAAAAAACGCCACGCGATGCAAATATGTACTGTACTGTTCCTGAGCCGGTTCCACGCCTTGGTAATGTTCCGGGGGTCACTGTCGGCGTCCGAAACAGTGACCCGGTCCAAGTCAAATTCCCAACAAGAGTATCAAGTCCTGCCCTATTGGGCGAGTCCTGCAGGGGGAAATCTACTGGACCTTCTTCATAGCACGCTGCTTGGCGATCTTGCGCTCGCGGCGTCTCTTTGACGCTTCGGGTCCGCTCTCGGTGTCCATGACGTAGTCCCACCACCTGAAGCTACTCGCATAGTTGCCAATAAACCGCTCATGATGCTCATCATGATGCTCAGCGCCAGCCCAGAATGGCAAAAAGTGGTGCAGACTCCAAGGGAACTCATAACCAGAATGCGCGTCGATTGCCTGGAACAGACGGAACACAATCCACACATACATGGTCAGAATGTGCAGATCCTTAGTGATTGCGCACCACAATATGGGCGAGCCAACCGTGCCGATACCTAGACACATGACTTCGATTGGCGACGCGTATTCTGCGGCAAGACCAAAGGGTGCTGAGTATTGATGGTGAATTTTGTGGATGTATTTGTAGAGCGGGCCCCAGTGCATGGCGCGGTGCGACCAGTAGTGCCAGGCATCTTCCATGACGAAGAATATGCAGATTTGGTAGGCCATTTTGAGCACGGATGGAAAAGGGACGGTGGTGCTCAAGCCCCAGTACTGAGCCGTGGGATGGAAAAGCCTGTATTGAGTCAATAAGCAGTAGACTAGCGGGTCGATATTGGTATACGCACCATATTTGAGGAAGTTCAACAGTGAAGTGACTGAGGAAAACAAGAGCAGCGCATTGCCACTGTTCTTTCGCGGTTGGAATTTTATTCTAATAGCGCATCAGTCTCGCAGTTACGTTTATATGACTGCTGTCGCGTGTGACACATACAGCTTGAATCTTCCAGCGTCTAAAGTATGGGATCAGATCGATGATGATCCAAGGTAAAGATCGACCGAAGTAGATGGCCTCGTGCATCACGAAGCTCATGATTCCCGTCGCGAGGACATCGTTTTGCATGTATGTGTACCAGGCGAGCCACAGCTGCTCGGCGTAGTTAAGGGAGACATGGGCCTTGGAGATCTCTTCGACTTGGACCCAATAGCTGTCTTGAGGTGGCACTACTTGCGAGTGCAAAATATCTGTTGAGTTCCTACAAAGCGCAAAAGTTAGGAGGTGGGACGATTCGGTTATAGCAAGGAGTCGGGTGCAGTACGTACATCTTGTGTGCTGGTCTATCCTGACTGCTGAGAGGATAGGAGCACGAGGCAGCGGGAGATGAAAGGTTATATACAATCAGGAGTAAGAGAGGAATAAAATTAGGCAAAGACCGAGGCGAAGGTGGAAAGTTGCTTGACAGAAAACCACACCATTTAGGGATCCACGGTTGAGCCCCTTCCGAGAGCGGCGAAATTCCCAAATAGGGTGTGGCCAGCCAATGAAAAGAGCTGGACTCCTGCATTACCCACTTTTCCATGCAGTACAGGGTCCCGCCAATCATGCCACCCCCAACCCCGACTCGTTCCGGATCTTGTATAGTCACGTGAGTAAACACTAAAACATGATATTCTCCTGGACCCTGACTCTCCACTATTCACACTCGCCATGGCCGACTATGAGGTCTCACCCGGTGATGACGATGTTACATATGCTGGAGGCGCATTCACAACATGCAAAATTCTGTCCCGCCACTTATACAATCATCTAGCTAACAATAACGAAAACTCAGTCAGATCTCACTAATACCAACATGACGTGCATGACTTTGGAAGTCCTAATCGAACCCGACTCGGGGTCTATATTCCATTCCCATAAAAACGGAGAGTTTCTATATCTGGCACAAACGTCCAACGTTTGCTAAGCTACACCATCGCTGCAACATTGCCTGTACGAAACACAGACAGTGGCATGTCCTTTTGATGGTTCCTATTCGCTGTTCAATCGTCATTCAAATGCTTCCCTTTCTTCCTCAGGCAGCCGATCCCTCAGCCACGCTAAGACAGCCTCCGTTCCCTTGCGGAGCACTTGATAGCCTGGCACTCTAAATGTGTTCCCTTCGACGTTGAGCCCCGTAAGCCGTCCTGCCAGCAATCCGATTCTGGCATCAAGCTTTTCAATGCTGTTGTTGCTCAGATCTACCACCTTTAGCCCTTCTAGAACCTTGGCTTCCACCGTGTCTATAGCATTGTCGGCTACTTGCAAAGCAAACAGGTTGGGAAAAGCAGTCTTTAGCGCCGGCAAGGCACCGTCTAACTTGTTATAAGTAAGATCGAGTGTTTGCAGATTGGGTGCTGAGAGATGCGTTTGCAGGTTTGCTAATGCAGAATTTGTGATTCTGTTTCCTGCAAGCTTAAGGTCGCGTAGGAATGGTAAAGACAACTGCGCCTCCAAGGCTAGAGAGATGTTGTTGTGGGATAAGTTCAGTACTGTGAGAGTGACGGATAACTCCAGAGCTTGGGGTATACACTCAAACTGATTTTGCTGGAGGTTCAGCTGTTTGATATCGTATTTGGTAGCGAAAGCTCCAAACTCTTCCTCTGGAAGCGAACACAAGGACTTCTTTGACAGATCAAGAGTTCCCGATGGCGTCAACTTCCACCCGTTGTCGTGACCTCCACCTTCCGATACCAAGTCAGACTCCAACTCGTCTAAAGTCGATGTCTGCCCTTCAGCGTCCTGAGCTGGTACCAGCTTGGCGCGCAAGTGTTGTTTCAGATCGCTAGTCACCATTGTAAGATACTTGCGCTCTCGGAGTGGGTTGGCGGCAAGTGATATAGTATCAAGGCTCTCCATGAGCGCTATGCGATCATCGACCTTTGAAATGTCGTTGCTCGAAAAGTCTGCCTTTTTAACATTCAAAAGCTCGACGAAGCCTTCTGGTAGATCTTGTAATTTATTCTCGCCCGCTAAGATAGTCACCAGGCTCCTACATCCTGATATGTCTGGAAGTGACGATATTCTGTTTACAGATAGGTCTAGGGTCTGGAGTGCTGAGAGCTGAAGACGTGAGTCAGTCGTCAAACTTGTCAGGGAGTTGCCAGACACATTGAGAGCCTGCAGTGATGTGTTCTCCATCGATCCAGAAATTAAGACGCCTTGGAGGTTGTTCTTCACTGCACTAATCTGCACGATGGGTAGCGCTAGGAGAACCTCCATATCAAGCGATGTAAGTCGATTACTCGTAACATTGAGCACGTGGAGGTTGACGAGTTCACTCATGTCTGCAGGTAGTTCTGTGAGCTGATTACCCTGCAGGTCCAAGTTTTGTAAATTGCTCAATCTGCCAATAGAGTCGGTAGGTAAACTGCCTTGCAAGTCGTTCTCGGCGACTTTTAGCTCCTTCAAGCTCAAGATTTGCCCAATAATCTCAAAGGCCGCAATTTTCAGACGATTACGAGACTAAACATTGTTAAAAAGCATCCTAGCTTGTCATGAAGAAGGGCTACTGGACGTACAAGGTTGAGACTGGTCAATTGCGACATCCGCCGCAGGCCTAGAGGAATGCTCCCCAGCTTGTTCCCATGCAAATCAAGAAATTCGACCCCAGCGAATTGCATGTTTGGCGCATCTTCATCAAGAGATGCAGCCTGTGGATCCACATCCGGAAAAACAAGGTCGGAGATATTCTCAAGATCATTATCGGCAGCGTTAAACCTCACTAGGTCAACAACTTCCCCCCAAGCAATAGAGCTTGATTGATTCGAATCGAATTCATACATCTTCAACACTACCTCGGGGATTTCACTGAGACCCATAGCTGATATGTTCAACCTGCCGTCTGATCGCGCTGCGTCAACGCGTTTTCGAATGACAGCATCACCGCCTTTCGGCATCTGGTTAAATGGATCGTTATCCAACCCAAAGTCAAATTGAGCATTCGCAATGCTATCAGTAGGGGCTGTTTTTGCTGCTACAGCTTTTCGAGCTGCCTTTGCTTTAGCTATCTGATCTCGCAGAGCTGCGGAAGAAGTCGATGCTTTCCGAGCAGAACTATCAGAATCAACCTGCAGCGATTCTTTCTGCACGGGCTTTGTTGTGCGACGCACAGGAGTCGAGGTAGTCGATGGTGCTCGAGACTTATCAAATAGTCCATTAAGACTAGGTCGTGGCTTTAGTGTTGCTAGCGAGTTCGAGGTTCTTGTGCTGCGGACACTCGATGGAGCTTGAACAGAGGACGTATTGCTCGTCCGAGACGGCTGTCTCAAGGTCTGACTAGGCTTCCTTGGGATCGCAGCACTTACGCTTCGCTTCCCTGGGGCAGTCATGGAACCCTTCAGTGCTACATTCTCACTCTTCGCTGATGACGGTGTCGCAGGTAAGCGCGATACACTGGCGGAGAACGCCCCATCACTTGTATCTGGCCTTTTGTTATAGTGACCGAGAGCTGATGAGGAACGCGATGGTGGTCTAAGAGGGCTTTCAGGGCTAAAGATGCTCGATTGCCGCCGTCGAGGTGCCGGTGACGCTGGAACTTGGGAGAGACTTTCTATGGTTCGATCAGATAGCGAAGGTCGTGACTTCTTTGCGGTGGGTTTCTTGTCCTTTGGTGGCGTTTTGTTTGTGAATTCGATGTGGTCGTCTTCTCGAAAACTTGCCCGCGACGATGCTCTCGAGGAAGCCCTAAATCCGTCGAGGGAACCCAATACATCCTCCTGTTGCTGCTGTGCTCTATTCTGACTTGCTATCCTCTGCTGGGACTGCACTCGTGCTTGTCTCGAAGGAGGCCGTCCAATTGGCTTCTTGAATAAGTTGTCATCTTGGCGAGGTGTAGCTCTCGATGTCGCTGTGCTTGTAGTTACGCTTGTCCCACGAGTTAGACCAGAAGTACGGCGGAGACTCGCGGATCCTGTAGGGCTGCTGAATGAGCTCTGGGAGGGTTTTTTGCGCAATGTGTCTACAGACGCAGTAGGTCTTAATCTTGACGGGGTCAAGGAACCGGCCGGAGAAGGTTTCGGGACAGGGAGCTTGGACAGTCTAGGAATGCCCGAAGGTCGTGGCGGAATGTTCGGATCCATGCTTTCAGGATAGGGGCAGCATAACAGGAATTCTCGCTCTTTTTTAGTAATTCCTGGGCCTGAGCCCTTGAAGGAGGCGCGGAGAAGCTCCAAGAATATTCGGAATCAACGACCGATGGATGGTAAGGGGCGCCAGCGCCAGGACCAGTATGCGCTGGGAATGCTTGTTGCCCGCGTAACGCCTTAAGGCACAGATATGTTGATATGGATGTTATTTATGTGGGGCCTGCGTTTGCGGGGAGGCTGGAGCTGGGCTGGGGGACGCACCCACGTAACGCACGCGCTCACTACTAATTACTACTACTACTACTACTACTCTATCTTCGACCCGGTCCGCTGTCCATTATCGTCCCCTCGAACTCGTCTCGAGACTTACACACTTCAATCCCCTATCAAAGACACTATCAACGCGCACTCCGATCATAACAACATCGCATTTCGCATAGCTATTGACGTGGTCTGATTGCTTCAACACACGCCTTCGTGACTAGAAACGCGCTCGCGACGCGACCCCGCGCATCATCTCGCGCATCCAGCTACACCTATCTGCAAGGCCGATACTATCTCTATCGCAACAACTATCAAAGTCCCCTTCCGGTCAGTCTATGCGTACATTTCGACGTGGCACGGGAGACTACTTGCGAGGCCTATAAAGGGCGCCGCAGCCATCATGGACGCTGATAGATTACCGTTTATGGATTCTTCTTTGCCGATGCCTGCAACCGAAGCATCGCATCCAAATCCTCCGCTGGGTCAGCCGGCATTACTCGTGGAGAGAAGCATTTCACCTATTGAGCATTCTGTTGCTGGTATAGGGGTCCCGGTAGCACGATCGGATCGTTCGAAGTATGCATCGCCAGCTCCACCGGCTTCATCTTCCATGACACCTCCGCCATCGACGCAGGTGCCTTCGAGTCGACTTATGGACCGGACTCCCACTCCGCCCACTCCTCAGTTGACTTCCACCCCTCCAGCTACAGGTCATTTCAGTCAACCCGGGCCTGTGAGCGAAGCTGCCGCTGTCACTTTTACCAAGGACCAGATTGCGGACGCCAATCCCGATGAGCTCCGGAGCATGGTGGACGAGCTGGCAGGTGCTTTAAAGGAGGCGCGGATGACGGCTGCGCATCACAAACTACAGTACAACATGTTGTGCCTGGAGAGCGCCGAGTCGCAGAAGCGAATGGCGGTTGAACTGGTCATGGCCCAAAAGGAGAACGAGGTGCTTCAACAGGCGGTCGAGGAACAGCAGCGCGAGCGTTTGGTGTCACCAGTGCACCCACCAGAACCAAGCGTCAATCCCGCTAACGCCATTCTGATTAATGAGCTCAATCGTAGCGTTCAGGCGCTGCAGCACGATAATGCAATGCTCGAAGATATGCTATCTGAGTCAAGGCGAGTTCTCGAGCACCGCGATGGCGAGCTAAAGACTGCTTTAGAAGAAAATGATCGACTGCGAGGGCGCATCCGAAAGAACAGGGAGCATATGAACAGTCTCCTGGAGAACTCACAGGATGGAAGCCCCACTAGAATGCGATCAATTCTGGGCACGCCGGTAACCCCTCGATACAGACCGCAGCCACATCCTTCGATGGGTAATTCACTGAATCGCCGTGATCAGCAACCATTCGAGGCTCTACTCCTGGCTGACAAAGTCCTTAGCCAAGAGACTGCGACAGCTCCGTCGACCCCCACGAAGGCTGGAAACCGGAATCGTTTTTCCCATACTCGAGGAACACATTCCATGTCGTCACTTCCGTCTACACCTCAACGGTCACGAAATCAACCAATGAATGCTGCTCTTCTGAAGACACCGCCAAACCATGCTTCCAATAGTCGCGTTCCAATGTCAGCACCGTCAAATCAACCTTACGGTGCCCAACAAAGGGTACGTCGTGATAGCAGCGCCTCTACCATCACTGCATCCAGTGCGGAAAATGCGTATTCGGATGATGAGGTACCGGAATCTCAAGCAAGTCGAGAGGCGAGCAGTCTTCTGCGCAAAACACCTCACAACTCATTTGAGTCTCTGCAGAACATTGGAGAGCCACATCAACGTAGGATATTCGGACAAGTTACAAAGCCGGGCGTACCAAGATCAGCCGAACAAGAGAAACGCAGACTAAGCGGTAGAGATCCAATCATGACGTCCCCTTCCAAAAAGAGTAAATTCAGCGACAGAGCTGGGCTCGGTATCGGGGGTATCGCGAACCCCCGAGGTTGATGACTTCGTCGACTATGCTATTTGCTGTAGCATCTGTGGTGGATTTGGTGCCTTGGGTTACTAGGAGTTACAGAGGGATGAAGTTACGGCAGTGTTGGAACGGAGTTTTTGAATGCAAGACGGATGTCTGACATAAGATACCTTTGGAAGATAATGTTTCAAAATGATCTATGTCTGTGGATGTCCTCGTCTGGCTTTTATGTTGGAAATACCTCTACTCATTATGACGAGCTTGTACAGTATCTAGTAGTCGCGGTCTGTTGTTTACAAGGCCCTCCCAACATTGAACGAGCTTGAAAGCAGTATATGAATAATGTGTCAAATACAAGATTCTGTACAAATGAATTCGCGAATACGAGTTATGAATCCTGGCGCTGTGCCTGAGGTCCTCCAGATCTATATAATCACGTGATACGTAAATGGCCTTGGCACAAAATTAAGCGAGTGCACGAGAACTTCCCACAATTTGCATCGTGAACTCGCTTCGACAACCCAACCTCTACTAACGACACTCCACAGGTTCTGATCGCCCACAGTCACAATGGTACGCTGAACTCGATCACACGCACGAGTGCACTTTGATGTGGACACTCTTCATCGTCTTATACTAACTCGATTTCCTGTAGGCGATTAAGCACAACCAGCAGATCCCGCACAACCGTATGCTCCGTCCTCACCTCACTACACACAAACCGTCACTGACAGCTCCATAGATTTCCGAAAGGATTGGCAGCGTTATGTGCGCGTGCATTTCGACCAGGTAAATCCCCTCTCAATTCCATGAGAGCAGTGGCGCCTGCAAGCACTGCAATTGCACTTCTTTCGCAAGAGAAAAACACCAATTTCTAACGTCGATCCTTCGTATAGCCCGCTGGCAAGCACCGACGCAGACAAGCTCGTCAGGCAAAGGCTGCTCAGCTCGCCCCTCGCCCAGTCGATAAGCTCCGTCCTGTAGTTCGCTGCCCTACCATCAAGTACAACCGCCGCGTTCGCGCCGGTCGTGGTTTCTCGCTCGCTGAGCTGAAGGTATGGATGTCTGCCGCAGACAAAGGGCGAATTTCTGACCTTATTAGGCCGCTGGTATTCCCCGCAAGCTTGCGCCTACGATTGGTATCTCCGTCGACCCACGCCGCCAGAACCTCTCTGAGGAGAGCCTCAAGGCCAACGTGGAGCGCCTCCAGGAATACAAGAAGCGTCTCATTCTGTTCCCCCGCCGCAACGGCAAGACCAAGTCTGGCGACGCCTCTGCTGAGGACGTGAAGGCCGTCAAGCAGGGCGAGACTATCACTCACTCCAAGTCCATCCTCCCTATCGTTCAAGACAAGGGTATCTCAGAGGGCAAGGTTTCCGACTACAAGTCTACCGAGAATGCTTACAAGACTCTGCGCGCCGCCCGTAGCGATGCTCGCCTGGTGGGCGTGAGAGAAAAGAGGGCGAAGGCCAAGGAGGATGAGGCTGCTGCTGCCAAGAAATAGATGTATCGAAATGAATAAGAAAAGGCTACATGCCATTTCAGTCATGATGGGTACTTCCCAAATATCAAAAAGGCATTCGGACGGCGCTTGGGTTTGCGCTAGTATTGACACTGTGCTAAGAATATATACCCCACAATCAAGGGTTTCTAGGTTCAATGTGTACAAAGCCGTCTAATTCAAAGCTCCGCCTCTGTCTATCTTCATGTCGTTCCACCGTTGACATACCTCCATAGTTTGCTCAGTTCCCTCACAGATCTCCCCCCGTTCGGCGCATCATCTGCACTCATCACCCATCTGATCCCGCCATCTTCCACGTATCTTTCCAAGTCTCCTTCCGGCGTAGGCACACGCGACGGCCTCTCCTCAATCTCCACAATATCATCCAAGAACCCACCCGCCTCCAACTCCCCATCTTCGCGCAACGGGAACATGATATCTAGATAATGCTCATCGAACAGATGCCCGGTCGCGTTCCGGTTGATGAACACTCGCCCAGCATACCTCTGATTCGGCGACTCAGACGTACTGTACTTGACCCCCCATCGCGGCACCAAATCAAACTCATTCATATAATGCTCAATCGTCCGTACGCCCGGCACACGTCTCATTGCCATGACGCCATCGACCTCAGCACCCCTCTCAACACTCAAGTGCGGATCATTAAAGTGACTAGCCGCACTGCCAAAAGTATACACCTCGAGCTTCGCAATCTCATGCGCAGCAAGCTCGACAAACAAGCGATCGAGCGCCAGCGCAGTGATGATGCCGCCCTGCGAATGCGCGACGACGACGACCTTGCGCACGGCATCGTTGCACAGCTGGAGCTTGAGATACTCGTGGGCGGTGCGCACGTCGGTAGTGCTATAGCCCAGACAGCGCTGGAGGATGCACTCGAGCACGTCCATGGGGATGCCGGCGCTGCGGTTATGGACGCCGACGACGGGCCGCTTGAAGCGGCCGGCGAGGCGGTTGAGCGTGAGCTGGAGGCCGCGCGACGAGGTGCCGATGCCGTTGATGTACAGCCAGCGCTCTGCGACGAAGGCGGGAGAGGTGGGCAGGGGGACGGTGCTGTGGAGGACCAGCGGGCCCCACATGGTGTGCTCGAAGAGGTAGACGAGCAGGCAGACGAGGGCGATGTAGAGGCAGAAGACGAGGCCTGGGAGGGCGAGGAAGACGAGGAATGAGAGCGGGATGATGATGACTTCGACGAGTGAGATGATGCTGACGAGGGTGTAGTCGCGGATTTTATGCCATTTTGATGTTGGGGGGACGCCGGGGATGGAGTCTGGACTTCGGATGGGTGTGAGGACCCAGGGCAGATATCGTAGGTTCTTGAACAGAATGGCGATGTCGACGAGGAGGAGGCGGAATGGAGACTTTGTGGCGGCGCGGTCGGTGGTGAGGCGTGCATCAGCGTTGCTCTGATGAGGAATGTATATGACCTTATTCGTATCGTCGTCGTCGTGGTTCATGGTTGAAGTTTAGTAATGCAAAAAGTGCTTTCAGGGTCACAATAGTGATAGATGCGGAGAGTGTTTTTGCATATTTCGGTTTATGTTACGATAAGTTTTGGTGGGTATCTATGAGGTCTCATGAGTGCTTCGCGTGGTCGGTCGTGGTTGCTGTCACGAAGCGAATCCACGTGCCCTTGTCTCAAATTCGCGCCCAGTAAGGATGAGACAGGGAGCTTCCCCAAGCATCAAAAGTATTCGCACAGCTCGTATAACCCGCCAACTCCATCTAGAATTTCGCGGTTGCAACCAGCTCAGGAATTCCACATGGTTTGATTACCCTGCTGGTGTCGTTACTCTAAGAGTAGGCAAACGTGTCAAGTGTCAACCACAGCCTTGCCAGTAAGAGATACGTCTCTCTGGGGACGACGCAGATGTGTACCAAGGTAATGATCTCCAAGGTACCTAGACCCATCAAATTCTATAGGGACTGTAAAGACTTTCTCAATCCCACTCCTCCTTTTCCACAATAGTCCACTCAAAGTCTCCACGGGTGATTTTATCTCCAACACTGTTATTCTCGTCCTGAAACGTTACCACGCAGGGTAAAAATCGTGAACCTAATTTCAACTGTCTGGTCCAATCTCCACTGCGACCCACGAAAGTGCTGTCTTGTGAGTCATCATCCTGGAAAGGATCCGAGTACGGAGACTCCGGACGTCGAGGAGTATAATGCCATCGCTCAACGTTGATCTCATCACCGACTTTCAATAACGCCTGACAGTATTGACCAACTCGAATTATGATACCTCGTATCTTGTGCTCGGTGTTTTCGGTGGTAAGAACTGAGCAGCTTTTCATGCCATCTGTATCGAGTGACAGACAGTCAAGATCTCTCCAAACTTCCTGGTAGTCGGTCATTTCGTTGGTTGCGGGATTCACCATGGCTCCGTATTCGTACGATATGTTGCTGTCTCGCTGTGGATATATGTCGCCTTCATCGACTGGGGGTGTCTCGTCAAATGGCACCTTTGAGTCGATCACATGACGCCACACGCTGTGGTGATACCCTTCATTCAAATCGCTAGGTGGCTCGACCGTATTTGACTCGGTAGTTCCTGAAAAAGCCCACTCGAGGCGGCTCATAGGACTACCTTCATTTGGAAGGTATGGCTCATCCTTCTCTGTCGCTTTGAAAATACGTATGTCGATGAACTGGTGACGCAGCGAGGTTAGAACAAGCGTATGTGTCGGCTCACTCGAAGCATCTTCTCCCTGCACAATGGTTCTTAGCATAGTTATATATTTGCTCTTTGTTGTCCAGGCGATACCCAGCGAATATGGACGCGTTCGGAGATCGATGCCATGTCAGACCGCGTAGTGATAGCAGTAGTATATTATCGATAGCTTACGACAAGTGGCTTTGTAGTCAAAATTAGCAAGCAGCGTGCACGTAGAAACTTGCCAGTATGGAATGTGATGCAGGGGTTCATGCAACTGCTTTGTTGATCACCGGCTAATTATCCATTCATGCTAGGTACGCGCTAGAGCTATAGGGCGCTAACCCAATCCGTTACTTACATACTCTGGGTGGGTACTTTATCTTACTTATCTCTTTCACTTTAAAATCTATAAGAATTCCCTAGGTCTATAGAAACGTCTATAAATGTGATATATAGTTTTAAGTTCATAGATACTCTAGTTTAGTCTATGACATGAAAGTAAACATCTTGGACTATCTCTCTAGGGTATGTCTCCTTCGCTACATGATTTGTTTTCATTCGTAAATCTATGTGATTATTTCAGGCTTGTAGATTTCTTATGTTCGTAGAACTCTCTTGTGTCTACTTTTTATATTCTCATATTCTTAGATATAAGTCTACATATCTCTAAAGAGCTCTAGTAGGAAGATAGCGAGAAGACGAGTACACGTGTACAACTGCTAGGGGTATTAGGTTATAGACAAGTGAGGGACTATAGACTTGGTTCGCCTAAAGTCGTTGTGTTAGAGTCTGAACCCGGATATGGATTATTTCCACTTGGAAAGTCAACACTGTCTCGTCATACAATGAAGAGTGATGGTACGAGGCTCCCTGTGAGTGCTCGCGAGAGTATATCAACTCATACATGGGCTCTGTGGAGAGATTTTATGCTGCTCTCTGGTCTGTAGACTCTATACAGAACATCAACATGTGTAAGACACAAAATCAAACAAAGGACATGCATGTGTCCACTCAGACGAATGACGCATTTTTATTCAATTCCTTAGTACGGATCTACTATTTTGATGAAGGGCTCATCCCTCCTTTTGACATCGTCGCTCCCAGTGTATTCTCACTATTCGCTTGAATCAGGAGATATCGATAACCTCGATCATGATATCACAACCTTAAGATTCATCTCTTATATTCCCCTTAATGCTTCTTTCGAAGTTTCTCGTCTCTCAGGGTTGCAAAAGCCTCATTGATTGCCTGAGTACGTGCAGTCGCGACTTTCTCATTACCGTGATCTTTGTCTGGATGATATTTGACACTCAGGTCCTTCCACGCCTTGCGAATCTCTGCATAAGTGGCATTTGATGACACCTTGAGTACCTCGCGCGGGCTAAGCGTACCCTCCGTGAGCTTCTCGAGCCAGGTCTTTGGCTTTGGCCTGTGAGAGACAGCTGTACGGACCCGCTTTGGGCGAGAGTTGAATGGGGCATTTGACTTCATCGATGGCTTCCTTAACCCGTACAGAGGTGGGAGCGTTCCGCGTTTGTTCCCTCCATAACGAGCCCTGTATTCATAGGCCTTCATGTTGTGAAAGTCGAGTTCTGCCGTAGCTGCCTTCCCATATCGGGCTTCAAACGTCGTGCGGTATGAGGATGCAGCCGACTCTCGGCATTTCCCGTTGCCTCTCTTCCTAGTGGTCCTACCTGCCTTGGTCTGCCGATCTGTAGCATCCTGCCATCAAAATTAGATCACTGTGACTACTGCAGAACAGATGTGCCCTCTCTGTTCTGGAGAACCTTACCTCAGGTGCTTTGCTTTCACTTAAAGGAGGCATGCTATGTGTAGTCTGGTGATCTGCTACCAAAGGCACTGTTGCATAGTTATGCTCGGTACTAAGAATTCTCGACGCCGGTGAAGTATTGTCACATGGATCCAGAGAGGTGTCCGGGACGCGTGGCTCGTATCCATACGGAAAGTGCTGAAACCTTTGCGGGTCTACAGGCAATGGATGAAACATAAGCGACTGTATGGATAGCGGTTGTTCAACGTCTGTACGTCCATATACTGGTGAGAACATATTGAGTTCTTCAGTCGAATGACTTCGGGCTTGAGAGAAGGGATCACTCGTGTAGCTTGGTTGACCGTATGCTGAAGGGAAGAAACTGGTGGTCGCAGTCGTTGGAGTCGGTGGCATGGTGAATTGGTTGCTACCGTAGTTGGCTTGATCATACGATAGAGGGAAGAAGCTGGAATTCGCAGTCATTGGGGTTGGTGGCCCCAGGTAGTCATGCCTCCCATAGCGTGTTCCATCATACGGTAAAGGAAAGAAGCTCGAAGTCCCGGTTGTGGGCGTTGGCGGCACCGAAAATATATGGCTCCCAGAATTGAGTGCCGTAGAGCTTGATGGTACAGATGAATGATGTATACCCTCTACGTTACCCGATAGTCCGGTATCATAGCAAGCCTGGCACGTGTGAGCAACTCCTTTTAGATGATGATCAGGCGCCATATTAACGTACCATTGGAGATGGAAGGCTGGCTGACCAATTGGACTGGAGTAGTCCCGGTAGCTGTTCACAGCGCTCGCTTTCCCACACTTCTGGCTTCATGCCCGTCGACGAATCAGACGAGCCGGCTGTTGAAGTGAAGCTAGGCAATGCAGCGTTGCTGGGGAGAAGGCGCTCCAGGTCTGCTAAAGATTCGTCATGGTCTGTCAGATATGGGCTTGAAAGTTGGAATTCAAAGTCCATGTCAGTGTACGGCTCCAATGGCTCGAGCTCGGGGAGGAACATGTAGTTTTCGTCCTTTGTCTGTTGAGGTTGAATGTACTGACGGTAATTTCCATAATCATCAAAGGCCATGATTGATTGATTGATGTTCTTGAAGTAGTAGCTTCGAGACGAAGACGTATCGATGAACATGGGCCGGCTGAAGATAGGACGAATGCTCAAACGTACGTTTGACTTCGGTCGGTGAGTATCAATCTTAGCAAGATATATACAAGAAGCATTATGTAATGATATTACTGGATCCGTGAAAGTGTGAGCCTGACCTGACGCTAGTGGGTGAATGAGACTGGTCACCTTGTCAGCGGAGCTGTGGATCCATTCCGCTCTAGGATAAAAGATCTGTGAATAGCACTGTTTTGAATTGCCTAAGTGAAGCAAGGTTTCACTGCTGGACAGTGCTCAAGCTGTATCTGCCCGGAACATGATAAGCGATAGGATGTATTTTGGGAGGCCAGGGTAGATGGACCATTTCTTGGAATACAAACATCGCAGTCATGGGGATGCTCCTTGAGATGCGCTCCCGCGGCTCTGTAACCGCTGTGTAATTATATGCCTATCGTCAGTGGCTTCTGTGAGCTTTGTAAGTCAGATATCACTGTGAAGCGGAATATGTATAAAGCGACGTGTGATATTTTTGCCGTTGCAAGATGGAAAAGCGATCGTGGTACAAAGAGCGTGACTTTAGTATATGAAGTGGCATCGTAAGGCAACAACAATTGCTTCTGCATTCGATAAGGCGCCAAAATGAGGCAGCAACGGCTGCCTGCAGAAGTCTATCCAATTGCCAGTTGACCGGTACACCTTTCCCCACCGTCCCATGGCTCTCAATGGGATTTCTTTTTCTTTTGGAGGAATTCATTGGTATCCATATACTGGACCGTTACACCTAGCTCTTTCGATTTCTACTCACCGCGATCTAGACACGTTATTGGCAAAACGTCCCGTCACAGTTGCTATACATACATAAAACACTCTTCGTTTGCAGACTATCGCCTGCCTTGCACTCAACGGGCGACACCTGGCTGTGACTTCGTCAGGCGCCCTGTCACACTATCGCAAACATCATTATCTTCGTTGATGTTCTGCTGAGTGTGAAGGACGTTCCTACGTGAGCTGCACACGCCGTTGTCTTCATATCCCCCTCTCACCTTTCCACCTTAAAGCCACAGTCTTCATCTCTAGCATCGCTCGAGCGCACAAGTTCATCTCTCTGGCGAACATCTTCGGGTTCAACTCCGAGCTCTTACATCCCCTTGCCATGTCAACACGAAGACACACCGTGCCGACGACATCCAGACCGAAAACACCAGAGCCGGACGGCTTCGAAGAGCTGGACTTATCCTCCGAGACGGAATGGGATGAGGCAAACGTCAAAGCTGAAGAGATTATTCCAGCAGACCCCGTAAGTTTGGCTCCATATACCTATCTCGCATGCACCCTCCCTTCCGCCGGTATCTAACACAGACCATCAGGTAACCCCATGGACCAACGCCCTGCAGCACTCCCGCGCTGCCGCCGGTAACATCTTGAACGCAAGCACAAAGTTCACTCGCGACATATACCGCTCAGGCATGGGTAGCGCCGCCGTCGCCGTTGCCGCAGCTGCCTACGCAACAGCCACAAAACAGCGCCCGCCCAGACGCATCCGCAGACCACGCAGTGTCGCCGAGAAAGCTGAAGATGCTGTTTCAAGCTCATCTCTGGCCCGCTTACATTCCGAAAGTTCGGGTCTGACGCGTGGACAAATGCTTGAGCGTGTCCCTATTGCTGTCATGGGCGCGGACATCGACGGGCCAGATTGGAACACTATGCAGACACGTCCGCCGCCACGTCAGACAGGAGCGGGTAATCGCATAATCGTTGGGCCTGCACAACGCAAGCCTGGTGCATTAGCGGATGGCCCTGTAATGTTGCAAAGCCCAGCAACAACCCCACCATTTTCGTATTCGAGCTCGCCGTACAGTACAAATGGACAAGAAAGAGCTGTAGACGAGCAGTTCGAGTCGACATCATTTCCCTTTGCTTTTGAGGACGACGAGGCTGACGCGGACGACGAGGACCGTGCGTCTGAGGAAGATGAATTCGTGGTGAATAAGGAGGTATATGACGATGCGTAAGAGTCCTGACCAAGTCTGAGGATACGATGCTTATGCGCACTAAGATATGCACAGTATCATGGCCGAAGATATAGATGAGCGGAGTCAACTGAAGCGTGTTGTGTTCGATTTCTTAAAGTCAGCTCCGATCGCTATAACAAGACAAAGTAGCAGCGTATTGTCCATGCCTCCGTCTATTCGTTCATGGTAAGAAACTTCTGAAATGACGGATAGGACAGAACATGGCCTGTTAGACTGCTGAAGTTGTTATCATTGTTAAACCAGGCACCTGGTCAGGACATCTGGTGTTGAAAGGATGTACAACAATTTGTGGATATGGTATGGGTTTTTTGGATATGGAGCTTGCTTATACGTAGTATTTTGTCAGCGTGAGTTCATATGTATAAATCACAGAACGAACATACTCGGCTCTTTTAGAGAAGTAGGGTAAATTCAGAGCAGCCAAGCAAAGTTACGCTACCTCATCCATAACCAAAGATAATGAAATGGCGGCATACCAAATTGCCCTTATTTCTTTCGTCTACTTCTCGTCGACTGTGCAGGCGACTTCGTCTCATCAACACCGACCAACTCTGGGCTGTTCGATCGCGACCTTTCTGGCTCATGCACCTCCTCTTCTACGTGATCATCTCCCAGTACCGGCGCTGCAGAAGCAATCTGTTCCACAAGTTTCTTTGCCTCGTTTTCCACGCCATTCCATGCTCCGCACCCACTGCACTTCCAGCGTCCAAGCTCCTCCAAACGCTTCACGCCCGGCGGCGCCAGCCCATTGACCAGTCTGCATTGTGAACAGAGCATCGCAAGCCTATTCGAGGTCTTATTCTCATCTTCACCGAGAAGTACGTCGAGAATGCGGTCGTACCATTGTGGTTCCTGTGTATACTGTGTTGGGGTAGAGAATGCGTTTGGTGCGAATTCAGCGCCGGGGGAGTACTGGGCGGCAAGGAATCGGGGTGTAGAGCCTACAGGACTTGCTGGGGGTCCCAGTGCGCGCGAGGTGAGAGCGGGAGACGGGCCTTGAGGGATGTTTGCTGTGTTTGGTGGGCCGCGAGGTATGTTCGCCGTTGCGGGAGGGGGCATGTTTGTGCGCTGAGGCTGGGGTTGTTGATGCGAACTGCGGGATTGTTGGGGGTCCTGTTTGCCCTGCTGTTGTTGCTGTGGATTCTGTTTGCCAGGCTGTTTTGGCGAAGAGCTGGAGCCGTATTTGTCAAGTAGCTGCTGAGTGGAATTGTATTTTGTGGCGGTCTTGAGCTTTTCGATTGTAGCGTCGCGGTCCTTGTTGAGACTGTCTAGGTATTCTTGCGTGCTGCGGATGCGGTAGTCGTAGTATAGTGTCAGGGCTTTGCGGACGCCGTAGATTCTGAGTGTGGTGTCAGTCCGAGGCCAGCTCTATGTTTCTTGCTGGTGAAGCTTACAAAACTGGCGCCCCAGCGAGCCCGGTGACTTCGTAAGCTGTCCAATTTTGCCATCCCGTCACGAGTGTCAATATGAGAGCGGCGATTAGATATGCGAAGCCTGTATAAAGCGTCCAAAGCACCTTCATCCGTCGTGAGCTTTGCCGTAGGCGGTCATTGCGGGCGCCGGTCTTCTGAATCTTCGTCGCAAGGTTCGAGAGAGTCTTCTCAAAATCAGCGGCGGAGGCCTCGCCCTATATAATTGAAATCAGCATTGTTATGAGGAACTCAATTCTGGAGCTGTGCGGAGCTCGAGCCGGAAGTAGGTGATGTATACTAACATACCTTGAAAGGCCACAGGGATACCATGGCAGAGGACGTTTCGGGCCAAGAGAAAGCGGGTGGTGAGGATGTGCAGACTATAAGGCCATCGGTCCGTCCGAAATACTACACGAACGGGGGTCAGTGGTCGAATCTGTTTTCCTGGTTGTTTCGTTGTTCGCTGCCTTCACCAAGTGCACTTGACGTTCTGACGCACGGACACCTCAGGTAACATCCATTGAATCTTTTGTAGTCACCGCTGCGCAGCAGTCAAATAACAACTTTCTCATTTCACATAGAAAAACTTTGTATCCTACGTCGCGGTGTATATGTCACGCGAAATGGCTCTCGCTGCTTATCGTCATGTCCTTCGTAGCGCCATGATTGCTTTTAAGAGTGGGTTGCTGGTCCTATCGCATGCTCTTCATCTACTAACAACGTTCAATAGATGATACAACCATGCTCAGCGCGGCGCGCAATCAAGCCCGCACGGCATTCGAATCGAATCGCCATCTCTCACCAGGTACACCAGAATTTGCGGAACAAGTCGAGCACGCAGAGGGAGTTGCACAAATACTACGACAGAACGTTGTACAAGGGAAGCAAGAAGAAGATGGCAGATACAGTGAGTATTGATTTACTCTCATTCAGCTTGATAGTGAAACTGAACCCCACCAGAACTAGGAATACATGAGCATACTGAGCGAGGAGACAATGAGTCTATAAAGATGCCACGCGTCCAAGATGTTAAGATGCCTCGCGGCAAGACCAATCGTCCGCAAACTAATTTAAGTGGGAAACCCAGTTTCTCGTAAGAAATTCGCCTTTGAACTCCATACGTGCTTTGTGCATTCGGCCATGCTTTTGGTATTCCGTAACGCCGCCCATGCAGTGCCCTAGTGAAAACGATTGCCATTCAATTCCCTGCCAGACTGGCGTAATTAGCCTCATCATCCTGTCCTGGCGGCGCTGCCATGACAGCCAAGTTATCCAAATCCTCCTCAGCGGATACAATCGCTCTACCAGTCGCATCAACAGTGCCAGGTGCAGACATATGCTGGATAGCCTTTGCAGTCTGTCGCCCTGCCCTGGCATTCTTAAGTCGCTCCTCATGGTCCGTATTGTCTAGAGGCTTTGGTTTGCCCCATTGTACCCTCAACGGACACCCTCTGACAACAGCTCTTCCTTGACATGCATCCGCTGCTGACTCGGCAGATTTACGTGTGGCGTAATTTATGAATGCGCAATGTGCCCTGTGTGAGCAGACAAGGGACCTGAGTGTGCCATATTGAGTGAAGAAAGTCCGAAGTTCATGCTCTGGAAGGTCTTCATCCACACCTGTAACAAACAGAGTGACTATGTTAGGATCCGCTGGCGGGAGGATGTCATGCGGTTGTGGGGGTAGTTGTGCTGCACTGGGAAATTTTCCACCACCACCAATACCAACACCCCGACCTGACTGGCCTCCACGCATTCCTCCTCTTGCCCCTCTAGTGTCTCGTGTACGGATCGGGCCAGGGCCAGAAGGTGCTGGAAGAGCTTTCTTGCCGTCTTTCTCGTCCTCGATCGCACGCTGTCTTCGGTAGGGCTCACTACGTGCCAAACGCGTGAGCAGTTCTTTTGCCTTGTCGTCGGACTTTTCATATGCCTCCAGGATTGCTCCTCTACCCTCCTCAATCTCTTTCTCATGATTCTGCGCATAATATTCTCTGTTGACTGCACTGTTTGGACCAGGCGCGATCATCTTCAGCGCCTGGTCACGAATCACGATCGGAAGACCAAATTGCAGATCAAGCATACAGCATTGACAGCAGTTTTTTAGCCGGGCGCAGGTAAGACACATGTTCGTGCGCTTCTGTCGTGATGTCCTGTCTGCCTTCCATGTGAATAGAGTGAAAGGCCGCGTGCATATTTTGCATTCCATGGCATGGTCGCTCTTCAGCATCTGGACATATGGATTATCCGGGAGACATCTTTCGCAGACGGACGGAAAGTCGGTAGTCTCCCATCCGGAGCGATTCAAGTCTTGCTTGATCTGAGGAGCCATATAGTAAGCGTTCAAAAATAGTGGAGTGAGTGTGTGTGTGTGTTGCTAAGGCGAGCGCAGAGTGGGCTGATAGTCGCCGCTTGGGAACGGACGATGATGAAGAGGCTCTACGACGTTTCGCTTTCGTAAACCGACGCACTGGCCACCTGGAGTTTGTTATCACGGGAAAAGGTGAGTGGCTGGCCGCTCCTGCCTGAACTGTCCCCAAGCCTAGCGCCTCCCCTGTCCGCGGCTGGATCGATTCCGCAAAGGGACCAAGCCGAAGCCCGATACTTTTTTCTCCTATATCAATTACTTGGTCGACGGAAGTGGCCTGTTTTCTCGTACGATTCTGCTCCTCCGCTATACACGTCCTTCAACACCTCATACAATAAATACTCTCTCCGCAACATAGTCCTTGATACCCACAATCGAAGTAATAATTCGAATCATCCGCAATGGCACCCCACGCGCTAGAAAAGGAGGACTTTGAGCGCGATGCTGCTTTCCAGAAGGCCCTGCACGGCGTGTCTTCACAGAATGAGGGCGGCTTCAGGTCTATGTTTAGCAAAGACCGCAAGGCTCACCAAGCCGCCGTAGATGAGTACTTCAAGCACTGGGACAACAAGTCTGCGGAGATCGAGACGGAGGAGACCCGCAAAGAACGCAGAGCAGAATACGCCACTCTCACTAGACAGTAAGAACGACTTATGATATCCACTGGTCATTGAGACTGACGCGATTGACTAGCTACTACAACCTCGCTACCGATCTCTACGAGTATGGCTGGGGGCAGTCTTTCCACTTCTGTCGCTTCGCGTACGGCGAGAGCTTCCATAAGGCTATTGCCCGCCACGAGCACTACCTCGCACACTCTATGGGCATGAAGGAGAACATGAGAGTATTGGACGTCGGATGTGGTGTTGGTGGACCAGCACGAGAGATCGTGAAATTCACTGGTGCAAACGTCATTGGTTTGAACAACAATGACTACCAGATCCAAAGAGCCACCCGCTATGCTCAAAAGGAGGGCCTCGCGGACAAGCTCTCATTCACTAAAGGTGACTTCATGGTATGTACAAACTCTCACAGTGGTTTGGGACGCTATCTAACACAAGCCAGCAAATGAAATTCCCTAGCGAGTCTTTCGACCAAGTATACGCCATTGAAGCTACCGTCCACGCACCATCGCTAGAGGGTATCTACAGCGAGATCTACCGTGTCTTGAAGCCCGGTGGTGTCTTCGGCGTCTACGAGTGGCTCATGCTTGACGCATACGACAATGACAACCCTCACCACCGCGAAATTCGTCTTGGTATTGAGGAGGGCGACGGTATCTCGAACATGGAAAAGGTTCAGGTAGCACTCGACGCCATGAAGGCTGCGGGCTTTGAGCTTGAGGTCAACGAAGATTTGGCTCAACGGCCAGACCCATACCCATGGTACTGGCCTCTTGCTGGTGACTTCTCCGCCATGTCCAGCCCCATGGATTTCTTCACCATTGCTAGAATGACTAAGATCGGCCGTGGTACGGTTCACCGCTTTGTCGGTGCTCTCGAGACCATCGGACTTGCGCCCAAGGGTACGCAAAAGACTGCCGACAGCTTGGCCAAGGCCGCCGACTGCCTGGTAGCTGGTGGAAAGGAGAAACTATTCACTCCCATGTATCACATGGTGGGTCGCAAGCCCCTGAACGCACCTATTACCGCATAATCACTTTTTATACGGAGTTTGGGGTTCTTCACGTTGCATTGGGATACATTTTCACTTGTTCGGATAGCGACACGCTCGCATATATACTTGTGTCGACATTGTTCCTTAAGTTCAAGTCGCTATATCTCATGCTGTATAGCAGCTCTATCAACAGAATAGAAGCTTCTCACGTATCTAATTCCATCCAATGTAATGAATATTTTCTTTTGTATGTCTTCTCTAGTGTCGCGATGAATAGAAACCGGGACATTCATCTCATATCATGCTCGTTCAAAGGACACGTCTTATCTCCCACTGAATGCCGGCGCATGGCATCTCTCATTTTCAGTACAGCCTACGCGTGGTCCTGACAGGTGGGATGAACTTACCAGTGTGCGCAAGGAATAATATAGTATGACAGGCATGTTTATGTGGATCGTCACACCAGCCTTGGAGTGAGGTTTAGCAGGTCGACGTGATAGAACAAAACTTACACGAAATTGTGCAGCCAGACAAACACCCACGACGAACACGGAGCTTGCAACACATCGACCAAACTGTATTGACTTTTATCTCGGGATCACTACTACTCAACGACGAAGCTGACTTAGCTTCAGAATGTCAGATTGCTCTGCTCTTGGTCAGACACACTTCCAACCAGTATGACACCTGGTCTCGTTCTGTGTGGCTCTCCCCCTAATTCGCCTCAAATTCGCGCTGGGTTCGCTGGATGTAAAAAAAATTCTCGACTGCACTAAATCTGTGCGAGGTTTCTGTCGAAACTACCATCACGACGGTGTTCCAAAAAGCATTACAAGCAAGCCAGGAAGAGATGTCTTACGAATCCATTCGACATTCTTGCCATTGCCCGTGAGCTTAGGGCCCGTTATGCCCGAGCCTAGGGCCTCAATATATCGTCCCCAAACATTGAACTTGGACGTGGCTCCGATGCTTCCAGCTCATGGATTAACAAGCATAATCAGCAGCGGTTGTGAGCTTTCGGGGGGGATGTAAACTAAGTCTGGTAAGTGAATGTTGACCCATCTTATCAAGCATGACGCTGGTCTTCGGATGGAGCCTTGTTGAACCAATTAGGATAATTTTCGAACTAGAAACGCGAGAAAACCAAGCACGACACAGACAGATCTGGCGGTGTGAGAAATAGGGCTTCCATCAAACAGAATTGTCCGGGCGTAGACTGAGTTGCAGAAGTGCATACTCGCGCGTGGAACATAACTCTAGTTTAATCCGTAGCTCTTGTGTATTTCAGCGTCGATTCCGGCTTCAAGGTATTCCCGAATTCTCTCAGAATTTCGATTCTAGCAGAGGGTAAGGAGAGGTCGGGGGGGGGTTTTTTTTCTGGTAAACCGTCGTTGTGAGAGTCTACGACGGATATAGCGGCCTCTTGGAGAGCATATGAAAGACTGCGGGATTTTTGAGAGTAATATTCTAGTACTATAACGAGTACCTCTAGTCTGTCGGTGTATTCCGTCGTAGCACGATCGATGGCTAATGATTCAGCACAGCTATCCTGACTGTGAACATCAGTTGAATTTTACGTCAGCTTAACCTCAGGCCTTACTAGTGATATGTATGTCGTGATATATGTATCCGTGCTCCAGGTAGCCTGGAAGGAGATCGCTGCACTAGAAACGACTTCCACGGAAGAGATTCATAGAACATACTAACTCGGCACCCGGCGGATCTGATGCGTCACCATGATATTCGCACACTAATAGTTCTAGCTCGGAAGTCAGGGAATGTCACTCGGTGCCTGGGCAGCCAAAAATTGTCTTCTTGTAGCAGGAGATCGTCGTTTACTCTTAATTATGTGGGCCCATCGATCGGTTTGATATTAAGATCAGAGTCTGCTGACCAGCGTCGATCACTCTTGGCAGGGCGCACTAAGGGAAAAAATCATATCATAACGTTGAAGAAGACTGATGCAAGACGAAGGGAAGACAACTAAGGAAACAAGTGGCTCGTTAGACGTTTCTGGTATTCATACTGTACGTCATCATCACAAGCTCCATCTGCGAAACTCTAGTAAGATACTAGTTTTGTCCCGACGTAGAATATTCCAGATGATCATAAACAAGGATGTAATCAACTAGATATTATCCACCTCCCTCATTCAGCCATGTTATAACGTTCTTGCAGGTTCCTCTCTGTCCGTCGCAAGTGCAAGCGCAGCCGTGGTGTACTGTGGAGCACCCACCCCCTTTTTCTCCGCTGCCACGTCTGACTGCAAGGCGTGGTATGTGCACGAGAGAGTCATGAGAAAGACGTGGTGCATGGTAATTTTAATGCCGGTAGTCTACTTCTCGCGAAGTACGCTCAGCTTCTGATAAGGACAGTGTTGGTGAAGTAGCCCTTTCCAGACAGTGCAGACGGCGAGCGTCGAAGGCTTGGAGCATGTGTCTGCAGCTACTCAGACGCTGACTGACCAGTGGCCACAGAGTATGATATCCTGCGGCGTGCTTACAGAGATAGCGGATTGCTCCTCACTATGTCCTGACTAGTGTTTCGCCCTTAGAACTCTTGAAATACCCATATGCATGTTGCACAGGCGAAAGATACCTATTCAGGCCGTCTATCATCCTAATGTGTTTGCAATCGCATGATCCTAGAGCCCAGTTGGTGGCAAAGTCTGCAGGTCTCGTCTACGAAAGGAGATGCAAAAGTCAGCAGCCAGCGTGGGAGATATCGCCAACGAACCACTCTCCCGTGCAGAACGGATGCAGCGTGCAGTGTGCGGCGTGCAGGATGCAGAACTACGGGTCCCTGGTTCTCTATACCTTCCCGCAACCGTGAGAAGATTACAAGCCAGGGAGACCATGCTAGCCAGTGAGCACCTGCATCCTGCATGCTGCACGTTGGTGCCAAATTTGTAGACCCATCCGGCACATGCAGCCTCGCCGTGCAACAACACTGCCAACGTAGGACTGTGCCTCTTCAATTGCCGTAGACGCAGGCGATGAGGTAGGTATCGATGTCTCGCTATATATTTTCAACACGTGAGATGATCCCATACCTCCAGATAACGTAGCCGTCATGGAGCTGGATACGATCGGTAGCTGTTACGAACCCCGAGCTCCACAATTTCCTCTCAGCCGCTCTGCCCGGAACGTATACGACCACAACGCCAGTATAGATCAGCCCAAAGCCAGCTGGAGAAGGCTGGACTGTACCAGACCTCATGCGTCTGCATATTGTGGGATGAGAGAGCTTTTGGGATGTTGGAGTAGGTATTCTAGATTCCTCGGGGGTGGGCAACGATCGAAGATCTTAAAGGATCGAGATAGGTATACATTTGCGGAAACGAAAGCTGCCGGATGGCACTCCGGCAGTAACACTGTGTCATGTACGAAGTTCGTATCTACATCCAGCTGTTTACGGACACATAGTTAATGTGGCTATACTGCTTGGTCTGATATCATGGGCTCTTTTGTATAGTCAAGGCTTGTTTTACTGCTGTGTGTGTTGATAGCTGTATCTCCAGGATAACGTAAGTGGCACAAGTCCGAATCCGCGGTAGATTTGAGCCAAGGAAAAGAGGACGGTGAAGTAGAGGCGTGTCGTGTAGATGCATGATACTACGCCCCGCAACGAGACAATCACACTGCATTAGTGTAGCCACGCTGTTGGAAATGACGATTGGAGTAATGCTGTGAAGGAGTTGCCGTATAGACACGTAGAAGACCTCTCTGAAATGAAACATATTCGGTAGAGGAATATTCTGGAGCTGACCATGAACAAAACATAGAATTTCCAGAGCTAAATTGTCATATATGTGCACAAGATCAGGATCATATGTAGTGACTAGTATAATATATATCATAGTTCGTTTTGAGTTCTAGTCTTCTTCTGCTTCATTACTCCATGAGCAGGTAATAATATCTGATAGAATTGGCTACTAGAAGAGAAGAGCCTTTTAGCTTAGATAACCTCTACTTACCAATTACAAGCTTACATAAGGGTAAAAAAAGAGCATGTAGATATGCTAGAAGCCGTATTATATTCACCTAAGTGTAGACGAGAGATATCTTGAGTAAGCGCTATGCGCAGAGTTAGTGTAGAAGTATATATCTTGAAGAGCCAATGAGACTATGACTCACCCGGACGGTCTTATGATCCGAGGCCGGAAAAATGGAACAGCTTGTTGATTGATGAGGCAGTACACGATACCTCGTATGAGGTGAGATTTCGAACCAGCGCGCGAGCGCTCCCATCCACTTACAACGTCTACAGCGCTTTCTGGAACCCCCTAGCACCGCTCGCTCAGCTCCTTAATGTTGATCGATCCTCCTTTACGCCATAGGGCGGTCGATAGGGCGGTCAGTATGAAGGTCGAGCGAGAGATCCCTGCTAGCGTGCCATAGGATTCATCCTCGTCAGCTAAAGCGTGCGAAATATCCGAGCCCCATGGCTGCAGAGACCCCAAGTTGATCAACGCCTTGTGTTGATCGCATCCACGTGTCGATCGCATCCTGCGGCCAATGAACGAGCCCTCGTGAAGACCAACGACCCAGTGAAGTGGCACATTCATGGGGTCGGGTGGGGGACGACCCATATCCCTCGTCCTACACGGCACCTTTACGGCTGACTTGCTATTATGCCATATCGCATACACTTCTCGCTGCTGGGTGACCAGAGAGGTGGGACGCTACATCCGTACAGCTCATACTAGAGCTTCATAGTCATGGCGTTGGTCTGGATTCTGGGACATCAGCTGGTAGGGCTTGCGGGAGGGTGTAAGATAGTCGTGTTAGTTCGGCAGTACCGGTCAAGGCTGCGGGCAAAATCTCCGGAGAATCCAATATGGCGGGAATGTGAGGTCGATGGCACGGTCTGTGCCGAGCCTGTCGACTTGCTAGAAAGTAATTAAAGTCCAGCATGTTTGCGAGAGTCGATGAAAGAGCTGTGGTTGGCCCAATACGCAAATGTTGAGCCAAAGCTCTGCTCAAACTGGAACGCTTCATAGAATCCCGCTCGACTCGTGGTTAGTTCGTTCTATAGTCTACATCCATGATCAACGATCTGTACACAAGCGAACTCGCGCAGACCTGAGACGGTCCCTTGTCACTGGTTCGTGGCGCAGTTGTTCCGTTATGTCATTCATGTATGATAGGGAAGTGCTAGGCCCTTGTCCCAACGTTGCCATCCACCAAGCTGTACGATTGACTGTCACAAGTGTCCACTAGTGTTCTTACAGCCCATGGTGCGGCTCTCCTCCCATTTTCAGTGTCAGAAGAAAGACCCAAGCATACAAGCATCTGATCGAGGGACATCCGAGGGTCCACAAGCTGCGAAGGCTGAACACGCCTTGTCCCCAATCTCCAAAGCCCCCAGAGCGTATCAACAGCCCGGTTCGCATCCCCAGACCCACTTATGTTGAATCTGGTCCCTAGATTGCTTCGTACCACACACACATTCAAACCGATCCGTCCTGCTCTTGAGTGAATTAGCATGGCGCTCGCAGGTGACACAGCTCTAATTGGATTCGGATGTAGCTCTAGTTGTGATCCTGAGCTAGATGCGATACAGTGTTTGTCCCATGCATCAGGTGTAAAACCACCTAGCCGCCGAGTATTACATCCTACTTGTAGTCCAGGAAGTGGCCAACGTCGAGCATCAGTATCAAACAATTCTTTTGAACAATCGTAGGCAAGGCATAAAAGACTTTATCGACGAAACATATCCGCTCTGTAGCTAAGGGATATATTGATTCACGCCGACCACCTTCCTAAAAAGATCCTCGCTATGGTGAGCACATACCAGACACTAAGTTGTGGATTTCCCCGAAAGTCCCGCAAAAGTCCATCCAATATGAAGCGGATCGTGAGGGCTCAACCCGGCTGCACTGTCCGAGGACGGCTACAACTTTTAGCCACCTCCGACGTATGTCTATTTTACATGTATTCGTGTTTTGCTGCGCTCGGTCCCTCGGTGAGCCAGTAGCGTGGTTGAGCGCAAGTTGCACCAGCGCCGGGGCCATCGGTTGAACAGCGCTGCTATGTTGATCTATGCGTCTACAGGGATACCCTCGCATTGAATGCATAATACTGTTGAGGTGCATCAAGGGTCTGAACGGTATAGAGACGTCAGGTTCAGAGGGATAGTCGAAGCAAGACGTTCATACAGATTGGACATGGAATGCTTGTATGCCCAACAATGATAATTCCTCGCGCATCTCTTCAAGGTTTGGGCAGACCGTATCGCGTTGCGTCTCGCTGTGACTGTCTCTCCGGTGTCCATCCTTCGTGTTTGTGGTCGACGCTATTGGAACTTGCTCACTTTCACGAACTGAAAGCACTGGTGGCCTGATTATGAGCATAAGTCTTTTGAGGTTCGGAGCTCTCGTTCTTTGGCGCGATATCAGCTGCATGATCCGAACAGTCGAGCGAGGCGAATCCGTGTAAACTTCCAGAAGTTCCAATGCCGGGAACATCAACACACTCAGGAGTTCAGGATCCATTCCTGGCCATCCAATGCCGAAATGTGTAACACTCGAACGAAAAAGAAGATCTTGCAACGCAGCCAAACTGTCAGCTGTAGGAGGAAAATCCAGATTGATCTTCACAGATTGTATGGAGTGATTGTGGTGGTGCTTGACAGCATCAATATAATCTTTGGTAAAGAAGGTGTAGGGCGCATCGGACCATAGAGCGCACTCATGGAACGAAATTGAACGCAAGTTGTTGATGTGTTCTAGAAGGTTCGAGGTGAAGGAGCGACCGATATGGCAGGAGCCTGTGGGAGGGATACGGCTGCCGTGTGTAGTCTCGAAAGAGCAGGGGCCAATCTGTATATCGTGCAAGTGATGAAGACCTGATAGAATCTTCGCCAGCTCGTGAGGCGAACTTTGAGCGAAACCTGTGAACCGCAACGAGCGGAGATTATGCAGCGAAGCAACGAATTGCATTGACTGATGGTCTCCATACCAGGCTAAAGACATCAAGTTTGCGAAATGCTGTCCTAATGTGTTTAAGACGTGGTTCTCAAATTCCAGAAAAAGCTTGCTCGGTCGGATGATTCGGGGACTTGTGAGACTCAAAGCTTTGATGTTGGGTAATCTTGTCATGATCGTGGATATAGCTTGCAATTCTCTTTCGTACGCGCCCCATTCAATGTCTGTTGATGAATGGTCGATCTCCTGTTGTGACGCGGGCGCCGATTGATCTACGTCGACAAGGCACAATGTCATGGTGGTAACATAATGTAGGTGCTCGGTGCCGACCGATTTTGCCCATCGTAACAATGCCCCCTGAGACTTGAAAGTCAATGGCCGCTTGAAAAGGAATTGGTAGGCCTCATCATGAATTGCTCGACAGGTCTGTAGAAGTTGGAAGTCGTCTTTTGATGTTAGAAGGACGCTCTCGTAGATTTGCTCCCGCAGTTCCAGGGGAAGGCCAAAGAGTGACCTCATCTGGGACTGAGAAGGCATTTTGAGTTTGCCGTTGTGACTGATCATGCACACAGCGAGGAACAAAGATTCTAATTGAGGTGGATTATGGACGAATATAAGCGAGCTGCAGCTAATCAGAGGGTCTGAAGGGAATCACCCAATAGTGGTGATTGATGGTGATAAGTACAGGGCAAGACAAACCTCGACTCAACTAACACCTGAGTAGGCGGCGGTCCATATCAGGCAAAGCTCCTCTTGATCCAGCCCTGGAGTGATCCGCCCAACGCGGCGTTACACAAGCCTCCGCGGATTCCCACCCAGTAATCCCAAACTGTGCAACGCGCTATTTCGAACGATGCTTCTCGAAAGATGGATGCGAGACGCGATCCAGATTATGGACTAGACATGCGCAGGTGTCTTCATGGCTTCCAAGGTTCGCCTGCCATCCCTCGTAAGCAGCACACCTCTTGTAGCTGTAGTGCTTGCCGATCAACATTTCAGTGCTTGGACCAGATCTTCCCTTGGAACGTGCGGTGACTGGTGACATGTAAGAACCTGTTGATCACATCATAGTACTTCCAATTGTACGGCTCGCCCCAGAACTGTACAGGCACAGAGCATTTACAAGTACATCTGTGTGGATTTTAGGGTACAGGTAGTGTAACGGCCGTTATCGAGAGTAATAGTGGTCCGGAGGAAACCCCAGTTTCGATATATGTATGTAGAAGTACGGTATCAAGGCTTAGGATCAATGAAGGATAGACTGAGCGGGCCGTTGCCCATATTTCCAGCCGCTCGGCTCTGAGTCAAGTCGCGCCTAAGTCGTAACCAATCATCACAGTTCATGAATGGCATTATCACCGTAGATACAAGCTGTCATCATTGCGATGGAGTTGTGGTGGCTGCATCCACAGTCATAAATGTACGGTTGTTATAATCCACCGCCTGCGTGCAAAGCGTCCTCGATATCGGCATTGAGCTGCCGCTAGGATCGGAAACATCCACGACAGCGTTGGCTACGCGGTAGTAGAATACATATAATTTCCGTAAGGGGGCCTTCCTGGTCCGATTCCAATAGCGGATGTGGTATGTGCAAGCGGCCGGGTGGTCGCTAAAGAGTGCAGCTGAGTGAACCACATAGTCATTAGAAGTCGGCTCGTTGACTTCAGTCTGTGGCTATAAGATGGCGCAGGAGGAGACTGGTATCAGTTTGGGTTGTGGAGTGCATGTTGTTCGTAAACCTGCAATACTGGCCTTCCTTTGCTCAATGAGAGACCAGAAAGAACGAGATACCAACGTATTAGTAATAATTACGGACCGGTAAGAAGACGATTAGCTAACTTCCCGCTTGGGCATAGCGGAACTGGGGTATTATCCTTAGTCAGTTCTGTTCCCATACCTTTCGTTACGCAGCCAAGGTAGATGAAAATTTATATTATTTTATAGCCTGAAACGATATACCAGCAAGTGTGTGGGCATAGGAGGCCATTTACGTCATACTTTGAAGCTAGCATCGTTTAATTAGTACTACTCAAAAGTGGTCTCCGCTGTAAAGAAATGAAAGATAATTACAATGCCGAGATAGATAGATGATAGTTCATTCATCTCAAATGACTATCACTCCTGCCGTACTGCTTAGCAGGATGTCCGTCTCAGGATGGAAGAATAACAGCCAAACGTAGCATATGCTTGCGGACCTCAGCATTCTCAAAGGAGAACGGAAGAGCGACCAACGACACATGATTTATGCTTGTATTAGTCAGACGCTATGATATATGTATCCGGAAGTCCCCAAAAAACGAGAAGGAAGCATTTGAGCTACAGGTTCAGTGGTGGTACATGGGTCTATCTTTCGCTTCCTAAAAACCAGATCTGGAATAACAGAGAAAGAACACCTGTGCCTCATACTTTTAATAGCCTGGCTGCGTAATCAACAATAAGCTGCTCCGTGGGAAATGCCATCTCTTCAAGTTTCTGCGCATATGGAGTAGGAACTTCGGCACCAGTGACGCGAACCGGTGGCGCATTCAAGTAATCGAAAGCGTATTCGCATGTGAGAGCCATGATCTCAGCTCCGACACCGAAGGCAGGAAACCCGGACTCAACCGCCATCAAGGCGCCTGTCTTCTTGACAGACTTGATGATAGCCTCGACATCCATTGGCTTAACGGAGCGCAGATTGATAACCTCTGCTTCCACACCATATTTCTTCTTGAGCTGTTCAGCGGCAACCAAGGATTGACCAACACAACGAGAGAGTGTGACGATTGTTAGATCCTTGCCCGGCCGTTCGATCTTTGCTTTGCCGAACTATAACATCAATGAGCCATGGAGTTTACACACTTAAGCGAGTATTGGCTTACTGGAATAACGAAATCATCGCTCTGTGCCTCTTCGCTCATCGGGAACGGCAGACCGTACAGAAGTCTGTACACATAAGTTACACGTGTCTCGGTCCTGCGCGAAAGGTGTACTTACTCGTTCTCAAGGACAACCACCGGATTTGGATCCCGGATGGCGGCCTTGAGAAGGCCCTTGGCATCCTCCGCGCTGTACGGTGACACGACTTTGAGACCAGGAATGCTTCCGTACCACGCAGAATAGTCTTGCGAATGTTGTGCGGCAACACCGGCGGCGAAGCCGTTCGGTCCACGGAACGTGATGTTGCAGGGCTGAATACCACCAGACATGTAATGGGTCTTGGCTGCGGAGTTGATGATCTGGTCGATAGCCTGCATGGCGAAGTTGAAAGTCATGAACTCGCACTGGAAAAGGTTAATTTCTCCACAACGAGGATTGAGATATAGCTACAACTTACCACAGGGTGTAATCCAGCCAGAGCAGCACCAACTGTCAGACCACAGAAACCAGACTCTGTAATTGGGCTGTCGATGACACGCTTCTCGCCAAATCTGTCCAGCAAACCCTTTGTAACCTTGTATCTGTCATCGATACCATTGTTAGCACCAGCACCAGTAATTTCTTGGTTGCAAATATTTACGAGGCAGCTTCAGACGGATTGCGAGGATAATGCTGCTAGAATGTGCGTTCTGCTCCCTCTGACCACGATTAATTTCAGGATGAGAGTGAGACCTACGCTCCATTATACTGTGCAACCTCTTCACCGAGAACGAAGACTTTCTCATTCCTCTCCATCTCCTCAGCCATTGCCTCATTCAGCGCATCTCGCACAGTCATCTCCTTGGTCCCGCTGGGGGTGGCATAGTGTCTTGTCCGCGCAATCGTCGGCGCTGAAGCTACCGGGCGTAGGAGTCGGGGAGCTATCGTTGGTCTCGAGAGACATCGCGAGACAGGAAGGAGGCGACTGGAAATGCGTGCGGCTGACATCACTACGGGTTGAGAGAAGAGGAAAATATTTAAACCGGAAGAGAGAACTGAATTCCCGCAGCGATGGTGTTGCTGGTGAGCTTGAGTTGAGATAATTAGAGCTCAAGTGGAATTTCTCAACTCCGGACCGCCTGAGCCTGGCTTTTCGCGCTAGCGCTCATCCCAACGGCCCAACAACGTGCGGTCCCGATAGATAGCCTAAAACGCGCTGGCTACATAATACCTGGTAATGACTTTCTTCTACACCTCAGCCAACTAGTTCTAGCGTTTCTATCAAAATCCACAAGGCAACGCCGCGCGTAATTAGACTGACGGTATGGCGTATACACGCTCGTCCAGAGGCTATTATTTCCTTACTGAAGAGCTTCATAACGCATACGGACGAATATCGCAGCTGAACGCCGGTCCAGCAGGACCATCAGAGGCTCATCTCTTGGCACGTGAGGACTTTCCCGACACAAAGTTTCTCCATGCTTACAACGAATGTACTGTTCTTAACATGTCTAGACATATAGTCGCGGTGATATCTTCAACAACCAGTTTTCCACGCCGCGTCAGAGACAGTGGACGGGCGGCATGGCATAAATCTGTCATCGATAATTCTAATTCGTCACTACAGCTGCTACGACTCATTGACATTATTCGCATTTGTCGATTCGACATGCCAGATATATGGTGTGCTTTTGAGGTTGGACGCCTCACCAAGCGTGATGTGGTGCACATTGGCTGCAGCTAGCGAATTTCTCTAAAGTCCTCGCCACAAGGTGTGACTGATAGAGCAACGTACCGCTCAAATCGACTTCTGTGACCTGGTGAGAGCAGTCAGCCCAGTCATGGACTTAAGCTATGTGACAGTGGCGTAATGAAGGCCATTCATTGACTCAATGCTGTCCAGCGCTCGCAATGTCTGTGCAACTAGTCATTCTCCGCTGGGCCGCTCCGTGACCGGCCAACACCATGACGATGGTCAGACCATCGTCAAACCAGCTTGCATGGTAGTTCTACTAAGTTCTGATTCGATTACCGGAAGTCGTTACCAACTGTTTGGAAGGCGAATGGTGTTGGTAAAGACCGGAGAATTGAATCAATACCCAAAGTATGGAAACAAACAGAGCTATCATAAGTCTAAACATCTTCCTTCCTTCCTTCCTTTCCTTCCCTTCACCGTCCTATTTATTTTTTCACACATCATGTGCATTCAACTCGCCTTCAAATGGCCCTGCGGGCATGCTCTTCCAAGCTCCCTGCTTGTATGCGATCGAGCTCGGATGCCGTGGACGTCTACGACGCCACCCTGTCTATTACCCCAACTCCGCGTCATTCAGACCAAGGTCGGATGCTGTCCTTGTGCTGCTGCATGCTCCTGGTTCCCCTCCAAGCTATGAAGAGGCACTTGAAGACCGACTTTCCATATTTCTAGCTTGTCATCACTTCTCGAAGTCTGTAAATAGGGTTCGGAGCATTTCAAAAATCCGAGGCACAATCATATCCTACAACTCCCAAAGGCTGAGAAACACGTACGACACAGCTCAAGACCACTAGCTGAAATCAACGTTTTGGACGCCTACGTCGGCAGTGTCCTCTACCATTCGTTATCGCCGATACCTTCCGAAATAAGTACGACTTGTAAAGCGATTACAAGGCAACGTTATACAGATAGGGGGATATCACTGAGGTAGAAGCCCTCATCCGTCAAAGACACATATCTTCATTTCCATGCAGCTGGTTTTTGTGGACTTGAGCATTATATGAAGCTCCTAAAACTTGAACGCAAGGTTGTGGAACCGACAATATCTCTTAAGGCTTGTCTTAATCCTTGATGCCTACGGCACAAGAAGACGGGGATTGTACTCATCTGCAAAACCCTTGCATCGCTAGGAAGAGGCGAAGTATCGAAACGAAGGAAAGCCGTTACGGGGCGATGTAAATACTACGTTGGTGATGAAGACAATCATGCTCTCTGTTATAAGTCATATGGAAACTCGATATCTCTTTAATATCAGCTACACAGTCTTAAACCCTATCGTAGGCATATATGTAGTCACATGATCAGCTTAGCAGACAATATAATAGTGCTATGACAGGTTTATGTATACAGTCTATTCATTACTCACGTGTATATGCTGTGATTATAGAACCTTATAGTGGTACATGTTTGCGGCGCAGCGCAACCGTATGTCTGCATAGAGTCCAGGCGTCAGGCAGCCACCAACGCCGTACAAGTACAGACGACTGCTGCGCCCGATCAGAGAGATATGGAACGCTATTGGGAAATTTACATGCCAGGGTCTCCGGATCTTTTACCCATCTAAGACGTAGGAATTCTGAAAAATCTTCACGCTCGTTGCGGCGCAGTCTTCCAAGTCCCAGCCTCTGTTATCCAAGAAATAGGTATTTGTCACTTCAATTCCGAATTCTAGCTTGGAACACGTGGGGGACGTACTCCTTCGTTGACTCTAAAGTAGAAGGTTGGATTGGCCATATTGTACTACATTACCTGTACATACTATTACTTGACGCAGTTATCAAAAGCTGTATTAAGCAACCAGCCAAAAACATAGACACTTGGATAAGAGCCAGTGAGCAAAACGCAACGAATGCCATACTCAGCGAGCTGCTAGGTTCGCTCAGTTGATTAGTTGCCCTCGTAGATGTGATCTTGAAGGGCGATGAGTGCGATTCTGTGCGACAGATCATTGCTCAGCAACCTGGCATTCATTGCATTTCTTAACAGACTCAATGCACCTTCGAAAGCACGTTCAGGACCTCCTTACGATAAGAGATGACTCCATGACGGTCTCTTGCTAAACCTGCGCTCAGAACACAAGATATATGTGAGAGTAAAGCCGATCGTATTGAGTGAGTTGTAAGAATTGTGAACTTGTATCATGATATATACATTTACACTTAGTCACCAGTGCTACTGCCTAGTGCGCCATTATAACTTCCACGATAGACTGTTACGTCAATGCCTTGGGTAACGGAATGGCTTCGACTCGATGCTCTGTACTGCAAAGTGCAAGCAAGATCGCATAGATCGAACCATCCGCCCATGTATGAGAGCACGAAAATGGCGAAGCTTCGACTGCGATATATGCGGAAGCTAGTACTGTTCGTGTGGAAGAAAAAAAAAGCTTGAAGTCGATCATGCATGCTATAGGACAAGCAAGTCTAGGGTAGCTAGTGACGTGCATCTCGACTCAGAAGTTCGGAACTGCAGAGGAAAGGTCTGTATTATCAGGCAGCCCATAGCTAGATACAGAACTAGGAATGTCAGTTGAAGTGGTCGCTACTTACGAGGACGCTTGCGTGGTAATGGTACAGAATGATTGAACACTCCTTTCGACCAGCCAGTCGAAGAGCCACTGCTGAAGCACTTCCAGCACCTCGCCACTGCAGGTCTTGTAGGACCTTAAGGCATACCTATAGCAGCGCAAGAGGAGGAATTCAGAGACTGGATTCAGAAAGCGACAAGGTGCTAGTAATGAGAAGATCAAGACACTTATGCACACTGCACGAGCGCCGGTGTACCCAATCCAGTAAGGAGGGTCGTAGAAACGATTCAAGGAGACCAACTGGGCATTTCTGGATCAGGATGGGTAACGAAAATCCGCCAGGGCTCGATCATAAAGCCCATCAACAATGGTTAGTGTTGAGAGGTGGATTTGACCGATCCGCCCGGTTCACGTATACGGGTATGAATATATGATGTTACAGGGTGTAAGATCTCTTCGGACAGCTGCTTCTATGGCTCAGTTAAGGTATACGATATACGATCTCTGTCGGATTCCACTTTCTGAGGACACTCTCCGTCAATTTACATGCCACTTCGTCGATCAGTAGTTCGTACCTGCCAGAAAGTCTGGAAACGAAATTCCAACCCGCCCAGAGGATTCATCACAAACGAAACTAGCCCACCGGTGAAACTTCCAAGAGGCGCCACAGGAACATACAGCCTGGACACTGGAGGAGAAAGCCTTTCCTCATATCTCCACCTCCCATCGATTTTTCCGTCTTTGTCTCGAGGCCGCTCCCGCGCGACCCACCAGGACCCACAGGATCACTATATATCTCTTGGCACCAGATATCGTCATTCTAGGGACTTTTGCTGCTTCAAAGCATGACTGGACATTTGTTTGTAACGCAGAATGATTACCTAGGCTCACATCGCGCAGAGCTTACGTCTGAGGGCCTGTTTGGAGCAAGGATATGTAGGCGATGTTGGATTGGTGGCAGGCCTGGCATGCTTATTACACGCCTCGCCTGGACGGCATTATTCGCATGCAAAGGCGGGTGGTTTAGAAGCCAAGAAAATGGGACGGAGCATTGGGATGAACCAATCAGCTACCATTTTGAGATATTAGAGAAATACGTATAAGAAGTAGTAGAGAGCCAGATCTCATATTCAAACAGCAATAGAGCAATCATGAAAGCACAAATCGTTCTCTTTATTGCAGGAATTGCCTCAACTGCTTCCGCAGTGACAGCCGTGAAGCCCTACTCGCAATGGATGGCTGACTCGTTCATCGCTCGAGGCGTGGCGAAGGAGAAGTCGTATACCTTTCCAACACTCTATCGTGGATTCGAGATGGTGTATAATGCGACGCGCAACACCAAGTACTCTACCTTCGTTCAGACGCAGGTTGACGCAGTATTAACGGACAATGCAACCTCACCACTGATCGGGTGGAACTTTGGCAGGTCGCACCTCGACGATATCAAGATTGGCAGTAGCATACTCGATCTGTATGCGAGGACCAAACAGGCAAAATATAAGACTGCGGCGGATTTTCTGCGGCAAAGATTGAACCTGCATCCAAGGACTGCCTCTGGAGGGTTCTGGCACAAGGTAATTCAACTTACGCATCGGTCAATGCGGTATGAACTGATTGCAATGACAGATTCCGGAGTATCCCAACCAGATGTGGCTTGATGGTCTGTTTATGCAGAGTGACTTCTACGCTCGATACACGTCGTTCTTCGATTCCAGTAATGTTACTGCCTGGAACGATATTGTACACCAGTTCGAGCTGATTGAGGAGCACACGCGCGACCCAGAAAGTGGACTGCTCTTCCACGGCTATGACGAAAGCAAGGTCGCAGTTTGGGCTGATCCAGTGACTGGAGCATGCCCACACATTTGGGACAGAGCAGTTGGCTGGTACGCTATGGCACTACTTGATGTCCTGGACTATTTGCCGAAGTCAAACCCAGGTTACGCAAAGTTAAAGGGATACTTCACAACCCTCGCAGCCGCTATCATTGAATCGCAGGACAGTGCCACAGGCGGATGGTGGTTGGTGATGGATGAGCCATATCCTGGACAGGCTGGAAATTACATCGAGTCCAGCGGTGTTTCCATGTTTACATACAGCATGTTAAAGGGAATCCGTAAAGGCTTTCTCCCGAAGTCCACATATGAGGCGCCAGCACGTAGGGCTTACCAGCTAATGCTCGACAAATTCGTTACAAATAGCGGAGTCAATAATACGCTGAATTGGGAAGGGACCGTGGAAGTTGGGAGTTTGGGTGGTAATGGTACGTACGAGTACTACATCGCTCAAAAGATTGCACAGAATGATTTCAAGGGGGCGGGCCCCTTCATATATGCCTCGATAGAGCTTGAAAAGCTTGATGCCTAAGGTGTGCCTTAAGTTGTCCGGAGGGAAGCAAATTGTTGTGTCCTGCTTTTCATCGATCATTCTCCTGCTTGTAGCAGTATTTGATATCCTGGTATTGGCCATGCTCTTTGGCTCAAATTATTATGCTTGTCCAGACATCATTTGTCGCGTGCTGTGACGGTGAAACCACGGGTCATGAAATCAGTGTTCTTGCCTGAAGCTCTGTTATTGGATGTGAAAAGGCTCTTGAGATTTTCGTTGGGGTTGATTTTTCTTTTCTTGTTCCTTTCGTCTTGCTCGGCCATGACTTTCGCAGTGAGAGAGGCCGTAGCAGAGTTCTTGATGTGTCCGGAATTCTTTTCGCCATTCAGCGTCATAGAAGAGCTTTTTGCTTCAGCTTTGTCGGCATGCTTCTTCCTTTTCTTACTACCGCTTTGCTTCTTCAAGGAGTGGGCTAGACCCTGTTCTTTCAGAGTCGTTTCTCTGAGAAGAAGACGCGCAATATCCGTCTCTTCGGTCGGCAAGATTGGAACAACATCGTTTGATGCATAGGGTCCTTCACACTACAGTTTGTTAGATCTGGACGTATATTATCTCACTTCGAGAACATACCTGTGGGCACTTCTCGCCAGAAACCTCTTTTATAGCTGCGGCCACGAATGCATGACCACATGGTACGATATAGACTGCTTTAGCGCCTGGTCCTAAGGGCTTATTTGTAAGTGGACATTTCCACTTTGGGGGCTTATTTGCTTTGTTGTTTGCTCCAGCTGCATCTTCGTCTTCGTCTATCACAAACTTGACCTCTACAATATCCTTGAGACTCTTCACACTCCCTTCCAAAATCTTGTCGGCTTCCTCTTTGCCACGACTATCCTCTGACGGTAGGAGGTACTCGAGTATCGTTTCCTTGTTGTATAGTCTGCCTGCGCAATCCGAGACCACTGGCACTTCTAGCGGACGGTTGCTGATAGGATCAGTAGTCCAGAGAAATTCTTGCTTTTCCTGGCGAGTTTCTTTGAGCTGCGCAGTTGTCGGGTTTCTGGCAGCTTCTTTCACGAGCTCTCTGCGAGTTGGAATACTGGTTGCGGTTAGATTGAGTAGTATATGAGAACCTATTATGAATACTCACCTGCCTCCATCGTTGCCCATGACCAGTCGAAGTAGCCGAGTTGACGATCCTTATCACGTTCGAAGGTGGAGTGTATCTCAAATGACCTCCCAGGTACTGTAGAGGACAGTGGTGGATCCACTCGCGCATGCTAGCGTGTATCAGTTGTTGCCTCAGGCCTCATGAGCCGCGAGCAAGCGACGTTTGATAATTGCTGGCACAGGATTGGAGGGGAAAGCTGGCTCTTCTCCAAGTTTACCGATATCACCATCAGGGCCATTGCTCGACCTCGGGCTAAAGACTTAGGACCCACAGCATTCTAAGCATGCTCACAAAGTAGCTTTCTCTCGCACGCCTCTTGCCTGGTGATCCACATGTCCTTTGCTTCTCTATTGTGACCGCTTGTAGCTATGGCTTCAAGACGCGCGTGCACGCCTCTGCTGAGCCGATCCTGCGCGAAGTCCATACCACGATTCGGAAGCTTGCCCACAGCACCTACAGCTCGTTCCGCCAGAGCTACTACTATTCGCAATTACGAACCACGGCGTCATCTGTCGAGACAATGCCGATTCTTCTCATCTACTACCGCTCGAAAACTCGCCGAGGCTCACGAGCAAACTTTCGACCCTAAGCAGCAAGAACGCGAGAGCGATGAGGTAGATGTCTGCATTGTGGGAGGAGGTCCAGCAGGGTTGAGTGCTGCTATCCGTCTCAAGCAATTGGCGAACGAAGCTGGCAATGAAGAGTTCCGCGTGATTGTACTTGAAAAGGCTGGAGAGATTGGCGATCACATTGTATCAGGCAATGTTATGGAGCCATCAGCCATCAAGGAGTTACTTCCAGATTGGCTCTCAGAAGACAATCCAAATCGATTTGAGAGGGTCACCCCGGCGACAAAAGATCAAATGAAATTCCTCACAAAGAACAGTGCGATCCCGCTTCCAAAGCCGCCTCAGATGAACAATCATGGGAATTACATAATAAGCCTGAACGAGTTCACGAAGTGGTTAGGAGAGCGCGCAGAAGAGTTAGGAGTCGAGATATATCCAGGATTTGCTGGAGCAGAGCTTCTATACACCGATGATGGGGCAGCTGTGAAGGGTGTGGCTACAAATGACCTCGGTATATCTAGACAAGGCAAGGCCAAGGACTCATTCGAACGTGGCATGGAGTTTCATGCCAAAGTGACTCTTCTTGGAGAAGGTGCCCACGGCAGCTTGACGAAACAGGTTGTTAAGAAGTATGACCTCAGGAGAGATAGTCAACACCAGACATATGCCTTGGGTATCAAAGAGGTTTGGGAAATCGAACCAGAGAAGTTTCAGTCAGGACTGATTGTCCATTCTATGGGCTATCCACTACCTAGTGATACTTATGGAGGTGGCTGGATGTACCACTTTGGAGAGAACCTGGTCAGCATTGGCTTAGTAACTGCTCTGGATTACCCAAACCCCTGGCTGGCACCATATGGCGAATTTCAAAAGATGAAGCACCATCCTTTGTATAAGAGCACGCTTGAGGGTGGGAAATGTATCTCGTACGGCGCCAGGACACTCGTGGAAGGCGGCTTTCAATCAATACCAAAGGTCGCGTTTCCCGGTGGTGCATTGATTGGTGACACTGCAGGCTTCGTAAATGTCCCAAAGATAAAGGGCACACATAACGCCATGCGCTCTGGCATGTTGGCTGCCGAAGCTGCTTATGAAGCCATCACAACCGATGACGAGGGTGATATCTTCCTCTTCAAATATGAGGATACCCTTCGCGAATCCCCAATCTGGAAGGAACTTAAGCAAGTTCGGAACATGAGGCCTTCGTTCCATGGCCCGCTTGGCCTCTATGGTGGTGTCCTGTATTCTGGGCTTGAAGCCTATCTTTTCAGGGGCAAGACACCGTGGACATTGAAACACGGCAAACCAGACCATGCCGCCACCAAAACCGCTGATCAGTGCCAGAAAATCGAGTACCCTAAACCAGATGGAAAGATCAGCTTCGATATTCTGACAAGTGTGAGCAGAAGTGGCACAAATCACGAGGAAGACCAGCCCGTACACCTACAGGTAAAAGACTGGGACAAGCACGCACAGATGGAATGGCCAAAGTACAAAGGGATTGAGAACAGATTTTGCCCAGCTGGTGTATATGAATATGTTGAAGACGAAACACGAGATCTAGGTGTGAGGTTCCAGATCAATGCGCAAAAGTATGTATCACTTTGTCCCACGCCGAGACATGCTGACACCGCTATAGCTGCGTGCACTGCAAGACATGTGATATAAAGGTCCCTGACCAGGATATAAATTGGGCTGTTCCTCAGGTAAGGCTCTCGAGAATAGACGTGTGGGAGAACAACTAATGATAGAATAGGGCGGTGAAGGACCCAAATACGTTATGACATAACGTCTACTCGTCCTCAGCTTGCTTTTCGTTGTATATATTCCATATGCACTGTACATAAGAAATGCATTTACACTTGAGCCTCTTCTTGTCTGAGGGGAGTTATTATCGAGACAGTGGGTTGTTCATCAACAGCTTGACATGTACGAAAATTGCTCCTGAAGCATGTCAGACCTTGCCTTGCCTTGAACATGTGGCCCTACTTTACCGCTGAGCACTAAATGATGACCGAGAACTCATGCTGATCGCTTGAGAATGATATTTCCTTGTAAATCTACACAGGATACAGGCCTCAGACAACCATCGACACACACGATTCTTGAATGTAGAGCTGCAAGCCTGGCTACAAGGCTTCAAACAGAAGTGATATGCGTGCCAGCTCAGCCAAAACACCGGAAATGCTGCGACAGGGCGAATGCATAGCAGCAACATGGAGCCACGGGCTGAATGATTTGGTGCGCAAACGGGCTCATCCCTGCCGAACCTGGAGAGTGAGGCGGTCGCTCGCTCGCTAACCACAGCTTTTTGTCGGCCACTAGCGCCAAATTCCCCGTAGCCTAAGCCGATAGCTCACCAAGTTTCCTCCACCCACGCAACTACTTCAACTCCTTCAACTTCCCTCGTCCACCTCCCTTCTTCTCCTCCTCTTCCTCCTACTCATCATCATCCACTCCGTCGTGAGAGAGCATCTTTGGCCATTCTCATCTCTCACGCCTATCCAGAGGCCTTTCAGCTGTTTACCTTCGGAACTCTGACCCATCAAACCTTCCCACACCGGCTGTTTAAAGGTCGACGCCTCTCGCTCAGCCAGGCTATTTGCAATCTCTCACAATGAGCGCCACCGAAGTATCCTCCACCCGCCTCTATCTGGGCAACCTGCCTCGCACTGGTATGATGCTTCCCGCTATCCTGGATGGATATGGTCACCTTCAATATTTGCGCGTTAGATGAGGACCGTTTGGACCCAGGCCATTAACTCTCCAAATTTGGATAATTGACTTGCTGACTGGAATCTGGAACAGCGACAAAGGCAGACGTTGAGTCCCACTTCCAGAAGCATGGCACTGGCAAAATCACTGAGATCAAACTCATGAATGGCTTCGGCTTTATCGAGTACGAAGACGCTATGGACGCGCGCGATGTTGTTCCTGGTGAGTTGATACGAACATCTCACAACGAGCTCTACTGATATCACCTCTAGCCTTCCGTACGTATTTTGTTGCGAGAGCTAGTTTCTACCTTGGAAATATCTGACCATTAGTGATAGACGGATCGGACTTCATGGGTGAGCGACTCGTCGTTCAATTCGCTCGCGGCTCCCGTGCTCGCAACGAGAACTTCCCCAACCAGGAGCGAGTTACGCCCCGTCCGCGTCGCACCCCGTTCCGGATGGACATTACAGGTCTCTCTACGGACACTTCTTGGCAGGTTAGCATCCTTCTTCCCCGCTTGAACTTGGCCCATCGGAATCACTTTCTTTTCGTCATTTAAACCCATTTTGTCTTTGGCCACTGCCCTGCCAATGTCATGCCTTCAACCTGTTTGGTGGCAACGCTCCTACAAGTCATGTCTGGAAGGCACCTAGGGCTGCCGTCCATGAAAGTTTTCTATCACTCCATGTTTTACAGCAATACCTCATCAAGTCTGAATGGCTGGACATCGGGTCTATTCCATACATGCGTGCCCCGGGTAGACAACACTCCGGCTTTAGCCTGTTTCCATCCGTTAGGTCTGCTAGAATCCCACTCACAGGACATCTAGGACCTCAAGGACTTCGCTCGCCAGAATGGCCTGGACGTCGTCTATTCTGAAGTTGGCCGCGAACGTGATGGCAAGGGGTGAGTTTGCGAAGATCCGAAACATGTATCTGCAGCTAAGCTTTCAAGCAGCTTCGTTGAGTATGAGACTGCCGCCGATTTGAGAAAAGCCGTGGAGATGTTAGACAACCAAGAGTTCAAAACCGCAACTGTCCGTTGCGTTGCCAATGTAAGAGTGTTCGTATGACGACCTCACGGGCACCAACCTAACAATTTGCAGACTCAAGAAGACCGTCGCAGTGACCGCTTCCGTTCTCGTTCCCCCACTGGTGGTCGCCGCCCCTACGGAGCTCCCGGCGATGATTACTATGATCGTCGAGGACCGCCCGGTGGCCGGGCATATTCACCTCGTGCCGACTACCGCCGCCGCAGCCCACCTCCTCGCGACTACTACGATCGCGAACGATATGGTCGTTCTCCTCCCAGAGTTCGTGGACCTCCCGAAGACTACCCCCCGCGTCGCTACCCAGAAGATCCTTACGAGCCCCGTGTCCCTCCCCGTGGTGGATACCGTCCGGACCCGTACGCCAATGGCCACGATCGCGGATACGGGAGGCCTTTGTCACCCCGCGGACGTCCTCGTAGCCCTCCACGTGCAGGTTATGATGACCCTTATGCAGCGCGTGATCCGTACGCTCGTGCTCCCTACTAAGTACATCACCCATGTCATACTGGTTAGTCTGTAGATTCGGACCTTCTAGCTCTTTTCATCATTTATGTGTTTCAAGGGACCTATTGATGTCGCCGCCATGCTTCTCATGGTACGGTCTTGTCGATCTTGTCGATCTTTTCTGTAGATCGATGTGGTTTTCATTTTTTACTGATGACCTTATGTGGACTCTCGACGATGAAGGGAAGGAAGGGAGCCTGGACAACTGCTGCATTGTACACTATACAAAAGTCGATATGTTGATGGGGTCCACATAATACATGCAAGATACCCATATCCTTGATTCAACAGCTGGAAGTAGTGACTTGTACATTCATGATGGGATGTGCTATGTGTGCGTAGACAATCGCCGACTTCCGGTTATCCCGCGTAGGCAAGCTTTTACTAATTTCTAGCGATTGATGGCAGCTATTCACTAATACCACTCTATTCTCAAAATTCTACTGTTTGTAGATCAATTCTAGGAGAAGTAAAGGTTGACCAGCTAGCTACAGCAGTGCTTTCATACAACTGACCAAGTTCGACTGTTCTTCTCAGAGAAAGTCGAAACAAATTGTCATCCAGTAAAAGCATATCATACATGCTTCTCAATACCATCTACCCTGATTACAGGTATCTCACACAACAACCCTGACTTTCCTCCTCAGTAGTCCTTTATGCGCCTCAGACTCCAACCCTCTAACCTGGACCTCGAAATCAAAATCACCCAAGTACTTTATCCTGTTATTAGCAGCCACCTCTTCGGCCGCCGCGCCCACGATATTCACAAAACGAATATCCGCCTCGGACACCTGCACCATACTCGCCTCATCGTTCAATGCCAAACTACGGACAATCTCGCTTGCCAGATCCGCTGGGCTCACACTGCCGTAAATTTCGCCCAAGTACGGCTTCTTCGGACCCGGACTGCTCAGATCCACGTGGTTATTATTGGGCGTCGGCTCTGACGTGTCCTTGCTGATCGGCGTCCGTCGCAGGACGAGGGAGGCGGGCACGAAGATGCTAAGAAGCTCGAATGTGCGCTGTGGGCTGAGCGTGCTGAGAGTCACGGGCTGGGTAGTCGAAGCGGCAGTCTCGGCGGCCTTGACAACGGAGGCACTGATGGAGTCGAGGGGCAGGTCGGCGGCGCGGCCATAGTCCCAGTCGCGCTCCATTGGCGTTTTGAGAGTTGTGAGGGTGCGTAGTTCGGCCCAGGGGATGTAGTCAGCCCAGCGGCGGTGGTACCAAGTGTTGCGCATTATGGAGCGTTTCACGGGGACGATGGAGCCTTGTGTCGTTGTCAGTGGCTGCCTCGATCATTGATTGCAATCAAATGAGACAAATGACGGAGCGAGTACGAAGATTGTACATACCCTTCTTCCCAAATGTCGCGACATTCTTGAGTAGTCGGACGGTAATGAAGTCTGCCTTGTTCGTGTCCGTCTTCTTCCCGCGAGTCTGCTGCTGTTGGAAGGGGAGCCAAGCCTTGAGGCCATATTCAGAGATTCGTCGTGAGCACGATATGCATTGTGGAAGGAGAGAAGGGCGCGTAAGAGATGCCATCGAAGTTGAATCGCGGTCGTTGGGGTGACGAAGCTCTCATGAAGCTTTGCAAGATATGATCTTTTGGGAGAAAGTTGCGGGTAGCGCGTATAATTGAGCACGATAGGCGTACAGCGATGCCCGCGGTCAGCTCCCGCTCTGGGCACCTCCGCTGACCGCCGACACTGGCCGGAAGCGCTAGACAGTGGACGGAGGCATATATGCCGTGGTAATAGTGAAAGGGAGTTGTGAGCTGTCTGTGCCCTGCCTGGTCTCCTCCAATGGCAGTTACAGGTTTTCAAAGTTTCACTTTGCCTGTGTCTGTATCAATCGTATTGCGCTGCTTCATTCTGTGGTAACACAGCGCCACTGGCCAATTTCGGAAACGTAATCGCATCCAAACCTCGCATCGCCATGCCGGACAAGCCTCTCACAATCGCAACATACGCTGCTGGTGCCTCCCTAGCAGCCATCACCCTCGTGTACGTCTTCGGCCCTACATTCTTCCTCGACGAAGAGAGTTCCAGCGCGAACCGCAAGAAAGGCGTTGTCGGCCTTAGTAATCCCGCAAATGACTGCTTCATAAACGCGAACCTACAAGCTCTTGCGGGGCTCCCCGAGCTTCGATTATATTTAATCCGAGAGACACATAGGAGGAAACTCGATGGCGACGTGCTGTACGCGGTAGATCCAGCCGGTCGCTATGAAGACGAGCACAAACGTGAAATTACGCCGTGGAAGCTGGAGGGACTGCAAAAGGGCGTGGTGACACAGGGACTGAAAGATGTGCTTGACAGGCTGAATGAAAGGCCGATATATAAGAAGACAATATCCGCACAGAGCTTCATCGGGATCTTGGAAAGGGCGTTTCAGACTAGGATCAGCCGGCAGCAGCAGGATGCGCAGGAATTCTTGCAAGTGGTTACTGAGAGACTATGCGACGAGTATCATGCTGGTATAAAGGCAAGGCGGAAAGCGAAGAAGCTAAATACTGGTACTTCGTCGGCTGAAAAGAAGGAGGAAGACGAGGACACCAAGGAAGTAGCAGACTCACAGTCCGAGGTTGTGCTGGAAAAGAGCACAAACCAGCCAGACGCCTTTGGTAAAGAGACGGAGAAGCACCAAGAGGAAGATCAGGAGAAAAATGTTGAAGATGACGAAGAAGGGTTCCCGTTCGAGGGCAAGATGGAATCAATCATCGAGTGCCAAACATGTCATTTCCGGCCGAAGCCCTCCGTTTCAACTTTTGTCACGCTCACGCTCAGTGTCCCGCAAAAAACATCGGCTACTCTGAACAACTGTTTTGATGGTCTAATGAAAGTTGAGCACATAGACGATTACAAGTGCGACTACTGTCGACTCGATCATGCTTTGAAGTCCAAGCGGAAGCTGCTATCAGCTGTCTCCACGCAGGAGGTGAAGGCCACAATACAATCAGATATCGATAAGCTTGAGCAAGCTTTAGAGAAAGACCCAGAGAGGCCACCGGAGGACGTGGAGTTGCCAGACTCGAAATTGGCCCCAAAGACACGCATCGAAAGACACGTACGGATATCAGAGTTTCCAAAGATACTCGCGATACATCTGTCTCGATCGCTGTACTCTGCAACGACTCTCTCTACGAAGAATATGGCCAAAGTCACATTCCCTGAAAGTCTACCTCTAGGTGGACTTCTGGATCAAAAGCGATATCGGCTTCTGGGAACTGTAACTCATAAAGGAGGCCATAACTCAGGTCATTATGAATCATTTCGCCGTCAGATAACATCTCCACCGTACTCAACACCTCACTCGTTCGGTCAAGACGGTGTCTATAGCATACAACCAAGCCCTAATCCTTCTATTGCAGCTAGCCCTTATTCTACCACTCCAACTCTCAGGCCAACAAACGGTACAGATGTACCACCGACCTCGGATCCAACCACATTACCCTCTCCTCTTTCCCCTGTGAAGTCACGCGATTCAACTGCCCCTTCATCTGTATCAACGCGCTCGTCATCCACGCAGCAAACTCCCAGACCATCAGCTTCGTTAACAAAGGAGTCATCTGACTCAGCTCATCCCCGAGTAAGTGAGTCGTCACTACGGCCACCGACTGTCACATCACTAGCTACCTCAGAACCCAAAACCCCCAGCTCAAAGACACCTTCAATTGTCGATATCAAGAATCTGAAGCCCAAGTCGAGGAAGAAACAGCCACTCAATCGATGGTGGCGGATTAGTGATGAGAAGATCAAGGAATGTAAGACTAGTGAGGTACTGGCCATGCAAAAGGAGGTGTATCTATTATTCTATGAGCTCGATAAGCGGACCGACGAAGAAACGTGAGCTTGGTGCGTTATATAATCGTTATTCGGGGGTTGGTGGCTGTTTTCATGCTTCCGGAGTGGGTGAAGCAATTGCGGGTGATACTGACGTGGAGCGGCATCTTTCATTGGCTTCTATGTTTACATGTTTATTTCAAAGATCAGGAAATGTACAGCTAGCCTGTTATATATCTCAAGACGTATGCCACCGAACGTCTCTGTACTGTAGGGTAGATGAAGCTTGATATCAGAGATTTCTCCAAAAATCTGGTGAATCTGCGAAAAGCCAAAAGAAAGCCAAAACAAAAGCGTGTACAGGGGAATTGATCCCCTGACGTTCCGCTCCTTCTGATTTAGGGATCCCAGATTCTGCCCTAAGATACTTTATAGGGTGTTGGGAAACCATTGTTTAACCCACTGAGCCTTCTGACCGAATATAATATGACAAGATTAATTTTGCTTTATAAAGGGCCGTTAATACGTCTTCGACGGACTCGAGAGGACTTTCGTGCTTGGCACCTTGAACAGACTGTGTGCATGGTACCACAAGTTGCTACCCCCTGGAATTGAGAATGGCTTGTTTCACGTCGTGTGCTGTAATATACAAGCTTCACTCCATTTTTTCTCACCGGCGTTCCGCGAACGGATATTCGGTACGTAGCCGTTCAATCCACCCACATACCACCAAAAGACTGGTTTATACGTGCCCGGGTATAGTACATCCGGCCTCTCCCTGGGCGAGATCGACGATACTATTTACGCATAGTCGGAACTGTCGAGCCTTCACATCAATTCTCTGTACTTTGTTCTCCCCCCTACATACATCCCTTGGCATAATATCTCGCCACCCCACTGTGTTTCGAAACGCATGCTCTATTTCCTGTCGGTTCAGGTATTAATTCACCCGCCCTTGAGCTACCCCCTGTCTGACATACGCTCACACTAACGTTCACGCCCAGGCTTTGACTCGTAAACTTCCTCATAACCTATATTCTGTGACGCCCTACACGCCTAAACGTCTTCGAAATATGATGATGGGCAAACACCGGCGTTACACCGCAAATACCGATTCCATCGAGTAATAAGTCGTGACTTTAGAAAGCTTACCACTCGGGTCAATGGGCTGTGGGAGAATGGAAGAGACTATTAAGCGTTTAGGGGTATAGAGACCAGGTCGATAGGAGCCTCTGATACGAGCTGTGGTGTTTGTAGGGAGAGGAACTACAATGGTTCCAAGGTATGAGATATATATCCGGATACAGGGCAGATGCGTCAAGGGCGCCTATATGATCATCAAGAAGTCCAAGCTGTGGTGTAATGCACTTTGTTCGTATGGGATACTGTGCATAGTGATTATAAAGGGCTATTACCGGGGACAAACTGCCCGCACCCACGTCCCAATTCGGGTCGTCGATACAGCCACGTTGACTCAGCAAAATCTTACTCGGCTCAACCTCGGCTCAATACGCTTACGATTGCACCGCCTCAACTCACGCTTGCTCACGGACACCTCAAACCTGGCCCTGACATTACAATGCTAGGCAGTTGCTCATTGCGGCGGTGACTCGCTATATCCGTCATAATCTTCACGTGATCTAGTTGCCAAGCAAAACGTGAGCTTGGTCGCTCCAGTCAACGCCCATAACCTGCGAACTGCGGCTCAATTTCGACTTTAAATCCCCATGGCCACCACGACCAGGACTCTATGTCAATCATGGTCCATCAGTTGGACGCGCCGCGCCTACCATGAAGATCACTGGAAGCCCAGCGAAGAACCTCGACGACGTCGCCTACCCATCATTGCACATTCTTCTCACATGCAGTGGCACATCGCGATTACTTTCGAAGGGTCACTGCACTCAGACAGGATCTCACGGGCAAACATAACCCAGAGACGGGAGGATTTTGAGGATCTTTGTTCTTGCCTCGACTTCGAAAATTTGCAACTCCTGGACGATACTGTAACGGAGCTGCTCATCAAGCGCAAAGACGACACCACGCCACCCTACTACGATGAGGACGAGATCGTAGTTCCTAAACGTAGCCTGCCGTTGAGGAAGAAGCCACTTGCCGAAAGCGAGTATCATTCAGTCTCCGCTGATCTACGGCTTTACGTACGAGAAGACCCGTTCCGCGTGCGCTTTCCGCCGCTTGATTGTACCACCGGCGTCCCGACTGTGGAATATTCAAGAATTACAACAATACGTGAACTGAGCGCCGGGGTACATGAGGTACGCATCACAGGTCATGCCGGATCTTATGTTTTCAAAGAAGTGGATAGGCCGCTCTACAATCCAAGAGACAGTGCAGTTCTGGATCAGGAGTTGGAGAACCTGGAAAAGTTCCGCGGGGTGGAGAATGTGGCACAGTTGATCGCTGCCATTGTTTCCTCCAATCCGTATCAAACCTCTCAAGCCAGCAAAACCGATTCCCACAAGGAAACCGATTTTACCAAGACCGTGGACATACATGACTCAGTCTTCTTGCGAGGCATCCTTCTTGAATACTATCCAAATGGTACGCTGGAAGAAATGTTGAAAAATGCACAGAACGCTTCACTATCAGTAGCTCGGCCCTGGCTCAAGTGGGCCTTTCAAATTGCTAATGCACTGGCATGTCTACATGGGCGGGGTGTAGCTCATATGGATATCAAACCATCAAATATCCTCATAAGTGCGACTGATGACGCTGTGATTACGGATGTGAGTGGAGTCGGCGGTGTAACTCGAGAATGGCTAGCTCCTGAAATGCTCGATATGCTTGATCCATTGTCTGAGAGTATGGGGTCACGAATGCGGAACGATATCTGGGCACTTGGGAGCCTTCTTCTACAAATGGCAAATGCTGCTTGTATAGGAAAGGAGCAACTTCATTGCATTGGAATCAGCGCTACAGTAGAGAACCCCTCTTTACGACCTTCTGCTCAAAGCTTGGTCTCCAACCTAATCGAACTCGGCACTGGGCGAGCATTGGAAAGAGGTGAAGACAATGAAATAGAGCCTAAGTGTCAAGTGTTCGGGCGAGTCTGTACGTTTGTACTGCTCTTGTCAATTTCTGTAGGGGATCTCGATTCATTCATAGTACTATCCTCAAAACGCCTCAAGACATGCAATTCTCGTATCTCCCTCTTTCCAAACCATGAATTCGAAACAATCCAAACAGTCTTGTAACTTCAACTGAATATGCTGAAATCGACGAAACGCCGGTTACTCTGTGCTGTTCGTTCTACGGTGTGCTTCCGAAGTATACGAAGTGTTAGAAATGCCTTTAACATCAACTCCTCATATCCTGCAAGTCGCACGAAAGTACCATCACCCTTTATATAACCCACATGAGCATCTTCTTCTTTCTCATCGAGCTCATCATCACTACTATTGTCCTCGTCGCTAGACTCGCATGTATCGGGTACAATGAACGCCAGGTCTTTAGCGGTGGGCTCCTTATCGTCGGAAGAGGCCTCTACACTTGAATCAGCCTCGCTAACATCGTCGTCGATATTCTGGCTATCATCGTCTCTATCATTCTCATCACGGATCCTATCCAAGCTGAAGTTGTCCCAATCATCTTCCTCCATCTCACTATCCAAATCAGAGAACTGGTCACGTCGCTGGGCGGACATTATTATTTGAACAGAATTTGGTTATGCGTCGATTGGAAACTAAATTCACTGGGCTAATAGCTCTAACTTAGATGTAGGCCGTCAAAACGCGAAGGGGTCGTTTGGATGAAAGGTCCAAATTCAGGACCCTGATTGATTAGACACGAAGGGGGCCAAGAATCAGACCACTGTGTGAGGCTGTCTACTTAGACCCATATTAGCCGCGGCAACTGCTCCGATCAGGCTTTGACGATCCGAGGATAGGTCGAAATCATGGAGTTGAACGAGATCTCTGTCTCGTGAACCCCTATGAAGATTGTGTGAAGTGCCTCCCAGCGCGTGTACTGACAGGGCGAAATCTTTGATGGATCTGGAAGGGTTGATGTATATTGTTGCGCCTCGTCGGTCGGCGATGAGTCTGCACTTATAGATGCCGTGCACTTGCTTCGGAGAAAGTGTCGAATTTGCTCAAGATTCTCGCTGAAATGAACAGCTTTTGTGGAAGTACTAGACGAAGTAGAAGGCCGTAGAGGGGATTTTACAGCCTCACCTGATTTCTTGCGAACAAGTTTTAAATGTGACATGATGATGAGAACCAACCTTAAAGCATTGTGAGATGAGCAGAGTGCTCTGGCTTAAATATGGTTTCACTCCGCCCTGCTTTCAAATATGCGCTTACCCGGACGTTGAAAGGATGCCACTATTCGACCAATCAGGCGGTTTGTGGTGGCAGTGCATATCTGACGGGGGCCCGAAAATGGGACCTTTCGAATATTCAGCTCGGGGTAATTATTGAGTCAAGCTACAACACCAATTCGACTTAATTAGTTTCAAAGCCTGGTTTGACTCAACGTGGTGGATGAGGCAGGATCAGAAAGTGACTTAGACCTATGAATATGAACCTGTGTAACTTGATTGTGCTGTCACACTGACTAAATAAATGCGAGGAATGACCTGGTTATAGATCTTTAACTACATGAACTCCTTCGCCATAAGAATTTCCGGCTCATTATCTTTAACATTTTGTTGACTTGCCAACAAGAGTCGTTTTTGCAAATCCGGCAAGAATCGTTTCTGTAAATCCATCACCTTTCCCATAATACCCCCAAGGACGTAGACGTGAAGAGGTCTAGTTGTGAGTCGACAGATACGCTGCATGTCCCCGTAATAGTAATACAATGCCAATCTGATCATCAGCAAGGCCTCTTACTCTTACGATCAACATAAGATGTGGCACTCCACATGTAAAATCGCAGTTCGTGTTACCGCATGTATATCTATAGACTGTGTTTGTGGTGAGGAACCTCCGCTCGATTTGAAATTCGAAGAAGAGGAGATCATGCATAACCTGGCAAAAGTTATTTCCTGGTAGGCAGCTTTCGATGACGGATGACTGAGAGGAGCCTTCCAACACCCTATCATCAACAGATGACGCTTCATTGGTGATGAGGCTTTTGCTATCCGCCATTGTAGATGTAAAGAGAAGACGATGCGAGTTGCGAAGAAGAAGCGTGGGAAAGAGTGTTTGAGAGGAGAAGCAGCATGTCTGATAACAGAGATATATAGCATCGAACCGGAGGGGTCTGATTTCAGGGCTACAAGACTTCAAACCGAATCGTCATCATATTCGCAGCCCGGGTCCCAGAACTGGTACCTTCCCTCCCTTACCCTATAGAGAGCTGTTCGAGGTGGTAGGCCTCCCAATATACACGACCCTAGGCTTAACGTACTGCATCTCCAACCTTTGTGTCTCAACAATGCTTTGGGAGGCATCTCTCAACTCGGCATACTTTTGACATCTCCTTAGTTCGGGGTGTTGTCCGGAAGACGCTTTCAAGATTGAGGTCCGATCGTGAAGCTGCGAAGTGCTGCAATCTTTAGAGACAATGGATTAGTGCTGTGAGAATGCCGAAATTTCTAGAGCGAGCTCCAAGTCGTCTAAGATCTGCTCGGCTCTCTAGATCAGGTCATGGAGATTTTCTTCAGCTTCGAGAATCAAGTCTGCGGACAAGTCTGAAAGCAATAACTTGTTGTTACGTGTTTGAGGTTCCATGTGGTAAATGGTCCCAATGTTATTCACAGGATATGTGTGCAAGCTACTAATAGACAGAGAGCTCATCAAGGGAGAGAGCAATTATAACTTACATTGATGAATGTGGTGGTGCCGATGAGGCACCAGTTTTGGAACCTGCTGCTGAAATGCTTGTCCAAGAAGGGCTCCAATACCATACCCCTGTGACTTGGCTCACACGGCGCCGTAAGAGGGATAACATGATCGTTCAAAACACATCTTGCTTGAGTTCTAATTATATTGATCCTGCTTTGGCTAACTACATGATATTTCCTTATTGTTCTCATAGTCACATAGCGTCATTGCCCCATACTACTCACAAAGTCCGGACATTGAGGCCGTAGAGCTAGACGCTTTCGTCCTAGCTTGGGTACGAGTGAGGAATTCTAAGAAAGATTCACTCTTCTTTCCAGCCGGTACGCAATCCTCCACATCATACTCCATCTGCATTTCGTGGAGTTGTTTGCTTAATGCCGCGTGTGCGACGAAATTTCGAAAATGCATTTCTTTGTATAGCTTTTCGTCAACAAGGTCTTGAAGATATAGCATCTCGAATAGGTACATATTGTAATGGCTTGAGGTGTTTAATATCGAAACTTCTGAGAAGTGTTCGCTTTCAGACACCTCCTTTATAACGATGGGGGCCCAAATGCGGAACCTTCGGGGTACCAGAATCGAGTCTTCGTCAGGAGCCGCACTAGAGAGCATAATCAGTAATCGTTGCGCCACAGAGCGCTGGTCAAACCTGTGTCTCCAAATCACTTCATCACCTAGTTGCGACTGCCATGCCACCTCCTAATCCCCGCCAAGCCCTTTGTTGGCTTCACAAGGAACCATGCTATTGAACCAATTTAGCGAGAGCTGCGATGAAAAAGGCAACTCCTACATTAGCCCTTTTGGTAATATATGCACCAACAACGCTTCCGAAAACTAGACTAAGCAAAGAGGTAAACCGATAGTTTCGAGGGCTGTTGGAAGCCTTGTGTAACTTGGCGTCTACTAGAAGGTCAATATATGTTGATGTTGACATCGATGTGAGCTCGGATCTGGAGAATCCCCGAGTTACGACAAATTGAGATGCGGAAGAAAAGGACAAGAAGGAGAGAATGATATATCCAGCTGGACTACCTTAATCAACGGCACATGAGTAGTTGATGACACCGGCAGCCCAAATGAGGGTTGCTTGAGTCAAAGAAGAAACTACGAGCCATATTCGACGTCTACTACTTCCCAGCATTCTTTTAGCTTAACCCGTCGCATAAGCACCGGCAATAAAAAAGGAGAAGCAAGCACCGCTAACACCGTAATGAAGAGCTGTTGGTGCAAGTCCTGTCGCTCCGATGGTAAGATATTTCGTATTACTGATTGGGTTCGAAGCGGAGCAAGAGAAGGCAAGAAACTGATCTATCTTATTAGCAAAACAGCACATTGTGAGAGCAGTACAGACTTACGACAGAAGCATCTTAAACACCATTACTGAAAGTAAAGAACAAGAGCGCAAGCTCAAGATAACCATTCTCGTGGATGCGCTCCTCGAGATGCGACCAATAAATATCCTCTCGACGATGGGCTGGAAATCTGGTCGTCCCCTCTTCAAGGCTAATTTCCAAAGATATCCCTATGCACGATCTGCTACGGACATTCATGGAGATCCTTTAGATCAGGTATGAGCACGGCAGCACCTACAACGCAGATGCTGTAACTTCATAGCAAACCGTGAGGTGTGATCGCGGTATAGCAAGTATCCCTCTATGACTTCACAAGTAAAGAGATGTGTAGTTACGTGTCAATCTTCGTGTTAGTCTCTACACTAGAGTTGAAGGGCTGAAAACGGGACTGATCCAACTGTCTCAAGGGTACCAAAACTGGACCCCAGAACATGTGAAGAAGCACTAACGGAAGCACCGCCTCGACGCGCTCACACGCAGCCACATGGAATGCTTCTTTGCGACCACCTCCTGCGCTTCCAGGTAGGTAGGTAGACATGTAACACGGTGTGCGCATCTCCAGCAGCTGCTGTTCCATCCTCCTTGTTTACATCTCTCGGCCTTCAGCTTGTTCTTCGTCGCGCCGTGCGCGCTTTGAATTCCTCACAGGTGCCGTGTCATTGGCATCCTCGGCCTGCGGACGTTTTGGTCGCGAGGGTGGCTGGACCTCGTCAGGAGCCTGGGCAGTGCTCCTGTCGATTCTGACTAGGTCCAGCGCCATGAGTGTGTCGTACTTGTCGCCGAGTGCTCGTTTCAATGCGTCCTTTGGCAGCTTTTGGAGCTTCTCTTGTGTCGCTTTGACATCCAAGTCCCAGCTACGGTGACGTTTTTCCCACTCTTTCAACGTCTTCGTAAAGCGGACTTCACCGTCGCGACCCCCGTTCCCATTCTCGAGATAATCGAAGTGCCATTTGACGTGTCTATGGTCGTCAGCAGTCAGGACTATCGTTTTTTCCTTCGCTTCGGGGTCCTTTAGGAAGAGGTTTAGCTCTGGACACGCCTTACACCCAGAGGAATAGCACTTGTACACTTCCGCCGGGCGAGCCCAGTCTTCTGGTTTCGACGGCTCTTTGTCCACGGTCTTGGTAATGTAGGCTTCCACGAGCGATTGGAAGCAAGTCTGCACCTCCAGGGAACCTGTATCTACTGATGGAAGCAGTTCTTTCATCAACGACCATAGAACTCCCAGCACTGTATTCTTCTTGGCATTGGAAACCTTGTTTGAAAGCTGCTGCAACAGATTGGAAGCTAGGTCTTCGTCGTGCGCCAATGCTTGGTGGTAGAAATCTCGAATGAGTCCGTCAGTGTTGCCGTGATGCTTTACGTATGCGTAGTAGAGGTCGAAGTCGAACGTCGAGATTGCGAATTTTGAAATAACGCCAAATAGGTTGCGGAGGAATTCCTTCCGGACATTTTTCGGATTCGATAGTTCGAGGAGGAGCTCGACGTTCAGTGCATTCACGAATTCCTTGACTCCTTTGAACCCATCAACAAAGTCCGTGATTGCTTCGTCCATCTTCTTTCTATATATGGGCGATTAGTTCGACTTACCACTAGTTGACAGAGGATGCTAGAACCCAAATACAGAGGAACTCGGATTATCTTACCGCTGTTCTGGTGTGTATTGGATTTTGAGGTCCATAACAATTTCTTTGATTGTGGCAGCGTCTTCCTCTCCCCTGCAATTGTCGCACATATCAAGCGTCTTAATCAGTGTGTCGCTGTACCACTGCTTCCAGTACTCCGCCTTCGCTGGGTCTTTTTGACCGACGCTGTTTCCACGAAACCCGTTGTAGAAATGGGTTAGACTCTTGTAGATACGGCAGAACGTGCCACATTTTATCAAGGACCTGAAGATGCTAGAGAGGACGTGTATGTTAGCAGTATTACCAATCAAGAGTTTACTAATATCAGGGCGAGTCTTACTCGTCTACCTCAACTGGGGGATCTTGGAGATCAATGAGTCCACCAAGTGCAGACCAAGAGTCATAATTCCAGGCGTTGAGAGTTCTTTTCCGCGCTTCCTCGAAGAGAGGCCAATTGCCGAGAAATGCAGCGGTGACTGCAGCATAACCGAGGTACGCATCGTTCGCCGCCCCGGCGGCAAACCCTTGATCCAAGATTATGCGGCAAAGGCGGAGAAGTATTCTTTGCAGCGTCGTCTTGTTGCTGTCGTTGATACCCGCTTGTAAATGCTTCATAACTTTGCCCGCATCTTGAGGAGAATCCGGGTCAAAGAGGGGGGCATACAGGGAGTCTGTCCGTACAATAACAAGCACCTGACATTAAGTGAGCACTGTTAGCATCGGCATGCTTGTGATCTTGCGATGCTTCGACCTCAGAAAGCTTACCATGTCCGAGTAGGTTTCCTCTATGTCACCATGTTGGTTTCCCATATATTCTCCGCCGGCGCGAAAGTCCGGGTCTCTTTCATAGCTGATGGAGTCCAAAAGCGAGGTCTTGTGTATGTCCACCTCTAGTGGAGATAGCTCGAAGCCCTCGAGGCTGCAGACATGGTGCAGATACTTCCGGCAAGTCATGTTGTATTCACCCTCCTCGTCGTTTGGCCAACTCCTGTACTTGTCGAGCTGGGCAAGGAACAGGTAGAATCCGCCGTGCCGGTCACAGCTGTTGGCAAGGCAGCGAACGCGTTGGTAATCGAGGCCTTTCAGGCTAGAAAGACGCAAGTTTCTTGGCGTGTACTGATGATCGAGAGGATAGGCAAGAAAGTCTGGCGGATATTGTAGCGTTTCCCACGGTGACAGGGCTTCTACCAGATTTTGGATCTGAGAATCCAGCACCGAGGCTGAAAGGCGAGGGCACTCGTAATCGATGATGAGGTTATACGTAAGGACCCATCTGTATCCTGTCTGGACTGGCTTGATCTTTGTACTAGTGAGTACTAGGTCGCATTAGAGACAAGAAGATAACTTACCTCATGGGTGACATCTGTATACCAAGCAAGGTAATAGGAACCATACGCTGAGGTCTCAGCCGTAGACAGTTCTAATGAATCTTCCCCGTGCTGCAAGCATACTGTGCCGCCCGTATGTTCTGAAGGAAGGCAGATAACTAGTGTTCCAAACATGCCTGGGCTCTTCTCAGTACTATCCTAGACTGTTAGCCCTTCGTTATAGCGCCATGAGCCGAGACGCATCTCAACCTACTCTTTGTGAGGCTTGAACATGGCTCCTGGTTCGTAGAGAAGGTGCTTGTATAGCTCGGCACGAACATTGGTTCCGGCACCAGCAGGTGGTGGTACTCCAAGCTCTTGAACAACACGCTCGACAAGTTTGTTGACAAAACCATCCCATTGAAGATTCCGGAAGGTGATTCTCTCTGCGCTAATCTGCAACGTCTTTCTCACCGTCTCGTCGACTAGCGTTTCTTGACGCTTGCCAAAGGGTGCCTTATCACTTTTGCTGGCAAGATTTTGAGCTGCTTCTTCCGACAGCGGTACTGCAATAGGCTCTCCGCTATCCACGCAGATGCCTGGGATCGGGCAGGAATCAAGAACACTGCCAGTTGCAAAGGATCCTGCCGCTTTGATTCCGTCGATGCGCTCGAGGAGATTTTGTCGAAAGACTTGCTCTTCTTCGCTCAGTTCTTCCTCCATTTTAGCACCCGAGTTTGAGTCGTAGTCTTGTCTGAGCGTATGAGGAATCGAGGATGCTGTTTCGATGGTAGGAAAGCTAGTTGAATGGAAGGAACAAAGAGTCTTGTTACTTCTCCTGCGGAAGCGGAGAGGATGAGGAAGTGTTGGAGATGTAGCCGAGCGATCGAGGGAGAAGCCAGTTTCCAGGTGAGAGGAAACAGCACAGAGTATTCATGTGCTCTCGTGGTATAACTATTGCGCTAACCAGGATTATCAAGCAGATCTTGACTGTCGGTTTCGAACGCCCTGTTTTGCTGCGGCGCTAGCAGGGATGGTGCTGCAGCGCTTATGTACAATGGCGGCGACTCCCGGGGAACTCAGCGGGGGTAATTCCACCTCGTTGCGTGACCCAATCACTAGCCCCGATCCACAACAGATCCATGGAGGAACAGTGGGGACCCCTGGTGACCCAGAGGTGTGGCTGAACTCGATTGTGGCTGAAGGCACCTCCTCAAGCACGGAGAAAGCATTAAGGTATAGTCCCAAAGCTGATTACAACAGCACTTGAAATTGGCAGATATGGAGAAATCATTTATTTTCTGTAGAATACAATATCTGGCTCTCAAACTCCCCTCAAGTCTAGAAACGAAACAAGAATAGAATCGGGCTGCATCTTAATTATCGCCTTCCATCTCATCCTCATCACTCTCTGAGTCGATTTCTGCAGTGCTCAAGTTAGAATATAGATCCGTTTCAGCGGTATATGTCGCTTCCATACGTACCGATCGGTTCCACTTCAGTTCCTTGAAGAATTCTGATTGGGGTAGATGCCATGACGTGAAAATACTTTGAGGTATCTCCGGACTCGTCGACTCCGTACCCAAGACGCTTGGTGGTGCGTGAGTTGCGCAAGCCAACATCCTCTTTGCCATTCGAACGACCAATAGCATGAATGACGAACTGGATCCCTCGCAATTCGATGAGAATGTAGACGCAGCCGTTGATAATTGGCTTGTTATCAACATCCACGCTCGAAACTCCAAAGTTTTCAAGTGATTTGTCAAATGGAAGAGGAATTCTGTGAGTCGAAAGTTCAGTCCACCCGTCAGCAGTGACTTCTTTGTGATTGAGCCCCTTTGTAGGCTCTACGCCAGAAAGATCCTTGTCTGACTTCAGAATTGTGAGGTCCATTTCCCATTTTCCGTCAGGTGGCTGAGGAATGTAATACGGTATAGACGATATGATGTCCGGGACCTGTGTGCCCTTTTCCCCAATGACCAGCACGCGTTGAGGTTTGTCTGTCTCGCCCACACCAACGTCAGGTGGGTCCTGAGGCAAGCCGTAATTGAATTGAAAATCTTGGATAGTGCTGTGTATATGTGGCTGTTGCTTGAGGCCATCCACCACGTCCTCACCACTTGCAATGTCAGAACACATTCGTAGCACAAGTCTGAAAACTTACCATGAATTTTTCGAATTATGGAATACCGAATACGGTCCTGCCTTACCGTTAAATCTTCTTTGAAACGGCACGGATGACGCTCCTCCGCCAGACGTAGCAATCCACTAGGGAAATCAGTGATTGAGAACTCAACAATGAGGACGACAGACCTTGAGGGTTTTTCCTATACGCTTAGTCCATTCGTTAAACCAGGCGACGCTCCATTCGATCACTCTGTCGAAATGGCGGACCACCTTTCTCTTCGATGTCGTCTGCCAAATTGGATGGCAACACGTAGTTGTTGATCTCAAGCTTATTTTGCTGGCCTGAGCCAAGTATTAGCTTGTACTTTGTAAGGAAAGTCGTTTGCATCCAAATTTCTAAGGTTGTTGTAGACTGGTCGCCGAAAGTAGTTTTTAGCCACTCTGAGGTACGCAGGATGTCATTTACAATCTTGTTAAGATTGCCAAATCCTACCAATTTCGTAGCGCTGGCCGCAGCTTGGTACCTTTCCCAGTAGATTATGGTGATATTCTACCTGAATTAGCAGTAGGTAAAACTTTTGCAATGTGTGACGTACTCCGGTTGCATCTCCAATATCTAACATACCACCATGCTCGGCGTCTTCGAGATACACCCCGAGTCCTCTTCTTTGCTCCACAAGCAATGACTTCAACCGGCCATTAATGGCCGCAGTAGGCTCACTGATGATGTGAACATCAACCTTTCCTTCCCACCCCGATACGTTTTCAATAATCGTTTGGTACTGGTAAGAGATGTTTTCCGGCCATTCTGCTGGAAGTCCAGTGTAAACGCGGAAGTACTGTATATCTGGGTTGGCTGTTTTCGATGAGTCAAAGATTGTGTGAAGAAGCCATTCGATGAATCTCCGATAGATTGCCTTCATTCCAATCTTCTTCTCCTTTTTCCGCTGTACTTGGAAGTGTTCGCTTGCCGGATTCATGGCGAGTTTCTTGTTATCGAAAACGAGCACTTCGCCATCCTTTTCGCACACCACGTCTGTATCCGGCCCGAACTCCAAGTCCCATTCTTCGTCTTCTCCTTTTCGAGCCACAACGCGAGTCCGTATTTGGCTACTACGTGCCGTAGCCGCTCCATTCCAGAAATCGATATCTTCGAGTTCACCGAGGCCAAGCACCCTAGATGCTGTAGTAGTGTAGTTTCCAATGTCGGCCAGCACAATCCCAAGGTTCTCACTCTTTCCCTTAGCTGCGGACTTTGCTCTTGGGCGTGGGACGGTGAAGACTGTTGCGGGATTGGAGCCAGTTGGCCATGAATCATGCGCGGCATCAATGCGTTCCGACTTTCTCACACTCTTCGCGCTTCCTGCTGCATCTTGGAAAGAGCTCAAGCTGTTGATGGCGAGGAATCCATGAGCGCCAGCCTCATTCCCGGTTGCTGTGTTCGCCTCGTTCGATGCCATGAGGCTACTCTCCTGTTTGTCGGGAGTGACTTGCGTTTGCTGCTTCGCCAGCACCTCCAACTCTTCTACAATTGGTGATTTGCGTCCTCTGCCTCTAGCATCCTTTAGTTTGCCCACAACCACTTTACCGGCTTCCAGGCGAGCCGATCTGCCTCTCGATCGTGTTGGCTTGGTCACAGCTTGCGTCGTACGGCTCGGGTTGGAATTCTTCGCAGCGTTTTGAGCCTTTCGGCTGGTCACGCGTTTCCCTTCGACTCTTGTCTTGGCCATCGTGATTGTAGCAGGTGCGAAGAGAAGAGCTCAACTCAAAACGGCAGCGTTGGAAAACGGGATTTGGTCGCTTGTCCAGGTAGTTTAGGGTTTATAACATGAGGTTTTGGAGGCACTTCTGTGCTAACGAAAGAGAAAGTGATAGGATCTTGAAGTGGCAGAGGCGGACCACAATGAGATATAAGTATTGTGCCAGGCTGTGAAGTATGGAGGTCGAGCCCTCGAGATGACGAAGCCGAGATTACTTCTCCAAGCGGATGAAGTTGTTTCGAAAGCTGAGCAATACTCCTGCCCACAGCCTTCTGCTAGGATTTGGACCATGCTTGATGGTACACGATCATCCACTTGATCGTGACACGTCGGCAAACAATGAGTAACAGCGTTTGAAGACTACTCATTCCTATGCGAGGCTGCTGGCAAAGCCACTCGGCACAGCAGCAGGAAGCTTGACGCATGAAGTCCCATCCAGGGATCTCCATCACCGCCTACGGTCGCTGCGTAATGTGGAGGCTTATCGTCCGGCTGTTGAGGCTACAGTATTGTCAGTACTCATTCTGCCAGAGGATTCTGGAATAAAAGACGGTCGTCTGAGATCCGCTCGAAGCACCAGCCAAATCAACATCCCCGTCCATGAACCAGCCGATCACTGACGCTGCTTCCGCATTTCGAATGCCTACCGAACCATCCTCACCGCGAAGTATCCGAGAAGTGGTTCGTACTCTTAGCCAGACTTGCACTATCCACCATTGCTGACACGAGTAAGCTTGACTCATGTACTGCGAATCCTGACGCCGCAATCGACATTGAGGGCGCTGAGAGTTTGATGTTCCTTCGTCTGCAGCACCAGGCGGCGACATCCGTTGATGATGATGAAGCCGTTGATGATACTGAATAAGATCTGGAGAACGTGCAAGCGCGAAGATCGCGCAATCGAGGTAGTCGCAAGGTCCAATCGCTATCGAATTTACTGATTCGCAGTTAAGGCAAAAAAAGGAAACGGAATGATGGTCAAGAGAGCGAAGCCGAGCAGACTTTATCGAAGCTGGAACGAGAAGAGGTACATGTCGAAGGAGTAATTCGCCAAACCATACAAAAAGCATCCTTAATGCTGAGCGAGGATATTAATGATCTTGCTCTGGTTGACATCAACAGCTATATGGACACATTATCTAGACTTGTCAGAGCACTTGTAGCGTTGCAGAACACGGAGTGAATTGAGTAGATTGAATGCCTAAACAACCAAAGTGTTCTAAAGTACGTTGCTGATGCCGAATACTGTCCTTTTGTTATGCCTCTTTGACGTGCTTCGGTCGGTGAAAGCGGTGGTGGGAACGATATTCTTGACACCAGCCGTGCATTGGCAGAGCCCCTTTGATTGAGATTTGAACTGGCTCGACCACGAGTAAGCGCATCCACTCACGCCTATTCGTCGTCCTCGTCACCGAGAATGTCGCTAATATTACTCTTATGCTTTTTACGACTGAGCTGGCGCGCCTTTGTGCGTTTAGTTCGGAGTGCTGGCATTGTCAATTCGTCGATTGAGAATGAATCTGATTCCTCGTCAGAATTAGCCGTAAAGACCTCGAGTTGCGTGGACTGGCTATTTGAGACGAATGAAGTCAAGTAAGTGTCGGCTGAAGCTGCCTCAAGCTCATCATTGTCCGCTCTCTTATTGGCACAGGCAATGAAGTCATCTCTCTTTTCTTTCGCCAAGTCTCGCAGGTTGCGATATGCAGCGATGCCTTGACGATGAGTGTCCAAGTTATCAGTCAAATCAAAACCTCTAACTTTGGTTTTGTGGTACTCGGGCATCCCATCTGCTCCTCTGGGCTTAGTTGGATGCATCGCGTACAGCTGCAGCGTGCCGGTTCCGCTATGGTAGGTCGATCCGAATGTATGGGCCTTATCATTAAATATAGGCTCGTCTAGTTCGTAGGACTGCATCATGAGCATTCTCTGTGACATCATGCTGCTCAGGGATAAAATCAGGCACAATCAGAGAGGCTCAGGCTTGAATCAAGCACGATCACGCCGGCTCATGCCGGCTCACGTTCGCTCAGGACGAGCTCATGAGTGCTCAGCCACAGCTCGAGTTGCTTACTAACAGCTCACGTTACATCCCGGCGTAACTCACGTCTCAAAACAGAAATGGCCGTTGTGTGAGGGCATTTTGTCCCCGTGTATCTTGCGCTATAGTCATTCCTAAGTATGTCTCGAGTGGAGGAGTTGGGTATAAAGTCGGCACTCATACTGTAGTGAATGAACAACGATGGGGTTGAAGTAGGGGAATGAGAACTAACTGAAAGTAGCTAAAGTACCCCACGTGATGGCGCGAAGACGTGCTCCGTAGACATCGCGGGTGCCTATGATATCAATCTAAGCTTCATCCAACGCAATGTCGTCTGCGAACGCGTTACAAATATTGCTGCGATTTTTATCGCAAGACGCCAAAGTACCCCTGGGAACAGCGATGAGTAAGGTGAAGGATCTACAGAGTGTGCATTTGAATAGGTTGGAGGATCTTTACTCAATTTCCGAGTCATGCTCATGTATAATTCAGCCCGAACGAGATAGCAAAGTCTGATATAAAAGCGCTACAGGCAATCTTTGAGGACGAGAAGCTCTCAAAACAGATACTAAACGCCGCCAAACGCGTGGTAAAGAAGCGCGTAGCTAGTAATGGCGATGAAGCCCTGCATCCTCCCGTAAAGAGAAGAGCCACCGAAGCATTCGGTGAACCTTTGACAGGAGCCGAATTGGAAGAATCGCTCGAACTCCCTACTGTGTGTCTAGATGAAGATATATTGAAGAAGACCGTTCTATTCGCGAACCGAGCACCTCTCGTCCTCGCCTTTGCAGTCGTACTTTTGAAATACACAATGCCCGAACAACCCCTGTCCAGCCGTTTAAGCCTTGCGCAGGCCGTCGTCAGTACGAATAGTCGGACTAAAGCTGTGAGCATTGGTCTGGAGAGTGGCAAGAGTGCGGAGGAGGAAGGTTACGGTGAAGGGCAACCAACTGTGACCGTAATGGGTCGGGAGATAAGAGTTATGAAAAGATGGGGCTACGAATGGCGAAGGGACGAAGTAAAAGAGAAGACAGAAGATGGATATGAAGTGGAGACACAAAGTACATTAAGATCAGAAAGAACCTTGACGCATGAAGACATGCCTGCTCTATGGGGTATAGACCTAGAAGCATTGAAAAAGTCAAACGAGAAGAACCCAGCCGTTCCCAAGACGTACATTACAGGCAATATCCCTATATATACTGCTCAATCGGCCAGAGCATACTTGTTGAAATCATTTGGAACACCAGAGAAAGAGCAACAAGATTCAAAGACTTCCAAGAAGCAGTCTTCTGCGAGCAAGATGGCGCAGAAAGAACGTAACTTAGGATATCTCCTCGGAGCTCTCCAGCTCTTATTTGAGTCCTGGAGCAAGTCTCTCAGTCCGACAGAGTTGGACAAAAGAGCTTGGTCATGGTATGTTCGCGTGCGTCCGGAGGTAGAGGGTGGCGTTGCTGGCTGGGGAAGCAAGAACACCTTGAAACTGTCTGATATCCTATTACTCAGACATTAACAGAGGGTGTAGTTGTCCAGTAGTTATATTAATGTTCCGATAGCGTGTGATGCAATTTTTTACGAGTGGTAACTCGACTCTCATGCTTCCTATACGTTCCTTGTCGAACGCCGCATCCACTGGAAAGACGTAATGAACTTTCAGATCACTATCTTGATGCCGTCTGGGCTCTCAGAGCTCCTTGGGCGTCCATTCAGAAAGTGTCTTCAGATCCCAGATGACTTTTAGATCAATTCCAGGATCTTGATAATCCGCTACTGTTACCAAAGCCTCTTTGTTAGGACGATATTGCGATAGATGACCGGCCCTGTCGATATAAAGCGCGTTCCAGCCAGCTTCGATAGCACCGATATAGTCTTTCTTATGATCGTCACCAACATAAAGCTTCTCGAAGCTGTCTATGCTAGCACTCGTATTGTATGGCTCTTTCGCGAGCTGGTCATCCAATAGCCTTAGGGCCATATCAAATATTGGGCGCTGTGGTTTTTCAAATCCAACATCGTAGCTTAGAACAGTAAAGCTGATGTCATCGTCCTCTGTAGCAATAATGGTTGGATCATACGTGATGCCTACCCTCCTGGACGCCACTTTAAGGCCGAAAGACCTTAGGATGCCAGGCACACGATCATCTGAATTAGTGATGATTCCCACAACAGTTCGCTCCCAAGGCCAATTTGAAGATAGACTCGGAGATCCCTTGACTCCTCGAAGCATGCTGAAGAAAGGAAGCACATCGGGGAACACGGTATAACCCTCACACGACGCGAATCGATGAAGCAAACCTGAGGTGACCGCCCAAGGTATATTTCTCCCATCTTTTAGGAACGGTCGGAATGTGTTTTCGATGATCTGCCCCTTGATTAGAACATTTATGGTATATATTACGATTCGATGTGCCTGCGCTGTACATTTTCCCACCAAGCTTGCGCACCCAATCCAGAGTCCCTTCCATAGTTTGGATGAAGCTTAGACTCTCGTCTGAATGCTATTGAAGTTATATATTAGACAATTTGACACATCTGGACTCGAAGTACTTGCCAGTGTGAAATGATGACTTGATCTCTTCGTCACTAAAGCCTGACAGGCCATGGCGACGCGCGATATCGCTGTACTGCTTGGCAATGGGCTCCTTTGGTGCGAATAACGTTCCAAATGCGTCAAAAGCTAGGAACAGGTTTGGTCTCTGTTTCGTGAACATGATATAGATGACGTTTGACGACCTCGGGAGCAAGCAGTAAAGATTAGTAAGATCTGTTGGCGTCACCTGCCCGTAGTCTGTTGATGTTCGGTGGTCTGTGAAGATAAAATGGAAAGCCGGCACTTCCCAAACCAGGTAAGCGTCCTAAGTTGAACGCCGACACTCATGAATAGATGCTGATGCCTTCCATCAAACTCCGTCACTTCGTCCTTCTTTCTCTTTTCGTTCTTCAATCCGATTTTTCATCTTCAAATTCATCGTCGTTAAATCTTCGAATGATTAGAGACTGCTTGTTCCACTCCTACAGCCCACATATGAGAGAGATTGCTTGAGACCTGTCAGGTATACAGCCCATCTGCGGGCTTGCCAGCTGTCAAAGGAAGTCACCGCCCTTTGGTACAACCTCGTGCATTTCACAACATCCCCAAGATTTCTCAGGACTCCCCTCTCTTTGATTGCAACTAACTGCTTTGAAGAACACAGCGAAGACCTCGAGCATCATGTGTATCGCAGTGATAACCACAGCGCATCCAGAGTACCCATTCATTCTCCTTGATAATCGAGACGTAAGCAACCATTGGAGACGATGATAGCAATAACACTGATCTGTTTCAGGAATATCTGTCCAGACCAACAGCGGCAGCACGATGGTGGGATTCTCCATCATCTCAGGTTCTTGGTGGTTTCGACCTTTATCACAAGGCCCATGGCACCTGGCTGGGCATTACGCGCCAGGGACGCGTTGCTGTCTTGACGAACTATCGTGAAGAGAACCAACCCATCCTCCCAAGTGGTCGAAGCAGAGGAGAGGTAGTCAATGGCTGGCTGGAATCTCCGCCCAGTCAGCACATTGACACTGAACACTACGCCAGACACGTCGTCGAGAACGACGGCGGAGTTCAAGGCATGGGCGGATTCAGCCTGATGTATGGTCGAATACAAGACGTGATCAAGACCGGCACTGGTCTTGCGATTCTATCAAACCGGACTCCTGACGTAAAGGGTCTCATCTGGTTGGCTCAGAAGCCTGGCGAAACTCGTGCTATGAGCAATTCATTCTTCGGTGACGTGTCATGGCCGAAAGTCACCAATTGTGAGCATGACGTTGGCGTAGCTCTGTCTGAGAGTGCTAAGAAGAAAGAACCCAAGGAAGAACTGATCAAACGGCTTTTTGCGGTGCTCAGTAAGGGTGACTTGCGATCTCGAAAGAAGGGGGAAGATTGGGAGGTGTACCTTCGACAACTGCGCAATACGATATTCGTTCCGACCATCGGTGGATCCAAGTTATCCGAAAATGAAGCGGACGAAGTCACTACGACTGAAAGCCCTAAGGCCGTTGACACAAGCCCTGGAGTCTATGGGACGCAGAAGCAGACAATCATTCTGGTCAACCGTGACGGGCACGCCGACTTTGTGGAGAGAACGCTCTTTGATGTCAACAGTAACGCCGTTCCACCGGGTCAGGGCGACCGACACTTCGAGTTCGACATCGAGGGCTGGTAAGGTCTGCAATCCATTATACTACTCTGTTATCGTCGGCTGACTGCGTGCCAAGGCCAAAGACAACAGTCACAACAACACGCATCGTCAAGCTCTGACAAAGAAGGCTGGCTGCAGTGAAGAAACTCTGTTCTGACCTACGAGCGAAACAACCCTTCACCACCGTTCTGCCGCTCTAACCGTCCCCCTCGCCCTGAATGGCTGGACGGTAAGTGCTCACTTCACTATCGTGATTGGCCTCACCGTCAACAATGGCCATCACGTGCTCTCATTTCGCCCACTGCCTTTGGCTTAATTTCGTCCGCCTTCTCCTTGTCACCTTCACTCCTCCATCCTTCAACCCCTTCACACTCGTTCCCCCTTTCCACTCCTGTCCTTTTGTATGCTTTAGAGGGCTTCGCTGTAAAGTACCTCAAGCTCACCAAAACCCGTTTTTCCCTGGGAATCGCGTCACCTTTCGTTCGATACCACCTCAATTGTTCCGTAACGATGTGCCGACGCGTCGTTCATCGATATGCTCACTGTGGCCACACTGTAACTTCGCCCTTGCTACACTGTGGCAACCCACAGTGCGAACAGCGTCACGAAGATCAGCTTGGCGAACCTGGCTATGCTTGCTCGAAATGCGAAAGATCCTCAGTTGGTAACAACTCGACTTCTGTGAGCACATCAAGCCGATACTCTCATACGCGTCGTATGAGCCTCGACCCGGCTGTTAGAGCAGATCTTCGCTCTAACCTCGCATTGCTGGGATCAACGCACAGCAATATCAGCACTGATACTCCCACATCTGCCCACTCAGCACACTTTGCCCAACATGGCTCAAGCAACCAACTTTTGATCAACCCCATGCCCACCGTGCGTCATACACACCAGCAAGATACGCCGCTGCACCTTCGACGCAGCTCCCAGATCCAGGGAGGCGTACAAATCAATGCACACGTTCGAATGAACAGTGCTATTTTTGATGGTGGAGATCACGCCCGCAATGCGCCTGTTTCCTTCCCGCCTCCCGCCCCAAATGTCAGAAGGCAAGAGGAGATACGGACGCCTGTCATAACTTCAGCGGTACCAGCTGATCAAGGTCCTCCGTCAGCCCCCACTACTCCACGTCGTCGCCGTGACTCTATCCGTCAGGCTCAGTGGATTGGGAGTCCCAGCACCGAGACCCCACCACCAATGCCCGCTGTCAACGTGCCATTTACCCATCCCGGATCTCCTCATCACCGTCGCCAGGGACCCTCAGTCAGTGGAGTACAGCAACATCAGAGCCTTGCGCGCAGACCCTCCAACAGCGGTGATCGACCTCAGACCACGTCAACAAACCGCCGTAACAGTGTTAACAATCCGTTCGGCACTCAGCGCCATCGAGTCAATCAGGCACAGCCAGGCAATTCACAGCGTCAGCACCTCGGACACCGTCAACAAGCCAATCCGTCTCAAAGAGGCTCACAGGCTCAGCGAGCACTCCAGCACGGACCACAGCGTCAACACCTTGGACAGCGTCAGCAGAATATTTCGTCTCATGAAGGTCCACAGGCTCAGCGTGCAAACCAGCATGGACCACAGCGTCAACAGACCTATCCATCTCAAGCAGGTCCACAGGCCCAGCAAGGAATCCAGGACCGCTCTCAGCACCCTCAACGCAGTGGCATTAGTGTTGACAACAACAGCAGCGTGGATCTTGGATGGCCTGAGAACCCTCAGTTTGGCCACGAGAGAAGTTTCTACCATGGCAGTAACATTTGGTGATCTTACTGCATGAGTATCCATGACCAAGCCGGTGTCACTCAAACGTGTGCAGGCGCTCGGCCAGATCGACCGTACCTTCTAGCTACCGTGGAGGTGCCACGTACAATTGTTTCTTATTTCCTACCTACTCGATGTCTTCACATCTCACTTCGCTCGAGTCGTTGAAAGGCCTTACTGGCGTATCTGCACTCTCGTCCTGTCTCTACCGTCAAAAGTCAATTTATTTTTGCAAAGTCGACTACGTTCTTCTCTGAGTTCACTATATGAGCTACTTGGCTACTTGTCCTCCACGCTTTGGATCGGCAACCTCTGGACCACATTCATCACATCACTTGTCATATCTTGGGTCTGGAGGTTGGCAAGTCATGCTCGTTGTTTTGTTTTCTTCTCTACTATCGTTTGACTAACTTCCATTGTATTAATTTGCCTGGTCATCACTCGTTCATCAACGAATTTACTTACACATCCTCTCCTTTGTCACCTGACGAACCTATCTGTTCGCCTTTACAATTGTACCATTATCCATCTCTGTAACAGCGTCGGCGTACTTGGCGCTTTGGTCACAGCAGTCTCCCTTGGAATCTCTGACACTACGTTCGGATTGATCCCTTTGGCGGATTGCATAGGCGCGCTGTTTGTATTGATCTCATTCTTGTTTTGACATCCACACTCGTTTGGTCTCTTGTTCAACCCGAAAGTTTGCCTGCTAGGTATCTACGCTGTACGAATAATGTAGGCACAGCGATCTCGGCGGTTGAAAATGAATATCGCAATTCAAAAAGGGGTTGGGAAATGTATATTCCTGGGTCATTATCTAGGTTTGAAAAGGTTAATAGAAAAGCTTATGAGCACCAAAAACCTGTGTGTATGCTGCATGGTATTTGTGACTGTGTCTTCCTTTAGACTCTACTTTGATTGACCATTGAATTGTTCATCTCAGGCCTTTTCCAAAGTCGAGACCTCTGTGCTAGACTAGACCCATTACATTACGCGCTCGCTAAAACGACTGAGCAACACGACAAATGAAGTGCCCGTCTGTAGTATAGAGCTAAAGCAGAGAATCCTCAGTATCAAAAGTGCTCCGCGCCATCCTATGCTTCATATCATCGTCATTTTTTCTTCATTACTAGAATGCACATAGCACGTCATCTCAAACCCTCTCCTGACCCCCAACCTTCTTATACTCCTTCCGCACCTTATCCCAATCCACAATCCTCCGCTTCCGATGACTCCGCGCAATGCGCCACCGCACATACAACATCACCGCATCACGTACACTCACAAACAAGCACCCACCAACCAGACTCCGGCCCCATCTCGTCTGCAATACGCCCGTGGGACGCCCTGATGTCGGTGCGGAGATGAGTGCTTTGGGGAGCGAGCAGCGGAGCAGTTCGCCTACGACTGCAGCGACGGAGGGGAAGAGCAAGGCGCCGAAGATCGTGTCTGCGAGGCGGGTTATGCTGAGGTATTCGTGCGGACGTTGGGCGCGGGGTGCGCGCGGGACGTTGGGAGCTGGTGCTGCGTCGTCGTCTTGCTGTGCGTCGGCGGCGTCGAGGGGTGGTGCGTTGAGCGGATGGGCTTCTTCGAGGGCGTGTTCTTCGGCGATGTGGTCGTGGTCGTGGTCGTGGCCATGGTCATGGTCATGGTCATGGTCATGGTCATGGTCATGGCCGTCTTCGACAATGATATCGAGGCCGATCTCGAGGACGTCGCCGTCGCCGTCGGCCGCGTGAAATATGCCGTCATCGTCGCCGTGCACCCCGTCTTGCGCATTCTCGTCCTGGCGTGATTGTGGTTGGACCTCACGGAGCCAGCGGCGCTCGTGCGCGCGCCAGACTTTCTCGTAGTAGAAGTTGTACATGCCACGCATGTAGGGTAGGAGAGCGAAGGATAGTGCGGCACTAGGAGGCCAGGTGAGGGGTGACTTGGACAAATCGATATTTATGTGACGTCCGGAGCTTGCGAAGAAGAGGAAGGGAACGATTGGGAGGAGACCATCGGCGAGGGACATGCGGGAGGCTACGAGGAGGCCGGGGATGAGGGTGACACCGGTGTGGAGAGGTAAGGTTCGATAGAAGTTCTTGAAGAAAGAGAGCAGGAGAGATTGTTGGGAGTCTGTACCTTGGCCGAAGTGGTAGAGAGGCTCGAGGATTGCGCGGCCTTCAGTGTAGCCGAATATAAGGTATATCGTTGAGATGCCGTGCATGTGGCATAGCTGGTATCCCGAGTACCCTATTACGCCGGCAATGCCAGGGAGTATGAGTGACCCAGTAAGCTTTTCGACGACCCGGACGACATCGACAATGTAGTCTCTTGGCCGTGATATCTCTATCTTCGATTTGCACTGGGGACACAAAATTTCCTTGCGTTCTCCGGATCTTCTGCGAGTCTTTGGGGCTTCCATGTCAGCTATCCACTCCAACAGGCAGGCTTCGTGCGCGGTGAGGGCGCATTTGCATGGACTGCGCCATTCAGAGCTGTCAGGTGTATCTTCGGTCTCATCTTGGAAACATATCCAGCACTTGCGAACGTCGTCATCGTCTGCGAATGTTGAGGGTTTCGTGGGCTCGGTATTGGTTTGGGAGGGTTCAATCTGCTCGTCGGATTGCTTTTGTGTTGGACTAGATGGTCTTCTGTTCAGCAAAAGGGTTTGCGAATCCTCTGATGTAGTCGAAAAGGCTTCGCTGTCGCCGCGTGCCACTTGCGCGGAAGGTTGGCACTGGGGTTCGCGAGGAGAGGAACGGCGTTGGGATGTAGCTCGTGGAGGTACAGAAGCCATGTTCGGAAACTTTGATCGCTGATGGTTTCAAGAGGGTTGCATAGGCGCAAGACCGTAGGATATTAGGTGCAAAGAAATGTAAGAAGAGGTCATACGAATAGGTTTGACGTAACGAAGAATGATCTGGATGGATGCCGCTGAGCTCGAGCCACACCTCGGCTCGCGACACGACTTTCAGCTTGACGGCCAGTCTAGCCTACACTTACTTACAAGACCAGGTTGCCCATCACGCACAACTGTCTTGACGTTAAGAAAACAGATTTCGATTTGCCGAAGAGGCGTTCCTGATGGTCTGAAACCCAACGTAATCAAAGTGAGCAAAATCGACCACAAGCCCAAGTCTGCCACATGGTAGAATTTGCCATGTCATGAGGTCGATGAGAACTTCGCAAAGTTTCGCGCGCACCTTAAGATGAAACGCAGCAGTGTCTTTGCGTGCTATAATATATGCTCCTGATCTACCTATAGCTAACAAGTAAAGGTATTAATGGGCGACGTCAGGCGATCAAGCAGATCGCATAAACCCAATGCGCGATACACGCAAGACCCGCTTGAGGGTGTCGACTTTGATGATGAGCCTGAAGATGGTAGACAGTTTGAGCCTTTACCACTAAAGCATAAGTCAGGGCATGACTTTGATGCTAATGATGCGCAAGACAACGATGACGAAGACGAATATGTAGCTGAACGTAGAGACTCTGGGAAAAGCCGTTCGTACAACCACGACGATGACTCCGTGGATGAAGACGGGGACACCAATTCAGGGGCGGAAGAGGTCGACCTGACTCGAGTCCGCGCACCAAAGGAGATCACTCTCAACGATGGACGCAAGAGGCCGCTCAAGGAAGACGGAAAACGGTCAAGACTGCTATTCGAATTTCACAAAGGTAGCCATGAGAGACGGTTACACAGCTTCTATGGGAGGGATGAGGGCGATTATAAGCCTGCCTCTGCAACACGGAATATTTCATACCCGTACCCAACATTGCCAGCTCGACGATTGATTCAAGATCTCAGTTCAGGCGGCCCAGCGGGAGGCATGGCGTACAGTCTCTTCCATCCGGACGAGGCACGAAAGCTGGAGGGAACGACGGGATGGAATTGGTACTATGAGCATGGCGGACGAAGTGCTTTTCAAGAAAGACAGTATATGAAGTCTATCACCGTAGACGAAGCGCTACCCTATGTAGCACAGCCAGCACACAAAAGCATCAATCTGCTTCTGGGGCCATTTCGGGAGCCTCAGCTGTATAATTTGAGAGTTGGCAAGAGCATGCGATTAAAAGATTCTTGGCCTCTTCCGAAAGTCCCTGACCCAACATACAAGAATGGCTGGCTTCTCAACGTTGGGCGGAGGATACAGGGTATAGAATGGATTCCGAATCGCAATTCAGGAACACAGTACCTTTGCATCTCGATGCTCCGACAACAAATTGCCAGACCTCCGCCTGGTGTGAACACCACTAGTGCTTTCAGACCAGGCGAATCGCACAAGGACACCTTTGAGCTATGGGCTTTTGATATTCCACCTACCAATGGCCCTAACACGCCTGTACTAAGGCCAGAGCCTCGCCTAGCTATGACTATATGCACAGACTGGGGATATCTGAAGGAATTCAAATGGTGTCCATGCCTGAAGCATAAGAGTCGAAAATCTCAAGACGACCCCAAAACTACAAAATTTGGCCTCCTAGCCGGGATATGGAGCGATGGCGCTTTACGTGTGCTTGATTTAAGCTCTTGTGTGGAAGCCGCAGAGCCGCAGTACCTGCATATATCTAGAGCAGCATTCGAGGTCCGCATACCTGGGAGCGTGTGTACATCTCTCACCTGGCTCTCTAGCAATGTCATCGCTGCAAGTGGTGCAGACGGTACTGTCTCTATCTGGGACATCAGCCAGGTCTTGCGCTGTGAAGCTCCGCAAACGCCAAAGCCATTCTTCTACGAACTCATTCACGACACGTACATACTATCCATCTCGAGTGCTTATCCATCCCATCCGCACCTCGTGACAACAACCTCGATGGATGGTTTCTTCTACCTGTTTGATATTCGGTCGCCGAAAATAGATAAATCTTGGCCACCGCGGAGTCGCATTGGACCTCCCACAACAGTCTGGTCAGACCACTGCCAAGGTTGGCTATCACCAGACGACCACTGTCTTGTGAAATTATTCTCCATGCGGCGCGTCTTCTCATACGTCGCTGTTGGGAGAGGAGATGGAATAGTTGGCTGCTTGGCTACAAGTCCGGTACATTTGAGCGCTTTGATGGGTACCCACAGTGGGCATGTTCATGTTACAAATCCAGAGAGGAAAATATTCGACTCGAGGACTTTGGCTTGGCAGCAGACATGGTTTCTGCATGAGTGGAAGTCAGCTCAGTGCAATGAGGACGAGTCAGACGCGACAATGGCCGATGACGATGATTTTGCAAACGGTCCATTACATCATAAGCCAGATTCGAAAGAAGTTCGATCAAAGCCTCTAGTACGTATCACGGAGGGATATAATCCTGTGGAGGTTCAGATGAACGGAGTGGAAGCGACAGCAGATGGAGATGATTTCGATGCATCATTCACTATACATGAGGAGCAGACAGCGATCACTAGTACATCATGGAACCCAAATCTTAATTATGGAGGATGGGCAGCGGCGGGAATGGGATCAGGGTTAGTACGAGTGGAAGATATCTCCATATAAAGCAAAGAGAGAAGGAAGATGAGCGTCCGGAAGAATCCGTATGTGGGACCCGAGCAAACGGGATCGGTCCGAACTAAATTAGTGAGGCAGATGAAGCAATCAAACAAACGCCATTGCTCGTGGATTCACAGTATCATGTACACAGTCGAATGAAATATGATGAGGCAGCAGAAGCTGAATCAGAGCTAGTGGTGCTCCAAAGCGTCATGGTGAAGTTGATCTCTCAAACCCACTTTGGATACAGGGCAAGGATCGGATAAGAAGCCACAAAAGCATTTTCCAAACAGCAAATCGAGGTCTCGAACGAATAAATGGAGCAGAAACGTAGTCAAACCGTCAAGTAGGAAAAAACAAAGCTAAGCCGGCAGTTCTTTCAATCATCCGTAGCATATCCTGTTCCACGCTGAAACGACGGGTGTGGGACAGGTTGTCTGAATGAGCATAGTACAGAATGTCAGGCAAGGATTCGTCTCTCCAAGGCCGGGGCCAGATGATGAAGGCGAACTAGAGCAATGCAGCGATATTGGGTGATGAGTGACTACCTTGTAGATGCATGAAAGATTAGGCAGAGTCAAGCAGACGAACAAGATTCAGCCAGGGGAGTGATCAAGACTTCATCATCTATATCGCGATAGCAACCAACGGATGACTCCTCACTCTGATATGAATTTGCAGTCGAGTGATGCCAACAGTGTATGCTGATCATGTCAATTTGCTCTGTACCGCGAGACGGATCTGCTCGGTAGGGGGACAGCGATAATCACTGAGTATTTAGTGTGATGTTCTGGGTACGTTATATCCATATTAAACTTGGTCAATACTAGCCTTTTTCAGTTCTAGCCGAAGCTATGTAATTGGTATAGCAGAAATAATAGTCTAGCATAGTGTATTATTATTAATTCCATTGTTATCATACACGTGAGTCGAGCCAGATAGATATGTCCTTGCTGAAGACAAAGGCTCAGGTTGAGGATCCAGTATATGTATGTATAATTGTATAGTGTAGACGGAGTACCCACTGCAGTCCGACATGAACACTACTAATTAATCGCCCAGAAACTTGGACATCCGACGTAATGACACACTTCCACCCCCTACGACATCGTCGTCAACACCACAACTATTAATGCTCGGTGGAACGACTCGACGGAGAGGGATGCCGAGTGGGGCCGGGCGTGGACGGTTGATCGAAAGAGGCTAGTGTCTTGATGAAGCATAACTTGGCGTCCAATCAGATCCCTGCTGGACCAGAGCCGAGAGGAAAGCGCGACCAGGGACCCCCAAACACCAGGCCGGATACCCAGACTACTTACCCAGCGAGGGTGAAAAGGTGCCTGAAAGCGTAAAAAGATGCCTGAGTCAAGTCACCTTGACGCTCTCCGCACTGTTATCCTCCCCAAGAAATCCCCCCAAAGCCAGCCAGCCAAACCCGCCAAACCCGCCAACCCGTCAAACCCGCTAATAACTGCTCGTTCTCTTCCTCCGCTTTCTCCTATCGTACATACTCAATCCCTTCCTCCGACGACCCTCAATCACTGCAAGTCCATCCTTCGGATAAGATCGCTGTTCTATCGTCTTCGTGGCCAACGAACTGAACGACTGAATCTCGCCATTTCGCTGCCCTTCCGCCAGGAGACGGCCCTCGCCGGGGCCTGAGGAGGTCACAATGGACCGACCCACGTCGCGCGATGACCAACCCCATTCGCCTGCCTCTACTCATACGAACGTTTTCGATGACGAATTCGAAGCTGGAACGCCCGCTGATGATACACGTTCAATTGTTGCAGATGGCTTCAGGCCGCAGGTCACATCTGAGGAGTCGACGACCTCTACCGCGAATGACGACGTGCCGGCTGAACACGACCAAGTATTCGCCAAACACACTTCGACACAAGACACCCCTCAACTCCCTCCGATACGAAATAGTATAGCGAAAGGGGCGATTTCTATGGATGGTCCGCTACATCGATCGAATGATTCAGATGGGCAGTCGGCATACGCCTCTCAGGCTCTAATGCATCGTGCCTCTGTGGCATCGACAAATTCCTTTGTCACAAACGGACGCTCCTCAACGCCAATGGCAGGTCCAAGTCACCCCTATGCCATGTATCCTCAAGGGACCGGTCCTGTTCGTTCTCCTAGCAACGCAACGTCCACAGTCACGCGACAACCTCAACGCTCATACTCTGGACAACGGCCCACGCATCCTTATACTATGTATCCACAAAACTTGTTTGAGGGCGAGGAGCCGACTAGCCATACGTATAACCAGCAACAAATACCGGTCGGCTTTCCAGGACACGGGAATGGCTACACGCGGCAGATTGGACCAGACGGAGAAGAACAAGACATCATAGGCCCGGATGGTCACACTGAACAGCTGCCTCCTTACTCCAAATATCCGGAAGATTCCCCAAAAGGCTTCGCTAGCCCTACCCCAGCTGTGACCACTACACCAGTTAGCCCTCCGGCACAACCACATCGCACTCCAAGTCCAGTAGATCCGCCACTGCCGCTTGACATTCTTGCAGCAGCAGCAACGGACAATGTATCTATGGTGGACAGATCACCTGCGGCACAAAATGCTCGCGCATCTGTACAAAGCGCGACCCATTCCGCAATGTCGTCATCACCTAGTTCGGAACAATCAGGACATAAGAAATGGACTCATAAAACCTGGACCGAGAGGAGGAAAACGAGAGTGTGCGGCCGGATACCGCTATGGCTTTTGATCTTGATGGCTGGCCTCATAATCATATTCGCCATCATTCTTGGTGCTGCTATAGGGTCAATTTTTACAAAGGCAAAGAAGGCTGAAGAAGAGGCTGATCATGCGCTGTAAGTAATCAACATTCGTGTCACACAACACGCTTGCTAACCTCTTGTAGGCAGGTCACTGTTACGGAAGTTGCTACCCTATACGACGCATCAATCATCCCAACGCCTTCCGACATGCTACCTTTACCTACTGGCTCTTTTTCGGTACAGATGGGTCAGCCGCAGGACCGAAATCCTGGATGCTTGCCTCAGGTAGACCAGCAATACGCATGGTCCTGTGATTTCCGTGGTCCACAAGACCTTCAGCTTGGTGTCCGAAGTAATCCCTCTGTGGCCAGCGGCCTGAGTATGGGAGAACTCATCCCACCAAACGTATCAACAGCTACCACTCCCGCCTACCAGTATGGTATGCAACCACCTAACGTAGACTGGCGGACCATGGATCTGGTCATTGATCATGATCAGCCTTCTTGGGGTCCGGCCTTTCACTTCCAAGCACAATACAATAAGCTCGTCATTCTGGAAGCGCATAGTTTCCCGGCTGGCATCCACGCTCGAAAACGTGATGATCATACGGGACGTCTGCAAGACGGTCAAGGTCTTCCTCGTCACCAAATGGAGGTTGTGCAAGGTGACAGACCCTGGTTTTGCTGGTGGAACTCGACATTTCTGGAAGTATATCTCTACGCCAACCAGTACTCCTTTGCAGGTAACAAATCCATGAATGGAGCGTCTCAGACAATTACGCTTCCATTGAGCACACCTACACCAACTTTGCCCACGCCTGTAACTTCCCGGCAGCAGGCTAAGCGAGAGCCATATTCTGCTGCTCCGACCTCGCCGTCACCAACTTATAGACGTGATGACTATAGAGACTCTTCCAGCCAGCCAGCGTTCCCTCGCATTGTGAAAGTAGAGGAGCGGCGCATTCCGGGCTCACCACCTCCTGTCTGCACGCAGATGGTGAAACTGGAAGACGGAACGATCGTGCCCGCGAACCAAGACTATGAACCTATCATTGTCAACCTTAACGAGGACGATCCTTCGATGGCAGATTTTGCAGCTTCTCATACTGGCGACATCAGCCGCAGAAGCATTCTTGGTAGTCGAGGGGATCCAGCCGACGGCTGCCATTGCCAATGGGTTGTGACATGACACGGCCCCTTTTAAATGCAGCTCTAGAACACTTGTATCATCGACCGGCGTTTTATTTTCCTCTAGGCTGGCTTTGATAGGCTACAGCACTTCATGACTTGAGCGATATAAGCCTGTAGCATTCACGGCGTTTCATACGACATATTCTGGGATATTTTTAGTCCCGAAAGATCCGATACTGTCCCGGACAGCGAGACATTTTCGACCCACTCTTCTCTATGCGAGCAGGAACTATTCGGCCCTACATTCGCGCTATATCTGCGACATAATTGTCGACGTTTAGCCGACATTTCTCGGGATTCATAAATCATCTGAGTCTCGTTGCCAAGAACTGGCTATTTCCTATGTTCTCTTGGCCGGCACCATACCTGCAGGCATCTCGCAAAATCTGCCTGATTAGGTAACAGGAGATGATAGATGATGTAAGCGTATCAACGGCACCAGATATCCTAGCTTTCTAGATTTTTTTCTTTCTTTCATACTTGGATTTATATATTTTGTGTACATCGATTTCTGGAGTGGAGTTGAGCGGAGTGGAGTCAAGAGGCATGGAAAGTTTGAATGGTTTATAGCATTCCATTGGCGGCGACTTGGGAGCTCGTCTGATCAGCAGACATAGAGCTGCTTACGGTGAGGTGACATCATAAAAGAGATAGGTAGATGATGTATCTTCCACACGAACGGTTTTGTCCATACAAGAGGTAGAGAAAGACGGGAGACCAGAGGAGCATGCCCTCGACTAGCTAAAATTAAGCATTATTCATCATGCTCACTTAGTATCTGTGTGTGTTTTTGTAAAAGATGCCGTGCAATGTCAGTCATGCCATGAGATATTATTACATGTATAGATAGATATATGTATCTGTACACTACTACAACGCCGTTGCATGAATGGGGCGCATATACATACTCTAATTACTCTCGATTACCTCCGCCAACGTGTATGCTCACTCTACCATCTCCACCACGACCACCACTAACATCGCTTACATCGCTCACATTGCTCACATCGCTCATACACAACGACCACCCAGTCTCGAATCCCAATCTTACAATTCGCAATTCCTTACAAAATCCTGCTATCCAGCTTGCTCAGATGCAGAATGGTGAACAAGCGCTTCCTTATTCCGTCTCGCCGATCGTACACTTCCTCTCATTCGAAAAAGACATATCCAGTCATCCCATGCACGGCGCATCGATTGTCTGAGGGTTAATTGTGCGGATTAGGTTCGATCACCCGTGCGTTGTCCTAAGGCTGACTACCTCCCACTTGGCCTGCTAGATGGGCTATGTGGACTCTCTTGGCTCTGCCTGACGTACGTACGTGCGTTTGTACGTACACAGATACATCGTGACTTTCACTTTTTCTCTACAGATACCACACATTTGTCCGTCCATGTCGTGTGTTCGCACGCAGGTGGAGGTATGCATGTCTGTCTGTCTGTATGTGCGCATGCATTCCACGGTGGGTGCGTTATTGGCGATGTACCAGTTCGATGGATGGTCTTTGTGAACTGGAGAGGGAGGGAGGGTAATATAAAGAGTTGGCTCGGCGATGAACAGACTACGCGTATAGTGGTGGATTGACGCATTTATGAGTCCCACGTGAGACTGTGTTGGGACAGATGAATTCCGGGGGAAAGGGGAGGGGGGAGGTTTCGTTTATTTTTACATGTGGAGAGGGGGAGAGGGAGAGGATAGAGAGACTAGGCGATATGCGCGCGGCGGGCGTGTGGGCGATGGATGCGGATTGTGATGAAAATGAGGCTCAGGGGCTGGGGCGGAGTATTATTGACGGGTCGACGACGACCAAGTTGACTGCGTATAGGTCTTGTGGCGGTTGTAACCAGACATCCGTGACGCGACTTCTGGGTTCTGCTGCCTTCACTTCGTTGAGATGGCAGACATCCATTTCTGTTCGTCCTTCCTGTGAGTTTAGTTAGTCTGAGAGTGTCAAGGTGGTGTGTATCTGCTGTGATCGCACGCACCTGTCAAAATGCAGCAGCATGCCCAACACCGGCAGTAGCTGCATCTGATACTTCTTGTCTCTCTGCTCGAGAAACTGCAACAGGACGTTCTTGAGATAGACAAAGTCTATCTCTGCCTTACTCTCCTTGCCCTCCATCATCGGCGTACGGGCCTTGCCTGCCGGACTTGTGACACGCGACGAGTCCAGCGATGTTCGCGAAGACGGTGTGTCCGCGTTTCTGGCCGATCCCACTTTCAAGCTCTTCAGTTCATCCGCCATCGTTTTGCTCGACTTTGTGACTTTGTCCAATCGTGCTTGGGTATCGTCCAAGGTGCGCCTCAAGTCACTTTTCTCCTTGTCCAGCTCGCGAGTCTGCTTCTCGCCCTCATCCAGCGCGTCTCTGAGCTGTGCCATGGCTTGACGCACTTCGGCCACCTCCTCACTTGCGCGTGCTGCTCTGGTCTCTAGCTCTCCGTTCTGTCGACGCAGCACCCGCTCCGTCGCCTCCAAGTCATCCCGTGCCTCGACAGCTCGCGCCAGCGCCTTTTCAGCATCGCGTGCCTTTTGTTTCAGTTCCTCTGTCTCGCGGCCGCGTCGTCTTGTCAATGTGTTAGTCTGCTCCTCCGCGCGCTCGCGCTCTTCCACGGCGATGTCCAAGCGTTCCTGCATGTCCTTGACACGTGCGTCGGCCCGGCCTTGAGCTTCAGCGAGAAGACGCCGCATAGTCTCGCCTTCGCGAGAGCGTTCGGAAAGCAAGCGATGTGCGTCAGCAAGTTCCTCCTCGAGGGAGTCGCAGCGGCCGCGGATCTCTTTCATCTGGGTGGACATCTCTTGGGTCTGATCTTGCATGGAGTTCATAAGGGATTGGGCAGAGGCGTATTGGGCGCTTTTGAGTGAGATGTCTTCACGAAGGCTAGAAGAGTCTGCCTCTAATTGATTGACCTGTTTTTCGAGTTCACTGAGCTTCTTCCTCGTGGTTTTGAGCTCCTCTTGAGACTTCATGAGGTCTTTCGTGAGCTTCTCTTTTGACTCTATTGCGTCAGCTCGCTCGCTCTCGGAGCGTTGTATGTCGCGTTGCGCTTTGCGGTTGGTCTCCTCAAGGCTTATTCTCTGGCTTGTTTCTTGCTTGATCTTGTTGTTGAGTGCCTTGATATCAGAGTCCTTGTCGGTTACCTGCGACTTGAGCGAAGTTACTTCTGATTTAAGATCTTTCTCCCGCGCTTCTAGCCGTCTGACTTCGGCGGCTTTTGAACTTAGCTCATCTTTAGTACTCTTGAGTTCCGAGACTTCTTTGCGCAGCGAGACTAGCTCGGGCTGGGCCTTTTGCAGGACCTCACGCATGTCAGACAGGTCCTTGAATCGAGTAGCGGCAAGTTGCTGAGCCGCAGAAAGGTCCGTTTGCAATGTGTCTGCCCTCTTTTTAAGGTCCTCGAAATCTCTGGCCAGAGTATCATGTTTTTGAGTAGAGCTGGTTTGATTAGAAGCATGACTACGCAACTCTGTAATCTCAGTCTCTAGTTCAGCAACGCGTGCCTTGAGAGCGTTCTTTTGAGCCTCGATTTCCTTGATCTTCTCTTTGGCATCAACATGATCCCCACCGACATTAACGAGATCGTCACGGAGCGATTCAATTTCCTCCTTCAAGTCATCCTGGTCCTTTAGATTCCTTTGAAGCTTTTCTATTGCAGTCTCTCTCTCGGTGAGCTGCACCTCGAGAGACTTGATCAAAGAGACCTTCTCTTCCAAATCAGCTTTTACCTGTGTGAGATCTTTTTCCACTTTCTCCAGATTCCCAGAGGAGGAAGCTCCAGTTGCAGCGGTCGTCCCATTAGCTTCAGTAATAACAACCGACTCAGCTGCTTTGTTGCCTTTCTTCTTTTTCTTGTTCTTCTTCTTTGAGGCAGCTGATGCTGGTGCTATACTAGGCACTGGTTCTGGCTCTTCCTTGTCTTCTTCACTCTGTTCCTTACGTATAGACTCTAAATCGTTTCGGGCTTTGTCTCTCTCTTTCTCCGTAATAGATAATTGAGCTCGTAGACTTTGCATGAGGCCATTCGTGGTGTCTAGTCGTTTCTCGTTCTTGGCTGCAGCCTCGCGGAGCCCGGCAAGTTCCTGCTCTAGGAGTTCGTTTTGCTTGAGCAGCTTTTCATCCCTTTCTTTCGAAAGATCAGAGTAGTCGGTGTTCGCAGAAGCTCTTTCCAGATTGTTTGTCAATGTCTCCTTTTCAGATTCAAGGCTTGCTATGCGCTCCTCATGTTCTGAATTTGCGACTTTTTGAGCTACCTCAGCTTTCTGTAGTTGGTCTTTTAGACTAGCGGCTTCAGTCTCCAGTGTCTCTACACGTTCTGAAAGTTCCTTTTCAGCGCGCTGCTTGAGATCTCGGAGAGACTGTAGATCGATAGTTGAGGATTCCAAATTTTGCATAAGGCGTTCTGCCGACTCTTTGGTGCTTCCAAGGTCAGTCTTCAGGGCCGCATTCTCCTTCTCGAGATGCTCAACTTTCTTTGCCTTCGTTTGCAGTTCTAACTGAAGCCTTGGTAACTCATCCTCGTACGAAAAGAGATCCTTGGATTCGGGTTCTTCGCCTTCCTTGGACGAATCGACAGCTTTAGGCTCTGCCTCACCTTTTTCGGCCTTCAAAGCTTCTATCTCTAATTTCAACGCAATTGATGACTCTCGTGCTTCCTTGGCAGACTTCTCGGATTCTTCGTGTTTATTTTTGAAGTCGTCTCGCTCCGTCGACACTCGCTTGAGTTCTTGCAATACCATATCACCTTTAGTATTCAGCTGATTCAGGTATTCCACGAGCGCAGTAGGATCGCTAATGGAGCTCAGGGGGGTATTTTCTCGCAGGGAAGCTTCGAATGGCTCGATAGCGGAGACACGAGCATGCGCGATTCGATACGATCGAAGTAGTTCTACTTGTATCAGTCGACCGTCGACACAGTGCCAACATAGTAGACATACCGCCATATTTGGACTCTAGTTTCTCCAACTTCCGCAGCTTTACGCGAACCTCAGTCGGAAGTTCCACTGGTTTCGGCCCCTCATCTACGCCAGCTCCGTCGCTCTTATCCCCTTTGTCAGGTTTGTCGCCATCTTGAGAGCCTTGTGCCGGACTATCGGACGATCCTTTGTCCTTCGCAGACAAGGGGGTCCCAGTACGGCTCAGTTCATCTTCATCGCCTACAACAAAGTCGGGATCGAACTCTGAGGGATCAGGGCCTTTTCCAGCTGGGGCGCTCTTTGAGGTGCTGTCTGACCGGGTCTGGCGTTTGGACGGAGAACCCGTGCGACCGGAGGAGCGCTTCGCTGTTGATGCGGCTCGCGAAGGGGCTGCTGGCTGAGTTCCTGAAGCGCGCTGACGAGCTTGCTCTTCAGCTATCCTAGTATCAAGCGCATCTTTCAAGCGCTAAAGTAATACATCAGTTACGTTGGGCTTGCTGTGTTTACAATAAATGATCGTACCTGAAACATGCTGGCGTATTAATTCAGGGACCTTAAAATCTATATATGGTTCTAATGGAACATGTTGCTTAAAAAGTGCGAAAGGGAAACCAAAGAACTGCTTGAGGACTGAGATCACGTATTCAAGGTCTCATGTAATAATTGTCATTATGGAGAGGACAACTTCGCCATTTGATACCAACGAACCGACTTGGAAGTCAGCGTAGCGTTGTGCACGGGCCAAGAATTTACCGGCCCGCTAAACTTTTCGACTATCAAGAAAATTCCTGATTAATCACTTTCCTGCTGTCCCTCACTGCACACCTGCACATACGGAAAAGATGGCAACGATCACGATTTCGCTCCCCCTACCGGTCCTACCAGAGGGCTGGACCGCAGAGAAAGACTTCAAAGCTGTTGGCGAAGTTTCCGCAGCAACAAACCGCAGCATCGAACCTGTTGGCCCTCACTTCCTTGCTCATGCGCGAAGAGTAAGTTTGCGTTGTATTGGTACTACGAACCAAAACTAAAACAACTCATAGAAGCGTCATCGACGCACGTTCTCCGAGGACGACCGTATCCAAGCCCAAGAAAATGTGAAAAGTGTTGAAGACCAAGATGCTGGAGAAATTAGTGAGCCTGAAGATCAAGTCATGTTGCAGCGTGAGGCAAAGGACTGGAAGGTAGGTTTCGTCTCTTTTCCATGACGCCGACTGTCAAAATCTTACCAATTCCTAGGGGCAAGACCACTATGCTGTGCTTGGGATCACGAAATACAGATGGAGAGCCACAGAGGATCAGATCAAGCGCGCCCATCGGAAGAAGGTCTTGAAGCACCACCCCGATAAGAAGGCTGCTGCTGGTGGTACTGAAGACGACCAATTCTTCAAGTGTATTCAGAAAGCCACCGAAGTTCTCTCTGACCCAGTCAGACGTCGCCAATATGATTCGGTCGATGAAGCTGCTGATGTCGAGCCCCCTACCAAGAAGCAAACCCAGAAGGGCAACTTTTATAAGCTTTGGGGACCCGTTTTTGCTGCCGAATCTCGTTTCTCCAAAATACAGCCCGTTCCTCAACTCGGCAACGATAAGAGTACAAAGGAAGAAGTCGATGAGTTTTACAATTTCTGGTACAACTTTGATAGCTGGAGATCGTTTGAGTATCTCGACGAGGATGTCCCAGACGACAATGAGAGTCGTGACCAGAGGCGTCACATGGAACGCAAGAACTTGAACGCAAGAAAGAAGAGAAAGACAGAAGATTCTGCTCGTCTGCGAAAGCTTGTGGACGATGCTCTAGCTCTTGATGAGCGTATCAAGAAGTTCAGACAAGAGGAGCACGCCCGCAAGAACAAAAAGCGTCTAGAACGCGAAGCCGAGCAAAAGAAGGCTGCTGAGGACGCTGCAAAGGCAAAGGAAGAGGAGGCAAAGAAGCAGGCCGAGAAAGATGCTGCTGAGAAAGCGGGTAAGGCAGATGCGAAGAAAGCCAAGGAGCAGGCGAAGAACGCAGTTAAAAAGAATAAGCGTGTCATTCGCGGTGCAGTGAAGGATGCCAACTACTTTGCGACCAGCGGAGATGCATCCGCAAGTCAAATTGATGGAGCTTTGAACGACGTTGATCTACTTATCTCCAAGCAGGACCCTGACGAGTTAGCTGCATGGACGGCCAAACTCGATGGTAAGAAGGATGCTGTCATCATCAAGCAGATCTTCGACGAGGAGGTGAAGACTCTCAAGGACGCCGGCAAGATCAAGGATGGCGAGCTGAAGACTTTGTGAGCATGTACTGACAAGGAGATTACTTGGTAGACTTTATGGTTATGTACACGTAACTCTCTCAACATTTGCCGTAGATAAAAAGCCAACAACCTTTGTTTTGTCAAACAGGTTCGTGAAGTCCTTTATACGCTGTATAAAGTCATAAACCAGATATTGTCGTAGTGTCTCTGTTGTATTTGCCCACACCAAATGCGCAAGTGTACTCGGTCAAGAAACTTCAACCACTAGTTACCTTAGAAGGTAGGAAGTGCACTCCAGCTTTCCCTGCTTGTATGCGCATATTCCGGTAGCCCTTCTCGTTTTTAATGTACATGAATCTTTCTTTTTTCAAGCCGCCAAATGATATGTCTAACACCTTCCAAACCTGAAGTCCACACCGTACCCAATACTTCATACACGACACCTCCGCATCCCCGCCAAACTCTCCGCAATTCTTGGCGCGCATGGATGACGAGAGCTCTGTGCTATCTTCCCTCCGCTGAGGTAGCTACAGTAGCAACATACATTGATCAAAGTCTTAAATATTTACGAGGTATATCGACTATAAACGATGCAACCGTCACCGTCACCATCGCCTACCTCGGCTGCCTCAAAGAAGGACAGCCCTTCCAGTGGGTCCTCATCAACAATCCGAGCTTCATCGAGACCAACAGCCCTCAAGTTCGCCGAACCCGTCGTGCAGAAACAGAATGTAGAGAGCCGAACTCCGAAGGTATCACTCCAATTCCAAGCCCACAGTAAATCGCGGCCATCGACTGGAAGTCCTAAGTCCTCCGTTGGTGAGAAGCGACGAATGTCGTCCCCACCGCCTCCGCCGTAAGTCCAACAACATCATGTTTCGCTCCATGCATGAACACGAGCCTGACTGTAGTGTACAAATGTTGGCCTCGGTCGTTTTGGACCCTAGACCATCATCGCGCACCAGCAATTCTCTCAGCTTTCAACATCTAGGATATACATATATGCATATAGGCTAATCCACTATAGTGTATTCCGCCCACGTGTCTCCTTCGATACCTTCGACAAGCCTGCCGATTTCATAGAAGAAAACTCGTTTACACTAGTTTCGAAACACAAAGACTATGCATACACGAAAAGGTCTAGAACATTTTTATGCGGCATCGACTCAAATGACTATTCTGAATATGCTTTGGAGTGGCTGATAGATGAGCTAGTTGACGACGGGGACGAAATTGTTTGTCTTCGGGTGGTCGATAAGGACGCGAGCATTGCCGATGAAAAGGCTATCGAGAAAGGTCGATATCAGGATGAGGCCAGGACGATGATGAAGCGAGTACAAGCAAAAAACCACGAGAGCAAAGCCATCAATGTGGTGCTAGAATTCGCTGTTGGGAAAGTGAACAAGGTCATTGATGAGATGGTAAGCATCCGCAAGGTTTAACAAGCAATATCTAACTCACCTAGATTAACCTATACGAGCCAGCAATACTAGTTGTGGGTACTCGTGGCCGTAGTCTGGCAGGTTTCCAGGGTCTCTTGCCTGGTTCTGTATCAAAGTACTGCCTACAACATTCTCCGGTTCCGGTCATAGTTGTCCGACCGAATTCCAAAAGAGCCAAAGCGAAACGTAAGCGTCACGACGACCCTACGCGCCGTGGTTATCGAGATATCCTCGATAAGAGTGGTCCAGAGGGAGGACATATGATCGACTTCGACGTTCAGAACCCAATATTCGACGAAAGCCAGCCAGCATCAGAGGATGAAGCAGCAGCCGTCGCTGAGGCCAACGCATACAAGGAGAGCCCAGAACGACATCCGCTCGCTCAACTTGTCACCCCAGCATCCTTGGCAAAAGTTGCTGCTGAGGCGGAAGCCGAAGCCGGAACGCCACCAGGAGCAAGTCGAATCATGAAGAGCCCGAGTCTGGGGACATTAGAGAGCCCTTTGTTGAGTTCAGAGGATAGTGAAGATGAAGATCAAGGTGGTGTAAGCATAGAAGCCCACCCCGAGAAGGTTGCACTCTCTGAGGACACAAGACCTGCCACAACCGCCGACTCCATACCGGAAGAGACTGAGCTACCTTCACGGCCCAAAGTGACGTTTGGAGAGCCCCCAGAAAAGAAATGAGGTGCAATCGCTTCCAAGCATATGTAACGATATTTTTATACCCCTTCGTTTTCTTAACGTCTGGCGCAGGTCGTTGGCGGACTCATTAGTGACTGGAGGCGGCTGTAGACTTTACAGAGGGCAATGGTTTACTGAATGACACTCATTCCGATAGAGCATCACATCTGCAATTGTTGTTATAGATCAAATTACGCACTTGCCGTTGATGAGGTGCAAGTATGGCGAAGCAGTGGCCAAGGACAGCGTTCTGATCTTGAATCATGAAGCCGTGCCCTGGATGCACCAGGTCAACAAGATCATTAAAATGGGTCTCGACTCGTAGGAATGATCGACAATCGTGCAGTAATTAGTCCGTGCGCTGGGAGAGCTGCTGCGGCACTGACGCAACAAGGATTCACGTTGGATTTATGGTGGTCCGTGCTCACGTAACCTGCTCGTCGCCTTGTGCCTCTCTATATTCAAGTATTCATTCCTCCCTCGCATGCACACTCATTTGTGCCCTTACCTATTCAATGTACTTAAATCACTCGTCTGATTCTCGTTCGGACTCAGTCACACAGACATTGCGGCCATGTTTGCCATGCTGCCTTTCTACAGTACATGCGATGAGTGCTCGCTCAAGACGTCAAGACAGAAGTTCATTAGTTTGACCTTCAAGTCCTTGCCGTTTCTCCTTACATTCTTAGTTGTCGCAATCGTCGTGTACACCAGATTATTTCCTCTTCTTGCAGGAAGAGACGAGCCGGTCAAAGAACGCCGTGACAGCCTGCCCACTCATTCGAAAAGCTTCGGCGAGAAATCCAGCCACTGGACGTCCCGCTTCTCCACATCCGCCAAACGTATAGCTGGAGTCACTTTCGCAACAAATATAGCATTATCTGCAGTCTTAATCGAACTCTTACTCTGCGAAATATCTGATGCCCTGAATCCAGCGGCACGCAGCCTTGCTCTGCGGGTTACAGTCCCCCTTCTACTATATCTCCTCATCCTAGTGACCCCGGCACTCGAATTCCATTCCATCATAAGCGCAGCGGGGTATGGCTTCGTCAATGCAAAGAAAGGCAATAGAAGGGTAGCATGGCTTCTTCAGCTTCTGGCCTTGACGGCATGGCTCGTAGGGTTTTGGTATCTGGGCAGAGGACTTCTTGGCTCATACTTGCATGAGAAGTCATATGTTCGCCAGCACAGCTTTAGCGAAGGATGTCTTGAAAGAATCGGCGTGATAGGGATAGCCCTTATGGCTTCCTTGGCTGGCTTTGCAGCTGTTTCATCGATATGGCAGTCATTTGGAATCAAGTCGAGGATTGTATGTCAGCTGACAGGTCTATTGTGGCCTTACTAAGATTTGACTTAGGTCACCGAGGCTGATATTGCACGGAAGCAAGCTGGACTTGAAGCGACGACGGAAATGCTAGATACGAAACAAAGCAGACTGCGCGCCCTGCAAAGAAAGGTAACCGAAGTCCCAAACACTGGAATTATGAATCGCGTCTTTACCACCATAAGCGGGAATCCAGAAGGTCAAGAGCGTAGCGCTTTGCATATGGAAGTCTCTGGATTGGAGACGATGCAAAGGTCTTTAAAACATTCGCTTGCGACCCTCAAAAATCGCAGACAAGAACAGCAACGGGCCAAGACTGCACTGGGCCGCTTTCTAAATCTCGTTCAATACATCTTCGCACTCTACTGTATGTATAGACTAGGCGCAACAACACTCGCGACCGTGCGAAGATTCCGGTCCCCAGACACAACATTCTCAAACTCCGACCCGGTCAACAACATCCTGGCTCTCCTCGCAAAGCACTGGGACCCGAAGCTAGATAGAGCAGCCTGGAGCCGTCAGATATCTTTTCTGCTCTCCGGAGTCATGCTACTTGCGAGCTTTAACGCGGTCCTTCAGACATTCCTGCTCTTCGCTAGATTTTTGCCGGGCGTATTGCAGCATGCACAGGCGAATCTTGCACTTATCGTTTCGCAGGTTGCTGCGACCTATGTGATCAGCTCGACTCTTCTTCTTCGCAGTAATCTACCAAGGGAGATGAGCACTGTGATATCTGATGCACTAGGGGCACCCCTAGAGCCGAAGTTCGTTGAGCGGTGGTTCGAAGGCTGGTTCCTGACCATCGCGGCCGCGACGGCACTTGGAATCTGGATCAGTAGAAAGATGAGGAGCGTTGAGTGGGACGATGACTATGGTGGCACGGATGTGGAGATGGGAAAGATGAATTAGTCTATGAGGGCTGGATTGCTGGCGTTTGAGGTTTAAGCTAAAAGAGAATTTACACAGAACCCTGCAGAAGGTGTGATCATCCGAATATTATTCAAAATGCAGTTGCGTTATGACTCCCCGTCTCTTATGGACGCACACTCGTTCGTGATTTCTTTGAGTAAACTATTGTCATTGCCAAAATGTTTCTACAACTCTTTACCCTTTTTGACTTAGCGCGCTTTGTATCGCATCTTAACAATGCGAAATCTCTGAATTCGGTGTACCGTCTTGAGCAACGAAGAACACAACAAGCGCTTGTCGAAGTGCCGCTCCTTCGCAGCAATGGCACATAGCTCTGTCAGATTATAAGACGATCATGGACCATCTCAAATCCTTCCTCAACTGGTCCAGGGGGCAGGGTCTTGTGTGGGACGGTATCGACTTCAAGAGCTATCCAGGCCGCGGCACAGGCGTGATCGCAACTCGAAACCTAAAGGTCTAGCAGGCCCTGTTAATACACTGCGCACGCTGACCTTTGGTTCAGAAAGGGGAAATAATCCTTACTGCGCCATTTCGTACATACCGTACATTGGACACCCTCTCACCACAAGTATCAGACGCTCTCTCTGACCTTACACTTCATGCTCGTCTAGCCGCAGATCTATCTCTCGACAACACGCCCGGCTTCAAGCTATGGACAGATATGCTTCCTTCCGTCGCAGATCTTGAAGCCTCGTACCCATTCTTCTGGCCCAAGAATCTCCAGGAGCTGCTACCGGCGAAAGCTAAGCGCATATTACATAGCCAATTGCGACGATATGCGCAAGAATGGGCAGCTGTCTCGTGTGCATTTCCAGAACTAAATGAGCCTGATTTTCGGTACTATTGGATCATCGTCAACTCTCGCGCGTTCTATCTCATGACACCAAGCATGGAGAAACTGGATCCTGATGACCTGCTCACATTGGTCCCAGTGGCGGATCTGTTCAATCATGCGGATACTGGTGTCGAGACAACAATCGAGCCTGAGACATACAAGTATAGTACTGATCGTGAGTACGCACTAGGGGAGGAGATTGTGCTGTGCTACGCGGAGGAATCAAATGACTACCTCCTTACTGAGTATGGCTTCATACCAGACGTGAATAAATGGGACAGCGTATGTCTCGACGACATGATACTGCCGCTCTTGAATGAAGAGCAGAAGAAGGCCCTGGTTACGAGAGAGTACTATGGGAAGTACACCATCACTGCGACCACACTGGGGTGCTGGAGAACCCAAGTAGCGCTGCGACTTATATGCTGCACGAAACAGAACTGGGAGGAATTCGTTCGAGGCGTGCATGACGGAGGACTGTCGCAGTCGAAGGTGGATGAGTTGCTGGTATCGCTGTTGCGTGATTACCAAGTCACGGTCGATGAATCATTAAAACAGTGTACAAATCTCGTAGAGGATCAGCACGGACGGCGAGAGGTACTTGTCAGGAGGTGGCAGCAACTTCGGGAAATAGTTGCCGAGGTGTTGTCCAAATTTGACAAAAAGCTGGAGAACAGGTGACGGAAGTGTACAGAGAACAGTTACGCGATAATGAGTCCGTGTTATACCCATCTTCCGATAGCGATAGAAGCTTTGCCCTCATGACTTGGTGCTACACTTGTTCGGAACCGACTTCCCGTCGTCTCAACACTTTCAGGGGTTGGTGCTTAGGTATGCTTGGACTGATGGAAGAACTGGTGTAAGGACTGGCTGGGCACAGACATTGCTCGGAGCAGTGAATCTACCATCAATTCTAGAACGAGATATCTGCTTCTCGCCAAAGGATGTCATTTGAACAGCGTAAGGCGGAGGTAGGTCCACCGTCCCGATCCTGGATGGTATTGTACGGCTTTGTTTATCTACCAGTGTATCGAGGAATATGACTCTTAGCGTATGTGAAACTTGGCGGTTTCCCCTGCCTTTCACAGTGTTTACAATAAAAGTGATAGTACCAAGCCAGAACATTGAGAAAGCAAGGGAGCTAACCAGCCTATTGAGCGACCAAGCCGCACACAAACGTAACACTGCCAAGTGCCTTATGCTTGTTCTTGACTGTCCAAAAAAAACTTTCGTCTTTTCTCCTCTGTCCGTTGTCTTCGTCTCTTTGCAAGTCTCAAAGTCTTTCATCTCTTTTCCTGTCTATATACGAGATATCGTCACCTGTCACGGTCCGGAACATCTCACTCATCCAGCATGCCCAGGAATCCGAAAAATCTGACAATCGACACCTCCATCACGACACCGAACATCTCTGCAACCAACGACTCCAGCAGCCCCCTCAGCAGCGTCCCATCCAATCCTGTCTCCAGTCCTACAGAGATAGCACCTCCACCTGCTTTCAAACCCGCAATCAACAGGACAATCCTCCGCTCGAAATCCCAGCCCCCTACTACTACGACTGCTACTCAACCCCCTGCCCCTATGGCTCCTCGTAAGGGTACGGCAGATGCCAAGGCTAATGCAGGCTTGAAGCCAAAGCCAAGACAGAATGCAGCTGCAGCAGCTAAAGCCAAATCGGCTTCGCCCATCGAGGCTCATGTCCCTGAGAAATACAGGACGACTTCTCTGGCAGCACAAACACAAGCACAAGCACAACCCAGCACCGACGCCCCAGTAGGCCGAAAACTTGCGAAGGCTACAAAATCGGCACGCAAACGACCAGTCTACGACGACTCCAATGATGATGACGACGATGACGACGATGATGGCAATGGCGACAAGGAAGCCGAGCACGTCCGCGATAGCGACACGTCTAAATCGTCCCACACCAGAGACCTCAAAGCCGCGAGGAAAGGGAAGCAAAAGGTCATTGACAAAGACCCACCCAGATCTCCCTCCAAGTCTCCCTCCGCACCTCCTGAGAACATAGTCAAACGCAAGATCCCGCCAGGTAATCGTCTGCCGGGTAAAGGCAATGCCAAAGCCAGTTCAGGGAGGAGAGTACCTAGACGAATACCAAAGGATCATTTGGGTCGACTGATCAGAAACCCAAAGTTGATACCTAAAGCTACGGCGATGCTCAAGGCTGCGGCGGCAGCCTATAAAGCTGATAGAGAGGAGGAAGGCGAGGATAGTAGTGAAAGCTATCGCATAGATGAGGAGGATGATGAGCACCTGCCGTCCCAGGAGCATCACGATGACGAAAATCATGATAGGCGGCAGGACGAAGACTACATGGCAGAGGACGAGGGTGCTGAGGGCGGTGCTAGTCTCGAGAGAGACGAAGCAAATGAAAGCAACGAGGACCCCGATGATGGGCCTTTCCCGGGCAAGACTGGGAAATCTGCCAGCTCGAGCAATTTCAGGGGCACAGAGCCATCGTCCGGTAGCGAGAGCAGCAGCTCTCACATCTCTGCTCGCCCCCGCCCAGGAGAGCCACAAAAGCAGGTTCTCGGGCGCAAGAGAGGCAATGGAGCTGCTACCAAGGCGAGCGTCAGTGGACGAGGAAGACCTAGCAATGGTTGGAGAGGTGCTGCCCCTGGGGCACCTGACGATTCAGACCACTCGTCCAGCGACGGCTCTGGCAGGAATGCCAACATTCCTCGCCGTCGTAGCCCGGGACCATCGCCCCCTGAGAGAGCCAACGGCCAGTCTCGCGGTCAACACAGGCCGCAGCACGATGATCTTCGAGATGCCATCAGAGCGTTTGGCAGTTCTCCCGACGGGGACGAAGACGACTCCGAGGCCGACAATGGCCTAGACACCCCCTCCGACGCCCTCTCCACCACCGAGGACGACGACGACAACAACAACAACAACGACAACGACGCCCGCACCATCCCAGGCTGGCACAACGCCGAATACCTCCAATTCGACATCGACATGAACAAGCGCTACCTCACCCACATCGAGGGCCTACAAAACTCCTTCCTCCACGCCCAGAGCATGAACCAGAACCTCCTCAACAAGCTCAACCGCAGACGGCTCCGAGAGCGAGGCCTACACACCCGACACGCCGCCGCCTCCCTCAACGACGACAACGACGAGCACGCCCAGCAAGCCGCCGAGATCGCCAAACTGCGCAAGCAGAAGCGCGACCTGCTGCGGCGCAACCTGGAGCTGCGGAAGCGCGAGCGTGCGCTGCGGCCGCTGGCGCAGAACGCAAAGTTCTATGTTCGCGGGTACAGGCGCTACAAGAGTAGGTCTCTGCGGGAGTCGGGCGCGTCGTGGGTGGATTCGGACGGGGATATCTTTGGTGATGCGGATTTTCCGGGGAGTGAGGGGGTGGAGGAGGGAGAGGAGGCGGAGGTCGAGCCGGTTGCTCCGACCATGGCACGCTCGAAGAAGAGGGGCCGGGGAGAGGTGGAGGAGGATGAGGAGGTGGAGGGGGCTGGTGGGAGGAGACTGCCTCCGGCGAAGAAGACGAAGAGGGCAGGGGGGAGGAAGTGAGGGGGGATGCTGTCGGATGTATAAATTCCGGCGCAGGGTGCGCAAGATTGTCGTGTATCATACTGGGAGTATAGCACTGAGCGAGCTCTTCACACTTGAGGAGTCGTTGCTGTTTGACATAGCTTGACAATTGCATGTTCGTTTCTGTTTGATCTCCATTAAAAGCAGCACATAGTAGTGCTAAAAGCGACCATGACCGTTGAGCCACTATAATATTTCTCTAACAAACATAACTTGTAGTGGTTATACCTAACTTAAAAGCACCTATTCTATGATATAGTCAAGACTAAAGCAGATCTAATGGCTATACACGTAGATATAAGCTCTGTATAGCATAACTTGTTATAGTTATATCCCCTTCAAAAGCACTATTTTTCTAGCCCGGTCAAGAATAAAGCGGTTCTAGAAGCTATACACGTAGACATAAGCTCTACATAATATAACTTATTGTAGATATGCCTACTTTTAAAGCACTGTTTCTATAACATAGTTAGGAATAAAGCAAATTTAGTAGCTATACACTTGAACAGAAGCCCTATATAACTGTTACGGCTACGGCAGTAGCAACACATGTATAATTAATGTAGGCAGTAACCACTGACCGGGCGGTTGTATAAGTACAACCAACCGGTCACTTAGATAGAAATGTCATGCTTTATGACCAACTCAACTTGAACTGTCAATGAACTTGACAAAGTGGTAGCTGAAAGACAGCACCCACCAGTTCGTACATTTCCGATACTACTATATCACCTTAAACCTCTATACACTCTGACGCTTTCTAGGCCCCTTGAAAGCTATAAAACCCATATCCATTCCACCGATCCATAAATTCCCCCTTATAGGTACGCCCAACTACCTATACCCATCACACCACAAAGTGATTTCTCTAGACTTGGATAGTAGTATCATCTATACCCACCCAACCAACCCACGACTTCCCTCCCTTAGAAGTAAACCCAACTATCTATACCCAACCCACCACTCCGCAATTTCCCTAGGCTTATACCATAGTATTTACCTCACAAGCCTGTGTTCATCAGTCTTTATATACGTAGGTATACATGTTAAAATCATACCCAACCTACCGATCCACAAATCTTCTCTCTCTCTCTTTAGATTTTCAAAAAAACCTAGTACATACACACCTCTCCTTCTTCTCACAACAAGATACAAGATATCAAGGAAGAGAAGAAGCCCGCTCTAAATGCCAATCAAATAGAGAAGAAGATAAGATGGGAATCGTAAAGACATGTTTTGATAAAAATAAAAAAAAATTCATGGACCCGTTTTTCTTCCAAACACTAAACGGCGTTGTAATCGTCGTCTTTCTTCTTCTTCTTCTTCTTCTTCTTCCCAGCTATGTACACAAACCCCCCCAAACCCCCAAAACCAACCAACCAAATGCCTCTGCGTCAGGGCATATTTTGGGGGGTTATCTTTCTCCCCCCAAAGAGTCCTCCTCAAGCTCACTGCGGCAGACCCATCAAATGACCCGCCGCGGCCGCACACGGACTCAAGTCCAGCAGCAAGTCACCGGCCTTGATATCAATAGCCGCCGTCTGATTATCCTCAATACCAAACGACACAACCAGCACATCATCCCTGAACCCCTGATACTTCGACCCGGCATCCTTCCACGCAAACGAGCTAATATACAGCATCTCGGTACGATTGAACACCTCCGACCCCGGCTCCTTCATCGACACGGGGTTACCTCTATCCTTGTACCCGCCGCGGCCCGAGATCCAGAACGGCTTCGTGCTGAGGGCAAACAGGGCGAACGGGGCGGTCCGGCTGAAAAGCGCAATGTACGGCTCGTACACGGCGCTGAACATGCCGACGTATTTCTTGTGCTGGTATATCGTCATCGCAAAGGTATTCGCTTCGCTCGGGACACACTTGGGGTCAGCTCGGTCACACGTCGTGATCGCAAGGGAGTTTGTGCTCTGGTGGATCTTCTCGTGGGCTTCGGGCTCGAATTTCGGCATGTGCTGCTCTATGCATGCCGCGTCGGTTGCAGCCTGCGACGCCAGATCCTCGCCGACAGAGCCATCCGGGGAGAGCTTTGCAAAGGCGCGCTTGGGCGCGATATCGAAATGCACGTAGGTTTCGTTGTTCCAGTCGAAGAAGAAGAACCAGTTCTTCTCCACGGACGACCATGAGCCTGTAGGCCGCTGCAGTTCGACGGCGTTGCGGAAGGGTGTCTCATCGATGCCGCCGCCAAAATCGGTCAGCATGCGGAAATCCTGTGCCCACATTCCCAGGCAGGTGTGGACGGAGTTGGAGCCGAAAATGACATAGGGGATGTCTGGACCCCAGAAGACACGGGCGTCGTGCGGGCCGATGTTCAGAGCAAAGAAGGCGATAGGGCCTTCACAGTGTCCGCCGTTGGGGGTATTCGCGATAGGGAGGATTATGGGAGGTGATATACACTCGAGGACGTCGTTTTGGAACTTTGCGCTGCAGACTAGTTCGACGTAGAATACTGCCGTCGCAGGCGACCGCGGAGGGTGCAGGCGCTGAGCGACGACGATCCAGTGATCTTCGAGATATGGATGAGGTATAATGTTCGGATTTATGGCACGTTCGCCGTGGCCCCAGTTGATTGGGAAGTATGCACCATTCTTCGTCGACACAGACTTGACCACACGGTGTGTCCCTGATGCATCGTATAGCAGGTCTGGCTTGGCGAGATTGTTGTCTACTATATGTATCGAGGTATCTGTATCTGGGCCCGGGCTGTTCGGTGGAGAAGGGAAGTTTACGACAGGAGTGTTAGGCTTCAAGGCTGGATCGAGGTTGGGGTCAAGGTTCGGGTCGAGATTGGGATCAAGGTTTGGATCGAGTTTGCCAGGAATGGCAGCGCTTGGAGGCAGGTGAGGTTTCTGGGCATCTGCTTCATTGAGAGGTGTAGGATTCCATAGTTGGTCTGTAAATGTTTTATCGTAGCTCTTGAAAAGGACGACGCTGAGAATGAGGAGGACGGCGATGGCAGGGATGAGGCGTTTGGTGCTGCGGATGAACATGTCGACTCAGATGGCGTGAGAGTGTGGTCGCGTGTGGATATAGGATGGCCTCATGGCTGTGCCCGGCTCAGGCGTCGAAAGGCAGGAATTCTATGTAGAAGTTGCACACACGCGAAACGCTGACAATGGAGAATGCGAGTGATGTTGTGAAGTTCAACGCAGGATTGAGCTATTGTGAGAAAGAGGACTAGCGCCAGTAGTCGGAAAAGCTTCAGGGGAGAGAGAGAGGGAGAGGAAAAAGACGGCGGATGGAGACGAGGACAGACAGAAAGCGACAGCGACAGCGACAGCGACAGCGACAGCGATAGTGACGTGCACGGGCCAATATCGCTTTCCTCTCCTCATGGCAGAGGGAGAAGCTCTCGGCAGTCCAGACTTGAAATTCCTCCGGTCAGCCACCACCAGAAATGTAAAACGTCCTCGGCTGCGTCTGGCCAATGAATGAATATACATATAATGTTACTATCAACATATGAATGAACATGTACATATCCATAGCATTGATACGAGCCTGAGCCTGCCTGCAAGCCGGGCCAGGTAAGAAGTAATAATAGATTCAAACAATATATCTTGCAGTTGCAATTCAATATCGCCTCCAGCTCCCTCGCACGAGCTTATGTTCCCCCCCAAGAGTCTGCGATGCGCGAGCTGAGCCACGCATAGACTTGGCACGCTTGTTCTTCTTGATTGGATGTGAAACACCCGGGGATCTCCAGGTGGTCCCCCTGTCTACTGAAGCCCAGGGCCCCCCTCCTTGTATCGGAGATCAATGCTGTGGACTAGTGCCATCGGTCCCTTCAAAGTATCAAAATTCTTACCTGGTCGCCAAATTGCACGTGCAAATGTGCGATTTCACCATGCTGCTTGCACGCGCTCCTTCATGTCACGCCGTGTTCATGGTAGCGATCTGCATTGTAATGACAAGCATAACCGTGCATGTAGCCGTCCATCGTTCGGTGTGGCCGTTGGGCCGCTTGCCGCTGCCGACTACCGGCGAGTAAGCAAGCATGAACTGGTACCGGTAGACTGACCGAGCTATGGACATCGTGTTAGTGATACGGAGAATTAAGCTTGAGGATAACAATGTGTCATGTATGATGAATTACTAATATTGTACGCCAATGTATGCGATGTGTCTGGTTTATGCCGCAAACTGTCCTTTTTCTAGGCTCAATGGTGTACCCACACCCAGCCCCCTAGGTGTGCTAGACACTAACGGTGATGATGACGGTTGAAGTTTGCGCCAAAGGTTGCCAGCAGCCCGTACGCAAGGCTCATCAATGAGCTTCGTCATCACATCACCCAGCCACAGCGTGAGCGGTAGTGTGATGATGTTGACCAGCAGGAAGTTGGACTCTAGTCCGAGAGGTCCGATGTGCGGTATGGGAAATGCATTTGGCCATCCGGGAAACTCAGTCTCGTCCAGACCTTCTCTGACAAGTCCGACGGCAGAGTATAGTCGTCCACCGACGAGCCACAGTACAGGACCGTGGGCGAGGTAGAAGCAGTACGAGATGCGGCCCATGAATTGGCAGAAGCGCGATTCGAAGAATGCCTTGAGGAAGTGTATCCGTGGAATTACGGCGACGATAGGGACTGCGCCGAAGAAGAGGTAGAACCACTTGGGTGCGAAGACGGCCTGTGGTTTGAGGAATGACAGCCAGTACCAGCCCGGCGTCACTCTGATATCCTCAAGCTCATTGCTCTGCGAGGGAACACCAGCGAAAAACATGCCAATCATGAACAGACTGTACCAGATCATCTCTTGGTATGGCGCCAGATTGACAATCCATCGCGGTAGGTTACCCAGCTTGGCAAGCACGTCCAAATCCGCCAGAATCATGCCGGCGACAAAGTAAGCCACAAACCAGCCATCAACAATCCACATGAAGTACCAGAGTAAGGCGAGTTCGGCGTAGAGTCGGGCGTTGCGCGAGAATCGTGCGAAGGATAGACAGGCGAGGTAAACAACGAGCGAGCCTCGAAGTTCGCATGGTATCGTCCAGATGTGGTCGTTGAGGTAGAAGTAATCTTTCCCGCCCATGTTGAAGACGAATGAGTAGTTTTTGAGTTCCACATACCAATCCCAGACCTCACCCAGCCACGTCGTGTTCATCTGATGAGGTCCTTTCAGATCCGTCAGGTGGAGAAATGTTGCGTACAAGAACGTTACGATAGCGATTGGAACCCATAACCTGAACCATCTTCTGAATATGGCCGATGCCAAATTGTCACCGAGCTTGCCGTATTCCCCATTGTTTATCATCGTGAGTGGTTTGAGGGTAAGGACGTATCCTGAGATGACGAAAAAGCAGCCAACGGCAATGTGGCCACCAGTGAAAAAGTTGCGGATGAATGGCAGACAGGCAAAGTAGAAGTTGCCATGATGGCCGAAGCCATTTTCCAGGATGCGATCGGCGTGATTGAGCGCGCTGTGTGCCCAAAGTTCGTGGTGTAGGATGTAGACTAAGAATGCTGCAAAGCCTCTCAAACCGTCTAGATATGCAGTTTCTCGTAATTTGGTGTTTGAGCGTTCATTCTTCAAGCCTGCAAACGACGGTCGCGTCGCCTTCACGACTTGCCAGAACAGACTCTTTGCGCGCAATCGAGGAGAGGATGGAGGATCTGAGGCGGGCTTCCAGGTTTGAGGATGGTCTAAGAGACCTTCTTGAACGACAGGCATGATGGCAGCGAGTGTGGGCTGCTGGATGGCGGGTACGCCGGACTCGATGTCGATATCCTTGAAGAGTTCACCAATGTAGATGTCGGCAGACTTTGTTCGACGATCGGGAGGATTGCGCGGTGGCATGGGGTCGTCCACGATTAGAGACGATGACGGGGCGTGTCGAGCTCACGTTGGAGCAGCGACGATAGTTGAAAAAGAGAGTCTGGAGAGGTTGAAGCGCCGCTAGCAATGAAGCTACTGGCCGCGCACGACATCAACCAGTGGCTTGTTCGGGCTGGTGGACGGCGGACAAGGATGCAGGCGGGCACTGCCAGGGAATACGCGCTTGGCGATTCGATGACAGGAGATGTTGGTGCACGCGTCTCACTCTCGTTCCGAAGCTGTGAACAGGGAGGGAGACAGTGGCGTGAGACTGCTGCTACATTATTTACAATGATTACCGTCACCCTGGGCACACTGCGGCATCAAAAGTGGGAGCAAAGGAACCGATATATCCAGTAATATTAGGTCATGATGATTTTGCGCTTTAGCTAAGCTTATATTACCAACAGCACTTCCTGAAAAGTCTCAAGATCCTTATGCAAGATCAAGGCTAGTCCCATAATAGATGAAAGTTGTGATTATGGGGGAGACTTCGGTTGTTGATAACCGCTTATGTAGCCCTCGTAAAGTATCATCTGTGTAAAGAAAAGCTGTAAGACAAGCTGGATCTAGCTATCTCATAGGCTGGCACCCCCGCCCAAACGCAGTGACCAGCCGAGGCGAATACGGTGCGAGAAGATCAAGGCTCCGAGGTATTAGGAAGAGCCTAAGAGGTAAGGAGAAGAGGTGCGATTATGTAACGTGGTACATGTTTCTCAGTATACTTATACGCTACATAATTAGTACCCACGTACCTACTACAGTTTAGTACAGCAGAGTCGGATGCGGCAAGCTGCAGCGATGTCTGCACCTGGTGACATATTCAGACAGAGCTCTCTCTTTAGACTTCTCTTCTTGCAGCTTCCGGGCGCTTTAGGTTTCAATACGAGGAAACGAGTCGGGCAATTTGAGTGCACACTGCATCTCTAGTAGGTACAGTAGCTGTGGATGATTTGGCGGATAAGGCGGGAAAAAGTGGTGCCTTACCAGCGCTGTCTCTCATCGACGCCCCTCCGGGAGATAATTCATCAAATCGTTCGCACTTAGGAACGGGTTTCAAAAGCCCCTGTTCACTGTTACTTGTCACTAATCATTACGGTCACTAATTGATACTGACATTGGTTGGAAAGTCAAGACTCAGGAGAAGCTGGAGAGCGGCCCGTCGAGCGTTAGCCTTTTTGACTAACCCCCTGCCCCACGCCCCTCGCCGTCGCCGTCGCCGGTGCACACACACTCCTTTGATCAGAATCTGAAACTCATTCGTATTGAGCAGTGAGCACCAGGGTCTGTCCGTACTCTGGTCTCTCACATGTCTCTCCAGACCCTTCAGCTCGTCTCAAGCTTGACCAAGGATCAAACAATCGAGCATGGGCCTCGCTGATCACAGATGGAATGCCATCGTCTCCCCTTAATAACGACGATATGAAGGAGTTGAGAGAGATAGCTATCCGACTAGAAGCAGACCGTGGCCGCAGAATTTGCAGGTGCTAGAGCGGAAGGAGCGGCAACTGTGCATTAGCTCTGCGGCGGCATGAATCTATCTCAGCGGAAGAATAAGCTAAGGTTAGAAGGCATCACAATAACTATGACCTGGACCTGGCTAGGTATAGTAGTACATGGTAGATCTGGAGGCAATAATGATGATATCGTGGGCATTATGCATTAGGTGAGGTTAAGTCTGCTGGAGCCTGGGCTACACTCGATCTCGCGCGGTAGGTAATTAGCTTGCACTCTTCGGTCGAGTTTCAGCTTTCATCACGCTCTCCACCACTACCACTGTTGCTGAGTGCCGTTGTTCATTCTGGTCCGTTCAATCATCGAGGAGCTGTCTGTTAGCCATTTCCGGTGCCAGGTCTCAGAGTGTGTCGGTCTGCTGTAACGGCCATTCAAACCTACACATCCATCCACCACGAGGCATCCAGCAACACAAAAAACTGTGCGTGGAAGGTTCCGCCGAAATGGAGTGGCTTGGCAGCTCATTGTCGAAAGAAGCGTTAGGAGATAATCTCTGGCGCCTGGATCGCGAGATTGGACGTGCAGGTAGTGATGCAGGTCGGCCAGGGGGGCATGAGGGATAGGGGGCATTGGGCATAGCATGGGGCATAGTATGGAGCATGGAGCATGGAGCATGGGGCACGCCGGACTCACGACTACGCAACCCCCCAGACTGCCGGCGCGTCTATTGGCCGACAGCGATGGCTTTTCCCATGAGGCTGTCTGGTGCTGGTGCTCGCTCTGTAATTAGTTAATTAGTGTATGGGATGTCTGTAGTGATTTCTACGTGGCTGCAGCCAGTCTCTCCTCAACGGGATGATGGAGCGAAGGGCTTGCTGCATGGCATGTACATATGTCATGTCTGTCTTGAGCCAAGCCGAATGACATTTCACACAAGTCAATCAACCTTGAACAAGCAGCACGGGTGGCTGGCAGAGGCGCATGCTTCGTCATTTTCGCCATCCTCACTTTTTCTCACCTCGGCACTGCGACAAAAAGCGACATTGGCGTTACAAAGCTAAGACTTTTAGTCTCCTGGGGCTCCCTGCCATCTTCTCTACCACGCTTTCCCCCGCCAGCCTTCTCCATGACACTCACCGCCCCCCCCCCTCCCCCCCCTTCCATTCTCCTCCCCCTTGTCTTCTACGCCCGTACCTTTGGCGCAGTACAGCAAGCTGCACCCAGTAGTTCCAAACCTCCCCCATTCAGGTCCGTGCACAGCTCTTCTACACGCGCCCACAAATCACTTTCCGCCATCACCCAACTATCATCTAAATTACGACCTCTACTACTACTACTACTACTACTACTACTCTTCTTCTCCTCCTCGCTAATAACATATCTCTCCTAATTGCCCCCCAGTCCCTCGTTTCACATCCACCTACCATTGTCATCTCATCCATTGTTATCGCGCCCTGTCCCCCCGCTGTCGTCTACGTTCCTCAAATGTCGACGTGAGCCTCACCCTCACGAGTCCTACTGCTACCCTTTATGCGATCTCGACCACGCGGCTTGACCATAGACACAAAGATGCTGCTGAACTCGCCGACGGCGACAAAATTCGGTGGCGCCTTCCCCAAACAGATCCAACGTGCTTTACCTGTCGGCATCGCCGTCGTCGTCCTCTTCTTCATCCTCTCCTCCGCTGGCTTCCGTGGCGTCTCGCTAGAGAACTCGTTGGAGGAAAACTCCCACATCAGCAAAGGCTTTCCCCGCAAAATATGGCAGACATGGAAAGCTGACGCTCTCAACCTGGAAGAACGAGATCTGGGGCGCGCACGAACATGGACCACAAAAAACCCCAGCTATCGGTACGAGCTTCTTACTGACGACACCGACATGTACTATGTCGAGACTCACTTCGGCCCGGAAGGCTTCAATCGACCCGATATCGTGCACATGTACCGTTCCATTACTGCCAGAATCATCAAGGCCGATCTGTTGCGCTATCTCATCATGTACGCTGAAGGTGGTGTGTACACCGATATCGATGTCGAAGCTATCCGTCCACTCGAGCGATTCATCCCCGAACGATACAATGTCGAAGATGTTGATATGATTGTCGGTGTAGAAATTGACCAACCTGAGTTCCGCCAACATCCCATTCTCGGACAGAAATGCCAGTCGTTCTGCCAATGGACTTTTGTCTGCAAGCCGCGTCTGCCCGTCATGATGAAACTCGTCGAGCACATCATGAAGTGGCTCAACGAGCTGTCAAGGAAGCAGAACAAGTCGATTGGCGAACTTGAACTTGACTTTGACGAAGTCATCACAGGAACTGGGCCGTCTGCCTTCACAGATGCCATCATTGCTGAGATGACCAGAAAAGAGGGCAAGGTTGTTGGCTGGGATCAGTTTCACGGCATGTCCGAGTCAAAGCTCGTTGGAGGAGTTCTGGTTCTCACTGTGGAGGCTTTCGCTGCAGGCCAAGGTCACTCCGACTCGGGCAATCACGACTCTCGCTCTGCATTGGTGAAGCATCGATTCCATGCGTCAGGGTGGCCAACTACCCACCCTCGTTACTTGCATCCCGTCTACGGCGAGGTGGAGCACTGCAACTGGAACGCCGATTGCGTCAAAGCGTGGGATGAGGGCACAAAGAACTTTGAGAGCCTCCCTCAAGAAGAGAAGGACAAACTGATTGCTGAGAAGAAGATCAAAGATGAGGAGGATGAGAAGAAACGCATCAAGGAAGAAGAATTGAGCTACGCTGCAAACGCAGTCTTGGGCCTCATCGGTGCTGGGCAGGTTCCCTTGACACCGGACAGTGTTTCGAGCCCAGCAGATGCTCCCGCCCCCGAACAGGGACCGCCCGCAGCATTTCCACCAAGCGATCCACCAGCCGCATTTCCACCTCCTCAAGAACAGCCAGCGTTCCCGGCGCCTGACGCAAGCCATCAGGAAGCGAAACTACGGAAGATATAGTCGCACATTAGATGGGACTCTCGACGCATTTACAATTCCAGCGATTTCCAACGTTTTCTGACGGCTCTATGGTCTTTTATCATTTTGGTGGTTGGTGTTTCTGGTGTTGAGCGGAATTGGGTATATCCAGCCGGTTGGCTTGTTCACTATCTAGAGGGCGGTGCATTATCATAATAGACGTTGTATATACGAACACGATAGCATACGACATGCAGCAGCACAAATGACAAGGCACATATTCTAACGTGTTTACCTTTTTCAATGCGAGATATAGGTGTGTGTGTGCGGGTTGGGGAGGAGGAAGCTGACGTGTGTGCTTAGATTCTAGGTTATAACTTTTGTCCCTCCTTCCAAGTCTGTATGTATACCCCTTTTATCTAATACCTGACCTCCCATGATCATCTAAAATCTCTCAAAACTGAAATTCCGGAAACGAGTTGTATCAAAGCAATCTGAACCTCTCCCCAGACGTTCATGCATCATAAGCACGTTGGACAACCGCCAACGGATGTTCCAGATCCGCGATTGATCATTGTCCCGGCGCGTGTGTGTGTGTATGTGTGTATGTGTGTGTGTGGCCACGTGCTGCTTCACGCTCTACCTTGGCTCCTCCTGCCTGGTATCAGATCGGATGGTATATCTGCATGGGCACGCTATTTATCTGTCTATCCATCCATCCATCTAATCAAGTAATTCCTCTCCATAGAATAGATTAGAAGAGAATACTCCGGAGAATAATTACAGTTCACCTGGGGCGTAGGGAGGGGCAGGTGGTCACGCAAGGCAAGGTGGCGAGGCCTCGCTTGAGCCGCCGATTCAATGCTCGGAGTATTCATTAGTTGTCTCCGTGCGTGTGAATACTGCCGGTGTTCTAGGTCTCTTCTGGGTTTGCTAGGCAGGTTGTCTTGAGCACGTGGGATGTGTGATGTGTGATATGTGCTATGTATGTAGTTTGTGTGTAGTTTGTGTGCTATGTACCGCTATATAACAGCGGGGAGAAAAAGCATCGATGGTCTTCTTGCTTGCATGTATGTATGTATGCATATAGTGGGCTGGCTGTCATGTCAAAAGTGTCAAGTAACGGTCGGGCCGGACGCACGCACGCACGCACGCATTCATTCATGCACGCATGGACGTACGCGTGGTTGGAATCTTAGCTTTGGATTACGTGTACATACGTGGACATATGTATGTACTTGTGATTGAAGCTGGCGTGTTGGTCTGACGGATGGATGAATGTTTCTGGACTTTGGAGTGTTCTTTGTCCATGCATTCATTCATTGGTATTGTAGCTGCTACTTGTCTACTTGTCTACGTAGTCTATCCAGTCTGTCCAGTCCGTAGCTAGTCGCCCACTCACTCACCCACTCACTCACTCACGCACCCAAGTCAGGCGTTTCAAATTTACGAATAAAAATTTTCTCTTGGGGAGGTTGATAGAAGGAAAAAAAGAAGAAAAAAAGGCACCGAGATTTTCGGTGGACCCTTTTTTTCTAAAACTGACTGATTGATTGATTGATTGGTTGATTGAGGGCAGGGATCAGGGATATTGTGAGTGGTGCTTAGGGTGTTTCTGCTATTAGGGAGGTGAGATGAGATGGGGTTGAGATGGTTTGAGAGTGCTTGATATTAGGTGGATGGATGGATGGATGGGCTTGGACGTGACATGTGATGATGGATGTCGGTCTGGCTCCGATGTGCCTGCTGCGCCTCATATTACATGGAATACAAACTCGAAGCAAGCGTCCAAGGTACCCGTGCCGTCCGTCCACTGCGTCCTACAAGCTATCGTCGTCGCACCCGATCTAGATGCCTCAGGCCTCCTATAACACACCCACCCATAACCATATCCACATCTCATCCCGACAACCCGTCCCCATCAAGCCATGACTCTACGCGCCGTGGCACAACGCCACCACCATCCATCCACTAACCCACCTTCCCCAGAATCTAAACACGCCTCATGCATGCGTGCGTGCATGCATGCATATATTTCCTTTTTAGACAACTTAAGCTACGGTACAAGCATGTACAGTACATTATCACCGGAAAAACGCCCCCGAGAATGGAGAATGCCGAACATCTCCCCGATGCCCCCGATGGTGCAGTGTTATGCATGCAATGCCATGCCATGCCCTGCCATGTCATGCAGCCCTGGGTAGTGTGCATGCCATAGGTAGTGTGCATGCAATAAGTGTAGATTGCATTGCATTGTATGTGCATTTGCATGACTCGTGTGTTTGCTCCGGGTGCGGGGGGGGAATTCATGGCGGCGTTGTGTTTTTGTTTGTGAGTGTTATCGGCGGATTGACGAGCCTCGGTTCGGTGGCTATCCATGGGATATTGGCTGGACTGGAATGGGATGGAATGGGGTAGTACAGTATACACATATACATTTACACACAAGTATCCGCCGCACCTCACGAAGCCTCCTCGGAGCAGCAGTAGCAGTAACGACAACAAGTCCGAAACGCGGGGAATCACCTCAATCCATCCAACAATTCCACCCAATCAATCCATCCAGCTAATTAATCCATAATCCCCGCGACACAAACACACAAACACTAACATACACCCATCCGAGGTTTCCAAATTCCACCTCCCTCCCTCTCTCTCCCTCCCCCGAAAGTCCAGACTCCCATCACACTACCCACCCACCATTCATCCTCCCGCAATCCACACAACCACCACCACCACAACAGCAGTAATTAGCCCCAGGCCCAGCCCAGCCCAGTCTAGCCGCTGCATCGATCGATCGATAGATCTATAGCACAAGATGTAGTAACACCACATAGTATAGAAAGTTATTTATATCTCCCTCCTCTCCCTCCCGTCCATGTCCCCCCAACATACGTCATGCCGTCACGTGGCGAGCTGTGTCGGGAGGCTTTATTCTGGATTTTTTCGATGGCGCGGATGGGGTTTGCTCCGAGCGGGTGTTGGGTGGGTTGTTCTGGATTTGAGGTTGTGTTGAGGGTGCTAGGGAGAGGGAGAGGGAGGGGGAGGGGGAGGTATGTGATGTTTTGTGTTGTGCCGCGGTAGGGGGGGGTATTGGGTTTGAGAGAGAGAGGAGGTGGATGAGATGTATTGTAGGACGGACTGCTGTTTTCGTGATGTTATGTGGTGATTGGGTAGGGGGGGGGTTTGATATACTTCTTCTCCGGGTTCTTTTTTGTTTTCTGTTTTGTCCTCTTCTTTGTCCTATTCTATCTCTATATTCTTAAATCATATACCATCTATATAATATATGGAGTGTTCAATATGGTCTTCGATGCTTCGTGTAGTCTATGTAGTCATGTGTCTATATAGACTATGATGTTATGTAACCATGTAGAGGGTATAGTAATGTATGTATATGGACCATTTAGTCATGTTACTACATAGATTAATTATAGTGCTTGGGATTGAATACGTACCGCTTTTCGCTGGCTAAGTGCAGTTTCAATGAGTGTGAAATAGAACCTAGATATTACCGTATTTAGTTTCTCTTATACGCTAGTAGAGTATCATATACGGCGTCCTAGTAGTATTCTAGGGATAGCTTTAGTTTTAGCGCGGATTATACCTTATAGAAACTATATATGTTTAGAGGTTTGATGTGGTCTCCTATCAAACTCACTAGTTCTAAGATGGTATAGTATAGTATAAGTGTACATTACCATGAGTATCTAGTTTACCATGTATGTATATACACACACCTATACACATATAAGAAAACCCATAGCCTTTCGACCTACCTATCCCTACGTAACGTACGAAGCTTGTCTACATCTTTAGACCTTACGCGTGAGAGCTGCAATATGGTAGTATATAATAGGGTGTACTAGACTATATAGGCGAATTATGTACTTACTATATCTATATATCTATCTAGATTTAGATAGTTATAAATAGATAGATAGGTAGTATAGAAAGAAGTAGCGATTTTCGTCCCTTTTATAGAAGTATAATAGTAAGAACGTATTATAGAGTAGGCGCTTAATCTAGTATAGAGTATATACTTATATATCGTATAGTCTCTCTATCATCAAAGCTGTGATTTAATAACTACTAGTTTAGATAAAGTATATACGAAGATAGAAGCATAATCTTGACTCTACATGCTAGCGTGGTCTAGTAAGACTCTAAGCTTACGTTGTAAACCTAACATCCTCTGCACTTCCTGCTTAATCGTAATATCCTCCCACGATGCAATCCGCCACCGCAACACCCCCTGAGCTCTACCACGTATCCCTCAACCCATCCCGTCCCTCCACAATCATCTTCATCCACGGCCTAGGCTCCATGCACGCAGAATGGAAGGACGTCACCCCCCACCTCACCGCCTACCACATCCTCATACCCGACATAAACGGCCACGGCAAATCCTCCCATATAAGCCCCTACACCATCCCCGCCGCCGCAGACGCCGTCGCCCGACTGATCCGCACGCACGCACACGGCAGCACAGCACACGTCGTCGGCCTCTCAATGGGCGGCTTCATCACCCTCGACCTCACTCGCCGATATCCCGAGCTCGTCCAGAGCGCGTTCATCTCGGGCGCCGCACCCCCCGAAGGCCCGCGCAGGTTCTTCTTTGCCCGTCCGCGCATCACCTGGGCGCTCGACGCTCTGCAGCTCGCCCTGCCGGAGGCGGTGTACCGGTGGTCGGCGCGGAAACAGGGGCTGCTCCCGCACGAGGAGCTGTATGCGCATGCGCAGGCGAATCGGCGGTGGGAGGTGTGGCGGGATGTGTTTCTGAGTATCTGCGATGATGTGACGTGGGATGATGTGCGGGCGGTCCGTGTGCGGACGCTGCTTGTTGCGGGCGGGAAGATGGATGATGTTGCTGGGATTAGGAGAGTGGGCCGGGCGTTGAGGGAGGCTGGGGCTGGGGAGAGTGGTGCGTATGTGGTTGAGAAGGCTGGGCATGCGTGGGATTTGCAGTTTCCGGATCTGTTTGCGCAGGCGGTGGGTTCTTGGATTGAGGGCAGGATGTTGCCAGAGGAATTCGAGGCATTGTGATGCAGAATCAGTTGTGATGCGAGACTGGGCGAAAGCAGCTATAACGTAGATCTATACTACAATGCGAAAGCGTCTCACTACATACATTGCGAAAACAAGCGCTGTATCCTTGTACCTTCCTTCGACCAGGCGATACCGCTTCGATCGTCCGGAATGATGGGTCGGCTGTAGAGACTGAGGTGGAAGAAAGATCACCAACGAAATGATCAGAGCCACTGACAGTATCGTTGGAAAATCCAGGTACACGAGCGGTTTCTTTCGTTGCGAATTGAATCCCTCCAGCAGTTTGCGCTACAGCAACTGCACCGGCAAGTGTGAGTCCCGTCGCTGCCCACAAGCACAATATGGTCCACTTTCTGTATCTTTCCGTTCGCTGGGGTGATGCGTTTGGACCTTTGCGAATATCCAATTTCAGGAGTGCCAACGATAGGAGTCCCAGAGAGAAGAGAACCCCAGAAGCGGCGAGTAAGGGAGGAAAGATGTGACCCTGGAGTACCATAGCACATTGAACGAATTATTCTGCATCATCTGGTAATTCGGCGGAATATTGTCGAAACTTTGACGTCAACGCAGATGCTGTTGTGCTCTGTGATGAGAGGCATATCAAGTTTGAAGAGACACCACCGCATAGTCCTACCCACCGTTAATAGCCAGAGTAATTTTGAGACCGGAAACAGACATGACCGACCAAATTGGCCATCTCTCAATTCTGGGAAGCTAGTCGAATTCGTGCCTGGCACGCTGAACTTGACAAGAAAAATGTGCTGTAAACCAGGTAAACATCCCGCCAGGGTGATAGCTTCGTCTCGTTAGCATATATAGTTTTGCATTAACATTGTGAAGCTAAATGGAAGTATTGTAATCGGAATGATATTGGCATGGGTGAAGGAGCGCCATTTCACATTCTCTGGTGCTTATCAGTCCTGGATTCCTATTGTGTACTCCGGAATCACACACTCCACTTTTCGGCCCATGCCATATTTATTTCCTAGTTAAATTTCAAGGAATGGAGGCAAAGAACAACTGAGAGTGACTGGCTGAATGAAGCTTCAACTAGGCTGCGTCTTTTTGAAGGGGCTGCAGATGTCCTAGCCGAGAAGAATAGTAAGCACAAGAGAGTTACTTGTTTTAGGGATAATTGAGTAGGTGATGAGTCCACCGAGTGAGCGTCTACTGCAGATTTATAGCAATTCCACAGCCGAATCACATGCAATATTCCAACAACTTAATGTCTACTTCCAAAAGTTTCTGTATCCCCACTTGTACTATTGTTAGCCTGTTGTTGTTTCGACTCTCATGTGCGCCTTCCGACATCATCGCCTGAATCAGCCATTGTCGATTTTGTTGTACTCGGGTGCCTTGGTTCAAGCTCACAATGATAGCACGTACAGTGGAGCATCGCTTTTCCCGCCAGGATGTCATAGCCACATCCAATTTCGAGAAGTGTTCATCTTTCGAGAGCGTTACGCTGCGGCTCGGTTTTCAGTGGCCCTGGCAGCCTAGCCGCAGAATACGCTGCACCATGTCCAATTGAATCGCACCACAAAAAAGAAACTGTAACACAGGATTTGGTGTGATGAAGTCGCTAGAATGCTCAAGTGTCATCTCGCACCCCTCGACTAGTGCTATGACAGGTGGATACATACTGAGGAATCAACGCTTCAGCGACGATAGTACGGCTCTTACAGCAACTCATCTGATTTTAGCTGACAGCGCTTTTGCGAACCTCAACATGACTGAAGCTCCCGAAGTATTATGCGCCGTCAGATTCGAAAGGCCACACCCGTGGCGTAACTTCCAGCAAATGGACCTGTCTGGCGAATCTGCCTTGCTTGGGAGATGTCCAGAGACTGTGCCACTGGTAAGCACTATGCCATATCCAGCGAGGTTGCAAAGATCTACTGAGTGGCACGCCGTTCGAGAGTTTGGGAGGAAGATAGAGTGGTAGCTTCTGGCTAGGACAGTCACAGAGCAGTCACGATTCAGATCTCCCACAAAGGACTCCAGCAATCCGGTTGTCCAGGGACGTAGATTGTGTCAAAATCTGTCCTATAGTGGGAGTTTCGATTAAGAATAGTTCTGGTGTTGTAATTTGCATAGGCGATCACCACTCGGCCCTAGACTTCACCTGCCATCATCTTATCCCAAGCTCGAATGAAGGCCCCAAAAAAAGGACTCTTTTCCCCTGCAGCCCTGAAACCTGGCTCTAATTCGACGTATGGAAGTGCTGGCTGCCCTGGGGTTTGCCAATTCTCCTCCATCAGTCGTTCGCGCGGCAGCGGCCCTGGTTCGACGTACGGAAATAGGCTCCTTATGGCGTTTGTCATACCCTCAGGAGTCTCGTGAAATTCCAGCAGAAAATTGCGATGTCCTTTCGTCTCCTCTGCCGGTGTCGTCTCCTCTGCCGGTGTCGTCTCCTCTGCCGGTGTCGTCTCCTCTGCCGGTGTCGTCTCCTCTGCTGGTGCCGTTTCGTATGCCACTGTTGTCTCCTCTACTGTCGGCGTCTTGCCTTCCTCCTCCACAGTGCCATCATGTTCTGTGCCGTTTGTCATAGTGAATATCTGTGCGTGCGGGCATTAGCCCTAGATCCAAAGAGAAGTGAACATAGGATATTTACTTCGACGATGGAGCTAAGAAATAGTGATGCGTATCAGGATGGAGATGCAATGTCACAGACTTCTATGTAATCAGGGTAGGGTTCTAGCACGCGGCGCAGTTACAGAATTGTGGGATTTCTATTAGGTCATCCTCATTACTTAGATCTTATTTAGTACTAGGTTAGTATAATAATAATAATAATATTATATAACTAGGTAGAGTAGTACTCTATAGACCTATGCCTCCTCTAGTCTAAGCTACTATATAAGAAGAAACCCTATAGGGAAAAACTTCCTTATATCTATAACTATATCTCGTTAAACCTCTATTTCGTCTTAAGTATATAGCTATAGGGTACGCCTATTAGTCTATAGCCTATATTACTATTATTTTACCCTTAGGTAGTACGTGTAGGTACGGAGGTTATTAGTTAAGGGCTGCCCTTAACTAATAATCGGGGTTCTCCCGGGGTTCTTCCGGTATATATTAGGTTACTACCGGCGTATGCCGGGTCTCTTCCGGTATATATTTCTAGGTCCACTAGTACTAGAGGAGTAGTAGATATATAAGCATCTATTAGGAGACGTCCTTAGGGTACTTATTAAGCTATTATATAATATCTAAAGTCTTCGTAACGTGGATAAGCTATTACCGTTATATATAGAGGTTAGGGTATATAGCTAGATAGTAGCGTATTATACCTCTCCGGCCGTACGCCTTATACTATAGAGAGGTATTAGGAACGCCTCTCTTATAGATATAGTATAGGAGTCCCATGGCGCCTATTCGGGCTTAGATAAGTATAGATACTTAGGCTTTCGTTAGCCCTTTATATATCTATTTACTCGGTTCCTTCTATAGCCCTTAAATCTACTCTAGGTATCTATTCTACTAGGAGGTCTAGTAGGTATAGAGTGCCTCTTTCTACTTATCTTAAGTCTATAACTATATATTTTTTATAAGTTCTTAAAGGCTCTACTAGTCTAGGAGAGCGTCCGGGTTATCTCGGACTTCTTATACTACTTAGCTAGAGTCGGCTTCTATTAAGTACCTATACCGTATTCGATTCCGGCCTATATATAGGAGTGCGCGGTAATATATACTAATTTATACACGTAGCGCGGCGAAAGTGTATTCTGCGTTTCCTATGCGTTTCTATACTTATTATTTAGTAAAGTATACCACCCTCTATATCTAGTAGAAGTTATATATACTTATAATGTCTATCTCGTATCGTAGTAGTACCGTATTAGTAGCTTTATATACGTCTAATATAAGACGGAGTATACGGTTCTATATGGATTTAAGCTTTATTCGCCTAGTCTATATAAGGGCTATATACTAGTACTTGTGTCCGTACGTAAAGGCGGGTCGTACTATAGATATATATAGCTAGCGTGCCTTATCCTAGGCGGTTCCCTACGTAGAGGCTATAATCCGTTATATAGCGGCTTCTATCTAGAGAGCCCTAGAGACGGCGTATACTACTTATAGTCCCTATTTAAGCTTACTATCTAGTATGACTCCGAGCGTATATATGCTTTATACTAGTAGTTCGTTAAATACGTCGATTCGGGGGCGTTATTCGCCTTCCCTAGTTACCTATTTCCCTTAACGATTAATAAAGTGTATAAGCTAGTATTTCTCTAGGGCGAACTTTGCTCTATAGCGTTTTACCTACTAGAGGCACCTCTTATAGTTCTATTCTAGTCGTCTATACGTTCGGTTGGTATTATTATTAATAGCTAGGAGGTATATATTATTAGCGTATCCGACTACCTCTATATACTTTATTCCTTAAAGAAGGTCTACTATAAAGAAGAGAAATAGGATCGGAGAGATAGTGCTCCCTTATAGGATGCCGTATACTATCTCTTTATATTCGCTCTAGTACCTAGGAATATATATCTAAGTTATTCTTCTTATAAGGAATAACTATATAAAGCGTATAATCTATTCTAGTATTCGTCTTATCCGGAGGTTATAAATAAGTCTTATATAGTTTATCTTATTAAATGCTCCGGCTATATCAAGGGAGAGAAGCGATACTACCTGTCCCTATTTCTATGCGGCCTAGACGACTTTAATAATATATTAGATAGCTATTATTAGAGAGCTATCTACCTTTACCTTCTAGTTCGGAGAGAGGAGATTATATTTCTATACTATAGTACTTATCTTCTTCGCTATCATAGTCTCTAGTATCTTACCTAGATAGAAGAGAAGGGCGATTAGTCTCTATCCCTTTAGGGAGTTAGAGCTCTTTTCTAGTTTCGGGAGTATAATAGTATAGGCGACTTAGAAGCTCTAGGGGTGGTACCCCTACGTGATATATACTTAGAATATACGAGTAATAAGCGGTAGGGTCGCTTTTATAGTACTTTTTAGGTATTAATTTAGAATTCCATCTAGTCCGGGTACTTTATCATTTAGAAGTATCTTAATAATATTAAGTATATCCTCCTCCGTAACTTCTTCGGGGATATCTACCGTGTATAGATATTTAGCGCCGTGAACGTCTAATAGATCTACTAGTTCCGGGAGAGGGAATATAGCCTCCTATAGAGCCTTAGTTTTCTTAAGGCCTATGGAGTATATTCTCCCCTAATATATTAGGGGAGGTATAAGTGGCGGGGGTATCGGAGTATCTACGCCCTTAGCCTATTTCGCCATGCGCTATAGCCCTATTACGTATTATATCTATTAACTAGTAATTATACGCTACTATTTACGCCTTTTATTACGGAGAACTTTATCGCGTTATTATATCGCTTCCTTCTATTCTTCCTACGACTCGGGTGTTCTCGTATAGTATACGCGTCTATATAGTCTTCGGGCGTCTTATCTACTTTCCCGTACTTAAGGAATCCCCTTTACTTTCGGGGGCTAGTATATTTAGTATAGTACGTGTTTATTTCTCGCATTCTAGTATGTTTATAGGAGTGTCTATACGGCCTGGTCTATAGCTAGGTTATTAGATATATTAACTATAGAGGGATCTAGGATCGCCGATTCTAGGTCCTTTAGGTACTTTTCCTAGTCGGTATCCTTCTATATCTATCGTCCCCGTTGTTTATTCGGGGTATATATGTTTATTACGGTTTCCATGTATTCGTAGTCGGAATCCGTCTATACCTAGCCTAGGCGGTAGTATTAGATCCGGTAACTAATATGCTCCGTAGCGAAGGTAAGGTTAAGCGTAGACCCGTCTTCGTCCTATTTATATTTTTTCTATATAACTTATTCTATAGGTATAAGTAGGTATAGGAAGTCGTGGTAGTAGGTGCGTAGTTCCCTTACTCTAAGTTCTTCCCTAACTACGGCTAGGCCTCCCTACTATTAGTGGTAGAGGTTAAAGTCTCCTAGAAGGATATATTACCCTAGTTCCGTGGTACCCTTAAGTATCTCGTCTAGTATAAGTACACGTTATTAGTTATATATGTTATATATATATAGGGGGCCTATATCTATTTATAGATATAGTATTATTCTAAGGTTATCGCGCTTGGTATACGACTATAATAAGAGTAGTATTAACCTATGAATGTGGAAGAGGACTCGTCTTTCTAGTCCTAGAGGGTATATAGTATAGTATCCGGGGTGTATGGTTGGTTTACTCGTCTAGTAGTATTTATAGAGTTCCTAGATAGCGAGTATTATAGCCCCGGTCTCTTCGAGGAGCGTCGCCTAGTTCTCTCTTTTATATTATATATTTACCTATATAATTCGGAGTATATTCTAGTCCCTTATTAGGTACTAGAGAGTATATATATCTATATACTTATTTCTTAGAGGCGCGACTATCCTCGCGCGGTAGCGGCTTTAACTATGCCTTTTAGTCATTCTATCGCCTTCGGAATAGTCTACTATCCCGTCTAACTACCTTCCGGAGGGGAGGTTAGGGGTGTTATAAAGGAAGGGCTCGTGGTAGGTATTATATTCTATAACTATCTCGTGCCTCTCGCTTTTATCATGCGAATATATTCTATAACCTATTTACGTTTTATGCACGTTAACGACCACGACGGGTGTTTCCCGTCGTAGTTTAAATACTATACTATATCCCTGTTTCTTGGTCCGTCTCCTCGCGGTTTATAAGGGCACTCCTAGGTAGTATAGTCCCTACGGTACTATCCGCACTTAGTCTTCTATAAGTACCTTTATATAGTATATCCATACCCTTAATAGTTAAAGCACTATATTATTACCTATGCTCTATCCTATAGCTCGGCCATAAGGAGCTCTCCTTCTATTAGGAATCCCTTCTATATAATACGTTATACGAGGGCGGGGTCTCGGAGCTCCATAATTATAGTAGAGTATTTTTTCGCCGTCGTCTTAATCGCCTATGGGTTCTTCTACCACGCTTTCACGATCTTAATCCCTAGGTATTTTCGCGTGTTGGATTATTCCATGCGCGTAATATCCTCCGCTCCGATAGCCTATCCCTACACGGGTACTATATATACTATAATTAGATATATGGCTGCCCTAATAGACGCGCCGGGGAAGATACTACCTATCACGTTCGGATCTCGCGAGATGTTTTACTACGCGGTATTCGTTATAGTAGTAAGTACTACCCCACCTAGCGTAACTTTAGTAGCCACGACGCTTAACTATATTCCTTTCTATTTATTAATCTTATTTATAATTTCCTTTAGGGATACCTATTAGACCTACGCCAGCGTGTCCTTATTCTAGATTACGACATGTATACTATATACTCTATCTATAGTTCTAGTAGTCCTTAGTACGGTAGCTCCGGGTGTTACTATAATCTAAGCCTACGTGTTAGGGCGCTTACCTTAGAATAGCTCTTTCTAGATTCTCCGTAGGCTAGCTTCTATTTGGTCGAGTCTACTACTAGGTTCCTCTTATAGCGACTTCCTTTCTTTCTCTATAATTCCTCTTAGGTTCCGGATAAGGTCCCGGAATATATAAAGGAGGGTCTTCTTTCTCTTCTCGGCGTCCCTCTCTACACGTATTACCTAGTATTTAATTTTATCTAGGAGGGTCTCCCCTCTCGGGGTCCCCTCGGTCTAGGTTATCTATAGCGCTTCGTATCCTTAGTTAGTTCCTGTATTTTAGATAGGTATA